GCCGGAGATGGACGAAGGTGTGGACGGTTCTGCCGTGCTGTTCACGACAATCGACGTAAGAGGGTTGGGCCAGAGCTTCGGGGGCACACTGCCTGCGAGCTGGGGCCGCCTGACGCGACTGGAGACGCTGCGCCTTGATGGTAACGCCTTGACGGGCACACTACCTGCTGAGTGGAGCAGCTTGACGTCTCTTGCGACACTCTACCTGCAGGGCAATCGTCTTGACGGTTCTCTGCCCAGCACCTGGCAGCAGATGAGCAACGCCGAGTTCGTGGACCTTTCCAGCAACCAGCTCGACGGCAGCCTGCCGGCGGAGTGGGGCAACATGAAGAAGCTGTCGTCCTTGTATCTGCAGAGCAACGCGCTGACGGGACCGCTGCCTGCGGAGTGGGGAGGGATACCGAGCATTAACACGCTCTCGCTTTACAACAACCGTTTCGACGGTTCCCTGCCTGCTGACTGGGGCAAGATGACGCGGCTGCAGTACCTGTACCTTCAGAACAACGCGTTGAGTGGCACGCTGCCTGCTTTGTGGAGTCCTCTATCAAACCTCTCCGAGCTCAACTTAAGCAACAACTCGCTGGATGGTTCGCTGCCCGCGGAGTGGGTCAACATGGAAACCCTGAGCCAAGTGGATCTGTCGAAGAACCAGTTCACTGGCGCCATCCCTGAGGAGTGGGGCCAGCTGCAGCTGTCCTCCCTGGACCTGAGCGGCAGCACTCTCTGCGGCTGCCTTCCGAAGAGATGGGGCAGGATGACGTTCCCACCGACTGTGACGGTGAATTCTGCGGTGACTGCGTCGGACTGCGCGACTAAGAACGTGTGTGCTGACGCCAGCACGACGACCACTACCACCACTTCCCCAGCCCCCTCCCCGGTCCCGAGCAGCACCGCAGCCCCCAGCACGACCACGACGAGCACGGCGCCGCCGACGGACGAAGAGACGAACACGCTGAAGTTCCTTCGCGGCTTCGTGGCGTTGAACCCTTTTCTTTCGAGCAACTGGACGGGCACGGACTTCTGCAGCTGGTGGTACATGAACTGCGGCACTTTCATAACCTTACTGGATTTGAGGGACGCCGACTCACCGGAGTTCACCGGATCACTGGCCCTGCCTGAGCTGGGTGACGACGTGGACGGCTCCAGCGTTATCCTCACGCAGATCCTCCTACAAGAGATGGGTGAGCGTGTCACGGGCACGCTGCCTGCGAGCTGGGGCCGCCTGACACGACTTACCACGCTGCGCCTGAACGACAACGCGCTGTCCGGCACGCTCCCTGCGGAGTGGGGCGGCTTGACCAAGCTGGTGGTCTTGTTCCTGCAGAGCAACACGCTGTCGGGCAGCCTGCCTCCGACGTGGAGTAGCATGGCGAGAATGCGGACGCTACAGCTGGACGAGAATAAACTGGAGGGTGCCCTTCCCAGCGCGTGGAGCGCACTCACGAATCTCAGAACCTTCAACGCCTCGCACAACGCGCTGTCCGGCTCGCTGCCTGCGGAGTGGAGCCGCATGACGAAGCTGTCGGAACTGGGGCTGTCGAACAACCGGCTGCAAGGGTCCCTGCCCGACACGTGGAACTCGCTGACGGCGCTGACCGAAGTCGGCCTGGCAGACAACCAGCTGGAGGGTTCGCTCCCGAGCGCATGGAGCACGTTTGAGAAGCTCACCGATTTGTACCTCGCAGGCAACAGGTTCTCGGGCTCTCTGCCTGCGGAGTGGGGCAGCATGAAGGAGCTGGAGTTCCTGCACCTCCAGAACAACGCGTTGACGGGCACGCTGCCTGCCCCGTGGAGCTCGCTGGGGTCGCTGACCACGCTCCATCTGGAGAACAACCACCTGGACGGCCCGCTGCCTGCGGACTGGGGCAGCATGCAGGGTCTGTCGGAGCTGTACCTCTCGAACAACGCGGTTGCAGGGAGCTTGCCGCCTGCGTGGGGCGGAATGAGTGACATGCGGACCCTTCAGCTGGACAGCAACCGCATTGAGGGGGACCTGCCCGCTGAGTGGCAGGCCATGACGGTGATCTCAAATTTGTACCTGCAAGCCAACGCGCTGTCCGGCGCGCTGCCGTCCGCGTGGAGCGCGATGTCGTCGCTGAGAAACCTCAATCTGAGCCGTAACCAGCTTTCCGGGACGCTGCCTGCGGAGTGGACCTCGATCGAGTACTTGTTTCTGCTGGATCTCGCTGACAATCGTTTGACCGGCTCGATTCCCGCGCAGTGGGGCCAGATGGTGTTCCTGAACACGGTGGACCTGAGCGGCAACAGCTTGTGCGGTTGCCTGCCTGAAGGATGGGTGAGCAGGGCCTCGGATGGTGTTCATGTGGACCCTGCGGTGTCTGCGACGGCCTGCGCCACTGCGAACGTGTGCCCGGATGAGGAAAGTGGCACGACGATCACCACGAAATCTCCGCTGCCTTCGCCGGTCTCGAGCAGCAGCAATGCAGGGGACAGCAGCGCGGCAAGGAGGGGCAACTCCAGCAGCAACTCCAACGAGGTGGGGTGTAAAGTGTTGAATTGCGTCCAGTGTCACGCGGGCAACGGTACGAGCTGTGACCAGTGCGCGCGAAGCTACGAAGTGACCACCACCTTTCTGTGCGTGCGGGGGGACGGTGCTGTGCGCGTGTCGTTGACGGCGGGTGGTCACCTGTGGTCCTCGCTGCTCCTCGCCGCCGCGCTGTTGGTGTTTGCCGCATCGTGCTAGTTCCCTCTCTCTGTCCTGCGAAAAGGGGGCGGGATGGTGGTACTCCTGCACACTCGCACGCACTACGGAAGCCCACCGCATCCTTCACGCAACGGCAGCCAGTCTCGCATTCACTGCGGCGAAGAGGTAATGTTTATGTGTTCTCCACATTCGCACTATATAGTTATATATGAAGGCAAAGTGTGTTTGGAGAATCGACGGCGCTGGGGTGAGGTGGAGCGTCGTAGATTCTAGCCCCCCTCCGCTCCCAACCGTCAGCATCTTTTTTATTTCTTTCTCCTCCCTTTTCTTTCCTGTTTCGTTTCTCTTTTGTTTGCTGTTAAGCGAGAAAGTGTAGTCCACACGCAGTGCTGCCTCTTCGTTGTGGGAGTGCAGCACGCCGTGAGAGCGACACTTGACAGCAGCCAGCTCTTCAGGAGCCACCACTGCGGCCTTGTAGGTAAGGCCGAGTGCTGCCTTTGATGGAGCGTGACTGCCGCACTTCATGTCGAAATGCGTCTACACCTCGCCACTAACAACAACTGTCCTTCTACTTTTTCACGTTCACTGTTATTTTCTTCTTTTTCGCTTCTTCATCTACTCAAGTTCTATAGATATATAGATATATGTAGGTGCGTGTGTGCGAACGGTTTGACTTCCTTCCTCCTGTGCGCGGTTTCCCGTCGCCGAAGCGCTCACGGGATCGATGTGCGAGAGTGGCGTGTTGCGTGCACTGCTGCTGTGAGGCGGGGATGCGGATGCGCGCACGCCTTCATCCTTTGAAGAACCGAGATATGACTGCCACGGGGAAAGGCAAAAGCTTTTGTTTCACCACGAAACTCAGCAACGGCCGCGTTTGTGTCAACCGATAGAATCGAGCGCGCGAGAGGGGGGCACAGAACGCGAGCGGTTGTCTAAAGTAACTACGTCTGCAACAGTAATTGTATATAGTTATATATATGCAGCGTTCTCTACTAGTAAAGCTGATGAGCTCACAGGCCTGACTACTTGTTTTAAATCCAATTTCTTTCCCTATTTCGGTGGCTGCTGTCGTGTGTTCCTGCTCTGTGTTTTTTTTTTCTGTCTCCTCGCGCTCCACGTACCCATACCACAATATCTCCTGCAATCCGTGCAACGTCATTGCCGGCGAAGTATTGTCGGGGGTAGTTACGGTAGACTGCTGCGCACGCAGCTGCGTTGTGTTCTCTCCCTCGTCTCCTTTCTCGCACTCTGTTAGCTTTTTCCCCTGACGAGGTGCAAGCGTGTGTCTGCTCCGTCGGGCTGTCCTGCACCTCGTCAAGTAAATGGCGCATCTGCCGGTGTGCGCGTCGTTGCAACAGAGTATTTCAGCGCTTGTCACAGATTAGAACACACTGCGGCACACGCCGACTCGCCACTTCAAAACGTTTTCAGCTTCGTAGGGGCGCTTTATTACTATAATTAATCTACTTGGTGAACCAGAGATAATTCCTATAGTTCAACTTTGTAATTGGGGTGAGCACCTCTGGTGCTCAGATGACGACAGCAACAGCGTGGTTGCTTCAGCCCCTTCTCTTCTAATGTGACTGAGTCTGGTGTTAAAAGCTCTATTTTTCTAGCTCTCTTCCCGGGTTTTGACTCGTGACTCTAACGCAAAAGCTCTTTGAAACCGTGGTGCCAAAGACAGCCCGTGGCGAGCAGATTGCGTGCTGTTGTTGTTTAGAATGGCTTCGAGTGACACGGCCCATTTTCTTTTCTTTCTGCCGTTGCTGCGGCGCACACGCCTCAACAGCCGCACCGGTGCTTCGTCTTTGCCTCCGTTGTGTCTCACGACCGAGCATTATTTACCTTTCCTTTACTATTGTTGGTTTTTTTCCACGTATTGAACGTTCTACGCACGCGTGAAAGTCTCTTTGGAGTGTATTTCCTCCTGGGGCACAAGCCGTCATTACGGCGTGGTGTGCGCTGCACGTGCACCGTTGCCGGTCGCCGTGTCTGGTGCGTGAGCAAAGGGCGGACCGTGGAGTGCGGGTGCTCCGACTTCCGTCCTTTCATTGCCAAGCACCGCCCAAGCGCAGCTGCTATCCTTTTCCTGCCTGCGTGCCAACGCACGTCTTTCATCGTTAGCGGAAACGCTTTGCATCTCTTTGTCCGCTGACGGGCTTGCAGGAACGCTGCAATGTTGTGTTGCGCAACCACCACCCGTCGTCCTTGCGTTGTGCCCCTTCCCCCTCTTTTCCTCGTCGGTTCGCCGCTCTCTCGCTTGTTTCCTTCGTTCCCACCCCCACCCGCTCCCGCTTCTACTGCGCGCAAACGCTTCTATGTGGCACGAGCACAAAGTCTCCTGTCAGAATGAACGCTCTTTCTCTCCAAGCACCACCTCACGCACCCCGTAAAGCTTGGTGATTCGCCTCACAGCGAAGTGCTGTGCGGCCTGTTTGCCTGCCCCAGGTCGCCCGCTTCGGTCTTCTATTTCTGAACTTTTCCGTTCGCGGGCAGCTACTGCTTTCCTTGCATGTCTGTCTTCGCCGAGTGGCACTGCAAACGCGCCCGCTTTCTGCCCCTTTATGGACTCTTGCCCCCTCACGTTGCTGCTCGAAGGGCCCTTCTTTCTCCTCTCCGTATTTGCCTCCCCCCCCCCCTCCCGTTGGCGAGAGGTGTAGGGCAAGCTTTGTCCCGCCGTGCTCTCGTAATGGCACCGCCAGCAGCCAGCCCATGCGTCGTGTGCGCACTCGCCGGCTATCTTTTCCGTCCTGCCGCTGGCGTCACTGCTCTGTCCGGACCTCTCCGCACGTTCCGGCCTCCCGCGACCTACGCACGCTCGTCGCACTTCTCGAGCAGCCATGTGCACTCAGTTGTCGGCGCCGGCTTGCCACTGCTGTAACGGGTCCTGAGTCCCGCTGCGTCGGCGACAACTACTGCGCGTGGCCGGGAGTTAAACGGGGGTGAGCCTAGCCGAGTGCCGCCTTCGTACAGAGAGCGCGGCAGGCCTCCCGCGAGAGCCACGGACGACTCCGCCGGCTGACATCTCACATGTTGATCGGCGACGCTCTCACCGGATCCCTGCCCGAGGCGTGGGGCTCTGTGGGCGCGATGAAAGCGTTGCTGTCGATGGTGCTGTCGCTGTCGGCTTCCTCTGGCGCGCCTCCATCCTCGCGGGCTCCCCTGTGATCGCACGAGATGGTCATCTCCGTGAACACCACGTTGAAGGCGCCGCTTCCTCCCGCATAAAGAGAATCCGGCGGTGATGCATGCATCTGATGTCCCAGGTAAACGACTGTGCGGGTGTCTCCCACGCGAGCGGTGTTCGAAGCGAGCCCGTGCATCTCTTGCCGAGGCTGTTGTGTCCGCTTACAGCTGTAGCTCGGCAGCGTTTCTTTCCGTGTTCCCTGTGGCAGGTCGGGGGCACAGCGGGATCTCAGCTTAATGACAAACGTGTTTCTGTATCCGCACCTCTGCAGCTTTCTGCAAGCACGTCCTCGCCGCTAACGGGCTAGTCGCTGAATGGAGAAGTGCTCTTCTACGGTGGAAGAGCAAAGGACGGTGGCGACAGCAGCGGTGGTCATCTTGCCAGGAGCGCGGTCCCTTCTCTTTTTTGGATGCCCGCACTATCCTTTTTCATGTACATCTGCTAGTGTTTTCTCTTTTTTGTATGGATGCAACTGCTCTGCGAGGAGGACTGCTGTGAGAGCCGGACTTCCTACAGGGCCATCTGTTTGCTCTGCCCAGGTGTTTTTCCCTCCTTGAGACCTGCGTGGTGCTCAACTCGCTCTAAAGCACCAACGGAGCCGTGTGCGCACAACGGCAAGCACGAAGGATTGAAGTGGCGTTGATTCTGCTGGGTGTTGCGCTGAAGGCGAGCCTTTTTTTACTTACAGGATGTCTTTCCTTTGTCCCACTCGTACACGTGGATTGTGCGCTCACATGCTTGACGAGCGCGTGCCCATTACTCGTAAGCGTTGCCGCCCTGCGCTGCGCTCCTCTATGAATTGCCTTCACTCCGTTGTCAACGCCGTTCCTCCCTCACGCTGCGCTTCTTGTCGATGGCGCTGCAACACACCATTGGTTGCCACCGCTAACCCCAAACACCATGTGGCCACTGCGTAGAAACACAAGCTAACCCTTTTCTAACAGTAATCTTCTTTTGTTATCATTGTATTTTGAGTGCTGGAGTATCACAAGTGTTTTTTCTCGTTGTCCTGCTAGCACGCACGCCATTTGAGCCCTCCCTCCGATTTCTCGCTGAGACCCCATTTGCACAACCAGCGCTGGTCCACGGTGCGAAGCTCCCACGGTTTCTACCGAGTTCGTGAGTTAAAGGCCGTCGAAAGAGGTTTCTTCAGTTCCCTGTGCACTGCGTTTCTCCTCTCTTTCTGTTCTCCGCACCGCTTTAAGTGCTGCTTTCCCGTCGCCCCTGTCTACCCTCTCAACAGACCAACCGAACAGCAGCATGAGCCGTTTTTGCTCTACTCCGCAGCCGTGGAATGCGCTCGCCCTCGGCGCTCTTCTCCTCTGCTGTGTTATCAGCCCTCACCTAGCGATCGCCGCGGACGGCAGTACGGCGCCTGCACCCACGCCGGAGTCGGAAACGATGAAGTTCCTGCAGGCCCTCGCGACGACGGTGCCGGATATGCGGAACAGCCAGGACGAGGACTACTGCGGATGGAACTTCGTGCAGTGCAGTGCCGACAACACGGTGACGGTGAAGCTGACGGCGTCGCAGATGACGCAGGTGTCGAGTATGCCGGATCTGCCCGGCGATGTCGTCGGCTCTCTGGTGACGGTGACGTGGGCCGAGGGCCTCAGGCTCTACGACAAATTAACCGGGACGTTGCCACCGAGCTGGGGACGGCTGACGCAGATGCAGACGCTCGAGCTCGCGACCAACGCGCTAAACGGCACTCTGCCCGCGGAGTGGAGCACGATGACGCAGACTACGGAGATGAACCTGGCCGACAACCAACTGCTGGGCACTCTGCCCGCGGAATGGAGCGCGATGACGCAAGTTTCGCAGATGATGCTGCTGAACAACAGCTTCTGCGGCTGTGTGCCGACAGAGTGGACTGGTGTGTTGAGGCCCATCGTGGACGACAACGTGAGCGGAGATGCCTGTGCGACGACGAATGCCTGTCACAAAGCGTCGAGCAGCAGTTCTGGCGAGCCAACATGCTTTGTGGTAAATTGCGTGCGGTGCGCACCGGGCAACAGCATGAAATGCAGCGTGTGCGACAGCAGTTACATGCTGACGGATGACTCTCAATGCGCCCCTTACTGTGATGCGGCGTACTGGCTGAGCCTGGGCAGCCCAAATGGGTGGTTAATGCTGGCACTGCTCTGCGCATCTGTGCTGTGGAACCTGATCTAGCTGGCGTGCTCGCTCTCCATATTTCCACGAAGGACGATGTGAATAGACCGCCGAGATGTTCCTTTCTTTAGAATCCTTTTAATACCTTTATTATTTCTTTAACTATGTAATAGCTGCTTCTCCATTCGTCCTGCGGCCTTGCGGCACCTTTGCCTGCGCAACAGCGGACAGCCTTTTTCACGCCGACACCCGAGGAGTCACAACGGAGGGTGACGAGAAGGCGCAGTTTCCACGGAAACAAAAAGGTCCGCAGCTTTATTTCACTTGTACAAACGTAAACGTGCAGCACGTCGCTCGCGCGCTTGTGTGTGTGCGTGTGCGACTCTGTGTGGTCCTGTAGTTGTGCGATGAAGCCGTGACTCACGCCGCTGCGCAGGAGAAGCGTTGCTTTCGATAAGCTTGCAGCGCGAGGGGGATGACGTGCTCGGTGAATCCCTCTCCACAGGAGCACCACACACCCCAGCAGTGGGTCATGGGAGAGAAACGAGCGAGTTCAGCTGCACCTTTTCTTTTTCTTCTCGTTTAGCGAAAGCGAAGGGTCCTGGTCTTAGTCGTTGTGGTGACAGGTGAGGTGTGGCCGGATGGAGATGGCTGGAATGGCCCATCATCTTTCTGAGTGAGCCGCGTGCGTGGCAGCAGCAAGCGCGCAGCGGAGGAGAACGGTAACACAAAACGCTTTCTTTTTTTTGCACATATGTAAGTTTTCTTTATATACGGAACTTAAAGGCACCCCACACTCCCTCAGCTGTACTTGTTGTTTCATTTCGTTCGTTACTGTTTTGTTTGTGCGCTCGAATGCGCGCACTTCTCAATAAAGGAAACTCAGATATTATCATTTGTTTGTTTTCGCAACCCGCTTCGGCTTCAACGAAACGTAATGCGTGCCTCCACAAAAGCAGAAGTCCGTGTGGTATGATTAGCCCTCCTGCCATCTGTGTACCCTGCGGGTGGTGGAGGAGCGGCTGACGATCCCAAAATGCTTGCACTTTGCGGCTGTGGTGCTCGCAGCAACGCCAGAATCTTTTTCTCTTTTTTGTTACACGGACCTTACTCGTGTTCCCAGCTTTACCATGGGGATGCCCTCACCAAATGAACTGGGTGTGCAATCAACGGGCCCGCTCTGCACGTAACGGCGTTTGGGCGTGACTTCAATAATCAAGTGCGGCAGGCCACCAAGTACAGAAGGTTGGGGAGCTCAGCGTGGGCGCCAGGGGTTCCTGCCTACGCGAGAGTATCGGTGTGAGCCCAGAAGGGTGGCACGCTGCATTTCTCAAACGCTGTACTACGGAGCTGCTTGCCGGCTCACCTGAAAGATGTTTCTACTTGCGTTTCTAGGGCAACTTTTCGCACCGCCACGTACGGTCCTTTTTTTTTGCGTTGTTCTCATTTTCCCAATCTCTTTGCATGTAGTTAACGACGGTAGTGCGATGATGCGGTGCGTGGAACACACTTTTTTTTTGTTTTGTACTGCGCAGTGTGAGTGTCTGCACCGGGCCACGTCTGGTCGTGCTCTCGAGTGCTGTAGGGCTTCACAAACTACGCGGTCATTTCTTCCTTGCCTCCCTTCTCCGCGGTACTCTGCCCGACGTCGGAGAGCTACCGCGAATGGATTCCTCACTTCTCCTTTCATCTCCGAGCGGTTTCTTTTCTGCGTGGTGCGAGCGATGGAGCCGAGCGCGTTTTAAATGACGGAGTGGCGGTGGGGTGATCCGAAGTCGCTGTCCGTGAAGCTGCGCAGCAAGGGAACTGCTGCGTGTACACGCACGCACGGCCACCTCCACAATTGAATCAAACGCTATTTAACCTAGTACGAGCGTGTCAAGACGCGCGGGTGTATCGCGAGGTATTCATGCCTCTAACTGGGATAAGTACGCAAGCGGGGAAGCCGCACATGGGAGGGGCCGATGCTGCCAGGCGCTGCTTTCCGGCTCTGTCTAACGGCGTCGACGGCGAGCGCATCACCTGTGTGTTTGTTGTGTTTCTCCGGTCGCCCCTCTTTCTCTTCGCTCCCCTGAATCCTCCAGCACCGTTCTCCCAATTTTTCCTCTTCTGTGCTCACCGCTTATCTGTACACCGAAGGCCGCAAGAAGTCGAAAATAGAAAGAGCGGATGATGCGACGCGGTGGCATTTTGCCGCTGTTATTTGCTGATCAATTGCCTTCGTATACGGAGCAAGCGTTTGGGGAAATAATGTGTTAGGTTTAAAGTGGTGAGACTCTCCTGCATTGAAAGAAGTGGTCTTGTCACTATGCGTTTGACATCCATCACGGCAGGTGACCGTCAACCTCTATGTTCCCATCCGCATCTCTTACAGTGTTCGTAAGACGCCTCGCAGCATTAGCTTACACACGTGTGCTTGTATGTGTATGCATGTGTGTGTGTCTGTCGCTCACTTCTCCTCTCTTTTTCCTTCTCCCCACACTCTCCTCTCTCCGCTGCCGGGTCTCTGCCTCCTTGACAGCGTCATCTGAAGTCTTGAAGTAATGCGATGGTGCCCTGAACGACGGACAAAGAACTGAAGAGTGCCAGAATGCGCGCGTTTCGTGGTGTCTGGCAGGGCAACCTTTCAGCATCGCGGTACCGTCCTCGTGTCACGTCCCTTCTCTCCATAGGGTCTTCGGTGTCATAGCCGTCGAAGAGACTGGGGTGTCTGGCTGGCTGAGGGGAGATATGTGTGTGTTTGCGCCTGCGTGACGGCTGAAGCGGAGCTGTTTGAGGAGGTTCAGCTCTCTTTCTGTAGCTTTCTTTTTACCTCCATAGGAACTCTGCGAGACTGCTGCACGGTGTGGATTCCCTACGAGGCGCGTGTTGGTGCTTCAAACGCCGTGGCTTTTCGCACCTGTTTGTTCTCTCTAATTGTGCATGAATCGTGCTGAGTTTTCTCGCCGTTGCAAGAGTGTCTTTCTACACTCAGTAGTCGGTGGTCGCCGCTGCGGTTGTCGTGCTACCACGGTGGTTCGTGTGAGCACTTGCTGGGATGCGCAACCACGAAGATTTCGTGGCTACGATAAACAGAACACAAAAGAAATGAAACAGAACAGCAGAGGTGCGTGATTGTTGCTTCGAGGGGAACATGGGAGGTTTGCCCTCTCTCCACGTGACAAAGACCACCCTATTGTGTACACGCTGCGCCGATGTTTTTTCTTTGTTTTTTACTAGGTGTGCCGCGCAGTCGACTCGTAGACGGTTCGACTCTCCCCGCTAAAGAAAGCAAGTAGCAGGTCCTGCAGAATAGAACGCCCAGTCCCTCTTCATCTTGCCCCTCGCTACCACTCCCACCACTACTATCACTTCGATTCATTCTGTTTGGCAGTGCCATACCGCGCTCAACGTCTTGCACATTTCTTAACCTTACGCACTTCGGTGAGAAGTCTGTTATAAGCATCACCACCCGCTGCCTTCTTGATTAACTCACCGCTTTTGCAAAGTCTTTTCCCCTCTTTTTCTCTTTCTCTCAGGGCGAGATACATTGAACTGCACCTGAGCGGACGAGAAGGAAGGAAAGAAGACAGCAGCAGTGAAAGCACAACGCCAAGCTCGTACACATCCTTTCATTGCATTTCTCCGTCTCTCTTCGTTGCGCCTGTATTTTAAAAAGTAAAACGAAAAGGGTTGCACGAACAATGCCGCTCGTGATCAATGAGCTGTTCCGCTTCCGGATGCTGATGGCAGGTGTGTTCGCTGGCCTCGCCATGAGCTCCACATACGGCTTCAGCATCTTTACTAATCACATGAAGTCGCAATACGGCTTCAACCAAGCGGATATTACCACCATCAGCACCGTGGGTAACTGCTGTGGGTACCTCGTGTTCTTCGCCGGTATCCTGTTCGATTACACCGGTCCGAAGGTTCTCTTTGTCGTTTCGGGATTTTTGGGCTTCCTTGGCTACGTACTCTTTGGTTTGGCTTTTGATGGCAAGATCACGAGCAGCAGCAAGGAGGTGGCGCTGATCCAGTTCTGCATCTTCAACGCTATTCTCTACTTCGGCTGCCCTTCCATGGACGTGGCGACGCTTATGCCGCTCATGGCGAACTTCCCCTTGGAGCGCGGCTACATGATCATCATCGAGAAAACCTTCTCCGGCCTTGGCACCTCCGTATTGATGGCGTACTTCAACGGGTGGTTTGCGAACACGACGGACCCGCTCAAGAGTCACTTCTCCGGCTACGCGTACTTTGTTGGTGCGCAGATTCTCTTGTGCGCGCTGCTCGGCTGCTACTTCATCGATTTGCCTCCGTACATCCCTTGCCAGTACCGCAAGAACCGCCTCACGGAAGAACAGGCTGCGGAGCGGCAGAGCACGGTGACCGTTTATAATTCTCAGCACGCCCCGCTGCGCCGGCTGTACATCGGCTGCGCCATCGTCGGTGCGAACCTTGTTTTCCTCACCGTGAACTCCATCGTCACGGGCTACATCCCCACCACGAAGAACGGCTACATCGCCAGCTCGGTGGTAGCGGTGGCGCTGCTCGCCTGCTTTGCGATTATGGCGCTGCCCATCCAAGCGCTGGGTCATTACCCTGTGATTAAGCGTCCGCATCCGCACTTCCCCGGTCTGGGCTACACCGACGATCACGAGGACGATTTTGCAGATATCGACGCCATGGCCGCCGTGGAGGCGGCGGCGGCGGCAGAGGAGCTGGAGGAAGACAGCGCCAACGCCCAGTCACGGCAGCCAGAAGAGGGGGAGGAGGAGCAGAGAGCCGATGCCTCTGGCTCGAACTCCGTGGAGGCGCAGCGCGACAACAACGGCAAAAGTGGAGTCGTTGCCAATGTCGAGGACTGCGAACCCGCTGAGAAGGCGCCAAAACCGCCGGTGAGCAACGCCGTCGGCGATCCGCAGTACACGACCACCTTCTGGCACAACCTGCTGACAATTGATATCTGGCTTTTCTGGATCTGCTTCTTTGGCATGTGGGGCACCGGTACGGTGATGCAGATGAACGCGGCGCAGATGTACCGCAGTATCAACGGCGGCGTGTACGACCAGTCCCGACTGACGCTGTACGTCGCGCTTATCGGTGTGGGCAGCGCTATTGGTCGGGTGGTGTCCGGTGTTCTGGATATGTACATGACGATGCGCAAGCGCGACGGCAAGAAGGAGATCCTCACTACGACCTTCTTCCCGGTCAGCTCCATCCTGTTATTTGTCGCCTACCTCTTTTTCGCGGTGATGCCGGCCAACGGTCTCATCCTCCCTTTCCTGCTGGGCGCCATCGGCACCGGCATGGGCTGGGGCCTCGGCGCCCTCTGCGTCCGCATCGTCTACGCCAATGACATCGGCAAGCACTACAACTTCATGTTCTCCTCCGGCTTCGTCTGCACCATCGCCTTGAATCGCTTCATGTTCGGCACCATGTACGACAACGAGGCGAGGCGGCTCAACACGCTGCCCAATTGCAACCAGCGGTCGTGCGTGCGCAGCCAGATGTTTATTCTGATGGCAGTGAACGTCCTCTCCACAGCGGCTGCCATTCTCGTGCACCTCCGCTTCAGCCGGTTCGTGGTGCGTGAGCGGGCGAAGCAAGCGCAGGAGATGACGGCTGCGGAGGCCGCCCCTGTGGAGACGCTGCCGGACCGCATGCCCATCGAGGAGAGCTCAGAGTCTCGTCAGTAGATGCGCTGAGAGTGTCCATCGGCTGCTTTTTGTTTTCTCTGTTTCACCTCCGCGGTTCTCTCCCTCTCCCCTTTCTTTTCCCCTCCTTTGAGCTAAAAATGGTCTCCGTTGAAAAGGAGGGGTATTGGTTGCACAGTGCTTTAAAAAAAGCCGTCTTTTTTGAATATCTTCTTATCCTAAGCTGATTGTGTAACGACAGGTTTTATTGTTGTTACTATTCATTTCAATTAATACGGGGATGACGTTCAGAGGACAGAAAACGACAAAATGACATCTACCGCTTTGGTCACTTCCAACCAGAACAACTCGATAATTAAGGCGAGAGAAAGAGACAAGGAGGAGGAGGGAAGGAGGGAACCACACGCAACCTTTATAGGTGTGGTCCTGATTTTGAAAGGCTTTTGCTTTCTGTCTCTGCTTCTTATTTTCTCCCTCTCGTCTGTCGGTGGAAAGTGCCAAAAAGCTGATCATTTTTTTTTCCATTCATTTTCGCGTGTACGCCATATTTGGATCTATTGTTCTGTTTCTTTTTGTTTTCTGGTTTGTTTCTTGCTCAAGACACATGGTGTGTCTCCACACCTTGTTTTTCTGTTTTTCTTTTTTCGCCATTAAGCGTGCTGTCCTGTACCGCGGCGGACAGCGTAAACGCCTGTTTTTCATTATTATGGTGATTATCATTAATATCTTCCTGTTGGTTTCCCGTAGCAACGATAAGCTCGTAAATCTATCTTCGTTTAGCTTTTCTAAGTGTTTGTGTGTTCCTCTTCCACCTGTCTTCTCGGCTGACCTGAAGCGTTTCTTTTTCCTCTCTCTCTCAATAGCTACAGCATATGCATATGAGAAAGAAAAAATGATGGGCGTCTGTTTGTGGTGTTCAAGGGCCAGAGAAAGGAAGAACCTAACCGTAATAACGTTTGTTTTCGTTTGATCGCTAGCACGATGAGCCACAAAAACAAAAAAGGAAAAAACATGTATTTTTTCTTTCTTCTTGTTTTGCCATTTTCGTCTCTCCCGTTTTTTTCTCTCTTTGGGTTTTCCTTACCGAAGTATGCTAATCTGCACAAGCGGGCCATCTGCAGTGGTACGCGTCGTTGCTTCCTTTCCACTGTTCCTCTACGTGATGCGTCTTCTGTCAGCGTGTTTCTCCATTCCAAAGGGTGATCCCTTTTTCTTCTTTGCACGAGGAAGGGCGACTCAATACGCGCTGAATGAACGCCACATCTCGGGAAATGATTTTCGCTTGCGAGGCAACTGAAGACACGACGGCGCTGAAATGCTTTTACTTTTTCTTTTCCGTTCCGCCTTGTAAGTGCAGGAGGTGTTCCATGAGAATCATCATCTCCTCCTCTGCGGAATGATAAGAAGAAAGGACTACTGGTTTTTTCTTTCAATGTATTTAAGTTCACCTGCACGGGCGTACGCTAACAACACCCTCTCCCAGTTTATTTCATTTCTACTTCGTCTTTTGTTTATTCGGAGAAGCGGCTTTTTTCCCTGTCCTCGAGACCCTCCGTGCAGCAGTGCTTTCACTCGTCCGCACGCATTCACCTTACCTTTTCTCTTTTGTCGCTCTCTCGCACGTGTTGTCTCGAGTTCTGAAGTGGATCACGGCTTGTCTTGCTCTGCTAGCGGACAGACCTGACGAGAACGCAGCGCTGCTCCGCCTGCCCTTGCCAAACAGCTCGCAGCGATCCACCCAAGTTTCGAAACTGGCGGCGAAGGAGAAGGTGGGCGTGTGGCGGTGAACCGCACCTTTTGTGAGGGAATCAGATTAGTGAGTTCCTTCCTTTCCCCTGTCGAGTCTCCCCCAAGCTCTCGTGGGCGGCGGCGCCCTCTGTTTCCCCCACTCCATCCGCACTACTGGATCATGGACGTGAGCACTGATGCAGAACGGATCCGCAAACGTCACCGTAGTGTATTTTGTTTTCTTTATATCAAAAAAGGCAAATGGGGAGCCTGCTATTTCCGCACACTACACAGCGTGGAAGCAGTCGACGCCTTCTTCTCTCCTTTCCTCCTCTCCTTCTCGCCGTTGGACTGGAAGCAGCTGTGAGGCTGAAAATAGCAAAGAATGAGAACGGAAGAAGGTGGGGTTACAGGGCGGGTGAAGAACGATTGAATATCTATATATACTATTAAAGGCATTCCTCTTGGCGCTGATCTTCGAAAGAAAACAATTGAAACAATAGTATCCACCTCTCCACGCGCGCTGTTGTGTGTGTGTGTGTGTGTGTGCGTGTGCCTTTGTTTGTCTTGCTTTTGGATGGGTGCCTCATGGCAAGGTGAAGTGTTCATTCTCTTAGTAGGAGTGTGTCAAGACGCGCGGGTGTATCGCGAGGTATTCATGCCTCTAACTGGGATAAGTACGCAAGCGGGGAAGCCGCACATGGGAGGGGCCGCTGCTGCCGGCCGCCCTTTTCTGCCCATGTCCCACAACATCGACGGCGAGCGGACCGCGTTGTGTTTGTTCTGCCTTTCCGGCCGCCCCTCTTGCTTTGCTCTCCCCCGCATCCTCCAGCACCGTTCTCCCTCTTCGCCTCCTCTGTTCACATCCTCCTGTTTTCCGTCTGGCGATGGAAGGCGTACAGTCCTCTCTTGTTTCCTAAAGCCATCGCCCGCTTTCATCATTGCTCACGGTGTTCTCACCGGGCTTCCACCGGCACTGCTCTCCCGACGTTGGGAGTTTCTGCTTTCAGAGGGGGCGAGCCCCTCGTCTCATGAGACAGGACGTCAGCTCCTTCTGTACATTGAGGTGAAGAACGCCACGAAGAAGCTCGGCGACGGAAAGCCGACAGTGAAGCGTCCGTGGAACGGCTGGTGGAGGCCGCGACGGGGGCGGGTGCGACGGCAACGGACGCTGCCACCTCCCTGACCGTGCAATCCGAACTGCGGCACAACTCTCTTGAATGCGAAGCATCAGGGACGCGGCGCTGTGGTGGCACGACGTGGGAGGCCTGACAGACGCGCAGCTGACGGGGAGGTTCATCGGCTGGGCGGGGGCTGAAGCGGCTTCCACCGACGGTGCTCCTTTCTTGCCTCTGCACAACGGTGCACGCCTGACAGGGAGTGTGGCCGAGGCTGCCGCATGAAACTTCTCCTCATCGGCCCACAGGAGGGGACGATGCGGTGCCACAACCATCAGGCTTGCCAGGAGTGCGGGCTCGTCGAGGCGGCGCCTGCTCGACGGAAGCATCGAGAAGCTCCCGATGCCGCTCTTCCCGCCGTACGCGGCAATCCCTCCCCTCAAGCAAGGCGTGCGGAGCATCGTACGCAGGAGCCAGCCTGCAGGGGGGGCGAGTTGCGCGAGGACGGGTCGCCGCTTAGGAGCCCCCACGCCAGCACCACCACCGATCTTCTGGAGGGGGGCCGCTACCCCGCGCCGATCTACGTCGCTGAGGGGAACAACTTGCGGCCGTCGACGGGACGCAGACCGACAGCCTCCGTTGCCGAGTAACCGGCGGGCTCCGGCATCTCACCGCCACGCCACACCCACACGCAGCGTCCGGTGAAGGTGGGGGAAGCGGACGCGGTCAGCGGTACGGTCGTGGGGACAGCGGACAGCGGGCGAGCGGAGGTTGCACTGCCGTAACGGAAGGGTGGCTGAGGAGCCGAAGCCGTCTAGCGCTCCAGAGTGCGAGCAGCCTTCGCGCCACACCCGTCAACTGCCTTCGGACGGGAGGTGCGGTGCTAGAGGGCGGAAGTGTTGCCGCGTGTGCAGCAAGTAGTGCTGTGCCCCGTCGGACTCCGCGGCACTACACGCACGCGAGGGCCCTGCTGCGGCGCGACACGCTGCCTTCGTTATAGAGTTCACCGGTAAGCCGTGTCGAGAAATCCTTGCAGCAGACAAGGAGACCTTATTTCCCGCCTGTTCTCCGGCTTCATTGGATCGCGCGTCTCCTGGAGGTGGCCGACAACGGCTCAACCCGCCTGGAGATATCCGATTCCCACCTTCGGAATCGGTGCACAAGGATCTGAGGAGAGCCTTAGGAAGGCCTTGGGGGAGCCGTGGCCATCGCTCACCCTGCCCGCGGTCGTTGCGCTGCTCCTCTTGTCAGGAGTGTGACCTATCACGCATCTTTACCGCGCTGTCTGCCTGAGTACTTCTCCATATCCGCTGTAGATCCTCGCCGCACAAATACTGGTGGAAACGGATACAAGAATTAATGGAAGCCTTGTCGGTATTGCAGGAGTCTAGACCCTTACTAGGAGGTGCCATCCAGCGGTGTAGCGCCGAAGACCGGCTGAGACGAGCTGGAGAAGCCGATTCGGAAAGCGCAAGGCACGGCATACGATACGTGCTTGCAGCCACCGCCGTTTTAGCGCCGGTGGCCGATGGGGTGGACCGGTCACTCTCGGCACAGGCGCGAAGCCGGCTGGATTCGACACGCCCTCACGCGGATGAGGCATCGACTTGCACTCTCCACACAGCACGTCCTTGCTTCCTCGTGGTAACAGAGGACCGACCGGAAAAGCCGCGATCGGTTGGCCGCTGCCTCTTGGCTTTCGGAGAGAGGGACGAAGGAAGAGCACGCGCTGCTGGGGCACCGCCTCCCAGGCTCCACATGCCATCCCAGCACGCGGAACCGACGGCGACTCCCCGGCTGCCGGAGGTGATGGACCGGTGAAGCGTAAACGCGCCGCTTTGCGGATAAAGACGTTGCAGGGAAGAACGGACATCGCTGACGGCAACGGTGGGCGGTCGTGCTGCCGTGGGGCAGTGCTGGCGGTTATCCGCCAATCCTCCAGATAAAAGCTTGAGTGCTGTGAAGTCCTCAGCCGTGCCGTCAGACGGTGACGCCACGCATGCAGCTGGCGAGCCCCGTTCTTCGACGGTACGATCTTCATTTGAAACCCGCCGTTCTTTTCCAACCCTTCACTGCTCGAAATACCAACGGCAAACCTGCGACAACGACGCGAGTGCGTTGCATTGCATTGCTGTGCTGTACGGTGCGGTGCGGATGCGCCCGCCTGGCTTTGAGTGCGGGGTTGCGTGTGTGTGTGTGTGGAGAGTGCTGCTTGTTGCCTGCTCTGCCGCCGCCGTGATCTGCTCATTCTACCCCCCCCCCCTCTCGGGCCACGACTGTGACGAGAGAGCGTTCACCGCCCTCTCGTGGCCCGATGTGCCTGGTGTGTACGTGTTTGTGTGTGTGTGTCGGCGTGCACGCAGTGGCGATGGGTGCTTCTGGTGAAAACCCGCAACGCTGCCTACTGCGCACACCGGCCCGCACACCTTCTCCCCAACTGCCTCGATCACTGCTCCTCGGTTCTCTTTCCCCCTCCACTTCCGCCGTTTATCGTGCCACAGTAACGACAACCCCCGCCACTACAACTCTCTCTCTTTTTAAGCTATTTATTTGAAGCGCCTCTTTTTATTATTATTATTTAAGCGTTTTTACTATTATTACTGTCGGCTTCGGTCACTGCGGCACACTCCACTGACTCACGCCTTACGTGTCAGCGCTGACTTCCTCGACCCCGCTCACCTCTCTCCCGCTACCCCGCTGCAGCTCGCTCTCCGCCCTCCCCGTTCCCCCCTCCTCGCCTCTCGCACTGCGACACATGGCGTGGCTCAACTACCCGCTGCGCCGCATGATGGTGGCTGCAGCGCTGCTGGCGCTGTGCGTGGTGGACGCCTCCTTCGTGACCGCAGCTTCCACCGCGGACTACAGCGCTGAGGAGCAGACAAACACGCTGAAGTTCCTGCAGGGCCTTGCGGCATCCAATCCGTCTCTCGCGACGTTGTGGACGGGCACGGACTTCTGCTCCTGGTTGTATGTGAGCTGCGGGTTTGAGTACGCTCTAAACTTGAAAAACTACGGCAACACGGGTTCCGCACCACCGCTGTTGCTGCCGGAGATGGACAAAGGTGTGGACGGTTCTGCCGTGCTGTTCACCACAATCGACGTAAGAGGGTTGGGCCAGAGCTTCGGGGGCACACTGCCTGCGAGCTGGGGCCGCCTGACGCGACTGGAGACGCTGCGCCTTGATGGTAACGCCTTGACGGGCACACTACCTGCTGAGTGGAGCAGCTTGACGTCTCTTGCGACACTCTACCTGCAGGGCAATCGTCTTGACGGTTCTCTGCCCAGCACCTGGCAGCAGATGAGCAACGCCAAGTACGTGTACCTTTCCAGCAACCAGCTCGACGGCAGCCTGCCGGCGGAGTGGGGCAACATGAAGAAGCTGTCGTCCTTGTATCTGCAGAGCAACGCGCTGACGGGACCGCTGCCTGCGGAGTGGGGAGGGATACCGAGCATTAACACGCTCTCGCTTTACAACAACCGTTTCGACGGTTCCCTGCCTGCTGACTGGGGCAAGATGACGCGGCTGCAGTACCTGTACCTTCAGAACAACGCGTTGAGTGGCACGCTGCCTGCTTTGTGGAGTCCTCTATCAAACCTCTCCGAGCTCAACTTAAGCAACAACTCGCTGCAAGGTTCGCTGCCCGCGGAGTGGGTCAACATGGAAACCCTGAGCAAAGTGGATCTGTCGAAGAACCAGTTCACTGGCGCCATCCCTGAGGAGTGGGGCCAGCTGCGGCTGTACTCCCTGGACCTGAGCGGCAGCACTCTCTGCGGCTGCCTTCCGGAGAGATGGGGCACGATGACGTTCCCACCGACTGTGACGGTGAATTCTGCGGTGACTGCGTCGGACTGCGCGACTAAGAACGTGTGTGCTGACGCCAGCACGACGACCACTACCACCACTTCCCCAGCCCCCTCCCCGGTCCCGAGCAGCACCGCAGCCCCCAGCACGACCACGACGAGCACGGCGCCGCCGACGGACGAAGAGACGAACACGCTGAAGTTCCTTCGCGGCTTCGTGGCGTTGAACCCTTTTCTGGCGAGCAACTGGACGGGCACGGACTTCTGCAGCTGGTGGTACATGAACTGCGGCACTTTCATAACCTTACTGGATTTGAGGGACGCCGACTCACCGGAGTTCACCGGATCACTGGCCCTGCCTGAGCTGGGTGACGACGTGGACGGCTCCAGCGTTATCCTCACGCAGATCCTCCTACAAGAGATGGGTGAGCGTGTCACGGGCACGCTGCCTGCGAGCTGGGGCCGCCTGACACGACTTACCACGCTGCGCCTGAACGACAACGCGCTGTCCGGCACGCTCCCTGCGGAGTGGGGCGGCTTGACCAAGCTGGTGGTCTTGTTCCTGCAGAGCAACACGCTGTCGGGCAGCCTGCCTCCGACGTGGAGTAGCATGGCGAGAATGCGGACGCTACAGCTGGACGAGAATAAACTGGAGGGTGCCCTTCCCAGCGCGTGGAGCGCACTCACGAATCTCAGAACCTTCAACGCCTCGCACAACGCGCTGTCCGGCTCGCTGCCTGCGGAGTGGAGCCGCATGACGAAGCTGTCGGAACTGGGGCTGTCGAACAACCGGCTGCAAGGGTCCCTGCCCGACACGTGGAACTCGCTGACGGCGCTGACCGAAGTCGGCCTGGCAGACAACCAGCTGGAGGGTTCGCTCCCGAGCGCATGGAGCACGTTTGAGAAGCTCACCGATTTGTACCTCGCAGGCAACAGGTTCTCGGGCTCTCTGCCTGCGGAGTGGGGCAGCATGAAGGAGCTGGAGTTCCTGCACCTCCAGAACAACGCGTTGACGGGCACGCTGCCTGCCCCGTGGAGCTCGCTGGGGTCGCTGACCACGCTCCATCTGGAGAACAACCACCTGGACGGCCCGCTGCCTGCGGACTGGGGCAGCATGCAGGGTCTGTCGGAGCTGTACCTCTCGAACAACGCGGTTGCAGGGAGCTTGCCGCCTGCGTGGGGCGGAATGAGTGACATGCGGACCCTTCAGCTGGACAGCAACCGCATTGAGGGGGACCTGCCCGCTGAGTGGCAGGCCATGACGGTGATCTCAAATTTGTACCTGCAAGCCAACGCGCTGTCCGGCGCGCTGCCGTCCGCGTGGAGCGCGATGTCGTCGCTGAGAAACCTCAATCTGAGCCGTAACCAGCTTTCCGGGACGCTGCCTGCGGAGTGGACCTCGATCGAGTACTTGTTTCTGCTGGATCTCGCTGACAATCGTTTGACCGGCTCGATTCCCGCGCAGTGGGGCCAGATGGTGTTCCTGAACACGGTGGACCTGAGCGGCAACAGCTTGTGCGGTTGCCTGCCTGAAGGATGGGTGAGCAGGGCCTCGGATGGTGTTCATGTGGACCCTGCGGTGTCTGCGACGGCCTGCGCCACTGCGAACGTGTGCCCGGATGAGGAAAGTGGCACGACGATCACCACGAAATCTCCGCTGCCTTCGCCGGTCTCGAGCAGCAGCAATGCAGGGGACAGCAGCGCGGCAAGGAGGGGCAACTCCAGCAGCAACTCCAACGAGGTGGGGTGTAAAGTGTTGAATTGCGTCCAGTGTCACGCGGGCAACGGTACGAGCTGTGACCAGTGCGCGCGAAGCTACGAAGTGACCACCACCTTTCTGTGCGTGCGGGGGGACGGTGCTGTGCGCGTGTCGTTGACGGCGGGTGGTCACCTGTGGTCCTCGCTGCTCCTCGCCGCCGCGCTGTTGGTGTTTGCCGCATCGTGCTAGTTCCCTCTCTCTGTCCTGCGAAAAGGGGGCGGGATGGTGGTACTCCTGCACACTCGCACGCACTACGGAAGCCCACCGCATCCTTCACGCAACGGCAGCCAGTCTCGCATTCACTGCGGCGAAGAGGTAATGTTTATGTGTTCTCCACATTCGCACTATATAGTTATATATGAAGGCAAAGTGTGTTTGGAGAATCGACGGCGCTGGGGTGAGGTGGAGCGTCGTAGATTCTAGCCCCCCTCCGCTCCCAACCGTCAGCATCTTTTTTATTTCTTTCTCCTCCCTTTTCTTTCCTGTTTCGTTTCTCTTTTGTTTGCTGTTAAGCGAGAAAGTGTAGTCCACACGCAGTGCTGCCTCTTCGTTGTGGGAGTGCAGCACGCCGTGAGAGCGACACTTGACAGCAGCCAGCTCTTCAGGAGCCACCACTGCGGCCTTGTAGGTAAGGCCGAGTGCTGCCTTTGATGGAGCGTGACTGCCGCACTTCATGTCGAAATGCGTCTACACCTCGCCACTAACAACAACTGTCCTTCTACTTTTTCACGTTCACTGTTATTTTCTTCTTTTTCGCTTCTTCATCTACTCAAGTTCTATAGATATATAGATATATGTAGGTGCGTGTGTGCGAACGGTTTGACTTCCTTCCTCCTGTGCGCGGTTTCCCGTCGCCGAAGCGCTCACGGGATCGATGTGCGAGAGTGGCGTGTTGCGTGCACTGCTGCTGTGAGGCGGGGATGCGGATGCGCGCACGCCTTCATCCTTTGAAGAACCGAGATATGACTGCCACGGGGAAAGGCAAAAGCTTTTGTTTCACCACGAAACTCAGCAACGGCCGCGTTTGTGTCAACCGATAGAATCGAGCGCGCGAGAGGGGGGCACAGAACGCGAGCGGTTGTCTAAAGTAACTACGTCTGCAACAGTAATTGTATATAGTTATATATATGCAGCGTTCTCTACTAGTAAAGCTGATGAGCTCACAGGCCTGACTACTTGTTTTAAATCCAATTTCTTTCCCTATTTCGGTGGCTGCTGTCGTGTGTTCCTGCTCTGTGTTTTTTTTTTCTGTCTCCTCGCGCTCCACGTACCCATACCACAATATCTCCTGCAATCCGTGCAACGTCATTGCCGGCGAAGTATTGTCGGGGGTAGTTACGGTAGACTGCTGCGCACGCAGCTGCGTTGTGTTCTCTCCCTCGTCTCCTTTCTCGCACTCTGTTAGCTTTTTCCCCTGACGAGGTGCAAGCGTGTGTCTGCTCCGTCGGGCTGTCCTGCACCTCGTCAAGTAAATGGCGCATCTGCCGGTGTGCGCGTCGTTGCAACAGAGTATTTCAGCGCTTGTCACAGATTAGAACACACTGCGGCACACGCCGACTCGCCACTTCAAAACGTTTTCAGCTTCGTAGGGGCGCTTTATTACTATAATTAATCTACTTGGTGAACCAGAGATAATTCCTATAGTTCAACTTTGTAATTGGGGTGAGCACCTCTGGTGCTCAGATGACGACAGCAACAGCGTGGTTGCTTCAGCCCCTTCTCTTCTAATGTGACTGAGTCTGGTGTTAAAAGCTCTATTTTTCTAGCTCTCTTCCCGGGTTTTGACTCGTGACTCTAACGCAAAAGCTCTTTGAAACCGTGGTGCCAAAGACAGCCCGTGGCGAGCAGATTGCGTGCTGTTGTTGTTTAGAATGGCTTCGAGTGACACGGCCCATTTTCTTTTCTTTCTGCCGTTGCTGCGGCGCACACGCCTCAACAGCCGCACCGGTGCTTCGTCTTTGCCTCCGTTGTGTCTCACGACCGAGCATTATTTACCTTTCCTTTACTATTGTTGGTTTTTTTCCACGTATTGAACGTTCTACGCACGCGTGAAAGTCTCTTTGGAGTGTATTTCCTCCTGGGGCACAAGCCGTCATTACGGCGTGGTGTGCGCTGCACGTGCACCGTTGCCGGTCGCCGTGTCTGGTGCGTGAGCAAAGGGCGGACCGTGGAGTGCGGGTGCTCCGACTTCCGTCCTTTCATTGCCAAGCACCGCCCAAGCGCAGCTGCTATCCTTTTCCTGCCTGCGTGCCAACGCACGTCTTTCATCGTTAGCGGAAACGCTTTGCATCTCTTTGTCCGCTGACGGGCTTGCAGGAACGCTGCAATGTTGTGTTGCGCAACCACCACCCGTCGTCCTTGCGTTGTGCCCCTTCCCCCTCTTTTCCTCGTCGGTTCGCCGCTCTCTCGCTTGTTTCCTTCGTTCCCACCCCCACCCGCTCCCGCTTCTACTGCGCGCAAACGCTTCTATGTGGCACGAGCACAAAGTCTCCTGTCAGAATGAACGCTCTTTCTCTCCAAGCACCACCTCACGCACCCCGTAAAGCTTGGTGATTCGCCTCACAGCGAAGTGCTGTGCGGCCTGTTTGCCTGCCCCAGGTCGCCCGCTTCGGTCTTCTATTTCTGAACTTTTCCGTTCGCGGGCAGCTACTGCTTTCCTTGCATGTCTGTCTTCGCCGAGTGGCACTGCAAACGCGCCCGCTTTCTGCCCCTTTATGGACTCTTGCCCCCTCACGTTGCTGCTCGAAGGGCCCTTCTTTCTCCTCTCCGTATTTGCCTCCCCCCCCCCCTCCCGTTGGCGAGAGGTGTAGGGCAAGCTTTGTCCCGCCGTGCTCTCGTAATGGCACCGCCAGCAGCCAGCCCATGCGTCGTGTGCGCACTCGCCGGCTATCTTTTCCGTCCTGCCGCTGGCGTCACTGCTCTGTCCGGACCTCTCCGCACGTTCCGGCCTCCCGCGACCTACGCACGCTCGTCGCACTTCTCGAGCAGCCATGTGCACTCAGTTGTCGGCGCCGGCTTGCCACTGCTGTAACGGGTCCTGAGTCCCGCTGCGTCGGCGACAACTACTGCGCGTGGCCGGGAGTTAAACGGGGGTGAGCCTAGCCGAGTGCCGCCTTCGTACAGAGAGCGCGGCAGGCCTCCCGCGAGAGCCACGGACGACTCCGCCGGCTGACATCTCACATGTTGATCGGCGACGCTCTCACCGGATCCCTGCCCGAGGCGTGGGGCTCTGTGGGCGCGATGAAAGCGTTGCTGTCGATGGTGCTGTCGCTGTCGGCTTCCTCTGGCGCGCCTCCATCCTCGCGGGCTCCCCTGTGATCGCACGAGATGGTCATCTCCGTGAACACCACGTTGAAGGCGCCGCTTCCTCCCGCATAAAGAGAATCCGGCGGTGATGCATGCATCTGATGTCCCAGGTAAACGACTGTGCGGGTGTCTCCCACGCGAGCGGTGTTCGAAGCGAGCCCGTGCATCTCTTGCCGAGGCTGTTGTGTCCGCTTACAGCTGTAGCTCGGCAGCGTTTCTTTCCGTGTTCCCTGTGGCAGGTCGGGGGCACAGCGGGATCTCAGCTTAATGACAAACGTGTTTCTGTATCCGCACCTCTGCAGCTTTCTGCAAGCACGTCCTCGCCGCTAACGGGCTAGTCGCTGAATGGAGAAGTGCTCTTCTACGGTGGAAGAGCAAAGGACGGTGGCGACAGCAGCGGTGGTCATCTTGCCAGGAGCGCGGTCCCTTCTCTTTTTTGGATGCCCGCACTATCCTTTTTCATGTACATCTGCTAGTGTTTTCTCTTTTTTGTATGGATGCAACTGCTCTGCGAGGAGGACTGCTGTGAGAGCCGGACTTCCTACAGGGCCATCTGTTTGCTCTGCCCAGGTGTTTTTCCCTCCTTGAGACCTGCGTGGTGCTCAACTCGCTCTAAAGCACCAACGGAGCCGTGTGCGCACAACGGCAAGCACGAAGGATTGAAGTGGCGTTGATTCTGCTGGGTGTTGCGCTGAAGGCGAGCCTTTTTTTACTTACAGGATGTCTTTCCTTTGTCCCACTCGTACACGTGGATTGTGCGCTCACATGCTTGACGAGCGCGTGCCCATTACTCGTAAGCGTTGCCGCCCTGCGCTGCGCTCCTCTATGAATTGCCTTCACTCCGTTGTCAACGCCGTTCCTCCCTCACGCTGCGCTTCTTGTCGATGGCGCTGCAACACACCATTGGTTGCCACCGCTAACCCCAAACACCATGTGGCCACTGCGTAGAAACACAAGCTAACCCTTTTCTAACAGTAATCTTCTTTTGTTATCATTGTATTTTGAGTGCTGGAGTATCACAAGTGTTTTTTCTCGTTGTCCTGCTAGCACGCACGCCATTTGAGCCCTCCCTCCGATTTCTCGCTGAGACCCCATTTGCACAACCAGCGCTGGTCCACGGTGCGAAGCTCCCACGGTTTCTACCGAGTTCGTGAGTTAAAGGCCGTCGAAAGAGGTTTCTTCAGTTCCCTGTGCACTGCGTTTCTCCTCTCTTTCTGTTCTCCGCACCGCTTTAAGTGCTGCTTTCCCGTCGCCCCTGTCTACCCTCTCAACAGACCAACCGAACAGCAGCATGAGCCGTTTTTGCTCTACTCCGCAGCCGTGGAATGCGCTCGCCCTCGGCGCTCTTCTCCTCTGCTGTGTTATCAGCCCTCACCTAGCGATCGCCGCGGACGGCAGTACGGCGCCTGCACCCACGCCGGAGTCGGAAACGATGAAGTTCCTGCAGGCCCTCGCGACGACGGTGCCGGATATGCGGAACAGCCAGGACGAGGACTACTGCGGATGGAACTTCGTGCAGTGCAGTGCCGACAACACGGTGACGGTGAAGCTGACGGCGTCGCAGATGACGCAGGTGTCGAGTATGCCGGATCTGCCCGGCGATGTCGTCGGCTCTCTGGTGACGGTGACGTGGGCCGAGGGCCTCAGGCTCTACGACAAATTAACCGGGACGTTGCCACCGAGCTGGGGACGGCTGACGCAGATGCAGACGCTCGAGCTCGCGACCAACGCGCTAAACGGCACTCTGCCCGCGGAGTGGAGCACGATGACGCAGACTACGGAGATGAACCTGGCCGACAACCAACTGCTGGGCACTCTGCCCGCGGAATGGAGCGCGATGACGCAAGTTTCGCAGATGATGCTGCTGAACAACAGCTTCTGCGGCTGTGTGCCGACAGAGTGGACTGGTGTGTTGAGGCCCATCGTGGACGACAACGTGAGCGGAGATGCCTGTGCGACGACGAATGCCTGTCACAAAGCGTCGAGCAGCAGTTCTGGCGAGCCAACATGCTTTGTGGTAAATTGCGTGCGGTGCGCACCGGGCAACAGCATGAAATGCAGCGTGTGCGACAGCAGTTACATGCTGACGGATGACTCTCAATGCGCCCCTTACTGTGATGCGGCGTACTGGCTGAGCCTGGGCAGCCCAAATGGGTGGTTAATGCTGGCACTGCTCTGCGCATCTGTGCTGTGGAACCTGATCTAGCTGGCGTGCTCGCTCTCCATATTTCCACGAAGGACGATGTGAATAGACCGCCGAGATGTTCCTTTCTTTAGAATCCTTTTAATACCTTTATTATTTCTTTAACTATGTAATAGCTGCTTCTCCATTCGTCCTGCGGCCTTGCGGCACCTTTGCCTGCGCAACAGCGGACAGCCTTTTTCACGCCGACACCCGAGGAGTCACAACGGAGGGTGACGAGAAGGCGCAGTTTCCACGGAAACAAAAAGGTCCGCAGCTTTATTTCACTTGTACAAACGTAAACGTGCAGCACGTCGCTCGCGCGCTTGTGTGTGTGCGTGTGCGACTCTGTGTGGTCCTGTAGTTGTGCGATGAAGCCGTGACTCACGCCGCTGCGCAGGAGAAGCGTTGCTTTCGATAAGCTTGCAGCGCGAGGGGGATGACGTGCTCGGTGAATCCCTCTCCACAGGAGCACCACACACCCCAGCAGTGGGTCATGGGAGAGAAACGAGCGAGTTCAGCTGCACCTTTTCTTTTTCTTCTCGTTTAGCGAAAGCGAAGGGTCCTGGTCTTAGTCGTTGTGGTGACAGGTGAGGTGTGGCCGGATGGAGATGGCTGGAATGGCCCATCATCTTTCTGAGTGAGCCGCGTGCGTGGCAGCAGCAAGCGCGCAGCGGAGGAGAACGGTAACACAAAACGCTTTCTTTTTTTTGCACATATGTAAGTTTTCTTTATATACGGAACTTAAAGGCACCCCACACTCCCTCAGCTGTACTTGTTGTTTCATTTCGTTCGTTACTGTTTTGTTTGTGCGCTCGAATGCGCGCACTTCTCAATAAAGGAAACTCAGATATTATCATTTGTTTGTTTTCGCAACCCGCTTCGGCTTCAACGAAACGTAATGCGTGCCTCCACAAAAGCAGAAGTCCGTGTGGTATGATTAGCCCTCCTGCCATCTGTGTACCCTGCGGGTGGTGGAGGAGCGGCTGACGATCCCAAAATGCTTGCACTTTGCGGCTGTGGTGCTCGCAGCAACGCCAGAATCTTTTTCTCTTTTTTGTTACACGGACCTTACTCGTGTTCCCAGCTTTACCATGGGGATGCCCTCACCAAATGAACTGGGTGTGCAATCAACGGGCCCGCTCTGCACGTAACGGCGTTTGGGCGTGACTTCAATAATCAAGTGCGGCAGGCCACCAAGTACAGAAGGTTGGGGAGCTCAGCGTGGGCGCCAGGGGTTCCTGCCTACGCGAGAGTATCGGTGTGAGCCCAGAAGGGTGGCACGCTGCATTTCTCAAACGCTGTACTACGGAGCTGCTTGCCGGCTCACCTGAAAGATGTTTCTACTTGCGTTTCTAGGGCAACTTTTCGCACCGCCACGTACGGTCCTTTTTTTTTGCGTTGTTCTCATTTTCCCAATCTCTTTGCATGTAGTTAACGACGGTAGTGCGATGATGCGGTGCGTGGAACACACTTTTTTTTTGTTTTGTACTGCGCAGTGTGAGTGTCTGCACCGGGCCACGTCTGGTCGTGCTCTCGAGTGCTGTAGGGCTTCACAAACTACGCGGTCATTTCTTCCTTGCCTCCCTTCTCCGCGGTACTCTGCCCGACGTCGGAGAGCTACCGCGAATGGATTCCTCACTTCTCCTTTCATCTCCGAGCGGTTTCTTTTCTGCGTGGTGCGAGCGATGGAGCCGAGCGCGTTTTAAATGACGGAGTGGCGGTGGGGTGATCCGAAGTCGCTGTCCGTGAAGCTGCGCAGCAAGGGAACTGCTGCGTGTACACGCACGCACGGCCACCTCCACAATTGAATCAAACGCTATTTAACCTAGTACGAGCGTGTCAAGACGCGCGGGTGTATCGCGAGGTATTCATGCCTCTAACTGGGATAAGTACGCAAGCGGGGAAGCCGCACATGGGAGGGGCCGATGCTGCCAGGCGCTGCTTTCCGGCTCTGTCTAACGGCGTCGACGGCGAGCGCATCACCTGTGTGTTTGTTGTGTTTCTCCGGTCGCCCCTCTTTCTCTTCGCTCCCCTGAATCCTCCAGCACCGTTCTCCCAATTTTCCTCTTCTGTGCTCACCGCTTATCTGTACACCGAAGGCCGCAAGAAGTCGAAAATAGAAAGAGCGGATGATGCGACGCGGTGGCATTTTGCCGCTGTTATTTGCTGATCAATTGCCTTCGTATACGGAGCAAGCGTTTGGGGAAATAATGTGTTAGGTTTAAAGTGGTGAGACTCTCCTGCATTGAAAGAAGTGGTCTTGTCACTATGCGTTTGACATCCATCACGGCAGGTGACCGTCAACCTCTATGTTCCCATCCGCATCTCTTACAGTGTTCGTAAGACGCCTCGCAGCATTAGCTTACACACGTGTGCTTGTATGTGTATGCATGTGTGTGTGACTGTCGCTCACTTCTCCTCCCTTTTTCCTTCTCTCAACACTCTCCTCTCTCCGCTGCCGGGTCTCTGCCTCCTTGACAGCGTCATCTGAAGTCTTGAAGTAATGCGATGGTGCCCTAAACGACGGACAAAGAACTGAAAAGTGCCAGAATGCGCGCGTTTCATGGTGTCTGGCAGGGCAACCTTTCAGCATCGCGGTACCGTCCTCGTGTCACGTCCCTTCTCTCCATAGGGTCTTCGGTGTCATAGCCGTCGAAGAGACCGGGGTGTCTGGCTGGCTGAGGGGAGATATGTGTGTGCTTGCGCCTGCGTGACGGCTGAAGCGGAGCTGTTTGAGGAGGTTCAGCTCCCTTTCTGTAGCTTTCTTTTTACCTCCATAGGAACTCTGCGCGACTGCTGCACGGTGTGGATTCCCTACGAGGCGCGTGTTGGTGCTTCAAACGCCGTGGCTTTTCGCACACGTCTGCTTTCTCTAGTAGTGAACGAATCGTACTGAGTTCTCTCGTTGTTCTATGTGAGTCTTTCTGCATTCGATTGCTGCAGCTGCTGAGAGTGTTGTACTGCGACGTAAACAAAGCAGGCGCGTCGCTGTTGCTTCGAGGGGAACATGGGAGGTTTGCCCTCTCTCCACATGACAAAGTCCACCCCAGCGTGTACACGGTGCGTTGATGTGTTTTTCTTCTTTTTTGCTTGGTGTGCCGTGCAGTCAACTCGTAGACGGTTCGAGTCCTCCGGCGCACGAAAGCAACTATCTGGTCCTGCCGAACAGCACGCTCAGCCCCTCTTCATGTTTCTCCTCGTTACCACTACTCCCACCACTCTTACCGCTTCTCTTATTTCTGTTTGGTAGTGCCATTAAACGCTCAACGTCTCGCACATTTCTTAACTTTACGCGCTTTGGTGAGAAGTCTATTATAAGCATCACCACCTGCTGCCTTCTTGATTAGCTCACCGCTTGTATCAAGTCTGTTCCCCTCATCTTTCTCGACTCTCTCAGTGCGAGATATATATTCGATTGCACCCGAGAAAACGAGAAGGAAGGAAGGAAGAAAACAGCAGTGAAAGCACAACGCCAAGCTCGTACCTTAACTTTTCCTAAATTCCTCTGTTTCTCTTCGTTGCACCTCTTTTTCATAAAGTAAAACGAAAAGGGTTGTACGAACAATGCCGCTCGTGATCAATGAGCTGTTCCGCTTCCGGATGCTGATGGCAGGTGTGTTCGCTGGCCTCGCCATGAGCTCCACATACGGCTTCAGCATCTTTACTAATCACATGAAGTCGCAATACGGCTTCAACCAAGCGGATATCACCACCATCAGCACCGTGGGTAACTGCTGTGGGTACCTCGTGTTCTTCGCCGGTATTCTGTTCGATTACACCGGTCCGAAGGTGCTTTTTGTCGTTTCGGGAGTATTGGGCTTCCTTGGCTACGTACTCTTTGGTTTGGCTTTTGATGGCAAGATCACGAGCAACAGCAAGGAGGTGGCGCTGATCCAGTTCTGCATCTTCAACGCCATTCTCTACTTCGGCTGCCCTTCCATGGACGTGGCTACGCTGATGCCGCTCATGGCGAACTTCCCCTTGGAGCGCGGCTACATGGTCATCATCGAGAAAACCTTCTCCGGCCTTGGCACCTCGGTATTGATGGTGTACTTCAACGGGTGGTTTGCGAACACGACGGACCCGCTCAAGAGTCACTTCTCCGGCTACGCGTACTTTGTTGGTGCGCAGATTCTCTTGTGCGCGCTGCTCGGCTGCTACTTCATCGATTTGCCTCCGTACATCCCTTGCCAGTACCGCAAGAACCGCCTCACGGAAGAACAGGCTGCGGAGCGGCAGAGGACGCTGACCGTTTATAATTCTCAGCACGCCCCGCTGCGCCGGCTGTACATCGGCTGCGCCATCGTCGGTGCGAACCTTGTTTTCCTCACCGTGAACTCCATCGTCACGGGCTACATCCCCACCACGAAGAACGGCTACATCGCCAGCTCGGTGGTAGCGGTGGCGCTGCTCGCCTGCTTTGCGATTATGGCGCTGCCCATCCAAGCGCTGGGTCATTACCCTGTGATTAAGCGTGCGCATCCGCACTTCCCCGGTCTGGGCTACACCGACGATCACGAGGACGATTTTGCAGATATCGACGCCATGGTGGCCATGGAGGCGGTGGCGGCGGCAGAGAAACTGGAGGAGGACAGCGCCAACGCCATGCCACAGCAGCCGGTAGAGGGAATGGAGGTGCAGGTGGGCAATGCTGCTGGCATGAACTCCGCTGCTGCTGCTGCGCGGTCGCCTGCGGAGAACACCCTCGCCGAGGCTCAGCACGGCAACAATGGTGCTGCGGTCGGTGATTGCGAACCTGTAAAGAAGGCGCCGAAGCCGCCGGTGAACAGCGCCGTCGGCAATCCGCAGTACACCTCCACTTTCTGGCACAACCTTCTCACAATTGATATCTGGCTTTTCTGGATCAGCTTCTTTGGCGTGTGGGGCACCGGTACGGTGATGCAGATGAACGCGGCGCAGCTGTACCGCAGTATCAACTACGGTGTCTACGAGCAGTCGAGTGTGACGCTGTACGTCGCACTTATCGGCGTGGGTAGCGCTATTGGTCGGGTGGTGTCCGGTGTTCTGGATATGTACATGACGATGCGCAAGCGCGACGGCAAGAAGGAGATCCTCATCACGGCCTTCTTCCCGGTCGGCTGCATCCTGTTATCCATCGCTTACCTCTTCTTTGCGGTGATGCCGGCCAACGGTCTCATCCTCCCTTTCCTGGTGGGCGCCATCGGCACCGGCATGGGCTGGGGCCTCGGCGCCCTCTGCGTCCGCACCGTCTACGCCAATGACATCGGCAAGCACTACAACTTCATGTTTTCCTCCGGCTTCGTCTGCACCATCGCCTTGAATCGCTTCATGTTCGGCACCATGTACGACAATGAGGCGAGGCGGCTCAACACGCTGCCCAACTGCAACCAGCCGTCATGCGTGCGCAACCAGATGTTTATTGTGATGGCAGTGAACGCCCTCTCCGCGGTGACCGCCTTTCTCGTGCACCTCCGTTTCAGCCGCTTCGTGGTGCGTGAGCGGGCGAAGCAAGCTCAGGAGATGACGGCTGCGGAGGCCGCCCCTGTGGAGACGCTGCCGGACCGCATGCCCATCGAGGAGAGCTCAGAGACTCATCAGTAGATGCATGGGGAGTGTCCATCGGCTGCTTTTTGTTTTCTCTTCTACCTCCGCGGTTCTCTCCCTTTCCCCTTTCTTTTCCCCTCCTTTGAGCTAAAAATTATCTCCGTTAAAGATGAGGGGGTGCTGGTTGCACAGTGTTTAAAAATATATAACTGCCTTTCTTCTCAAATGCCTTCCCATCCTAAGCTCATCGCGTATCTTAATGAAACGGCAAGTTCTTTTTCCTAATCATTTAAACCAAAACGATTTTAATGTGCAGAGGATAGAAAACCGCAAAAATTCCATCAGCCGCTTTGGCCACCTCCACCCAGAACAACTCGATGACTGATGAGAGAGAGAGAAGGAGACAAGAAGGAAGCGGGGAGGAGAGAACGACACGCCGCCTTTAATTGGTGTGTTTCTGATTTCGAAAAGGCCCTTGCTCTCCTTGTCTTTTCTTCTTGTTTTCTCCCTCACGGCTGTTCGTGAACGGTGCCAAACCGCTGACTCTTCTTTTTGATGATTTGTATTAACTGTCGCGTATACTCCATAGTTTGATTCCTTTTGTTTGTTTCCCACTGAAGACGTGTGGTGTTTTCACCACCTTATTTTTCCTGTTCTCTTTTTTAAGCCTACCCCCTGTTTTCTTTTTCTCTTTGCTATTGAGCGTGCTGTCCCGTACCGCCGCGGACAGCGTAAACGCCTTTTTTAAATGTTATTATCTTCTTCTTGTTCGTTTCCCGTAGCAATGATACGCGTCGTAGATGTATCTTGGTTTCGCTTTGTTCACGGTTTGCTTTCCTCTTCTACCTGTCTTATCGGCCGGCCTGAAACGTTTTTCTCTCTCTCCATAGCCACAGTATATACCTATGGAGAGGGGAGGGGAGGAGAAAAGCGCGTTTTTGTGCTCAAGGGCGATAGAGAAGGAGAACTTAAGCGCACTCGGGTTTCTTTTTGTGTTTTCATTCCTCTCACGAGGAGCCTCAAAAAACTGCGAGCAGTATGTCTATATATTTCTTTCTTTTTATATATCCTTCTTTTTCTTCTCATTTTTCGCTCTCTTCCCTTTTTTTGTTAGTTTGTTTCTTTACTGAAGTGTGTTTATCTGCGTGAGTAGCCCACGGAAGTGGGGCGCGTCGCTTCGTTCTTTCCACTCTTCCGCTCCGTGATGTGTTTTTCGGTCAGCGTATTTTTCTCTTCCAAACGAAAATCTTTTTTCTTTTCGTGGTCTGCACGGGGAAGGGCGGCTCCATACGCGCTGAATTAACGACACATCTCTGAGTTATATGTATATATATGTATATTACGGCATGGAAACTGAAGCCACGACAGCGCAGAAATGATTTTGCTTTCTTTTGTCCCTCCCGCCTTTTAACGTACTGGCGATGCCTCATGAGAACTATCGTTTTCTCGTCGGCAGAGAAGGAAAAATATATAAAAATATTTCTGGGTTGTTGTTTTTTAGCATCCTTTTGTTTTGGTGTTGTGGTTTTTTAACCTCACCTGCGTGGGCGTACGCTGACAACGCTCTCTCCCGGCGTGGTTCATTTCCGTTTTGTCTCTTTGGTATCTGGAGAAGCGTTGTTCTTTTCTCTTTCCGCGTGACTCTCTGTGCAGCAGTGCTTTCGCTCGTCCGTACCCATTCAACTTACCTTTTTCCGCAGCGATCCACCCAATTTCTGAAACTGAAAATGAAGGAGAAGGTGCGCGTGTTGCGGAGAACCGCACCTTTTGTGAGCGAAACAGATTGGTGAATTTCTTTCTTTCTGTTCTCAAGTCCCCACGACGCCCCGGTGGGCGGCGGTGCCCTCTGTTTCTCCCACGCCATCTGCACTACTGGATCATGGACGTGAGCACTGATGCACAGCCGATCCGAAAATCTTATTTAGCATCGTATTTTTTGTTTTAACTCCATCTATCTATTTATATATATCCCCCAAAAGAAGAAGCAAGTAACGTGCGTGCTGTTTCCGCGCACTGCACGGTGTGGTAGCAGGCAACGTTTTCTTCTCTCTCGCCCTCCCTCCCTCTTTCTCGCCGTTTGACGCGAAGCAGCTGTGAGGTTGATCATCACAAAGAATGAGAACGAGTGAAGGGGGGGGCTACGGGGCGGGTGAAGAACGATTGAATATCTATATCCACTCGAGAAGATACTTCTCCTGGCTCTGATCTTCGACGGAAAACGATTGAAACGCTTCTATCCCCCTCCCACGAGCGCCGTTGTGTGTGCGCATGTATCTCTGTCGTATTATTTAGATGCGTTCGTCATCTGGAAGGTGGCGTGCTAGTTCCGCTAGTACCAGCGTGTCGATACGTGTGAGTGCCTCCGGAAGTATTCACGCCTCCAAGTGGGATGAACGCGAGAGCGAGGAAGCCGCACATGGGAGGGGCTGGTGCTGCCAGGCGCTGCTTTCCGTCTCCGTCCAACTGCGTCGACGGCGAGCGCACCACGTGTGTGTTTGTTGTGTCTCTCCGGCCGCCGCTCTTTCTCTTCTCTCCCCTGCATCCCCCGGCACCATCCTCCCTATTCGTCTCCTCTGAGCTCATCTTTCTGTTTTCTGCGTGGCGACGGAAGGCATACCTTCTTCTTTGATCTCCGACAGACATCGCCCGCTTTCATCGTTTTTCACACTTGTCTCACCGTGCCTCAACCGGCACTTCTCTTCTTGGGGTTGGGGTTTTTGCTATCTAGATGGGCAGAATGGCCTGTCTCGTAAAGCAAGACGTCTGCTCCTTCTGTACCCTGAGCTGAAGGACACCACGAGGAAGCTCCGGACGGAACATGGATAGTGAAGCGTCCGTATAATTGCTGGTGGGAGCCGCGACGGAGGCAGAGGCGGAGGCGCCGGCAACGGACGCTGCCACCTCCCTGACCGAGAAATCCGAACCGCCTCACAACTCTCTTGAGTGCGAAGCACCAGAGAGGCGGCGTTGTGGTGGCACGACGTGGGATGCCTGACAGACGCGCAGCTGACGGGGAGGTTCATCGGCTTGGCGGGGGCTGAAGCGGCTTCCACCGACGGTGGTCCCTGCTTGTTTCCGCACAACGGTGCACGCCTGACAAGGAGCGTGGTCGGGGCTGCCGGATGACAATTGTCCCTTTGAGCCCACAAGAAGGGACGATGCAGTGCCACAACGACCAGGTTCGCCAGGAGTGTGTGACCTCGTCAAGGCGACGCCTGCTCGACGGAAGCATCGAGAAGCTCCCGACGCCGCTCTCCCCGCCGTACGCGGCAATTCCTCCCCTCAATCAAGGCGTGCGGGGCATCGTACGCAGGAGCCGGTCTGCAGGGGGAGCGAGCTCCACGATGACGGGTCGCCGCTTAGGAGCCCCCACGCCGCCACCACCACCGATCTTCTGGAGGGGGACCGCTACGCCGCGCCGATCTGCGTCGCTGAGGGTGAACAACTCGCGGCTGGCGACGGGACGCAGACCGACAGCCTCCTTTGCCGGGTGGGCGGCGGGCTCCGGCATCGCACCGCCACACCCACACGCAGCGCCCGATGGAGGTGGGGGAAGCGGACTTGGCCAGCGGTACGGTCGTGGGGACAGCGGAGCGTGGACGAGCGGGGATGGCACTGCCGTAAAGGAAGGGTTGCTGAAGAGCCGCAGCCCCGTAGCGCTCCAGCGTGCGAGCTGCCTTCGCGCCACACCCGTCGACTGCCTTCGGACGGGAGGTGCGGTGCTAGAGGGCGGAAGTGTTGCCGCGTGTGGAGCAAGTAGTGCTGAGCCCCGTCGGATTCCGCGGCGCTACACGCACGCGACGGCCCTGCTGCGACGCGGCGCGCTGCCTTCATTATAGAGTTCACCGGTAAGCGGTATCGAAAAGTGATTTCAACAGACAAAGGGCTCTTTATGTCCTGCTTTTTTTCTCGGGGTTCACCGGATCGCGCGTCTCGTGGAGAAGGCGAACGAACACACTCTGGCTCGCCATCTTACTTGGTGGCACTCTCCCTGTCGGTGGACAAGGACCTGAGGAGAGCCTTAGGAAGGCCTTGGGGGAGCCGTGGCCATCGCTCACCCTGCCCGCGGTCGTTGCGCTGCTCCTCTTGTCAGGAGTGTGACCTATCACGCATCTTTACCGCGCTGTCTGCCTGAGTACTTCTCCATATCCGCTGTAGATCCTCGCCGCAAAAATACTGGTGGAAACGGATACAAGAATTAATGGAAGCCTTGTCGGTATTGCAGGAGTCTAGACCCTTACTAGGAGGTGCCATCCAGCGGTGTAGCGCCGAAGACCGGCTGAGACGAGCTGGAGAAGCCGATTCGGAAAGCGCAAGGCACGGCATACGATACGTGCTTGCAGCCACCGCCGTTTTAGCGCCGGTGGCCGATGGGGTGGACCGGTCACTCTCGGCACAGGCTCTCGCGAACAGATCCATCCGTTTGGAGTTGCACAGGCGCGAAGCCGGCTGGATTCGACCCGCCGTCACGCGAATGGAGTTTACCGTCGCTCGCTCCCCACAACGCTTCGTTGGCTGTTCATGACAACAGACCACCGCCCGGAAATGCCACGACCGGTTGGCAGCTACATCTTTGTTTAAGGAGTGAAGGGTGAAGAATGAGCACGCGCTGCCGGTGCACCGCCTCCCAGGCTCCACAGGCCAACCCAGCACGCGGAACCGACGGCGACTCCCCGGCTGCCGGAGGTGTTGGACCGGTGAGGCGTAAATGCGCCGCTTTGCCGATGAAGAGGTTGCAGGGACGAACGGACATCGCTGACAGCAGCGGTGGGGCGGTCGTGCGGCGGTGGAGCAGGGCAGGCGGTTATCCGCCAATCCTCCAGATAAAAGCTTGAGTGTTGTGAAGTCCCCAGCCGTGCCGTCAGACGGTGATGTCAGGTGTGCGGTTAACTGATGGTATCTTTCTTCGACATCAAGTTCATCACTTCAATTCTCTCTTCCCCTATTAATCCTTCTCTTCTACGGCTATCGGTGATGCCACACTATTCACAGACCGTGTTACGCCGTTTTTCTTTGCTATTCTCCTTCTCACCCCTCAGCAGTCATGCGTCGCGTCTTCTCCACCTCTCTTCTTCGCTGCGTCGGCGCCGCCGGCGTGAGTTCGGCTGTGCTCTACGGCCCGCAGTTCCGCTTCCAGTCGCAGGCGCCGCCAGGTGTGCCGCCGAGCACGCGGGCACCGCCACAGCAGCAGCGACGCGACGGTGGCAGGCCTGCAGGCGGCCCCGACGCGGACCACCAGCACAGCCACGATGCGGAGGCGGACTTCGAGCCGCCGCAGAAGCCCACGGAGGTGCCGAAGTTTGTCAAGATCCACACCAACGAGAAGGGTGTCACCAACGTGCAGCTGGCGCGCGGCCCGGTGAACTCGCTGAGCCTCGAGTACCTGCAGGAGCTGAACCAGTGGCTGCTGTGGCTCGGCAGCAATGACGAGACGAAGGCCGTGATTGTGTCGTCTGCGATACCGACGGTGTTCTCGGCGGGCCTCGATCTGACGGAGGTGCACAACCCGAAGCCGGAGCGCCTGGCTGAGTTCTGGCACAACGAGCAGGAGCTGTGGCTCATCCTGAACTCCTTCCCGAAGCCGATCATCGCGGCCATCACCGGCAACTCGCCGGCTGGCGGGTGCATCATCGCGATGGGCTGCGACTACCGCGTGATGGCGCGTGGACCGAAGGACAGCGCGAGCAACAACCGCCTCTACCGTATCGGCCTGAATGAGGCGAAGCTAGGCCTCGTGGCCCCGCCGTGGGCGATGCCGGCGTATTCCTACCTGCTCGGGTCGCGTAAGGCGGAGCTGATGCTGCAGCTGGGCGAGACACCGACGGCTGATGAGGCGCAGAAGCTGGGGCTGGTGGACGAGGTAGTTGTTGATGAAGAGAAGGCCGTCGAGGCTGCCTATCAGCAGGCGGAGCGCTTCCTCGCCGTGCCGCAGCAGGCGCGCTGGATGGCGCGTGACATGATGCGGCGAGAGTACCTGCAGATGCTGGCCACGGACGAGGAGCGCAGCTACGACAGGGACTTCATTGTGCAGTTTTTCCAGAACCCAGAGGTGCAGAAGAACCTTGGCGACTATATGGAGCGTCTCCGGAGCCGCAGCCGCAAGTGAGGCGACGAGAGGAGGTGCATCCCGCAGTTGACTTCTCAGGACCTGATTGTCAAGAGCGGAAGCTCGCATATTTAATGGCCACTCTGCCGCGTTTGTAACTCCCTTCTCTACTAATTTACTGTTCTCACCATTTCAACTTAGGTATATACTCCCTGGGTGGTGCTAATCCCTTTTTTTGTTTCCTTACTCGTTGACGACCCCGTGTTAGTAGAGCACTCTGTACACATCTATTTAACGGCTGAGCACAACTGTTAAACCGGTGTTGCAGAATTGTTCTCGCTCGTTGTTCGGGTTCATCAGCAGTTTTACATACCGACTGCTGACGGTTTTTCTTTTGTTTCACGAAAGTGGTTTGGCGCTGCTGTATTTCTTCTCTCGAGAATGGCAAGCTGAGGCGGAAGCCAACACTGCGTGCTTCGAGACCATACCCTTGGATGTGGTGAGTTTCTTTACGTAGTGCTCTGACAATGATACGCAGCCTATATGGGAGATACCGCGTCCTCTTACCGCGAGATTTTTTATCCCTGTAAGGAGTCTCGACAAGTATTCAACTTGTCGTACGGATAGGGGATCCGTTGTTTTCCATGATAGCTCTCCTCCACTCCTCGTTGAAGTTACAGCGTTCTCTCTTTAAATTGACAGTCCGTAACGCAGAACTTGGTCTACGGCGTTTGACACCATAGTGTATTTCGTTAGTGCGTTGTTCGATCATCACGTGTGTTGTTTTGCTCGCGGGCAAACCGCTTTAACTGTTCTTATCTTTCCTCCCGCATCCCCTTCTCTTTTACGGTGTTTGTCTCCCTCTCGCTCTCTCCCTCTCTCAAGGGTTGCCGAGCATTGGTTTGCATAGACTCTGCGTGCACACGCACATACCTCCCCCGCCCCTTTCCTTCTCCCCATTCGCCATGACCTCCCATCTCACGACGTCCGTCGACTTCTACCTCCTGCTCGTCCCCGTCTTCTTCGGCTTCGTCCTCGCCTTCGTCGGGGGCCTGGGCATTTATCAGTGCACCACGCTGTCTCGTGTGACCCGCACGTACCGGAAGCGCAATCGCGTGCTAGAGAGTCGCCTCAGCCACAGCCTCGCCTACGGTGGTGCGCGCGACGTCAACGCGGTGTACGACACCTTACGGGATTGGGGCTATGAGGACTTGTGCAGCGCCGCCGCGGAGATTGTGCGAGACGGCAAGGACGACCGCAAGCGTAAGGGCTTCCGTGATGTTCGCAACACTGCCAATGGTGGCAACGAGGACCGTCACGGCGGCAGCTCGCGTCGTGCGTCTCACCGTCAGCCTACGACGGAGCAGCAGCAACAGCAACAGCAGCAGCTCAATAGCGGCTCGCAGTCGCCGTCCTTCATACTGGATGAAGTGAGCATGCTGGATAGCGATGAGGAGGAGTCCAACGAATCCGAAACCTTTTTTTAATTCGGGCGATTATGCCTTACAATGTGTAGTATTTTCTTTTCTCTTTGGATTATCATGCACTTTTCTTTTCTTCTTGTAGAGCTGCATTGGTGCATAGTGAAGTGTAATTGGATCCACTCTTCTTATATATTTTTTCTCTTTGCCATATGTTCTTTACGAAATTGATGTTAAGGAGTGAATGGGACTTTGTTGTCCTACTCTTGTGTTCGCTTTTGCTACTGTTGTTGTTGTTGTTGTTGTTTTCTGTCATACGATACGCACTGCAGCTTATTATACCCCTTCAAGTTCTACAATTGTTCTGAAAGCGTGGGTTCTGATTTTAAGCGTTAAAGAAACGAGACGGTAACTATTCTCTGCTTTGTGCGGACCAAAAAGGGCAACCGGCGAATGCGATGCGAATCCCCTCCGGTTCTGTCGGACTATGTTACCACCACGACGAAAGCGTTGTATTGAACGCTCTGTGTGCTGCTCAAGTGTTACGCCCCTACGTACCGGCCGTGCCACCGCACAGCCGTTTTCTTCTCTCATAGCTCTTCATCTCTTCCCCTCCCCCCCCCCTTCTTCTTATCTTTTCCCCCTTCTTATTTGTGTTGGTACCTTCATTCGTTTACCATTGTGTATCCCACAGAGTGTGCATGGTCATCATCTCCCCGCGCTCATAGGTTTTTCTTTTGTAATATAGTCTTTTCCTGATTTGGTCTTTTTCTCCTTCAGAGCTGTCGTCTTCTTATTCCTCGGCGTTGTAGTATATATATATATTGTAGCACCGCGTCAAAGACGGCCACTGGTGTGAGTGCGGAAGTTGGGAAGGCGCCATCGCTGTCGACAGCTTTCTGCTCCTCTCTCTCTCTCTCTCAACCCATTACACATTAATCCTTCTTTGTTCGCAGGGGTGAAGCGCCGCAAAGAGAGCCGGTCCCCTCTCTCTCTTCCTTGCCGTGCAACGAAGGCGTGCGCTGTTCTCGTTCACTCCTCTAATTCGTGTTCATTTGTGGCATTTTCTCCTTCTTTTGCTTTTTCGTTGTTGTTGGTGTTCTTTTTGTTCGCCCCGGACGGAGCACACGAGCGGATCACCGTAGCTCCAAGTAGCTGTTCTCATTGCACACCAGGCGGTCGAATCCGCTCCTTTTTGTGCTGCCACTGCGCTTCCCTTTTTTCCCCCTCTCTCCTTCTTTTCGTTCTTCCTTGTGGATAGGTCTGCAAACGCCTCCTCATCGTCTTGTACGTTGGTGTTGCCCTTCGTTCCTTCGTGTTGTATGCATTGTCAGGCCGCCACGCATTCATTTCGAGACTTCTGAGGTGCTGACTTTTGTCTCTTTTTGTGCCTTCTCTTCTTCCTGTCTTCGTCGCTGCGAGACCGACGCCATCAAAAAAAAAAAAATAGCCAATTGTAACTCAGAAATCGTTTGCCTTTCTCTTTTCTTTTTTCACTTGAGCCGTTTTCGCTGCTGTTCTAACGTTTGCCGCACTCCTCTTCTTATCGAGCAGCGTCTTAAATACTACCGGCACATCGCTAGACACGTTTTCTTTTCTCTTTTTACCCCCGTTGTTTTCCTCTCTCTCTCCCTGTGCCAGCGTCTAGCAGCACAAGCGTGCATTGTTCTTTGAGCTCTCCTCCAGTTTCATTTCGATTCTCTTCGAGGTGCCGCGGTAGTTTTGTTTGTTTTGTTTTCAAGATAAGCAATCGACAATCTTACCACATTTTTTTTCCTTTTAATACGTGGTTTTACGCTTCTTCTCCTTTTGTAGGCCGTCTTCTTGATTTCTCTCCCCTTTCGTTGTTTTCTAGTTTTTGTTCCTTTTATAGATCACCACTCAGACGGCGCCGTCCACTGCGCGGGGTAGGAGCATCGTCTTCGTTATTACTCGTTCTCTCTTTCCCTCCTCCCGCAGGCGTGTAGAATAGAGTGCTCACCTCGACTTTGTATCAATTATTATTATTGGTATTTATTGACGCGGTCTATCGCATAAAAGAAACATACTATGGGCTGTGCACCCTCCGCGCAGCGTTTGGCGGGCGAGTCGGAGCGGAAGTGGAATGGCAGTGACAGGCTGCCAGCGTTGCAGAAGAAGCCGACGGTGCCGAAGATGGTCCGTGCGGATTTGGAAAAGGCACGGGAGTACAAGACGGACGGCGTTATGGCCCCCACGAAACTCCCAGCACTCGACGTCAATCTCGCCGCGAGAAAGACGCGATTCGATGTAACCTCGCCAGACTTGGACAACGCCCCTACCAAAGCCAGCGCCCAGAGCCTACCGTCCGTGGGGCCCTTTACAAACAAGATGTGGACGACGCAGGCGTCGCTCTCCACCTCCACGCAGCGGCAGTGCGGTCTGTCCGACAACGTCAGCAACCGCAGCTCGTCTCCATCCGACGACGAGTGGAACCCGCGCGAGTTCGGGCCGCTGCTGGAGAGCTTCTGCGCCGACGCGACACACCGAGGCGCAGACCCGTACGCGAGCTTTCGCACCGGGCTGGACAAAGACGAGGGCGATGGTTTTTACCTCCACTTTCTGCAGGTGAACGGTGGGGCAGCCGTCGCGGCACAGCGGGCCATCTCGGCTATGGAGCTCATCCGCCACGCCTCCTGCGACGACCCACGCACTCGTTTCTTGATGGGGGGACTGAACACCCCTGCCGGTGCCCTCGCAGACGCGTTGAGCCGCTCCCCGACCACTTCACCCGGCCTGGGAGACGAACGGCAAGCGCAGCAGCAGCGGAAGAGTTGTTACGTGGCCGCGCGGGAACTGGGCCCGGTAGACGCGGACAAATACATGGACGCCCTCTACCAGCACTCCCGAGAGCGGGAACGCACGCACTTCTTTATTGACCCCGACGGAGAAATCCGCCGGCTCTACCACACCGAAGGCTGGCACACTCTCTGCTCCACAAAGCGGCGGCAGGAGCTGCTGCACCACCGATCGAGCTCCTCCGACAGCAGCGGGCACCACAAGGGACATCGCTCGCGTACAGCCAGTGCGGACACCAGTAGCAAGAGCAGCCACAGCCCGCTTCACCCCGCCACTGCCGCCGTTGGACAGCCCGCCGCGGCTGCGGCAAATAACTTCGCCGCTGTCGGTAACTACTCTCCGTCAGAGCAGCGAGGTGGGTCAGCCTCGCAGCAGCGCAGCTCCCGCTTCAGCAATTCCGACATACTGAAGGCGATCACTGACCTGTCGTACAAGGTGGTGCCGTCACCTGGCAAAGGCAGCGACGGTGCACAGGGCTATCAGCAAGGCAAGGGCAGCCCCGAGCCCCAAAAGCCGGCCGCGGCTCCTCCGTCGGGGTCACCGAGGGGGCCCAAACGCAGAGACTCCCAACTGCGCAGAGACTCGCCGCGGCGCAAGGCGACCTCTTTGGAGATGCCTCTGACGGAGAGCACGGCCTCCATGTCGCTCGGCTCCGGACGGGCATCGACGCTGCCGGGCTCGCGTACCGGCACGGACTTTTTCAGCCAAGCCTTTGGCGGCGCCGCTGGGGATCCGACAGCGCACCTTGAGGATCCTACGTTCGCTGGAACGACGCCACCTTCGCGCGTGCTGCCGCACTTCTCGCCCATTCTCGTGCGACCAGAGGGTGACTTCCCCGGCGGGGGCTCACGACGGTGCTCCTTTAACTCGTTGAGGCGTGAGGGCGATGGCGCGGGCGGCAACTCACCGGAGATGACGTCACCGCGTCGTCGCCAGTCGTCGCGGCGAGTCAGCTTCTCTGAAGGGACGCGCTACTTCAAGAAGGATCCGTTTTATATCGCCCCTCGCACAGAGAAGGAGTCCGAGTACAGGGAATTCACACCGCCCGAGCAGCACCTGCGCACCCCGCCGGCACCGCCTCCGTTAGAAACGGTAGCGGTGGTGGCGTCAACGAGTCCGACTGCCGCGGTGGCCTCGCCGCGCCCCGACACCTCCGCCAGCTATGCGCAGCTGACGCTGTTGAAGGAAAAGATGACGCAGAGCCGTGAGCGCAACGTGGCCTCCCCTGTGTAGCGGCTGTTTGTTCTGGGAGGTGTTTTCTTATTCCTCTTGTGTGTGTGTGTGAGAGAGAGAGAGGTTCGGACGTAGCATCTTGGTTCGGGGATTTGCCGCAATTGAAGCGTATTTTGCATCCTGTTCGTTCGTTCAGTTACTCACTTTTTACCGCTGCGTGGTGACTGTTGTTTCTCTGCCTCGTTTCCTCGTTAACGATATAAGACCGGATAATATTTCCTTACATGTCCTCGATAACCAGTGAATAGCCTCGGGGAAAAGAGCTAGTTCCTCGTCAGCGTTTCTCTTGTGTGTGCTTTTTTTTTCTTTGTGAAGTCTGTATAATTCTTTGTGTGCTTTCTCTGTGTTCGTTTGGAGTAAAACGGAAAAACCGAGTACTCTCACCCCAGTCTTTAGCGGTGACACAAAACCTGTGCTGTATAGTTTAAGCGGACGGCTGACCGGCGACCGGCTTATCATCTACGTGCACCTTGCCACCACGATATCGTTTGCATTACGGAAGGTAACGCTCCTCTTCACTTTGACCTTCTTTTTTTTTTACTAACAACGCTCCATCGTTTCTTTTTTTTTTCTTCTCTCTCTCTTCCGCAAGGGAAACGCTACGCTGCACAGCACGCGCCTTTTTTGATTGCCTTTTTTTTTCTAATTCGTCGGAAGCTGTTGAGTTCTTGGATGGAACGTCTGCCAAGGTACGTGCCGATTGAGTTGAAAGCTTCGGGTATTCCGCTGCTGCGTTTGTGTTTGTTTGTTCTTTTTTCTTCTTCTGGATCGCAGCGCATGTTGACTCTGGCAGTGAAACATTTGTTGTTGTTTGTGATGGAAATTCATTCACTGTCCCCTCGCCGTTCCATCACGAAAGGGTCACTCTTGACGCAGCACGGACTCTCTCTCTCTCTCGCCTCCTGTACTTTTCTTTTTCATGTTATCAAAAATGTAATATTGTCTTCTCATTCCTGTTTTCCTTTACAACGTGCGACGTAATGCGTTTTATTTTGTTGTGGTGGTGGAAGTTGGATGTTGGAAGTTGGATGGCCGCTTGGGGCTGGGGTGTACTTTTTTTTTATTTTCTAGAGTTTTCCTTCTTCGCTGCACATTGGTGGCTCGGAACTCTCTTTCATTTTTCGGTTATTATGTCCTTTGTCCCTTTTGTTGTTGTTCTTGTTGTCTATTCCTCTCTTCACGTCAGATCGTGGACAACGACACTGAACCGGCGCGTTGCCGGCTTATACGAACGCCGCACATGAAAATGCCGATTTGTAGTAAAAAACAAAAAACACTCCGCTGACGTTGAGTGGAAATTTTATTTACTTTCTGTTCTCGTTATTGTTGTTTTCGATCTTCTTTTCTTCGCCTTTACCGATGCACGAGCCCGCTGCAGATAATTGATTCTCGCGACCTCGCATTTCCTCGGTGCTTTTGAATTTAACCTTTATTTAGTTATTTTTTTTTTCTGAAACCGCGCGGGACGATTGCAGTGTAAATAACATCTGATGTTGATGTTTTTTGGCCGCCGGTTTCCTCCTGGCAGTGACAGCACTTATATATGTATAGGTGTGTATGGCATGTGCATGTGCCATCGTCCCGTAGCCGGAAGTGCGCCGTCTTCACCCGCTTGCATCACGTAAGACACCTATCACAGAAGGAAGGGAGAGAAGCGTTAGCTGTGATAAAGAGAGAGTAGCCCAAATAATAATGAAGAACATAACTCCTGTTTTCTTTCATCAACATAATCGTTTCACGAACTATTTTCTTTTTCCGCGTTTATTCCACTGTGTCTTTTGTCCTTCGGTTATTTCCGCACGTGCCCGCGCTACGCTACTTTCTTCGGATTCAAAACGCTATTTGTTTTTCGCTGTTATAGTATTGGTTTTTTTTTTCTCGTGTACTCCTATGTGCGACTCGTCGCTTTGGCAACCACTGTATATGCCACCTAGTTTTAGATGTCGGAGTGCCGTTGGTCTCTCCTGTGCGCTTGTGTGGTCTCTCGTCGTGGTGTCGTTGTGGCGTTCGTTTGTACAGGACGTCTTCGTTGCTGTCGTGTTCTCGTTTTCTTCTTGGGTGGTTCTCTGACTACCAATGCTCTGCGTGTGTTGCCTTGCAGACATTGGACTTGGGGTTTTTTTTTTATCAGTTTCTTATTTACTTCAGTGTTTTGCACGTTTCCTTCTGTTTTTCAGCACTATCTTGTATACATATATGTATATGGTTGTCCTTTCGGTATAAGTATACGTGTGTTGTTGCCTCTCTCAGTTTCTCACTTTCTCCTTGTAACTCGACGAGGGAAACCTCGGTGGATCGCATTCCAAAACCATGTGTCGCCACACGTAACGATACACTCTTTCTTTTGGTTCATATGCACTGCATGGGGTGTAATCTCTTTCGGTGGATTTACTCCTCTGGTTTTATTTATTTATTGTTTGTTTGTTTATTTCTTGGTTACCGACGCCGTGTGACATACGACGATGTATCTCGTCATTTTTAATGCTCCGTTGTGTGATGTTTTTATCTGTTATAATATCCATGAGAGACGCTTTGAATTAATTCTATATAAATACGGAAGCACACGGAGCAGCACGAGACGCTTTTAAAAAAGGCGCGTTTCGAATGAACGCATCATTCACTCTTCCCGCTTTAAATGTGTCACTGGAACGGCGGCATAAAGGGGGAGGTTTGTGATCCTCTTCGCCGGGGCCTGTGATTGCCGTCATAGCCCATGTGTGCTCCTTGGTAGCACTGGCTGGTTCACCTCCCCCCCCCCTCATTTATTGAAGGCACGGCAACTGATTTGATGCGCTCTCCCCTTTCATCATTCTTCCCCTATTCCACATATTTCTCACGCGTACTCCATTTCTGTCTCCTTCTTCTCTCTTCTCTTTCTCATGGCGGCAGCGTGCTCTCCTGCCAATCAGTTTTCGATGAATGCTAAATCAAGCTCGTCTTCCGTTATAGCACTTTCCTACTGCGGAGGCCGAGACAGTTGCGTTCTATCAGCTTCGACCGGCTCGCGTTCGGTTTTTTCTCTTCACCTCTCAACAGCCGTAAATCGCTTCATACGTCATTCACCCCGTTGTTTACTTTCTTTCTAGATCTTCCTGCCTTTTCTCCTCCCTTCTAACTTCTTCTCATTGCAACCTCTCTCGTGTCTTTTAGAATAATTCTTTGTAGAAGCGGCTTAACAGTGAGTCATTTCTCCTTTGTTGTTGCTGTTGTATGTTGGGGGAGGTGTTGGTGGATCGAAGCCTTCGTCTTGGGCGGTGTTCGTGCTTTTTTTCGTTTGACGTGGCGTTCAATTCAATGCAACGCAGACACGAAGCGAACGACTCCGAGGCCGGTCCGTCAGCGCCGTCCGAGTCTACGCAGTGCCGCGATGCCTCCACCGCCAGCCAGGGCCACCGCAGCGCTCCCTTCCGCCTGCAAGGAACGCTGCCTCGCCGAGTGGCACCGGTGGGGGAGCTGCTCGTCATGGACACCCCACCCTCCTACAGGGCCAACCCTAGCCTGCAGACCGCGTCCCCTCCGCTGCTGGGGAAAGGGAAAGTCTCCGCGCTGTCAAGCCCCACGGCACGCCTGCCTGTCTCCCAGACCTCCAGCACGGCTTCATGCTACGCCCTACCCCAGCCGCTGGCGCTCCGTGATTTCCGAGAGAGCTGCGGTGACAGCACCCACTATACCGGAGTGGCGAACAACGCGTACACCCCCCTCACCAACGCCTCCGCGCCGTCGCTGCCCTACACGTGGACCGACAGCTACCTCGAGGAGTCGCCAGAGACGATGCGGGCGCGCTGGATAGACCAGCAGACCTTCGGGCCCGTCCTGCAGTCCGAAGGCGGGGGTGACAGCACGATTGCGTCCACGTGTCACACGCCGAAGCATAACGCGGAGGCCGTCTGGGGCCGTGTGCAGGCGCGAAATGCGCTGGAGCGTGATGGGAAAGACGAGGAATGGACCGCAGCGAAGGCGGAGGGGCAGCAGCAGGTCCGACACGGCGCGGACGGTGGTGGGCGTCGTATACGTCGCGTTAACATTGAAGCCGCCGAGCGTGGCGGGGAGGGCCTGGGCGGTGCTACGCTGCAACGACAGCCGCACTGCCATGCGGAGGAGACGAAGACCGACGCGTCTCACGACACTCCTCGAGTAATTCCAGGTGCGCCGCCAGCTTCCAAAACTCGTTTCCCAGCTTCTACAAACTCAAAGCCGGGGGATGGAGGCGAGGGACGCACCAGCACACCGAAGCACCTGCTGAGTGACGTGTCTACTGTCATCGCCACCGTGCAGCAGTCGCGCCACGTTGTACCGACTACATCCATCGAAAAGAAAACGCAGCGCAGCGTGGATCCCTTTTCTGCCTCTCTTGCGCAGGGTGGTTCCACGTACTCCCACGGAAACAACGTGTACATGTCCACTTCGTCGATGATGCTAACGCCATCGCTGCCGCCAAACGCGCCGGAGCTGCGTGCGTCTCGCGAGGTTGTGCGAACGCCGTCACCTGCTGGCGCTGTGCGGGACACCACCGCCACTCGTCGGAGGAGTAGCACCGGGCCCAGTCCCTCTTTCTCTATCAGCGACTATTCACTGAGCGGCGCGGGCGATCGCGTCAAGACGGGCGGTGGGAGAGCATCACGGAATGGTCCGATGCGACTCCGGGTGTTGAAACCCATTTATGATGACTGAGAACGGGCAGGTGCGTTCACTATTACGGTGCGGATTTTGTCAAGCGACTCTCATGTTTGCTTTTGTTTCTCCAAGCGAATTAGCACTGGATAGGGTTTTGTTTTACCGCCACCTGCCCGCACATACACACACATACGCACACCCAACTCAGCTAATCCATGGAGGGGCTGACCACCAAGTGGGGTCACCTTTTTTTCTCTTCTTCTGAGTTTGGTAGTTCCTCTTCCTTTCTCTGAGGTGTTCCGTCACATTGTGTGTGTTTTTTTTCTTCGATTTCCGGGCAGCCTTCATCCTTTCCTTCTCTATTGAAGTTCCTGCGGTCGTGACGGAACGACTGCAGGCCAACTGATATGCGCCTGCGGCACTCTCATTCATTCATTTATCCTTTACTCCTATGTTGTTGTTTTTTTGTTGTTTGGAGGGTCTCCTCTTTCTTATTGCTGTGTGAAAGAGGCTGCGTATGGGCAGGTGTGAGGTGGCTTTGTTTCGCTACAAACATGTCATGCCTCGGGAGAGCGGAGGGGGGGGGGGAGGAGCATGGCACTGCTGCTTTCTAGACACTTTTCACAGCACCAACACCTCTAATGGACTACGACGTCTCTCTCCTTCTTCTGCGGTGTCTGTGGGGGACTTCATGGGATACGTACAGTACCTGCCGTCGTTTTGGGATAGTATGAAAAGGGTGCCATTGGCTACCTCTGTTGCAACAGTCCCTGGATGTGTTTTCCCGCTGCTCGCGCCGTCAACTCCTCTTCACGTACTGGCGTCTCCCGCACTCACCTTCTTCTTTCTCCTTTGCGTGCGGTAACGAAGCCGTCGTTGGCCTCAGGTTGAGTATCAGGAATAGATACGCTGATTCCTTCATTGGGAAGACATAGAGCACCTTTAGATATCTTTTATTACTATTACTTCATCGTTTACATTCACACGTATTATTCTACTATCACTTTTCGTGTAGTTTCCGCAATAAACATTACGTTAGCCCACGCTTGACCTACGCAGTCCTATCCCTCTCTCTCTCATTTGCTGTTGCTTTCATTCAGCGGCGCTCACGCTCAGCCGAGAACGTCCGGAGGTGAAAGGTGCTTCTCGTGGCACCCCAAAAATGCGAGTCGCCGCCACCGCAGCTGGTGCTGCTGCCGTTGGAAATGGAACTGCTCCAGGTGCCACGCCGTCTCCTCATCACAAAAACCTTCCCGAGGCGATTTCGCTCACCAACACGCCCGGCTACATCCTCAGCAGCGACGCCAGCGCCACGGAGGACATTGGCGTTGTCTGGGATGCCTCTCCCTTCTCCTCTATCAGCCCCTCTCAGGTGTCCGCCGAGGGCTACGGTGCGAGTCACGAGGTCCGCCATGAACGCCAACAAGGCAAACCACACGAGGAGGAGAGAAAGCCCGAGACATCGAAAGTAGGAATGCGGACACACACGGGCGACGATTCTGTGAGCACCACCACAGGCCTTCCCTCTCCCCACACGCGGACCGCAAAGCGAGAGAAGGAACAGAAGCGAGCGCCACCCACTGCACCTGAGGGTGTGTCGCCGTCGGCAACGTCGAGCATTGCCCGATCGCTCTCCGCGCCGATCCCACGCCCAGCTACAACACCCAGTGTCCCACTCACTGTGGCGACGGGTAGCAGCGACAAGGACGCAGCGTCCACTATGTCTCCGTTTAAGCCGCTACACAACGATTTCGCGCGTCCGCCATCGGATCTTTTATCGCTGCGCACCTCAAATGCAGCCACTACGCAGCCTTCCTCAACCAGTCCCACGCAGCTGTCTCCCGCGAAAAAAGGAAGAGAAGCGAAGAAGGACTCTCCTGAGCACAATCACAGTGACGTGAGCTCTCTGGCGCGGTCCAACCCCCACCTCACCGTGCTGGCGGACCTCCTGAACCACAAGGTGTTCACGGAGGAGGACGTACTGCTGGAGCTGGAGGCCATCCGCAAACGTGCCCTCCTCACCACCGCCCCTTTCAACAGGCACCTTCTTCCCATCCTGGCGTGGTACCTCCTGCGCGACAAGTTCGGCGAGGCCGCCGCCACCCGCTACGTCGCCTTCCTGACGTGTCCGCCCGGTACACCACGACCGGACGGTGCGGTGAACACGACGAACCACATCGCGTCCTTCTTGCCTCGTGTGAATGACGTGCGACGGGAGCGGAGGGCGACGAAGGAGCAGCTGCGGAAGAGCCCCACGCATCACTACACTATTACCCCGCCACGCTCGCCGACGGAGGCGGGCAGCCTGTCGAAGCGGGGGCGGCGCTGCACGCCCGTCTACGACGTACTGGCAGACGCCTCAGATATTCCGTCCGCCTGGGTGGCGAGTCCACGCACACCTACCTCCCCGCCGTTGTCTCCACGGGATCGCCTGCGCCTCTACACGCGCGAGCAAGCAGTTATGGACCGTCAGCAGGCGAAAGCGGAGGATCGCACCGTTGTGGACGTCGTGCTGGACGCGGCTGAGACAAACACGCAGGCGAAGAATGTGTACACGGTGGTGGCCGCTTCGGTGAGCTACAACGTGCTGCAGGAGCCCTCTGTCTTCCAGCCACCACAGCCACCACCACCAGTTCCTCCAACAGCGGCGGGCGCGAGAGGCGCGGCAGCAAACACAACGGACGAAGAGACGGCAGCGGGTCCGCAGCGCGGGGTACATGCCAATTCCACCCCGACACCCGACCGCCACCACGATGACGGAGATGGACTGCTGCACGGACTGCCGAGCACCCCTGCTGTCAGCGCTGTCGGCATGATCGCAGAAGAAGGCCTCAGCACCTTTTACCACGACGGTCCTGCCGAGTCGCCCGGGACGGCGCCTGCGTGTGTGCGCACGGGGAAGGCACCACAAAAACAGCACAACAAGGGCAAGGTGCCGCGCGGACCGCAGCTTCAGAAGAGCGGGACGGTGGTGGGCGGCACTCCAGACCTGTCCGACATCCCCTGCGTGCTGGACCACGGAATGAGCGCGCAGACGGACTCCCATCCAGACAGCAGCAGCACTGCATCGGCGGAGGGTCCCTCCTCGCGTCCCGAAGCCCCCGCCACCGACACTCAGAGCGGCAGGCGTGCACACGCTGACAACGTAAAGCAGCGCCTACCGGCCGGAGTGAACGCCGCCAAGGCTCGCGAGGCAGGCCTTCTGGTGTTTTCCGCTGCGGAAGGTTCTGTTACGGCTGTGTCTTCCCGGCATGCCAGCGACACACAGAACAGCTCCGCAAACCCGTACTACGAGAACTCGGACTTCTGTCTTCTTCGGCCAACATCCCGACAACAGACGCATGACCAGAAGGCGGGCAGCGACGCCGGGTTTGTGAAGGAGCCAAAGCAGTACTCGGTGCTGGACTCATCCGCCAGCCGCACGGCCACCACCGATGCCTACTACTCCATGCTCCCGGATACTTCCGTGGCGACCCAGAAGCCCATTTCCTCCCCTACCACGCCCTCGGGGGACAAGAAGGCATTCGACCGAGAGCGCAGCAAAGAGCTGCTGAGCTCCACAAAGACTTTTGGTGCTGCAACGGAGGAAGCTACACAGATGAACTCAAGCTACGGTAGTCTCCTTCCAGGTGGCAGCACGCTGATGAAGACAGGAACAGCCGAAGAGGCGGAGGCGAGGATGACAACCATGAACGCAGAGACAAGCATCAGTGCTTGTGACTCCACGGCAGCCTCGCAGCTCCGCCCACCTTCCCTCGTTGCGAGTCGAAACATCAGCTCTGAACAGAGGAAGAGCGGTGAGATGTCCACAGCACTCTTCAGCATGTTCGAGCAGGACGACAACAACAGCAACGTCGGAAGCATCGAGACACGTGCCGTTGCAACGCAGAACAGTGTGCCCTACAGCGCCTTTCTCAGGGAGTCGCAAAGCGGTGCGAGTACCACGCGGCGCAGTCCTTCACCTGCCTACAGTCAGTTTGCAAGCGAACCAAGCAGGAGTGCCTTGACAAACGACACCACAGCCACTTCGCAGAGCAACGTGGAGTCGGGTATTCGAAGTGGTATCGCGTTTGGTAGCCTAGTGGAACGAAGTGAGCTGCCGATGACAAAACGGGCCTCTTCTGCTCGTCCTTGCCCACCAGGCCGCCCAACAACAGCAAACGAACCCTCTGCTATTGCCTTCAGCGGAATGACGTCGGCAAGTGAGAGCGCGCACAGACGAAGCCGTCTTTCTCGGGCATCCGCGCCGTCCATCATGGGGAACCTCTCAGAGACCCACAGTCGCGGTGGAAGCAACTACGGCAGCTTGATGGACACCTCTCACACCCCTCTGTCATCGCCGCGCTGCCATTCCCGCCATCCGTCGCATTCCTCGCGCAAACCTTCCTCGACAGGGGCCTCCGTCAGCCGAAGCCTTTTGGGCCACTTCCGCGACAGCTTGCACCGCAACACCCCTTCTTCTCTGGAGGACGAAATATCGGAGAATTACGGCAGCATGATGGGGGCCAGCGCGCAGAACAGCGTCGCGGCGGACCGGTCGAGCGCGGGTGCTGCCTCGCACGGCGGCTACAGCGCGCTCGACGCCAGCGCAGGCGCGCAGCAGTCCTCCGTCGGCGGTCGCACCGGCGGCTACGGCAGCATGATGGGGGCCAGCGCGCAGAACAGCGTCGCGGCGGACCGGTCGAGCGCGGGTGCTGCCTCGCACGGCGGCTACAGCGTCCTGGAGCCTCAAAGCACGGAGATGAGGACCACCACGCAACGTAACGCCACCGCTTATCCGAGTGTTCGCTCCAGTGTTGCACCGCCTGAGGAAATGGCCGTCTCTGCCAACCCAAGAGACTACTCTCTTCACTACTCGACGTCGGAGAGTGGGGTGGACAGTTCAGTGGTGGACCCCGTGGCCTTGCAAGCGATGTTAAAGCGGCTGGAGCGGCCGGTTTCTGGATTGCGAGAGAACACCGCCTGCACCTTTGGGGAGGAGGGCTGCCGCTGCGCGTTGGGAGGTCGTCCCGTTCACACTGTGCTGTGCGTGCCGTCACCGAAGAAAATGATGGGCACCGACTCCTCCTCTGTAGAGAGTATCACTGACGCTGCCAATTCTGCCGCGGCTGCAAAGCCTGATGGGCCAACCCCGGCAGTGAAGGCGCCGCGTTCTCCCGTCCCTGTCGCTCCTTTGCGGCAGCGCGACATCAACGCGCTGTCACTCTCGCGCGACGCGGCAGAAAAGAAGCGGCATGCTCTACCGCTGTGCGGCGGTGCTCGTGTGGACAGCACACCGCTTCGCAAAGGCATCGGGTTTCAGAGGCACGGCTCACCGCGGCAGTCGGGCAGCAATCCGTCGCCCACCGGCAGCGGTAGGCCGTCCGACCCCGGTGACTCTTCGAAACTGCACAGTGCGGGGGGTACGCCACTCCCGAATCGCCGCTCGAACGCTAGTCCCAATGGAAACGCCTCTCTTCTCGACGCAGGCGGGCAGGCCGGCCACGTCACCATCCTCAGCGACCCACGCAGCAGCAGCAGCGTATCGATGCACAACGTGCCGGATCTTTCTGCGCAGCTGGAGAAGGAGGAACACAACGGCATGCGTCAACTACACACGCGGCAACAGCCACAGCCCAATCAGAGGCTACACCCAAGCACTTCGGGAGAGGTGGACTATCCTCGTGACTTCCCTTTCATGGCGCCGGTGTCCATCCTCAATACCTCCGCGGCCGCGGCCAGCCGGCTGTGCGACGCCCGTTTGTCACTCGCTGCTGCCGACGAGCCATCCACAACGGGGAAGAAGAAAGCGACGGGCGCGGCCGATGGGGTAAGTGTGGTGGGCGGTCTCAGTGTTTTTGTCGAGGCAGGTGTGCTTGAAACACAGGAGGTGTACGATCAAGCGGATGCCAGTGGAGACAAGGAAAAGAATGGGCCGCTGCGGGTGCCGGATGAGACGAAAAGTCCGTCGCTTCACGGACGTGCTCGTGGCGGAGGAGGAGTGACAAATGACTTCACAGTCGTGGCGCCCACGAGCCGTGTCATGACGCCCGTTGCTCAGCAGGTCGACAGCCGTGCGGAGAGGCTGCTGAGCCCCGAGGTGCACGCGAAGCACGCCAACTTGGCGACGATACTCGCCAGTTCGAGATTGGAGGGGAGTAACATCATCGACGGGCACACGACTAGTGAGGAGCGCCCATCGCATGTGGCGGGTGCCGCGACAGTGAAGCGCACGTCGGGTAGCGCCACCCTGCAGCAGCATCCCGCGTCTCACGGTCGTGGTAACGCACTGAATGCAAGCGCGTCTTCTGCGTTGTCGTCTTCTTCCTCTTCATCTTCATATAACTCATCTGCAGACGACACCACAGTGTCCACGGACTCATCATCCGTAGAAGACACACACCCAGAGCAGTCCACCAACCCGGCGACTTCGCAGGAGGTGAGCAGCGTCATGGCAGTGACGGCCCCGCGCCGACGGGTGTTGATGCAGCCGCAGCCAACCGCGCCGGAGCTGCCCCAACAGCGGGAACTGCGCCAGCGTCACCGCACCATTCTGGACGTCCCGGGCGTGCCGTACGTGGAGTCGCCGGACATCTCCACCCACATCGATAAAGCAGAAGCGCACAGGAAGGAGAAGAAGCATGAAGCGTTTGTTGTCGCCTGGGCGCGGCGGGGGTTGATGTGGCAGCGGCAGGAGAAGGCGGCACAGCTGCGCGCGGAGTCCCTGGCGATGGCGAAGGAGATGCCGGATGGGTCGATGCCTCAGCAGCCGCCCAATCGGAGAGCAGCGGGACACACCTCGCCGAATAGAGGAGCTTCGCCCTATCGGCAGCAGCAACAGCCACGGAACGGGCAGAGGTATAACAGACCTGGTCCGGCACCGATGCCCGGTCGTCCGCCCATGCACCCCCCGCGCCGCGGTTCGTAAGTCGTTTTGTTTCTCTTTGTGTGGTTCGTTTTAGATTTTGGCTGTGGCACGCATGATAGAATCTTGCTTTTCTAGTTTGTTGCTCCGCCCTCCTATTGTGAAGTCTTACTAGAGCAACTGCGCCAGCTGCAGGTGTTGAGTAGGACTTCGCAGAATGTAAGAGCTGAGGGCATTCGTCTCGCGACCCATCCTTTCCCTTTGTTTGTGTCGGCTTCGGTTCATCGACTTGATAGAGGATTAGATGATGCTGCTCACACCACCTTCATACAGGCGTAGAGAGAAAAACACGTTGCTGATTTTTTCTTTTTGATAGTTTGTAGATTTATCCTATTTCTTCTTTCCTCTTCGTCATTCACTCAAATGTGAAGATTCTGTTTTCTCCTCATTCAGTTCCAACGGTGCCCAAACCGTTAGATGGGTATCCTCGTTCTTTCCAGTGTGTTTTCTACCTTTATACGGAAACCAAGGCAACGTTTGAAAGAACGCTGATGGCGGCTTATTTCTCTGTTTTTCCCCATCCTCTCCACCACGCAAACGACCCTTGGAGGTCAGCGTAGGAGCCCTTTTTTTTTATGTTTCCTTATTCCGCCCATAGCACCTTCAGGTTAGACCAACGGAAAACCAATTTGCCACATCTGGTAGCAGCGCTTTTTTCTTCCCCCTCCCCCTCCCCCCTCCAACGCCGTCCGCCTTAACGGAAGAGGGGGGTGTGCCCGCCAGTGCGCTCACGATAACCTCCTTCATCACTCGCAAGTTACGTGACGACGTCTTGATTGTGTTGCGAGTATCACCGCAGAAACGTTTATGTAGCGCCGTTAATGCAGCGGAACACATTGTAATGCGCAATCGGCTTTCCTCCCTTTTCCGCCCTCCCTTTCTTCCTCAATGCCCCTCTCTTTTGTTTCTCCTCCTCATCTCTTTCCGCAGCCATCATGCTGAGAAAACTTCATGGTTTCTTCAAGAAGGCGGACGGCAACAGCAGCGCCGCGGATCGGTCAAGCAATGACCACAACCGCAGCAGCAGTCGTAGCACATCATTGCTGCTCCCTTCTCCAAAGAAGAAATCGCAGTCTTCGCTACACAAGACGCCGGTGGTCACCGATGCACGTCCAAATCCCCTGGCGTACAACCCGCCAGGGCAAGGCGCGCAGCGCACCTCCACCGGCGGCGCGATAAACCGTTCAGCGAACGCGTCGAAATCGGGCGCCTCTCCACAAGAGCAGAAGCAGCAGCAGCAACAGCAGACACAGCCGCAGCAGAAGAACAACACGACAGAGGAAATGAAACCGCTGCCGCGTCCCGCCGCACCCCGGCCACTGTTGGATGGCCAAAAGGAGAAGGAAATGCGCAAGACGGGACGGCAGCCGACAGCCTCTCTGACGTTGTGCCTCACCGCCCACGCGAGCGCCAATGCCACAGTTCAAGACGACAAATCTGCGAGCAACGCCCTCCCCTACAGTGCGCTGAAACGAATGGGCCACGAGTACGGGTTGGCGGTCGACGAAAGCAGCGGTGCCTATGACTGGCACGAGGGGGAAAGGATGAATTCTACCGCCGCAGTGCCACAACTGCCGGATTTTTCATCGCCGAGCTACCTACCGGTGCTCTCACACGCGAAGCGCGTCATCCCCGCACCACCTCGCGATTCTCACAGTCAGGTCGAACGCAAGAACTCGAAAGACGACACGGGTGCCTACGATTTCGGCGGACTGGTAAGCGGCGAGTACGATCTGATGGGATGCGAGTCACACGTTGGCAAGAATCGAGTCGCAGACAACCACGACAGTGTACCGGCCCGGCAGACGAGCCGCCCTGACCCGTGCGGCACAAAGCTAGCGGCGCACACGCACGACACGGCAAAGAAACGAAACGAATGCAGCCAAGAGGAGGAGTTGATGCCCTCCGTGATCAACAAGAGGCGCCAGCAGGAGAGTGGGCTGTACAGCATGTTCAAGACAAGAACCCACCCCAACAGAAACAGCAGTAGCGCCAACAAGGGTCCTTCAGCAACGGCAAACGACACGCATCATAACTTCTCGAGCGCCAACTACGACATGAGCTACTCCTACGTGAACCGACTCAGCAACTCGGTCTCGGAAAGAAATGCAGGTGAGGCGCACAGTCTCGTCGAGGACGGATCGAAGCCCTTCCAGTCGCGTGTAACGCACCACCCGGCGGCCGACACGTCCGCCGAGTACTTCGACATCGGTGAGGCGGTTGACGTGCGGCCCCAGCGGACCAATCCGTTGCCGCACACGGACAGTGCTGCCAGCCCGTTGGCATCTTCGACGCTGCGCCGCGCGTACGAGTTGCCCCTGTCGCAGTGGAAGTACGTCGCGCTGGTGTCGCAGAAGGTCGCGGAGAAGAAGACGCAGGTGCGGCTCTCACGCGTAAAGCCCGAGCGTCGGCCCAGTCTCCTGGCGCCACAGGACCACAGCACCGTGGCGGCGGCTCGGACAAACTCGGCGAACTCCGATGAGAGTGACGTCTACGCGCCGGAGGAAGAGGGAGAGGAGGAAGAGGAGAAATCGCACGGTGGCAGCACAGACGTCTCCGTCTACGACGACTGCGGTGTCCCGCTGCTCATTCCCAATCTAAGCGACCTCTACAACGACGCCCGGAGCAGCGCCAGCAGCGGCACGGACATCATCGTGGACGCGTCTGAGAACTCAGACGATGACGGAAAGGAAGAGGAAGTGCTGCATCCGCCCCCCAGCAGCCACTCCGCAGACATGGGCGATCGGCCTACGCCAGACTCGCCTCCCCCCACAACTACAACGGAGCCGGTCAGCCCACACGCACCGAACACCAACGACGACGTCAACCATGGAGGCGTGCCAGCTGACCTGTTCCATCGCAGCCAACAAAGCTACGTCCCTTCACCACCATCTGCCGGCGCAGCCGGGCTACGGCAGCGTTTTGCGTCCCAGCAAGACCACCAAACCCGACAGAAGATCATGAAGTACCAACGCGAGCAGCTTCTCCTACAGCAGCAACGACGGCAGCAGCAACAGGCATTCCAGCCTCGTCCTCAGCCTCACCCCTCACCGCCCCCACCGTCGAAGCGTGCCTTCGCGCCGGGCGAGATGGCTCCTCAAAGTGGTCCGCCAAACGTGAACAAGAGCAACAGCAAGAATAGCGACTCTCGTGCGAACAGCGTCGGCGTCGTCTTGCCGAAGGTGTCGGTGGGTACGACGGGCAGGCCTTGGCCGCAGCCGGACATCCGTTTTGGTCCTCGCTTGAAAGGCGGACGGTCCCCATCTACGAATTTCGCTGCTCTCACTGACTGCCGATTGGAAAACGCACCAGTGATTGACTTGCCGGTGTGGGCAGCACTGGCACCACCGACTCGCTGAGGTGCTCTCTGTTGTTTGTTCGTGTGTGGTTTATTGCCGGCAACGGGCGTCGAGGCAGATTTCTTTTCGGGTTTTCAACACGCAACGAGAAAGTATTTGCGGTGGGAAACACGTTGGCTCGACACAAGGCTTTTTTCTAAAGTTTATCTTTGTCATCACTACGTGTTTTTTTTCTTTTTAGCAAATAAACGCTCAAACGAGTCTCTTTTTTCATCTGTTCTCTTTCTATGTCTATGTGCATTCAGTCTAACTATTATTATTTATTACCGAGCATGCTCTGTGTACAGCAGACGATGGACAGCAAGCGCTGCCCACAAACTACGGCTCCGCCTGGCTGTCGTCGTCTTATTCTTCTGGCTGTTGTGGAGAGTAGCGAGTAATTTTCTTTCCTTGCGCAATGCTCCAAAATTCTCATTTGTGTTGCTTTACTGTTTCTTCTTAAGCTCGTCTTGTCGTGTGGTAGCGTGAGAGGGATTGCGAATGCATTTGTTTCCCTTTTAATATATATGTGATCAAACTCTCAAAGCACTTTTTACGTGTCAATGAGGCGTTTTCCGTGCGTCTAATTATTATTATTTGTTCTACAATCCGTACCGAAGTGCGTTTTCACTGCTTTAGCTTTCTCTTAAGGAGGCTCGTATTGGTGTTGCCAGCCCTGACCCACTTCGGCATATTCTCTTCTCTTGCTCTTGTTTGTGCGAACGCGTAGGAAATCCTCTAATCTTTGTCCAACCTGCTTTCTCCTTCACCTCGTGCGAGGGATACTAACGTTCTTTGTGTTCTCTTTTGTAACTGTCGTTGAATAAGATATTCCTATACGGCCCCTTTCACTCTCTTCCGCGCTGGTGAAGCAGCGCACTTACTTTCCACTATGTCAGCGAGAAAGCTGTTTATCACCTGTAGATACCGACGCTTCGTTGTGCTCACACTGTCGCAATGGACAGTCCTCAACATCCCTTTTTACGAGGCAGGACCACTTTTTCCTCTCCCTCTGGACCGCCTCTCTTTGGACTGGCTCTTTTGGTGTGTGTAGTTGGATGTGGTGAATAACTTTCCATTTCTTTTCTTGTCGCTCATATTGTTGTCCTTACGATGGCTTTTGAAATCCTCTTTTCTCTTTTTCTTTTTTTCGGAGCTTTGGGGTTGTGAAACCGATGATGGAGCACACTCATGACGCGCTTTACCCCGCGCAATCGTCGGTTGCAGGAAAAGTCGATACTGTTTTGTATATATATCTGTGTGTGTGTGTGTGTGTCCACTACCTCTAGTCGTACATCGTTACTTTAGAAATCTGTCTTTTATGCATCTATCTATCTATCTATATATATATATATATATATATATATATATTTTCAGCGATTGTTGAAAGAACAAAAGTTCAGCACTCGAAGGGGCAATGCTATTCACCTCAAGAAATGCGCTCTCGGTCCCCTGCACATTGCCACAGGCGGCAGTTTACGCACTTCCACTGCACCGCCGTTGTCTCGCCGTTTGAACACTCTCAGATACTTATTATTATTATTAGTATTGCTATTTGATTATTTCTTTCTGCTCTACCGTTACAACTCTCTCTCTCTCTCCTCACGCTTCTGTCTTTCTCTCCTTCACGCTGTACACACGAAGCGCATAATAGTTGTGTTCCCTTATCTTTCTTTTGTCTCTTCCCTCTCTGGTCACTTCAGCTGTATCGAAAAATCGTAAGTCATTTGGAAGGGATACGCAACCGTAAACATAAACTCACACATCAAGCTGTCCTTTCTTTGGTTGCTGCGGCATTCGTCTACTTTTCCTTCTTCTCTCTTTTTCATTGGTGTTGTGTGTATGTGTGACACACTATCTTTTCTCCCTTTACCGCAGAGGATATCATCGCTTGTACCTTACTATGTGTTATTACTGATACTATCTTGTTCTTTGTGCGGGCTTTTTCCTTTGGAAAGATAAGAGTAGTGTTACATCGTCACAATGGGTGCTACAGGCTCTGCCGCGAGAACGCAAAGGCCATCGCTAAACGCCGCATCACCGAAGGACGAAGCGGCGCGAACCGTCTTGGAAGTGCGCAAGCCGCAGCTCACCTCTCTCAACAAGAAAGCGAACAACAATAAACGCCAGCCAAACGCAATAATTTATGAGGCAGACAGCGAGCGATGCAAGAATTCTCATGTGCTGAACGCCCCTGCGCCGATTCTCTCGCTGCCGCAGGAGAGAAAGGCCTCTGCCTCAACAAACGGCTCCTCGCGTCGAATGAAAACATCGCTGCTGCCTAACGAGCGACGGCAGACCAGTGCCCCACTCCCGCCGGAGCCGCCGGCCACCACTGCCGCTGCTGCGGAGACTTACCTCATCCGCTACGACAATGCGTTCTGGGACTCTCTCTGCCCCAAGTCCCCGTGCGATCTCCAACGCGTGCCGGAGTTGGAGTCACGCAACTTCCGGCGAGTTGTCACAAAAGTTAATTTGAGGGCCGACGCGGACGTGAAACGGAAGCTGTCGAGGCGGAGAGCCAGCTCGAAGAGACGCCCATCGGACAGGCCGGCCGCGGCAGTCGATGGGCGGTGGTGGGAGGGCAGCATCCCGTACGTCCGGGGAGAGGAGAACCCCCGTACCAGAAGTAGCAGCGAAGGCGCCTTGCGCACTGGGTACTCCTACGTGGATCTGATGCAGCCCAACCGTTCTTCCGGCTCCGTCCGTGCTGCAGACGACAACGGCAACGACCGAGTTGACAGGGTTAACGGCACGGACTCGTCTTCTCCTGCGGAGTGGGCCCTCTTCGATGACGATTCCACCACGGAGACACTAGTGGCGCCACAGCGAGCCCCAGAAACAGATGAAGAAGAGCACCGTCAGCTCGTGCCCAAGTCACCGAACTGGATCCCGCCGAGCGATGATTGGAATGCTTCGCACGCGCCAAACACTGTTACGCGAAAGGGCACTTTCGGAGTGCTGATGCCGATAGGCAAAAGTGTGGTGATTAGCAAGGGCGGCTTGGCCAGCTTCCGCAACACTGGAAACGATGCAGCGTCGAACAATTCCATAGCAGGAGAAGAGCGCGCAGAGGACGATCTCCTCGACAATTTTCTAATGATGCGCTACGTAAGTGACATGGAAACGGCACCGACGAACGTCCGCAACACCGCATCAACGTTGTGGCACTACGAAAGCAATGATTTCTTTCCATACAGGAAGAGAGCAGCGGAGAATCCACCGACGTCATGCTACGCCACTCCGCCCGGCTCAGTGTATAATACATCATCTTCACGGACAGCGTCTCAGTCAGTTGCTTCACGGCGGTATCCGCTACCTCAGCCGCTCATGTACGGCCCTCGAAACACGCTGACACGCAGTCGGCGGTTTGATATTGAACGGGTTCTCGGATTTGAACGCGATAAGGTGCGGCGCGTCCCTTCGCCAGATTGGCGGAGGCTGGATGAGGTGCAGGTGCCACATGATCCACCGTGTCATGCGCGCCGTCATCACCCACATCACGCACACTAACCGCGGCAGCACCAGCAGCAGACTCTGCGCACGGGCTATTTACGACTCGTGCATAAAGCAGCAAATAGCTAACTGTTCTGTTTGTTGTTTTATTTTTTCCTTCTATTGCGGTGTACGAATATACTCTTTCATTGAATGATTACTAACGCGGTGTCTGACGCTGCTTTATCGGTGTGTTTTCTCTGTGCGCTAATGTAATTTTTATTGTCATTGATGTTCTCTGTCTTTTAGATGTATGTGTGCATATGTGTACCTAGTAGCTTTCTTTCAGTGTTTCTTGATTTTCTTTTCTATTCCCCTCTCTTCCGCTCTTCCCCCGGCGCGTCCTTCTGTCATTGAACTCAGCTACTTTGCGAAGTCCCTCCCCGTTGTAGCCAGTATTATTATTCTTTTTGTTTCTCTCTTTTCGGGAGGAGTTGCTTTGCCGGCATTCTCTCTCGTTTTTTCAGACCTCTTCGGTTGTTAAAGAACGAAGGGGAAATTGAACGTCCACCCCCCTCCCCTTCTCCCCTAAGGGTCGGCTAGGTGCGGTGACACACGGAAAGGTATAACTTCGCTCTATGTAGCAAGAGGCACAAGCACCCCGCGCCGCAAGTCACACACTGAGCCAACAAAACCAGCAATGGGATATGTGACTGGTATGAGAGAAGGTTAGCGGGGGGTCCCTTTTTTCCCCGTTTTCCTTGTTGTGGTCACTGATGCATTCACACCAACCTTTCTTTTCATATCTGCATGTGCCCTTCGCCATATTCGTTTTTTCCCTCTTTTTTCAGATCCCTCCCCGGCCCTCCAATTGGTCTGCCTTCATCGTCAATTTGTCATTCCTTTCAGTTTAGTAACGTTTTTTCTTCTTCATTCTTCGATCAGCTCATCGTGTTCCCTGTATCACGAGTGTTGTTTTTTTTGCTTGTTTTTCCGATCAACGACGTGTTTTTTCTATTCTCCCTCTCCTGTGCATATCAGCTCTTTGCTCTCTCCCACACATGTTTTTTTTTTCTCTTTCTCTCGTCTTGTAATAAATGTTTTCCGGCCCCTTACTTGCGCTTGATATAAGGAGGAAGAAAACAAGTGGACCACAGGGCAGATGTATGTATCTGTCAGAAGCCTCTGCCAGTGCAGATGAGGTCCAGGTTGAACGACGGAAGGTGTCCGCATCATCATTTCGGTTTCTTCTATATATATATATATATATGGATAGGGCTCATTTGAGAGGGACAGCAGATACATGAAATGACTCTCGACAAGTAGCGGTTGCAACGGCTGCATGGCCAAGTCAACATTTTTATACACACACACGTACATCCATGTCTTAAAGGCAAAGAGGACAGCGAAGGATTGTAAGAAACAAAAAGCCATGCGTAGGTAATGCACCGCACCCTCTATAGTGGTCAAATTCGAGCCGTAAGAGGGCAACAGCGAACCGCGTTTTCCACCGCTGCTCTTACCATCACTGTCACTTTCAATGGCAGAATTCGTCGTGTACGCGTGAAGTATTTCGCGGCTATTGAAGGAGCCTCTCAACTCCCCTTTATTACCACTATGTGCAGACACTGCTAACGATTTGAACGGCTGAGTCGAATTCTCGTGTTCTGCAACAACAGTTGCCCCAGCGACGTTCCACTCTCTCTCTCTCTCTTCCTCTGTTTCCCTCCTTTTACCTCCTTGCCACTCCGTGTGTTCATCACCGTCCTTCTTGTGGTGCGTTCAAGGACACGGAATTTTTTTTCTTTGCGTCAGAGCTGCTCCGCGCTCGAGTTTTCAGTTATAGAAGGGCAGACATTGCTTCTCTTTACCTCACAGTTGTGTGCGTCAACAGGAAGCGAAACGCCTTGCTTCGCTGTTGCTGCTGCAGCTGGAGAGGAGCTGGATGTGGTGGTGATACACAGAAGGGGACGTCGCTAAGAAAAAGCCGTTGGAGAGGGTGAAGGAGTGTTTCTCTTGTTTTCTTTTTCCTTTCATTGCTTTCCTTCTTGCCGATATCGTTGTCTACGCGTATTGACGTCACAGCCACAGCCACAGCATAAAACCTACGCCGCAAAGCCTCATATTCTTCTACCTTCCGCCCCTACATGGTTTGTATCGTCGTCAGCCTGTCAGTTTCTCCTGTTGTATAGCGGGCAATGGGCAACACGGTGACCAGAAGCACAATCGTCGTTCGCGGACGTGGAGACGACCGTCCGAGGCCGGCGAAGCAGCGTGCCAAGCAGCATCGTCATCCGTCACCGGCCACTACCAGCGGAAGCACTGCGTCGCCTCAGGCTCATCGACGCAAGAGAAGTGAAAAACACCGCAACAACTCAGCAGCTACACAGCCAACTGAAGCCGTTCCTGCGCAGCTGAAACCGCGAGACGGCTCCCTCCCCGCTGACGACACGTTCTCCTTCCCCGTAACGGACCTTGCGGCGAAGGAGGCGACACGTCCCAATGAACAGGCTTCACCTGCGTCGATTCTCGGCGAGAGCTGCGTGGCGGGCTACTCACCGTTTGACTCGCCCATCACGCAGCAGCACAACACGCGTGGCCCAGACGAAGCGAGCACGGAGCCGATAACGAAGAAGTTTCCAGCTGTCAACACGAACGTCGTTGTGCTAGAAACGCATACCTCTTCGCACACGAGAAAGGCCGGCGCGACCCATCCACACACCGACTCCCTTTTGCTCAGTGCAAATGACGGAGAGGGGGACCAATGGCCGTACCCCATCTACATGGGGCATGGGGACATCGAACCGCAGATGCAGATCACGAGACCTACCGCGCAAGGCCATGATGCCGTGAAGCTCATCGAACCGAAAACCGCTGCTGACGACCTAACGCATCAAACGCAGCAGCCAGAACAGCAGCAGTTACCTGAAAGTATGGATCGTACCACGATGGCAGGAGGAAGGAAAGGAACATCCGCTGCGATGCTTCCGTTCTCTGCGGTAGCGTGGCGGACACCACCCGCCCCACCGTTACCGTCCTCGCAGCCTCATGACCATCACACACAACAACAACCACCGGAGTCGTCGCCCGCACCCCTCTCCACCGTTGTTGCAGTCCCGGCATCAGCCATTGAGGTCGCTGCCCGCCCCCCGCCTTCTCCTGCTGCTGTTGATGCGAACAGCGCCATCCGAAAGGCTCGTCAAACAACGCCTGTTAGTCCACAGAGCAGCGCTGGTGGGGACGCGCATGGGCACCGCAAGCGCGTGCTGAGGCAGCCGCATGTGACGGAGGAGCAGCGTCCACCAAGCTCTCCCAGGAGTATCGGTGGCTCACTGGAGCTACGAGAGGACCGGGAGCCTCCGCCTCCGATCGTCTCCACGTCTCACCGTGCTGCAGCGCAATTCGAAGAAGAATTCGACCTCGTCGCCTCGCGCTCCTCTGCCCCACCTCCGGCCACGTCACCGCTACGGCCGACAAAGGAATCTGGTCCGGAGGATGCCGCGACCGCAGTGAAGGGGGAGTCCAACGCTCCTCGGACACCTCCTCGTAGTGTGGCTTCGGCGACCCACCGCACGACCGATCGCTCTCTTGTGGCCTCAGCGGCGAACTGGATATTTGAGTACAGCGCCACCCCGCGTGACAAGATACAGAGCTATGGCAGTTTCATGTCCGACTGCCGTGAAGATATGAACCCCCCTACTTCAACGGTGTCCGCTGTGTTTGATGCGCGAGCCACCTCGGTAGCTCCTACGGTGGAAGTGCAACCGGCAACGTCGCAGGCACCGTCAAGCGCAAAACCACGCACTCCTCCCGCGGACGTACCCTACTTCTCCATGGTGAGAGATGGGCGGCGAAAAGACGAGTCGGAGTCGCAGGGGACGGAGCGGAAGAAAGCCGTGGCAAAGGAGCGGCCGGCAGGCAGCATCCTTGATACCTCGCTGATAAAGTCCACCCCTCCCCCGCAAGAGGAGGAGGAGGAGGGGAAAGGCAGTGCGGTCCCACGGCGCTCGCCGATGCACTCGCCGACGGAGCTCTTTCTCCCCTCGACGCACAACCTGCGTCCGCGGCAGTGGCAGTACACCAGCATCCTTCACAAGAAGATCCAGCAAAAGGCGCAGGAGAAGAAGAAGTCGCAGCTGTCGTCGCAGCGCAAACCGACAGCCGCGCCACCGCCCCTCTCCGATGTAGCGTCTCCGCCTCTATCTCGCGCGCCGAACGGCGGGCAGCGGCAGAATGCTGCGGTGAAGTTCTCGGTGACGGAGGACGAGGAAGAAGAAAAAGACGTGTACACGAACAGCTACTTCCTCCACAGCTCCTCGATCGTCATTCCGCGCTCCACCAGAGCCGCTCTACGTCCTTCGACGAAGCCCAGGACAGACGCGCCAGAGGAGGTAACGCCAGCTGGGGTGCTACCAACATCTGATCCCGCTCTCGCAGGGGTGCGGGTCGCAGAAACCAAGAACACCGAGGCAAGGACGCAAGGCGAAGATGCAGCGCAATATCCCACAACCACACAAGCATCGCGAGTAGCGGTTGCGAAGGGAGATGTAGGCAACGATAGGAGCGGAAAACGAGAGGAACAGGCGTTGAATCGCATGAGCTTGCTGCTCTCCATGGACGACTCCGTCTTCACCGACAACGGCTACCCCCTCCTCGATGCACACCTCAGCGACTTCTACAAGGACAACGGGTCCTCCATGGGCATGAGCAGCGACATCTCTCTCAGCACCACGATAGATGGGTCACATGATCGCATCGAGCCCACCTCCACCGTGATCGATGGGCGACGCGTCTTTCAGGGGGTGGGCTACGCCAACAAACCAGTGAGCAGCGCCGCCGCCCTCGACCACCACCCTTCACCAACGAAGCGAGTGTCGCTCGCCTCAGCAGAGAACACAAAGGAGGAGAGCATGTCATCCATGATGACAATCGCGAAGCACCCGCTGGTGCGTCCACGCCGCTGGGCCGGGGCGATGCCGAACTCACCGGCGACGCGCCAGAAGCTCCTGCACGAGCAGCAGCGTCGGCTTCTGCGTGAGCAGCAAATGTACGTGCGACAACTGCGCACGAGCGAGTCGCCGCTGAAGCCTTTTCAGCCACCGCAGATGCCCCGATTCCTCACGAGTACGTCACCGCACCACCGCCTTCACAACGCGCCGGCCCCGTCGACGCCGAACATCGTCAACACACTGACACGTTGGCGGCAGCAGCAGCAGCAGCAGCAACGACAGATACCGCCGCCTCTGCCGACGCCTCAAAGTCGCACCGAGCTAGCCAGCGCCTTCTTCACTGGAGAAAAGTCGCAACTCCACGTTCCGCATTGCGGCACGACGAGTCAGGCGATGCCGCAGCCGGACATCAAATTCGGCGCATTTGTCGCCACGGATAAGTCTCGCAACATCGACTTCAAGGCAGCCCTTGGGTTTGGTCTGGAGGATGTCCCGGCGATCCGCTCGCCGAGTTGGGACGCGCTGCCGCTGCCCGCACCTGACGAGAACTCGGAAGAGTTGTGAAGATAGCCGTGCATACGTGTTTTTTCTTCACTTCTTGTCAGAGCTGTCCCACAACTTATTGTATGCTCTTTCTCGGGTTTTTTTCTCTTCTGTAGTATTTGCCTGCATCGAGCGGGCAACCGAAGAGAAGGGTGTGCAACCAACTCAATATATTTAATTTGGACTCACAGGTGTAATATATGTTGTTGTTTTACGAGAGCTTTTCAACTATTTCTCGTACCTACCCATGAATCCCCAAAAGAGAACTATAATCGGTGTCTTTGGCTCTATTATTCTCGTCGGGCATGGCTGTAGCTGATCTGATCGGCAGTAGATTCAGGAATCTCTCATGCGGCCGTCGAGAATTCCATAAACATCAGCGTGCCTTTTGTTCACGTGTCTATTTGGCGATGCTCTTCGCATTAGCTTCGCCTTGTGTTTTGTGTATGTGTGTGGTGTGGGTGTGGGTGTTACTTTCCCGTAATTGACGTGAGCGGCGGTTTCCTCTGTCAATTTATCGTCACTCCTGCATGTTGTTATAAACTGGGTTTATTATTAGCTTGTCACGGTCTCTCTCTCTCTCTCTTGAAGGACCTCTAATGTCTGTAGTTTTCTCACTCTTTCTCTTTTTTTCTTCATGAATGTCGGCAAAGTTTTTTCCCTTGTTGTGAGCTTCACTCTCGGGTGAGATTACCGCAAACGGTGCGCTTGCGTTCAGCGGTATACGTTTCATTGTATAGGAAGCCCACTCTTTTACCTTTATTATTCCTGTTATTCCTACTCCTCTCGTTAGTTTCACGTATTTTTGTTTCTTTTCTTGGTGTTCGGTGCTCATTGCGCTGAAGGGTCGTAACTTAAGGCGGTGCACTCAGCAGCTTTAAAAAAAAAAATGATTTCGATTTTCTCCCATCCTCTTCTTTCATGTCTTCTCGTTTTTCGTTTGTCGAAAGGTCTCGCTTTTTGCTTCTGTTGAACGACAACACAACGCCGTCTTCCCATGATATTGTGTACCGCCTTCCTTGCTATTGTTGATGTTCTTAAGTATTTCATTTCGAGCGGATGTGTGTCATTCGTGTGCACTCTCTTTGCCTGTTGGCTCGCCATAAAACTCATTTTTTATGTTTATCTACTCTGGGGTGTTTCTTTTCTTTTGTCAACGATATTCGCTACACGACGACATTCGCGTAACCATCGATTTTGGTAGCGGTATTTTTGTTTTGTCGCTGTTCTTTTGAAGGAGGGTGCTCCATCGAAACGAATGAGAACGCCGCGCCGCGTGTATGTCTCTTCTTTTTTTGTTTTGATTTGCTTTTCTGTTCTCTTCTCCCCACTGACCCTCCGAATGTCTTCAATTATTTCCCCCTCTGTTCTTCTTGTTGTTGCGGGCCTTTTCCCTCATGCACTTTTCTTTGGTTTCCCTCCAAGCGGACTTGTTTTCATATTCACTGTGTGTGTTTTGGAGGTTATTCCCTACGCTGACATGACGGCAGCGGTGAACCTCGCATTCGCCCTGGAGCTCCTTTTCTCTCTCTCTCTGCTTTCTATATATTGCTCAAATGCATCAAAGTCATTGTTTTTTGTTGCTTTTCCCAGATTCTTTCGTTCCCTAGATGCCCACGATTGTCGTGGAGCGCTTCAAATAGAGAAGAATGGAGTGTCATCTTTCTCCTCTCACTGCTTTCATATCGCAGATGTCCATGGTGCCGTGTATCAGCGTGTGGAAAGAAAAAAATGACTTAAAGAATCGCTGACTAGCCGGAGTGCAACGCAAAGAGTTTTGTTTTCTCTCACGCTCCCTTCTTCTCCCGATTTCGCCTGCACGTCGGTGTTGCTTTCCTCCCCCCCCCCCCTTTTCCCTTTCTGGTGGTATTCGTCTCTTCATTTATCCCCTTCGTTGTTTCGTGTGTTTTCCTCTCTCTCCCTTCTGCTTTCTTTGCTGGTTTGAGCGCAAAGTCGACCTCGAGACGCTGCGAAAGGAGCTTCCCCTCTTGTCCAAAGGGCTTTCCGCTGCTTCTCGTTGAACGTGAAGAGCTGTGAGGGGGATCGCAGCTGTCGTTGCTGTTGGTGCGGTTCTTTGTTGGTCGAGAGTGTCTTTTTGTCTTCTCTTCTTTACTGTGCTCCATCACGCACATCGTATAGTTAGAGGTGTCAGTGAGGAATATGTATGTATGTTCCCGTCTAGGCGGTCTCTCAGAATAGTTCTCCGTAACAGAGATGATGGAGCCAACCGTTTTATGCGTCAACCACCGACTGGTGGGGGTGACTATTGAGCGCAGGTTTGTTTCCCCTAAGACACTGCTCGATTCTTCTGTGATGTAACGGATGAAACGGAGGGGTGTTCTTGCAGGAGACGACGGATGAACTGAAGTATCGACAAAGTTCTTTTGTTCATTGATCTCCTCGTTAGATCCACTGCGGTGTCTCAGTACGTAGTAGTGGCGCTTGTTGACGGTGCTCCCGTTCCCTTCTCCAATGTGCTCTCCCTCTCTTTTCCGAGTATTGTATCTTCGAACAGAAGCGGCGGTCTTTTCCTCTCGGCAGGCCTCACGCTGTGCCATCGCAGCTCCGCTTTTCTCCATTATTACTCAGAGTCGGTCTTACAGCCCAAAGAGTGGCGGCTCTGTCTTGTCCGACTGCGTCACGCGTGAATCCGAGTGACGCGAAAGGCTGTTCACAAAATCAGTACAACAGATGATCGCTGTTTCCACATTTCGCTACAGTACCGCGGAGCACAAAGTCTTTTTCCTCTTAACTAATCTTCTCCACTTGTGGAAGCAGCAGAGACGGGGTGTGGAGTCTCTCGCACAGACACCATGGACACGTCCACCGTCCCTGGAAGCCGTATTTCATCCCACAACGACTTGCACGGGAATCGCACGGATAGCGAACTCTGCCGAGCACAACAGCGTACGTGCAAAGCTTGTACGCCACAGAGCCGTGCCACTTCCGGCACCGCAACAACAACGGCGGGAGTAGGTAGCAGAATAAAGGAAGCCTTTACACGGCGCCACCTCGGGCAGTCGCCATGGGAGCAAGACGAGCAACGGCCAATGAGTCCGTTACCTTGGGATGCACCGGGGAGGGAAGGGAAGTCTCTGCCTCCCGCAAAAGACAAAAAAGCGACACAAACCGCAACGTCACGTGTCGCTTCTCCGATCGACATGGAGTCCTTGCTGGGCCTCGACGGCAGAACGGCGTCGACCCCCTCTACGGAAGACGGCATCGTGTCCCAAGAAAGGGCGGTCGCTCTAGCGGAACGGCAAACGCTGAAGAAGGTCGACGTGTATTACATGACTGCTGCTCTCGCCACTCCTCCTTCCGATCCTGCTACGTGTAGCTGCAGTAGCAGGTCCAGCAGCTCACGCTCGATAGCGGGCGAGTATGGCTTTTTCACCCCGACACCCCAAGGGGAGACACACGAGTCCCGTCAGAGTTCTCATCGTCGGTCCCCTGATGTCGATCTCACTCAGGTGCTTCAAAAGACCACTAAGGGGCGGCTGCAGGACAAGACTTCGACGAACGCGCAGTCCTCCTACACGGCGAGGCCCGTGTCTCCAGATCGCTGTGCGTTGTGCGGCAGTCACCGGTACACGGGTGGGGGACGCGGCAGCGTTGAAGTGGAAGCCACATCGATGACCGCACGACCACTGCCGCTGTTGACGTTGTTAGGTAGCGCCCCGCATGAGCCGAACACCGCCACCAAAGCTGATAGGGGGAAACTGGCGGATCAAAGTGGGGAGTACGACCTGGCAATGTTCGCGGACAGCCGTGACAGCTTCCTCTCTCTGCTGTCTGCCGGCACCGGTCTCCCGGATCAGCACGTGACGACACCCTCCAAGAAAAGTACAGCGGGACAAATAAGCGACCTAGACAGTATTCGCACAGAGAGCGTACTCGACGGGGTACTCCTACTGAGCCCCCGGTCTTCGACAGAGGGACATGCTACCGCTGCCAGCAGTTCACCGATGGATGTGACGAGGACACGGTCCAGCCCAAGTCAGCCGCGACCAGTGCCGAGTTCCTTCTCTGACTTCAACACTACCGGACTGAGCAGCTTTCTGAATAACAGCGCGGAGTTTAGAAATACTTCTCGCCGTGAGGGCACCGCAGGTGCAACGACAAATCGGATGGGGACCGACACCACGAAACCGGACGAAGAAGTCGGCAACGCCACTGCTGCGGTCGCCATCGAGAGGGGGCTGACAGGCAACGACTCGGACACAGCACTGAGGGAAAGGATAGCAAACGCACCCCCTCCGCTAAAGCAGCGCACGGTGCAAGAGCGTAAGAACTACAAAGAGGGCAACGAAGGTGCCAAGGGCAAAGATCATCTCGTGGGAGCACCCAGCAATCACTCCGGCATCCTCGTCGGCAGCAAAGTGTCTCCTCTGGCAGCGGCGAAGAGTCGATGCCGCATAGTGACGATTATTGAACCACCACGGCCGTCCGCGCCGCTGCCGCGCAAATACCACATGATGAAGGCGCGGAACGGAGCGAGTCTTCGTCCTTCTTCTGCTCCTTCTTCTCCTTCTCCGCCGTTCGCCCATTCACCTTGCTCACCGAGCGGCACCAAGACGCAAGGTGTCCTGTCTCGCTTTGCCACCCTCATTGGAGTTCCACGGCATCCACCATCGCTGCCGCAGAGTTCGCATCACCTTCCGCCCGTGTACAACACCAGCGTGGACAATCCTCACCGACAAAATCTCTAGCAATCACTAGCGGCGGGAGAGGCGAACAGCGCAACGAACACCGCTCAAGGATCAGCACCGATGAAGCCCTCGCCGTCACCAACGCGAGGTGATGTGAGGCGGCAACGGAGGGTTCCGAGGGGCCCTTGAGGTTTTGCTGTCGCCGCGACCAACGACACGAACTGTACAACGTCACATTACCATGCATAGTGCATTCCTTTCCTTTTTTAACTTTAGATTTCTCAGAACACCTGAACTACTTCTTCTTTTTATTAAAGAGAAATTAACGTTTGTTTTTGCCGTACCGCTTGATGTTTCGTTTGTTTGTCATTATCCCCTGTGTGTCGTTTCTTCTATTTGGCCTTCTTGTATGGTGCTGTTATGCGCGCTTTTTTTTTTCCCTACGTCATCCTCTCCGATGCTCTCCAGAATTTTGTGCCTTTAGAACGGCGTTCATGTTGGTTCTTTCACACTTGACGACGCCCCGGCGCTTATCTGTGGTTGTTGTGGTATTGAGTGATTGGCGTCGAACTCTTCCCTCTTCTTTTTTTCTTTGTTTCGATCCTCTTTGGATCATAAGTCAGAATTCACAGCTTCTTTTTTTTTGTCTGTTTCTGTTCTCTTCTAAAAGATATTCATGGTGTCTGAACGCCTTCTTTTGTCAAATCATGTGAATCGATTCTTCTTCTTCTTTTCTAGGACCTCTCTCCACCGTCACGCCGCAGTTTTACGAGTGCACCACCGATTTGCGGCTGGAGCGGAACTTGCTTGCTTTCCAGCCACCTCTTTTATATATACTCAACCTCTTTTTTCTTTTTTTTAAGGCAGAGGCACTTTACGAACTGAGACGACGTTTGATGACTCCATCTTCTCTGAACAGTGCTTCTTGGTAGCCTTCCGTGTTCATACTAAAGGTTTTGTGTACTCTGCTATTCTTGTTTTCCTTCTCTCTTTCCTCTTTTGATTTGTTCCACTTCACTGTGTTGGCATTTTGCCAGCTTTCCTGCCCATTTTAGTCACGTAAAGCCAATTCAGTTGCGACAACTCTTTCTGCTGTTGTTGGTTTGCTTTTTCCCGTGTGTATGCGTACGTGCGTGCTTTTCTCCCGTGCTTCATTTCCGAGCATCTCTTCGTGTGTGTGTTTTTAATCTTCTTTGTGTTCTCTGAATGACACGGTCACGCAGTTTCTCTAGCACGTGGACTACGCTAACTTTCTCTTTTTCTTGTGAATCCTTTGCCCCTCCCTCCCCACCCGTTCCTCTGCAACGCTGCGTCTGTGGCTACCGGTTTCTTCCGCGACAATACAGATACCAAAGGTGACAGTTAATATATCTATTCTTTTGTTTTGGGTTTCAGTGGACCTTATGGCGCTTCGCCCCTCTTGTTGCTGATCATCTTCCTTCGTAGTGGTGGATTGAAACGTACTGCCGACGTCTGTTCACCGTGTACTTCGATCAACCATCAGCTGCTGCGAGTGCTAAATTTGCATATTTTCTGCTGTTTACGGCAATTGCTCTTTCCAGATCGTTTTCTCTCTTCCGATTTGTTTTCTTTTTTTTGCTGTCGTATTGGCTCATTTGTTTATGAGCACACCGCCCCTGCCACTACACCTCTTCAGTTTTCTGTCTTTGTTGTAGGCAAATCGAACAACTGTGTTGACGTCGTAGATGGAAGGCGTTCTCATGGCGCTTCCGCCGTCGTCGTGCTCCTCCTATCGTATTTTGTACTCTATCGTTCTCGCTCTTTGGGTTCCCTCCACCCCCACCCCAACCACCCTTTACCGTACGTTGTCTCTGCAAGCTGGACATTTTCCCTTTCCCCACATGCGCAGATGGCGAATGTGCAGAACGGCTTTTCTGCTTTGTACTCGGTGTGCGTTCTAATGCAAATTCATCGCAATTCAGCTGTGATTTGGTCCTCTTCTTCTTTTTGTAACCTTCTTTTATATGTTATACTGCGTTCTACTGAGGTTATCTCTCTTTTTCTTTTTGATTTCTTTTTCCCCTATTCACTGTGAAGGTCAGCCGCTTCCAGCAACGCTCCGTGTTCGTGTGTGTCAATCCCCTCTGTGTGGTGCCGCTGCTTCACACGAAGGACTTGAAGAAAGCAAACGTAAGCGTCTCGCTGCAGCAGTTTATCCCCTCCTTTTTCAGTAGGTCGTCTTTCTTTTTCCCCGTCGTTGGTACCTCCATTTACCCTCGTTTGAACTGTCACGGTTCCGAATAGAATAACAAAGGTGTCCGCGGTATTCAATTGATCACAGCGGACACGCCGTGTATATGCAGATTCCGTGGCATTCCTTTCGGATGACGTCGTCATCGTGTTGTGGCATCCAAATGCTCTCTCTCTACAGCGCAAAGCAAAACGTATTTACGCATCTCCTCCTTCAACGCACCTCTTTTCCGCATTTTCTCCCTCCCTCGCTCTCCCTCGCTTTTTTGCACCAACGTGGCATCTCCCTGCTCCGTGAACGAGGGCCGCTATCCACTGTTTTCTGTACTTGGTCACATACAAATACACCGACTTACCTCTCCTTCATCCTCCCTTTCCAGCCTCTCGCATCTTTGGATCTCTCGTGCTAACTGTCGAACAGGCCTTCAAAGGATCCGTAGACGAACACCGGGAAGCAACGCCTTGCCTCGGTCGTCTCTGAATGCTTGGAAGCTTATTTGCATTGCGTGGTGAGGTATAACATCATTTTTTTGAGGTATACCAAAAAAAAACTGTAAGTGCTGCTCAACGGCGACTCTGACGTGCCTCGATATTTCTACCGATATGCAACAACTGCAATTCACTACACATCTGCTTTCCTGCGCCCGTTGACACTATTAAAGACAGCATCTCTCGCTGTCGTGCTCCTCCCAGCTATCGACGCTGCTCCCCTTTTTCCTTTTTTTTCCATTGTTGCTTGCTCTAGGATGTGCTTATCTTTTTTGTTTTGTAGTTTTTATTGCAACTGCGTGATCGAAACATCAGCTCTTTCCTTCTCTTCCTTCTTTATTTATTTTTCCCTTCTTGTCAAGGCAGTTACGGCTCCGAGTGCAGCGCGGAAGTCAATCCCCATAACTCGTACCCCTCCCCCCTCTTCCCATTGTTTAAAGGACGGCACTCAACATCTCTCTTTGTTTTGTTCTTCTTCTCAATTAAATGTTCCTTTAAAGTATCATTAGCTTTATTTTTCTCGTTCGACTCCTTCCCTTCATTTACCCCCTCGTGTCTTTTGTTCTGTGTGTGTGTGTGTGCTTTTTCATTTTGCACATTACTTCTTTGATAAGAACCTGTGAGGTCGGCATCGAGGCAAAACGAAACGAAAGCGCTGGCTATTCACTGCTCCGGCGCGTCTGCAGCAGCTGACAATCATTCGTCTTATTACAGTTATTCCCGCACGGTTTTGCTGCTCTCCCTTCGTGCTTCTCTCTCGCTTGTTATCAGAACTGTTTTTTTTTTCCCAAACTTGTGCTGTTGTTGTTGGTGGTGGTGGTTGTAGCACTGCTCTTTGTTGCTTGATCGCTGCGTTTGGTTGTGTCTCCGCTATTGGAGGCATTTCTGCCTTGGTGATTCTTCGCTTCGACTTGACTGATACTACACCGGTCGTTTGCCTTCCGCTTTTCTCTTTCTTTTTGTTTTCCACGTCAACAGGGGCTTTTCTTATTGAGGGGAAAATGGGCGGCAGCGTAGCGTGCTGCACCGGCGCCAAGGCGCAGGAGAGCAGAAGCTGGGCGGAGCCAATAGCGTTGTCAAACGACGGCGCCTCCCACCTCCCCGTGCAGCACCCGCCTGCAGAACGGAAAGACGATTTCGCACCACACGGAGCCGCAAGCGGCAGCGCAGCCGGTCCGCCCCCGACCGGCATTCCATCACGAGAGCAGAAAACCCCTGTCGCTCGCAGAAGCATAAGGGCGGTGGGACGGAGCAACGACGGCAGTGGCGCACGGCCTCCGATACGCAGCAGAGTCCTTCTTCGTCGCATCCAGCACGGCGTTGATATCAGCGGCCTGGAAATTGAAGGTGTGTGGCCGGTGACATGCGAAGACAAGTCGAGGGGCGAAGCAGAGCCCGGCCGCTGTGAAACAAAAAGCTCTGCCCCAAAAAACCTTCACTTCCACACCGAAGACACAGCAGCGGTGGTCCGCACGGTATCTGACGAAAGCGCTGCAGAGTCTCCCGGTCCCCTGCCTCTGAAGAGCACCTTAGACCACGACGTGCACGACTCTGGTCGTCTGCGCAACGTCAGCACAGCGGATGCCGCAGTGAGTGGTGCGCACGCGAAGCGACACGCCGTTCACGCCCCCTGTCCACGGGGTGTCGTGTCTCCTGTGGACAACACACATGAGGACGTGTTGACCCCGTTGCACCTCGATTTCGAGGACATTGCGTGTTCGCCGGATGCCACGCCCGCTGAGGGTGCGGTAGACGCTGCAAAGCGCACATCACGGAGGGCGGTGTCTACCACACCTCATCTCTTTGCCCCGCTGCGCGGCGGTGGTGGTGACGGCGAGACAGCTTTCTCGCACAGGGAGGAGAGCTGTGACACGGCCAGTAGGAGTGCGCTTGAACGCAAGTTGGACTCAACGGAGAACGACACAGCCGGCAACACCAGAGAGGAGGGCGAGACCTCCACATAGGGGAGCGATGCAAACCTACTGGTTTCACAAAGTATCCGTGATCGCTGTGGCAAAGGGATCCGTCTTAGCCCTGCGCTGATGTCGCGCAGAGAACAAACGGTGCCGCCACCGGTAGGCACAGGGGATTCTCCAGTGCCTCCTACTCTTGCCAAGCGGCAGCGTGGGAGTGACATCGTGGCAGCACATGGGGGGCGTCGAATCGAGAACCGAGGAACTAACACGCGTTAAACCATTGTTGAAGACGACGGCGAAAAGGCCTTTCATGGGAGTGCCGACAGCCGACCAGCCCGACGCTACGCGTGGTGTATCGCCGATTCGCACCCTGTCACCTATGCTTTCACCGGCGGCTGCCATCGCCGTTGCCGCAGCGACCACGCCGACCACAGACGAGACGCCACCCTTACAACGTGCGCTCAGCTCCGATGCCATCTGCGCGGCATTGTGTTCGCCAGAAAATGATTTCTGCGAGTACCCTCGTCGCAACACTCTTACTACACCTGTGGTCGGCAGCGATTCGCCCCACGAGATGCGCCAAGCAGCGACGAAACGGATATCTTTTACGCAGCCGCCGCCACCGGTGATTTCCCCTGTGCGCCATTGGAGCCTGACAGAGGCCGCACGGAGCACATCTATGCATGATCGCAGGCGGCACCCACAGCAGCAGTAGCAGCAGCCTGATGCACTCTTGAAGCCCGAGCTGGCCACAGCAATCAAGACTTGATTCCGCAGCGAACCCCCTGTGAAGCTGGTCGGCGCCTTGTGCTCGGGCAGAGGATCAAGCACCGCTGGCGATGCAGAGTTCACAGTAGCTGAGTCCTTTCCAACCGCGGAGTTAGTGGGTGTTTCTTCTGTGTGTGTGTGGAGAAAAGAGGGTTGCTGCACCGCAACATCTCTCTACTCCAAAAGCAAGTGTTTGTCTGTTTTCCCTTTTGAATGCTCCACGGTCAGACAAGTCGCACCGTTGCTGCACAGCATTCTCTCTTTTCGATGTTGTTGTTGTTGAACGACTCATTTTCCTCTTTTACAAACTGCATTGCACGAGATCAGCAATTGAAAAACTCGAAAGTAACCGCAGGCCATCAACGTTGATATGCATGGCCTCTAAATCACTTGTGATACTCTATTCAAGTCGCTCGTTTTCGCCCACTTAATTTATATATATAGACATATGGTAAGGTGCGGTGAACTCTCTTTGCGGATCGGCTGAATCTCGTTTTCTTCTTGGCAACATTATTAACTTTTGCATGTATGGAAGTTCCGGAAAATGGTGGGGGTGGCTGCCTTCGGTAACTCCTCAATGAAGACCCCGCAGCGGTCACGCTCTCTTTCACGTATTCAACTCGAAGGCGGAGCCGCCGACGCGTGAGCACAAACACCCGCTCTGTCTGAACTTCTAAACATTTTTCATCCCAACGCCACAGCGCGGGGCATTTCGTTTGTTTGCTTTCTTTTTTTTTCGTGTCCCTTCGTTATGTGTTCTCTCTCATTTTCACTGACCGTGTTGGACATTCATTTGGTAACTATTCTACTCTCCCTTGACCGTAGCCGGTCGTACCTCATCACAGAGTGGTTTTACAAGTGCTACCATCAAAACTGCTTTTTGGAAGTTTCCGTTTTGTATTGGTCGTCCAAAGAAGTGCTGACGGCGCTTGGCGCGCTGCTCATGCGCATCGTGCGTGTTTCTTTTTCCCGTCTTTCTTTAACCCCGCTGCAAACTTGATATAGAAGCCACTTTGAAAGTGTTAAAACAAACATGAGATACGAAGTTGCTGTTGTCCAACCTCGCTGTTGTTGTTTTTTGGCGCGCATTGAAGGCTGTGCCTTACATTATCGAGTTCACCTTTTCGACCTCTCTTGGGTGGCGTCCATAGCGCTCACCCCCGATGCACGGGCTGGTGGGTGGGTGTGCGTGTGGGCGTGTTTTCTCTTCGCACGACAACCGGCTGCTACGGCTCACAGACGATGTTTTTACTATTATTATTACGATTACATGCCGATAGCTCTTCTTCTCCACCTCCCATACTGAACGGTGACGCACCTCTCCTTCTCGTCCCTTTGCCTTCTTCACGCTGCCGCTCGCACGTAATGCATTTGCTTACGCGTTCCTTTGTACCGCACACCCGTTTTCTTCTTCTTTATAGCGGAATACGTGCAACTGTCTCCACCGTTGTTTCTGCCACAAAGCGTTTTCTTTTCTACCTAGTTCCACGGAAGCGGCATTGCCTCTGCAAGAGCCAGTGCACCTTGGCCAGCAACCAGCGGACCCCTCTCTCTCCCCCCTCCCTACCGTGTGTGTGTCGGTCGGCATCGATTTTTGGTTTCTCAGCACTGTAGCACACCGGAGAAGACGGCGCCGCTGATATCCTCTGTTGTCAAAAGAACTTTTTGATTTCTGGCCACGAAAGCAAGAAGTCTCTGTGCATTTGTGTGTGTGTGTGTGTGTGTGACAGCCACCGTTTCACGGTGTGGGGGGTCCTGCAGTGCCAAACGCGGCCTTGCATGGGCTGTGCGGTTGCCACTCCTCGCTCACCGCGGTCAGTAAAGTGCAACTTTTTTTCCTCGCTAATTTCTCATTGATTCTCCTTATAGAGGCTTTTTCTTGTCTGTTCTGCACGGAGGAGAATAAAACGAAGTGCAGCTATTTTCCTTGTTCTTCTTTCCTTCTGTCATTCGCCGTGGCCATCGCCGCTTCCTATTGTCCTTCACGAAGATCGTGGACTGCCTCCTTCTTACACGCAGACTCGTGTGCGTTGGTAGCAAAGTCCTTCTTTTTTTCTTTCTCCTTCAGCACTCTTCTCCTCCCCTCTCCAGCATGGGCAATGCGGTGGCATGCGGCCTCGACGTGGAATCGCTCAAGGAAGCGTACAAGCGTCGCCAGCGTAGACGATCGCGATCGCTCTCCAGTAGAGACATCTCCGACACGTCCAGCGCATCATCGCGTAGTGGTACGAACGAGCGATTGAATTCTGGAGACAGCAGTGGTGATGACGACGCTGCAGGCCCGTTGCGAAAGCCGCAGTCGGCAGCGTACACGCGTCCCTCCTTCAATACAAATAGGCAGCCGTCCCCGCAGAGGGGTCCTAACGGTGCCCGCAGTGCACTTCGCTCGTTGAAGGCATCCGATCCCGACAGGCACCTCCCACCTGCTACTGCGCGTTGCAACCGCAAAACCACGACCAGTGCGCCGCCGCGGCCGAGCAGCGTGCTGGAGCACTCACTACGCTCGAATGAAATGTCGTTCAGCGTACCGGAGATCGACTTCCACAACTCCTCGCCCACCGAGTCGACCGATCGCGTGTCGACAAATGAGGAGAGTTACAGCTTTGGCTTGCAGGCCTCGATCGGCGGGTACCGCGTCAGCGAAGGCCGGGCATCGCCGCTGCGGGGTTCGTTTCCTGACGCTGTGCCAGGTGCGAAGAAAACATCGGTCGCAACGGATATCGTTAACGACTTCGCCGCGTGGGACATGGGACTCGGCACGATGAACGATGTCCAGCGTGCGTCGCCGGCAGGCAACACCGCCGTCGCCACGACGAAGCCGTCGTCGGGTGAAAGGCTGCCGATGCTAGGTCAACCGAGACGCACAAGCAAGGGTGTCAACACAACAACGACGGCGACGTTAGCGGGCCCGTCACAGATACGAGGAGGCACCACAGCGAGTCCAGCGACGCGGCGGTCCGCAGACGCGACGGCAGGAACGTCCGTCAAGAAGCCAAGTACGATGCTCGACAAACGAGGCACCGGCCAGAGTACGAGAATGCCTGTGATATCTTCCAGGTATGGTGTGGTGTCCACTTGGAATGCTGCCGCACCTCCGCAGAAGACGTTTGTCGCCACCCTACAACACACACAACAGATCCCATCGCACGTAGGCCCCCGCGCCGCACCCAACACGGCGAGGCTCGGCAAAGTGAATGCGCCGGCGTCGAAGTTGGACAACGAGGCCGTCAAACCGAAGAAGAACGGCGCCGAGTTCGCGGCGCAAAATGACGAGGTGGAGCCGTATGACCTGCGCTTCTTCAGCCGGGCGGCATCACCGCAGGAGGTTGAAACGAAGGATAGTGCGGTGGCTGCGATGGCCTCTGCGCCGCTGCCAAACAGTCGAGACCAAGGAAAGACCGGCGGAGACTCCTCTGTGCCTTCCACGACGAAGATCGCTGCAGCATCTCTCGCAACACACAACAAGGTGGAGAAGGAAGAGGTCAGGGGGGTTGAGAGACTCGTCGCCACGCATTCCGAGGAAAGGAGACTCGGCGGCAGCCACAGAAGGAGTAAAAGTCGTGGCAGTAGGGCTGTCAACGCCGCTGCCGCAGCGGCGGCCGTTGCGTCGAAGTCCCCAAAGGACGCGTTGACGCAAACGAACGCCCCAACACCCGGAGTTGCCTCAGCTACCGGCCGTCTCAATAACGAGTCCAAAGCGGGAAAGAGCTTAGTGGACGCCGCACCGGCGCTGGCTTCCTCCTCGTCATCTTCTGCCTCTTCTTCTTCTGCCCACACGGAGAAAGGCGTCAACGGGGCGCACGCCGGCTCCGCTTCACCAGCGTTTTCGACATCCGAGAAAGCATCCAGCAGACAGAAGGTGCGCAGCTTTACGCCGAACGACGATGATCGCTCTTCCCCGCTACAGCGATCCGAGAGCGGCGTCGCCTCCCGACCTCACCACCATCACCGTCGCGAGGACGAAAGGGACTCCACGAAGATGAACGCCAAGGATCGTGTATACCTCGATGATGACGAGGATGACGAGGATGATGATGATTCTGACGAGGAGGAAGAGACTCCAAGTGGGGACGACTTGGAGAATTCCGTGGCAGACCTGCGACCGATGAAGAGGGTGGACTCCATTCTAGTGAAGAACAGCAGCTTTCGCTCTCGCACCGGCTCGGTCGGTCCGCAGGACATCACGCCTGCCACGGGATCCGTCTCCTTCCTGCTGGGTGAGAAGGAGGCGGAACTGGCCTTGGCGAGTTCGCAGTTGATGTCGAGGGCCATCCCACGGCGACGGAGGGAACAAGTGCGGCAGATGAGCAAAGACTTTGGTGTGGGCGTATTGCGAGACGTTGAAGGGGACGCGCAAGGCGCCGCGCCTTTGGACAACAGAGCTGCCTCTTCATAATCGCCACACCGACGGCGGCGAACGTCTCTTCCTTTCTTTCCCCCTTTTGTTGTTCAAATGGACCGCTACTGGGCTGCACGGCGTATGTGTTCCGTAATTCACGTGCTCCCTTTTAGTTGTTTTTTTCAATCTTCTCGGGGAAGTGTTTTTTCTGCTGTTGTTGATTTTTCCGTTGATGTGTTTTCATCGTTTTCCCCTCGTAATGTGCTTCTCCCGCTTTGTTGCATTTCGAAAGTTTTTTAATTCCCTCCAGTGTTCAGCGTCGTTGTCGGCGTTGTAGCTGTCGCGTACTCGTTGGTTTGGTTCACCTTCTTCTTTCTCATTTTGTATGTGTGAGTGAGTGTAGGGTGGTGCAGTTGGCGTTAGTTATGGTCACGGATTCGTTTTCATGGGTTGTTGCTCGCTCACATATATTTATTTCTGCATTGCACGAAAACGGTCTCCGCGGAGTGCAGTGTTTCCTCTGCTCCCCTTCCTCTTCTGCTCCATTGTTGGGTACGAGGCCGTTTCCGGGCGTTTTTTGCTGTTTCTTTGTTGTTGATTGATGTATGCATACAAAGTGATTGCCTCTTTTTTTGTGTGTGTCACTCTCCTCTCTTTTTTCTCCCGCGTTTTCTTTTGTGTAGTGCTGGCGCCTTTGCTTCGCTCCACGCGGCCGCAGCAAATGGTAGATCGTCGTGCAAAGCGGTCCTCCAGGCATCTCAAGGCGTGAACAGGCTCCCCTTCCCCTCCCCCCATTTACAGCGTCACTTTGTTGTTGATGTAGCTGTTTTCATTGAGAGTTGGAACCCTTTTTTTTCTGTTTCTCTCTAGCGCACTTCTTGTACTTAGCACTGCCTAAATTTGTAGAGTTCTTCCTGACATCGTTCATTCTCCCTCTAAGATTTATTACTTCTCTCCGCTTGCTGGAATTACTATTGTTATTATTACTATTATTATTAATACTATGTTAGGCTTAACCGTTCGTTTCTTCGTCTCTCTCGCGCGCGATTTGAACTCTGTGGACGCGCCAACTGCAAGACGCTCGTACGCCTGACGTATTTATGTGTCTATCGAATAACGTAAATGCTCCCACGTTTTTATTTATTTTCCCTTTTTTAAAGAAATGTGAATATGCGCCTATTTCCCATTTATTGCTTTGTTACTATTAGTTCGTTTGCTGTTCTCTGTTGAGTGTGTATACCCTGTTTGTGCGCAGTGGCGTCAGATGCCTCTGAAGGTTGATGAAGCGGAGCCACCAGTCTTTCATATGGGATGCCCTCTTTTTTGTTGTTGTGGTGGTGGTTCTCTTTCCGCCTTTTTCGCGACATCAACGTGTTGGTGCTCGCACCAAGCATCAACTCCCTCTGTTTCCGTAGATTTATGAGACGTGTGTATGTGTGGGGGTGATCAGCATTTCTCCCCTCTTCTCGTGTTTTCATCGCCTTTTTGTCCGAATCGCAAAGAAGAAATACTTCACGTACGCGGGTGTGTGTTTCTTTTCCTCTCCCTTATGGTCCAACCCATTATTTTCATGTTTTGCTTTTTTTTTTGGAGGCCAGTGAACTTTTATGTTTCATTTTCCGACCGTATGAGTGTGGCTTCATTGCCTCCAACACGGGTTTTTATTGGTGTTGGTGTTGGTGTTGATGTCCGGTGAGAAGCACTTACACACCCTTTGGGTTTTCCTGTTTTTCCTTATGACTTCAGCCAGGCGTTTTTTGTCCTTCATTTATCTTCTTTTTTCAACTTGTTCATTTTCCGCCATGTCTGCCTCTCGACTTTCCTCTCGCCATTCACATTCGTTTTTGACATTTTACGCCTGCGTGGTCTTGTCGCTCAACATTGCGGTGTCTTCCACTCACCGATTGGTTGGTCTGCACGCCTTGCTCCTGTCGTTGTGAAAGCGGTGCGAAGGAGGAATCTCGGCGCCGTTGACTTCATCTGCTCGCTGCACCCTCTTTTTCTTTTGCTTTTTAATTTGTTGTCGTAGCGGTCCTTTGCTATTTTGGGGGAGGGGGGGAGGTGCGTGACGGTTGCGTGTTGGAATCCACCCTGCTTTCATGGAAGGGGAAAGTCGAGGGTGGTGCTTATTATGTGTCGTTTCGTACGATATACAAAGGTGTGGTGCTCTCTCTCTCTCTCCCGTGCCGTCTGATTGACCTTGTCCTTTTTGTTGGTGTTGCTCCCTTCTCCTCTGCATTCAGCCGTGCGATTCTTGCCTGATAAAATAGTTTCGTTAATACATCGCTGTACAGATCAATTTAGTTCGTCTTTCTTTCTTTCTCTCTGATTGGCTGTTATTGGTATACATATTTGCTCCCCTCTTTCTTTGTTGGTGTTTGATGCGTCTCGCGATTTCCCAGCTGGCCGTACCTGCCCCCCCCCCTCCTTTTTTATGAATGTTGAAGACGTTTTTGCCGTTCTCAAGGCAACCCCCAAAGAAAACGAAGGAAATGAAGAAAGAACTGTTATGCCAGTGGCGGCAAATACAGATGCTGACCGTACAGTGTGACGATAGATGATCCAATAAGCTGTTCTACTACGGAGCATCACTATCGAAAGCTTTAACCGGGTCTACAAGTCGGTTTTTATGCAAAGGCAGCCCCCAAAATGACGTGATCGCACGTATGTGGCGCTTCTGCGCGTCCTTCTCAGGGGAGCCATCAGGTTACGGTACCCCCACCTGTGAAGGCGCGTACAGCGCGCTCAATAGCTGCGCAGATGAGCCTTCCTCTCCAAGTGGTGCCTTACACGATGTTTGCCACAGCGACACTTTCTCTACTGCACCGCCTTTCCTCTCGTCAACCTATCCGTGTGTTTGGCGTCTCCGTTTCCCTGCATGTTTTTTTTTTTTGATTCTCGCTTCTCATCTCCGCAGAAGACTCCGAATCGGCGAACGCAGTGGCGACGCCGCTACGGACGCGCTTTAACTGGCGGGAAGGAAAGAGCCTCATCGATCTTCTGTCACCCCCGCTGTGTGTGGGTGGGTGGGTGTACGTGTGTGCGTGCCTGTCGCTGCCGCAATGGTGAACGCTAGTCTCACCGCGGGTGAGGCGCATCAAAGTGCTTCACCGCCAGCCAACGTCAAGAGCGGAAAAACGGAGCCGCACCTGTGGAACACGAAGGCAAGTGCAAGAGACAAGGGTGGTGGCAAAACGAAGCCGATGGCGCCAATGCCGAAGGAGGCGCGCCCTGTGGACATGCCCAAGAGGCAGCACGCCACGAGGGCCATAGCAAACGTGCTAGAGCAGTCCAGGAGGCTGCAGCAGGCGAAGGCGCAAGAGGACCTGCGTCGTGCAGAGGAAGAAGGAAAGAAAATGGAGGCGCCGGAAGCAGCAGCGCAGCAGCAGCAGCAACCACAGAAACAACAACCTAAGAACAAGGAGGACGAAGGGGGCGCAGTGCCACAGACAGTTCCCAGAGCAATAAGGGTCGCAGCAGGAGCGGTGGAGGAACTCCCAACAAAAGTGCCGGAGCCTTCGACAGCGCACGACGTCGACGAACAAGACGAGGGCGACGGCAAAGCAAAGCAGAAGCGGACATGCAGCACTGCCGTACCGAAGTGGGCGCAAAATCAGTCGCAGGGCTCGGACGAGCCACCACCGGTGTTCTCCGTCGGCCGGCACCGCGCACGACTCGGCAGCGGCTCCCTCTACGACGTCGACGGCGCCGTGTCACGCGTGCAGACCCCAGACCCGTTTGAGGCGAACGGAAAGGACGTTCATGCGCCGACGATTCTGGAGGAGTCCACCTTCCAGCGCGTCGCGCGGTTCCCGACACCGAACCCGTCGGAGACGCACTCGGACGACAAGCGAAGATCTCAGACGTCGCTGGAGCAGCAGAAGTCGAACGCCTGCCCCGCCCCTTCTCCAACCTGTGGAAGTACCGTGGTGGCTAACGACAGGAGGGCAGAGGGACTGCTCTCAAAGTGCTCCGGCGAGCGTGTAACAGGGCGAGAAAGTGCTTTTGCGCAGGAAGTCGTCACGGCGCCGTACCGACGAGCTGCCTTCTTTGCTGGCCGCTTCCACTCTCTGGGCAGGCGCTTGGCACCGCGGCCGCTGAGGGAGACGCAAGTCCGCCACCTTCGGGCCCATGAGGTGTCTCTCTCTTCCACCGCTACACGCAGAGAAGGATCTGCGTCACCGCAGTGCAGTACCTCCACGTCAACGGAACGTGGTCCTGCGCTGGTGCCATCCGCCACGGCGAGCGCGCAAGTCAGTCCGCCAAGAAATGGAGGAACCAGTGTGGCGGGAGAGTGTGCCTGGCCCCGCACACAGCAGCAGCAGCAGCAACGGCGAGAGATGGAGTTGCTGCTGGATGTGACGGACGTCATCACCACCTTTTTCCCTCCCCAGTGTCTGCGTTACCGCAGCGAATTCGAGCGCATGCCAGCATCTCGGCAGGCAACACTTCTGGAGCTCTACACGGCCCACCAGGATCTTTGCACACGTCTTGGGTGGGACGAGACCGCGGAGCCGCTCTTCAACAAGGAGCTTACCCTGATGCTGCAGGAATGCTCGCGACCTTCCAAGTCAGATCAACCGTCACCGTTGCTGTCGGTCATCAGCTCGTCTCCGCCCGCCACCCAGCCCACTCCACTCACCCACACGGAGACCGTAGTGGCGACCAACGGGACAGCGCAGCCGCTCGGGAAGGCGCGCCCGCCAGCGGCGGTGCAGAAGTGTTCGTCCCGCGGGGTCGTGCAGTCGCCGCCGGCCGCCGCGCCTGTGGGGCTTACTCGTACGGAGACGATGGCGGCAGGGGTCAATGCAGCGCCTCATACGAGTTCGCCTGCCGCGCCAACGAAGAAAGAGGCGAGCACGAAAAGTGCAGAGTTGCAGTCGCACACTACGAGCAGCAACTATGGCGGCTTCTCTTCTCTCCACTGTGCTGCGCCTGCAGCGACAGAAGACGTTTCGGAGGAGAAGAACGAGGGCACGTCGCGGTCGTCGCCGAGAAATGCGTCACGTCCAGTTTTGACAAAATTGGCATCCGATCCAGTTACCGCGAAGGTGTCCGATGCAGCGCCGGCAAAACCGAAAGAAACAATAGCTGGAGGACCACCACTACCGCAGCCAGCACTTCCTCAACACCTAACAAGCACTTCATCTGTGCACAACAACAGGAATATGACGCACATCTCTCAACGGCACATCATTGCAGGAAAACCTGAAGAATCCGTGAAGCGACCTCAAGAAGACGACCGGCAGCAGAGACTGAAGTCACCACAAAAGCTCACGCGCGAACGTGAAGAGGGGGTTGCTGGGACTATTAACGCGGCCCCGAGAAGGACTACTGCATCGTCCAGGGCACTCCCTCCGCTTCAACGAACCGCTGCGGCACCGCCGGATGCGTCCGCGGGTAAAGCCGACGCATCCGTGAGGGGCAGCTCTACGACGAAAACGGCAAACGAACTCCTGCGTCCCACCGATGCAGTTGTGTCGCGACAGCCGGATCCCTTACAAACACTCAATTCTCGACGCTGTGCGATGATACCTCCATTGCTGGTGCGCAAGGCGGCGCCGGAGATTACGCAGACGACTCCGCCGCACCCCTCGCGGACGAAGCCATCGTCATTTCACCGCAGACTTTCGCGTGGTATGTCGCTGCGGTATTTGTTTTTGGAGAAGGGCACCGAGTCGGCGCGCCTCCACTGCAGCGACGACGACGGGCAGGCTGCTCGAAAGCGACAGACCGTACGCCAGCATGATGCCGACAACGCTGCCGAGCGCAGCATGTGTGCGATGCCCTCCATGTACCTCCCTTTGCGATCACCGCCAATAACAACCCGTGTTTATGAGAATGGCAGTCGCCCCTCATCCCCGGCGAACGCGGAGGACTCGAACGAGGCTGCGGACTTCTCTGAGCCGATTTCGACGGAGTCGGAGGTGGAGAGCCTGCAGTCCACCGCTGCCTTTTCTTTCTGGTTCGAGGAGCTCAGTCACTACGAGGACAGCGACGAATTCGCGTCGTACGCCACAGCAAATACTCCGTTGCGCACCGCATCTTCGCAGCTGAACTGGTAAAGATGAAGGACAGGAAAAAAGGGGGACTTTTTCTTTCTTTCTTCTTGAGACCGTCCTTCACGGGGTGCAGCACTTTTACTTTACGAGTGTGTAGAGCGTTCTTGTTTCTCCTTCGCCTCTTTGTTGATGCATCGCAGATTGGTTCTCATGTCCTGTGAAATGCTTCTTTTTATTTTTTTGCTATTCCCCGTCATTTCATGATTTTTCTTTTCTTTCTTTAGTATCCGCCTTTCCCTTTTCTTTTCTTTTTAGGGGATTATTCTTTCGAATCTTTCCCATCTTCTCTGCCGGTCTTTCTGTGAGTTTTGGTTGATTGGCTTCGCAAGGGAGCCGTGCATCTACCACCAAGCTCTCTTCCTCTGGCGTGAATCGCGGCCAAACGATTCGGGGGTTTGTGACGCTGCATTGATGTTCTTTGCACGAGTATAATGATGACAACAATATTCTTTTCTATGCTGAATGCCTTGCTGCAGGGTTACCGAGAGCACATCTCTTTTCTCTGTGTGGTTAAGAGGAGATCACGTACTGCATCTTGTGTCCACGTCATTGCGAGTGACAGTGGCCTTCGATGATGAGAGAGACCCTTTCCCTTTTTGCACGTTTCACTTTTATTATTATTTTTTGAGCGACATACTCTATTCACGCATATTGCTCTATCGCTGCAGGTGTACGGCAAGTCAGCACAATCTCCTCTGTTTTTACTCATTTTTCTCTTGTGTGGGGTTTTGTCTTCCTCGTCTTTTCCAATCTTTCCCTCTTCCTTTTAGTTTTCTACTTTACGTGAACGCCGAAGAGATTATTCCCCGAGCACCTGCCTGCCCACTGCGAGTCAAAGGACAGCTTTTGCGTTTGCAGTCCCCAAATTGTTGTGCTCTTCCTTTATCGTGAGTTTTGGAGGGGGCTCCTTTCTTTTTTCTTTTCCCTTTCCAGAGTGTAAATCAAACCGTACGCAACTCCGCTTCTATCAAGCGTTTCTTCTTCTCTATCTTTCGTCTTTCCTCGGCCATACCGAGCTTACTTCCGTGTTGGTCTGCTTTTTTTATATGTTAGTGGTTTTTGTTTTTCACTCGAACTTTTTTCTTCCATTTCAGAAGGGTTGCGTTGTAATGGGCTGGGATTGTGATTGCAGCAGCCACTGCTTCATGATTCCCTCGTTTTCTCACTGGGAGGTGAAGGATGAGGGGAAAAATGGGGTCAGATATGCACCGTAATGGTGATGGTGCACATCAAAGCCATAAAAACGCTGCCGTGCGATGATTTCTTTCTCTCTCTCTCGTACGTATTTTACTTTTCATCCGTTACTGAGTTTGTTTTCGCTGTGCTGGTGGGCCTTCACTGCGAAATCACAGAACTCTTTTTACTTGCTCTCTTTTTTGTTTTGAACCGTGGAAGCTGCTGCTAGGGGACGCAGCGCAAGGGGCGAAAACGTCACCTGTTTTCTCCTTTTCGATACAGAAGCCACACAAAGAACAGTCGTGGGCTTTTCAACGCGACGTGTTCAGGTTTTTTTCTATCTTGTTTTCTTGTTTTTACTTACGTTTAGCTTTTTGACTCCTTTTATGTTATTCTTTTTGTTTCTGCTTCAATGGCAGTATATTTTAAGTACTCTTCTTGTTACTATTTAAGTCTTTACGAGAAGCTTCAGAAGTGTCGTCTCTCTTTGTAGTCGATGTCCCCCAGTGACATCGTTTTCAGATCTTCTTTTGTTGTTGTTGCTGTAGGTTGCTTTGCTGTGTGAGGTGGCGAGGCAGGCGGATTCTCTTTCTCTCTGTTTACGTGATGGAACACTCTGTTATTCTTTCTGTTGACATAATGATGTGTCGGATACAACGGAAGACACTTGCTGCCACATCATCTAGACTGGATGGATGCATGCAGCGCTAAGAATGCGTTGCCGAATGTAACGTGAGGTGCAATGACACTCTTCTTTCTGTGGAATCCTCCTTTTTGGTGATGAGAGATTCGGACGCATTGAAGGCGAGGATCCATCATGTCAGTGAGTGAAAGTGGAAATGAACATTGTCTATAGAAACTCTGTCCAGACATCACCACATGCTATCCCACAAAGCGGTCATCGCTGCTGTTCTCTCTGCTCCGCTTCGTTTCGATACACACACACACACACTCGATCTGCGCACCTCCCCCTCTCCCCCCTCCTCTTCATTTCTCATCACCTACTCCTTCTGAATAATGCCCATTCGATGAAAGAGAGTAGCACTCCTCTTTGGCTTCGTATTCCTGAACATTTTTGATCTCGGTGCTTTTGTGTACTTTATTTTCCTTTCTGTTGTGCAAATCGAAATACAGCACTGATCGTACCGTCACACAGACAAACACACTTTTGTATCGTTTTCTTCTACTTCAAACGCCCCCAATGCCGCAATTTGCGTCCACAGAGGCTCTTACCCGCTTTGTCGAAGGCCAGTCTCACCACGAGCGATGCAGGACGCTACTCGACGTCGGCCGCACCAGCGTGCTCGCCAAACCCCCCGACTCCACTACCGCACAGCACATCATCTGTGAACTCGCCCAGCCTTCGCAGGTGCACTACCACCGTCTACTGTCCGCCTACGCCCTGCGCGGTGCTTTTGCCGAGGCGAAGTTGAAGGCCACAGCGGTACAAGAAGATCTCTGGAAGGCGGCGCTCTCCTTGCTGGACGACCCGTCGTTGAAGGTAGCGCAGATCGTCATGACACCGCTGTTGACGGCCGCTGCTCGTCCCTCGTCTGAGACTTCTTCCGCCTCCTTCTCCCCCTCCTCCTTCTTGCTTTCCGCGCCGCTACCGCAGTTCAAGTCGTTTGTGTCGAAGCTGCGCCAGTGTGGTCAGCAGGCGCTGCTCGTGCAGCTCTACGCATCCAAGACCGTGGCGGACCCCGCAAAGCAGCAGTACCTTCTCGGCCACCTGTCACCGGCTGATTTTGAGAAGCTGTCCGAAGAAGATCAGGCCTCGCTCGACAGCGCCGCCCTCCGACTCCTCTGCCGCTTCCACGGTGCGTGGGTGGCGTCGTACTTAACGCGACGGGTCGAGGCGGTTGCCGCAGCGACGACGACGCCGACGGTGGATGCGCTGCTGCGGCGCCATGTGACACAAGCCTTTCACCATCTCGCGTCCAACGGCGGTGCGACGCACGCGCTGGCCCTCTTTATCGCCACCGCCCACCTTCTCGGACTTGCCCAGGGTGAATTACTACAGCTGCTGTCTCATCATTTCATGCGCCTTTACCCAGTGGAGGTGGGCACCTACTTACTGGACGGTGCGGGCCGCACGATGCTGGCGTCGTTTCAGCGCCGCATGGAGCTTCGTCTCACTCGTCACTCCGCCGGCCGCCTGAAGGGGCAAACAGACCTCATTTTACGCATGATGGAGCACGGCATCCTCTGTGCTATCCAGTCGGATCCCGAGTTCCTGCCCCGTGAGGTTCGGCAGCGCCTCTACGACACGCAACGCAGCTCCATGACAACGGACAACGGTGTACTCCGCGAGAACTACATGAGGCGCCTGCCGCGGGAAGAGGACCGCGTGGCGGAGGCGCGGGTCAACTACGCCCATCGCGCCTTACAGGACGACCCGTACGGGCGTCTGTCGTACCTTTCCTTTGTGCCGTTTCCAGAGGCGGTGCAGCTCGGTGCGGCGTACATCGCCAGCAACGACGCCGGTCTCCGCGCGGCGGCTGTGACGTCCCTGCTGCAGTCCCTGCGGTACTTCCCCGAGCACGTCGACGCGGCCCTGGACTTCTGCCTACGGCGGACGAAAGAGCAAGACCCGTGGAAGACGACGATGTACGATGCGTGGAGCGCTCTCCCGCGCGGGTTCTGGCGACACACACGTGCCTACCTCCCCGACGCAACACTGCTGGAGAAGCTTCAGCAGCTGTTGGATGCCACCTACAGCGCTAAGGACTTGTCACAAGGCACGCTGAACAGTGTGCAGGAGCTGCTGTGCGGCCTGGTTGGCCCGCATCCCGACTTTGCGCTTCCCCGGCTGCTTCAACTGATCAGCAAATGGAAGGAGTTCACTTCGGCGCTGAACGGCACGAAACCGTTTGGGTATGTGGCGCTGCTGTACCCACAGGTGATTCCGCGTGTGGTCACGGAGCTGCTCCGTGTTGCACAGAAAAGCTTGCATGACAACAAGTACTTCGCGTATGTGAACATCATGGAGGTGTTTCTGTCGAAAAGTCGAAAGCACGTTCCGCATGTGCTGCCGCTGCGCCTTCACCACCATCAAGAAAACGGCAGCGGGCAGCAAGCAACAATGCAGGCGAGTGTGAAGGCTGCCCTCCACGCTGGCATGAACTCCACCAGCGACTACGCTGCCGGCAGGGCCTTCGACCTGTACTACCGCAACTTCCCCGCGGAGGCAGTGGCTGGTCTTCCTTCGCTGCTGGAGACGAACCTCGACTGGGTAACGCGAGAGGCGGTGCAGACCATCGTGTGCAACCTCACGCAAGGCCCGTTGCTGGATCGCCTGGTGACTCCGCTGTGCAACATCCCGACAGGCCGCTTCTACGAAACGGAGGATGCGACACGGGCGTACATCTGCCACCTCCCGCTCTCCTACGCGTATCGCTGGACCGCCCACCAGCAGCGGACGTACGCGCAGGCAATTCTGAAGGTCATCTACGGCAAGAGCAACATCAATATCTTTTCCGGACGCGACTTCGTCACGGCGTTGGCGCGACTGCCGTCGGTGTCATCGTCCACCGCATGGACAAGTTCCGAAGGAGTGTCGTACAGCCTGCTAACGCTGGCCACCGAGCAGCACCCGGAGCACGGCGATTACCTGAAAGGGTTCGCCTTGCAAGCACTGGGGCTACTCGTCGGGGATGCCGCGGCGGTCACGGCGCTGCAGGCGGCGCTGGAGGTGCCGGATACCCGCATTGACGCGTTGCGCGCGCTGACACGGACGCTGCGATGCGCCTCCAGCGCGGAGGCGGTGCGCGTGTTGGAGCCGCTCCTCACCGGCAAGCAGGTCACGGCACAGAAGGAGGCCCTCTACCTCCTCGGCTCCAAGCGGGATGAGGTGGCCTACCGTCGTCTGGTGCGCTTTGCGGCGGAGCGTCAGCTACCGATGCCAGAGGAGGATGCGGAGGGCAACGCCATCCACAGGGCAGCTGGAGAGGAGGAAGAGGAGAAGGGAGTGAAATCCATCAACACAGCGAGCGACAGCACCGCCGCAGCACCAGTGGCGATGCACCGGGACGTGCGCACCGCCCTCGTCACGACGCTCTTCCACTATCTCAGCAAGCCACAAGTTTGGGCCTATTATGACCGGCTTCTCGCGCGGGACTGCAGCGGTGCAGAAGCGATGCAGAACGACAATGAGGGGGCCGCAGCGGTGAAGGAAGACAGCGCCTCTGAGGAGGAAGAGGCAGACGTGGCGAAAGAGGGAGAAGGAAAAGGAAAAGGAGAAGAAATGGACGAGAAGCCGTGTGCATCGGCGGCCGCCTGCGAAGCGATGACGACCTTGCCATGGATCAACCTCCGTCTTCCGTGGCAACTCGCTCGCTACCAAGCCCTCCTCACCGGGCTGCTGCGTCACCCAAAGCGCGACGTCAGCGTTGCCGCGCTGAACAAACTCGCCACGGTGCCCCCGTACACCAACATGGAGCTGTGCCGAGCGGCAGCGGCCTACCTGGACGACTGCACCAACCCACGCCTCGTGCGATCGGCGCTGCAGTGCATGATGCGCTGCACCGCGGAGGACTCCATTCCTTACGTCGTCTCGGTCATTCTCCGCACACCGGCCGACCCGTCCCTGCAGACCATCGCGGACGTCTTCGCCTCCCTCACGAGCCAGGCCGATCCCGCTATGAAGCCTCGCTTCTACCGCGTTATCGAAGGCGTCGCCACGAAACTCACCGCTGCCCACCGGCAGCCAACGCTCATTGTGCGGTTTATCGCCGCGTTACCGTCGGCGCAGTTTGTGGCGCAGCTGATGGCAGCTGAAAGCGCTGGGATCCTTCACACAGGGGCGGCCTACGCAGCGGTGGCGTCCGTGCGTAACAGTGAGAGTCTCTTGCGAGATCTAACGGAAGCGGAGGCGTTTGAGTTGTCGACGCTCCGTCGGCACCCGTCGGCGTTGCTGCGACGCATGGGATTGGAGGTGGTGCTCCAGGTACGCAGTCGAAAAGGTTGGACCGATTCCCGACGAGCGGCGGTGGTGGCGTATCAGCACGACAGCGACTTGTGGGTGTCTTCGGATGCGCTGGTGGTGCGCATGACGTAAAGTGCGTTGTTTGTTTTATTTTTTAGCTTTTCTTTTAAAAAAAAAACAGAAAAGAAGCCCCGTTGCGCACGTCCCAGCTAAAGGCGAAGCGCAGCAGCTGGTGGGAGTTAACATACATCGACTTTTTGTGTTTTCCTTTCTCTTGTCATTTCTTCTTTCCTATTTTCTTCTTATGTTTTTTGCTCTGCACTCTGTAGCAAACGTAGAACGTATTCCAGCTCGCACCGGCTGGCTCGAACGCAGCCGCAGTCATCAGCCGTTGACGATGCACCTTTCCTCTTTTTCCCTTTCCAGTCTGTCAGCACACGCGACAACTGCAGTATTGCGTTTCACCCGCGAATCTATCTTCTTCTCTTCATCCTTTTCTGGAAGCTGCCTCACGTCGACCCACAAAACGAAATTCGCTGCCTTGCTAAAACGGTCGCTCGTCGTGGATTGATGCTCTCTTTTCTCAGCCATTTCCAATGACGCCCATCAACGTCAGATGAATCAGATAAAACGAAAGACAAAGAAAGAGTTCTAATGTCTGCCGCTGCGTTAGAGCTGCCGTGGTATGCCTCACTTTGCCGCTTTCCTTATGCTTTCTAAATGACATATGTAGCACTGCAGCTCAAGTAAAATGTTTGCTTGTTGAGTGGCTGCCTTTCCTGTGCTGCGTTCTCTGGTCGAATTTTTTCTGCTCAAAACAGCCTTCACACTTCTCATCCCGGCACCTTATCTCTCTTTCTCCTTGTTCTCACCGCTCTCTTTGCCCTCCGGTCGGTGCGTTATCAGAACAGGGGTAGCATGGGAGTGGAAGCACCCACTGTAGCATTACCAAAGCATCGTTGAACAGAAAACGCGTAGGCGCCTTTCTCGTTTCTTTCTTTTTTTTTAATTATCACTTCACCTGAAGCTCACTCCCCATTCCGTATTCGTGCAATCCCTTTCCCCGGCGGTCAACACCGCTTAACATCTTCATTCACGTTCTCATTCTTTAGCGTTTCGCGACACGGCTCTTTTGATTCTCCGGTCACTTCAAACAGCCGCAGCCTTTTCTTCTTGTCTTTTTAATAACGACGTAAATGTTTTGTTTTTCTGTTTTCTTGTTGTTGTTGATGCTGTTTTGTTTCTACCATCGTCATTGTCATCGTCTTCGTTCATTAGTTCTTTTCAGGTCAGTCAATAGGCCCTCTCTCCCCCTCTCGCCGATCGTGTCGCCTCAGCCCACATGCGGTCTCCAACATGTCTCTCCCGCGACCACCTGCAGCTTTCCACCGTCACGACAGTCGCGCAGCCTACGTCGCCGCCGGCAACACACACCGAAGCGGATGACATGGCCGCACTGCACAGCACCGAGGTGGACGATACGACGGAGACCAAGCAGCATGCAATGCTGTCGAAGCACGACGGCGACTCCTCTTCCACCGGTCATCACCACAACCATCGGCGCCACAGAGTCACCACCACAACAGTAGTGGTGGCCGTCGACGCTGCCAACAACGGCGGTGGCAGACTCTATCGCGAGAAGCCCAGCAGATCCCCACGTAGGCACTCGCTGCAGCGCGTCAGTAGAGGGCGAGCGCCGTCGCTGGCGTCTCCCCGTAGAGCAGCAACAAAAGACAGCGTCACGGGTCAGCATTCGCATCCTGCACGCAACTCGTCTTCTCATGAAAAGAACGAGTGGGGTCACTGCAGCAAACGTGTCGATCGGCCTCACACCGACGTCCCGGACACGAATCGCCCCAACAACGATGCATCTACCCAACCAAACTTTCGAGGCAACAGTTCTTTCCACGGGCAGCAGAGACATCCTCTTCTACCCTTCACTACATCCACTAGCAACAGCAGCAGCGCCACGAACACGAACACGAACACGGCGAATGCTCCCTCACCTGCACGCAACCCTCATCACGTGAAAGCTGCTGGTATGAACTTGGCGGTGAGTCACGCCTCGTTGAGCCACGGCGGCTACCAGTTCTCTTTTCCGTCCTTCACCGTCAAGGGCGTGAAGTCTGGTGTTCCCCCTCCGCCGCTCTCGAAGCAGCCACAACGCCAACAAATAATGAACAGCGCGTACGACCTGGATCCACACGCGCCTTCGACACCGCTAATGTCCTCCTCCGTGCCGACCGACATTCGTGCACGAGCGCAGCAACCGCCCGAGACACTCCATGCTCCTTCCGCCTTTCCCTACCGGCGGCACGGGCAAGGGGTGGCCGGCGAGTCGCCTGGGCTGCAGCGCATCTCGCACACGAGGCGACCGTGGCAGAGTATGGGGGAGTGGAACTCGACCGGCCGTGTCCACGACGACGGCCACCCCCGACAGCCGGGTGCCTCTCGTGCGGCAGAAGAAGAAGTAAACCTCGCCACAACCAAGCGCCACGACGGTCAGCGTCGCCGCGGAAGCGCTGCTGTACTCTCAGATACGAGTTGTGACGCACAGAACATTGAAGGTACGGCTTTCCTGCTTACTGCAGAGCCGAGCGTGGCTGCGGTGAATGCCATCCTTCCAGACACGGCTCACATCCGCGACTACCGCTTTCCCTCCATCTTTGATCAGCTCAGCAAGGCGTCTTCACCCCCGCAGTCTTTTCTTCTCGCACCTGGTGTGCAGCCGAGTCTACTGGAACCCGAGCTGACCTCCGCCGCGCCTTCTGTGATGTGGCGGTCGGCCTTCGGGAGCTTCTCCACGGCCAGGCTCGATGAAGAGGGGGGAGGGGATCGGCGGACGGAGAAGGAAGCACGGGACTTCATCGCCGCACCGCGGAGTCTTTACGGCTCCGTTGTGGCGGGGGGCAGCCGCACAGAAATGGGCAGCTTCTTTTCTCCGATGAACATCCCACCCCCTGCGCTCTCCAGCAACAGTGGCGCGGAAGAGGAAGAAACGAAGAATCCACCACATCGGCGAGGTCCTCCAGCGAGAGGTGCGGTGGACGTGAAGTCGCTGCACGTGGAGGCGCCGCTGTCTGACGAAGACGATGAAGGCAGCCATGAAAGCAAAACACGTACTTTGGCGCTTGCAGCTCACCCTTCCGATGCGACACAACGCGGTCACCACAACGCAAGCGAGCCGCGAATTTCTCAAGGCGGCTCTCGCCACTGTCGGCCTCTGCCCAAGACTTTGGTGAAGACGAGCTCCCTCTTCATCGCCAGTGGGAGCTCCTTTCATCAGCCGGGGCGGACGACCAGCAAATGCGAAAGCGACTTCTGGGATGTGCCGCAGGAAGCCGACAGCGACGAGGAAGCAAGCGAATCCGGCAGCATCGGTGCGGTGGTGGACGCGAAGGAGCGCCGGTCACAGCGCAGCGAGCTCGCCCGCAAAGTGACGATGTACGGCCGGAACTGGTTGGAGGAAACCGGCAGAGGTGGGGTGAAGGGAAGTGCAGGTCAGACAGGCAACAGCATCATCTACAGCAACAACGAAGATGGTACGCCTGCTGCGCTTCATGCCAACTCGCACGAAACCCCTCTTTGTCATCACCGCCACCGTCACCACCACTCCGACGAGGGTGATAACATCTCCCCCTCCTCTGCATCCTTCTACCGCGGAAACAGCAGTGACAGCGACAACTCCAGTGATGACGGGCACACCAACACCGACGGCCGTCACACGTGTCAGCCTCCATGGCAGCAGGATGTGGCAGCGTTGCCACAGCAAGAAGAAAGGGAATCCGTCGTGGATGTTGCGGTGCTCCAGCGCATCCTCTCCGCGACGGTGGACTGCAACGGCGGCCTCGAGGAGGAGGAGGAGGAGGAGTACGTCCGCGCGTACCCGACGGCGCCGGTCCCACCACTTCACCCTCCCCGACCGGAGCGCCCTGCGTACGCGCCGCCTACCGTGGCAGCCGCCCCTCTCCGCACACCATACTTCGGTCGTGTGGGTAACGCTTCTCCCTTTCGATACGCGACCGCGGCGCAGCAGCAGCAGCGTCAGCATCACCGGAGGAGCACACCCACACGGTGTGTGGCAGGCAACGGCTTCACGCAGCCTGGCAGGAACGCGGGAGGGGGTATTACCGGGACACATGCGGCGGTGTACGTGCGTATGTTTGCCCGGGGGCAGGGCTGCCATACCTCCATTAATGGCCGTTGCACATCCTCTCCATCATCCGCTGGCTCGCCCAACGGACACGCTGTGCCGTTTCGACAGACCGCAACAGGCCGGCCACGGGTGCACCAGCTGCTGGGCCTAAATCCGAGAGCAGACATTCGATGGGTGAGGTCGCCAGACTGGCGTAGAATGCCACCCAAATAGCTGGTACTGCAGGCCCTTTTTTCTCCTTAGCCTCACGCATTTGCGCGCCTACTTTACAAAGTGTTGCTGACTTCTTTTTTATGCATGTGAGGGGGTGTGGGTGTTTCCTTGGATATTTGTTTTGCTCAAACTTATGCGCTTGATTGCCGCGTCGCGCAGATACCATTCGTTTCTTCTCCCCTTCTTTTCTCTTCGCTTACTCATCACTGCCTGTTCGATCGTGCCTTTTTGATTGGAGTGGTATAGTGTTTCGCTTGGCCCTTAACTATCGGGTGCGTGTGTATGTGAGCGTGGTGTGTGGCACGTGTGTGGTATGCGTGTGATGGCTTTCTTGCCTTCTCGAACCGCTTCTCGTTTTGCAGCGGGTTTTTTGTTGTTGATGTTTCTTTTTTTCCCTCGTTTTTCTCTTTCAAAATTGGCTCTTTGCGACCCTCTCTTATCCGCGTCCATAAGCGGTCCCCGTTGCTATAAATTACTAATTCTATCTTGCTGTTCATCCTCGTTGCTTAAACGGGAATCGGGAACCATCTCCTAACCGTCAGCATTCGTCTTCTCCTAACCATGTTAGAACTGATATTTGCTTGCCGTATATATGCATATATTCTGGTCTTACTGTTCTTTTATCTTCTGTTTTATCCTCGAAAGGTGCGACTCTGCAAACCTGCAAATAATATTATTTTCCCGTGTTCTCTTCATTATGATTATTTTTTCCTCGGTCTCGTCAAACAAAAACAAAGTATTCTGTTGTATGTGCATACGGTGTAGTACTGCCTACATTATCACGTTGACGGGTGGTGATGGGCACCTATCAGCGGGAGCTCTTTCCTTTCTCTTTTCATTAGTTTTTTTCTTGTCCGTCGCGCATCGAAGACGTAGCTGAGGCAGGGAACATGAAAATAGTTTCGTTCGGGTAGATATAAAAGTGCCTTTAAAAAATGGAACTCTGCATTATCGGGGTTTTTTTTGTTTGTTTCTGTGTGTTTCTGTGTGTGTGTGTGTGCTCTTCATTCGGCTTCATCTATAACGCTACGAACAGCACTCTTGAAAAGATAACAATCCGTGTCTTTGTCTTCTCCATCTCCGTGTCTTTATCTTCCCAGTGAGGTCACCGTCACCGTTGCTTGTCGTCGTGCGCCATATTTTTCTGTGTTTCCCTGCCAGTCAACTCCCAAAAAGGGTGCCGTTTGGGTGTTTCACTTTCTCTTTTCCTTTTTAAAGCTGTGAGAGGGGTGGGGGCGGAAGGGGAGGACACAGTTCGGCGTATTCTTTTCGTTGCCGACTCTGTCGAGATTCCCGCGTCCTTTGTGGACCATCGTAGGTGTAGCTGCGTAGGCGACTCCACATCGGGTCCCACTTGCATCCGGGCCGGCGCAGCTGCTACTCACATCTCTACTACACTTCACACTCCTTTCAGCGGGAAGGGCGGAACGAAACACATTTCCTTCTCCCACGGTATCCACCGTCAGAAATACTACACACAGCAAAAAAGCGGGAGCATCGTAAGTGCGAGGACGTACAGAGAGTACTTCATCATTTCTTAGTGCAACTGCACTTTAAGCTTGGTAGCAAGCATTCCCTTCTTCTCTTTCCTCTTTCAATCAAAGAGCTCTGCGCCACTGACACGTCTTTCTCCACGAGCAACAGCGCCATCTCTGACTACGAAACGGAGTATCCTTCCGTCGTGTGCACCCCCAGGACGAGTAGCAGCGTACACGTATCTTGTGTGTCACCGCCACACTTCTCCTTCATCGTTCTCCTCCCTTCGTATTATCGCTGCATTGCTACCCCCACGTCAAGTAACCACCGAGCAACCCAACCCTCATACACCGCCACACTCCATTCATCCCGCCGCCATTAAAATCAACACCCGCTCCGTAAAGCGATCTTTTCCTTTATCGTTTTCTTCCGTTCTCTTCTCTCCCATGCCTAACGTTACCAACACCTTTGTGACGCTGCCCAACGGCGTCAAGATGCCGCAGATCGGCCTCGGCGTGTGGCAGTCCGCCGCCGGTGAAGCCACAGAGAACGCCGTGAAGTGGGCCGTGCAGGCCGGCTACCGCCACATCGACACGGCTCGCATCTACGAGAACGAGGAGAGCGTCGGTGTGGGCATCCGCGACTGCGGCGTGCCGCGCGAGCAGATCTTCGTCACAACAAAGCTGTGGAACACAGATCAGGGCTACGAGAGCACCCTCGCCGCCTTCGAGGAGAGCCGAAAGAAGCTCGGCCTTGACTACATCGACCTCTACCTCATCCACTGGCCGCGCGGCAACGCTATCGTGGCCAAGGAGGGCAAGAAGTACCTGGACTCGTGGCGCGCCTTCGAGAAGCTGTACGAGGAGAAGAAGGTGCGTGCGATCGGCGTGTCGAACTTCAACATCCACCACCTCGAGGACGTGCTGGCGATGTGCAAGGTGGCGCCGATGGTGAACCAGGTCGAGCTGCACCCGCTGAACAACCAGGCGGAGCTGCGGAAGTACTGTGCCTCGAAGAACATCTACGTGGAGGCGTGGTCGCCGCTGGGCCAGGGCAACCTGCTCGCCGATCCGCAGCTCACGAGCATCGCCGCGAAGCACCACAAGAGCGCTGCGCAGGTGATCCTGCGCTGGGACATTCAGCACAACACCATTACGATCCCCAAGTCTGTGCACAAGGAGCGCATCGTCGAGAACGCCCAGGTCTTCGACTTTGAGCTGAGTGCGGAGGAGATGGCGACGATCGACGCGATGAACACGAACCACCGCTACGGCCCCAACCCCGACGACGCCGATTTTTAGTTTCTGGCTGTGGTTATTGAAGCCAATGCATTTTCTTCGTCTTCTCCGGGATGTGTCGAAGGAGTTTCCTTGTAAAGGCTGGAGGTGCGTGCATGACATCGGAGTGGTGATGCATCAAAACCGCAAATAATTTTCAAGTGACGCTTTCTTTCTGATTTGATTTTTCTCATTATTATTCTTCTCAACGTAGAGCCTGTTCGTGGGATAGCGTGCACCTTAGCCAGACACTGGAAGCGCGCTAGAGCGTTGCGCTATCAGGTTATCGCCAGCAAACCCACTCAACGAAGCACCTCTTGTTGTCTCTCTTTATTTTTGTTTCTCTTCTCTACCGTCACAATAGGACAATGCTTTCCATGAGTGGTACCCTTTCCCTGCGTCGTCTAGGTATGAGCGGCTCTGTTGCCGCCGCCTCCTCGCCGCAATCACGGGGGGTGGGCCACGCAGACCTACTCTTTCCATGTGGGGAATGAGATGGTTTTGCGTCTCCCCCGCGCTCGCACATGTACATCGAAAGGAGAGCCAAAGCACCGTTTCCTCAAACGCAAGCGGTACGCGCCTGCTTCATTGCAGGTGAATGAGGAAGCCGCTCCAGCTCAGACGGTATGGCTCGATACGCTTTCACTTAACGCGGTTCTGTTGTGTGTCTCCTGTCCTGTGTGCTGTGCACCTTGCGCTCTCCCCTCCCCAACTGCCACCCTGTCTGCCCTCTCCGCACCTCTTCACGATTCACCTAATAGCGATACACCATCTCTTCATTACAACCCCATCCTCCTAACCTCCCCACTTCCCGCCCAACATGTCCGGAGTTGGCAACACCGTCGTGACGCTGCCCAACGGCGTCAAGATGCCGCAGATCGGCCTCGGCGTGTGGCAGTCCGCCGCCGGTGAAGCCACAGAGAACGCCGTGAAGTGGGCCGTGCAGGCCGGCTACCGCCACATCGACACCGCACCCCTCTACGAGAACGAGGAGAGCGTCGGTGTGGGCATCCGCGACTGCGGCGTGCCGCGCGAGCAGATCTTCGTCACATCCAAGTTGTGGAACGCGGACCACGGCTACGAGAACACCCTCGCCGCCTTCGAGAAGAGCCGCAAGGAGCTCGGCCTTGACTACATCGACCTCTACCTCATCCACTGGCCGCGCGGCAACGCTATCGTGGCCAAGGAGGGCAAGAAGTACCTGGACTCGTGGCGCGCCTTCGAGAAGCTGTACGAGGAGAAGAAGGTGCGTGCGATCGGCGTGTCGAACTTCAACATCCACCACCTCGAGGACGTGCTGGCGATGTGCAAGGTGGCGCCGATGGTGAACCAGGTCGAGCTGCACCCGCTGAACAACCAGGCGGAGCTGCGGAAGTACTGTGCCTCGAAGAACATCTACGTGGAGGCGTGGTCGCCGCTGGGCCAGGGCAACCTGCTCGCCGATCCGCAGCTCACGAGCATCGCCGCGAAGCACCACAAGAGCGCTGCGCAGGTGATCCTGCGCTGGGACATTCAGCACAACATCATCACGATCCCCAAGTCTGTGCACAAGGAGCGCATCGTCGAGAACGCCCAGGTCTTCGACTTTGAGCTGAGTGCGGAGGAGATGGCGACGATCGACGCGATGAACACGAACCACCGCTACGGCCCCAGCCCCGACGACGCCGACTTCTAAGCGTTTGGCGCTGAGTGGACGGTTCCCCCCCGATTATTATTACTATGATGACCTGTTTTTATGTTTCTCTTTTAAGAATCTTTTTTTTTCGTCTCTCGATACGCGAAATTAACTGCGAAATGGCAAGGAACGATTGTTAGTATAAGAGACACGCGCACTATTTGCACCCTGCGAACGGTAGTCCTTCTTTACACAACTGTCTACTATGTAGCGACACCATTCTCGCTGTTGTGCCCCCTTCTTTTAGCATGGGTTTTTTATTTCTGTGCTCGATGCGAGGTTCTACGCTTTTTGCTACTGGAATCGTGCCGTGATGCGGCACATGACTTTTCACGCGCGCTAGCGTACACGCCTGTACATCAGCCTCGCATAGGCTGCACACCCCAACATCATCAAAACGCATTCAAACGCATCCACAAACAGTCGTACCCCCCACTCGGCTGCAGCGAGCCGTTTTGTTCTCCTGGGAGCCGCAGCACGTTCTGCCTCTTCACGGAAACGCGAGCGTCGTATGATGAGGCGCGTATGCCGTGGTCCTTTCTGCTGTTCCCCGCTTGCCCTTCTCTTTTGCTGGCATGGGCTGCGGGAAGAGCTACGAGACGCAGCGCCACGTGCTTTCTGGGCAATCTTGACTGGCGTGGACTTTCCCCTCATTTCTTCATTCACCCCCTTCTCTCTCTCTCTCTCTTCCCTTTCGGCTTGCGTATTGTTTGCCGTTTAGCACACAGCTCTAACCGCACGTAAGCACTGCTGACTTCTCGCTGCGACCTCCTGCTCTCCGGCTGGACTGTTGGACTCGGCCCACGCAGCCGTTGCCGCTACAACAGTAAAGTACGTCGTTCTCTTCACGTTGGCTGAACTCCTTGTTTTTGTCGAGCAGCGGTCACTTGGCGGATTGCCCTCCGCAGTCATCTCCCCTCTTGCTTGTTCTCTTTAGCTTTTCTTAGTTTTCCAGTTTCCCCTCTTGGATTATTTCTTTTGTTTTCTTGTTTCTGTGTACGTTTGTTACGGCTTTCAGATCCGTGCTTCTTGTTTTGCCTCTGTGAGAGACTTAGTGCTCTCACAGGATTCAAAAGCGATTCAGCTCACGAGAAGGCGGAGTCTCGTTGATCTCTGTTGTCGTCACCGTAGCACTGAGCGCGTTTCATCCGTAGGGTCCGGCATAGGCGTACCCGCAATCCCTTTCTTCTTTCTTTTTTGTTTGTTTTTGTTGGTTACTACGAATTCTCCTTGTCTTTTCTTGTTTTTCACTCTTCTTGGCTGTTGGCGGGTTAGTGGCACATGTGACGTTGTCGCGCTGGCGTTGCACCATCGTGGTCCCTGTGCGGCTTTGCATATATTTTCCTTCTCTCCTGTCTTGTTTTTTGTCTTGTCCTCCCTTCAGACTCCCTTCAAACGGCTTCACTGTCTTTTTTGTTTTGGTGAGTGTTGTTCTCAGAGCACAGAGAACCCGCTCTTGTCTATCCTTTCGGTGGGTGCTGTTGTGCCTCTCTCCCCGTGACCCGGACTCACCCATCGCTGTGGAGTTGTATTGTTGTTGTTACTGCTCACTTCCTCCATACCGTTCTCCCTGCCCCCACCCCACTCCCCGCTCCTCCCGCTCCCATCACCTAGTGACGGATAGTCCTCACGGGGTATTCTTCGTAGTATTATTATTGTTATTATTTGGAGAATTCACTCGCTTTACCTGCTGCCTGTACAGTGGTAAAACTGAATACGCTCCGCTTTTGCGTCTTTTCATTCCAAGCTTCAACACACAACAACAACCGGGGAAGCGAATCGCACGGCAATCGCAGCCACGGTGACCGGCTCTTTTTTTTAAGACTCGAGCCCACACAGGCGTAGACAATGGAGCGGCGTGGTAGCAACATCGAAACCAGTGCGGTACGGCACAGCCGGCGCCGCTCTGCCGTGACGATCATCGCGCCAGGCGAGGAAGCGAACCCGTTTCAGCAGGACGCCGTCAACGTCTCTTTCCAGAAGCAGTCCCTCCCCGCGTACTCGCGCTTTGACAACTTTAAAGCCAACCCACGCGAGGAGGAGGACGGTGTGAACGAGGTGCCCGCATCCGCCCCTCGTGGACCTCCACCATCATCATCAGCGGCGCCTTCGGCCTCTGTGATGCCAGGCCGTGTAAACGGCTTACCGAATGATAACACGGTGACTCGCAACGGCGCTTCCGCACGCAGAGCCCTCAGCGCGCCGTTAGAGCCGTCTCGATTCGACGGGCCGCCGGCAGCTGACTGGGGCGCCGTCCCGGTCTCCGCATCAAAGTGCATGAGTGGCCTCCACGTCTTTCCGCAGACGCCCCCCACCGTCGCCGTCGCGCCGGCGCAGCTCACACTGACGGTCCGAAATGGCAACGTCCTCGTCGCCGCTGCCGCACCGCCGGCCCTTCAATTCCCGTCTTTACCGAACGGGCGTAGCAACCGGGGTGGTTCTGGTTCGGACACCCCGGGGGCACACGCAGGGCGTGGAGCCAACAGCACGCCCGTCGCCGTCGCCGTCCTCGCAGGAGTCCCCCCTCGTCGAGGCGGGCCCGTGCCCCAAGCTGCGTCGAGCAGCACGGTGAATGGTATCAGCCCGGCGGGGAGGCTGTCCGTCACGAGTAGACGAGGTCAGACGCCTCCACTGGCATTCCAGCAAAGTGCGCTTTCACACGCCGCTTCTGCGGTCGGCCCATCTGTTGGATTGAACGCCAGCAGCATGGGTGCTGTCTCGAGAAATACGAGCAGCAGTGGTACAAGTAGGAGTATGGGAATAAGCTCTTATGCCTCGGCCCCGCCGCTGCAGCCACCACCATCCTCCGCCGCGGCAAAATGGACGTCGGCGGCCCGCCGTCAGCAACTGAACGCCAATGCGGGCTCGTACAATAGCGGTCGTCGTGCCACGGTGCCGCAAGGGGGTACACCGCAGCGGCGCGGGGAGCAGCAGCAGGTGCCGCATCCCCCGTCACGCGGCAGCGCCACTTCCTCCGCCTCCGTCTCCGCGTACGAGGAGGACGGCAGGAAGGCATCCGTGTTGGAGTTATCAAGTTTGCTGTCCAGTACGGCTGCCTCCGACACAAGCAGCACGGCGGCCAGCGATGACGGCAGAGACTCATTTGCTCGCTACTCCGACTCCGGCCGTGATCCGTCGATTGTGATTGAGGAGGGCGGTGCGGCGGTGGGGCCCTCAGCGGCGGCGGCAGGCACGCAGTCCCCAACGCCGGACTACTGCGATTTCTTGAAGCCCGCCCTGCGAAGGAAGCTGGCCGAAATGGCAGAGACCCCCGCGTCGCCTCCGAAAAGGCAGAAACAGCATCCGATGGACACGAGCACCCGTGACGGTAGCACCAACCCCAGCGCAGGTGAGGGGGAACGCGCAACAGCCGCAGCAGCGAAGAAGACGGATGCGTCGTCTACGCAGAACGGAAAGGGGAGTCGAAAGGGCGAGAGTAACCCGCTGGGTGGCCTCTCCCTGAGCCAGCGAGAGCCGCTGACGCTGTCAGACATTTCCAATTCCTTCCAGTCTCCTTTGTTTTTTACGCCTCTCGAAGAGCTCCGCGAAGCAGTGCAATTCGATGCAAAACCCACGCAGTCGAATGACCACTCACCAGTCACCTCGACACCCGCAGCGGACGTGTCAGCGACGGAGCGGAGTGGAAGCTCACTGGCTGATTACAGTCTCACAGACACGGCCACTGATGCAACTGGATCTGGTGTAAACCCGGACTCCTTGAGGGGTCCCGTGAATGCGCGGCAGCGAAGGAACCGCCCCGTCGTGCGGCTCCCGTCCCCGGTCGAATTGAACAGCGTGCAGCAGCGTGGGAAAGGCAACGGCCCGACTACATCCTCGCCACCGTTGCTCGCCACCAAGCACCGCGCCAACCTGGCACACCGGCATGGCACCAACAGTAGAGAGCAGAGCGTTCGGGCAGGCGCCACGACCGCGGCGGGCAAAAGCATCAGCGTGGATAGCTGGGATTTTGACTATCTGGTCAGGAATGGACTCGTTCGTGTCACAGAGAAGAACGAGATCCTTGATGAGTCTCCGTCGGCACCACACGTCAACGTTCCTGGAACGTCCGCCGCGGCCGCCCCTTCGCCCACGTCAACCGGCACTACAAACAACCACCGCAGCAGCAGCAGCAGCAGGGCGGAGCAGAAGTGGCTCGTCACGCAGTCCCTCAGCATTAACCCGGCAGAGTTCTCGTTCGATCACCTCTCTTTGAATCAGCAATGCAGCACGGTGGCGAAGCTGCGTAGGGTGTTTGAGTCGCAGCGGAAACCCATCGCGAGAGGCGACGGCGGCGCTGCGAACCCGTCCAGTACGGTCAGGACACCACCCGAACAAACAGAATCGCCGAGAGGGAAGGAAAGCGGCTCCCTCGCGCGGAAGCAAAGCAACTCGCTCGCCCTTTCGACAGGCAGCACCGTGGCAGCCCCGTGCAGTGAGGAATCCAGCAAAGCATCGTCGGTGGCGGACGGCGGCACGGATTCGGGTCGCAGTGCGGTGGTACGCACCTCCGTCTCCGCGCCCTCCACGGAGTTCAGCTTCAACCGTCTCACCCCTCCGCGTTCGGCGGATACGAAAGCAATGACTCTGCCGCCGATTTCAAGCACTTCTCACCCAAACCCGGCACCTATGAGAGCTACCAGTTTTCCCTCCAATGCATCTGGAGATGATTTTCACCTGAGCAGGGGCACAAGCAGCACGGACGGTGCATCGCCGATCTATTCAAACTTCACCCCTTCACGATCGAAGGGCACGAACGCCACGCTGCTCTCTTTGTCGATGCCTGCCGGCGACGCAGCCTTCTCGCTGTCCCGCTTTCACAACCTCAACTCCTCCTTCGACACCGTCAACATGTCCGACCACCGCGATGTTTGATGCCTCTTTTGGGGCGATGCTGAGGCCACACCGCGAAAGGGTCGAACAGCGCCAGTGGGTCATGGCCGTTGACGGGGGGCGGGGAGAGAGAGAGAGCCACTCCTCCGTTTGTTTGGTGCTGGATTGATAGGTTTGGTTGCCATTTTTGTTTCCTTGATATTTTGAGGGTGTTATACTTTCCTTCTTTCTTTTTTCCACGCGGCGCGTTTGTTGTTTTTCGAAACGACAGCGAAAAGGAAATGAATACAATGTGCATCGAGAAGCATGTTGGTCTGACGTGTGTAATCGCGTGATGCGTCCTTTTGATGTGTTGCCTTTTTTGTTATTTCTCCCTTTTCTCTCTTGGAAAGAGAAGGTAGAATTGCCGCGCTCTTTTTTTTCTTTAAATCTTCTCTCCTCTTAAGATATTTAGTTCCGGTTACTTTCTTCATCGCTGATGTGCGCACCTCACCCCTTCCCATATTGAAGTTCTCTCTTTACGAAATAGTCGGAAGAACGAGTCGAGTGGCTTGTTCGCTTCCTGCCTGTTCTTGTTGCTCTGCTCCAAAGCGTGGATTTCACCTTTCTTTTGTTTTTTTCCGTTCTCTTCTCAGTGCTCGTGTTTTTTCTTATTTTTGTTTTTTTGCTACATGGAGAACGCAGGCAAAAAGGTGTTTGTAATTGCGGCGCCCTTTTTCTTTTCTCTATTTATTCCTCCCCCTTTTTTTTCTCTCTTTGCTTCTTCGCTTACTCTGGTCCTTCGCTGTGGAAGACACCTTGGCCAGTCCATCGCGAGTGTCTCTAGTCATTGATAGCTATAACATCGTCACCATTTGTTTTTCTTGATAAATGTTTTTTTTCTTTTGAGAGCTTGCGCCAGGAAAAAATCGCCGGGAGATGAATCGAAAGCTTCATGTTGTACTACTATCCCTTTCTCTTCTCTCCTCTCCAGTCGACCTCTCTCCAGGAAAGGCTGTTTTCTTTCTTCCCACCGTCCCGCCCCTTTTCCAACCCCAAGATGTGGAAATGCAGACGATCTGAGTCTGCAAGAAACTCCCATTCGTAAAGTTCTAATTGATTCAAAAATAAATACAAAAAGAAAATAACGCCGTCTACCCTTTAAGGAAAATGAAAACGATACAGGGATGTAACGACACTGTGTTGCACTTTATTGATCTTTCTCCTTTCTCCTTTCTTCTTCCTTCCTTCCTGATCTGAGAGTAGTCGACTAGAGTTTTTCTTGCTCCCAACCTCGCGCGCCTTCATTCGTCTAATTTTATTGTATTTGTCTTTCAGAGGCTCTCTCGCAGCACCTTCTGTTCTTGCTCTTTTTTTTAAATATTTTTTCGTCGTACTGCTCTCTCTCTCTTTCCCTCTCTCTCTCAGGCTGTCTGCTCTTGGGCGTGCAGTTCGGTGTAGGTAGCACCGGTGCCGCGTGTCTTGAGGGCAACTCTTTCCTCCCTTCGATACGGTAAAAATGTGAGCGATAAACGGTTTAGAGCGAAACAAAAAACAACAACCAAAAAAAAAAGAAATAATAGAAGACACCAGTAACTACTGCCCTTCGTTCTTTCCTTCTGCGTCGATGCCTAATCGAACGTCTTCAACTTTGAACTGGTAGGTGCTTACACGGTGCCGATGGAATCCACCATGCGACGCCGTGTTCACGACCGTTGTACGTTGCTGATTCAGCTGTCAAAGCGAGCACTCGTTCACCCAATAAAATTGTGGCGCCGCACGTTTGCCGCTTCTCCACTTCATCCTTTTCGCCTCTTGTCTTTTTCTCCTCCCCTCACTTTGTTCACTGCTTCGAAACAAAAGAAAGCCGGAGAGGGTTTTGCAAACGCCTGAATTGTGCAAAACAAAACAGAAACCCTTTATATACTTATGTACAGCACGACGTAACACAACTCTGTATCATTTTTATTTGTGTGAAACGTCAACCCCCCCCCCCCGCGAAATCGTTGTGCCCTATTGTTTTTTAACTTTTCTTCTCCTTCTGCTTTTTTCGGTTTCGCCGTTTCTTCGGTCGTCGCCAAATTCTTGTGTAGAGATACCGACAGAAAGCTGTTTTTTTCTGTTTATAAGAGCTGCCTTGAAATCGCTCTCACGTTTTGTTGTTGCTGCGCGAGGTGCGTGAACATCAACAGAAGTTAAACCTCTTCATTTTTTCCTTCGTTTTTTAATTATTTTCTGATATGATACGTATTCGTTTGAACACCTGTAGAACCGTGTTCTGTGCTGTTGCTCTCCCCTTCCTCTTCCCCATAGCCTCCCTGTTGGGTGCTGTTTTCCATCGGTCCACACGTCACAACGAGAGTCCTTTTGATCCACCCTCAAACGGCGTACCGACTTGGAGCTCTCTCTCCCTCCACTTCTCTTTTCCCAATACCACAAGCATTTGCGTACGCAACGCACCCACACACACTCACACAACGTCGTTTTGGTTTCCTACTGATAGCTCGGCGTTAAGCTCATTTAATAGTCGGAGCAAATCCACTTCCCTCCCTCTTCTTTTCAAAACAAAGCCAAAGAGAATCCGCGTCAGCCATGTACGAGTACGGCCAGAGTGGGATGGACACCGCACTCTCACAGTTCCCGCCTCTGCAAACCCCGTCCACCAGCCCGGGCGACGAAAGAGGCGAGTTAAACTCCGGCACGATGCATCTGGGCCGCCGCCGGTCCAGCGTGCGCCTCATCCCAACCACCGACATCGACAAGGAGGTCGATGACCGGCAGTCGCAGAACTTAGCTCACTCGAAGAATGAGCTGCGACGCCGCAGCAGCGTTCACATGCGACAGCGCCTGCTGATGCGGCAGCAGATGATGATGCGGATGGGGCAGCCACCGCGACGGATATCGCTCCAGGGCGACCCGCGTCTCACGCAGGCAGTACCCCCACCTCTACAGCAACTGCAGCCACAGCAGCAAGTTCCCTACGTCCGTCAACCAGTGCGACGTACCTCCAACAGCTCCGCAGACGTGGCGCCGACGCCCCCGCCGCTGCCGCCTCCGCAGCCACAGCCACAGCAACCAATGACCGCAGCTGAAGGGTGGAATCCTCGCAAACCGGCGTCGAACCTCAACGGGTCTCCGCCAGCTTCGGCGGTGCAGCAGCGCGGCTCTCAATATCAGCCAGCGCAGAAAGGACCACCGCCGCCGCAGCAGCAGCAGCAAGAGTTGCGGGTCCGTCACGAGTCGGAGGCGGTGCCATCGCAGTCTGCGCGGCGTTCGACTATGCTGGCAGAAAAGGCGAAGCAGCAGAGTCGCTACCGCCGCCGCTCCGAAACACCAGCGAACGCCTCGCCGCCGGAGGAGGAAAAGGAGAAGAAAGCAACGCCGCCGCCGTCCTTCACGAAGCGCCTCAGCATGTTTTTTGCTCCGTCGTCGGCGCATCGGCGGGAGTCAAAGGACGACAAAAACGAGTCGAGCAAGCACTCAAGGAGAAATCACGGCTCACACGACCATCGGAGGAACGATCACACAAAGGACACCAAAAGCAAGAGCAACGACAGGAAGCACCGCCACAAGAGCACGCGCAGCAGCAGCCATCGCGTGACGAGACTGTCCGCCGTAGAGGAGGCCGCGCCGAAGAACCGGAGTGAAAAGGCGCTTGAGGAGCTCGACAGCGTGCTGGCAAACCGGGAGGAGGCGATGAAGCGCCCGAGTTTGGTCCAGCGCACGCAGTCTTTTTTTGGCAGCTTTGCGCATGAGTCCGACCACAGCGGCGACGACGACGATGTGAAGGTCGATGAGTGCGACCGGCAAGCCTCCAACTCCTCGCCTTCCTCGTCGGACTCGGGGACGGACTCGTCTTCACCGGACGACAATCCCCGTCCTATCAACGACAGTGCAAATCCAGAGGAGGCAGACACGAATGGGCTTCACAACGACTCCGCAGCAGCAGCAGCAGCACGCGAGACCACGGAACGAGGAGCGGGGGAGAGGGAGGACAACGGTGCAGGGGCGGAGAGCGACAACATCACGCCGTCGCCAGGAGTTGAAAGTGCAGACGTCGGTAACGGCAGCGAACAGGGAGAGCGCAACCGCACGGATACGGAGAACATCGACAACGACGGCGGCGGCAGCGGCGGCAGCAGTGATGACAGCAGCTCCTCCAGCGACGAAGCGAAGGAACATAACGAAGCGAGCGTATCGGAGAGACCGCTGCTGCCGTCGAATTCACCGAGCAATGAATGCGTCGCCTCCTCGTACTTCAAGATCGACACCTCGCAATCCACCAACGGCGAGTCGCCGTCGGACACGCCCAATGATCTGCCTGTGAATGTGAGGCAACAGCAGTTGGCGGCAGCAAACCAAGCGCGGGCCGCGTCAGTGCCGTTTATGTCACCGGTCCAGCATTGCAACGGCGGTGTACCACCAATTCAAAACGTCAACGACCACCGCCGCCAGACCGTGCCACAGCAAGCCAACTCGACGTTGTCCATGAACCCGCAGCCGCCACTGCCAGTACCACAACCGCAAATGCAGAAGGGTGTCAGCATGCTCTACCCACGAGACGACATGCGCCATCAGAACGCCGCTCCTCGCCAAGCCACTGTTCCGGAAGGGCGCAATCCGGTCCTGCTGCCACCTCCCGGACACAACTCCTTCAGCATGCCCAACGGCTTCATGACACCGCCGAACGGTGCGATGATGATGAACCAGCAGCGGAGTTTCATGGTACCCCCGGGCGTCCCACCACCGATGATGACGATGCGTTACCCAATGCCACGGCAGGGCTACCCCATGCCGATGGCTCAGCAGCAGCAGCAGCGGCAACTGTTTCTTCAGCAACAGCAGTTTGCGAAACAAAACCAGCAATTTGCTGCGCATCCGCAGCGGCAGTAGCGAGCGAAGTCTTTTTAACGGACTGGTACTGGCGCAAAAGTTCAAATGAAAGTAAAGTCATGTGCCTTACTAACGGTTTGTCGCCCTCACGCAGGCGTCGTTCGCGATGCGTGTGGGGGAAAAAAACAGCAGCAGTCGCTGTACTTGATTTAGTTGGACTGATTGTTGTCTTTTCATGCTGCGTGGCGGCGTTGGGGTTTCTCGCCGCCGTTTTCTTGTCTGTTCTTTTCAACTCGGAGAATCGATGCTTTGCCATATGTGTTAACGCGAAGAAGTGTGCAAAAGGGAAAACTCGTTGATCACAAGCAAGGCGTTGTGCGATTGTTTCTTCTCTATTTTCCATTCTCCATGTAGCGGATTCGTTTTTACCGCCGAATTCTAATTTATTCCAGATAACGTGGCTATTCCGATTTTGTTGTTACGCTTGTTCCACCTCTCATCTATCTCGTAGCGCTGCTTTGCCGCTTCCCACGAATTCAATTACCATATATATTTTCTCTTCTCCAATGTTTGGTACCTCCCCCATAAAATGTGTTTTATCCGACTTTTCTGATTTTCTTTTCTTTCTCCGGTTGATCCAGTTAAGTTAAATCAGCCACGAAATGTATATATATGTGTGTGTACTCATTCCACTCCTTCTCTTCTCTCTTTTTTTTTTTCGAGGGGTATATTTGGAGATGCTTCCTGGAAGGATGTCGACGAGGGCAAGGGTTGAAAGTTGGGTGGAGCCAGGAGTGTCTTTGTATCGAATGCAGGTGATCTGTCAGAACGGTCCAACCGTGTCAATCCGTGATGTTTTTATCTGTTTTTCTCTCTCCTTTTCACACTCTCTACTATACGAAACGATGTTTTGTTACTCGTTAGAGACACGATTTTTGCTCTCATTTTTATTAAAGCCGAGGAATGCTGACGACGGCGAAATGGAAAGAGGAACCGCAGCTGCCCGTTTGGACGGTGAGTTCCAGGAGAGAATGTTGTGGGGCATGTTTTGTGTGTCTGTTTTCTTTTCTTCTTTCTCGTGTTGATTGTTTTTTTTTTTGTGGCTATGTACTAAGTTTTAGTGGACGTCAACGTTGTTAGTGGTCGTCGCAGCTACACCCGCTTGCCTGGCTTTCCTGCTTTGTGGAAGCGACCCATATACAGTGCGAGCGATTTATGTATTCTTTCTTTTCGCGTTCTGTGGCCTTCACCGTCGCCTCAGTGTGTCGTACGGTGCATCATCGATCGGCTTTCTTTTGATGTCTCTTCTTTATTTAGTTTGCTTTTACATATTACTTCCTTTCGCTCTTCTTTTTATTATTATTATTTTATGGAACTCACAAATGAGCGTAATACGTTTGGGTTTGCTTCTCCACTTTGGCCTTTTCATTGCGCTGTGTGTCCATCTCTCTCTTAGGACTTCTATCTCTATATTTCTATCTCTCTACTTCTCTCTCTATATATATAATATAGGTAGTGTTACGACGCTGCTGCGTTGATGTGCCGGTGTAAACGCGTACTTCGCCACGTTAAAAGTGATGTGTCACCACTCCTTGTTATGTGAAGTATTATTGTTTCATTGGTGGTTTTTTTTCTTATTTCTTTCTTAGCGTGAATGCGTTCCCTCTTGCGACTCTCACTGGTTTCTTTTTGGTATAAAAACAAGAATGCGTCGCGACACTCTTCACTACACGCCCACAGCCCACACAAATAGCCACCGCTGTTCGTGTTTGATTTGTTTTGTATTGTCTCATTAAGTCTTGATTGTCTCCGCACGCAGAGGTGCCTATTGTGTTTACTTCCATTATAAACTTATTTATTGTGATGATGAACCGCTTTCCGTACTCTACTGTGAATGCTCCGCCAGCTCCCACTTCGTTTTGGAAGAGAGAGGGAAGGGGTGGAGTGAGTTGCGAGGTTTTCTGCGAAGAGCTGGAACGCAGGTGCATTGCCGCCTTCGCGCTGCAGCCCTCTTTTCCGACCGCAGCTTTTTGAGGGGCATTGGTTATTGACTTCGACGGAAGCATTCATGTGATGTGCTTTATAGTGCTCAAAGCGGAGAATATCTCCACAGATTGTTGTTTGTGAAGTGGCCTCTCGAATCCGATCTCAACGGGCGTAAGAGCCATTTCTGTAATATGTCTTGTTTCTTTGGGTGCTCTCCATCCTCCTACTTCATTTCTCCTTCTCCCCCCATCTTCGTTTCTCCTTCTACGTTGTTTCTGAGGTGTGTGGTGTTGGTGTTGTAATACTGCGAAGAAGGACTGCGAGTCAAGAGCAACTAGCGAAGTTCTCGTGCGTGTTTTTGTGGGTAGTATTATTTTTTGTACTAGCGCACTTCTATCGCCTTCACGCACACGACCTCGTGCACCCTCCGTACTGCGTAGCCGCCACCAAGGCACTGCAAACAGAAAGGTAGGTCGCTGAGCCGCGCATCTCCGCATAAAGGCTGCGTCAAACCCCGCCTGGATAGGAGCATGCATGAAGTCCCACGGCTGCACTGACGACAGCGAATCCTACGCCTCTCCTCTTATCGCGCTGGTAGTGAAGCACGCTTCTCCTTTCAACGAAGAGCTTAACTGCGCCGACGCCGAGCACCACACCACCCGTCGCACGCATCGAGTGGAGCACTCACACACGGGGCCAAAGAAAGGCAAGATCATACGTGTCCACCCTGTGAGAGGCGACGCCTCATCGTCGCTCTCATCGTCCCCCAACGACAACGGCAGCATCGCCGGCATCATTCGCAGCGGTACGGCGGCAGTGGCCGTGCCGATTCCGGCGTATCTTCGATCATCCAGTAACCGCGACGGTGGCTCGCCTGCACTGTCTCTCGTCACGGAGGATGCGCTGGGGGGTGTGCTAGACCGCCAGCAACCCTTCGCGTCCAACGCGATGACCTCGAATAGCGGCGGCGGTGATGGTCGTTTTGGCGGGGCGACGTGGAAGGCCGCTTCACCCGCGTCTCCACCACCCTCGGAGTCGTACCAAACGGTGTCTTTCTCCCCCGCGCCGCTGCAGCCCAGCACGATGGGGTACGCACGTGATGGCTACCCGCCCGTCATCTCCTCGCTGCCGCGTGCATCTTCGCAGGGCCGCCTGCCGGAGGTGCAGCCGACGCTGCGAGGCATCGCCACGGAGGCGCACCCCGCTGTGCCGTGCAACACACACCGAGTCCAGATGAAACCGACCGGGCCGCCAGTGAACGTCACAGTGATGGGGGCGGGTAGTAGCAGTAACGACAATAGCAGTAGCGGTGTGAACGGCAGAAGTGGCAGTGCTATGGCCTCCGCCGCGCACGGACTACCTCACCAAGTGAGCGGCCGAATAGGGGGAAACGTGGCTGGTGTACCAATGAACGGTGGGGTAGCAGGTCTGCAGAACGCGCGCTACCATCAGCCTTCTTATCCCTACATGATGTCCGGTGGGATGAATGGTGTTGCTGGTAGTGGTGGTGGTGGCGGCGTCTGTAGCAGCCATCCGCCCGCGATGCACATGATGGGCGGTCCCCCATCGTATTGTCTGCGTGCGGGGTGCGGCTACCCGAGCATGCTGCCCGCCACCTCGTCTTTCCGCCCAGGCGCTATGATGGGCAACCCTCCCACAGACGGCCCAGGAGCGATGAACTATAGCGACAGAAGCAACACCACCAACGCGAACACCAACAGCTGCAGCAATAGTAGGATCGATGGTGGTGGTTATTGCGGTGGGCTGCCTTTCATGCCTCCAGCCAATGTCTTCTACCCTGACACGACCTCGCAGGGGCAGAACGGATCGTACCGGCAGGGCGGGGGCGTCTACGGGAGTATGCGAGGTGCACTTACACTGAACCACCATTGCATGGCTCCGATGGTCGGGCAGCCATCCTTTCTGCAGACATACAACCTCTCTCCTCCTCCGATTGCACTGGGGGGACCAAACAGTGGGCTTACACCGCAGTCAAATGCCAACATCAGCAACAACCATCGCACGCAGCCGTCTTACGAGTCGCAGCATCAGTCGCAGAATCAGCGTGTCCCTTACGGCGGTGACGGCAACTCCTTCACACGGAACGACACCAACGATTCGCTGAGTCTCCCGGAGATCCGCCCGGCTTCACGGAAGTTGACGCAAGAATCTTCGCAGAAGAGAAGCGAGCAGCAGCAGCAGCAGCAGCAGCGGCGCACGTCGAGCAGGTTCGCCTCGCCGAGGTCTACGACGAGCCAGAAGCCCCTCTTCACTTCTGAGGAGCGCGTCCAGCACGACCGCAGACTGTCAAGTCAACGGGGGAGCGCCGTCAATTCGTCCCTCCCACGACTGCTCTCGCACCGCTCTGGCAGAACGTTCGACTCGCAAAGGAGAAGCTCCGCTGAGAGTGCGTCGTGCAGCTGCACGAGCTCGGCGGGTGCCGCTTCCTCTTTCCATCCAAGTATTTTTAAGCGCTTAGCGGTTCATTGCACCTGCATTGGGCGAGAAGCAGCAAATGGGCTCACGAAAGGTCATTACGGGGAGAAGCGTGCGAGCAGACCGCGTCTTGGACAGTATGCTTGCTTGCGCTATTCATCTGTGTCGTCTATCGCGTTGACTAACGACTCCTCCGCGCCTTCCTCCTCTTTCTTTGAGAGACGTGATAGTGCTAACGAAGGTGAGCGTCTGTTCACCAGATCGGATGACTCGAGCAACACAAGCAGCAGTGAGGGGATTAGCAGGCGTCCCTCTCCGTCTTCGATGTACAGCAGTTCGATGCGTAATTCGTACGGCGGCGATTCCAGCAGCAGGTCCATCGCGCAGCGTCGCCGCATCTACGTGAAGTCGCTGGATGCGAATGTCATCAAGCGCACTCTTCAAGCACGTCAAACGTGATGGCGGTGAGACGTTGTTGTTTCTTCTCGTTCGTTAAAAATGAAACGATGTATGTTAACGATTTTTTGCACGTACGTACTTTTCAATGCTATTTCCGTTGTTTTAGTTGTTTCCGCTTTTGTCTTCTCAGCATTTTCCATTTTCTTTAAGTGTGATGTTAACAACTATTGACGCCCCTATGTATCCGCCTGTGCGCGTGTGTGTGCTTTAATGCTGCCTTTCCTCTCTGCTTTCACCCAGTTGTAGTACAATACTATCCACTCGGATTGTTGTGAAAAGGAAGGCTAGTTTTTGTATGTGTGTGTGTGTTTTGGTATATCTCCTTCGGTGCTTTCGTCCTTCCTCCCTTTCCCTACTGGCGTGCTTCTGCACGAAGTAGCGCTTCCGCCAGTGGGTGTGTGTGTCGTTTTTCTCTCTACTAGTTTTTTTTTGGTTACTGCTGCTGTGGAGTAAGGCATGGCCGCAGCGTTTTCTCTCTTATTTCTGTTTTTCCGACAGTGGTTCGATGGACCCACATCAGCTCCCCGTTTTAAGGTGCTCCGTAGATTTATTGTGGGTGTTCGTAGAACCATGACGGCAAGACGGGCTTCTTCTGTGGCCCTGAAGCGTTCTCTTTTGATTATTATTATTGGTACGAAGTCTTGTGGGTTTCCCCCGACACCTCACCTTTTAATGTATGTAGTGTTTGAGGCGGTGGGTGTGTGAGGGAGTCACAGCAACACCGGCGGATGTCACACGGAGGCCCTCTGAACATCGCTTTTCCCCATGCCTCTTCTTTTTTTTCCTTTTATTGCTTTCTTGTATTTGCGCGTGGAAACCTTGGAAACCATCATGTAACTCCCACCCATTCGTTGGTGCGGCACTCGCCAGTTTACTTCCTTTTCCATTTTGTATTACTTCATCAAATCTTTTTAATAGGTTTTTTATTGAGAAATGTCCTTAAGTGTGTGTGTGTGTGTGAACAGCCCTCACGTGAGTGTTGAGGCCGCACTATGTTATTCTGTATAAAGCTTGGAACAGGGGCACGCCCTCTATGTTGGTTAAAATCGTTCGCTCTTCTTCTCTTTTTTTTCTTTCCTTTCTGTTGCTACCTGTTGCGCTTTCGGTTGACTCTCGTTGTATATATACCGATTGCCGCGATGCGTTCGTGGGTGCGTCGGAGACGTTGGAAAGAGAAAGAAAAGCAAGATATGCACCCGCATCACTCTGCGGATTGCTGACCCCGTTCGACGCGTAGGAATGACATAGTCTCTTCCCCACCGTGGCGCCTCCGAAGCCACTTCTTGGGTTGTAAAACATAAAACTGGCTCTCTTCGCTTTCATGGTGCATTGTTCTGTCGCTGCTGCTCGTGCCAAGTATACCAAGTAACCTCGCCTTTGCGTTCCTCCTCACAACCGTCCCGCCTTCTTTTTACCCCTCCTCTGAAGCCCGTATCTCTCGTGTTCCATTCGCAAAAGAAACACAAGCACACCAGAAATAATTCTTTTTGTTTGGAGCCTGCGCATGGAATGGCCTAGCCGAACAATTATTCATCCTCTCTCTCCCTCTTTCTCCCTTTCCTTTTGTTTTCCCCGTAAAGCCTGAGCGAGGAACGATTGGATGTATGAATGGTAAGGAGAGGTGAATAGTATCAATGATCCCCTGTTCTAGCCATTTTTCCTTTTCCTTCTTTCGCAGCGGTAGTCTGCAACTGTCGTAGTTCTTTCTTTCTCTTCCCGCCCGCCCAACCCCATTCCACCCCGCTTTGGAGGCGACTTTGTAGATGAAAGCTACCACTCCGTTAGTAATCTCAAAAGCAAACATAGTAGAACCGACTACGTGTATTCTCAGAAAACGCACCAGTGTTTAAGAGTTTTGTTTACCTCCTTTACTTTGGACAAAATAATCCTTCTGTTGCGCATTTGAGTCATCTTCTACCGAACCTTTACTTTCAACCTATTTCCCCTTCACCTTTCTTCACCTACATCAGCCACAATTATTCGAAGGTTTAAACCGTTCTTCTTTGTGACGGCACACACGTGAATGGAGGCACCGGGCAACGGACGCGGCGGTGGAGGCAGAGGTCGCTATCGTGGACGCGGCGGCCGCTATGGACGAGGCGGGCGGCACCATGATGCAGCCGCACCATCTCCACAGGGAACCAACAGTAACAGCCGTGTGAACGACGGAGAAGTCCCTCCCTCCTCCTTAGAGCTGGATGTAGAGTCGGTCACTATTCCACACGCCTTTGAATCCAGCTGCGCCCACGTGAAGCGGTGCCGTGAACGTGGCCGTCTCTTCCACCTCCCTCTTCCCAGCAGTGCCGTCGAGGACTTCGCCGTGGTGGAGCGCACCATCGGCGGCATAGACGATATGATTTACAATAAACATCGGGAGGTGTGGGAGCGGCTGCCGCGTGGCAACGCACGGGTTTACGTGAGAGAGACGACCGACGGCCCCTACGTACTGGTTGGGGCGGTCAACGGTTTGCGCAAGTTCGGCTACAACGACGCCACCTACGGCTACCCCGACGCGGTGACGACGGTGGTGGCCGTGGAGAAGGAAAACGGCGAGTGCGGCCACATTAGCGCCTTTGTACTGCCCCTCGCCGCGTCAGAGATGAACGCGCCAGCACGCAACGATGACGGCACCACCACGACGACCACCACCTCTGCGAAGAACCGCTTTTGGATTGTGGGCAGCAAGAACGTCCACGTCGTGCTGGACTACTACATCTCTGATGCCTGCCTCGAGTACTATCACGCCCTTGGCCGGCGCTACTCCTACGCCATCAAGATCGCTCGCTTGTGGAGGGCGATGCTGCATAGGGCCAGCGCAGAGACCACTACAGCGACGACGAACACGAACACGAGCGCCTCTCGCATGTTGACCGCTGCACAGGCACTGGCGTTCCACGACATGCTGCACACGCGCAAGTGGACGAGCTGCTTTGAGGCGATCTTCTCCGACAGTCAACACCTCGTGGACTACGATGGTGCGAATGAGCTCCGCTTTTACGCCCTCACGAGCAACGCGCGTGCCTTTGGCGCCCCACCTGCTGAGGCACCACAAAATGGAGCAACGGATGAAGAGGCCGCCAAAGGGGATAGTGCAGAGGTGCCGTCATCGACGCAGCAAAACGGTCCCTTCTACTCCCGCGAAGATGGCCTCTGCCTGCCGGTCAACGAGGCAGACGCGTTGTACACCGGCGTCGGTCTTGCTTTCTCGCACCACAGCAGCTCCGTCGTGTACAGGAGTGAAGACTACGCGAAGCTGGTCGACACGATTGGCCGGCGCAGGAACTCCGAAGGCTGCGTGATGTACGGCGCAGACGACGCCGGCAGAGTGGTGCGACTGTGGAAGGAGAAGTCCTACCCCTACGTGATGGAGCGCGCCACGCGAGAGGCGATCACGAACCACAAGCTGGCCGGCAAGGATCTTGCGGATGCCATGAGGAAGAAGCTAAAGCAGCAGCGGACGGAGCTGCGGGACTTCTTCAACGACTGGGAGGCCACGCGGATGCCGTGGCTGCTGCACTTTGCGGCCTGGCTGCAGATGACGCGTCGTCTTGCCCCGAGCATGCAGCGTGAGGACCTCTTTCGGCTACGCAATCAATGGCTCTCCCTTCAGAAGGAGTTTCAGGCCGACATGGACCGCGACCCGGAGCTGTACGACGTCTGTGGGCAGTACCAGCCGGACCCGGTGCAGTGGGGCTCCGACACGAAGGACCTCGACGTGATTAAGTTTGTCGGGCCGCAGGGCTGTGGCAAGTCGACCCTCAGCCGCGCGCTCTACGCCTTGCTGGGAAAGGCGCGGTACAACCCGCGGTGGGTGAATCAGGATGAGGCGGGCAACCGCAACAAGTTCCTCGCCTCGCTGCGGCAGGCCACCCACGCCGAGGCGGGCGTGACGCACCTCCTCATCGACAAGATGAACCTCGACGCGCGCATGAACCACGACTACGACAACCTCCCGCTCAGCGTCACCGTCGTGTGGTACCACCCAGACGGCGAAAACGCCCTTTACGACGTGTGCATCGAGCGTGTTCTCGGCCGAGGCAGCGGCCACCGCACGGTTCGCCTGGATCCCAGCCTGACACCGCCGGAGCGCGCCGCGGCGGAGCAGAACATCCGCAGCTTTGTGCGCAAGGCGGTGCGTGCCTGTGAGACTCCACAGGATCCGTCGGAGGCCATCCTGGAGCTGGACATCACCACCCCGCTGCAGGAACTCGTGCGAATGGTGTGGGCGAAGCTGCAGGAGAACGGCACGAACACCCTGCCGGCCATCACTGACGATGACATCCACGAGGCACTCACGGTCGCCCACCGCTACGAGGCGCTGCTGTGTGAACTGCCCACCGCACCCATCTACGCCTGCATTGGCCTGCCGCCGCAGGGCGACGAGGCCGCGAGGCTGCTCGCCATTGTGCCGCCTGCCTTCACAGACGGCCAGGTAGTGCAGGCGACCTTTCATGTCACGACAAGGTTTTTTGGTGGCGAGACGGACCCGGTGGCCTTTGTCGCCTTGGCGGAGCGGCTCGGGCAGTCGGTGACGCTGACGCTGGACTCTGTCGTGGGCGATGCCGACGGCGTGGCGGTGACCGTGCGGCGGGACGACGCGCGCTATCCCTGTGCCAACCCGGTCCCTCACTTTACGATATCGAACCGGAAGGGGGTGCCACCCAAGTACAGCAGCCAGCTCATCTCGGAGCAGAACTACCCCGGTGACTTGTCGCAGCGGCGTGTGGTGCGGCTGGCGGAAGGGATAACGGTGACGGGCGTGTTTGAGTTCCGCTAAGTGGCAGTGGAGGACTTCTCTCTTGAAGGGTGGTGTGAGGGTTTCTATCAGCTAAAATTGCTCCCTTCTCTCTCTCTCTCTCTGTTGGAAATTTTGGTTCTCTTGTTGTTTCTCTGTCATGCCCGTTGCTCACGATGCGGCTATGGCATCCGTCTTTGTAGATCACTTTGAAGGAAACTGCCATCCTTGAAAGTGTTTTCACCGATTATCCCTGGGTGCGTCGCCCTCCCTTTTTTTTTTTCAGGCGTGGCACTGCGATTGCGTTTATGAAAATGGACTCGGTGCACTTTCGGTGCGGGTCGCTTCGATGCTTGTGTCACCTTCGCACACGTTGTCTCTCTTACTCCTCGACTTCGCATCACCCCTTCGCAACGGCTCTTGTTTTCTCGCCTTACTCGTCTGCGTCTTTCTTCCGTCCGCTGTCTCCTCGCCGCATCATTTTGTGCGTAGTAAAAGAAGCTGTTCCACTGCACAGTCTCCACCCACCAGAACGCAGCAGCGCCGTCGCGTTGTGGTCATCGCGGAACGCTGTTTTGAACGTGTTTTGATTATCACAGCTGTGGCGGTTCTTATCTGAAGCAAAGCGACTTACCCGCACACGTGTGGTTGGCACGATTGTTGCTTTGGGGGGGGACTCCCGGTCTCTTTGTGGGCATCTCAACCACTACATATATGTGTGGCGAGTGCACCTTTGGGTTTGACTGCGGTATCTTTGCAAACGTCACTGCCTGCGCCGTCACTCACACACACAGACACGTGCAGATCTAATATCTTTATATTTTGTGACAACACGCAGTGTACCCTCTGGAGGTCGCTAAAAAGGGAGGAGTAACTGCCTTCTCCTTCTTTCTCAGTCTCCGTTGTGCGGGCACATGTCCACTCTTTCGCCGGATGGGGTCGCCTTTTCGATCTTCGTCAGTAACAAGCGCCGCTACGTAGTTCCCGTCAACGCACAGGGGGAGCAGCTCGGACCGCCTCTGCCTTTCCGCAACGCAAACCGGCGCAAGAGGAAGGGCTACGGTCCGGGCAGCAGCAACACCTCTCTCACGGAAGAGACGAGTTCGCCTTCGACGTCGCCCCTCGCTGATGCGGCGGCGTCACTCGAAGCCATCAGTGCCTCGCTCAGCTCCGACAGCAGCCACTCCTCTCCGAGTCGCAGCGGGCGCCTGCACCTCAGCCGCTCCGTCAGCTTCCTAGACAAAAGCACCGCCGGGCCGACGTACACGGAGCCGATCGACTCCCGCGCGAACAAGGAAGGGGCCCCGCCGTCCATCTTACAGAAGAAGAGCAGCTTCCGCATTACGCTGCGGCCTCTCTTCGACTTCGAGTACGAGCCGCCGCACCAGCCTCGTGACGACAAGAAGGCAGAAGCGGGGGCGAAAACAAAGGTGGAAGCGGCAACGGAGGAGGATGCGGTTGTGACGACGATACCCCTACACGTACCGGAGAGCGGGCCGCACCTGCCCTCGCTCTCGCCGCCCATTAGCGTTCCGGAAGACTGGGAAAGACCGCGCTCACCGCCATCACCGCTCGCACCGCACCGCAAGAGCGATCCTGGCATGCGCTTTGTGCGAGGCAGCAACGTTGCAGCAGCGGCGATGCCCGCCCGTGCGCCGCCTCCTGCCTCAGCATACGAGATCACAAAGCCGATTCCAGAGACATTTTCTTTTTTGACAACAACGTGGAGAGCAGAGGAGGCAGCGGGGGAGCTTACCAAACCTGCACCTCCCGTGCCAAAACCGCAGGAGTACGCGCCGTCTCCGTCGAAGGATGCCGTTGTCTTGGCTTGCACGACCATGTCATCGCCACCGCCAGATTACCTTTCCCGTTTGATGCCGCAGAGCTCCCTCCCTCGCGCCCTGAAGTCCGAAACGAAGGCGGCTGCGCCGGTCTCCCTCACACCCGAACCGCAGACGAGTGTGAAAAGAGTGGCACCGACGGCCACAGCAACACACGCACCGAGGCACCGGTACTACCGCCACTCCACGCGGCATCATACCGTCAAAGAAAAGGACGCACCGCCCAGCCAGAGCGCCACGGCTGCTGCGTCGGAGCCGAAGACGACGCAAAGGAAAGAAGACGTTAACATGCAGGGGGCGGACAGAGAGGAGGAGGAGAAGGTGGAGGGGCGGCAGCGGGAAGACAACGCGATCTCACCAGCGGAGCAGAAAAACACGCTCGTGAATGTGTTCCCCTCGCAGAAGCCGGAGGTGTACGAGTTCGATAGTCCGGCATCGCACTCCTCAAACTTCCACTTTCCATCAACTGCGAAAGTAGCGGCGGCGGCGAAATCAAACGAAGCGTATTCCACCATCTCACCGAGCAACTCAGCAGGTCGCCACTCCGCCTCTCCACGTCTCGGCGGCTCCCCTGACTTGGGCGAAACGCAGCTCAACAGCGCATTCGGCATCTACGAGGAGGTGAGCGTAAGTCCCACGAAAGCGATCGTCAGCCCTTCCGCGCAGTCGAACGAAGATCATTCCGTAGCGTACCGTTACCGCAGCCCGAAGCTCCTTACGCCAAAAATGGCCGTCTTTCCGGCCCGCAAAACGCTGCCGACTACGACAGCGGCGCCTGATGCGCACGGCGGGGAAGAATACCGGTGCGCATACCAGTCGCCTCCACTGGACGCTGTAACCCCCACGCTGCCGCCACCTCCACCACCGCCATCCGCTACCCCGACACCACGCCATCACGACTATGAGATCCGCGACCCATACACCGCGGAGGATGCGGTGTCTCGCAGCTCTTTGTTGGACACGACACTGCCACCCAAAGCTAAACGGCTACCCAGAAGAATCCCAGAACGAAAACCATCTTCAGACTCGTTTGTTCTTCCACTGCTCCTCTCCATACCTTCGCTGGTCTCACTGGTGCGACGAGGTACTCCACCGCGGTCCGTCTCTCTCGCCTCCTCCCGCAACAACAACTCTGCTTCTCCCGCGGGCAGCTCATTACTGAGGACCTCCTCGCCTGCCGACAGTAGCTGCTCCTACGAGTACGGCAGCATGCCCACGCTTTCCGACACGCTTTCCGGTTATGAGGGTGTGGAGTCTATCTCAGTAGAGAGCCACACCGGCAGCAACTCGAAAACCTCCACGATGTACTCCTCCGGCAGCAAACGTCGTCAAAGCAGTAGCCGGAGTCTTTGGTCGAAGATGGTGCGGCGCCTTCGCATGCCGCTGATCTCGAAATCATCGGATGAGGAGGTCACCCCGATGCAGCAGCTCAACCGCTATCGTAGTCGACGCGCCCTCGCCAACTCTCGCGGGTACGGCGAGTTGCGTGTCGAGGAGGTATGGAGCGGGGAAAGCAGTCTTTCTTCTGTGGAGACGGAAGGGCCAGCCGACCCGCTGCGGCGTCATCGTCGTGCGAAGAAGAGCAATATTTCGTAATCCAAAGGGGATGTGCAAAGAATGACGGTGATAACGGTCTTTGCCTTTGTCGTGAGTGGGTGCGTGAATCCGCACATATCTCTATTCCTTTTTTTAGCTTTGTGGGTTGTGTTATCATTTGTGCGTCTTCACCGGTATTTCACACCTTTTCCTTTCCTCCTTCTCCTCGCTACGTCTTTCTTGTTATTTCTCGCCTTCGCGTTTGAATGCGGTGAGAGTCTCTCTCTCTCTTTCTTCCTGTTATTTCTGAGGTATATTCCGTAGGTCGAGGGTCAGCGGGTGTGTGTTTTTGTTATTCTTGGATTATTTTTCCGTATTGTGCCGTCTCTTCTACTCGTTCTGCAGAGTCACTTTGGCAGCTCGGCCTTTCTTCTTTGTTTCCCTCGTATTCTGAACTTCGCGGCATTCCCAACCCTGCGCCTGTTGTGTTCATTACCGATATTATTCTTTATATTATTATTAATACTATTATTGCTATTGTTATGGTTATTTCGAAGCGACGGTATAAGCCCGTTCGCATGTCGATTGTCTCTTCCCCTCCTTCCCGTGCCACTTTCCCGTAATTGTAGAACCTTATGTATATGTTGCTGGTGAATGCAGATGCTGCGCTGAGCAGAGCTGACTTCCTTCCCATGTTTTTTTCTTTGTTTTTAACTATACGTCCCCCGTCTCATTGTATCTTCTTTTACTGTTATTATTTTCCCATTGTTGCGAGTGGTTCTGTTGCTCCGTCGGAGGGAACGGCCAGCACAGAGCGTGACACGCGCTTCTCTGAGCAGCCGCCACTATTTTCTGGATTTCTCATATTGTTTCTTTTCCATTTGCGTATCGCATCTCCCTTCACGTTTTCTTTTGTACTCTTCAATCAAATAATAAATATAGCCTTTCGTCTTTCTTTCTTAGAAACCCGAGAGAGAAAAGCTAGGCCTAACCGTCTGTGTCTTTGTGTTGCCGTCTGTATGGTGTTGTATGCGTCACCTTCTGCGGTGACTCATTTCTGTACGCGCCTGGATTGGGCGAGTTGTCGTGTGCGGGGAGTCATTTCGATCCCTATTCTTGTTGTTCTTTTAGCATCATTTCTCATTGTTCTCTCTTTGTTTTAGTCAAGTGTTCAATTTGTGTTTAGTGTAATCGTCTTTCCACGTTTCTCCGTCTTCCTGAACGCGTGTCTCTCACGTGTGAGCTGTATTGTGTTCGCTTATGGAAAAAAACAATGAACCCTGCCGTGTAACCCAATAGGCTGAGATGCACCGGAAGTCGGCAGCGTTTGCCTGGCAGTAAAAGTATAAAAATGGACGTGTACGCCGATCTGAATGTTCCTTCTATAGTATTGTCGAAGAATGGTGAGAGTTTCATCAACGTTAGATGCATCGAGAGTTTATCGGATATCATCCCTTGAAGCTGCTCCCTTCGACTCCGTAGTGCGTTATAGAATCGGTGTTTATTTCTTTCTATCCAGCTCCTTCTACTTACAAAACAAAAACGTTGTTTTTCTTCCCTCTGCGCTCCTCTTCCTTCTCTTCTTTCCTGATTTGCTGTTCACCTTCCCCTTTTCTTTGCTTCGGGGCTTTCCATTCCATGACCTTCAAAGTGTCAAACCTGTACGCAACGTAAGCTCATATCTGCCTCCTTGTTGTTTTCTAAGCTCTCTTTGGTCAGGTATCTCCACGCGAGCCATTCATTCGCCCCTCAAGTACGTTTAATATTTCCCAAGTAAAACCAAAGACCAATACACAGGAAAGCAGGTCTGCGCAGTGTCAACAACGCGTTGTATCATCTCTGTTAGCAGCCGGCATTTTGATATCTGAATTACAATACCAAAGAAGAAGGGATCAAACCCATATACACACGCATTAGACATTCGACACTATCAACACCTGAAATCACCCCTTCCTATGCCATTGGCCGCCGCCCTGTTTTGATGGGTGTTTTATCTAGAAGTGTGCGTTTTTTTTTTTCTAAGTAGCCGCTGAGCTTGCATGCACCGAATTTGTGTGTTCAACTCTTCTTTCTTTTCTTATCCTTTTGTTTAAACCTTGAAAGCTACTCACCTCTTTTCTTTTACATCTCAGTTCTCGTTGCTAATCGATCCGTTGCTGCGTGGCCTCTGTGTGGTGTTTCTCCATGACCCCGCTGTGGCACTAGAGAGCACCTTTTCTGTTTTCCCGTGCTATTTCTTTAAGCACTTACTTCTTGTACTTCTCTCCCCCTCCTCTTTCCACACGCACGCACCCACCCGGCCTAAACGAGACAAAACAAAGACTCCTTCGCGTGCTTCTTTTCTTTATTATTATTTATCTCTTACTAGTTTGCGGGGTCGTCGTTGCTGTTTATTTCAAGATCTTCCTCCTAACCAGACTTCACTGAACGGTGAAGCGAATCCTACACTCCTCCTTTCGACGTCCTTTGGGTGGGATTTCGGTTCATGTTCCCGGTCTAGCGCGGCTGCTGTTTTCTTCTACTGTCAGTTGTTGCCACTTCACTCATACTGTTGCTTGTCGCCCGATTCGGGACGAGAAACCCAAGAGGCGAAGCGTTCCCTACGAGCGGGGTTTTTTCTGGTCTCTTCTCCTTTCTTCGTGATGAACTCTTCTCGCGGCGATGACGACTTCAGCACCTCGCAGTTCCGCTCCATCAGTGAGGTCAGCGATCTGCATGCACACTACCTTCGCAGCAGCAGCTCCGACGTACAAGTTCTTATCGACACCAACACCTCCACGTTGTACGAAGGGGAACGACTTCCTTCGCTGATCGCCTCGCGGTGCTCTTCTCGCGGCTCCGTCGTGCCGTCGCTGAACGATAACTTCATCGCCGTCCGTGACACAAAAGTCGGTGCGCATCACCGCAGCACGTCCAGCGAGGCCAGCTCCGCCTACGTGGATCACTGCGGGTGGACAGACGCGAGCATCGATGCGAATACGGCGGACGCCCGTCACGCCATCCAGCCGGCTCGTGGCACGAAGAGGACAGCGCTTGGGAAGCAGCCTCTGCAACCTGAAGGGGTGGACCCTAGGCTGGGGACTGCGCACGGCAGCGTGCGGAACCCGTTTGCCAAGCCAGGCCCTGTCGGGACGCTGCCCTCACGACCCCAGAGGAATTTGGCAGACGTGGGGCGCAAGCATTCCGTACGCGTCTACGCCCCTCCCGATCCCTCGGCCCTACCACGCAATGCCGCTGCACAGCCGCCCCCACCGCACGAGCGTGATCGATCCAGTGGCGCAACTCCACAGCAGCTCGCAGAGATGCAAGCGCAGAACGGACGGCGAAAGATGCAGCTGCGCCAACCGCAGCCGCAGGAGCGGTTCATGCAAGTGCATTGCCTCCAGCAGCAACAGCAGTACCAGCAGCAGCAGCGACAGCAACGTTTTGATCTCCCAGCTCCTCTGAGCGAAACTCTTTCGAACGAAGCGCAGCACTCGCAGGTTCCGCCGTGCGCCAACCCACGGACGGCGACGACCAACTCGATGAACGACTCAGCCGGTCTGTCCTCGTCGTTGTCTCCCTCACGGACAAAAGTGCAGGGCAACGCGGTGTCTAAGAAAAGGCACTTTTGGTTCTGCGGGGGAGCGAAGGGAGATGTCGCCCCTCACAACCGTTGTGGCTCGTGGGTCTCCAACTGAATGAGAGGGAAACTTCACTGCATGCTTTGCTCAAATGGCAGAGGTGGTGCGTTTGGCTGTTGCGACAGGGAAACACGGTTGCGTCGTTCATGGGAAGAGAAAAACAAAACCGCCTGACAACTGTTGTGAGGAGCGAGCATTGCATGGTGAGTTGTACTGAAGTACCTCAATGTACGCATCCCATTGAATCACCCAACGGTACCATTGCTCCCTACTTGATTGCCTCTGGTGAGTATTATTACTGTTCGTTTCTTTACTATTATTATTATTTCTTGACACACGGAGCTGACGACGCGCTAGGTCGTGTTCGGCCTTCTCCCTTTTTCCCCATTTTGGTAACTCTTCTTTTTTTCCAGTGTATTTCTGGAAAACCATTCTCTTCTTGCGCTCACGCATGCGAGGGACGACATCTTCGACTTTCTTTTGACTTTCTTCTTCTCTGCCCCACCCACGTCGGCAACGTCAGCCGTTATTCATCGCGGTTTTCTTCATTCCCTTCTTCTACTCTGTTGCATGTGGTGGCGTGGTTCCACCACCTTCCAAGCTCGCTGCCTCCTCTTTTTACGCGTGCGCGTGTATATATATATATGTGAGTCTAATCTACTCCAGCAGCAGTTCTGTGTGCTTCCTGGTTTTGACTTCGCAATATTTTCTTTTGACTTGGCGTATATGTACTAGCTGCTTTTTTCTTCAATGCTGCGTTCTGTTTGAAAAGTAATAATAATAGTAACAGGAAGAAGCGTCTATTATCCCCACGGTCTGCTGTGTGAACGGTGATTTATTGGATAGCAGCTTGATGAAGCAGCCGCTGTCGAAGGAAGCAAGTTCAAGATACCACCGTGTTGTCTGGTGTCACTTGAGAGAATACGGTGGCATTCATTTCCTTTAAAATGGTATCTGTTTGTTACTTTATATTAAATAAATTCGTGTCTATTTTCATGACAACACGATCAAAAGTTAGGCACAGACAATTCTGTTGCCTCCCACCACCACAATTTGAACTGTTTGCTCCCCCCGCGCCGCCCGACATGGATTCGGGTTGGTTGGTTTGTTTGTTTTGTTTTCTGTAGTTCGTATAGTGTTATATATATATATCATCATCATCATCATCGTTGTCTAGCTGAACTTACTCCCATTTTAGTGCTCCCCCGCCGGTCTCTTTTTCTTTCTTTCTTCTCTTCTGCGACTTCATCTCCGCATCTCCTCTCATTGTTTCGTTAAATCAGAGTATTGTGTGTTTCTCTTTTCGTTTGTCTAGACTGGTTGACTCGAGGAGCCACTGCTGGTCTCTCTAGCAGTCCCACCTCACCGGGACCCGACATGGCGCGCAGCATTCAAAACACGCTGCCACGGGAAATCTCCGATGTATTTCTTTCTTCCTCTTCTTTCCCCCTTTGCGAAGTCAAACGAAAGAAAGCAGTCACTCTCTTGGCTCCATGTGCAATCAACGCCGTTGTCATCAGGCGTGCATTTCATTTCTGTACGTGTGTCGCGACCACAATAATAAACGGATGTATACGACTTTTCTTTTCTTCCGAGTGGTGCGTTCAAACAGTGCGGTCTTCTTTGGCTTTTCCTTTTGTGCGTGTGCGTGCGTGCGTGCGTGTGTGTGCAGTTGTGTGAAGGGGCATGTCCCACGGTGCTTTGTCGCACGTGAAGAACGGTGAGGTTTGCCGACGTTACGTGCACGTTTATTCTCCCACTGTTGGCTGTGCGTTTATTTGCCTTTCCGTTGTCTTCTATATCTCGCCTTCGCTTCCGCTCATTTCCTTTTTTCTGTCTTTTTTCAACGCGGAACAGTCGTTTTTTGTTTTGATTTTGATTTTGTTCTCTTCTTTGTTTTCTTTAACGCGGGCACACACATATAGTTATATATCGCAATGTGTATGTATACCTGTTGTCGTTGTTTTCCACCACAGTCTGCAAATTCAACCAGATAAACGCTAAAAGCAAAAAGCTGTAACCTGGCGCGTTCGAGCACATGTGTTTCGCTTTCCCTCGTGCTCGTAGAAGAGGCAACGGTCTCTTTCTTTTTTTTTTCTCTCTTGGGTTCAAAACCGTCTTGCGTCTCGCATCTCGCGCATGGTCAACGTGTGTATTACGGTGTCTACTGTTCTCTGCTGTTGTTGCTCTTTCTTTACGATGTGAACTACGCCATTCTCGATGCTCCGGAGAGCATTTCCATCGCATCGCCACTGCACACAAATTTTACCTCACCTGTCTCTCGCTCTCTCTCTTTCTCTCCCTCCCGCTGTCCGCGTGTACGGCATCGATCTTTAAGTTTAGAGCACGCACACTTGCAGCTTCTCTTTAACTTGCTTCTTTTCTTTCTCTTTCCCCCTCGTTTTCGTTGTCATTGAGCTGTTTTCTTGGCGCTGTTGGCCTCTTCGTTGTTCCGGACGTACGGAGACATTTTTTGGTTATTTTGTTTCTGGGGATCTTGTATATATACATATTTAGTCATCGCCATGTTCCGCCCAGCCGAAGACTCGATGCAGCGTGTGATGGGCTACGGCGCGCAGCGTGGCGCCGTCCACGACATGGGCATGATGCTCCGCATGGAGGAGGAGCAGCAGATGATGATGCAAATGCAGGAGATGGAGATGATGCAGATGCAAGCGCAGGGCGGTATGCCGTACGGGCAAGACGGCACGCGGATGAGCCAGCAGGCACCCATGATGTCGATGGACGCGCAGCAGCAGCAGCCACAGATGCAGCAGACGCAGCAGATGCCGTACATGGCGACGATGGAAGGTCAGAGCCCACAGCAGCCCCCACCACCGCCGCAACAGAGCAACCAACGGATGATGATGATGGACCAACCGATGCAGGACGTGAAGGGCTTCCCGACCGCACCGGAGTCGCAGCCGTCACAGGTCGGCGGCTCCTCGGCCTACGGTGGCAGCAGCCTCTACAATGCTAACCCTTCCGACAACAACATCGTAGGTGGGGTGGGCAACGGCCAGCCGGGCTCTGTTTACGACGGTAGCAGCATGTATGGCAGCGGTGGCGCCGCAGAGGGGCTGCCCAGTGCGGGGCCCGGCGCCTACTCCCTCTACGACGGATACCATGACAGTAACATGCGCGACCTGCCTCCCACCTCCAACACGATGGCCCCGATGGATAAGGCGGCCGTGCCTTCCGCACAAGGCAGGCGTCTCACGCCGAGTGCGAACCACAAACCCGTCACCCCTTCGGCGGGGAGGCCGGCGAGGGAGAGTCCGGCAGCAGGAGCGGCAGTAGGACCGGCGAAGGGGACGACGACGGCCTCGCCTGGGCAGCAGCGGCGCCTCTCCGGTACGGCCGGGGCTCCTCCTCCGCAGCCGCAAGCGGGCACCTCGGCGCTGCAGCGTAAATCCTCCAGTGCGAATCTCGGCGAGGTGGACCCGGCGAATGTCAGCTCCCACCGCAGTCGTGAAATTCGCCAGAAGAACAGCGAGCTGAAGCGGCGCAACTCCGCTTCTTTTTCCGGCAACGCGGCACGACCGGTGGAGCGCAAGTCGTCATCTTCGTCTCTGAACTCGAAAGACAGGAAAGAGAAGAAAGACAAGAAACGCTCCTCTTCCTCCTCCTCTTCGAGGGGTGATGACCGGGACAAGAAGCGTTCTTCCTCATCGTCTTCGAAGAGCAAAAACAAGGACCACGAGAAGAAGCGCTCTTCGTCGTCGTCGTCGTCATCATCGACGCATAAAGACAAGGAAGGCCACCACCACCACCACCACCATTCCTCCTCCTCGTCGTTGTCACCATCGGGTGGGCGACACTCCTCCACGCCTGGAGAGAAGAAGAAAAAATCCACATCCACCTCACCAGCTGAGATGTAGAGAGGAATCTCGCTTTCTTTCCAGTTGGTGCGTGCACGTTGGACAGCCGTACCAATATATATTTATATGAAAGGGAGAGGGAGAGAGAAACGAGTAGGTTTTCGCACACGCACGCGTGCGTAGTTGATTTTTGTTTTTGGTTTTGTTTTTTCACTGCTGCGTTTTCATTGGCTGCCCCATGTGCACAGAACTCTCGGAGTCCCGGCGACTGCAGCTTCTTTTTTCTTCTTTTCTTGTTTTGAAGGCAATCGCTCGACATATGTTTCGTCTTCTCCTCGGTGTCTCTTGGCTTGTGTTTCTTCCTTCTCTCTTTTTGCTGCCGTATCTTTCACCGTTTGGGTGATAGAGTTTTGTGTAGTGATGTGTTGAGGCAAAGGGTTGTTCAACTCTATTGTATTTAGTGCCTTTTCATTAGCTCATTTATTGCTATTAGTATTCTGAGCTCCGTTGCCTCTCTGGACCGAGCAAACGAGTGATAGCGATTGTTGATGTCGCATCTCTTTCGTGTGTTGGGTTGTTTTTGTTGTTTTTTCACACCCCGTTTTCTCGTTTGTCCGTCAAACTCTCTTCCTTTGGATGTATTCTTGTGTTTTTCAACAATATATATTATGTGTCTCCGTTGCAAGGTCGTTTGGTCACTGCGTAAAAGCACCCCGCGTAGTTCTCTTTCTCCTTCGGTCCTCAACGCCCACAGGTGTGATGATCTACGCTCTCTTTTTTTCTTTTACCACGACCATGCTTGTTCCTCCTGTTGCGTGTTTGCATTTCTAGTTTCACCATGTGACATAGTTTTTCTTCTTGCTGTCTCTAGTTGTTTTTTATCATCGTTATTTTTGTTGTTTGATTCGCAGTGCAGAGGCTCGCTGGGTTCCGCGAGCTTTTCTGAATTGTAGCCTCCGCGCTGCCCGACGTGCCTTTCTCATCGTTCGCGAGGTAGACGAGTGGTGCACAACTCCTACTGGGTGTTTGACACTTGTCCTGCGCAAGATTGGCCTTTCCCTCTCTTCGCTTTCTCTTATTGCCGTAGATGATGCGCACACTATATATATATTTATATATATATATGTGCGTGTGTGATGCGCGTGTGCGTTGAATTTGTGTTCTCGCTTCTTTTTTTTTTTCGTTTCTTGGTTTGTTACTTTCTGAATCGCATTGAACCGCAAAACCTTCGCAAAGCAGAAATACCTCTTTCCCTTCGCCTCGGGCTGAAAATGAAACACCATGGCAAGGACACGGCCGCCCACTGTCGGTGAGGGGCTCGTGGCAAAAGTCCTCTCCTTCTGCTTCACATGCAGCGTCATCTTCACTTGCGGCTTTGTCAGGTTGTTGTTGTTTTTTGAGGGGGGGGGGAGTTCGTTCGTGCGAGGGATGGGGCACGCTTTGCTACTGCGTGGTATCGGTTCCGGCTACAGTGTCGTACAGACATGAGAAGCGAGCATTGAAAGTAATCACGTATAAAGCGGCGCGTAGTGCACCCCCACGTGAAGCGCTGAGGAAGGCGCCGCCTGCCAAGACGAACAGAAACGACCGCCATATTTCTCCTTCTCTCATTCCTTTCCTCCTCTTTCTCAATTATCCACTCGAACTGCGCAGCTGCGTTGCCACCTCTCTCTTGCATTCTCCATTTCAAGCGGCATCGGCATCTTTTTTTTGTCTCCTGATTTGATTTCTTTCTATTAATTCCTCTCCATAGTCGAATGACGAGCCCCCTCTACTCCTATAACGGCAGCAGAGACTTCGGCTCCCCGTCTGCAACACTAGGCGGCCCCCACGCGGGCATTGGGTGGGCTGATGCATCGGTAAACAACGCCTTCGATTTGCAGGACGAGGTCGTGAACGGCGCCCTCAAGAATCACAGCAGTCATGACTCCTTCAGTTTTGCGCCGGAGGTTCAGCAACGGACACGGCCTCCGTCTCTCTCGACACCGGCAAGAGTAAACGCTGGAGAGGGTGCGTTGTACCGGAAGGCGATGCCGGTTAGCCAGATCGGCGGTGGAGATGGGCCGCAGAGATCACGTGATGACCTTCGCCTCAGCGTTGATGCCCTGCAGCCCACCGAGTCCGACTCTCCGCTTGCCTCACCAAAACTGGGCACCGGCCACCGTGAGCGAAGCGCAGACCGCTACGCGTACTACGGGCTGCTGAGCGTGGCGTCACCGACGAGTGAGGTCGGCTACCGTAGTGACGATGACAGACTGCCTTTTCTGTCCAGCGGATCTGTCCAGCGCGGAGCTGCACGGGGCGACTCCGCATCGTTTGGATACGGCAGCGGAAGCGCGCAGCACACGACCACGTCCCCCCTCCCGAGCGCGTATTCGACTTTCACCCGCATTGATGGAGCATTCACAGCAGGGAAGAACTTCAACGACTTTGCCGAGGTGAGTCGACACGGCAGTGCACCATCGGCGCCTCCGCCACTGCGTAGCACGAATAGGGACGGGCACATGGGCACACTCGACGGACAAGGTTCCCTCTACGGTGAAGTAGAGCCGCTGCCCCTTCTCAAAGGCTCCATTGAAAACAAGACCGCATCAAGGCGAACTTCGTACGGTAAGGATGCGGCGCGGCTCAACAGATCGGGAGCCGCCGCACCAGGCAGTCGCTCGACCACGCTTTCAGGTCTACCGGAGTCACCAGAGGCAGCACACACCGTCACACACAGGCACACGCACTTTCACGGCGCGACCGGTGGTGGGGTCGACAAGAACTCGCAGCGCAAGGATGCTGGCGCATCGCTTCGCGCATCGACTTCAATTCGAAGCGTGTCCTCCATCTCCAGGTGCACGCAGAGTGATGGTGACCTGCGCTGGCGCTCGCGCAGCCGCAATACGGATCGTGGCAGCCCGGATGCGCCGCTCGGGTCGTCGCCGGAGCGCCTCAGCCGCGCTTCCTCCGCGCCGTCGCCCGTCACGGACGAGGACAACGAGTACTTCCTCTTTGGACTGACGCAGATGCCGTCGGTGCGGCCGTGCGGGACGACGACGGCAAGTCGGAGTCCGGTGCGCATGAAGGGTGTGGTGGAGGCGAGCACGAGTGTCACCAGTCGGTTTAAGGCGTTTAGTAAAGCACCGTCGGCGCCACCACGGCAGAAGCCCGCCACTGCGAAGGAAAGCAATGCTCCGTCCTACGCCGTCGCGGACTCGCCTGCGGCGGCGCACCCCTCGTACGACTTAAGTTTCATTCATGGCTTTGGTGACGGCGAAGAGGGCGGCAACGGTGCGGGGCGGGAAGAGGAGTATCCGTTCGACTACAGCACCCTCGCGCAGCCTCCTCCAACACAGCAGAGCAATGAAATTGTTCCGCACGACTCCGGTGATGACGTTCTCAAAGACGGAGACTACGGCGATTTGATGGGTGCGGCTGCTGCGGTGCCCGTGGAGAGGACTAAGACGCCGTCAACAACGCAGCAGCCGTCCTCCTCCTTAAGAGCTCAACCGAAAACGAATGGCACGCACATGCCGGCACCGCAGCCCGCGACTCGCAAACCCGCCGCCGGTCTCAGCACCTTTCGGCCTCTTTCTGTGGCGACCGGGGGGACACCCACCTCCACCGCACCGGCGCCTCTCGAGAGGCGAACCTCCCCTTTTGAACCGGTCCCCATGACGACCTCCGCCATGAGCGCCAGTGGCCGGCGCTTCTCCTTCGACGGGCCGAAAAGCGAGAGTGCCGGCAGCAGCACCAATCAGCAAGGTCACCTGTCGCAGTTATCCCCCCCTCTCTCCAATGAGAAGTCCGGGTCCATACGCAGCCCCGTGGGGGCGGAGAAGAGCTTCGAGTCGCCGCCGTCGCTCTCGTGGTCGACCTCGACGCGGACGCCGCGGCCACCGTCGCAACACGCAGGAAACTCCACCGTCGCCGCGGCGATGGGGGATGTCGTAAAAGCAGAGGCGGACACCGCGCCTTCTGCGGCGCCCACCGCTTCCCTTGGCACCGCGACGACGACGCTGTCAGACATCAAGAGCGGTGGGGCGGATGGCGGGATGCTCCCTCCGATCGTACCCGCTAGTCGCAGATCAGCCCAGCGCCCCTCTACCACCCGCAGCACCACACCGCCTGCAAAGTTGCCTTCGCCGTCGCATCATCGCGTGCCCCACGCAACGGCCAGCGATGCAGCCACCAAACCCGCTGCGCTGACGGACGCCTCCCTCTCGCCCATCGCCAGCGACAACGACTCCGTCGACTCCATCGGCGCCAACGAGCAAAACGCGCTTCTCCACAACGCCCTCCGCCAGGCGCACGGCGGCGTGCTCATCCGCACCACAGTAGCCGAGGCGGACCTCCTGCCCTCGCAGAACGAACCGTGGCCCCTGCGACCGCCTCCTCCAGGGATTATGATCACACATCGCGTGTTTGATCCGCAGCACCCGCGTCCGCGCCGGCCCAAGATGCGCGAGCTGCCCGGCGGCAAGCGTCAAGCGAATTGGGCTCCGCCAGAAACGCACTACTCCACCACCTTGGCCGACCTCGCCGCGTACGAAGATGAGGAGGACTTGGCAGCAGCCGAAGATGAGGAGGCGGGGGCAGAACAGGCACGGCTGCGTGCGATTCAGGACTTCGAGGACGATATTTGGGCCGGGGAAGATGCGCGGATGCCCAATCTTTCCTTGCCTGCCGAGGCTTCGCCGGATACCACGGCCGCCGCAGCGAGTGCGAGTGCGAGCGCGAGCTCACCGCTGCGGCCACTGCTGCAAGCCGTCCCTCTCTCACACAGTCCCAGCAGGGCGCCCTCCCTCCATTCGAGTGAATTGAGCAGCTCTCACAAGTCGAAGTCACCCGTGATGCGTGCCTTCACACCACCGCCTACGGCGGCGGCTGCCTCGCCTTCTCTAAATGTGTTACAGCATGCAATGGACGGTTCTTTCAGCGCCTCCGTCAACCCAACCAAACTCCACGGCGGCATCGTGGTGGATGAGGTGGAGAAGGTGCGGCGCATGCGCGAGGATGCCGTCTTTACGCCCGCTCTGGACGACGTCGACTCCATAACGCTTCGCCAGACGCCGCTGTCGGTCAGCGCGAAGGCCGGCTCGTCACGTGCGTCGTGCAGCCTTCTTCAGGCGGATGTATCATCGAGCCCTGCTCAAAGCAAATCGCCGGTGCTCGTCCCGCGTGGCTTCAATCAACGCCCCATGAGTCCGGTAAAGGGTGAAGAGGCGCCTAACAATACCAACGACAATAAAACTCTCAGCACCTCCGGCTCGAACCGCGTTGCTGTGGGTCGGCCGAGCTCGTTGTCAGAGAACAATCGGCACTCGTCGCATTCAGTGCGCAGCGACTCCGTTTTGACGGACTCCAACGGCAACTCGGTCCTCCCGCGTAGCACCGCGATGCCAACCTTCGCACGCATCATTTCTCAGCGCTCCGATGGAGGTGGCGGTGGTGATGAGAGTAGCGCCAACCGTCGAGGTCCACCTGGTTCACCCGGCCCGAGCCCCCGAAGCACCAGCCGAGACAGCCTTTTTAGTGAGTCGACTGATCGAAAATCGGCAGTTACCTTTGCCGAGGATGAGCCGGAGAGCAACTCCATGCGCCGACGGTAGAGCAACGCTCACGGTGGCATTGTTTCTTTATTCATTTTCCTAATTCTGTGTCTTGTTTAGCGGACGGTAGAAGAAAAGATCGCGCAGCGCCTCCTTCTGTTTCCGTACCCATGCTACCGTTCTCACGGTTTTCTAGGTGCGTTTGGCGCGTGCTTGGTGGAGCGAGCCAATGGTAGCAGTTGGCAGTGGTTTTCCCCAATTTCCATTTTTTCCTCAAGTAGACTTTTTTTACAGCACTTTTCTGTTTGCGGTTCTCGCTGATTATTTCTCCGTACCATGTCTCCTGTATGTATGTGCGCTTGTGTGAGTGTAGGATTCGCTTGCTAAGCTCGGGTGGAAATCGGAGGTGGAAAAGCGATGAGAGTTTCAGTGCTCCAGCTACTCGCCCGCGTTGAGCGCGACGCTGTGGTAAGCGAAATGACAACTTGTGTTGACATCGAACATTCGCATCGTAACGACATATTAAGATCCTTTTTATTATTATTTGCTACTTCATTTTTCTCTTTTGACCGTCAAAATGACGGCACTTAAAACAGGTGTTCATTGCTTTCCTGAATGTGCAGTGTGTTAGCTGATGTATCTTCTACGAATCCGCGTTTGTACTACGACTCAAGTCTTTTTTTTTGGGGGGGTGGATGTGTGTTTCTTTTTTTTCTCTTTCACCTGCTGACGTTTTCTTTACTAATTCTTCTCGGACGGCGTACTTTGACTTCATCGCTGTTTTTCGTTTTCGCTCCCCACTGCGTGACCTCCTTGACACTTTTTTATCGTTTACATTCGTTGTGTATCTGTCTCACCGACCTCGTTCATGTGCTCTCTTCATCTCACTGTTTTTTCTCTTTCTTTCAGGTTATTCCCATTCTACTTCCGCGTTATTTATTTACTTATTTATTTGCGGTTTGTCCACAGACGTAGTCGATGTACTTTCGTGCTCGCTGAAGACTAAAAGGGAAAAAGAAGGGGGATTTGAGCTGTGCGGCGATGTATGTTGCTGCGTCTTCACTTTGTATTTGTGGAAGCGGTGGGAGCTACTCTGTCTCTCGCCGTCTGATCATTGTGCGGTCATCGCTCTACCGCACCGTCGCCGCTCGAACGCGTGTTTGCGTCGGTCTTCCGCGGTACTGCTGCTCAGCAGAAGTACCTGTACGCCACGATGTTGTCCACCGCTCGCCTTTGTCGCCCCTCCATGCTCCTCCTCTCGCCATCTCACACCACTTCACAGTGCCTACCTTCTGATTTGGCAGAGAAACTCGCCACCGTTGAAGCGACAGAAACTCCCAAGAAAAATTAAAGAACCGCACCGGAAGATAAGAAAGATTAACCATGCAGAAGCCGCATTTAGCAAACAACATTCCATGCTGTATCGTCATGGACACGTCCGCGCTGCTGGATACCCAGTTTGACATGGTGGAGCTGCTCTCATGCCTGCTGCCCAACTCCCCACACGTTGTCGTCATACCTGAGGACGTGTGGATTGAACTGAAAGGGGTCGCGAACTCAACCGACGGGGCCACAGCCTCTCGAGCAGAGAGCGTGACGAAGGCGCTGGCGAAGTATCCAGACTTCCGGTCGCACGCCACACAAACACCCGCCCGCAAAACGAACGCGGCAGGTGCGTCGTCGTCTTCGTCTTCCTTCGCCACCGCCAACGCAGCAGCCGGCTCTCGTGGTGTGGCCGTGCTGCAGAAGTCGAAAGAGACCTTCTACCCGCTAAAGAAGTTTGCCCGCAACCGGGACACCAAGATCGTTGCCTGCGCCTACTACTTCACGGTGCACGACAGCAACACGTTGGGCGTTGGGGACACGCGGAGCTGTCCGCTACGCCGGTTTCGCTATGAGAACGCGTTTTTTGTCACCAACGACGTGGTGCAGCAAATTAAGGCCTCTCCATACAAAATCCCCACGATTGACAGCTCCGATTTGAAGCGCCACTGGGGACACCTAGGGCACTGGGAATCGTAGCGAGAAGCTCTAAAGGAACGGACCAAAAGGCTTTTGCGGGTGAGAGGGTGAACAGGACATCCGATTTCAGAAAGCGCACGTTTGTGTATGTGGGTGCAAGTGCGGGAGCGGAGTGTGAGTTCTCGCGCCGACTGCGTATCGCTGTTGGTGTTGTCTTGAAAAATCAAATGTGAGAAATACCACCTGGCTTCAGAAGACGTTCCTTGATAACGGAGGAATATGTGAGAGCATCTTTGGTGCTTCCTGCACGGTTGGATCTACTAATATATCGCATGTGAGACCTTTTTTAAAAACAATTTAGTTATCAATGCTCGCTTCAGCCCACAGAGCACCACTTGCGGCACAAGTACGATTGTTAGCGTCGTTTGTGTGACGACACTGCCCAAGCGGTGCATCGAATTCTTGACGAATCGCTATTCGCATCAGAAAACCTCCGTTGGTGATACGTGACGATTTCTCCATCATCTTTATCCAAAGTTGTTTTTTTCCTATCCTCACTGCTATTCCTTTTCTGCTCTTCTTTTTACTCCAATTTAAGTTCATTATCTGGATCACAGTCTTTCAGCAGCACTGCACACACTTTATTTTTGTTTTCTTTAAAGAGCTCGCTAGAACAGCTTCTTATACACCTTCAGCAGCCCCCACACTTTCTTTTATATTTTCGCCTTCTCCTCTCTCTCTCCCTATTTACTTCTATATAAATATACACGCCTTGAAATGCGTGCGGCACATCGCGACTTTCATTACGCTGCGTAGGTCTTCTTCTTCCTCTCTCTCTCTCAAACTCCTTCTCTTGTTATTGTAACCGGTTCTCCGTTGTTGTCTTCACCATTTACAGGTTGTGAAACAACGAACGCTTTCTTATCTTTTCGTTGGCAACGGAGCCGCTACCATAATGAACTTCACTTATTCCAAAACGCTATTATTTCTACTATGATTTGCTTCCCTGCTGATATTCTGTTTTCTCACATCTGTTCGCTCTCTTGTCTCTCCAGGCCGCTCATTTGACGGAGAATTCGATCCACTACCTGAGTTCTCGTAGCGGTTCCTTTCTCTTGTGCTGCTGTTTGTTTATGTTTATTTCTTTGCTTTTTTTAAAGCTTGTCCTCCCCTTGTAGATATTCATCAGTACCCGCTCAACGTGGAGTGCAGACTTCAAAAGTCAGTAAACGTCAAAACCCTCTCTCTTTCTCTTTTTGGGAAGACCTTCACCACATACACCTGCTAACACGTAGAGGTAGCGGCACCTGTTCGCCCGTGTTCGCTGCTTCGCGACCTCCCCTTACCTCTTTGACAATTCAAGCCGCTGTTAGCACAACCGTCTTAGCTAACATTTCTTTTTACTTCTTTTTTTTTTTCTTCTTTCACTGACAGCGCCGAGGAGGATTCGAGAGCGTTTTCTCAACAAACCCACACGCACAAGCGGAATTCTCTCTCTACTTATTTGTATACTTTTATATTCTGCAACTCTGCTCTTTTATTTTTAAAAATACCCTGCTTCTCGCCGATCCAATGCGGGCCGCCCGCCCACACGATGCAGCTGCTTCGGCCGCCACGACGGCGACATCACCACCTCATCGCGGTCGTGCGGCAAGTGCGACGCTGCCGCGGACCGTCGTCCGCCTCGCTCCTGACTTTCGCCCAACAAAGACGCGCAGCAACCTCACCAAGCGCTCCGAAGGCCGCTACAACGAGCCGTACGCCGCCATTGTGGAGCAGGAGGATGACGTCTCCGTGCTGTGCGTGCAGCTCACGGCGCAGCGTCAGGTGCTGGTCCGCCACATGCCGGAGCGGGAGTGGCAGCGCATTGTCCGACACGGCGAGGAGGTGTACCCGGGCCAGGAGGGCGAGAGCAGTCAGCATCTGGTGGCTCCGCCGGAGATGAGTACGCTGCCTCGCAGCTTCCACGTGGAGATGCAGGCGGCCTCGGCAAGCAACATGAATCACCGTGACAGTCTCACGATTGCGGCCGCCACGGCGGAGCCGGCGGTCTTCGACTATTTCATTGCCCCAGAGAGTCGCGTAGGGATTATTGATGCAGGACACCGCCCATCCGCCTTCGCGTATTTGCGGCTGCACGCCCGCTACAAAACGTCAGAGCTGCAACGAATTGCGCGGGAGGACTGCCGGGCCACGCTCGCGGTGGAGCGGCGCAGCGTCTTTCTTCGGCAGTACCAACGTGACATGCAGTGCCGCCTGGCGGGCATAGCTCTCTACACGGTGGGCAAGGAGCTGCCGGAGCAGTTTGTGCAGACCTTCTTCATGCTGGTCGAGAACGCACAGGCGATGCGGCGCTATCAGGCCCGAATGGCGGCGAACAATTCTCGCACGCCGGTGCCGCACAGCAGCAACGGAAGCCGCCGTGGCGCGTCGAGCAATGGCCGAGACGGACGCTACCTCTTTACGCTCGACCAGGGATGTACCAATGGCGGTGAGCGGATGCCATTTGCCGGCCAGGCACCCGCCGACGGCTTCGTCGTCGTGACGTTCGGGCAGACCCGCGACGCCTTTCATGCGACATGGCGGCCGGGGAGCGACGCAGGCCGCTTTGCGTGGATGGAGGAGGACGACGATGACGCGAAGCCTTTTGTGCCCTACGACTACGGAAGTGCAGCGTACCTGCCACGGCCTGCGGAAAGCAACCTCACCATCGCAGAGGAAAGCGGGGACGTGGACGTTGGGCGGTGCCCTTCGCCGCCTCTCCCGCGCTTCCCGGACGGGAAGGCGTTGCTGAAAGGCAGTGGCGTGGCATCGAATGAACAGACGCCGTTGCGGAGGCCCTCGAGGTCGCCATCCTCGTCACCCCCACGCACCGCGCAGACCTGTGAAAAAAGAAATACGTGCAAACGTCTGCGTTCGCGTTTCGGCAGTGTGAATGCGCGGACAAACCAGTCTTGCACACCGTCGTCGCTGCGTCTGCCGCTGTCCCTGCACAAAGGCGGCGAAGGCACCGCTGGTGGACGTGTCCTGGTGCCAGCGCAGGCGTCGGTGCAGGTGGCGTAAATGCTTGGGCTCACCACCAAAAACCCCAGACAAAGAAAAACCTTTCTATCGTATTTAAGATGTGTGTAGGATGCGTTACTTCTGCAGCGTTAAAGACCCTCACGTACATGCTTGCAAGAGCAATATTTCTCCAACCATTTTTTTACTATTGTCTTCGTCAGCGCTTGAAGGGAATTTGAGATGGTTACCTTTTCGCAGTAGAGGTCGACGGAATACCTTCCTTTGAAAAACGATGCCGCAGCGCCTTTCCCTTCGCTACTAAAAAAAAATGTTTAACAGTTTTTTAGTGTACTGCGTTGGTGTGAGGAGCAATGCGCTTGAGCTATATCAACGCCGGCACTCGAGACCTTTTCTCCGGCCTCACGCTTACCTTTTTTGAATCATATTGATGTCCCGTCCTCGATCTATCTTTATTATTATTACTATTATTATTATTATTATTATTATTTCGAACATGCATTTTGGGTAGTTCAGTTTTCGTGTTGGGAGTTTGTTAAAAACAATTCTGACGACGTTTTTCCTTCCATTTACGAAGACAAGCACTCACCGCTGAGTTTTCTCTGGTACAAAGCGAACATATTGATCCGTTTCCCTTCCTTCCTTTCGCCTCTCTTATGTTTGTACGGCGTAGGAGACGCAGCTTGTTTTTCTCTCTTTTTGCGAGTCCTGTTTCTTCTCTTCAGCGCGTTTGAATTCACTTACGCTTCGTTTCTTTCTCATTCCTTTCTGTTTTGCCTCTACTGTCTGGTCTTATTTTTTGGCATGGATTTCTTCTTCTGTTTCTGTTTGTTTCAGTAAAGATAATGGTGGCTTCTGTCAGCGCTACTCGTAATCTGTAATGAGAGCTCACGTCTCTCCAGAACAAGGAACCGTTTTTTGTATGTGTGTGTGTGTGTGTGTTTATATACGCTGTTGTTTCTCTGTTTGCTGGTGTACACGCGTCGTCCCTCTCTCTCTCCCTCCCTCTCTTCCTCTCTCAACAGCAGCAGCAGCCGGGAGGCAAAAAAAAGAAAAATGACAAGCGAGCTATACCTGTACATACGCCGCAACGCTGTGCCGTAGAACGCAAACTCTTTTGTTCTGTGTTACTTTCCTTGTTTTCACAGTGCAGCAGATACGAAAGAGGAACGCAGATGACTGCGCAAAGCATCGCTGCCCCTCAAGATCAAACACCGCTGCGTTGACAATAGCAACCAACCAAAAAAAGGCAACCGATCGATTGATTCTCTTCGTTGCCCTGCAAGCACAGCTTTTGTCGACGTTGCCGTCGCAAGAGTATCGTTTGAAAAGACTATTCTTTCTGGGTGTTGTTTGCGAAACGGCTCGAAATCGAGTTCTTTTCTTGACAGCGAATCTCGATGGAACCAAATGGCGCAAAGATGTGGGTGGTATTGCTTCAAAACATATATACTAACGGTAGCGTTCAACGGTCTACTCGTACGTTCATGCATTGGCAGCAGTGACTTCTCTGATCCACTGACTATGGAGAGAAAGGTCATCGCGCTTCCATTTATCTTTTTAGAGAACAAAAAACAACGCTTCTTTTCCTGCGCAATGCGGATCTTCATAGCGTACAGCATGCATATTTATGTACAGCGACTACACGTCTGTAGACCGCCTGGCAACCGTTACACTCTTTTCCTCTTGTCTCCTTCTTTGCTTCATCTCACACATTTTATGGAATCCAAAAAATCTACGCATAAGGCCGTTGAGCGTTAACTCTCTTCAGAATACCAATTCTACTTTCCTTTTAAGTTCTTCTTCTTCTTTCTGTCTTGAAGTCACGCATTTGTACGCCTTCACTCCGATGCGCATACGTGAAACAGCGGATGCGCGCCTCCACGACCCCGCAACGCCACCACTTCGTCCTCTACTAAGACATTTTAAGTTTCTTTCCTGTACCGCTTTCTTTTTTTCTTTTACACCTCTGTGGAAGCTAAAACTGATTTCCAAATAATAATTCCAGCTTACTCACTGGATTACCGCCTACGAAGTCTGACCGCTTTGTTCTCTTTTGAGGAGACAGCTCGTATATGCGTCACCACGTGCGTCGAAGAACACTTTAGCTTTCCTTTCCGGCTCCTCTTGTTTCCTCCTTCCGACCATCTGTCACTCTGTGCACTCACTTGAGAGCTAGAGCTACAGCTACAGCGTTGGTCTCAGCAAGCGAATCGCCAGCAAACATCTCTGATTTCTGTACCCCGAGTGTTCCGCCTCACACCATGTCCGCCAACGTCGACGTGCCGTACACGCAGCGCAGCGTCTCCGCGCTCTCGCAGCGCAGAACCAACCCCGCCAACGCACGCGCACCGCAGCCCATCAGCGACTCCATGGTGCGTGAGCGCCTCTCCGTCAATCTGCCGGACCGCTTCCACTACCTCCACAACACAGTGCCGATGGGCCGCCACAGGGCACAGCACCACCGCCACCACCGCCGCAGCACCAGCTCCGGCAGCGACCAGAGCGGCGACAACGGCAAGGACGACGCGCACAGCGACCTCAACGACTGCACCAGCTACGCGCCGCCGTTGGGGCACGACGACAACGCGGACGACCGGACGCGGACCGAGCGGCGCAGCAACGTCAGCAGCGACGACAGCGGCAGCGACAGCGACAGCGGCAGCGACGACGACGCCCCGCCCGCCGAGGAGGAGTACGCCTTCTACGCGCGGCTCGTCAAGCTGGGCCGCGGCGACGGCCACGACGGCGCCCACCCAGCAGCCGGTGCGCCGCTCGTCGCGCAGTGCTGCGACACCGTCCGTGGCACCGTGGACCTGCTCGACGAGGTCCGCCTCTCCACCGGCGACGCGGCGGACGGGGACCGGTTCTTCTGGCTCGACCTGCACGGCGTGCCTCCCCCGCTCCCCGGGTCAGCGGAGTGGGGGCAGCGGCCGCGGCGGTGGCAGCGGAAGCAGCACGCCGCGTTGAGGGCTGCGGCGCAGGCGGCGGCGCAGAGCGGCGGTGGACGGCCGCCGGAGGTGGAGATGCGGGCGCTGTGGACGGCGCTGGGGCTGCAGGGCACCACCATCGAGGCCCTGGCGGAGGTGTGCCAGCAGCGCCAGCTCAACCCGCGCCCCGAGCGCACCTCGCTGGACGACGTGTACGAGGAGGAGACGGTCGGCTTCGCCTGTCCCGACGACCGCGTGCTGCACGTGGAGCCGCTGGCCGCCGTGACGGAGGTTTCGCTGACGGCCCAGTCGGAGCCGATCTCGCCCGAGAACCGTCGCGAGGCGCCACCGCGAGCCGGCCTCGCCTCCGCGCGCCTCGGTGCGACCCACTACGTGGTGATGGAGCTGGCCACGCTGCTGACCAGTGTGCCCGCGACGGCGACGAGCACCAGCGCCGGCGCGTGGTCCAGCACCTTCCTGTCGCGCGCGGGGCCCGGCGACTTCGCTAATGAGCCGCTGAACGACGCGGTGTGGTCGGAGGCGATGGGGCGCGGCATGCACGCCTTCTCCCCCGGCATCCGCGATGCGGCGGCGGCAGCGGTGGCCGGTGCTTCGCGGCGCGGGGGGCTGAGGGCCGGTCGCGGCGGACGCGGAAACCGCCAGCTGGCGCCGTCCACATTCCACCCCGCCGAGCTCGCCACGACGCCCCTCGTCACCTCCACCTACGTCATCTGCTTCCCCGGCGGCTGCGTGACGTGGTGCCCGGGCAGCACGTTGGGGCTGGTCAGCGCCGTGCGGCGGGAGAAGCGGCTCGCGGCAGCACAGCAGCGTCGCCACCGGTGGAACAGCCCCTCCGCAGCGGAGAACGGCACCCCCGCCCCGCTGTCGACGGACCCGCACCACCACAGCGGCGACGACTCCTCCGACGCCGACGCCGACGTGGACGACGGACTCGAGGTGCACTACGTGAAGTCGTGGGAGCGGCTGCAGGCCTCCGTCTTCCAGCGCCTTCGCCACATGGCTTCTCGCAAGGCGGTCAGCGCCTCCTGTGGCACGCCCGCCGCAGCTGCGGGTGCCGCCTCCCTGTGCACCTCCGGCTTCGTCGCCCTTCTCCTGTCCACCGTTTTCGACGCCTATCTGCCCAACACCTCCGTGGTGCTTGACGAAGTTAACGGTATTGACTCCATGCTGTCGGTGGAGGGCTCGGAGGAGGAGGGACGCGCCCAAGCCGATGCGCTGCGCCGCGTGCTGCTGCTGCGCCGCCGCCTCTCCGTGCATCGCCGTCTGCTGTTCCAGAAGGCACGCCTGCTGGAGGCGTTGGACAAGCCGGCGATGCACACCTTCGCGCGTTTCGTGCGGACGGCGAGGGGGCCGACGTGGCCTGCCAGGACGGCCGAGCAGACCTACGGAGGTGGGGGTGTGAGCAACGTGCACGACGGCGGTGATGCGAGCGCTACGTGCTTCCCCGCCGCTGGAGGAAAAGGACACGCCGGCGGCAGGAAGCGCAACGCAAACGCGAGTCGCTCCCGCGCACGGATGGGGGAGCCGCCCTCGCTGGATGCCATTCACAAGGGCATGCTGAGCGTGCTGCGCAACCTGGAAGCTGCGCGCACGGTGCTGGGCAACACAACTCTGATTTACAGCTCGAAAAAGGAGTACCACAGCGCTCGCACGAGCGTGACCTCGGACTATTTCGTGCTGGTATGTCAGTACGTGTTTCTGATTGTCCTCCCCCTGCATTTGGTGGCTGCGCACTGGGGCATGAACTGTATGGTGCCGTTCAAAGACCTGGGCAGTGTCACCCCGTTCTGGACCATTGTGGGCATTATTTTGTTTCTGTCCGTTGCGGGTGTTGCGGTGCCCATTTACGCCTATCGTATTCGGCGCATCGAGATGATTGCGTGAAACGGCGGCGGATGTAACAATCTATTTTTGTATGTATGTGTCTCCGAGCGCACCTGTATTGCCGCTTAACCCTTTCTGCTTTCCTTAACGAATATAACACCTTCCTTTCCTCCACTTTCTCGTGTTACTTTCCAGGTTATTCTAATGAACGGGCGGCCAAGGCTCTCTACTGTCGAGAACAACTGACACGGCGTATCGCACCTGTCAACGGAATGTCAAGGGCTTTTGTAGGCCTCGCGGTGCTTTCCTGGCGAACAGAGCGAAACAACAAAAATTAAGTTTAATTACGTTTGATAATAGGAATTAAGATTAGTGATGAAAAATAGTTTCTTCGTCTGTGACAGGCCACCTACATGATTGACCCTGGGCCACGTTCTATTTTCTTTTTTTTTCTATTTGACGAAAACGGTCTGTGGTGGGTGCTGAAGGAAAAAGAAAAACGCCTTCTCGTATCGGCGTTGGGGCGCTGTTTCATTTTCTGTGGTTTTTGCTTCGTTCCCTGCCTTTCTTCTTTTCTTTCCAGACGCAGTCGTTTTTGTGTTCGCTTTCGCTGGAGGATCAGCGTCATTACGCCGTCACACCTATTTATTTAGTATAATTATTATTATTACGACTACTACCCCTAGCGGGTAGTACATACGAAACATTTCCGTTTACTTCTCATCTGATTGATCTTCTGCAACGTGCGTTTTCGTTTTTCCTTCTTGATTCCTCTAACTCTGCGCGGCACGCATCTGGAGAGTTTTTTCTTCTCGATGAAAGGCCAGCCGATTGGACCCCTTCCAAGGTGCCCCGACACCTTCGCTCTCGGGTCCTTTCGTGCTGTCTCTTCTTTTTTTCTTTCCAGAGCAGTCCTGAAGCTCCCCTCTTCTGTTTATCCTCCATTGTCGGCCCAGGTCGGGCAGCGCGCTCTCACCCTGCTCGCGTGCTTGGGTGACTTCCCACTTCGTGCGCCAGCACCAGTGAAGACCAGTCGATGGTAGCGAACTCTGCGCAGTGGCTTGCGGAACCACTGCTGTGGTCCCTCCGCGCCGGCCGAGTACAGTGCTCCATCCTCCAACGATAGGGGCCTCCAGGTTTCCCTTCGCCCTTTTCTACTCTTCCTTCTTTCTCCTGATCTTCCCTTCCACACCTCTACGAAACTGATACACGCATGCACAGAAGAGTCCTCGTACCCATTGATACCAACGCCAACTTCATTTTTTAGTAGTAGTATTTCACACTTTTTTTAGTAACACAACAATTCTAGTATTTCTTCTTCTGTACGTTCTTAACTCACACTCGTAACATCACCCGCTGCTTCTAACTTGTTTTTGGTTTTGCAGTTCTTCTTTTTCTCCTTCCGACCATCTGTCACTCTGTGCACTCGCTTGAGAGCTAGAGCTACAGCTACAGCGTTGGTCTCAGCAAGCGAATCGCCAGCAAACACCTCTGATTTCTGTATCCCGAGTGTTCCGCCTTGCACCATGTCCGCCAACGTCGACGTGCCGTACACGCAGCGCAGCGTCTCCGCGCTCTCGCAGCGCAGAACCAACCCCGCCAACGCACGCGCACCGCAGCCCATCAGCGACTCCATGGTGCGTGAGCGCCTCTCCGTCAATCTGCCGGACCGCTTCCACTACCTCCACAACACAGTGCCGATGGGCCGCCACAGGGCACAGCACCACCGCCATAGCTCGAGCTCCAGCTCCAGCTCCAGCTCCAGAAGCGATGAGAACGGCGACAACGGCGAGGACGACGCGCACAGCGACCTCAACCGACGCGCACGTCATGCGCCGCCGTTGGGGCACGACGACAACGCGGACGACCGGACGCGGACCGAGCGGCGCAGCAACGTCAGCAGCGACGACAGCGGCAGCGACAGCGACAGCGGCAGCGACGACGACGCCCCGCCCGCCGAGGAGGAGTACGCCTTCTACGCGCGGCTCGTCAAGCTGGGCCGCGGCGACGGCCACGACGGCGCCCACCCAGCAGCCGGTGCGCCGCTCGTCGCGCAGTGCTGCGACACCGTCCGTGGCACCGTGGACCTGCTCGACGAGGTCCGCCTCTCCACCGGCGACGCGGCGGACGGGGACCGGTTCTTCTGGCTCGACCTGCACGGCGTGCCTCCCCCGCTCCCCGGGTCAGCGGAGTGGGGGCAGCGGCCGCGGCGGTGGCAGCGGAAGCAGCACGCCGCGTTGAGGGCTGCGGCGCAGGCGGCGGCGCAGAGCGGCGGTGGACGGCCGCCGGAGGTGGAGATGCGGGCGCTGTGGACGGCGCTGGGGCTGCAGGGCACCACCATCGAGGCCCTGGCGGAGGTGTGCCAGCAGCGCCAGCTCAACCCGCGCCCCGAGCGCACCTCGCTGGACGACGTGTACGAGGAGGAGACGGTCGGCTTCGCCTGTCCCGACGACCGCGTGCTGCACGTGGAGCCGCTGGCCGCCGTGACGGAGGTTTCGCTGACGGCCCAGTCGGAGCCGATCTCGCCCGAGAACCGTCGCGAGGCGCCACCGCGAGCCGGCCTCGCCTCCGCGCGCCTCGGTGCGACCCACTACGTGGTGATGGAGCTGGCCACGCTGCTGACCAGTGTGCCCGCGACGGCGACGAGCACCAGCGCCGGCGCGTGGTCCAGCACCTTCCTGTCGCGCGCGGGGCCCGGCGACTTCGCTAATGAGCCGCTGAACGACGCGGTGTGGTCGGAGGCGATGGGGCGCGGCATGCACGCCTTCTCCCCCGGCATCCGCGATGCGGCGGCGGCAGCGGTGGCCGGTGCTTCGCGGCGCGGGGGGCTGAGGGCCGGTCGCGGCGGACGCGGAAACCGCCAGCTGGCGCCGTCCACATTCCACCCCGCCGAGCTCGCCACGACGCCCCTCGTCACCTCCACCTACGTCATCTGCTTCCCCGGCGGCTGCGTGACGTGGTGCCCGGGCAGCACGTTGGGGCTGGTCAGCGCCGTGCGGCGGGAGAAGCGGCTCGCGGCAGCACAGCAGCGTCGCCACCGGTGGAACAGCCCCTCCGCAGCGGAGAACGGCACCCCCGCCCCGCTGTCGACGGACCCGCACCACCACAGCGGCGACGACTCCTCCGACGCCGACGCCGACGTGGACGACGGACTCGAGGTGCACTACGTGAAGTCGTGGGAGCGGCTGCAGGCCTCCGTCTTCCAGCGCCTTCGCCACATGGCTTCTCGCAAGGCGGTCAGCGCCTCCTGTGGCACGCCCGCCGCAGCTGCGGGTGCCGCCTCCCTGTGCACCTCCGGCTTCGTCGCCCTTCTCCTGTCCACCGTTTTCGACGCCTATCTGCCCAACACCTCCGTGGTGCTTGACGAAGTTAACGGTATTGACTCCATGCTGTCGGTGGAGGGCTCGGAGGAGGAGGGACGCGCCCAAGCCGATGCGCTGCGCCGCGTGCTGCTGCTGCGCCGCCGCCTCTCCGTGCATCGCCGTCTGCTGTTCCAGAAGGCACGCCTGCTGGAGGCGTTGGACAAGCCGGCGATGCACACCTTCGCGCGTTTCGTGCGGACGGCGAGGGGGCCGACGTGGCCTGCCAGGACGGCCGAGCAGACCTACGGAGGTGGGGGTGTGAGCAACGTGCACGACGGCGGTGATGCGAGCGCTACGTGCTTCCCCGCCGCTGGAGGAAAAGGACACGCCGGCGGCAGGAAGCGCAACGCAAACGCGAGTCGCTCCCGCGCACGGATGGGGGAGCCGCCCTCGCTGGATGCCATTCACAAGGGCATGCTGAGCGTGCTGCGCAACCTGGAAGCTGCGCGCACGGTGCTGGGCAACACAACACTTATTTTTACCTCGACGGTTAATTACAGCAACTCCCGCACGAGCGAGAGCTCCGATTATTTCGTGCTGATCTGTCAATATATGTTGATGGTGGTACTCCCCTTGAATATCGTTGCCTCGCACTGGGGCATGAACTGTGTGGTGCCGTTCATGTATTTGGACAGTCTGACTCCGTTCTGGACCATTGTGGCGATGATGATTTTCCTAGCCCTTGCGGGTTTGGCGCTGCCGGTGTACGCCTACCGTGCCGGGCGCATGGAGATGATTTCGTAAGCAAAAGATTTTTTTCTTCCATTTTAATCTCCCTAAGGTGTTGCTTTTATGACACACACGACTAACTTTTTCTTTCTTCTCATTTGTGCTCTCATTTGTTACTGCTGTGCCAGGATTTCACGAATACACACGAAGAGAGAGGACGAGAGAGCGGTGACGGCTTGTAGGAGCGCATTCTGTGTGGACTAAGACAAGGATGTCTTGGCATGTATTGGTACTTGGCGTACGGTGCGCGTGTCTGCATCGTGATCAGGTCCTTTTCGCGGGTGCCTTTCAAATTACGGGAAAACCGTGACATCTAATGTAGCTGTGTTCTTGCGTCTCGATTCTCGGGTATGACGGGTGCGGGAGAACGCGACGTTGTGATCTATGGCGGATGTGTGCACCGATCATATCTCGTTCAGCATCTTCTCTGACCGCTTCGTTTTTTTGCTTCCTCTTCCTTTTTTCCCCGGATCTGACGTGATGAATCGCTGCCCTTTCACGGTGAAGATAAACGTGCAACTTTATTGTTCTTTTTTGTTTTTGTCTTCCTCTTTATAGTGCCTTCTTCCCCACCAAGCGCTGTTCTCCCCAACACTCCATACATATATTCACCACAGTTTCTGGAAGTAGGTGCCATTTCGTGCGTCTTCACCAGTTCTGCGAAAGTACAGCACCAAGCCCCTCCTTTTGTTTGGCGGACCGTCTGCGTGGGCGTTCCATTTCGCGTTCATCGAGTATTCTTCTATTCACTCTGCTTTTTTTTTTTAACTGAATACGAAACAATGTCCTCCGTCACCCCGCCGCAGCACCGCCGCTACGTGGAGCTCACGCCAGACAAGGAGCAAAAGATTAGCCAGCTGGTTCAACGCATGCAGCAGACCTACAGCCCACTGCCCGAGCAGCTCCAGGTCCTCCTGCGTTACGCACCAAGACCCGCCGATGCCCCCACGCCGCACAACACCATTCGTCACTACTGCTACTGTGCCCTCATCTCCCGCAACTGGGATCTGCAACGAGCCTTCGCAATGCTGGAGGAGAACGTCGCCTACCGGCGTCAGTGGAGGCTGGACGAGCGGAGTGAGATGCCAACGTCGATTTCGCTGCGCGGGTGGGAGCAGATGGAGGTGGTGCGCGCCTTGGGCAAGGAACCGCGCCTTGCCAACCAACGGGCCGATAAAATTGTCGCCCTGCTGGGCCGTCACTTTCCTTGCGGTCTGCACCGGTGGGACAAGCATGGGCAGCCGGTGTTCTACGTCCTCTTCGGCCGCATTGAGGAGGAGGCGATCGTGCGAAAGCTGAAGCAGGTGGCGAACGTCGGACAGGCCCCGGAGGACGTCGTGTGGGAGATGCTGCAGCACCTCATCGGTGTCGGGGAGTGGCTCGCCTACTATCAACAAATGCAGTACGACGCGGGGCGACTGGACGTGGATGCCACAGAGGGCCTCATCCGGGCCACCACGATCGTGGTCGACATGAAGGGGTTTGGCTACTCGATGATCTGGAAGCCCGCCATCGACCTCGCCGTGAGTTGCTTGAAGAAATTATTTCGCTACTACGCGGAGTGCGTGCATCAGGTGCTGGTCGTGAACGCGCCGTCGATGGTGTCCTTTGGCTATCGCATCGTCCGACCTGCTGTGCCGGCCACCGTGCAGGCGAAGGTGCGCATCGCCGGCCCAGACGCCTCCCTCGCCTTACTGAAGGAGTACATCGATGAGGCATTCATCCCCGCGCACCTCGGGGGGCAGTGCAGCTGCGAAGGCGGGTGCTGCACGGATTACAACCCAAACCCGCAGGACGTGCTGACCGCGACCGAGGAGCACCAGTACGGTGGGGTGAGCACCGACGACATCACCCTTCGCGCCGGGGCGGCGCACAGGATTGTTTTTGCGCTGCGGCAGAAGGAGACGGTGGTGTGGGATTTTATCTCGGCGAGTGGACACGACATCGCCTTTGCCACCTTCTTTGTGCCATCGTCGCAGTGTGCTGGTGTGGATATGGAGAAGGCCGACGTGCGGTCATTGGAGGCCTATGTGGTGTCGAAGACGAACCCCTCAGAGGGCTCGGACGAGTACAAGGCCACGGAGGATGGCGTGCTGGTGCTGGTGTGGGACAACAAACAATCCTGGGTGACCACCAAGCACCTCCAGATGAAGGTGTTCAAGCAGCAGGATCTCGGGAAGGTGTTTTAACGGTGTAGAAGGTCCTTTCTGTGACTCTTCCGTTGCAGTCTATCGGAGTCCGTTAGTTTCTGTCTACGCTTACTTTATTTCTTGTTTTTTCTCATGCGGCAGCAGCTTTGTCGTAGCATGTAAAGCGTACGTGAGCTGTCTGCCTCCATTCTTCATTTCTCTCAGTCGTTAATGGGCCTTCTTTGCTCTCTTCCTAACGCGATGGGTCGCCTGCTCGGTGCGGTATCCGTTGCGTACGTCCATTTCGACTGCTCTTGGCCTTGATTCCGCCCGCATCGGTCTCCGTTATGCGTGCCGGGACTATTTTTTGCCGGCTTCCATCTCTAAAGGAAGACTGTGATGACATTTTTTGTTCTCTTCTTCACCGCAGCACGTGCGATGCAGACGTGTCCTTACTATTATTCTATTTTCCCCTTGATGTAGCGTTGGAATTTATGTGAACACGCTTCCCTCTTTTTCTTACTGTTTTGTACTTCATGTGTACTTCAATGTGAACTGCAACACCCTCTCCTTGTTAAAGAACAAAAATGTGTTGTTGTTGTTGTTGTCTTGTTGCTGTTGTACGTTAGACTCTGGAAACACGATTGCGCGGCCTCCGCGGAGTTTCTTTTAGCGGGTGCGCCTGACAGGACGAAGCATCGCTGTTACTACGGTGTTCTTTATGGGGAGCTGAGAAGGAATAAGTTGCACATCCGCAGCAGGATGCAGGCACCATCGATGCACAGGATGCATAATTTCTCATTACACATTGCCGTTTACATTTTTAATTACTCTCCTCAATTCTTCTTTTCCTTTATCCGCAAGACATCGCGATTCGAATTTCTTTTCCCCCTGACAGCCCAAACCCTCGACTACCTGCTCATCGCCTCTGTTTGATGTGATGAACGGGGTTTTTTTTTCCGTCCCCCGCTTACACGCCCACACGGAGCGGTACCCGCTGATATTTTGTTGGAGTTGTTGGCCTTCGGTGTTGTAGATACAAGTTACACCTTCGGTCGTTTTCATTGGATATTATTTAATCGTTTCAATTGTGTTCCTCCTCCGTTTCTGTAGAATCACCATACCTTTCTGAGCGCCGCGCTCCCGCATCTGGCATCAGAGTAGAAGGAGAAAAGAAGACGTGTACGCTGAATGAGCCGCTACCCGCCGTTGACACAGGAGCAAGACTCTAGGGTAACGAAGCTGGTCGATCTCCTGCAGGAGACGTATCTCCCTCTCCCACCTCAGCTGCAGGAGCTGCAGCGGCTGACTCCCCTCGCAGAGGAGCAAAAGGCGTCCACCTCGCACAACCCAGTCCGCCAGTACTGCTACTGCTTCCTCATTTCACGCGAGTGGGACCTGCAAAAGGCCTTTGAAATGATGCAACTGACGGTCCGCTACCGGGCGGAGCACCGCCTGGATGGGCAGCGCGTATTCCCCTGCGCGATCTCTTGTAAAGGCTGGGATCAGGAAGCCATTCGAAAAGCACTGGCGAAGGGAGAGGGAACGGAAGAAAGTCTGCAGCCTCGGCCGACGGATCAGCGGCTTGACCGACTCTGCGCCGGCATCGCGCCTTTCTTCTCCTACGGCTTTCACAAGTGGGACAAGTTCGGTCAGCCGGTGCTGTACATGATGATTGGCACGGTGGATGAGCCGGGCCTGCTCGAATCGCTGCGGCACATGGCGAACGTCGGCCAATCCGCCGAGGCCGTCCTGTGGGAAGTCGTACTTCACATTCTCGCTGTCGGAGAGTCGCTGCAGATGTACCAGCAGCTGCAGTACAGCGCGGGTGCGTTGAAGGTGGACGCGGCGGACGGACTCATCCGCTCTGCCACTATCGTGATCGATCTCAAAGGCTTGACCTACAAGATGCTGTGGAAGCCGGCGCTCGACCTCTTCATGAACACGCTGAGAGAAATCTTCAAGTACTACCCGCAGTGTATGTATCAAATCTTAATTGTGAACTCACCGGCGATGGTGATGTTTGCTTACAAGATCGTTCGTGGTGTGCTGCCGCCTGGGGTACAGCAGAAGGTGCACATCGCGAATGAGGCCGACACGCCGGAGGCACTGAAGAAATGGCTGGACGAGGACTGTTTGCCGGACTTCTACGGCGGGACGTGCCACTGCGACGGCGGCTGCATTCACGGCTTCGACCCGACAAAGAAGGAAAAGACAGTAACCGCGACGGAGACGACAGACTCCGCGTCTACCGCTGCCCACGATGAAGATGAGCGGAATGGTACCGTACGACCGGAGTTTGTCGAGACGGAGGATATCACCCTGAAGGCCGGCTATCACCACAAGCGTGTCTTTCCGCTGAAAAACAGGGAAAAGGCGGTGTGGGAATTCGTCTCATCCAACGCGCGCAACGTGACGTTCGCCAAGTACTTTGTGCCGGAAGCCAACGCAAAGGAGGTGAACTGGGCGAAGGCGCAGACAAGCAAGCTGGAGCCCTTCCTCGTCTCCAAGGCTAGCCTGTCAGAGGGCTCAGATGAGTACACGGCTGCCGCGGACGGCGTAATAGTGCTCGTGTGGGACAACCGGCAGTCGTGGTTCACGGCGAAGCATCTGCAGATGAAGGTCTTCAAGAACGATAACTGATAATCTTTTTTAATCTTTTTTTCGCCCGCGATGATCGGGAAGAGACGATGACTGGAGGGCGCTCTCCCAAATTCGAATTATCCACGCAGCGCGTGTGAGTGTGTGGCACTATAGAATTCGGCTGCGGTTTTTTTTTCTTTCCTCTTCGTAGTGCTTCTACGTCTCAGCAGTAGAGACGGAGATCGGAGTGGAGTACGTTGTATCATTATGTTTGCTTCTCATTATATGGATCGCTACCTTCGTTGCTCAGTGCTTTCCTTTCGCTCATATATCTTTCAACCGAGCACCGCTAAAAGATAAAGGGGGAAAGACACCAACGCATTCGGTTCTTATTGAAGGCGTTATCTTTGTTGTCTCGTTTCACAATGTATCATTGTTCTGATTGAAAGAGGTGGTCGAGCCAGATCTGCTGGACATGTTTCTGAACGACTCACACAACTGTTTGGCAGAAGTCGCATCGACGTGTACGCCCTCCACCGTGCGTACGTGTACGTGTACGTGTACGAGGTTCTGCTTCGTGCACGGCCTTCTTTGCCACACACCTGCTGTGGGACTGAGACGTCAAACGCTTTGTTTTCTTTTCCGTTCTCCTCGTCTTTCCATAAATGTTTTGATTTTTCTGTCTTCCGTTTTGGGTTTGATCCTTTATTTGAATTGAATGCGCCACCACGCAGAACACGCCGTACTCAATACGCTTCAACGGTGAGCGCATCATCCCTTTCCGCACTTGCCGAATCCCGCTGGAGGTGTGACTTCGTATTTGTACGGTTCGGTGTTGTTCTCACCATTTCACATCTGCATTCATCATATACCACAGCTTTTCTTTCTGCGTCTGTTTCCATCGGTGTTGGGCGCACCAGCAAGTTCTTACAACATCTTTGAAGAGAGAATAGGAAACTGGCTTCTCGACAGCCACCTCAAAAAAAAAACACTGTGAAGGGAGAAACAAAGCAAAAGGCAACTACATATTCTATTCTCTTCTGCGAGGATGCCCCGCTACCCCGCGCTCACACCTGCGCAGGAGAAGAAAGTGACGGAGTTGGTGAGCCTCCTGGAGAAAACGTACAACCCGCTTCCACCGCATCTGCAGTCGATCCAGCAGTTCATGACGGGCGACGGCGCTGATACCAGCACCCCCCTCAACCCAATCCGCGAGTACTGCTACTGCTTTCTCATTTCGCGCGAGTGGAATCTGCACGAGGCGTTTGAGATGCTGCAGCTGGCGGTCGACTACCGCGGACAGAACCAGCTGGACACGCGGGCGGAGTTCCCGTCGGCGCTCTCCTGCAAAGGCTGGGACCAAGATGAGGTGCGGCGTGCCCTGGGGAAAGAAGCACGGTCGACGGATCAGCGGCTTGACCGACTCTGCGCCGGCATCGCGCCTTTCTTCTCCTACGGCTTTCACAAGTGGGACAAGTTCGGTCAGCCGGTGCTGTACATGGCGGTGGGCAGCATTGATGAGGCGGGGCTGCTGAAGAAGCTGCGACAGATGGCGAACGTCGGCCAGTCCGGCGAGGCCGTCATGTGGGAAGTCGTCCAGCACTCCTTGGGCATTGATGAGCAGCTTCAGTACTACCAGCAGCTGCAGTACAACGCGGGTGCGTTGAAGGTGGACGCGGCGGACGGACTCATCCGCTCCACCACCCTCGTAATCGATCTCAAAGGCTTGACCTACAAGATGCTGTGGAAGCCGGCGCTCGACCTCTTCATGAACACGCTGAGAGAAATCTTCAAGTACTACTCCCAGTGCGTCTATCAAATTCTGATTGTGAACTCACCGGCGATGGTGATGTTTGCGTACAAGATCGTTCGTGGTGTGCTGCCGCCTGGGGTACAGCAGAAGGTGCACATCGTGAATGCGCAGGACACCAACGCCGCCATCCGAAAGTTTATCGACGAGGTCAACATTCCTGACGTCTTTGGCGGGACGTGTCACTGCCCCGGCGGCTGCATTGAAGGCTACGATCCGGCGCACAGAAGGAGAAAGGACAAGGAGTCGGTCTCTTCGACCAGTGAGGCGGCGAGCAACGACGCGACGGGGGTGGCGACCGAGGACATTTCGTTAAAGGCAGGTCAACAGCACAAACGCGTGTTCTCGCTCAACGCAGGGGAGTCCGTGGTGTGGGAGTTCGTCTCCTCCGATGGCACGGATGTCACGTTTGTGAAGTGCTTTGTGCCGGAGAAGGCGGCGAAGGAGATGAACTGGGAAAGGGTGAGCGTCAGCAAGCTGGAGATGTACGTGGTATCCAGGGAAAACCCATCGGAGGGCTCGGACGAGTACACCGCCACTGCGAACGGGGTGCTGGTGCTCGTGTGGGACAATAAGAAGTCATGGTTCACGGCGAAGCACCTGCAGATGAAGCTCTTCAAGCAAGCACCGGAGCAATCTTCTCCGTAGTCCTGCGGAGTTCCTAAAGGGGTGTTGCGTTGTTTACTCAAGAAGAAGAAAGGTTTTCTCTCATGTTTTGGTCTTTTCTTAACTGTTGTATTTTCATCGCTGCATCACCATCGCGGTAAAATGAGCTTCTCTGTTAAGTGCATGATCGTTTTCCCCTTTGCTTCTTTCTTATTAATGGAGAAGCGACGGCTTGGTGCACGGCGCCGTCCCGTTCCGACTTTTCCGCAATAATGAATTCATTCACGACATCTGATAGATGGAAAACAACGTTTTTCCAGAGTCCATCGCCTTCGCTGGTGCTTTGAACGCCACAGAAGGGAAAAGGAAAAAGAGTCTGCCACTTGTTTCGTACTCGTTAAGCGTGTGCGATTTATTGGGAAGAACTTCTCTGGCAACTACGCATTCCATCCAGTTTTCATCGGAGAATAAATACGAAAAATCTTTCTATTGTCGCTTCCCACACCTTCACTCTCTTTCTTGTCTTTCTTCTTTTCGCGTAACATATGCATGAACACCTCTGTCTGTCTGTGTGCGTGTGTGCTCTGGGTGTAATAATGATACTAACAATAGTAATAGCAAAGGAAGAGTAAATACTGCATTTATAGCGAATAGCGACGTATATGTAAAAGCAAAAGAACCGCTGTGGCTAATCTTTCTAATTGTGGTTTATTTCATTTCCCTTTGTTGGTCACCGATTCTGTTTCTTGTTTCTTTCCAGGGCTGCTTTCTCGCCGTATATTACTTTTCCTACATATATATATATATATAATTTGCGCGAGTGTCGCCTTTCTTTTCTCTTTCCTCTTCCCTCCCCCTTCCCTCTCCCTCCCCTCCCTCCTCTCCCTCCCCCTCCGCGCTCTCGCCGTGTTTTCGCGCACGCAATTCACCTCCGGTGCAGCGAAGCTTCAACACAGCCGCATTGCCGTCTTCCGTTGGGGGAAAGAACATAAATTAACGAACAGGCCGGGTTTCTTTTTCCATTTCTTATCTCATTTGTCTTCGTCTTAGTAGCTTCCACGGAAGCCACTGTCAGCGCCATGTCCGTCTACGGCAGCGGTCTCTTGTCAGAGCACACCATGCGGAATCCCCTACGCTTCGTGCAACACGCGCGTGCCACCGCAGAAGACGAGTACCAGCATCAGCAGCAGCAGCACATTGCGGAGCTGATGCGAGTGGAGGTGGACCGTCACCAGCTGAACTTCATCTCTGCGTCGCGTATCCAGGCCTTTGTGAAGTCGCGGAGCTCGTTGCGCACCGTACTCGGTGTGGCGGTGCTCAGTGCGGAGGACATCACCGCTGAGGAGCACGCCAACGTCGCGGTGTACTTCGAAGCCGTCGCCCCCGATGGCACGGCGTGGATGGAGGGTCTCGCCGCGCCCTCCCCTCTCTCGTCGCCTTTGTCTTCTCCTTCTTCGCAGCGTGGTGAAACCCGTCAAGGAACTGCAGCGAAGAGACCGGATGTCGGCCACGAACCCGATGCATCGAAGGCAGCAGATACGTGGTGGACGTTGCGGCCCTCATCTGCTGCTTCTTCACGCCGGACGCGCAACACTGAAGGAGGCAGCAAGACAGAAGCGAAGACCGCCAGCGCCGCTTTTCCTACGTTTGCGAGCTACGGTGCCGCGAACGTGACGCGCCGCCGCAAGCGAACAGCACGCGTCTCGTCTCATAAAACCCTCGCACGTCAGACCTCGGAGGACGCACTGAATAGGCGCGTGCGACGCAACGGACGCGCCCCGTCCGCGGTGCATCCGACAGAACAAGACGGCGACTCGCACCAGCTGCGTGCCGTCACAACACAAAAGGCTGCGCACATCATAAAGCAAAGCACGAAGCGCGAAGCGAGGGTGGATGAGGCCACCATCGTCTTCACCGATCCCTGCGTTGCTGCTCTGCCCGGCTCTGATCTGGCTGCGTTTACCAAAACCCTCCAGAACGTACAGAAAAATGTCGTGGTGCGCGCTATCTTCCCCGACTATGGGGATCCGCATACGGCGCTTTCACGCAACACTGATCCATTCAGAGCTCGTCGCACGCCCTCAACTGGGATGTCGGAGATTGCGGCGCACGTGTTGTCTGCGATCAGCGCAGCGCAGGGAGTCGCACGGCGCACGCTGGACCAGGCTGTTGTGCTCCGCACCGCTGCGGTGGACGAGCACGTCCAGCAATGCGTGCAGGAGGCAAAGGTCTCGCAGCGTCCACGCTTCCGTCGACGCACGTCGCTTGAGGTGTACGGTCGCGGCTCCTACACGACCGCACAGTAGTCGCTGCTGCTTCTTCTTAGTGGGTGCATTTTACTCTCACTCTTGCCAGAAGAAAAAAAAAGTCCTTCTCAATGATGGTGCTTACGCTCTGTCGTCTCTCCTGTGGTGCTTTCGCTATATTTGACGCCTGCGAATAAAACGTTTCATTCAGTGCGGCTTTTGCTTTTGTTTCTTTCTCCCGTACAAGAAGGATTTGAATTTCCTTGACGGCTGACTCGTGTGAAGAGGGGACGATTTCGCTGTGGATGCCGTCCACACTCACACGTGATCCAGTCATCTTTGCTTTTATTATTATTATTTTTCTCTCTTCTTCAACGCCTCCAACGCGTAGGTATACAACTCAAAAGCAAGAAAACGTCCTTCCTTTTCCTTCTGCACGTATATCTTGCTTTAAAGTGTCCTTTTTCTACGGATGGATTTGATTGCGCTTCTTAGAGCAAATGTCCAACTTCACGGAGGATAGTGGCTGCACTTTCTTTGCATGCGTTGGTGTGCTTACTACGGATTAGCTCGCAGGTTCTGACTTGATGCAAATCCTTGCTGTTCATATGCAAAAGAATGGGGGGTTTCTCCTTCGTGTCGTGGTCTATAAGGTGCGTACTCTTTGCTTTATAAAAGAATATATATATGTATATATATATGTATTAATCGTCAGGTTTTTCTTCGTTGCTAGTGTTGATGTTTTGTTGATGATACTGATAATTTCGTACGATTGCTCTCTTTTTCCCTCTCTATACACCTCCTCCTTTATTCTTATTTTTCGTTTGCCTGCTCTCTTTTCAAACGGCTTCGTGTGATGAAGCGTTAATTCGCAGTCTTGTCTCTTGAACGACTTCCGTTTTTTTAGTCTTCTTTTCAAGTAGAACACCGCCTTTCGAAAAAAGAGTTTGAAAATACAGGCAGATGTCAGTAACACAAGTACTTCTCCTTTTGCAGTTCATCTGCCTTTTGGCTTCTACACGTCCGTGTTCTTATCACGATGTCATTCAGCGGCCCGCTATTCCTCCGCTCACCAAGTGGTGGTTGTAATTCTGGTTGGTGTTGCTGATGAAATGAATTTGTTGAGCACACGTTCTCCCAACGTCTCCCCTCCGTATGCAGCGCCATGAACTTCTCTGTTCCCCCGAGACGTGGCACTCTCTCTGCACACAAGTGTCTATCCCGCACCTCGAGCCTGCTGATCTCGTTTCCCGTGTATTCGCAGCACCTTTATTTCTCTTCATTTTCTGCTTTTTAACTCACTCTCCCCCTCTCCTCCTCGCTGATGAGTTTCATTCGCACGATCACGCACGAAAGGGTTTTTTTGTTTTTTTCATCTGGAGGTGGTCTTGACGCTGGCGACAGCGAGAAAAGAGGCCCTCGTCAGCGTCATCACCGCATTAGAGAACGTACAAGGAAAACAGTGGGGCTGACGACCTCTCTCTCTCTCTCTCTGGACGCCAGCACACATCAGACTTCCTTCATCTTTTCCCTTTATCATCTCCTCAATCGCAAATTCGGTCTCTAAGTGACCACCTTCACAAACTCAGCAAAAAGAAACCGAAGCGCCATGGAGGGCAGCACCCAACGCGCAACGACCAGTCACAGCAGCACCGCCACCACCTCAGAGCCACGAAGAGGAAGTCTCACCAACGATCAACGCGACAAAGTTGTGGCACTGCAGCAGCTGATGCGCGGCCACTTCGATCCACTCCCCCCGCAGCTCCTCCACTCCATGCGCATTCTCCCTCGCCACGACAAGGGCCCCATCGAGCGTGATCCTGAGTGGCTCTATTGTACGTGTTTTCTTGTATCACGTGAGTGGGACGTGCAGAAGGCCTTCGCCATGATGCAAACAGTCGTGGCGTACCGCGCCGACAACGGGTTGGATGAGCGCAGTCAGCTTCCGCCTGCGGTGTCGGTGAGAGGGTGGGACAACGCGGCCGCCGTCTGCGCGTCCCTCGGCAAGGCACCCCGACACGCGCCAGATCGGGTGGACCGCCTTGCGACGGATGTCGCACAAACCCTTTCCTGCGGCCTTCACTACTGGGACAAGGGTGGCCGGCCGGTGGTGTATGTCATGGTCGACAGTCTGGACGAGGCAGGGCTGATCCGCACGCTGAAGAAGCACGCGGCGATTGGGCAGACGCCCGCGGATGTGATGTGGATGTACGGGCAGCACTTCATTGGCGTAGGCGAGGACTTGGTGCTCTACCAACTACAGCAGCAGCAGCAGCGACTTTCAGGTAAGGAAACGCGAGATGACGCGTCTCACCCCGTCACTTCACCATCGTCGTCGTCTCCTCACACCTCCGGCGGCGCGCAGGGCCTCATTACACTTGTGATGGATCTTAAGGGATTTCACGTGGGGCTGCTCTGGAAGCCCATGCTGGACCTTTTCCGTGACGTGGCACGAAAGCTCTTTCAGTACTACCCCGACATGGTCCACCGGATTCTCGCGGTGAACGCGCCGGGCCTCGTGCGGGTGGCATTCAACATGGTGAAGGGTGTGATGACCGCCGACTTCCAGAAGAAGATTTCCTTCGTCGGGCCACAGCACACGATGGAGGCACTGGAAGAAGAAATCGATCTGGCGTACATACCGGCTTTTCTTGGCGGACGCTGCCGCTGCCGCCGCCGTCGCTCGGAGAAAGCGCAGGATGGTAACGGCGAGGAAGACGGCGGCGGATGCTGCATTGATGGGTACGATCGAGCAGACCCACTGCGGCGGAACTCGAAAGCGAAACACGGAAAAGATGAGACATCTACTGCTGTTGCTGGGAACTCCGATAGCCTTCACAACGAAGGAAGCGGAGAGGCGTCCGCCGCTACCGACGACATCGCCCTATCTGGAGGGCAGCGGCACCGACGTGTGTTTCACCTGCGGCCGTCAGAAACGGTGGTGTGGGAGTTTGCTGTCCCGCACAACGGCGGTGCTGACGTGGTGTTTTCCTCGTACTTTGTCCCTCACGCTGACACGGCAGCCGACGCGGCGGCGGTGAACTGGTCGAAGCTGAGTACCGAAAAGCTGCAGCCACACCAGATCCAGGAAGGCGGTGACGGCGCAAAGCAGGCGGGCGCCTTCACCGCGAGCGAGCGGGGCACGTTGGTGCTGTCGTGGCACAACACCCGGCTGTGGTTTAAGACGCGTCACGTTCAGCTGCGGGTGTACAAAGACGCTTCACCGCAGTCCAACGTGCCAGAAGAAAAGGGCGACGAAGAGAAAGAGGTGGGAGAAACAAGAAAGGTGGCTGCATCTTGAAGCTCCATACTTGTGGCGTGTGTGTTTTGAGTAAAGGGACTGCGCACGTATACATCAGCGGCAGCATATTATTGTTATTGTTGTTATTGTCATTACTACTCTACGCGATACTGTGTCGCTCCTTTTCTTCTTTGGAGTGTGTGCGAATCTGCTCAGCTTTTATCGCCTCTGCTCTTCGTATGCATCACAGTTTTCTCCTTTGTTCTGTAGTTTGTATACGTTCTCTGCCTGCTCTGCTGCTTCTCACGAAGTGAGGTTTTTTTTTCTAGAGATTTGTTGTCCCCTGATGGCCCCGCTTCGCTGCAAAACTCTGTTCCGCACTACACCTTCTTAAGTAAAGCGACAAATTGCATAAGTGAAGAACACTCTTTTTTAATATCCGGCTCAGAGGAGAAAGCAAACGTTTGTGTGTGAGAGAGAGAGAGCGAGTCCTTTGTGTGCCTTAACCCTAAAAGCATAGTAGTTTCAATCAACATCAAGATGTGGACGGCTTGCTCCTCTCATCTTCCTCCTCTGTAAGATAAATGACCAAGTCTTGCTTTCTATCGCTCCCTCCCCTCCCTCTCTTTTCTCTACTTTACCGCTCTTTGTGGGTTAGCCCATCACGGTGTTCTCTTTGTATTTCACGGACAACACGTAAAGCTTCTCCGCCCCTATACACGCCGCATATATATCGCCCTCTTGTTCTGTTTTGTTTCTTCTTTCTTCTCCCCCGCTCCCCTCTCTTTTGTTTTCTTTCCACCAACATATACTCCCCTCCATCGGGCCGGAGAAGCTGCGTTGACGTTGTATACAGGCGGTCTCTGACGTCCTTGGCGCTACCCCACTCCTGCTCTTCTATTATTGTTATTGGTATTTGGTGGTGCTTTGGTTTCTCCTGTGTGCGTGAATTTCCGCCTTTTGGGAAGGGTTGTTCACTCTGCAGACCTCTTGGCGTCGTCCGGCAGCCGCCGTGGTCGGATTCATTCCGCTGCCAAGAAAGCAAACAAACTCAAAAACAAACAGAAGCCGGTGAGTGCATCCGGCGTTCGTCGCCGCCGCATTATCGAGCAGCGCAACATCCTCCGCAATGGCACCGTAGGGCAGCGCCGTCAGCTTCTCCGCGTACGGCAAGTCCGCGTGCCGGACAACGTGGAAGCGGCTGCGGTGCTCGGCACTGCCGTGCTCGACCTCCCGGCATCGGACATGGCAGGGGAGAGCACCGACCGCTGCAGCGGCGCGATCGTCGACGCACGGCCGTATCTCGCCAGCTGCTGTGGCGGGGGCGACAAAGACGGCACAGACGGCATCGACTGTGTAGACTACTCGTCGTTGGTGGAGGTGCTGTGCCCAGATGGTACGTCGTTGCTGGAGCGTCTCCCGCTTTCCCCGGTGCCTGCCCGGCGGGGTCGTGTGGTGTCGCCCTCACCGCGCCGCCACAGCGCAACACGCTCGCCTCTCTTTGCGGCCTCCACCCCGTTTACTTTTGCCACAGCAGGGGACTCTCTCGCCACGCCGCAAGAAGAGAGCGTGCCGCAGCCTGCACCACCACCGCCGCACAACCGTAACGAGCAAGGCGACGGAAGTACAAATCTCACCTACGCTGATGGACCCGTCCGCCTCCACGATTCATTTGACGTGTCCTATACTACTACCGCTGCCGCTGTGGCAGCCGCCGTGACTCCCACGCAGCGTGCGGAGCGAGACGACGCCGACGACGGCCTTCACATATTTGCCAGCGGCGGCTCCTGCACCCTCGTCGCTCCCCGCAACTCCGCGCGTCATCGCAGACGGAGGCGGGCGCCGGCTCAGTCCTCTCCAGCGTCGTGCCGCGACTCGCAGTACCTCTCCCTCGGCAGCGCGGACCGCCACAGCTCGAACGGGCGTAGCGGCTTCACGACTCCTGCGGAGCAGTCCATGCACGGACTCACCCCAACGAGTGTCGCGTGCACTCCTCTTTCTCCGCACGAGCGGTGTGACCTGAATGGACGAGTGCTGCTGACGGACCGCCTTGTACAGTCGCAGTCCAGCACGGCCTTGCCCAAGATGATTGCGGCCTACCAGCAGTACGTGCAGGCCACATCTGCCAGCACCTGTTGTCCGTCGGCACTCCCCTCGAAGAACTCAAGGTGCAAGTGGCGCGGCAACAAGACACACGAGAAGGAAGAACTCGCGGCGCTGCGTCAGGCACTCGCTCCGCGTCAGCGCGGCATTGTTCTGCAGGCGGACAACACGGATGAGGAGGTGTTGAAGTTCGTGACGCAGGCACAAGAAGGCGTGCGGCCCTCCTTTCGGTACATGGATCCGGCGGAGGTGTACGGCACGAGCTCGTACCGCTCCAACACCTTCATCCAGCAAAGCGAAAACTAATGTGAGGTGGTGTTTTCTTTAATATTTCTTCTGTTTTTTGTTGCTCCATAGCACTGTTTTCGTGCCTCTATCTTCGCAACTGTTCTCATACGCAAAGTGCTCCGGGTTCGTATGGTCCAGTGTCACAGTATTCTTTGCTGTTCTTTTGCCCCGGTAAATATATGCGTCTTTAGGATGGAGTGTCTCTCGCCTCTCCTCTTCTTTTCATGTTTTTTTCTTTTTTCTCTTCTGGTTTTGAGAGCCCAAATTGAATCGGCAAGAAAAATGTACAGCGAGACTGCTTCACATAAATGTATGAGATGCATCTGCTAGCTCACATCTGTGTCGCTGGGGAGAAACCTATTGCGGTTTTCAGCATATTCGTATATGCATCTAAGTCTTTTTTCTGTGTTCTTCTCTTTTTGATTAGTATTTCCGCTACGAGAAGCCACGTGAAGGTGCTCGCCAGAGTTCTCTTTGTTGCTGTGTACTTGCACACAACGGCACACGCGTTTTTTCACGTCAGCGTTATTATGTACTGTTTTTTTTGTCGATTTCGAGACAGTTCTCTCTTGCTCTCTTCTTGTAGTAAGCGTCGACACAGATACAGAAATGTATGTGGGTATTCTTTTTTGGTGAGTAATAGCCCCTTGTTTCTCCCTTTTCGGCGATTCAACGTAGATACGTGACCTCCTTGTATTCCGCCTCCGGCGTCCATTGGGTGTTGATGACCTGCTGTGAATACCCTTCCTAACATCTTCTTTCACCTGCGAACAGCCTCCTACTTTGGGAGTCTGACTCCAAAGACGCATGTATTTGTTGTTATCTGATTTATTTTCGCTAACCATTTTCATTTTATTGTGAACTTACAAAACCAGTAATTCACAACTTTTATTAGTAGTATTGAATAATGAATGCTTCTAACGGTAGCGTAGTGCGGTTTATCTCTCTTTCTTTCTTTTTTCGGTATCAGTTCTCGTAGGCACGGCGTTTGAGGGCTACAGCTCGGGAGAAAGGAAGATAAAGTAGAACAAAACAAAATGTCATCACAGTCTTTCGATTTCTTTCCCTTCTCTGGCTCAATCACCGCTACAGTGGATATGCTGTTGTCCGCTATGCCGGAATGTACAAAGCGAGGCATGGGGCTTTTGCATTCTGGTGCTTATCCCCTTTTACATATATATGGAATTTCTATGCGTGAGCGCCACTTCACTGGCGTTGTTGAGGGACTGCACATCGCTCCAACTGTGGTCGGTTTGCGTTGGACAACTTTGCTCGCTCTTTCGTGTCTTTTCGTTTTGTCTGTTCTCGTTTGCCCTCTCTGTTTGCACCGTGGCGCCGCGCGAAGAGACTGATGAACTGAAACGTAGAAGCACTGCTGCTTGTTTTTCTCCTTTTCCTCTCAGAATGGAAATATTTCTGAGTTTATATTGTGCTTTCTTTCTTTTTCTTTTTCGGTGTTTGCTCGAAGCCTGCGCCAGGAATGATGTCATGTTGGAATGGTAGGATGTTGAAATGTACCTTAGTACCCCATTTTCCTCTTTTCTAACCTTGCGACAGTCTTCGACTTTCGCCTCTCACTTCTTTTTCGAGTCCCGCCCACCCGAGCCCGCACCGCCCCGCTTTGGAGGCGGACTTTGAAAAGGAGTCTGCCACTTCGTATGTATATATCCCGCGTGAAAAAGATGTAAAATGAAAAATATGGTAAATTCGCTTTCTGGAAAGATATGCCCTCATCCGAGGAGGAAGACACGATGGTGTCGGGCAAACACCGTTAATGTATGCACACCCCAAAACGGGCCATCAACAATAGTTTTCCCTTTTCCTTTCCTCCCCTTCTCCATCTCTACACATGAAAACATGAAGCATTATTCAAACGCCTAATTCTCTTTCTCTTTTCGGTTCGATCATGTGCCAATGACCCGCCACAGCATTGAATAAAGCCGGCCGAAAGCTATGAACAGCGTGAACTCCCTCCTTCTGATTACTTATTGCTTTATGTTCTCGATGCTTGAAAGATGCGGCCTGTAGACTCTTTTCGGGCAATCCTGTTCACATGGGAGTAGGAATGAGACCCGCAGTGCCTTTAGGATTGTTTGTTTGTTTGTTTTTGTTTTCATGTTTTCTTACTTTCTCCTTTCTTGAGAATATGCGACTCTCTCTCTCTCTGTGTGTCTCGGTATAAACTGTTCTCCTATTATTATTATTGTTGTTTCGCGATGGCCGCACAAAAACAACGGTGGCTATTGAAGAAGGAAAATATGATGTCTTCTTTGGCAAAGAAGAAGGGGGAAAAAGCTCGTTGACGCGGTGAAGAATTTACCGTATCGTGTGAGACTTGTAAGCGGCTTGTGAAACTTCAGGTCAGTCAGCATATCGAGACTTGCCTGGAAAGCTGCGAAACTCCCTGTTGAACTGCCACCTACTTGGAGGTGTTACGTCCTTTCTCTTCTTCCTTATAGCGTTGACCTGCGCCGGATGCTCTCCAAGCGCGCTGTCGCCACTCCCACAGCCTTCTTGATTCTTCTCCTTTTGGGGTTCTAAATGCAATTTAGGTGCATTTGGTTTCTGCCTTTACGTCCTCACTTGTGTCGAGCCACAGCATCGCCTCGCTGCAGAGGAACGAAGAAACCCCAAAAACCACGAAATGGTCGTGCACGCACCTTTCCAGTTTCCACAACATACCCGATAAAAAATTGCATTTCCACTTCTACCTGCGGACAACAGCGTAACGTACGTTAGCTCTTTTTATTGTTGCTCCTGTGTCGTACATCGTCTGCGACCGCACACATCTCACAGCACATTGTTTTTTGATCGGTGGTAATTTTTTTTCTCTTTCTTCTTCTTCGCCACACAGCCTTTGATATCATCGCAAAGGCAAGCGCCTGCAAAGGGACTCGTTGTCGTGTGAATGCTCCTTTGGAGCTCTCAAAACGCTTCTCGTTTTTCTTCTTCTACTTCAATCGCTGGACTGCGCTATTTGTGTGTGTGTTTCCTCGCTGCCCCGCGATAGAATTAGCACTGGAGAAGCGAGTGCAGTTATGCTCGCCTATTGATTCGTAGCAACACACACACACACACACATGTTTTACGCTCTTTTGGGCTTTTGTTCTCTATGTCGCAGGACCCCGAACGGCCGTCGAGGTCTCCTCCCGTCTTCGCCGCGACACTCCCGTCCATCTCCCGCACGGACGCGCCTCCATGTAGAAAAGAGGCACTCGGCACCGGTGACGCTGCAGATGCGTCCGCAGAAACGAACACACCTGCAATGGGGCCTCGACAGCACAGCACTACGCAGGGCATCACCACCAGCAGTTGGGCGACCCGCCGTAGTGCACCTCCAACCCCCACGCAACGTCGCGGCGTATGGCTTTGTCGGATGTCACACGGCAAGCGCCAGTCCGCAGGTGAGGCGCAGTCCACCGTCTTTGTTCTGCAGGTCGCAAACACTGAGCGTCCCACGGAGCAAAACTCTGACGAATTGACGTGCTCTGACGACACCATCTCCAGCCATGAGGGCTCCTTCTATGCGTCTCTGCGGATGGAGCAGGAGGGTCACTCAGAGCAGCAACAGCATCAGCACCAGCCGCCACGCGGAAAGATGCAAGCCGTCCATGTTACCTCACCGGCATCTGTGCTGACTGGGGTATCAAGTGAAACCTCGGAGAGCTCCTTTCAGCCTGAGATCATCAATTTCGGGTTTACGCCGTCGTCCACGAGTCCCACGACGACCACCACCAACACCGCAGGAAACGCCTGGTCGACCTCCCTAGACCAGACCCCGTCTTCTCCCTTCACGCCAGCAGGGGCTCACCCACTGCCACATCAGCGACCCCCGCCCCCGCCGCCGTCGCGGCAGCCGCATTCGGTGCCGACCTATCATGCATTTCTACCTGTTTTTTTACCATCATCCAGTGAGTGGGACCGAGCGCTGCCTGCGGTGTTGGTGCAGCCCACCGCGTCGCCCAACAGCAGCAGCAGCAGCAGCCGAAGCGTCACGTCGATCCCGTCCAGCAGCCCGCGCACGCCTCAACAATTCCTGGCGTGGCGTAAGGAGTTGGTGGAGCTGCGCAACGCCAAGGCGGGTAGAGCGCAGATGAGCAAGAGCTACAGCGGCGAGCAGTGGAGTGTGAAGAAGTGCAGTGGTGCATGTTCCCCTTTGAGCGCGGATTTTCTGGATTTCGCCTCACGCAGCTGCACGAGCGGGGGTGATGTGCATTGCTATGCTTTTCCTCCGCTGGTTGCCAGCTCGTCCAGGAATGCTGACGGCGGTGTTGCAAGCCTGCCTGTTACGCCCCTCACGGCGGACGCACACCCGAGGCACCACCGCATCCCCTTCTCCCCTCACGATGGCTTCTCGCCCTCCGTCTCCACGTCCAACGACCGATCCTCCTCGGCGAAGTCGTCACAAGCGAACGCATCGACCACTGGTGCGGGGAATCCGCTGCCTGACTACGCCTCCCTCGCCTTTGATGTGCAAGCGGGAGTTGCAGCGGCGGAGCTGCCACGGGGAAACAGGGAAGGTTGGAGTGCGGGGGATCAGGTGGCGTTCGCACTCGTGCTTGCTGCTGCGTTCATTTACGCCCTGAATCGGTACTTCTTCATTGATGTAACAGATTTCTTCCCGTTGTAGCGCGTATCTCCTTCCGCAGACATGCGAGAGAGCGAGAGAAACCCCACAATCAAAAATGAAAAGCGATTTTTCTTTCCTCGTCTTTCGTATCTTCTTTTCTAATAGTATTATTTTTTTCTGCCAAAAAACGAACCTTCGTCTCGATCGCTTACTGCTCCTTCGTTCATTGACACTGTGTAAGTCGCATGTCTTACTTCTTAGCCTGTCTGCTTTTATTATTATTTTACATTTTCGCTGTTGTCCCAATAGTTTTTCTCTGGTGTGTCTTCCTGTGCCTTCTTTGCGAGACTCGCAGAAGCGGGTGAAAAGCTTATATATATATATATATCGCAGTGTACGCGTGAAGCCGGAAGGGAACCTCTCCCCCTCTCCCATCCGGTGCTCGTTGGAGAACGAAAGGGTGCTGCCCTTCAGTAAATTAAACGGCCGTTTCTCCTGTTCTGAATAACCGCGTTCGAGGAAGTGAACTTTCTTATGCTCGCTTCCGCTTTCCAATACCAAAAGAAAAGAAAAGGAATACAATGAAAACGAATAGAGGACGTGTTCTTGGCTCACGCGGTGAGTGCACTTCCCCACATCGCACACTGCAAGGGATTACCAAAGGGACTGCATGGAAAGCGCGGCGTAGGGACTTCCCTCTTGTACAATAGCATCTGTCGTCCGAACTGCACACATCCTGGCTATTCTTATGGAGAGGTAAAGTGAAAAGAAGAACAATAAGGGGCACCCATAAGCAATGCGGCCGCATCAAGAAAGCGGTGGAGTTATTCATTCTCTTTGATGAAACCACACACGTTGCTTCCTTCCTGCATATCTCGCATCGTATTTTCTCCCACTTCCTTCTTCTCTTTCTCTTCTTCTTTTCGTTCATCGTGACGGCTTCGACCTTTTCCCGCTCACTTTCTATTTTGTTTTTGTTTCTAGCGGAAGCCTTAACAGCGTCTCTGGACTCGGCTCAATCGAGTGCAACCCGTTGATTTTTTGCTGTGGTGGTCTCGGTCCAGAAAAAAACGAAACCGAAAAGCCACGCCCCCTCCGTTGTCGGCAGTCTTCGCCGCATTTCGAGGGACATTCGAACGGTAAAGCAGAAAAGAGAATGCGACCTCACTACACGTTGCGTTCTCTACCGTGCTCTCTCGCTGGCGTTGCCGCTTTAGTGTCCTATCGTGAACTTAACTTCGATTCTAACTCTAACAAATAAATCCTCTGGACTATTCGAAACTGGTAGATACTGCCTATTTGCGTACTGTACGTACGGGGCAACTTTTCTTTCTCGCTGCCTCTCTCTCTATCTTTCGTACGCAAGAACTTCGCTGCTTTTTGTGTAGGTAAATCCGCTTTCGCGTGAATCGGAAAGCGGCTTTAAAGTATTTTTCTCTCTTTAAATATATATAATTTTCACAAATCAAAAACTGCCGAAGGGGATCTCCTCCCAAAGCCAGTGTGTTTAAGCCGACTTTTTTTTTTATTCCTCCTCCCCAGCAACCATCTGTGGCAGTGCTGAACTCTCCCTTTCCGCTGGTGTTTTCTTTTGCTCCCTTCGATCTTACCTTTTGGTCTGAAGCGGCGGTACATTTGTTTTTCCTCATTGCTTGCCTTTCCCACACATAAATCACGAGACTGGAGTCTTGTTCTGCCGTTTTACACACCCTTTTCTTTTCTTTTCTTAGTACTACCATTTTGAAAGCGCAGAAAGACACGCACACCCTCTACTTCGCGAAGCACGGCAACACAACGTCTCTCTTAGTGTAAACGCAAACGTGCTTAGTTTGTTTGTTTTTTTTGCTTGAATTTCAATAACACGTTCCCCCTCTTAGTCATCTCTTTCCTCATTTTTTATTTTGGTCGAATCAACTTCCGTAGAGTTCTGTGTAATCTACACGAGAACTGGGCTGTTCCTGTGTCGTCGTTGTTGCTGACGCATCTTTTCTTTTTCTTTTCCTTTCTTTATTCCTGCTAGCTAAAAATTCTTTATTATTATTATTATTATTCCTGTTCTCTTCTCGCTGCTTTCTTTTATCCGTGTGTGTGTGTGTGTGTGTATCTGCCTCTCCCTCCACCCCTCGGAACCCGCCGCAGCGCCCCACAGCTGACCGCGAAGGAAGTCAACTCCAAAGCCAAAAAGAGAAAACTCCTCGACCTTGTTTGTTGTGTTTTTGTTTTCTCCAACGTTGTAGTGCGTGCGTTGCGGGCAGTCGTTTGCATCCGCCTCTTTTCCTTCTACGCCTTTTCTCTCCTTTCTTTTTGGTGAAATAGAATAGGCGTAGAAGATCTTTGATTCCCGCGGCGTGCCTTTCTCAGGTAAGTACGCCCAGCACAGCTTTCGAATTCGCTTCCGCGGAACAACAGCAGCACCAATACTATACATTAATTTGCGAAGCATGTCTGCGGTAACGGAGCACCTCCGGCGTAGCCCAAGCCCGCTCGACCGAAATACTGAGAGCGCTGCCTCGATGTCCTCCGCGGAGGAGCTCCCTGAGCCGAAGCTGAGCACCCAAACTTTCCGGGCGATTGCACACACACCACCATCGTGGCTCCACCTTCTCGGTCCAGAGAGCGCCGTGCAGGTTCTTCAATCCTCTTTCGATGAAAAGGCAGAGCAAAGCGGTAACGATGGAGGAGAGTTGGACCACGACGGGCCGCCTGGGCTGGTCGACGCAGGGACGCCTCCTTTGCTGGCGGACGTCGACGCAGTCTTTACGTCGTCGATCATTTCCTCCCATGAAGCGTCCTTCTGCAATAGCCTCATCGTGACTCGGGGGGAGAGACAGGAGCAGGAGCGAACACCCTCGGCAGTCCCACATCGTGCGTTAGCACATAGGCGCGGCGGAAGCTTCCTTGTGGATGCGCCGACACACACCAACGCAGAACAGGGTGGGGGTGATAGTGGGGTCGACGACTCAGGAGATGAAAAAGGAAACAGCGGCGGCGACAAAGATGCGACGCCGGCCTCCTCCAGTGCCGCACCTTCGAGTCACAACCAACAGTTGTCGACACACATGGCGGACAATCTAAACGTCTCCACACACTCCCTCACCTCTGCCAGGTCGCGCCTGCGCCACCGCCCTGTCACGCCAGCTGGAGATGTCCGCACGCTGCACGACCTCATGATGTGGCGCTCCCACCTGCCCGACTCGCAGCGCTCGAGCGATCTGCATCGCGACCACGACCCACCGGCGGAGGGAAGTCCACTGAACAAGTCCGTTCCCGCACCGCTGAGAGGCGGCAGCGGGAACGACCCCCTGCACTTCCCCGCGTCGTCGCTGGTGACACCCGATGTGTGGAACCCGGTGCTCCTCGTCCGCGCAAACCTCCCTGCCACGTTTTCGCCGCCCGTGTTGTTCGGCCCCACCGCGGCCTCTGCATCGAGTGCGACGACCGCACCGGCGAGCGAATACGAGAGCTGCTGCGACGTCAACGACGATGACAACATCGCCGGCCGCCGCCGCACCAGTCCGTTCTCCTCCTACCCGTCCGTCCATCCCCCACCTCGCCTCTCCAGCAACTACGGCAGCCGGTCAGACTTAGAGGACTCGTTCTCGTCGACGTCCACCTCGCACATTACGAGTCCGGCCACGGCGCTGCTGGCCCACCATCTCCTCTCGTCTCCTTACGACTCCCGCTCTCGAATAAGCGGCGATCACGGCGTGAACGGTGGAGGTGGTGGCGGTAGTGCCGGTGGTCACCTCCCCGGCCGCAGCGTCGCGAGTTCGATCTTCATCACCCCCGTGACGACACGAGGAGTAACGGTGCTCGACACCCGTCATGCCGCGCCGAGCTCCGGCAGAAGCAGCAGCAGCTATACCACACAGAACACAAACCCTGCACACAGCAGCAACATGGAAAGGCGCGACAGTCAGATTCTCTCGAAGATACGCGCTGGCGCAGCACCCGCCTCCCCTGCACCGTCCACCGGCAGCGGCTGGGCCATCGAGGATCACGCCCCGCCCCACGCACGCAGCGTCGGCTCAAGCCACCTTCCGGCGCTGTCGCCGCTACACCACAAGCTGCCAAGTCGCGGCAGTGATGCGTCCTCCTCGCCGCGCAGTGCGCTGCTTGGGTTTTACTCGCCGTCTGTGTCGCACGACTTCTTGTGTGGCTCGCACGCCTCCAAGGGCGGAGGCGGCGGCGGCGGGGACAGTTCGAGTCAGGGGAGTCACTCCGGCACGGTGGGACAGCCGACACGCCGTATGAGCTCCTCCATCTTCACGACGCCGGCTCTGGCCAGCGTGAAGGGAGGGCACGAGTCGACGATGAGGAGGCGGGGGCTGAAGGTGCCGGAGGAGTACCCGAGCTTTGCCACGCCGGTCGACGACGACACGAACAAGGCGGTCGTGGCCTTTGTGACGGCGCTGCTTCTCCTCTTCTGCTTGGGGCTCATCTTCACCATGTGAAACCACAAAGAAAAAGAGAAGAAATAGAAGAGAGCCGTAGAGAGAAAAGAATGCGGGGAGACGGCTGTGTGGGCAGCAGGAGGACTCCACAAGGCTCTTGACACCCTGCCGTCACGTTATGACTTGGGTGTACATATACACATATAGGTGTATCAAACCAGACGGTGAACTGTGTTTTTGGTGGCGTTGTACTTGTGTTGGTTGTTTGCTTGTGTTTCTGGGCGTTGTACTCAACGAGGAGCAAAAGAAGAGCCGTCCCCTTTCGTGTATCGAATAAAAGCACCTCGTTTTTCTCTTTTTTTCCTCTTTTGAGGCATAAACTGGTCTTAGAGTTTGAGTGCGTGTGTGCATGTGTGCGTGTTTAGATATATATATATATATACGTCCAAGGACTTTCTTTTCCTTCTTCTTTTCTGCGGACTACCGTTCTCCTGCTGCTCCTGCATTGCATACAGTACAGCTCCACAAACGCGGCATCTCCCATTCCCTTGTTCTTTTTATATTATTACTATATATATTTCGTTGGGTGCCGAAAGCTTCTCAGCTCCAAATCCTCCCCACGTGCCTTCTCTTTGACTATTACCTCCTTTATAAATATATGTATGCGTGTACTCTGCTCTGCGTTGGTGAATGGACGGTGCTGAGTCTTTTTTTTCTTCTGTTCTCCTCATTCGCCCCAGGCGAATCATGTTTTTTAGGTCTACGGGTGCATCCACCTCTTGCGGAACGTAAACGCAAACACAAACAAAGTACTCGAAGCGGTAAGGTGGAGAAGCCGCTGTTTATATTGTCGTTCGTACGCTGCTTCTTGTGCGCATCGAAAGAAAAATGACTTCATGTCTCGCCGGCGTCGGCAGAGGTACTTTCTTTGCATATTGTCTCTCTATTAAAGGTGGATTTTTAAGAGGCATTCAGAAGCATCTACCGCGTTACACCCTCGCTGACGGAAGGTGCCACCAATTTCTGCATCCATTGCTGATCATCCAAACGGGTTCGAAGTCGATACGAAGGCGAATTGTCTGGTGTTGTACTTCTTCAAATACTGCTCCTGATCTATTCTTCCTCCTCTCTCCTCCTCCCCTACTCTATAACGTGGTTTTGTTTTTTCCAATGTATGTGTACTTTTCCTTTCTTTTTTTTTCTTTCTTTGAAATGTTCAGACTTGTCGCACCCTCGCACAATCTATTCAGCTTACTCAGCATAATAATTGTCGAAGAAGCTGCAGCAGTTTAAAGTCCAACTCTGAAGTGTGGCGAATAGAACTACAACACATACGTTTCTTTCTCGTTATTTGCGTGTGTGTGTGTTGTTTCCATTCACAAGCTGCCTTCTTCTTCTTTTTTGTTTTTCATTTCCAACCCTATACACACGCTCTGAACTATATACCTTGTGGTGTACGGTGCAGCAACTCTTCTCCTGCGCGCCGTAGACGTTGCTACCTATGAAGGAAAGACTTCTCAGAAAAGATTCGGCTTTCGTACTCTTCTGAGCAAGTTTTGTTTCTCAAGCTCCATTACGGCCTCGTTTTTTTCTTTCCTGTTCTCTCTCTTCGCATCTACAACGCCACCTCGCAGGCAAATAAAAGGCAGCGATACCCACAACGGCGCCCCGCCAAACGTCGCCACGCGAAGCTCCTTAAACTCAGCCTTTTCTTTTATCTGTACAACGCCACTTCCCCACTTATTCTTTTTGCTCCCTCCCCCCCCTCCCCTCTCTCTCTCCAGCGCTTTAATTGTTTGCCATCTTTGTAGAAACACAATAACTGCGTTGTCGCTGGCAAGGAATCAACGCAGAGCGTGCAGAGTCGCATGCGTTTCTTCTGTCCGCGTTCTTCTTTTTTTGCTCTTTTGCTCTCGCTCGTTTCGTCTTCTATGAGCGTTGCTAAACTCTGCGGCTCTTATTTATTTTGCTTCATTGACTTTCTCTTCTTGAAACGCTGTTCTTTTCTTCTTCTACTCCTATTTATAGTTCTTTCGTGGGTAACTTCTGTTTACCCATCAACCGCAAAGCACCATCCCTTTTTTTTTCTCTCATTTTATTGTTACTCGTCTTGATTGGTTCTTTCTCTTTCTATTTCGCCACAACGGCACGTCTATCTGCCCTGCGCACACATCCTGCTCGCTTCTGTCGCTCCCCGAATACAGCCCGCCCCTTTTCTTTCCTCTTCTTCCTCCATGAAGGGCAGTGCAGCGACGCTTCTACAGCGCGCACCGACGGCAGCAGCGATGCCGCACCTCTCGTTCTCTCTTCGTTGGTGCGTGGTGCTGCTGGCTCTGGTTGTTCTCTGCCTCTGCTCCTTTTCCGCCGATGTCGCCGCGGCGATCAGCGCACGCTACCCCGCGGAGGACACACTGCTCAAGTGCGGTCATGACCACGTAGCAGCGGAGCAGGAAAAGGAGCCTCTCACCTACGTCTCCCTTCGCAAGGTCGATACGCACTCCGCGCAGGCGGCGGCGCCGGTGGCCTCCGCTGCTCTCCCACAGCCGCCTGTTAGAGACGCTGTACCTCTTACGCACCGCATCGTGGATGTGCAGGACGCCGCCGCTCCCGCCGCCTGGGCTCCCATTCGCATCGCCGTCTTCACTCCCGATCTCGAGGATGACAGCCGCTACTGCACCGCCGTGGGTCAGCTCCGGCCCGACTACTACGGCAACACCGTTGAGTGCACGAGCACCGCCGACATCTTAACGCAGGCAAAGAAGGATGTGTTGATCCACTCGTTACTTCCGCAGGCGGTGCAGGCGCACGCGTCGCGGTTGATGGTACACCCGGTGGCGAAAGGCACGGCGATTGTCGTCAACGCGATGGGGGGGCGCTACTGCGGCTCCTTCACCGTGCCGGCGGCCCACAAGACGGCAGGCGTGGCGGACGCAGACTTCGTCGTCTACGTCGCGGCGGGCCCGACTTCCACGGCGCAGAGCGTTATTGCGTGGGCGCTGACGTGTCAGTGGTTCGCAGGCGAGGTGCGGCACCCCGCCGTCGGCATCATCTACTTCAACCCGCGGCACCTACCCGAGACAATGGACGAGACGGCAGAGGAGTTGGCCCTCCACGGCGGCAATGCCTACGGCGCCTCCGACAGCCTCCGCCGCGCTGCCATTCATGAAATGCTGCATGCGCTCGGCTTCACCTTCACTGTGTTTCGAGAACGCGGCGTCTACGCCACCGTGCCGTCGCTGCGTGGGAAGACGAACGTGCCGGTGCTGAACGGGACGGCGGTGCGGGCGGCGGCCAAGGCGCACTACGGTCTCTCCGACGGCAACCTCTTCTACGGACTGGAGCTGGAGGACGAGGGCGCCTCCGGCACGGCTCTCTCCCACTGGAAGCGCCGCTCCTCGAAGGACGAACTCATGGCGGCGGTGCTAAACCTGGCCCGCTACTCCCGACTCAGCCTGGCGGCGATGGAGGACCTGGGGTTTTACAAAGCAGTGTACGAAAACGCCGAGGCCCTGCCGTACGGGTACGGGGCGGGCATCGACATGTTCAGCAAGGCGTGTCTCACTGCCGGCGCAACGAATGTGCCCTCCGTCTTCTGCGACGTCAAGAACTCCTTCGTCCAAGTCTGCGCGGCGGACCGTCTGCGGGTGGGCCGCTGCTCCGTGACCTACTACTCCTCGCCCCTCCCCAGCTATGCGCAGTACTTCACCGACAAGCCCACGTTTGGCGGCGCCCTGCGCTACATGGACTACTGCCCAGTGATCCAGGGTTTGTCCAACGCAATGTGCCACACGGGCAGCCTGTCTGTGATCCCCGGCAGCGTCATCAGCGCGAGCTCCCGCTGCTTCGACGCGACAAACCTCGTGCTCAAGGCAACCTACGTCTCCGCCAACGCCATCTGCGCGCGGGTACACTGCGACAACACGACAAGGACGTATGAGGTCCTAGTGAACGGTGCCGCGTCGTGGCTGGACTGTGGCACGGGAGGTGACGGCTACGTGGTGAGTCCGTCGGCGTCGAGTGCGGGCGTGTACGCCTCCGGCGGCGCGATCGCCTGCCCGCGCTACGAGGATGTGTGCTACGCCAACCCGGGTGCCTTCGGTCCTAAACCTGTTGTCACCACCACCACGACCACCACTACCACATCAAAACCGAATGGTGCGTCTCGTGTCGTTTTGTGTCTGTGGTCCATGGCGAGTGTACTGTTGACCGTACTCGCTTCCACCGCCGGTCTGTAGCCCAAAAGGAAGCCACGAGTAAGGGCCGCGTTGAAACCCTGCTTCCTGTCAATGGTGGATTTTTTGCTCCTACTCCTCGTCTCCGCACTTTTTGAGGGGGTACTTGAGCAACGGTTCGCTTCAGCACGTAGGAGAGAATGGGCCGTGGAGGTCGCCAAGAGAAGGGGTGCGGTTGAGGCTGCCGAAAACATCCCGGAGAAATGTGTGTGTGTGTGTGTGGCACCCCCGCCTACGAGCCGTCATCAACACGGATGTGGTGAGTGGTGGGTGAAGGCGCCCTATATATACTTATGTATATATATATATGAGCGTCGTGGTGCCGAGGTTGCCACCGTGCGTGGCACGCCTCTTTTATTCCTACACGCACTCAGGGGTCTCCTTGTTATGTGTTGCCTCCTCTTTGCATTTTGCACCCTTTTTTTTTCTTCTTCTTCTCACCACGTCTTTCGCTGGCAAACAACGCGATGTCAGCAGAGCCTGTGTTTGTTTGTTTTTCCCACCGTATTTCTAAGGCGTGCCATGCGCGCCGTTCTGGCGTGAAAAAGTCTGCTTTTTCTTCAAGGCCGTTTTTTCTTTCTATTTCGACAGCGCCGCCTCAAAACGAGAAGAACACCACGGCTCTCGCGAGTTCTTCTCAGTGTCACAGTCGAACCTCCGCCTTTCTCGTATATTGTTCTCTTTTTCTCCTATTCCGTCACCATAGTGGATGACCTACGGTGACGGCTGGTGATGGGTCGCACAAAAATAATAAACTGCGCCACGCATACACTGCAGCTCACGCACGCAAGCCCGCAGAGTGTGAGTAGAGTTGTCTGCTCGGGTGGGCTTGTTTTGGTTTGCTTTCTTCATGTTAACTTCTCATTTTCTTTTGCTGCTTTACGATAACAGCCTCAAACTGCTTTCTTCCATTTGAGAGAAGCACCACCATTCTACATTTGTGTATATGAAAGGGTGTTTTTTATTTGTATTGGTTTAGTTATCCTTGTTTATACGCAGCAAAGTCTCACTGCTGTATATATACTCAACGATGCGTCTCATTTTATGGCTGGTTTCGTGTTTTCTCTTTTGCGCTTTTTGCCGATCTCTGTTCAGGTGTTTCTTTTTCTTTATTATTATTATTATTATTATTCTCTTCGCGGTGACGGCGGAGTTGGTCGGATACGCTGTCTCAGGCTTTAAGCCATCGAAACAAAAGCCAGACTCTCAGTGCAGCAAAGAAACGAGAGAAGTGCTGTAAGCGGGTCCGACAGCAGTGCACTGAGCCACACTCTGCATGGCAACCAAAGGATAAGCAAACACTATGCGTCGTTTATTTTTATCTTTTCACGATGGGCGCCTGCTTGACCGTTGAAAGTATTCGCCTACTTCTTCTTTTTTGCTGAGGCGGCGGTTACGCTGCTGAGGCACTCAAGGCCGGTGTTTTCGATTGTTCTTGGTGGCGTTGCTCTTGATGTTGTTTCGTTTTACGAGTCACTTAAATATGCTGAACACAAAAGGGATGATTGTCTCAATTAATAGCTGTAGCGGAAATACAAATAAAAAACGGAAAGAAACGGCGAAGCTCTACTTCACTTTTGTTCCGCGTAGCATTCAGCTACGAGCACGCCTGTACTCCGGCTTCTCAGGCAATTAAAACAAAAAAAAAGCGTGGAACAAAATAATCGGCACTGCTCTTCTTGTATCTTCGTTCTCACGCTTGTACTCCTCTGGCAGGGGCAGAAGCGTAAGGCGGTGATACGTGATGGGGCGTTATCTGCTTCCGATCACGGCGCATCTTTCCCACAAGGACGAAAAGAGGCGGCTTCGATTTCTGCTTTCTTTCTCTATCCTGCTGCGTCTTGACTTTCTCGTTCTCTTCGTCCAATTCCGTGCTCCTCCCCTGCGGGTCTCGACATTTAATGTACGCCGTACCACATCCGCAGACGGATGCTTTCTGCTCTACGCGCCACGCATTTCCTCGGTCAGTGCCCAGCCCTGTCCGATGGTCTCACCGCTGCTCTGAGCACACTCTCCGTCTTTACACAGGACTGCTGACCTGCGATCTTCCTTTTTTATTGGCATTACCATTATTCATCTCCCTCTATGCAGCCACGGCGACCAAATTCCACTCCTCTCAGCTTCTCCTTCATTTCTACGACACAGCAGGCATTCTCCTTCCTCATCATTTCTCTTACTGTGCGTGTGTGTGTACATTCTTTCCCAATTTTCTTTCCGCGGAGTCCGCAGTGTCCATCACCAGCCACAACCAGACCTGAGCCTCGTCTGCGCGTGCCATTTCATGGCAGCGATCGGATACGGAACGTTTGCTTTTCATTCTCCTCCCTTCCTCACACCCCTTCACAACTTCCCCTCTTTCCCCCATATCACATTCCACCGAACAACGAGCACCGGTGCGGCTTCGACGAGTTGGAGGCGCGCACGGTCGGCACGCGTGTCAGCGGCATCAGCCGCGTGGTGCCGCCCGCGCTGTCGCTGCGCAACGTCGACGCAGTCGCCACAGCCGCAGCGGACACCCCCGCCTCCTGGCAGCCCATCCGCATCCGCGTCTTCACCGAGGACTTGGAGGACACAAACAAGTTCTGCACAAGGGCGGGTCAAGTGCGTCCCGACTTTGAAGGCGGGAGATCCACGTGCACCGGTGACGACGTCCTCACGGACCACAAGAAGAAAGTGCTGAAGGAGCTGCTGATCCCTTCCGCCATCAAGCTGCACGAGGAGCGCCTCAACGTGCAGCGCGTGGACGGCAGCATCGTCGTTGGTCCTTCCATCTCCACCGACGGCATCTGCGGTCAGTTCACCGTCCCCTCCTCGCACACCACCACCGGTGTCAGCGACGCGGACTTCGTGCTGTACATGTCGGCGGGCCCCACCAGCGGCACCTCCATTGCCTGGGCCACGACGTGTCAGAACTTCGCCGACACCGGCCGCCCCTCCGTCGGTGTGTCGAACGTGTCCCCCAAGTACATCTCCGCTGACCCGATGACGGTGCGTGTCATCACGCACGAGCTGCTGCACGCCCTCGGCTTCAGCATCAACTCTTTCTACTCACGTGGAATGGTGGGCACTGAAGCTCTCCGAGGCAAGGGACGATCTCCTGTCCTCGTCTCCTCCAACGTGGTCGCCAAGGCCCGTGAACAGTACGGGTGCCCCTCCCTGCGGTACATGGAGCTGGAGGACGAGGGTGGTGACGGCACTGCTAAGTCGCACTGGAAGCGGCGCAGCGCCAAGGACGAGCTCATGGCCGGCATCAGCGGCGTGGGCCACTACACTGCCCTGACCATCGCCGCCATGGAGGACATGGGCTTCTACAAAGGCAACTACACCAACGCGGAGCCGATGTCGTACGGGCGGAACGCCGGCTGCACGCTTTCCACGTCCAAGTGTGTGATTGACGGCGTGTCGCAGTTTCCCGAGATGTTCTGCGCTTCTTCGGATAACGCCATGACATGCACGTCCGATCACACGGCACTGGGTTCCTGCGGTGTGTATCAGTACAAATCTGATTTGCCGCCCTACTTTCAGTACTTCTCAAACCCCACGTACGGCGGTAAGAGCCCTCTGATGGACTACTGCCCCTACGTCAAAGATTACTCTAACTCGAACTGCAGCACAGATACCGGCATACTCCTCGGCAGCACCTACGGTGTGAACTCGCGGTGCTTGGACGTGCCTTCCGGCTTCGTGAGTGACAGGAAACGAGATTCTCGTCTGAGGGGTATTTGTGCGGAGGTGCAGTGCAACAGCCCGACGTACTCCGTGAAGGTCGCCGGTGCCTCGAGCTTCACCGCCTGCACCCCTGGTGCGACTCTGTCGCTGCCGCACCTCAGCCCCTCGTTTTCGTCGGGCTCCCTGACCTGTCCGAGCTACGACGACGTCTGCACCGGGCTGGTGAACGCGACGGAGTACAAGGAGTTCGCCGACGACACTGGCGACGGTGCCGCTGCGTCTCCGGTGCCCACACTCGCGCTTGTGGCTTCGCTTCTGCTGGTGAGTGCCCTGGTCGTGTGACCCGCACGGTACGCACGCGTGCCTTGCGGTGCAGGCCCACCAACACCTGCGACGCCTGTCTCTGCATGCAAGGACAGCTGGCGACAACGAGTTTATAGGCCCCTCTCACGCCTCGCAGTTCTGCACTTGCGCCTTGGATGCGCGGAGCGTCGCTTTCTTCCGTCCTTTCTTTTCCACTCACGCGGGCTCTGCGACACGCGATGTTTCCTCCGATGTGTCATGTCTGCACTCGTGTCTCGCTCGCAAGCGGTGCGCAGCGGCGCAACGGCGAAGCGATCTTCTTCTTTGCCAGCTCTGCCGGTGCTCCCACGCCGCATGTACTTCCGCCTGTTCTCTCCACGCTGGCGGGGGGCTCGGTACGCGCACGTGTGCTTGATGGTGCGCTCACGGCTTTTTGACACCGCCGCCACACCTTCACGGCCGCTCGTCTCCTCGGAGGAGAGGGAGTGTCTCCCTGTGACACCTTTTTTTATGCTTTCCGGTGGGAAAACAGGCGGCTCCATCCCGCGTTGTGGGGGAGGGGACCGCAGCGGTGTTGTCCCCGTCTTCTCTCTTTTTCGTTTTGAAGCTCGCAAATTCTTCACTAGCACGGTAGTTTCCAGTTGTTTTGTTTCGTAGTTAGTTTTCCTCTGTTTTGGTAAACCCCAAACACGTCCGCACAGTTCCTGTGTTGGTGGAACGCAGCGTGAAATTTTACTTTACTTCTTTTTTCATTCTCACCGCGGAGTCACAACCGTCTAGCACTCTTCTTTTGTTATTGCTTCGTTTTTTCGACCCCTAGTAGAAGCCCAAAAAGTGGTGTCTTCTTTTTCTCGTTCTCCTCAATCGTCACGAGCCGCGGTGTCCGCCGGGTTTTAACCATTGTGCAGCCTCGCCGGTTCAGCTCAGCCAGCGTGTTTCTACTGGAAGCGGGCCGCACATGGAAGGGAAGGAGCGCACACACTGGGTGTCAGGCGTTTGCCTAAGCGCTCTCTCCAGAAACGGCCGGAGCAACGGGCACATTGTGCACCTCACAACAATACGGCGTCCTGTGCGGATGCACGGTGCGGTGATGTCGCATTGCGCTACTCGCCCAGCACCGTCGATGTGCGTTTGCCGCTGTTTTCCCTCTTGCGGGGGCCATGAAGCACCCGTCCCTCATCGCTGGTCTTCAGCGCGAATCCGGCTCGACCCTCGGCGATCGCCACGCTCATCCATCTCTCTTGCTCTTTCCGACTCGTCCTACACCTCGTCTCCGCCCTTGTGCAGCACGCACCTGCACGTGCTCATTCATCAACAGACGCTGAAGCACTTGCCAATCTCTGCCGATCACGCTATTGCCTCTGCCCCGTCATAATTCTTTGTTTCCCTAACCCCTTCTTTGCCTCCTGCACCTCCGCAGGTCGTCTTAATTATTTTCGTCGCTTATTGCTCTCCCCGCACCACACCCGCCGCTTCCATGGCCGCTATCCCGGCACCACACCGTGCGGCAGACGGCGGACACCGGAAGGTGCTGCTCCTCGCCGTTGCACTCGCCCTCCTCGTTGTCCTCCACGCACGCGCCGCACCGGTCCCTCCACCCGCCGACACCGCACCGCACAACGAGCACCGGTGCGGCTTCGACGAGTTGGAGGCGCGCACGGTCGGCACGCGTGTCAGCGGCATCAGCCGCGTGGTGCCGCCCGCGCTGTCGCTGCGCAACGTCGACGCAGTCGCCACAGCCGCAGCGGACACCCCCGCCTCCTGGCAGCCCATCCGCATCCGCGTCTTCACCGAGGACTTGGAGGACACAAACAAGTTCTGCACAAGGGCGGGTCAAGTGCGTCCCGACTTTGAAGGCGGGAGATCCACGTGCACCGGTGACGACGTCCTCACGGACCACAAGAAGAAAGTGCTGAAGGAGCTGCTGATCCCTTCCGCCATCAAGCTGCACGAGGAGCGCCTCAACGTGCAGCGCGTGGACGGCAGCATCGTCGTTGGTCCTTCCATCTCCACCGACGGCATCTGCGGTCAGTTCACCGTCCCCTCCTCGCACACCACCACCGGTGTCAGCGACGCGGACTTCGTGCTGTACATGTCGGCGGGCCCCACCAGCGGCACCTCCATTGCCTGGGCCACGACGTGTCAGAACTTCGCCGACACCGGCCGCCCCTCCGTCGGTGTGTCGAACGTGTCCCCCAAGTACATCTCCGCTGACCCGATGACGGTGCGTGTCATCACGCACGAGCTGCTGCACGCCCTCGGCTTCAGCATCAACTCTTTCTACTCACGTGGAATGGTGGGCACTGAAGCTCTCCGAGGCAAGGGACGATCTCCTGTCCTCGTCTCCTCCAACGTGGTCGCCAAGGCCCGTGAACAGTACGGGTGCCCCTCCCTGCGGTACATGGAGCTGGAGGACGAGGGTGGTGACGGCACTGCTAAGTCGCACTGGAAGCGGCGCAGCGCCAAGGACGAGCTCATGGCCGGCATCAGCGGCGTGGGCCACTACACTGCCCTGACCATCGCCGCCATGGAGGACATGGGCTTCTACAAAGGCAACTACACCAACGCGGAGCCGATGTCGTACGGGCGGAACGCCGGCTGCACGCTTTCCACGTCCAAGTGTGTGATTGACGGCGTGTCGCAGTTTCCCGAGATGTTCTGCGCTTCTTCGGATAACGCCATGACATGCACGTCCGATCACACGGCACTGGGTTCCTGCGGTGTGTATCAGTACAAATCTGATTTGCCGCCCTACTTTCAGTACTTCTCAAACCCCACGTACGGCGGTAAGAGCCCTCTGATGGACTACTGCCCCTACGTCAAAGATTACTCTAACTCGAACTGCAGCACAGATACCGGCATACTCCTCGGCAGCACCTACGGTGTGAACTCGCGGTGCTTGGACGTGCCTTCCGGCTTCGTGAGTGACAGGAAACGAGATTCTCGTCTGAGGGGTATTTGTGCGGAGGTGCAGTGCAACAGCCCGACGTACTCCGTGAAGGTCGCCGGTGCCTCGAGCTTCACCGCCTGCACCCCTGGTGCGACTCTGTCGCTGCCGCACCTCAGCCCCTCGTTTTCGTCGGGCTCCCTGACCTGTCCGAGCTACGACGACGTCTGCACCGGGCTGGTGAACGCGACGGAGTACAAGGAGTTCGCCGACGACACTGGCGACGGTGCCGCTGCGTCTCCGGTGCCCACACTCGCGCTTGTGGCTTCGCTTCTGCTGGTGAGTGCCCTGGTCGTGTGACCCGCACGGTACGCACGCGTGCCTTGCGGTGCAGGCCCACCAACACCTGCGACGCCTGTCTCTGCATGCAAGGACAGCTGGCGACAACGAGTTTATAGGCCCCTCTCACGCCTCGCAGTTCTGCACTTGCGCCTTGGATGCGCGGAGCGTCGCTTTCTTCCGTCCTTTCTTTTCCACTCACGCGGGCTCTGCGACACGCGATGTTTCCTCCGATGTGTCATGTCTGCACTCGTGTCTCGCTCGCAAGCGGTGCGCAGCGGCGCAACGGCGAAGCGATCTTCTTCTTTGCCAGCTCTGCCGGTGCTCCCACGCCGCATGTACTTCCGCCTGTTCTCTCCACGCTGGCGGGGGGCTCGGTACGCGCACGTGTGCTTGATGGTGCGCTCACGGCTTTTTGACACCGCCGCCACACCTTCACGGCCGCTCGTCTCCTCGGAGGAGAGGGAGTGTCTCCCTGTGACACCTTTTTTTATGCTTTCCGGTGGGAAAACAGGCGGCTCCATCCCGCGTTGTGGGGGAGGGGACCGCAGCGGTGTTGTCCCCGTCTTCTCTCTTTTTCGTTTTGAAGCTCGCAAATTCTTCACTAGCACGGTAGTTTCCAGTTGTTTTGTTTCGTAGTTAGTTTTCCTCTGTTTTGGTAAACCCCAAACACGTCCGCACAGTTCCTGTGTTGGTGGAACGCAGCGTGAAATTTTACTTTACTTCTTTTTTCATTCTCACCGCGGAGTCACAACCGTCTAGCACTCTTCTTTTGTTATTGCTTCGTTTTTTCGACCCCTAGTAGAAGCCCAAAAAGTGGTGTCTTCTTTTTCTCGTTCTCCTCAATCGTCACGAGCCGCGGTGTCCGCCGGGTTTTAACCATTGTGCAGCCTCGCCGGTTCAGCTCAGCCAGCGTGTTTCTACTGGAAGCGGGCCGCACATGGAAGGGAAGGAGCGCACACACTGGGTGTCAGGCGTTTGCCTAAGCGCTCTCTCCAGAAACGGCCGGAGCAACGGGCACATTGTGCACCTCACAACAATACGGCGTCCTGTGCGGATGCACGGTGCGGTGATGTCGCATTGCGCTACTCGCCCAGCACCGTCGATGTGCGTTTGCCGCTGTTTTCCCTCTTGCGGGGGCCATGAAGCACCCGTCCCTCATCGCTGGTCTTCAGCGCGAATCCGGCTCGACCCTCGGCGATCGCCACGCTCATCCATCTCTCTTGCTCTTTCCGACTCGTCCTACACCTCGTCTCCGCCCTTGTGCAGCACGCACCTGCACGTGCTCATTCATCAACAGACGCTGAAGCACTTGCCAATCTCTGCCGATCACGCTATTGCCTCTGCCCCGTCATAATTCTTTGTTTCCCTAACCCCTTCTTTGCCTCCTGCACCTCCGCAGGTCGTCTTAATTATTTTCGTCGCTTATTGCTCTCCCCGCACCACACCCGCCGCTTCCATGGCCGCTATCCCGGCACCACACCGTGCGGCAGACGGCGGACACCGGAAGGTGCTGCTCCTCGCCGTTGCACTCGCCCTCCTCGTTGTCCTCCACGCACGCGCCGCACCGGTCCCTCCACCCGCCGACACCGCACCGCACAACGAGCACCGGTGCGGCTTCGACGAGTTGGAGGCGCGCACGGTCGGCACGCGTGTCAGCGGCATCAGCCGCGTGGTGCCGCCCGCGCTGTCGCTGCGCAACGTCGACGCAGTCGCCACAGCCGCAGCGGACACCCCCGCCTCCTGGCAGCCCATCCGCATCCGCGTCTTCACCGAGGACTTGGAGGACACAAACAAGTTCTGCACAAGGGCGGGTCAAGTGCGTCCCGACTTTGAAGGCGGGAGATCCACGTGCACCGGTGACGACGTCCTCACGGACCACAAGAAGAAAGTGCTGAAGGAGCTGCTGATCCCTTCCGCCATCAAGCTGCACGAGGAGCGCCTCAACGTGCAGCGCGTGGACGGCAGCATCGTCGTTGGTCCTTCCATCTCCACCGACGGCATCTGCGGTCAGTTCACCGTCCCCTCCTCGCACACCACCACCGGTGTCAGCGACGCGGACTTCGTGCTGTACATGTCGGCGGGCCCCACCAGCGGCACCTCCATTGCCTGGGCCACGACGTGTCAGAACTTCGCCGACACCGGCCGCCCCTCCGTCGGTGTGTCGAACGTGTCCCCCAAGTACATCTCCGCTGACCCGAAGACGGTGCGTGTCATCACGCACGAGCTGCTGCACGCCCTCGGCTTCAGCATCAACTCCTTTCTATCACGTGGAATGTACACCACTCGAGGTCTCCGAGGCAAGGGACGATCTCCTGTCCTCGTCTCCTCCAACGTGGTCGCCAAGGCCCGTGAACAGTACGGGTGCCCCTCCCTGCGGTACATGGAGCTGGAGGACGAAGGTGGTGACGGCACTGTCTACTCGCACTGGAAGCGGCGCAGCGCCAAGGACGAGCTCATGGCCGGCATCAGCGGCGTGGGCCACTACACTGCCCTGACCATCGCCGCCATGGAGGACATGGGCTTCTACAAAGGCAACTACACCAACGCGGAGCCGATGTCGTACGGGCGGAACGCCGGCTGCACGCTTTCCACGTCCAAGTGTGTGATTGACGGCGTGTCGCAGTTTCCCGAGATGTTCTGCGCTTCTTCGGATAACGCCATGACATGCACGTCCGATCACACGGCACTGGGTTCCTGCGGTGTGTATCAGTACAAATCTGATTTGCCGCCCTACTTTCAGTACTTCTCAAACCCCACGTACGGCGGTGCGGACCCTCTGATGGACTACTGCCCCTACATCGAAGAGTACTCTAACTCGAACTGCAGCACAGATACCGGCATACTCCTCGGCAGCACCTACGGTGTGAACTCGCGGTGCTTGGACGTGCCTTCCGGCTTCGCTTACGGTGGCAGAACATCTCCCGTACTGTTGGCCATCTGTGCGGAGGTGCAGTGCAACAGCCCGACGTACTCCGTGAAGGTCGCCGGTGCCTCGAGCTTCACCGCCTGCACCCCTGGTGCGACTCTGTCGCTGCCGCACCTCAGCCCCTCGTTTTCGTCGGGCTCCCTGACCTGTCCGCGCTACGACGACGTCTGCACCGGGCTGGTGAAAGCGACGGAGTACAAGGAGTCCGCCACGAGGGGAACAACTCCTACCGATGGAACGCAGAACATGAGCGTGACAACAACAGCGGCACCGCGGAACTCGAGTGGGCCTTCCTCCTCCGCTCACGGTGACGACAATGCGTCGACGAAACAACCGAAGGGAAGGAATGTGGCTACTGGGCTTTCGAGTTCAGTTGCATGCGGAGGGCTCCTCTTGGCTATGTTGTTCAGTGCAGTTCTCGCTGCGTAGGGCATCTGCTTCCCGCGGTGTTGTGCCCAACGCACGCAGCAGCAAGCTCACGATGTTGCGCCAAAGGAGGGAGTGTGACGTTCACTAGTATTCATCACGTTTACTGTGGCTCTGTTCTTTTTCTCTCTTGCATTTGACCGTGCATAGAGAATTTGTTCTTGATTTCTTTTCTGTCTTCTGGTCAGCATACTTTTTTAAGGGATTTCTGCCTGTAAGTACTTGAGAAGTGACGAACGTTTGTGGCCCAGGGAAGGGGAGATTGCAAGTGAAAGAGCGTTATGTATATCGTTATACATTACGCGAACTTTCAGTATTTCCCGGACCGCGCAGCATCTTAAACCATTGAGTGAGAGTAAGGTCTCTGCAACTCAGATGGAAGAGCTCAAGCGACTTCTTGCAAAGCAAAGGCAAATGAGGAGCTTCGTGAAGCAGGCCATCTTGTTTTATTCGTGGCTCTTCATCTCCATTGTGCAGTTGTGCTTGCAAATTACGTTAGGATACTGTGGAGGCCATCCTCATTCGTCTTCTCTCGTTTACACAGGCCATTTTTTTAAGCTCCACTTTCTTTTATCATCATTGTTTGTTTGGCATTCGTGTCGTGACAAGAAACCCAGAGCAGGCGTTTTATATCTCCCTCTCTTCGTTGAAATGAAAATTTTCATTGAACTTTTTAAATTTACACCTCTATCATTGTGACAGAAAATACAACACTTGTATTATACGTCAAACCTTTTTTTTTCTCTTCCCTTCTCCAGTGTGGGATGTTGAAATCCCACCACTTTTATTGTTTCTTATTATTACTGGTTTCTTGATCTGACCGAAAAAGCCTGATTGACTATCATTGATGCCGGGCAGGTGAACAATGGCACCCTGGCGGGCGCAATGCGCGTTCCGCGACAGGTGGGAGTTGACAGCAAGTTGAATTACAGGTGGACTCCCCTTTCCCTGCTGCCGGTGTTGTTTTTCAATTCTTCTTGTTTCCGGTTTTGCCACGCACAGATCGGCCAGATTGCAAATCGGCAATTCGCTTGTCCCTTCCTCTTCTTCCCCCTCCCCGTCTTCCCTTCACCGCCCACGCCCATGGCCAGGGCCGGGTGCGCCGCCGCCCACGCGGGCCGTGGGCCAACAGGGGGCGCCCCACAACCCCCCCCCCGCGTGGGCGGGAAAGGGCAGCCGCCGCCGGGCCCGCGCGCGACCCCCGCGAACCGCACGCCCAGGACGCCGCAACAACGATTTTTCCCAACGGGGCCCCAAGCCAAGGCCACGCCCAACCACCCGAAACAAAACGCAGCGACCCCCCCCCCTCCCGCAGACCCCCAAAGCCGGGACGCAACACGCGCCGTTTCAACGCTGGTGAGCGAGATGGATCCATTGCCTGCGAAGCGCTGTCTAATGCCTAGCGTTGCGCAGGAAGAGAGTCTCACGCTCTTCAGGAGTTCATGACGAGTGGAGCCCACGCGCTCTTTGCACAGCACTGCCCCGCCTTGATTGGCTACTCTCATTTTGAATACCATCCCTACCATCCACTGTTGGGAGGAGAAGCTGCCGCGCTGCGTGCGCCGTGACCGGAAAGCACCGCTCTTTCAAAGTTGGTCCTCTTTTCAGTTGTCTCCCTCTCACTCGATGAGTCACTTTTTGTTCCTGCTAGTTGACACTATAAGAACTTTTGTGCTCGTCAGGGAGCCCACGGACATCGTAGAGGACGTTTTCCTCACCTCTACTTTCAAGAATGACTACATCTAGGAGTGATCCGTAAAGCCCTTTCCTATGCTGTAGTGCGACTCTGCGTTTCCTCTGCCCTTGTTTTCCTCTTCCGAACTTTCTTTTGTGCCTCTGGGTGTGACGCAGCCTCCGGCACCTGTAATGTTGTGTATTGCGCAACAACGGATCTTTTTACACCAATTTCCTGCGTAACTCTTCATCTCTGCTCTCTGAGTGACCGTTCCTTTTCTTACTGCTGCTTTCACAACAGTGCACTTTGCACTTGCACCGGGTCTCTCCCGACAGCTCTGTTTTTCCTTTCCTCCGCGCAACGCACCCGCTGATCGCCTCTCATGGCTGGGTACCCTACAGACGCCAAAGGCGGGCTCGCCAAGCTCATCAGCTTCGACACTACCTGCTCCTCGAAGTCGAACCTCGATCTCATCCACTACGTACAGGGGTACCTGCAGTCGAAAGCCGTTGAATCTGTCCTTGTCTACAACGACAAGAAAGACAAAGCGCACTTGTGGGCGACGCTGCCCGGCGAGGACGGGGTCACGCAGGGCGGCATCGTGCTGTCGGGCCACACGGATGTGGTGTCTGTGATTGGCCAGAAGTGGGACACCGACCCCTTCACGATGGTGGAGAAGGACGGCAAGCTGTTCGGCCGCGGTGCGTGCGACATGAAGGGCTTTCTGGCGGTGGTGCTGGCGCTGGTGCCCACTTTTCTCTCTCTGAAGCGCGCGAAGCCGGTTCACATTGCCTTTTCGTACGACGAAGAGCTTGGCTGCGCTGGTATTCCGACCCTTATCAAGTACTTGAAGGAACAGAAGTTTCACGCCGATGTGTGTCTCGTTGGCGATGGAGGCATGACGATCGGCATCGGCAACAAAGGTCACTGTTTGTGGAAAGTGAAGGTGCACGGCAAAGCGATCCACTCATCTATGGCTCTGATGAACACGAGCTGCAACGCCATCGAGTACGCTGCGCAGATCATCACCAAGGTGCGACAGATCGCCATCGAGGTCCGCGATCATGAAACCCGCGACACGAGCTACACCTGTCCCTTCTCGCCGATCTCAACGAACTTGATCAGGGGCGGCAACGCAGTAAACACGGTGCCGGCAGATTGTGAGTTTGAGTTCAGCGTTCGCATCACAGACACAGCAATTGCACGATCCATTGACAAACGCATTCATCAATACGTCGACAAGGTCGTATTGCCCGCGATGCGTCAAGAATACACTGAAGCAAGCGTTGATATCAGCGCCTACAACCTCTGTCCTTCTTTCAACGGGAAAGAAAATGAGCCTTTCACGAAACTTGTGCGGAAAATGCTCAACGACCAGAAGATCCGCAAGGCGGGAGGTACAACTGAGGCTGGCTTTTTCCAGGAAGAACTACAAATTCCTACTGTTATTGTCGGACCAGGAGGCTGCGGGGCCCACGAGGCAAACGAATACACCCTCTGCGAGAACCTGATCAAATGTGAGAAGTTCACAAAGGACCTCGTTGCTACCTGCACTCTCACGAGGGAACCGCTGACGTCGCATTTGTAGCGAAGCAAGCGTGCACTAGCTACAGACTGGTCGCGAGGACCGCGCTCGCAACAGGTGAGACTCTCGCGTGCTAAAATGAGTTGGCGTGAGGTGCTTCCTCTCCCTTCCACCTGGTGTCTTTGTCCCTGAACGTAAGCAGCTTTGCCCTTTTTATATACCTAATCTCGTAAGTCCTTAGGTGTTTTCTTCTTTTCTTCTCTAACGTGCTGTCTTGATCATTCTGAGGGCGAAGTCACTGTGAATGCCTGCCGCTCCGACGACACGCAGCTACGGCTGCGCATGCAGTACATCAGTGTTCCCCTCCTCGTATCGTTCTACTTTTCGTTAACTTCTTCACTCTCCATTGGCCTTGTGGTCTTAGCTATTGTTGTTCCTCCTAACAAGAACTTCATTCCATGCATTGGTTGGTGCTTTCTACCACTTTTGAGTATCAGGAAGCAGAAAGAGCACCGGTATTTGAAGATTTTACTGGCAAATATGTATTCGTCAACGTTGCCATGCGCCTTTCACGGTCCGAGCAAAGCAACGAAATGTTAACTTGTGGATGACCAAAACACGTGTAGCGAGGTCGGTATCGCGATGGCGACCTTCACTAAGTAATGCCCTTAACTCGTATCACCTTCATCTGGAAGGCATGGTAGTCCTCACTTTTCTGCAGCATTCAGCGTAGCGCTGCATCTTCTGCCGTTGAATCCTATCCTGCTGCTTCTGTATCATCTTTCTGCCTATACCATTACTTGTGACGCTAGGTGCAGCTGTTTTTAAGGTTTTCTTAAATGATCGTTTCTCATCGGTGGCGACGCTGTAGAAAATGGCAGCCACTCTAAAGAAAACTGACGTAATCAACTAGGCCGTGACTCTCCAGCACAACAAGCAACGCTTTTTCTTCTTCTTATAAGCGCTACCACCTTGCTGTCCGCCATTTGAGCACGGTTCTGCGTCAGATGCATTACGTACGGAGCTATTTCTTCTACGAGAGTGCACGCCCCCTTGGGAGATCTGCTCTGTTCGTGCTGAATTGCAACTTCATGCGAGCGGCATCGGCTTCTTGTCTGTCTCTGCAATCATTGAAAGCAAGGAGGTCCTACATTAGCCGCCACCTAGCGAGAGTGTGTTGACCAAAAACATTGCTGTATTGCTACAGTTGGAGTCGCGTAATCTGAGATCGCTTCTCGAGCAAGAAGACGGTTACTCCTACGTGTTTCAGAGATTGTGACTGCGAGCGAGCCGGAAAGCAGCCGTCCTGCTTTCTTTCGACATGAATAGTGAAGGAGATGAAGATTTGCCTTCACCGTACTTATCATTTTTAGTCAGGACACATATGCTTCGCACAACGGATGGTACTCCGCACGACGCAAGGACTGGCTGCTAGACAGAAAGTGAGGCTTCGTGGGCGTCGTGTTTCACTGTTATGGAGCAAACTGGTACTCAGGTGAACGTGCACATCATTTGCTGTTGGAAGAACAAAATGGAGTTGCATGGCCGTGTCCCTTTATGACTGAGTTGACGCGTATCCTCAAGTATCAACTGACAGAGCCACCACAGCTTGTGCATAGACCTGCTAGGTCAGTACCGGCAAGTGCGCAGACAGATCGAACTGCCAGACAGTTCTTAGATTCACGCACAGAAAGCGACGGTAAGCTTCCGGTGCTTTCGCTACCTTTTGTTTGTAAGTTTTCTCTTTTCTTCTACAGCTGTGGCAGAGAACGGCCACGATAGCACAGCATACACTTATCGCATGACACATGAAGCTACGACCTCTGTTGAAGAGGTTTTAAGAATCATGACGCGGCAGATCACAAAGCCGTTTCTCAGAACCTGTTGCTTCAAGACGGTGCCCTGACGGTGGCGGAGATGTGGACACCTTGCAATGAGCTCAACTGCCAACCTGAAAGGTTGCTGCACGACGTAGTTGTTAGAGGTCTGATGATGGGGCTGCTGTGTGTGGCCTTCTCACCCTCTATGCCGCTCGAGGGGGTACTCCTTCATTAGTTTGTTCACCTCAATTCTCGACAACGTTTGTGGCGTACACATTGAGAGCTCAGCTGCAGACAAGCAAGCCCGCGCCTCTCGTGGCGAGATTGCGCATGTAACACACCCGCTCTGCCGGTCTGATGCCACAGATTGCGTACATCATCTAGCGGAAGCGCGCTTTCGACGAGAGAGGCGATTGCCGCCGAGCTCTCTTCTGCTTTTTTTTATCCCTTCTCTCTCGCTATCGAGGCAGAGTAGCTGGCCTCGGTGATTCCATGGACTATGCTGTTCAACTAGGCAGTCACGAAGGGAAGTAAAAGAGATGAGCACTTTTTTCTTCCCTTGGGTGCTCTTTTGTCCCAACTGACCTTTCATAAGGGGAGCTTCACTTTGGATCTTTCCGTGTGACTCTGCTTTTGTGCGAGTCAGCAGCTGTTTCATTCGTTTTCAAGCGCTGGCAAACTATCCGTGCAGCGTTTCCCTATACCTTTCAGCTGCAGTGACCTCCGCTGCGAACTACCCGAGTGACTACAGGCAGTGGCTCGCCAAGCTCATCAGCTTCGACACCGTCAGCCGCAACTCCAACCTCCCCCTCGTCGACTACGTCAAGGCGTACCTCAAGACCGTCGGCGTGGAGTCCACGCTGGTGTACAACCCGGCGAGGACGCACGCGAACCTGTGGGCGACGCTGCCCGGCGAGGGCGGGGTCACGCAGGGCGGCATCGTGCTGTCGGGCCACACGGACGTGGTGCCGGTGGACGGCCAGAAGTGGGACACCGACCCCTTCACGATGGTGGAGAAGGATGGCAAGCTGTTTGGCCGCGGTGCGTGCGACATGAAGGGCTTTCTGGCGGTGGTGCTGGCGCTGGTGCCGCAGCTCCTGTCGATGAAGCGCGCGAAGCCGGTTCACATTGCCTTCTCGTTTGACGAGGAGCTGGGATGTTGCGGTGTTCCCTACCTAATCGACTACCTGAAGGCGAAGGGCTTCAAGGCGGATGGCTGCCTCATTGGTGAGCCCACAGGAATGAAAGTGGAGACAGGTAACAAAGGCTTCTGTGAGTGGCACGTTGAGGTGCACGGCGAGGCGATCCACTCCTCCATGGCACTGATGAACACGAGCTGCAACGCCAACGATTGTGTTGCGCCAACTGTGGCGAGCATGCGCGGAGTGGGGTTCGTGCTGCAGAAGAAGACTGGCATGACCTACATCCAAGTCAGCAGAACGATAACTCAGCGCCATAGGACGGCACGCCTTTATCTCCAACGGCGACAGCTATGGTCAAGGGAGGAAATGCGGTGCGTATCAAACCCAGCGAAGACCGCTCCATTTTCAGCGTGCGTATTATAGACGTAGCTGCCATTTATGGAGTCGGAACGGCAGAGAAGGCGCATATAAGATACGCAGGCGTGCCAGCAATGTGAGCGGAGTACCTTGAGTTGGTTGCGGAGCTCATTGGCACTGCTAACTACGCCGGCATTTGACGCCAGCGAGGTAGCTGAGTTCACTGCAGGCGCGGATGAGCTATAAGGTGAGGATGAGATGCGCCGGAAACGTGGCGGCACCGAGGCGTGTCCTGTTTTCCTTTTTCAGTCTTCAGGAGCACCTGTACATCCCCATAGTGATTGCCGGTTCAGGAACAATGAAAGAGGCGCACATTGTTAGCAAGTATTTGCAGGTGTGCGTGATAGACCGTTAGCACCGTTTCAGGTCAGACTTGACGAAGCTCTCCACTGCCGCAGAAAAGATGAGAACTGGCTTGCTGTAGCAACCGCTGCCTCGACTCTTGAACGCGCCAGGGGAGGTGTGTAGGTGTGTGGATTCGTCTTGGAGTATTCATGAACTCTGCTGTGTCTTCTGCAACAACATACACCATCAACTGCCGTGCGGAAACGTCACATTGCATTCGGTTAAATCTCTTTCTCTCATCTGCCAAACTTAAGTTGAGAGTATGAATGCGATTGTCTGCCCTACATTTGCGAACAAAATAGTCGCTTTCTGCTGTCTCTGGAAGCGCTGAGCCTTTTTCGTCACGTTCCTATCTGTGTACATTGACCTCGCCGCTCTGTGAAGAGTTCACGGTAGCAGCCGCTACCTCTGCACTTGCGCGTTTTAGTGTGACTTGTCGCAGGGTCTTTTTCTTAATGTTCATTGTTATTTGTGGAACACCTTTCAACCTTTGGATTCGCACTTCGCGTCCTCGTCACTTTGTCCTTGACTCGGTCCCTTCACCTCCTTCCTTACTGCAATTTCTCTTGGCGACCACATGCATCTGAACACGTCGCAGCCAGCGGGCTTTTCAACTAACAGCCGCGTAAGGCACGATCGGCTCCTTTTTTATGTGGGTGTGTATTTATTGCACCCTCTCATCCCTCGTATTTGAAAGAAAAAAGAGAAACTGCGGAAGACTGAGCCGGCGTTGGCTGCCCTGTTTTCGTTTCTTCTTCTTGAAGGGCAAGGTAGTGAACAAAATTTGTCACTACTCTCCCCTCTCCCTTGCCTTTTGCTGTTATTGTTGTTCCTAAGTGCTTTTCATTTCTTCCAGCATTCTCCCACCCCACAAAACTGCGCATTCTTTTCTTTCTAAAAAGGCTCATTCGTGTAGCACTCTAGCTTTCTCCGCCGTTCCATCACCGTCACTCACCGTTGCCTAGCCCGAGGACCTGTGTGCCTCCGCACAGCAGTAACCCCTCACTCTTGTCAGACACCGTGTAGTGGCAGCTACCGGTCCTCGGTACAGCACCAACAGAAAAAGAATCCGTCATAGACAATCATCGCCTCTCCCTCTACCTTAGTGTATGGGAGCCGAGAATGCCCTTCATTCCTAGCTTCTCTTTTGATAGTCTCCTCGCGCGCGCGCACCCGAGTACCGCTACCAACGCCAGCTCACCCGGCAACGCACGCTCCTCGCCGCAGCCGTCTTTCGCAACGCCGGGTTCGAACTCCTCGCCACGACTCGTCGGCTCCGCCATTGCACGCGGGCAGTCCAGCAGTGCAGAGTTCCGCGAAGGCGCTGTTTTGCTTCGTGCCTCGTCATCAGATGCTTCGGCGGTGCAACTCGCTAGCAGCCGCAGCACCTCCCGCTCCCATTCCAGCGGCTCCGCCGCCGCCGCCTCACGCAACAACGGTGCAGATCAGCAGAACACCACCGCTGGCAGCACACACAGTTCTCATTCAGGTGGTGCAGACCGCGAGGCAGATAGGTCGCTGTCTCAATCTGCAGATATTCCGCTACTGAGTGGGCAGGAGGAGGAAACGGCGTCGCCTGGGCGCCGTTTCATGAACATACACCGCCGCGCACGACGTGAGCGGGCCCGCAGTGAGATCGTGTACAGCTTTCGAGACAACACCGACGGCCGCACGCCGGACGTCGGCAGTGACCTCGACGACTACGGCATTCCTCTATTTACGAACGACGGCGCGGGGCCTTTGCCGTCTCACGCGGCGGACGGTACGACGACTGGGGCGTCCCTGCGACGAGCACAGTACGCAACTTCAGGATTTATCGACCGCGTCGAAAGCGAACAGCCCGCACGCGAAGCGGGAGGAAGAGTGTCTCTCGATGTGCGTACGTCAGGCCGCAGTCTGGCAGAGGCACTCCGTAGAGCTTCCGATTCGGTCGTACAGAGCAGCGGAACGTCGTCTGGTCGAAGGTCGGAGAGAGCGGTAGCAGCGGGGTCATCGATGCCCCCTACCGTCACTCCACGCACGGACATCACCATTCTCGTCGCGTCACCGCCGGTACAACTCACCACTTCACACGACGCGCTGCGACGTCTGGCGCAGAACACAATTCCCTCGGCGCTTCAACCGCAGGACCTGTCCCGCTCTGCTCCAACGTCTGCAGCAGCGTCCCCACATTGGGGGACAGCGACCCCTTCAGCCTCACGGGTTCCTGTAGCTCGTGAAGCAGCGGCCGATATACACGTCAGCACCACATCGACAGGATGGCGAAGAGCACACGCCGCCTACTCGGAAGGAGACGACGCCCCTGGTCCCACTCTGCCAAAGTGCAATGGTTCAAGCCCGCTGACTAACTGGCAACTGCCAGTGCTGTCCGCCGTGAGCCGTAGCCGCGTGACACACCCCGCCCAGCAAGACAGGTTGCCATCGCCGCGGTCGTCGGCAAACCCGCCGCGTAGCGCAGAGGGCAGCGTGTCACGGTTGGGGTGCACCAGCGACGCGGGATCGCCGCTGCGGGGCAGATCACGGAACTCGGGCTCGCGCCCCGACGTACCACTCACTGCGTCCTCTCGATCGTCCAGGGAGGTTTCATGGGTGCGAGACGGCGTGGAAGATAACGTTCACGAACGAGGGAACGCAGAAAGAGAGGATCACTCTGCCGCGGTGCCGTCGTCGCTCGGTGGGCGCGGACATGGCGGTCTTCCACTGAGTGCTGCGAGAGGTATTCGCTACTCCACCGCCTCCCTTCGCGGTGCAAGCAACTGTGCCTCTTCTGGCGCGGACTCTGTGGTCGGGAACATCAGTGCCACCAGCGCGTCGTTGATGGTATCGCAGTCGCCCTCTGCAGCTAGCGCCGCTGGCCTCACCACACGAAGCTCGACGGCCGCTTCACCGCACCGTCAACCGGCTCACAGTCCAATAAAAGACGATAATGCTGACCATGGTCCTGGCACTGGTTCTGCCGGCTGCCGCAACGATGTAGAGAAGAGCGCCGCCGCGCGAGTCGCGGGGAGTCCACGCATCTCTGCAGGCGGTGCCACGGTGAGCAGTGCCGTCCCTCGTCGTGACCAGCCCCTTTCCCGGCCTGCCTCCCCCCTCCGAGCGCCCGCCCTCATTCCGGCTACGGCGGCAGGATCGCTCGCCACACCCACACAAGCCGCTGTCTCTTCAACGCAGCTCGCCAGCGCAGACCCGACATCCACCGCGCCGTCGCACGTGACGGAGGCGGCACGCAGCACCAACTCTCTGCAACTCCCGGCCGCCACGGACGGCGTGGTGCTGCTGAATCACGTGCGCGATGTGCCAGCGCAGGGGGAGTTGTACCGCCTGCTGCGAGTGGTTCACCGTGAGCCGCTTCAGCACTTTCCGCAAGCGCTGCGTGGGCCTCCATTGGCGGTGCGCCTTCCAGACTGGTTGAACAACAATGACGATAGCGGCTACGACGACGATGACAGCACAGAAGAGTGGGAGGACAACCTCCGGCGAGTTGCAGCGCACCGTCAACAACGAGGCGGGCCGCACGCAAGTCGGAGCGGCAGTTCCGCCTCTGACGCCTCCGCACGTACCTCGCGTTCCGCGTCGTTGCTCGAGGGCTCGCACGAGCACTTCAGCCGACATCACCGTCGCAACCGCAGCCCACATTCCTCGCGACGCGGCCCGTCTTCTCGGCAGCATTCGCGCTCCCGATCTTCATCGACGTCGACGGCCGCCTCGCAGGTGATGGTCGCGGTGAACGCGAGTGATCCGCGTGAGCTCTTCACCAGGCTCGTGTCTGACCCGGCAGACGGCACGGTCGAGGTGTGCGGGCTGCAATCCGTGTTGTCCTCTGCGCTGTCCACCTCACCACACGGCTCCCGCCACAGTCGTGCGACGGAGCGGAGTCCGACACACCGCGCGAGTCGGCACTCCACCCCGGCCTCCCACGCAAACCACAACTTCCACGTCGTTGTGGAAGAAGAGGACCACCAGGTTCACCACCATCGTCATCACCCGTGGCGGCGTGCGCGCTCTGCATTCAGCATCGCCACGCATGACGGACGACAAGCGATGACGCCCAGTTGCCCCTGTCCGTCTCTGGCGCCGTCCACCTCCACCACGTGGCAGGCGGAGGTGGTGGGGAACGGCTTCTTCAACGCCGACATTCGTCTCCAACACGCCCGCAGCCACGCAGAGGCGGTGACCGACGCGGTGGCGGCGTACGGCGAGGGCTGCTACTACTACACCCTCCCGCTCATTCCCCTCAGCCCTTCCTCGCCACGAGGAAAGGGAATGGCACAGGCGGAAAGATCGGCGCCGCCGGCGACGAGGGCCACGCCGGTGCATGAATCACAGGAGGTGATGGAGCAGCTTCCGCGCTTAAAAAGGACGTGCAAGACGCCGCATCGCACTCAGCAAAGCCTGCATCGCTTTACGGCACGCGGCGGTGGCAGCGCCGAGGCAGCCCCGCTCACGGCGCGGTCTTCGCCAGTGGCGAATTTAAACGACAGTGCGGCGAGTCGCGAAAACGTCCCGTCGTTGCAGCCGTCGCCGATGCCGCCGCAGCTGGACCGGGTGCAACCCCGCATGCCCAACCCTCGCCCCACCTCGCTGAAGAACCTCGCGTCTTTGTACCCAACCAACCCCGACCAGGTTGTGGCACGTGGGTTGGCGGGGACACCGTCGCAAATCACGGGCGCCTCGCCAGACGACCTGCGGGGCTCGCAGCTGAATAGGTCATGCGGAGAAGCTGGGGTACCGACGGCCGAGTACGCACCGACGGCACGCGCCAACGCTTCGAACTGCACGCCGATGAGGCGAAGGTACAACAGCAGAAGCGTTGACAAAAACTAAAAAAAGAGTAATCGATATGATGCTGATGTTGCTGCTTTTGGCAGAGATATGTAGGCAGCGCAGGCGTGCAAACGTGATGCACGGCTCCTTCCTTCTGTCCGCAAGAAGTCAAGCCGCTATCAGCGAAAACAAAGCGCCGTGCCTTGTTGGTTGATATTCTTATTAGGGAGTGCTATGCCTTCTCTACTCCTACGTTCGTTTCGTGATCACGATATTGTTGTGTTGTGGTGGGTAGTGAATATCGTGTGTTTCTTTGTTTTCCGATCGCTTTCCTATTCGATAGAATTGATATAGACATATATATTGCTAAAGCAGAAACTGTTCTTTTCAGACACTTTCGACAGGCTTCGTGGGTGTGTTCCCATCGAAGCCGCAGTGTACGTGCATACAAGCAGTACTTCTGTATTTTTGACTAGTCATCAACGTTCGTTTTCTTTTCTTTTCTTTTTCTCGCTTTCTCCACTGCTGAAGAGAAAGTACCCGAAAAAGTCATGTCCGTCTACTTTGATAAGAGAGAGAGCCGCCTCGCAGCATATCATATACGGCTGTACGGTTTAGTGTTGCTATTGTTTCTCTCAAATAAAGATTTCAGGCACGCGTTCAAGCTTCCTTATTCATGTTCATATCCAAGTGGCTTTTTATTTTCTCCTGCTTCCACAGTATGTGTTGAACTTCCACTTTTAAGGAGAGCAAGGCGCAGCGCCGTAGTGCTTTTCTGCTGTGGTTTTCGTTTTTTCAGATAAATGTGGAATTACTCAAAATGCATTCGCCATCTTTTTCACTTGGACGAGCGAACACCCTCATAAGGAGTGTTTTTTTTTTGTTTGTTTGTTTGTTTTGTGACCCGCTCTTTCCTTCTTTCCTTCCTTCTTTCTTTCGCATCATTGGTGTGTGTATATATTATTGTTCTTTGCTAAAGTCGTGCTCAATTTTGCTTTCTTTCTTTCTTTTCCCTCTTCGTTGTACCCGAGACTGCGCACCGTGTGCCTTTGAATCCGTACGCCTAATTTTTCTTTTTCTTCTTTCTCTCTACGGGACTCTCGCATTCAGTACTTTCGTCTTTCCGTATTCTGAAGCAAATAATATCACCTGCTTCGTGTCGTTTTTGTCCTCGCCCCCTTTTTTTATTTGCTTTAATGGTTTGCACAGCATTCATTCTGATATCGAAGGCGTTGTTTTCAACGATTTCTTCTTGTGTTGTTGCTTTTCTTTCTCTTGACCTGATTGTTTCTGCTGTCATCGCTTTGTTATTATTAATGTCTTTCTTCTTCCCCCCTCCCACTGATGCCTAGCGGTAGCTGAAGTCCCCTACGCTGCCTCCTTTTTCTGTTTCTTTCTCTGGGTTTCGTCGTTGCGTTTCTGTCGCAACGTACCAGCCAATGAGCGCTGTGAGGACCCCGTTTTTTCTGTTACTGACTTTTATGTTTTGCGTTTTACTTCTGTGGTTCTTTACTACGGAGTTGCCGAACGGCGTGTTCTGCCCTCTCTCTCTCTCTTTTGCTTTTGATTTTCTTTTATAAATCGGTTCGCGTGTGTGTGTTTGAGTGTGTGCCTTTCGTCTCTCTTAGAATCGCAAAGACTAGCGGACGCGGAAACAGCGTGTAAGCTGAGTGCATACAGCGCTGGCTGTGTATGGAGCAGAGGCCGTTGTGAAGAAGCACTTGTGTCGTTTATCTTCTGGAGAGGAACGTTTCGTAGGGTCTAGCAAAGATCGGCGTGCTCGTGCGCTTCATTACATATACCTTCCATGTCACCACTGTGTCGTAGATTTGTTCCCCTCCTTCCTCGACCTTCGCCGCCTTTCTTTAACGGTTTTTTCGTTCTTCCTTTGTACATGGCCTCATCTCGCCTTTCCTCTTTCTTTCTTTTCTTTGACTAACGGTGCGTAGGTACGAACGTGTTCTCTTTTTTCACTGCAGCTGCTGATGAAAGAAACGCGCCTCAAGCCGCCACAGAGAAGCACATCGAGCCATCAGAAACAGCAAAGCTACTTTACGAGAGAAAAGGTTTTACAAAGTGTAGCCATCAAAACAAGGGTTGGCGTTTGTTTGTTTGTTTTTTGAATACACACGCATATACACTCCAACAGTATACCTATATCCATGCACCGTACTTCTGAACCGGCGAGCAGCACCGCGCTGTCAGGACTCGCGCAAGGCTTCTGGCTTGGCGTTGCGGCCATCCTTCTCTGCACTGCCGTGTTGGTCCTTGCGCTCCGCATTACGCAACGGTGCTGCTGCATGGCGCATCGCACCTCCGCCGCAGACAGCTTTGCGTCGGATGGCGGAGGGAAGGCGGTGTCCGAAGGTGCTGGAGAAGTTAAATGGAATGTCGACTCAACGGCGTTAAAGCGGACAGCCCCTCCTGTCGGCTCGTCCGACGCGATCGGGCCCGCTCCACCCGCACCGGCGCAGCCCGCGCTCGCCACTACTTTATCCACTTTACCTGACGCATCTACGTCCTTGGAATCGGCACCTTTACGCGATGCTTTTTTCCCTTCGTACGGCGCCAGCGAGGCACCCAGACGACTCTCACACCCCTATAACGTGTCCAACTCAGAGGCTGCCGTGCCGCCGGCGCCTCCGCAAGACACCGGCAGCTCTCACGTGTCTCTGCTAACGCGTTACCACAAGAGCGTAGGCGCGCCGTCGCTGCCTCAGTTGGGGGCTGCACAAGACGCAGACGAGCTCGAGGAGAAGTACGCCGGTGACGTAGCAGCACAGCAAACGCTAGCTCCACGGCAGCACGCTTTGCCAGACACCTCTGATGATGCCCCCGACGCGGCTGGAGAAGGGAAAGTGCGTGCGACTCCGCTACCGCCGTCCGCACCTGATGTACTCCCTTCCCTGCCTCCTCTTTCCTCTCAAGCGAACGGAGTCTCAGGAGACAGCACCGCAGCTGTGATGAACGCCCACCACAGCAAGCCAAAAAATGGCAGCTGCCACACCTCTCCAAGAGCAGTGGTGATGGCGGAGCACAACGAAGAAGACGGCGGCGAGGCGGCTACCACACCGCAAGGCAGACTTCAAGCAGTACGGCACGCACACTGTGAAGAGCTGGAGCGTGCGCAAGACGAGCTGCGCGCTGCTCTCGTTGCCAAAGAGGAGGCAGAGGCGGCGCGGTTGCGCATTACGGAGGAGGTGCGGGACATGGAGCGGTACAAGGGTACACTGGACGGCATTATCGCCTTCACGCTGCGCGAGTTGGAGGACGCCGCGGGGGGCGTAGAGGAGGCGGAAGCACAGATGCGGCGCGAGTCGACGCTGGCGCTGCAGAACGTGTTGGCTGCGCAAGAGTCGTTGCGGCAGACACCCTTGGAGACTGGGCTGTGATATCGAGATGCACGACGCGCAGCAGCAGCCGCTGCTAACTCAAAATACTATTTTTCTTTTTTTTTTATTGGTTGCATTTATTGTTAGTGCTTTTGCACTCGACGAAGCACGCATTGCTCAACAGATCATCACCGCATTTTGAAGGAGCACTAGAGACAAATATCCTTCGAGGTGCTTTTTATTTCTGAATTTAGAATTTTCGGTGTTTTGCTCGTTTTATCGTCCTTCTCCTCAGCAGTGGATGTGAGGAATCGCATTCTTTTGTTATGTGTGTGTGTGTGTAAGCAGCTGAAGGGCGGTGTCTCTGTAGCTGCCTTTACACCAATCGCTCCCTACAGCACGTCACTTTTTGCGGCAGGACGTTGTCGGTTAAAATGTGGCTTATGAGGCAGTTCGTTATCAATATTATTCCTATTATTATTATTATTTCTATTCGGCGACCACGTATCTCCTTGGCGAAGTGTACCGCCGCTAGCTAACCGGGTCGTGTGCCGCGCTTTGCGACGTGGCAGCCTGCTGAGGGAATAACGCGTCGCACCTTCTCTCAGAGTCTACCTCTGCACTTCTTCACTGTCTTTTATTTCTGTGCTTTTGGTGTCGTTAAACCGGTTGGGTTTGTGAGCCGTGCGTACGGTTGCTGTGCTCATAGTATATATAGAGAGCTTCATCTACAACTGTTGCCGCCTCTTCCTCCACTGGAAACTGCACTCGGAGTCTGTGGCGAAGCTTATTGCGCGTAGACGTGCTTTCTTTAGCGCCTTTTTGTTCTTGCGTGTATAACACAGGAATGAAAAGCGAGCCCAAGCCGCATTCATGACTTCGCTCTTTGGCGCACGAGCCGTAGAGCTCCTGCGCAGAGACGGCACGGCCGCGGCGGCCGACGCGCTCACCGGCAAAAGGTATGTCCTTCTCTACTTCTCCGCACACTGGTGCCCACCCTGCCGCTCCTTCACGCCCATCTTGAAGGACTTCTACGAGCGGCACGGGCAGGACAAGAATTTTGAGATTGTCTTCGTCTCGCGCGACAACTCAGCGGCGGAGATGCAGTCCTACTTTCAGCACGCCCACGGCGACTGGCTCGCCATGTCCTACCGCGATGCGCACACCATTGGTGACGACTGGGCACAGCAGCACGGCCTCTATGCGATTCCGTCTCTTGTTGTCATGGAGAACACGGAGCAGCACAACCTGATCACCGTGTACGGGCGGGATATGGTGTTGCGCGATCCCGCAGCGCTGCAGTTTCCGTGGTTGAATGCGGATGCGATTATCATTGCTGCTCGACGCTCCTTCATGTGGAAGGCCGCCGCTGGTGTGGTGGCGGGCATTATCGTGTTGTGTCTGCTGATCTAGTGAAGCGTGGCTGCACCTCCACCATCAAAATACCTCGCTCTGCCCTCATCGAATACGTACACAGCGATGGATCAAAACCCTTTGGGAAGCTGATTGTTCTTTTCGTCGGTTTGCTGCTGTCTTTGTGTCTTCACTTACGTGAGCGTGATGGGGTTGGCCCTGTGAACAAGGCAGAACAGAAATGTAGTTAGGAAGTACATCTACTTCATCCTCCTCGGGTGCGAATCTCGCAGCGAAACGGAATCCTTTGCGACTTCAGATTGCTGCAGAAGCTCGTATATCTTCACCTGCACACACGCACACGAAAAGAAAAAGAAACATGCAGACGGTTTCTCTTTCGTCTTCGCCTATGCTTTTCTGTTGTTGCAGCAGTTCTACTCGCTCCTCTGTTCTGTCGGCCCACTTATTCGTCATCGTCTTTACTCTCTTCCGCTTTCTTTAGTGGCACAATTTTTTTTGCGCAAAATTCTGCAAAGGACTCTTGACGACGTTCTGCTTCTCAACCAAAACATCGCGTGGGTAACGCACCTTTTCTTTCTTCTCTCTCTCTTTTAATTCAAAATCGTACGTGAGGGCAACACGACTGCAGCATCAGCCGCTCTCAACCAATAGAAGGAAAAAAACATCACTACTGTTGGGTGTACGAATCACATTTTTAAAGTGTTCCACATATATTTATACACTCCTTTATCAGCATCTGCAATTTTACTTCTTTCTTGTCTCCAGCTCAAAGGCTTATACAATGCCTTTTGACCTGTTCCAGCGAGACTCACCCTACACCCTCATTCGACAGGATGGGTTTACCGTCAGCCTGGCCCAGGCGCTGCGGACGAAACGGTACGTTCTTCTCTTCATTGCCGGTCAGTGGTGGGCGCCGTGCCGCGGTGTGACCGCGCAGCTGAAGGCCTTTTACACCAAGTTTCACGACGCACACAACTTCGAGGTCGTCTTCCTCTCCACCGACAAGTCGGAAGGCGCGATGCTCGATTTTTTCCACGATGCTCACGGTGACTGGTTGTGCTTGACCTACAAGGACGCGCGTAAGCTGGAGGCGGAGCTGGCGGGGGATGCCGACCTTCACCCCAACCAGGTCCCCGCGTGTCTCGTGTTTGAGTTGGAGGAGGGAGCCCTCCGGCCAAGCAGCGGCAGCATCAGCGGTGAGGATGGGATGCGGAACACGGAGCCGGAGCTGAACGGCACGCCGGTGAGCAAGCTAACCGTTGCTCCCACTACCCCACCGCAGTCGGTTGCCCGATTGGTCACCAAGCAGGGCCGTGAGATGCTCCCGAGAGACAAGGAGGGCGCCCTCTTTCCGTGGTACGACGACGGCTGGAAGTCGCCCTCAACTCTGACGCCTGCAACATCACTAGCAGCCACGGCGGTGGTGGCGGTCGATTCGATCGCAAAGACGAAGCATGTTGATGTGGTGCCGCACAGCAACTCGCCCCCGCATGCATCCTCCTCTTCTTCTTTATTGGCGGCCACGCCGTCCACACAGCCGATCCTCGAGCACCAGCCCACCACTGTTTCGCAGGTGGCAAGCCATGCAGGTGCTCCAGCGAAGGAGGAGAGCGTTGACGAGACGGATGGCATGGCGGAGAAGGCGGTGACCACACCCACTGCTGCTCAGGAGCCCGACGCAGAACTCGTCGCGCATCACGAGAAGACGACACCGGTAAGTTGTCGGGAGCTCACCTATTCCAAGAGCCCGTCGTCCGCCGACAAGGTGCAGCCGAAGCCGTCGCCATCCCGTGTTCTTATTGTGGAGAAGAAGGTTGTCGTCGCCACGCAAGCAGCTAAAGTGAATCATGAAAAGGAAGGCGAGGAAGAAGCGCAGGAGACGAACCGGCAGGCAGACGTAGAGAAGCAGGAAATACTGGAGACTCATACATCAGCGATGATGGAGGAGGATGTGTCAAGTGAGACCTCAGCGGAGTCCGGCGAAGAGGAGGACAGGCAAAGTGCGGACGCCTCCGCTACTTCGCTTGCTGAAGATGTGGATGAGCTTTCTGTCGTTGAGAAGGTGGTGCCAGAGACAGCACCGCCAGCGCGGGCGGAGGGAAAAGATGATGGCCATGATGGCACTCACGATGTGAAGGAGGAAAACGACTCGAATCCTAGGAAGAGCACTGGATGGAGGTCTTTCATTGGCCTCTGATGCCTAATATGTACCCTGTTCCGTAAGTCTGTTTGTGTTGCGTGCTTTTACATTGGTTCTCGTTCTCGCTAACTGGACAGATCGTTTCCTCGGCTGTCCATGGAACTCTTTCAGATACACGAGAACATAATGCGTAATTTATTACTTCGAACGCTCTTCTACGCCAAAAAAGAATACCTGTCACGTTTGTTTCACGAGCATCGCCCCACCTCAATTTTCGAACCCCGACCTCCAACTTGTCTTGTTTCTCGTTCTTTTTTTTTTCTCTCTTTTGCCTCTGGGGAGGTGCGGTCTGGAGAAGGTCGTGATGGGGCTCCATTTCAAGCTCCAGAGGAATATCAAACGAAGAGTGCGAGAAAGCGACCGGTGCGGCAACTTGTTCTTTGTTGTTGCTGTTTTCATTTGCAGTACCTACGTTTTCTCCTTTCTCTTTTTTTTTTAGCGTAATAGCACCAGTAGTCTTTCTTATCTTTCTTTTGTTAAGCTTCGAAAATGTCAAAGCGTGTATACTCCCACACATTTTCTTTTCTTACATTCTCAATGGAAGCATTTTCCGTTGGCCTCCTTTTCCTCTCCGTAGCCGTTTCGCGTCTGTGTGTGTGTTTTACATGTCGGCTTGCACCGCAAAAGCGTCTTCTATGAACGCGTAGCTATCAATGTGTGTGTTGTTTGTTTGCGTGTTGGGAACCAGGAGGAAAGAAAAGAGCGCCTCTCCTTCCCCCTTTTCGCTTCTATAATACAGTGCCGGTGAACTGCTGTCTAGTGCATCGCGTCTTCAGTGCGATGCGTCGGAGACGAGGACGAGCGCACTGACCACGCGTGAGGCGTTCGTCGTGCTGCTCAGCATGCGTCGAAGAACAGCAATGAATGGATGCTGTAATCCCTTTTTCACGTGGCCGACGACATCAACCATTTTCAATTTCTCTACCTCTCTTCCATAACTTTGCATGAATGTACAACGTGTTTGTTGCGGGGGCACGTAGAACACGATTCCTGCCTTCACAAACCGCCTCTCCTTGCTGCATCATAATCATATATCAGAAATATATACTAAGTACTGCTTTTTGCTGTTCTGTGTTTCAACTTCTCTAAGTATATAACCCCCCCCCCCTACTTTTCAACTGTTCAACCACCCCTAACGCCACGGAAAAAACAACAAGAACCTCCAGATGCCATCGAACTTCTTTGCTCCCACGCAGCAGCTGCTGTGCAAGGACGGCAGCTCCGTGCTGGCGAGCCACGCGCTCAGCGACGCCGCCTACGTCCTCGTCTACTTCGCTGCCGGCTGGTGCGAACCGTGCTGCGAGTTTGCGCCGCTGCTCAAGTCCTTTTACGAAAAGCACCACAGCGAGAAGGCCTTCGAGGTGGTTCTCCTGTCCTTCGACAACTCTGAGCAGGCGATGATGGACTACTTCGTCAACGCCCACGGGAGCTATTACTGTCTGCCATACGCGGACGCCCACGCGATGCGGACGGAGTGGATGGAGCAGTACAACGTGCGGGGCCTGCCGAGTCTGGTGATCTTCGAGAACGCCGACCCGCGCGCGGTGGTGACGCGGTACGGCTGCAACATGGTGGTGTCGGACCCGGAGGGGGCATCCTTTCCGTGGCCGAACTCGGATCCAATGCCAGGCACGACGCCGCCGCTGCTACTGCCTGAGTGCACTCCCGAGGTCGCCGTCGCCGTTACCTTTCCAACGGTGCTCGACGCAAAGGACGCGCCGTCGTTCTTTGACAACCCTGCGCAGATGCTGCTGCGGCAGGACGGCAGCTCCGTCTCCGCGACGGAGGCGCTGCGTGCCGCTGACTACGTCCTCGTGTGCTGCTCGGCGCAGTGGTGTCCCCACTGCCGCGACTTCACGCCCCTGATGAAGCGCTTCTACGAGGCCCACCACGTGGAGAAGAAGTTCGAAGTGGTATTCTTGTCGTTCGACACCTCCGAGAAGGAAATGATGGACTACTTCAAGAAGGAACACGGCAACTACTACTGCCTGCCCTACAACGATGCCCAACAGATTGGGGCCGTGTGGACAAGCCTCTACGACTTCGACGGTATTCCCACCGTCCTCGTCTTTGAGAAGACGTACCCGCGTGTGTTCATCACAAATCGTGGGCGCGACTTGGTGGTGAACGATCCCGACGCGGAATACTTCCCTTGGGAAGAGGACAAGGCGGAGGTGGTGAGCGGCCCGACCACGACAGTCCTCTCCTGCAAAACCGTACTTGCGCCGATGCGCTCGCGGCTGCAGCTGGGCCTCTTGATCCTCTTTGTTTTCGTCGCAGTAAACATTTTCTGTGCGGGCGTGCAAGTGAGGAAAACCGTCGGGCGGTGAATCGAAGGCTAGACAGTGTGCACGCTCTCCTTCTCTTCTCTTCTCTCCCCTCCCGTCGACCTCCCTCTCCAGGAAAGACTTTATTATTATTATTTTCCCACCGTCCCGCTCCCTTATTCTAACTCCCTCCAGGTGGAAGCGCAGGCGATCTGAGTGGGCAAGAAACTCCCCTTCGTAGAGTCTCTTATGTATGAAAGCAGCGCATCAACGGTCTCAGCCCTTAATAGAGGGGGGGGGGGGAAGCGACGTACGGGATGTAATGACATCGGCTTACACATTACCTGCCTTTCTTCTTCCTTCTTTCCCTCCTTCGTGAATAGAGGGAGAGTGGTCGACTCGGTTTATTTGTTTTTGTTTTTGTGCTGAAAAATGACGTGTTTTCTACTGAAGTGGAATTTCGAAAAGAATCGTAAAGCGACGATGTGACTCAGCAAGACGCGTACAACGGTGTCATGCGTCTGCTTCTTCGGGGCTTCTACTTCTTCTACTTCTCCTTCCTTCGGGAAGGGTGGCCAAACGAAAGTGCTGTCTTTGGGTGCTCCCTCAGCGGCGGAAAGTCATTCTCGCACCTTTCTGGGAAGTGTACGAGCAAAAGAGACTGTTCTGATGCTCTACTCCGTTCCCTGTGGTGCTGCGCTCTTTCTTTCTTTCTTCGATGTGGTGTTTCTCTACCATCTCGCCCGATCTTTCTGGGGGTGTCTTCGCTCGTGTGTGGGGTCTGTTTTTTACTCCTCCTCGTGGACTCCTCTTTTCTTGTCTATTTTGTGTTTTGCAGGCTTTTCCCTTACTGATCGCTGCGTTGGCGCTGTTCATCGCCCTCGGCACCACTGCAGGTCCTCCCTCTTCGCCTTCTGACAGCTGCACCGGAAAATGACGGAGGGCTTCTAACTATGTGCAACAGAGAGAGAAAGAGAACGGGCGGGATGGGCTTTTAACGCTTGATAGAAGACTTCAACAGAAAAACGGTTGTTCGGTGTGAAGGATAGTTGCAGCTGCTTCGCCAGGACGGCAGCGCCGTTCCCGCTACGGAGGCCTTTAAAAGGCGGCGACTGCGTTCTCGTGTACGTCTCTGGCTCAGGGGTGCTCAGCGGTGCCCGCCATACCACGCGAGTTCTACCACACACACACACACACACACACACACGCATCACACTACCAAAAAGAAAAGGAAACGATTTACGGCGGTCTTTTGTGTCGCCCCGACAACGCCAGAGACGATGCGACGGAGTACCGCCCACGAAGTCGCCACGGCGGCTGCTGTCACCGCGCCGATTTTCTGCCCACGCAGGACCGCTGGCCGCGCGGTGTGGAGAGTGGTTACTGATCCGCTCTGTGAGCCTTCCTACCCTGCTCGTGTGTGTCTGTGTGTGTGTGTGTGTCAGCCGAGAGTCGCGTCGAGTTGATCACGAAGCACGGGGCACGTGATGCTGCGGAACGACCCGAACGAGGAGAGGCTTCTATGGCGGCACAGCGACCCCGTAATGCCCGTCTCGCATCCATCGTGCAGACGAGCACGCTGCAACTATTCAATCAAAGGAGCATCTCTCCTATACCCCCCCCCCCCCTCGACGACGCATGGCGTGAAATCTCTCCCATACGAACGTGTGTGCTTTCCACTTCTCTTTTCTTTTTCTTTCTTCGTGTAGCGTTGCTGCCGCTCGCTGCGTCATTGTCGCCGATCCTGCACGATGCTACTTGCCAAGTTATCCCTCCTACCCATCGAGCTGTTCTGCTAGCCCCTTACAACGCACTTAGCACGATAACACGGAAGGGTAATACCTCCACTGATTCATCAGCCGCGTGTGTGTATTAGAGTGTCGTCGGTACCGTCTCGAGAAGCGTGGCTGCTGGGGTGACACCGATAACAACCCGAGGTGAGTGAAGCAGGCGTTTGAGTGCTGTGTGACCGTTGGGCCGCCGCAAACCGCAGCCCATGAAAGCGTCCTGCCTTGCAGGTATTGCCCACCTGAGGCGTGCATGGGTACTTTGAAGAAGTGGTACCACTTCTGTAGTGTGTGCGTGTGGCGGGGCATGCAGACTGACGCGCCTTTTCTCCTGCCCGTTGCGTTGGCGCTTCTTCCTTCTCCTCTCCCATGCCATTTTGTCTCCATTCATTTTATTTCCCTCTTTTGCTCTTCAGCGAAAATTATTTAGTTTTTTGCGGTTTTTGCCTTCTTTTTTCATTAACTCCCTTCTTTCTTCCCATTGAGGATGGAGTCTAACTTCTTCAAAAATGCTGAGCTAAAGCTGCTGCGGAAGGACGGCAGCGCTGTCCTGGCCTCCGAGGCGTTGAAAGAGGCGGACTTTGTTCTCCTGTACTTCTCCGCCCACTGGTGCCCGCCGTGCCGCGAGTTTACACCGCTGCTGAAGAAGTTCTACGAGGCGCAGCACGAAAAGAAAAGGTTTGAGGTCGTCTTCATGTCGCTCGACAACTCGGAGAAGGAGATGCTGGACTACTTCGCCGAGGCACACGGCGACTACTACTGTATGACCTACGCAGACACCAAGGCCATGTCGTGGGGATGGGGTCAAAAATATGGATTCAAGACCATCCCGACGCTGCTCGTGTTCGAGAACGGAAGTCAGCGCAACTTGATGGCGAAGTGTGGGCGCAAAATGGTGTTAAAGGACCCAAGCGCGGAAACCTTTCCCTGGCGTGATGCGGACGCCATGCAGCCTGCCCAGCGCAACACCGCGGAGTACATTCGAAACGGTCTGCTGGTGCTGTGCATCCTGTGGTTGGTCTACTCGTTTCTCACCCGGTAAATACGGGTGCATTGACGCTCGTCTACGGGCTCGTTGAGTTGTGCGTCGAGTAAGTGCTACGCTGTGTTTGGGTTTGGTGTTGTTAGTGCTCTACTCCCGCGTATGTGGTTTTTTTCTCTTTCTTCCTGACGATCGCTGTGTGAGACCAATTTGCGAAGGTCGCGTAGTGCCACGGAGAAGGCGGCAGCAGCGAATCTGCGCACGTCTCTCCAGCGCACGCGGAGTATATTATGATTATGATTGCTATTACCACTACTATTATTGTTATTACTTTTTTTTTTCTTTTTGATCTCAAGACGCTTCTTCGTACGAATGCCCGCTCTTTCTTTACTGTTTCATTCATGCCGTTTGACGCTGTTGGCGCTCGACGGGGGAAACAAAGCACTTTGCGCGTCACGCATCTGACCGCGATGATGCGGACTTGAAGAATGATGGACTGCTTCTCTTCTTCCATCGTGTTTTCTGTTTTCCTTTCGGAACCGCTCGCTTCCTAAATGACGTATGTGCTCCCATCTGGCTTTCCCTTATTACTACGTCGTTTCATCATCGCTTCGCCCTCCTGTATTGTGTGGTGCGCCTCTCACAATATCCTGCCTCGCTCCTCTTCTTTTCTTTTCATTCTCTTTTGTTGTTTGTTTCCACGCTGCATTTCTGCGTGTGCAGTCTTCCCAATTTCGCCGCTGTGTTGTCAAGGTGGCCTTCTTCTTTTTTCTCGAATTACCTAGGCTTTTTTTTTGAACTCGTGGATCGCTTCGTGTGAACGAAACACGGAGAGATATATTGTTTCAAGTGAAGAAGGAAAGAGCTGGCGTGCGGCTCGTCGTTTTCTTCTGGACTGTCTTCTGCTTTTCTTTTCCGTTGTTGTTGCTGGTGTTTTTGCTGGTGAGCACTCACACATACTTTTATTTCCTCACCCTTTCATCTTCGCGATTATGTCCTACGTTCCGATCGACTCGTTCTTTGACCTAATGTGTGGCGCAGCCACCTCGACGCCGTCCTCCGCGGTGTCCGGACCTCTTTGCACAGCGTCGTCCGCGGCCACGTCCGCCGCATGGGAGTTGAGCCCTTTCTTCACGCTGCTCACGGAGCGGCACGTCGCGGTGGAGTGGTGTCAGGTGTGGGCGGCGAACCTGCTCCTCACCTTTTCCATCGCGGTGGTGGTGTTTTTTCGCATCTGGCGGACGTGTGGGAATCTCCCCCCGTCAGACACCTTCTACGAGCCGGCGCTGGGCCGCGTCCTTCAGGCATTCACCCAGCCCAATAACGGAGAGGAGGCGCGAGACACACGTCCCTCTCCCTCTCACACGTGGAATCCTTCACGCAGCTGCGTGCGCGGGAGCCGAGTCCCTCCGTTGCGGGGACGCGGGTCGACTCCAGCGGATGTCCTTCCCTGTGATCCATGCTATTCCTCGTACCTGTCGGCGGACCCCTCCTCTGCCGCCGCTGCGTCGCCAATGCCAACTTTTGAGTACGCAGCGGCTGGGGAGGACGACGTCGATGTCTTCGATGCGTGTGCCGCAGGCAACAACAAGAAAACACGCCTGGAACGACTTTGGCACGTTGTCTCCGCCTGTGGTGCATTACGTGCTCTGCTCGAACCACAGCGTATGGCCAACGAGCGCCTACATGCCTTTCTTTGCGGCTGCGCCGCGGCGTGGCAGCTGCTGTGGATGCCGTTTTCTGTCCTACCATCCTTTTCGTCTTTCCACAGCGGCGGCCAGCAATCTCTCACGAAGCGATTATGGCCACACTGCCATCCTCCTTCTCGTGAGTGTGATCATCGCCCACCACATCGCGTCGAAGAAGATGCGTGGACGCAGGAGCTGCTGGACCTGTCCGACGACGATCAAGAGGACCTCCTGGCGGAGCAGGAGGAGTTGTGGGGTATTATAGAAGGCATCGAGCGACGACGACGGGCCCTGACGGGGCGAAACTTATTTCGACAGCCGCTGCCGTCTCGCTCTCAACGGCGGCTGGCTAGAATGTCTGCCTCGTCCGCTGCTTTGAATCCACCTCAAGGAGCCGCGCCCGCCTCCTCTGCTGTCGCGGTCATTCCCATCTTGGCAGCCGGCGTGCCGCTTCGTTTCTCCGTGGATCGCAAAGCGCGGCCGGTGTTGGTGGACCGGCAAGGCCGGTGGATACCGGTGGCGGTCATTGACGAAGATGGGGAGTACTACAATTACAACACCGATCAGGTGCTTCCTCAAAGCTGAGAGGTGCGGGAGGGGTTTTGCGCAGTCAGAGAAAAGGAGCCTTTTTTATTATTGTTAGTGTGATTGTATTTGTTTTAGCTCCTTTCCTCTGCCTTTTTTTTTCTCTGCTGCCGTGCACCCACTTCTTCACACGCGTTCTAACCGCAGCATACGTTGGAACGTCTCCGCTGCTTTCCGTCTGCATTCAACGCATACCGGACCAATGCGTGTGTGTGTCATTCTTCTTCTTTTTCTTTACCTTTTCTCCCCCGTTCCTTTCTCTCTCTCTCTGCTTCACCCCCGCAGCCTCCCCCTCTCTTTCTCTCTTACTTCTTTTAATGTGATTCTGAAATGCTACTCCTACTCTTTCTCCGTTGAGGTTCATTGACGTCCAGCATTTTGAGGACGACGCTGTGCGACTTACTCGTTTTTAAACCGGTGCGACACTCGTTGGTGTTATTTGTGTCTTCCCTGTCTTTCTTTTCTTTAGTGCGTGTGTGTTGGTGCGCTTCTTCTTCTTCTGCTTGGTCTCCTCCTCGCTGAAGCTTCTTCTTCATCTTCGTTTAGGGGGGGGGGGAGGTACGTTATCTCTGCTGCGCCGGGGAGCCGCATTGCAACGTGTAGCATCACCGCCGCTTCTTTTTTTTTCTCTCTCCCTTTCCTTTCACTACTAGTTTTGTTTTCCGTCCTTTATGTGATTTCACTTATGCATTACGCGGAGCGAAGTGGTGAGGAGAGCGCAGCACTTACTATATTTACCAAACTTCTTTGCTTATTTACTATCTCTTATCTAGCAGTTCTGTAGTATTATTACTATCCACACTTCTGTTCTCCCTTTGCACTTTAGGTCTTCTATGAGCACTCGCAAAGCGAGAACGGCTTTTTAAAAAGTAAAGCTAAAGGAAGAGAAAAACAGAAGCTTTTTTTGTTCGTAGAGTAACAGGAAAAGGACATGGCTGTTGCTTGCCGATTATATTATCAAACTCTGTTTGGAAAACCCCATTCAGTCTTAACATTCACCCTTCTTCACCTATATATGTTTCTATATCCATTAGCGCGTGAATCTCTTGCATACTACTCTGCCCGCCTTGTTCAGACGATGGATGTAGCAAAAAAAGGTCAAAGAATGAGAGCGCCTTATTTTCCCCCTTCTTTATTTCTGTAGTTTCAGGTCGAAAAAAATCAAAAAGAAAAGAAGGGGCTGTGCGTAAGCGAAGAAGGTTTTTCCTCGCTCAGCACAAGCCGAAAAGAATGTGGAGCGTGCATCACGTTACCTGGGACTTGGTGACGGTTGGACGGCATCTTCGGCTCTTCGTCCTTCGATCGCCTGATATGAGGACAACGGTACACGCTTCAGCTCACAGAGTACTTTTTTTTTTTTTTACACCTTCACTTTTCTTTTGCCCGTTCTTCGTTCTCGTTGATGTCGCCGGCACGATTCTCTGCTCCCAATTCGGTGCCTGTGACGGGCAAGCTAGCGCACGCTTCTGTTGGACGGAGCTTCTTTTTCTTTTTCACTATCTCCTCTCTTTTCTCTTTTATATATTTGGGCTTTTTGTTTTTCTCTCCGGATGCACGCATCGAAATTGCCGAAAGAAACATCTCTCTGTTCTTTTTTTTTTCTGAGCAATTTCTCCATTGGCGCGTAATCGATCTTGCTAGCAGCCGTTTTCAACAGCAGGGTAAGTGCGCGCAACTCAAGCGCCGTGCCGGATGTCGGTGGCACGCCTTCGCTGACTTTACTTCCGTGCACCTATGACGATGCGCCCCTCCTGCTCCTGTCCACTCTCTACTTGATTGCCGCCTCCCCTTCTCCTCTCTGCTCTGCTGCCCTCACTGTGTGACCCAAACCTCGTCATGCACACCGGCAGTAGATATTACTTTGCAGCTACCAACAACCAAAAACACTTCTTTAGCAAGCAAGCAGTATATATATATATATATATTGCTTTGGCGCTCTCCAATGAGAGCACTGAGCAGCTGAGGCTGTTGCAAGCGATTCAAATACTTTCTTTTTCGTGTGTTTTTCCATTTTAGGTGGCACGCGTGTGGTTCCGTAGTACTAAACCCGATAAAGTAACTGGCAGTAATATCATTAAGTGTAGCCATTTCCGTGTTGTCTTGTTTTATTGTTGGTGGGTCTATCTCTCTGTGTGTGTGTGTCTGTTAGAGAGCTCTTTCCTCGCTTTGACTTCGAAGCTGTTCCTTCGCTTTCCGCGGAAGCATCGGTCTCTTTCTTTCGCCTCTCACGTAAGCGTTTTTGGTTGTTGGTTTTCCTTTTCTGGTTTGCTCTCCTCCTGCTGTGCCGTTTGCGGGCTTCGTCATCATCGCAACCTTTCTTTTGTAGCTAAATGTGAATCTGACAACGCCTGATTGCGGTGATCTCGTTTTTACACTTCGGTTTCCTCTCTTATTCTCTTCTTTCGGAAGTTTGCTTGATGATTAACTCGTACGTTCTTGTTCAACATACTACATATTAATCTTTCTCCAACTGCGCACACTCAAGTATGCAAGGACTAGTGTCCCCTCCTGGGCAGGTGCGCCTGGCTGGCCGGCTGCTTCTACAGAGACACCAAAAGCTAGCGGCTCCGCTCCCCCTGCTGGTGCTGCTGCTCGTCCTCCACCCGCTCTGCACAGCCGCCGCCACAGCCCAGCCAGAAACAACACGTCCGCCCGTCGAGCCCCTGGATGGCAACGGCGGCTCTTCTTCTTCTGTCGGCATCATCATCGGCTGCGTCGTGGCGATCGTCGGTGTCCTGCTGCTGGCCGGTCTTGTCACCTTGCTTTGCCTTGTGCTCCACCGTCGCCGTCTGCGCAACAGCAGCCGGCGTCACGCCTACGCCGACGCGGACAGCATCGCCTTTCAAGACGACCGTGACAGCGCACATCGTCTCCGCGGTGCGGCCGTCGTCAATGCCGGCCCGCGTGAAGGTAATGAGACGGCAGGGGGCCACTACGCCCATCACACGGACGAAAACTGCGAACCGGTGACACCCCCGCCGTTAGAGAACACGGGCACGGCGCAGCCGATGCGCGACTACCGCGACAACTACGCCGACCGCTTCGACGACCCAAACGGCGACAGCTACGACGCCGACGGCGGGGTGCGACCGGCCTCGCCCAACGCGGAGCGGGTGGAAGGCCTCCCGATTGAGAACCGCGTCCGGCCGCGGCGCCACCTCCCGCGGGGCCAGGTGACGATCCACCACGGCGAGCAGGATGTCTGCCTCGACTTCCGCGGCGTGGATCGGGTGCCGCAGGTCGGCCCGCCCCCGCTCACCGAGGAGGAGAAGCAGCGCATCCTCGACGCGCAGAACCGCGTCGCGTCGCCGGAGTTCTACGGGCGGGCCGAGTACGAACACCGCCGTGCCTCGAACAACAACACGCCGAACGTGCTGCTGAGCTCGTCGCTGCTGCGGGAGTTGCAGCAGCAGTACGCGGCGGCCTCCGCATCGGGTCATATTTTTCCGAGTTACGCGAGCGAGGCGGGGCGCAGCATCGGGAGCATGAGCTTCCGCCCGGGTTCGCCTGCAGGGTCGGTGCGACGAGGCCGGCGTGACGGCCGCCAGAGTACGAGTCCGACGAGTGTCACGATGGGCGGACAGAAGCTGCGGCACCGCAAGAACGGCTCACGCCACCACACGAACAGCCGAGACACGTCGAGCGGACATCAGCACGGGTCGGTGCCGCGTCACCACCGCGACGATCTCGAGAGCACCTCCGACGACTTCGAGGACCTCTCGCTGCACAACGAATCCTTCACAGGGTGGCGCGAGAAGCTGCGCGACGCCTCGGACCGTCCCCTGCAGCTCCCCGCCGGTTTCCCCGCCTTGGGGCCGAACCTCGGCTTCGACCAGATGAGTCTGCGCAGCAACTCGAACGGCGCCCTGGAGCGGTACATGAACGCCCCGGGCTCGGTGAACGGCTTGGCTGCCTCCGCCTCCGGGGCCCGCTCACCGCTGGACCACCCACAGGACCCACCACCAGCGCTGGCGCACACGCCACACGGCCTGCAGTCGGCGCCGTCCACTTCTCTCACCTCACCCGTGGTGTGGTCTGCCGCGGCACGCAGCCCTCCGTATTCGTCCTTCCTAACGGCCCCGGCAGCTGCAGGAAGTAACAACACGAATAGCACGCTTCAGACGACTACGACCGGCCCCCGCCGCACCCTCCACCCTGCTGCCGCCGCCGCTGCTTCACACGACTCACCGCAGGCGCCGAAATCGGCCACGTTGTCTCCCGGCGTAGCGCCAGCGCTGCCAACTCCCTCTCCTCTGCTTTCGCCGCCCAGCCCGTCCACCGCGATCATCCACTTTCTCGACGTGCCGGCTCTCTCCACGCAGAGCACAGGCAGAGGAGGTAGCGCGGAGGCAGACCAACACGCACCACCACGTCACGGCACCTTCGCGACGGCGGCGACGACGTCAGCCACGCCCGTCCTCTCGGTGAACTCCGGTGCCCCGCCTAGCCCAGAGCTGGATAGTCGAGCAGCAGTAAGCGGCACTGCGCTGCACTCGCGACATCTGGATGCGTCGTCGTTTGGCGGTCTGCCCAGCGGCGTCAGCACCCCTTCGAAGCCGGACTGGCCGCCGGCTCCAGCAGGTGTAGCCGCTGCACCGGCGGGATTTCTGACTGCGGTGCCGGCGAGGAATGGGGACTCGAGAGACGACGCCACTCCCCTGCCTCTCTCGCCCAAGAGGGAAGAGAAGCCCACCGGTGCCTGCGGCGGTCGGAGAGCTCACAGCAAGTCTGATTAAAGAAAAGGGTTGTTTACTGTTGTTATCTCAAGGGCGGTGAGTATTGAAATGATGCTTTAACTCGTTGTCGTACATGATTGCCTGTTTTCTTGTATTTCTCATTTTTGAACTTTATCTGAATAGAAGAAAGCATTGCGTGTAGCATAGTCTGGACATTTGTTTTTTCTTTGACTTTCTTCTTCGCTGATCGCATAATGTATCGGCTAGACTCTGCGCTTCGTCTTTGTTCGCTGTTTTTTCATTTCAGGCTGCGCGTATAGAAGTTTGTGTTTGTGTGCTTTGTACGGCAGTGTCAGCACGATACGTATTTAAATATATATTCTTAAACGTTGACAGTAAAGAGAAGTAACTCAGAAAAAGGTAAAGAGAGCAATACGATGGTCACTGCAACAGCGTTGAAAGAACGCTGTAGTTGCTGCGTAGTGATCACGACACCATCTGAGTTTGATTCACGATTAAAAAATGACCGAAACTTGTTTTTGTTATTTCGCCTCTTTTTTCTCCCCCTCTCTCTCTGGTCAGGTAAAACGGAGCCACCGCAAAGAGAGACAGCAGGCCAATAGGTAAATGGTTTATTTAGTGTTGAACGACACAATCATAAGTATTAATATAAACGCCTCTTTATTTACCTGGCGATTTGCGTTTTTTGAGCGTTCTTACTCATTTCCATTAAAAAAGGGGGGACTTACTAACGGCTTACGTGTGTGGATGTTGAACTATCCTTTTTCTGATTCCTCTCATGTCGCAAAACCTTCCTTTGCCTTTGTTCAGCTACGGTAATTTACAGTAAGATGTACGATTTGTTGACATAAACCTTCGAGAGATGAACCTTTTTGGGGGCATACGACATTCCACGAGGCGTGCGTGTCTCGCACGATGTGAGGCGCTATTAGCATGCGCTTTGCTGCTATCGTTGTTGCCTGCGACGCTGGTACTCTACAGTGTACTAGGCGCCTGTACTCGGGGTGTGAGCCAAGGCTCTTCCCGCGCAAGGTGCCCTTTGTTGAGGCTTCTTTCCTTCAGCGCGTTGGATCTGAGAAGCCCCGTCTTTCAGCTGACGTCTTCAGCTCTCTCACTTCTCCGATCACCGTCGTCACTCAAACGCCAATACGGTCTTTTCGCCCCTTCTCCTTCTCTCATAGATTTGTTGCCTGTTGCACGGAAGTCCTACGGCTTCAGTGAGCGATTCGTAGGCGACCTCGAGCCGCTTTAACACCTCTGCGAGCTATATATATATATTACTCTCTTTTAGGATTTCCTTCTTTTCTTCTTCTTTTAAGTTGGTTTAATAATAAGGGTGCTTTAAAAAGGTTTCCCGGTCGGGGGAAAGCTCCTGATCGATGTAACAGCAGGGAAGAGTATCACCGCTTATATATATATATATACGTAGCAGTTTATATATGAAAGTGCATTTGTATTTTATTGTTTTGTTTTTCATCAGCGCCGCATAATTCTACTAGAAGCAAATATCACCTCAGAAGTTAAAGAAAATAGATATATATCAAATCGGAAAGGATCCATTAGACCGATTTTTGTTTCACGAATACCGCTTGAAGAAGACGGATAGCTCCTATTGAGCGACCTTTTGGGTTCGAAAGACGTATAGGGCCTTTTCTCCCTCGCGCAGTATCTCCCATTAAGCAGCGTTCCTCCACCACTACAACTACTATTTGTTGCTATTATTATTATTTGCACCGAAGAGTGTCGCCTTCATGGCTATCTCTTTCGTTGCCATCGTCATCCTCTGCATCTCCTCGGCCTCCGCCCTTGGCTTTAGCATTGTGCTGAGCGCTTTTGTACTCATGTGGTGTGGGTGCTGCCGCGTCTCGGACGACGAGCTCGATGAGCGGGACCGCCGCCGCCTCCACCGCCGCCGTGGGGGCGCCGCAGAAAGGGAAGAGGTGGTAGTGCACAGCGGAGGGGACGACGTACCGGCGCCGGCGCCGGAGCGGAAGGGCATCCCGCTCAACTCCAAACCCCCGCGTCTCTCCCCGGCCCAGGAGCTGCTGCGCGACAAGGCGCTGGAGAAGTACAAGCGGCGCACCGCACGCGAGGAGCGTCGACGAGCGCGGCAGGCGGCCCGTGAGGCCCGTCTGGCGCATCTCCGCGAAGGCGACGGTGACGGCGATGGGTTGGACGATAGCGACGGCGAGGACGGGCGGTCGTCCGTGACGAGTCGCACCACCCTCACCTCGGCTGCGACGACGGTGCGGACCGCCTCGACGGCAGCCTACGGGCGTGGTGCGTACCTCTTCCCCCCACCCCACCTGTGCGGAGTGGAAATGGACGGGAAAGGTGAAGGTGGAGATGATGTAGAGGGCAGCGAGGTGCGCAGTTCCCACAGCCGCAGCTCCCGTCGCAGCTCCGGCTCGACACGGAGCAGAGCAAGCCAAGGCCCCGTCGCGACGATTAAGTCATACATGCGGCAGCGGCAGCGGCAGCGGCTGCGCCGTCGGGAGGAGCAGCAGCAAATCGACCTGTTCAACCAGTGGGCCGAGGCGCAGATGGCCTCCTCGTCGGAGCTGTCGCCATCGTCTGCTGCGTCCTCGGCGGTCGAGTCGGTTGCCGCCTTGGCCGATCACAACGCGGGAGAAGAGAAGGGGCGGGGACGTCGCACATCGAATGGGCACCGCGGGGGGCGTGGCGGACGTCAGCAAAGGTCGGCGGATGACCGGCTTCATGCAAATGGCGGTGGGTTCGATCGCTCGCAGCCGCTGCCGCAGCAGCCGTCGCGGTACCGCTCGAGCAGCGTGGCGAGCTCCGCCCCGCGGCCACCCGAGGAGGTTCTCGGCGATGACCTTGCCCACTACTCCTTCCTAGCAGACGCCAACGATGCACAGCACAACCTGCGCCGTGAGCAGGTGCACCTGCAGGCGGGCTACCCGGCCTCGCCGCAGATGTTTCAGCTGCCGACGGAGTTTGGTCCGCCGATTCCGAAGAAGAACGGGGTGGACGGTGTGGAGGAGGCGAACGAAGCAGCAGCGGTGGTGGCTCCGGCCCAGCACACGCCGGGGAGCACGAACGTGTACGGCGATCGACAGCAGCAACCGCAGCAGCCACCACAACCTCCACAGGCACCGCCGCGTCGACACAAGCGAACGTGGAAGGACGTCGAGCACAATGTGGCGCTCAGCGGTTTCTTTAATAGCCCGACGAACAACAGTTTTGGAGGAGTGCACGCGCCGTACGATGACGGCGAGGCATCGGCACCCTTCCGCACGAGCCCTGCTGAGCCGACGCACAGCCCACTGCAGTACCCTGGCAACCGAAGAGAGTAAACGGTGGATAGGTGTACAGTTTCTGCTGTAAAAACGCAAGCACGCGCACGTAGAGACCATCTGCGCGATAGCCAGCGATCGGGTGACGAAGCGCTGCTTTATTGCTGTGTTATTACATCTGCATTACTTCTTGGTTTCTTTTGGTGTTGGTGTTATCTTGCTCTTTGACCATTTGAGGCCAACCGATGGCACACAAAATGTCTCTTTCTTGTAGTTTTTCACTCGGTATACAGTGAACGTAGTGTAAGTGTTTGTGAGTACGTATGTGTGAGCGGGTGGGGTGTGCGTGTGCCAGCTCGATACAATACGTAGTCACCGTTGAACTTAACCTTTCCAGGCAAACATATTTATATTGAGCGTGAATTTGGAAACAAAAATAACGTCTCAAATACGTAAAGCTTTCTTGTTTGTTTTTCTACTTCAGTTACAGCTGCATCTCACCAGCAAAGAAGAAAAATCTTCCTTTCTCTTTTTCTTCTCCGTCGCAGTCTCTGCCGCCCACACGAACGCTTATTGTTGACCGAGCTTCAGTTGTGTTGGTGATTCTACCTCTTTTTATTAAAACGTTGGTGAAATAATAATTTAATGGCGTGCTATCTCTCTTCTTTTCTTTGTTCCTCTGATTTTTTTGTGTTGGTGTTGGGGTGTTTGTGCAAGCTGTGTGTATGTGTGTGTTGATCTTCATTTATATATACGCCTCTGCTTTAGAGTGTTCGTCGCTTTTCTTTCCATTTTTGCTCTTCTTCTGCTTTTCGCCACGGACGCTTTTTTTATTTTACCGGATGCTCCGACGCGTGTCAACGCGATGGGAGCTCCAGGTCGAAAGCAGACACATGAGAATAGGATTTCTTCTGCTTGTAATTGAAGAAAAGGAACAAATATAATATATGTAATACACGAAGCCAAAAGTGAAGATTCCACAGCTTAAGTCAGCCGTGTGCGTTCCGAATAATTTCTTTTCCCTTTCATTTTAATTGTGTTTTGATTGTTTTTTTTTGCTTTCAATAAAGACTTCTCCTGCTTTTCCTTCGTTGACTCAGGACTATGCCATTTCATGGAGCCTCTTCTGCATCGCCGCACGGGTGCAGCGGTGACGCGAGCAGCTACAGCACTCGCCAGAAACAAAAGAAAAAATAGTAATCCCGTCGTTGAACTCTTCCAAGGCCCGCCAGTTTGCCTCAACAGTAATCAGCACTTTTGGCGTGTGTATCTTTCCTACTTTTTTTTTAGAATAGAGTATCTTATGTCCGTTCGTTGTGTATAAGCACATCTTCGTGTATGCAGTTTAATGCGATGACGCGTGTGAATGCAGCCTCTTCTGCTGACCTCTTGAACGGCACCGACTGCGACTCCAATGCGCTAGCACATGGAGTCATTAGTATGTCTGGTAAAACCACGAAGATGCGCTTCCATTTTGTATCTTAAGTTTGTATTGCGGTCTTTCCCCTACTCAGAATCTTCTTGTTGTCAGGAGAGCGAATAGCGCCACTTCTTGACATGCGGCTGCTGCGTACCGACTTTCTCGTCTCTCTTCTCCCTTTCGTTCTTCTTCTCTTTCTTCATCCGCTGAAAGCCTCTAATGTGAGTTTCTTCTGCTGCCGATCTGCTCACATACGTCGCCCTCTCCTTTTTCTTGTCGTCTCTGACGAGCTTCGAAAGAAGCAACGACGACCCACTTTTTGAATTCACCTATTATCTTGTGAGGACCCTATGGCCTACAGCCAGAAACAGCTGGATGTGTACCGGCAGCTCATTGCCCAAGGCGAGCCCTTCAAAAGCACCACGTGCCCCTACTGCAACGGGCAACGCGATGCCACAGTGAAGCACCTCCACCCGAGCACGAAGCCGGCCGATGCGTGGAGCTTCTGGAGAGACGTCCTCATCAACAAGTACGCCTCCCTGCAGTCTGCCGCTGCGATCAAAAACATGGAGTCGACTGCAACCTTCGAGAAGGCCACACACAATGCGGAAGAACAGAGCGAAGGTCACGTGCATACGGCGAGTCTTCCTCGCATGTTTGTCGTGGGCCCTATGGTGGACCAGAGCGAGCTGCCCTTTCGCATGCTGTGCCGAGCGTACGGGTCCACGCTGGCCTACACACCGATGCTGCACGCCAAGAGCTTCGCGGAGGGCGCCGCCTACCGCAAGCACTTTTTCGCCACCACCCCTCCTGAGGAAGTGAAGGCGGCGATGGAGAAGGCGAGCGCTGAAGCGGAGACGGCGGAGAATTCGCAGGGCAGCAATACCGCCGAGTTCTCGTCGGCAACGACAGCGGAGACGCAGCTGGCGGACCGCCCCTGCATTGTGCAGTTTTGTGGCCACGACGCGGACACCGTCCTGGCAGCCGCGCGCTACGCCGTGCTGGGTGAAGGCGCAGACGCACATCCCACGTACCCGGTGCGCGTCCGCAGGAGGAAGACGACTGGAGTCACAACAGCTATAGAAGTAGAAGAGGGAGGAGAAGCGGAGACGGACGATCAGTTGCTGTTCGGCTGCGACGCGGTGGACTTGAATCTCGGCTGCCCACAAGGCATTGCTCGCCGTGGCCACTACGGCTCATTCCTCATGGAGGACTGGGAGCTCATCCACACCATCATTCACACTCTGCACGTGGAGCTGGAAGTGCCGGTGACGGCGAAGATACGCGTGTTCGACCACCCCGGACACAGCGAAGCCGGCTCCGCCGAGACGCAGCTGAAGCATGACTTCGATGAGGCGCTGACCATCCTGTACGCCCGCATGATACGGGACGCCGGGGCGCAGGTGCTCTGCGTGCATGGCCGCACGCGGGACATGAAAGGGCAGCAAACGAGCGTCGCGAACATGGAGCTGATCTGCCGGGTGCGCCGTGCCCTGCAGGGCAGCATCCCCGTCATCTCGAACGGCAACGTCTACACGTACGACGATGTGCTGCGGCACCTGCGGGATACACAGTGTGAGGGCCACATGTGCGCGGAGCCACTGCTGTGGGACCCGACTCTGTTTAGCCACCCGAGTCATCCGGTGATGCCCGGACGCACCCACGGCGCGGACAAGGCTACTCGGCTGTCTGCCTTACACACCGCACTGGTGTACATGCAGTGGGTGCGCCGCTACCCGGTGGACCTTGGCTTTGTGAAGGCGCATCTGTTCAAGATGTGTTTCCACAGCTATGAGCTGCACACGGAATTCCGCGAGGTGCTCGGCCAGCTGAAGACCAGCGCGTCAAGCATAAAAGGCGCTGAGAACGGCGAAGCGCAGCCGGCCGGTACAGCGGCATCTCAAAACGTAGACGCGACCAGAGCGCCCGTCAAGCGTAGTAACGCGGAAGTTTCTTCTCCGGACACCAGCCTCGACGATGGAGCGGAAAGGGAAACGGAGGACGCACTCTTCAAGGATTCAGATTCCGCTTCATCGACAGCCTTTGAGCAGCACGTGGGCGCAATTGAGGCGCACCTGCGCGCACTACTGGAGGTGGAACAGCGGTCATGTGTGGACGGGGAGCAGCCCAAGGTGGCGCAGGTAAAGAAAGCCAAGGCGAAGGAGGAAGTCGTGGATGTCTGGGAGGCGGAGGGAGGCCTGGGCATCAACTTCTAAAAGAGCAGTGCTCTCCGTCGCTCTTTTCTCATTATCAGTGTTGTGTACTCGAGGTCGACTCCTCTTTGTTCTTTAATACTGCTGCCTTCTGTCTTAATAATAATAATACTATTGGCGTATCTTCGTGCCTTCGCGTGATAACACGCTTAAACGGCGCAAAGGAATAAAATAGATGATATCACGCTCCGACGTGTACAAACAGGAATCGTTTTGACTAGCGTTCTTCATCCTTCACACCCTTGGGGCCACTTTGCATGGAAATCGCAGATGTTCGCTTTCCACGCTGTGCATTTCGCAGTGCCTGAGAAGACATGGCACGCTATTCTGTTCTCCTGCTTCTCTTTCAAACCGGAGAAGATGTTCTCGCCGCACATTCCCTCTAACTCTCTCTCTCCGATTTCCTCCTCCCCTCTTCCTCATGTCATCGCGTCTTTTGCGTACACACACGTCTCGCTTTAGGTTTTTCCTTCTCCGATGCATTCGCGCATCATACGAAACGATACATCGCAAAGAAGTCCCAAAGCCACACAGCAGCTTTACACCTGCAGGTGCCGTTTCATTAGACGGTGAGAACCAATCATTTTTGCCAGTGACCGCTTATTGCTCTTTTCGTTTTCTTCCTTTGACGCTGCGCTTTGTGCAGCCCTGCGCATGTGTGTGCGTGTGTGCCGCCTCGCCAACTCTTTTATTATTATTATTATTGTAAAGCCTAAACTCCTCTCTGATACGGTGCATTGTGGGGATATTTTGGGGGTCGATTGTAGCTGCGAGAGAGCTATATATATATAACGGCTGATTTATAAATCTCTTCTCTTTTGTTGTTGCTGCAGCGATTGTATGATCTTGCTGACACCACAGGGCGATAATTTCCTTCGTCTGCTTTTCTTTTCTTTCTCTTCCTTCTCTCCTCAGCGGAACAGACTGCCATCAAAACTTTGGCTTTTCTTCCATCGTCTGCTGTGAAGCGTATACACAAGGAGCGCTTTTTCTCCTCTTTTCTTTTAGTGGGACTGATCATCTCACAAGGGCGACTGGAAGAGCAACCTGTATGCGTTTTCTCCCTCTTTGCCCTTCTCCCAGCATATCACCATTACTATTTTGAAAGTGCAGCGTACTGCAGCTTACTTAAATAACCTGGTTTGACGTGCACGACTCCACTTCACACATTTTTCTTTTCTTCTTTTCAGATTTCTGTTTCTGTCCCCTTTTCTTTCGTCGGTGCTGTAGAGGGACTCGCTTGCCGCGATCCGGCGAGTGCTTGTTTTGTGCTCTGTCTTTGTTGTCAGTGTTGCGGGGACAATTAACGCAGTCCTTGTCGGTTGTGCATGAACTCCACCGGAGCTGAGTTCATTTTTTTTCTCTCTTTTTCCTGTGCGGTATTTGAACGCCCTCCATTTCTTTTATTTTTTTTATTTTGCAATACACTGCTATCTTTTGTGTTTGCTTGTTTGCTTGTTGTTCCTCCGCTCTTATCAACACCGCGAAGACGTCTTCAAAGAGAAGAAACGACAGGGGGCGTACCTCATTCCTCAATCAATCGGAGTGTTTGAACACCTCCGACATAACGTATTGAAGTTGAAGAAAACAGATCTTTAATACCTATTCAGGATGACGCTGCGAAGCCGCGCGCGTATCACCTGCGCGGTGCGCGCCGTCATTGTCCTGTTAGTCCTCGTACTTGCCGGTGCCGGCGTCACGAGGAGTGTTGTCGCGCAGGGAGACGGAGGCACCGTAAAGTCAGCGACTTCGATGGTACAGGAAACGCCATCGCCGCTGCATCAAACAACGGTGCTGAACCGTCTGTGGTGGCGCAACCTGGAAGAGCAGGATGCCTTCATCCACGCGCTTTTCCGCGCCCCACTCGCCACGGCAAACATTGGCATGATCTCCGGCGCGGTGGGCGGCGATGGGGCCGGGGTGCCTCAGAGCGACAACAGCATCAACAACGGACAGGGCACCATGCATCAGCAGCAGCAGCACGGACGCAGCAGAGCTACGACAAGTCGTGGCACCGCCCATCACGCGCCAGCCAACAGCACTGGCCCGGAAAAGGGTCTTTTTATTCCAAAACTGCATCTTGTGTACACCATCACACGGGAGCAGAAACGGACGCTGGAGGCGCAGGCAGCAACGGCGTCGGCACATCTCTCTGCGACGGCCGCTGCCGCCAACCCGACGTTTGCGGAGTCCACCGGCACGTCGTATACGCAGCTGCTGCGCTCCGTGTTGCCTCTGGGCTTCGATGGGTCGCCGGAGGAGGAGACGGCGAAGCCGCTCACTCCACTGCAGACTGCCGCCCTGCATTCCCCCATTGCCCCTCTGCGGGCGTATGTCGTAGAGAACGGCGGAGACTATGCCGAGCCGGGCACACCACCATCGCCGCAAGAGCAACAACAGCGACTTCACAACGAAGGTGCGAGATCTTTTCTAGCCGATGAAGTCGAAGCGACGACGGCAGCGAAGAAGACCGACGTGCTACAATTCGTGAGGACGGTCGACGAGGCGGCGGCGGAGTCGCCTCCCGCCTCCGCCACTACCACTACAGAAACCTCGGCTCCCCTCCCGCAGACGGCCAACGTCGTCGGCTCGCCGAGCTCCTTCTACCAGTCGCAGAACTCCGCCGATGAGACGCTGGTGGTGGTGGGCAGCGCAACGCGCGCCGTCGTGCCGCTTCGGGTGACGGGCACGAGCTACACCGTCGTTCAGTTCGACGGCAAGGCGGGAAACACGATCAACGCCGTGGTGCAGCTGCGCGATCACCGCTACAACGAATCGGTCAAGCTGGACAACTGCTATCACATGTACCTCAAGGTGGAGCTGCGCAACCATGTGAAGACAGACCACAGCGGCAGCAATGGCGACCGCTCCGGCGCGTATGCCACGACGCAGCCGCACCCGTACGTGAACAAAAACCGGTGGAGCAGCGCGACAGAAAGAAGTGCCGCTCCGCTCCATGACGGGAGCACCGGCGGTGGCAACAGCGGAGGCGACAACGATCCTGACACGAGCACCGCCAGCCGCGGCAGCTGGGCCAGCTTTTGGGATTCCTTTGCGCTGATGTTCGACACAAGCGCGCTGTGCAAGGTGCTGCCGAGCATCTCCATGCGGGTGAGCAAGGCACAGCAGACGGAGCCGTTCTACGTGGTCGTGCGCTCCACCAGCGGCTACGCGTACGAGGCGGCGTACTACTACAACACCACCTCCGGCGCCTTTTACGCCAACACGAAGGACGACGACTACACCTGCGAGTTGGACCTCTTCATCGAGCAGTGGCCCGCTGCGGCACAGGAGCGACGGCAGTTCATCTTCGCCGTCATTGTCCCGCTGCTCGTGCTGCTGCTGCCGCTGCCGTTTACGATGCGTAGGGCAGACTTAGTGCAGCAGTACATGATGGAGACGGACTACGCGGAGTGGGTCTGGCGTCCGCCGTATTACCTCCGCAATCGCATGATTGAGGGCCTGAAGGCGGTGGTGGACTGGGGGGTGCGCCTGCACAGTGCGTATCAGCAGCAGGCGTTGGTGGCGCAGCTGCAGCGGCAGCAGCAGGAGCAGCAGCGGGTGCAGGCGCCATCTTCCTCCTCCTTGGCACGTAGCGGTGCTCACCAGGACATCAACAGCAATGATCCTGGCAAGGACATTAAAAGGAAACAGACGGCGACAGCGGAAACCCTCTCGGTGCCTCAACTCCCTCCTTCCACGGCGGCTTCACGTGCCGTCCCGCAGGCCTTCACAGCAGGAGCCCAGGCCCACGAAGGCAGCGACAGCGTGCCGCTCTTTCCAAATCGCCGCCACAGCCACCACTCACTCGTGTCAGAGAGACCTCTTGAAAGGGAAGAAGAGCTTGGACTTCGCGTGTGCACCCCACGTGCGCAGTTCAAGGAAACAGAAAGTGCGGCGAGCAGCACCGCCAGCGATGTCTCCCGCCTGGAGCGCTCATCTGCCAGCTGCGCCAGCGGCTCGGACGTGGACGAGGGTCTCGACGGGCGGCGTCTGCATCGCCGGAGCAGCGAGGAAGGCGATGGGCGTCTTTGCCGAAGTGCATCGCACCCCGGTGCGGTCTCCCCACCGCAGAAGCTATGCGCGTCCGATGCGCTGCTGTACCCCAGCGAACCGGAGACGTCAGCGGCTTCTGCTGTGGCTGCTGCTGCAGCTTCTTCTTCCTCCTTAGCCAGGCAGAGCGGAAGAGCTGCATCCGTGACATCGTTCGCGCCCTCCAGTGAGCTGGACATCCACCTCCGCCGCCATCATCGTCAACATAAAGGCTCCGCGCGGCACGGCGGCGCCTCGCGCGCGGTGTCGGTCCACGTCCCGTTCAGTATGGAGAGCCCCGTCCTGCGCAACAGCACATTGCGAGACAGCAAAGGGAATGAGCACGCCAGTGCACACGACCTTCTGTTTACGTCACCGGAGATGACGGATGCGCAGCGACGCACCGCTGGCCCGGCGACGCAGCACGCTCAACTGCAGCAGCAGCAGCCACCTCGTGAGGAAGCAGAGGCGGGGTCTTCGGCAGGTCCGCCGGTGGAGGGCACGGTGGTAAGTGGCAACGCCGTGACGACGAGCAGTAATATGAATGAGAATACGACTATGAATTCAGCAGTTTCGCCCGAAGAAAAGGGTCGAGAAGGTGGAAGGGATGGCGAGAATACTAATAATGTTAATAGTAAAGACGGAGAGGACGCAGAAGAACCGTTCTGCCGCATCTGTCGAGAGGGCAACGACGTAGCTCCGCTTATCACGCCGTGCGGGTGTACCGGTTCGGTGCGCTTTGTGCATGCGCGCTGTCTCGATCACTGGCGGCTGGAGAGCGCGAAGCGCAACCTCGCCAACGTGAACCACTGCGAAATATGCAAGATGCCCTTCACGGTGAACATCCAGCGCTCGACGCTGTTCTGGGAGAGCTCGCAGCACATCCTGCGCGGTGTCTGCCTCTTCTTCACCTGTTTCGTGGTGGTGGTGCTGACCACGATGCTCACGCACGGCATCTTCGGTGAGCTTTCCTGCCTCGCGTACTATCACGAAGTCGCGTACAGCACGATGTTTCGCTTCGAGGGCCTGTCTCTCTCCCTGTTCGTCTACGGTCTTGCCGTGCTGCTCGTCTTGCTGGGCAATTTGATCGTTTACAGCTGGTTCCGCAGCCGCCCTGAGGTAGAGGAGTACGTGGCGGAGATGCACACCATCCCGCCCTTCTACTCCCGCCACAACATGATTCTGATTGTGCTCGTGTGTCTGCTGCTGCTTGCACAGGTGCACGCGATCGGCTTCCTGTTGAAGTACTTTCTGTACCACACGAGCCAGATTGTGTGGAGCTGGGAGACGTCGCCGCTCGTGGGCGGCATCCTCTTCGCCCTTTTCACCATCTGCAGCATTACGGTGTGCAGCTGGGGACGGCAGATGTACTTCCTGCACGTGGCGAGCCGCGGCAACGGACTGCATCCGGCGGAGGACGTGGTGGTTGAAGCGATGAGGAATGACAACAACGGCGATGATGCCGCAGCGCCGACTGCGCCGGCAAACGCACCTCCTGTGGGGCTGAACTATCACCCTTCTCACGCGCCGTCATTGCCGCAGCAGGCGACCGACAATAATAATGCGACGCCAACTTCCTTCTGGGCGGCGGTAGAGCAGAATCTCGTGCTAGGAAGTGCCTCGCCACCTCAGGAAGAGCGGAGTCTGCTACCCAGCTCTCCCTTACCCTTTCTTCGGGCGGAAGAAACGCCGCAGCCACCCGATCAGGATGATACATACACGCGTTACTTCGAAGTGCCGCCGGAGCAGCGTGTCATTCGGGCCTTCGAGTACTGCCCGCCGACTCGCCGAATGCCGAAGTGACTGAGCTCTCGTCCTCTTATCTCATCTTTTTTTTTTCCTCCGGACACGCTGTTAGCGCGTTGTAAAGCGAGAAGAAAATCGCTATGACTTCTTTTGATTTTAAAAATAGATGCATTCATTCTCCGTTTCATGCTATCGCTCCTTCTCATTGTAAAGGTTTTGTTAATCGCTTTGGTATTCATATATTGTGCTTTGGGGGAGCTCTGCTGGTCAGTGGAAGTCTTTTTGTGAGAGTTTTCCGCACTCTGTCCCATGCGAGGTGTAGAACGCATTTCGGCCACATTGCGATGAATCGCAGATGACGCTGCTTCTCCGCTCATTGAAAGTTCCTTGAGTACAGTGAGTTGAAAGGTCCTTTCCTTTTTCATTGTGTTTTTGTTCGTATTATTATTTCGGCTGAGAGTGCCTTCGTGTAGCTCTAAGAATAAAGGTGCCTTCGGTTTATTCATTTTCTTTTGCTGTTGTGCGGTAGCAGTGTTTTATCGCTTTGGCGTTGTCTTTCTTCGTAGTCTCGATTCATGTATCTTGGCTGTTTGTGACAGGAGTTTTTGTTGTTAGTTGTGGGTCGTACGTTTGCTGCTCGTCGTGTTAGGGCGGCATACATCACGTATCTTTTGTTTTACTGCTTTCACTGCCTTGATATGTTGTTGATTTGTTTGGTGATTTCCCCTTTACTTTTGTCTGCGAGTTTTTGTTCGTCTGTCGCTACTTCCATTTTTATCTCTTTTACTGCCTCTGTTGCGAGCTGTCAAATACTGTGTTGTTGCTATCACATGTCTTTCTTTCTTTAGTGGAGTGGAGTGCCGTTCATCTGCTCGGCAAGTACTCACTATCAGTGCGCATACCCGCGATTTACAATACGTAGATGTGATAGTGTTTGAAAAAATGGGAAATATATATATTTGGATGGCATAGCGCTTACAGTTTCTTTTCTTCTATATTCTTTTTTATTTAAAGGAGATTACGACTGGTTTATATTTTATCTTTCGTTCTCAGCTTTAGTTCTTCCTATTTAACTATTTACTTATTTAGACTAAAAGATGCGGTCTGCGCCGCGTGTTGGCGAACCGTGCCTCCCTAGTTATTATACCTCGTGTTTGTCTTGCTTTGTTTCAGCTTTCTGCTTCCTGACGTTTGACTCTTTCTATATATACGACTTCGCTTCTTATCAGTACTATTGCTATTATTATCACTATTATTATCGGTGTTATGAATCGGCTACCAGACAAATTGTTGGCCTGTGCACGTTCGCGGAGACACGTACTTATATTCCAGCCGCACACCGAAGACCCCAGCCGTCAATGATCATCCACCAACGTCGATCTCGGTGCTGTTGATGTGCTGTTGTTGTTGTGCTGCCTCTTTGTGTGACCGCTCGGCGCAATACCCTTTTCATTTTCCCTTCTCCTTTTTTTCTGGTTGTGATTCATGTTTTTGATATATTTTGGCGAGTGCTTTGCTTTTCAATGTGCTATTCATTTTTCCGGGCCGTGTGGCTTACACTCCCGCCTTCCGTGCACATGGCATGCGAAGAAACCTATTCAAAACACACACACATATATATCAATGAGGTGCGCGCCATGTGGGTGCATCGATGAAGACTGCCGTTAAATATGATGAGGTGAAGGGTTTTACGTAGCGGCTCTTCTTGATGGATCACTTCGCCCTGTGCGTCCGCGTGTCGCTTCCACGGCATCTTCCTTTCTTGTGAAGGCGGTTCGTGAGACACCAAGATGGGCGCTTAGCACGCCTCAAAAAGTGCTCTGCTGTTGTTGTATCAGAAATGCATCGTTTGCCGTTAGAGTGGTTTTATATGAAGGACTACTGACGGCAAGGTAACGTTCTCCGACCTTCCTCTCTGACAGCGCGGTGTTGCACAGCTGCGTTTTCTGGTTCTTTTACCTCCTCCTCTTTGGTAGCGTGCCGCTCCCTCCTGGAGAGGGGGCGGGTGTATCTCCCTCAACCTTGCATCTCCTCTCCATTGCTCTTGTCTCTTCTCCTGCTCATCTCTGTTTTGGTCTCCGTGCTCCCCCAACGACTCATCATTGTCGCTCACGATTCATGCTCTCCTCTTTCATCAACACTTGGCCTCAGAAAGGAGTTGGTGTTGATCAGGCGTATCCGAATTGTGCGTCTCTTTCGTTGCTTTCTTTGCTGCTTCTTTAGTGTTGAAGAGGCACGAGTTGAGGGTTTTTTTTTCTCGAGGACAAAACGAGGAGAAGCCGTGCCTGAAAATCTAAATTCTGTGAAGCGCTGCGACCGACTCGTTTACGAAGCCGCAGCCATCGCATTTTTTTTTTCTAACGTGGATTAAAACTCCAAATGTATTTGCTTACGTTGCTGTCTTTGTAAGCTGCTCTGCTTTCCTCTTTCCTCCTTGTTTTTCCCTTTCTCTTTTTATTTTCCTTTGCTTGTGCATTTCGAGTTAGCAGCAAGTGAGGAGCTGGCCAACGGTGTTAGCTCAGCGCATAATTCTTGTTTACTCCCCTGTATATACGTACATATATATATTAACACATCTGCCTAACACTTTATATTTTCCTCGTTCAACCTTTGTATCTTTTGTACTCCGTAGCTGCTGCTGTAGTTTTCCTTTCTGATTCTTTTTTTTACTGTCTTCACTTCACTTTCTTGCCCTTTCTCTGTGTAAGTCTCTCAGATATATTTATTACGGTCTTACGCAGTTGCTTTTGACTTGAATAGTCTGTGGCGTTCATTTTATTATTATTATTATTATCCTCTACTTTAACTAATTTTCTATTTATTATCATGGAGGACGACGCAGAAAGCGTGGTGGCCGTGTCCAGTGCGTATCCGTGGCACGCTGGTGGATTACCCTCCTTCGCAGCCATCAACTCGTCAGCCACGACGGCGGAGTCCACACAGTCCCATCGCGGCCTGACGGACTCCGATCGATACCCCCAGCAGCAGCAACAGGCTCCGCTCACTCTCCAATACCCACCGGAGATCAAACGCAGGCTCCAACCCGACCGCTGCAAAGAGGTCTTGGATGGCGCCCTCAACGCGCACCGGCAGCGACGACTGCAGATAGTGGACGATGCTGGCGGGGCCAACCTTGGACGCATGTCGCGACGGCGCAAAACTTCGCAGTACGCCGGGATCGTCCCCTCCTCTCGCGTCTCCAAGCGTCCGCTGGCCCTGGCGGATTCGCAGCTGTACCGAAAGCGGTCCTTAAAGAAGGCGGAAGCCGCCGTGGCGGCAACGGAGGTGAACTCGGCGTCGAACGTCTCTCCCCCGGCTGCACAGCTAAATGGGTCGCCGAGAGCACTGCGTGGACACGCACCCACGCCGCCAAATTCGAAGGCGCAGAGACGTCAATCGTCACTGCGGATCTCGTCCTCCCTTACCCCTTCCGCACACTCCCCACGGCATGCGTCGCCGTCTCTTTCGTCGCCTCGCATTTCAGAGTCGGGTGAACGGACGCTTCGTGACGTGGAGGGACACCCACACAAAGACGGGCAGAAAGCGCCGTCAGCAGCTTCAAGGGGGTCCTCCGCGGTTGACCTGCACACGCGCGATGTCCTGCCTCCCATCCCACAGCAGAAAACACCACAGGAACAAAACCTCCTCCCGCAGAAGCAGCAGCAGCAACAGGAACAGAAGGATATTCTTTGTGGTTTGCTGGCACATTCAGAGCCTCTTTGCAGCACAAGCTTATCAGATGTCGTCTCACCGCTGCATATCACGCCGTCCGCAGCGTCCGTGCAGCCGGCACTCGCGTCCCAGAACGCAAAAGGAGGCGGCCATCCGCTGATGACATCGCCGTGTCATCCGCAGCGCCAGCAGTGGCTGCCGTCGTTCAGACGCATCAACTCCGCTGAAAGTCTGAACATAACGGATGAGGACGGACGCCCCGCCTCACTCGGAAAGAAGAAACGGTCGGAGTCACGCGTGTCCATCTGTGCCGCGGCGGCAAGGGAGGAGCCAGACGCCGCAGGACATCGCCCGATGCGTCCGGCGAGCTCCTCGAAGACGCTCTCCATTGTGTGGGTGAAGCGTCCGCGCGATGCGTCCTCGGCGTCGCACCGGGTGCTGCAGCGGATGGGGCAGCATCAGCGGAAACTGGAAAACGATCGACGCGACAAGCGGACGCAGTGGAAGCTGCGGCCGCCGTCGTCGTTGCTGCGGCAGGCGCGCAAGAAGCGTGCGTCTGGGCAGCAGCAACATCAGCAGTACCAACCGCAGTACCAGCAACGTCGGAGGCGGTCGAGACAAAGGCGTGACTCGGAGACACTGCGAGAGTATGACTCTTCCAACGCAACAGAGGTGTTCGAAGAAAGCGACGGCAGCGCCTACGAGGACGTCCCTTATCTTCAACACGAGCAACTGCTGGCGGCGATGCGGGCGGAAGCCAACCGTCCCCGTCGCACAGTGGAGGCCGTCCTGGCGCGTCACGACGTGGCCGTCGGAAAGTCAACCCAGCACACGCCGCAGCTGCCCCACGCCACAGCAGGAGCCTCCAAAAACCCCTCCCGGCCACCACCGCCGCCCGCCTGGTCCTCCACAGACTCCATTGGAGCGGACACCCCTCCACGTGGGCACCGTGTCAGCCTCGGCGTGCAGACAGCTGCGCGCACGCACCACGATCGTAGCGGCGACGTAAAGGGCGGCCCCACGGCCCGTTCTTCCCCTTCGTCTCCTTCCTCTCCCCACCGGCGTCTGCTCCCACCCCCGTCTCCACCTGATGATAAGAGCACCGCGCGACGCCAGACTCATCCTGCACCCTCCAAGTCCTCCGCATCCCACGTGGCAGGAAACACGGCCGAAGTGGAAAAGCTCGCCCCGGTGGTGGCAGACCACCGCAACGATGACGGCAAGCACAATCGCAACAGCGGCGGCGACGGCCGACGTACTTTGTGCGCCGCGTCCACCCAGACGCCTGGCGAGGAGCGCGACGTGTTCGGCCACGGCGCCCAGACAAAGACGCAGGCGGGAGCCGTTGCGAAAAAGTCTCCTATCGTTGCGGGTGAGGAAGAGGCGGGGAAGAAAAGAAAACAAACGCGCGCTGGACCGCAGAGTGCGCCGTCTGTGTCGCCGCCACAGCTGCAGCCGTCGCTGCCGGTGACACGTCGCGCACCTTCGAAGCAGACAAACGGCAGTGCGAAGGGAGCAAAGGCGCCTCGCCACGCAGGTACGACCACCGTTGCGCTACCGCCGCTGACAGCGGGATCACAGCCACCACAACCGCGGCGTCCTCCACTCCCACCACTCCCTCCCCCGACTCGGCAGCAGCAGCTGCGACGGCGGTCGATGAACCGTCAGCAGTTGTCCTACGTCTTTGCGCCGTACAAGGCAGGCATGCCCACTTCGCCAGGTGGGCGAGTGCGCTACAATGCAGCGATCGAAGTACATCATCACCGCCACAGCGTACGACCCCAACTCGGGCAGTCAAACGAGAAGAAGGAAAGGACGTCACTGCAACTGCAACTGCACGATCGTGCACCAGCGGAGAAGCCGATCGACTACACGGCACTGACGAACCAATTTGACCCCTTGAACTACCTGCTGGGCCGCCACGGCTTCTGGGGCGAGTCGACCACACGATGAGCCTGACGGGGAGGCGGCAGCATGGAGCGCCTCGCGCGACGGATGTGAGTCAATTCCTTTAATGGTTTTCAACACACAGAGAGACATCAAAAATGAGTTTACGGTGGAGTGCTGGGAAGCGCATGTAGAAGAAAAATACCACACACACACACACACACACACACACGTGGAAACAAGGTATATGTAACACGTGCTTCTAATATCTTTGTTGTTGTTGTTGTTTTGTGAAGCGCTCTTTTCCTTGCTTTCTTTTTTCTTATGACCGCAACGTGTGATTACTATTCAGACGTGCATATGAGCACGGAGGTCCCCCTGTTGGAGGCAGCGAATTGAGCCGCTCATGTGTGCACCATGTATACGTTAAAACCGAAGAATCGAGAAAAAAAAACGGAAAACGTGCGCCTCGTTTGGCGATTTCCTCTCAAACCGAAAAAAGGAAAGCGGGAGGACCCATTTTTTCCTTCCTTCCCTGATCAGTCGTCTTTCGATAGATCAGCCAACCGAATCTACGTCTGTACGACGGTCGAGTGGTCATTCTTTTGTTATTATTATTATCATTTAAGGAATTAGTATCAAACGTTGTTGTTTTCCTATTATTCTCAGATATTTTAGGTTTTCCTGTTTGGCTTCTTGCGCTTCTCCTTCCGTCTTTAAAAATCGCCTCTCTTCCCCCTCCACCTTTTTCTTTCATAAACACATATTCAATATTTGTCTTCACTACTCTCTTTCTTTTCTTCTTTCCATCGCACTCCCAATGCAAAAACACCACCACTTCGAACTCAGCAATCGCGTTTACACATACACGTGTAGCATCCCCTCTTCTCTTGATTTTCTCTCTCTCTCTCCTGTTGCACGTATTGGAGCAGCCATGCAGATCTTCGTGAAGACGCTGACCGGCAAGACGATCGCGCTGGAGGTCGAGGCCAGCGACACGATCGAGAACGTGAAGGCGAAGATTCAGGACAAGGAGGGCATCCCGCCGGACCAGCAGCGCCTGATCTTCGCCGGCAAGCAGCTGGAGGAGGGCCGCACGCTCGCGGACTACAACATCCAGAAGGAGTCTACGCTGCACCTCGTGCTGCGCCTGCGCGGCGGCATCATGGAGCCAACTCTGGTCGCCCTGGCGAAGAAGTACAACTGGGAGAAGAAGGTGTGCCGCCGCTGCTACGCCCGCCTGCCGGTGCGTGCGACGAACTGCCGCAAGAAGGCGTGCGGTCATTGCTCCAACCTCCGCATGAAGAAGAAGCTGCGCTAAGCGACATAGAAGTGCGTACACGCACCCCTCTCACGCAGTGCGCAACCTCCTCTCTTTCTCTCTATCCCCCTTTCCATCGTGTTGAGGGTGACTCGGCGCTTTGCGCACTGCGGTGAAGGCTTCTCTATTCGACTTCGCAGACTACGCACGTCCTTGCCTTAGGGCGACTCACTTTGCGGCTAGATGTTTTGTTGTTGTTAATCTGTTCTCTCCCCTGAAACGTTTTAAGCGGGTGGGTTTCTGCGAAGGGTGCGGCGGTGCGACTTCTGTGTTTACGTGTGCGATTTCGTTTCCCTGATTTCATTTCCTCCTTTTAAAAGGAAAACTAAAAAGAAAGCGACAGTATGAAAAGAAGCTTTGGAAGCACGTGTGAAACGGTATTCGATGAAAGCCTGTGTGGCCTCTGCGCTGCACTTTGGAGTGGGGTGAGCTGATCTTCGTCTTCGGTTTTCAACAACAGGAGTCGGAAGACCACAGAACAACGGAAGGTGAAGTTCGACGCGACGCAATATCTGTGCTGCTGTCAAAAACATCTTTCGCGCATTTCGAAAGGAGGGCTTCTCAGTCGCCCTTTTTTTAAAGGTCCGTTCACTGTTACGATCATCTCCCGCCCCTTATCTCGATCCATCTCTCTTTGTGCATCTGCTCTTCCCTGTCCTCTCGTGATGGGCATCTCTCTTAAGGCTCAGTAGATATTTCCTCTTTGTTTTCTCTATCGCCGCATTAATTGAAAACATATATTCTGCGTTCTTTTATCATCAAGACGGTAACGCGCTACCAATTTATTCTATCTACTTATTGATTTACCTGTTGTATCTTCTTCTTTATTTTCTACCATTCCCTCTCTCAACGCTCTTCGACATGTCGGTGGACTGGGCGAAGGTGAAGCAGGAGGTGGCGCAGGAGTGGGACGCGTCGATCGTGCCGGCGCTCTCAGCCTACATTGCGGTGCCGAACCAGAGCCCGCAATTCGATCCTGAGTGGGCGACCAACGGACTGCAAGAGAAGGCGTTCCACATCCTGATTGAGTGGGTGAAGTCGCAGAAGGTGCAGGGGCTGACCTACGAGTACATGACGAGCGAGGGCCGCGCGCCCTTCCTGCTGATTGAGATCGCGGGCACCGAGCCGACCAAGAACACGGTGCTCATGTACGGGCACATGGACAAGCAGCCGCCGCTGCGTCCGTGGGCGGAGGGCCTCGACCCGCACAAGGCGGTCTTGCGCGACGGCAAGCTGTACGGCCGCGGCGGCGCGGATGACGGGTACGCGATCTTCAGCGCGGTGACGTCCATCTCCGCCCTGCAGCGCCACGGCATCCCGCACGGCCGCATCATCATTACGATTGAGGCGGCGGAGGAGTCCGGCAGCCCCGGTCTGGATCACTACATGGCGGTGTGCAAGGAGCGCATCGGCAATGTCGATCTGATGGTGTGCCTCGACAGCGGCGCCATGAACTACGACCAGGTCTGGCTGACCACCTCGTTGCGCGGGATTGCGATTGGCGAACTGACGGTGCAGACGCTGACGGAGGGCATGCACAGCGGCGTCGCCGGCGGCGTGGTGCCGGACACCTTCCGCATCACCCGCGAGCTGCTGAACCGCATCGAGGACGCGAAGACCGGCGAGGTGCTGCTCCCCGAGGCGTACTGCGCGATCCCCGCCCACGCAGCGAAGGCGGCGGAGGTGATGGCGACGGTGCCCTTCAAGGAGCAGTTCCCGATGGCGCCTGGCGTGGCGACGGTCGAAGGCGACAACGTGGAGCTGGCGCTGAAGATCTTCTGGAAGCCGAGCCTGACGGTGGTGGGCGCGAACCTGCCGGAGCCGCAGGTGGCTGGCAACGTGATTCGGACGCACACGACGGTGAAGCTGTCCCTGCGGCTGCCGCCCCTCGTCGACGCGGCGGCGGCGCTGGCGGCGATGAAGCGGGTGCTGGAGGCGGACCCGCCGTACGGCGCGAAGGTGACCCTCGCTCCCAAAGGGGCGGGCAACGGGTGCGCGACGCCGGAGTTGACGCCGTGGATGGAGACGGCGCTGCGGGAGGGCAGCACGGATGCGTTTGGCAACACCTTCGCGATGCAAGGCATGGGGGGTGGGATCCCCTTCATTGGCATGCTCATCGAGCAGTACCCGGAGGCGCAGTTTGTGGTGACGGGTGTGCTGGGCCCACAGAGCAATGCGCACGGTCCGAACGAGTTCCTGCACGTCCCCTACGCGAAGGGCCTGACGTACAGCGTTGCCCGGGTGGTGGCGGAGCACTTCCACCACACCCCCAAGTAAGGTTCTTTTGTTTTCCTTCCCCGGTGTTGGAGAAACTGGTTTCAAAAAGAAGGTTTTGCGTTTCTCTATTTCTTTTGAGGTTCTGTGATCGTCTTTCTTCTTTATTTACTTCTGTTATTGTTTAAGTGCGGGAGCGGTTGGGGGATTTGGTGAGCCGCCGGCGGTTTAGAAGCGACAGACTACCAACGCTTCCACTTCCTTCTCCCGTGCGCCAGCTCTCGGGGGTGATGTCATCAAAGCAAGCTTCTCTCTTCTTCTTCTTTTTTTGCATTGGAGGCCATCCCCACACACGCATTATCTCTGCACTGCGGTATCGAGCTTATCTGTAATTAATTCTTCTCAAACAAACTATATTATGCATCTTATCGAACACGCTATATATAAAGAAAGTGGAAGGACAGCGCTACTATTAAAGGTGCGGGACTCTCGAACAACTCGATGGGGATCCATATGCATCGCGACGCATGCCAAGCATATAACCGGGGCTACTCTGCCGCTTTTATTTGGCGAAGATTGTTGGCGGTAATGTTCAGAGTGTGTGGTAACTATCTTTTTTATTACTAGAAAAAGGTGGTATGGCTTTCCAACACAAGCCGGTTACCTCTCGAGTGACATTTGTCGTTGTTGGGTGGTCATTGAAGCCCGATGCTTCCTCAAGCTCTCAAATCCTTTACACCTTCCCTTGATTTCCCTTTCCTTTCTCCACATCAAACATGAGCGGCTATTGCCTTCATTAGCTGCACAAAGAGGAACGCGCACTTGCGCTCCAGTTTAGTTTCTTCCTAGCAGCCTTCACGAGTCAAACTTGGATGCGCGAGCCGCAAAGGCAGATGCAATGTCTCTTGCCCGTCAGTCGCATCTAGGATTGCACAGTCAGCGAATTAATTTACGTGGAAGGAGTCTCTCATAGTCGCTTGTGTGTGTACGTGTGTCCGTTCAGCGTGTGCATCATCACTGTGCACCGGAGGGAATAAAGGGGAGAGAGACAAAGAAGGAGCATACGCGGTGATTCCTGTTTTTTTCTCTTTTCTTCTCCGTCTCTTACTCAAGCCAGTTTCTTTCAGTCAAGGGTGTGCCCCAGGTATACCACCGTTCAGCGTTGTACGCGTCTGATCGAATCTGGAGCAGTTCCGTTGCTTACCGCGCCACTCTGCTTCTTCTTCGTTTGTTTGTTTTCTTTCTTTCATTGTGAGTGTCTCGCAGCTAAGTCGCCTCTCTGCTTCTAACGGGATTTCTTTTCCATTGTTTGTTTATCTTTGGTACTTCGACGCTAGCCACCGGCCGCTACCGCGACGCCAGCATGAGCGCCAACACCTTTGTGTCCTACGCCATCTTAGCCTTGGAAGCGCTAGTTGGGTTCTGTGTTTGCCTTGCCTTCATGAAACGCAGCCATCGCCGTTATGCAGTAGAAGAGACGGAGGCGGATGACACAGCTGCGCATGGCACAACTCTCCCACGCAGCAGCAGCAGCACTGCTCCGGCCACAGCAGGCGATGCGGCGGCCGCCACGGTGCTCTACACAGCTGCCACGGCTCGACATCGACGCAGTCAGGCGAATTTTGCGTCGTACTTCCCCGCAGCGGAGCTTCGACAAGCGGTGGTAGACGGAAGCGTGGTGGCGGAAGTGAAAGGCGTGAGAGAAGAGGCGGAGGCGCAGAAGGACAGCGATAAAGACGCACCCTACGGAAAGGCGACCTACATCCACCGTCCGCGCAGTACAGCATCCAAGTGAAAGCCGCTCCAACCCGCTGTCTCTCTCTCTCTCTCTCTCTCTTGAAGGAGCGGTGAAGGTAAACTGCTAACACGCCGTGCTGAGTCGCTTGTCTCCTTGCACTCCGTGCGCTTTCTACGTGGGCGTATTTTTCTCTCTCTCTTGTCACCGCTTGAAAATAGGGTGATAAAACTGCGATATTCCTTTCTCAGCTCAAAACGTAATTCCCGATGAGTCGTTTATATTTATTAGTTTTATTGGCCGTCTTTGCAGGTGCAACTCTGCCTCACCCACACACACACACACACCGACGCCGCACACGCTCACGAAACGTGAGACGCCTCTTGCAGAGTCTGTACTCCTGTGTGGATGTCCGTGTGGACAGACAAAACGTAGTTGCATTCCAAGTTTTCCTCACTCTGTTTTTTCCCCTTTCATCTTCAAGTTTCTCTATTTACATCTTCATATCCGCTTTTTCAATCATACTGCCAAACAACTGAAAGCGGTGACGAGTATTTTGGGAGCTTCATTGGGTGAGGCAACGGTGTCTTTCTTAATGCGAAGGCGTATTACTACTTCCCACACAGAAGGACATCGTTATCGATACGGCTTCGAAAAAAAGGCAGAGGCATCTGATCTCTAGTCCAGTTGCCGCATTCAGCTACAGGAAAGGAATGCTTCAATCTTGCGCGCCGTAGCAACGGCAAGGTGCATGCTGGACCGTTGCCAATCGAATACTTCTCTGTCCGCACTCCTCCTCTTCTTGCTCTCTCTCCTCTCTCTTTTTCTTTCTTTTACAACTCCTCTGATGTCGTCGTGGTTTCTACTATTCCTCTTATAATTACTCCTGCATTTGTCGTTCAAGTATTCATCGCTGCGAAGCCGCAGAAAAAGTATCGTTGGGTGTTTTGAATTTGCGCCGCAGGAGGTGAGGCTCGATTCCCGCTCCAACCGCCTCTAATCGTTTGTCAGTTCGGTCTGCTTGTGTTCCTTTGTGTGTTTTCAATTCGTTTCTTAACGCACTCTTTACTGCTCCCTTCTCTTCTGCGCGTTGGTGCTTTCTCGTTGGGCGAAGAGCCGCATCTGGTCTGCTTATACGTGGTACGGCTATGTGTTTCTGCTGGCTGATAGGACTGGGACTTCTTCTTTTTTTCTTTGAAAATGAGCAGCTACTACCTATTCGCTCTCGTTATCATCGTTGTGGTCCTGGTATGCATTTCATGCTGCATAGGTCTGCATGTGCGTCGACGACGGATGATGGAGGCCGTTGATGCAGAGCCGCCACACGTACAGTCTGTCGGTCAAGGAAACAGTGCCCACTACAACAACAACAACAACGGCCCTGCATTCATGCAAGGCCCAGGGCAGGGCGGGAATAACGGCAACGTGTATTATCAACAGCAGCAACCTCCACAGGTGGGCGCGACCAGCTGGTCAGACCCTGGCATGTACTACCCCACCAGCAACCCTCAGAACAACACCGGTAATCAGCCTGGCGCACAGCCCCTCCAGGCAACGGTGCTCTACGCCGCTCCGCCTGGTTCACAGGCTCCGAACATCGACTTCGGTCATTACTTTCCAGAGGTGCGCGTGGTGAATGGGCCGGGGGGCAGCGGAAACGGTGTAAACAACAGCAACGGAGGCGGCGCGTGTGAGGTTACGTCACCGTCAGATTTATCACCGTACGGGGAAGCCGATTACGTTTCTCGCCCACCTCAGCCGCAGCTTTCACAGACACAACGACCAACCTCAGGTGTGTCCCCGCTGTCTGTGCCGCCTGCTCCTCTCGGTGAGGCTTCGCTTCCGCCGCCGCAGTACCCGGCACTGTCGGGGCAGCCTCGCGGGGGCGATAACTTAGGTAAAGGGCCTGTCTAAGAAAAGAGAAGGGGTTCGACTAAGTTATTTTCCGCTTTGCATTTGTACTTGAAAGCGCACCACATGTGTGTCTGTGTGTGTGTGTGCCTGTTCCTATCGTAGGCACATGGACCATGCGTCTCGTGGAGGCGATGCGTATATAGAGCTCGTCATTTGCGTCCGGTGCCTGCTGAAATGATGAAAGCCGGTGTTGTATATGCTGCTTCGTTACGTTGTATATGGTGCGATGTTTGAGGTTCGTGTGCTTCTCATGGGGAGCAATGGGAAGTCGGTACCTGTACGTGGAGCTGAGAAGTGCGTGTGGGATGCAACAGCCGTGATGGCACGGATGATTATCGCCGGCAGCTCTACGTGTTTTTTTCTTCTTTCTGTGTACATCTAGTTTAAATTGCTCTGCAGCCTCGTCTCACCATCGAAGCTCTTCTTTTCCCTTTGGGAGCCCTTCTATTTCCAACGATGTCGTGATGAACTGTACTGATATTATTATTATTGTTTTGCCGTATTATATTATCCGTTTGATGTTTTCATTTTTTTCTGTCTTTTTGCGGAGGACAAAAAAACAAAGGAAGCCACACCTGCCTCTATGAAAAGAAAGGAGGGCGCCGTAAATGGATCTTCTGCTGTTGTGGCCTTTTTTGTCTCTTTGCCGGAATGGGTCTAGTGCTTGCTGTTTCCCTTGCTGAACTACAGCAAATGGCCAACAGCAGTTACGCGCCCTTCTGCAGCCCGCCTTCATGGCGAGTTGCAATGAAGTAAAAGCCATGATTTCTGCTTCTAGCATGAACGTCTCAGACAAGGAGAGTCGCTACGGAATCTGTTCTCTGTGCCTTTACTTCGTTCTCTTTCTTTTCTTTCTTCTGCATTTTCTCGATCTGCTTTTTCGTAGCTCAAGTCTGTCTTGATGCTCTTCTCTTTCTTCACCTTTATTGTGTCATATTCCATACCATCATCGCTTCTACGTGCGTAAACTCAAGGTACACTCCTGCTTCTCTGTATTATTTTCCGTTTTTTTTTTCTGCTTTCTTCTTTCCTTCTCTTGCTGTTATTATTATTATTATTTACTGTTTGAATTCATACCGCTGTTTACTTTCAGCTTTGTCACTTCTCAGACAGCGTTCTACGTTCCTTAGAGAACTCCGTACGCCTTATTATTTTGTTTTCCTATCTTTTTCGATCGCTCTTGCAGTGTGGATCTCTGCAGCTGGTTTTTTTTTTTGGCATTCTCTGCTCCTTTCGTTTCTTCTCTTCTCTATATCCCCCTTCTCTGTTGCAGTGGAGCGGATCGCGGTGGAATGAACGTCCACGTGCCTGAGTGAATTAGTGCTAGAAGGTGAAAACGGCTCTCTCTTATATATATATTCGTGAAGGGATAATGCCATTCACACGGCAATGGGCTACTCGCCGGACATCCCGTACCTCATCTGGGCCGCTGTCTGCGTCATTGTCATCGTCGTCATCATCATCTTTTCCATCATGCAAATAAAGAAGTACTTCCAGCAATCGAGAGACAACGGCGCAAGCACGATGGTCGATGTCACCGTGCTGCCAGCCACCGTGTTGGTGAACAGCGTAAGTGACACGAATACCGCTACACAATACACGGCTGCACTGGCGGCCGTCGGGGACGACTACGCGTACGCGGCGGTTCAGCCGAGTAGTCAGGAGCAGCACGCCTGGTACGTCTCGAACCACATGTACACGACACACCGACGTGAAGGGCAGCAGCTGCCGCACAGCGCAACGAATGCCGCGGGTAACACCGCAGAAGCGGCACCGCCGTCTTCCTCTGCAGCGCAACCCACCTTTACGCAAAGAGTCAGAGGGGAAGGAGGAGAACACGAAGAAGAGGGTGGCGATGACGACGGCTCTCCCTTGGGAGCCAATCCCCTACGCCCCATAAACGACCATGGAGACACCGAAAGATACGTCGCAAGCACCGTAAGGGGAATGAGCTCCGTGGCCGCCTCCCCACCCGCGTTGGATGCACGCTACTTCGATGCGCTACACACATTTGTATCGCAGCAGAGCAGCCTGGCTTCTCCCCCACGCCTGCCCGCGAGTCTCCCTGTCGCGGCGAATCCCGTGCCGCTCGGAGCGTCGCACATGAATCCTCTCTCCCCCCTGAGTCTCCGTCCGAATGAGGGCAACGGGCAAGCCGCAACGACGACAGCAGCAGCTGCCATAGTAGCACCGAGCACTGCAGAGGGGCACGGAAGTGATCTGCCGCACAGCAGTGTGACGCCTCCGCACCCCTCCTCTCCCCTTCGTTTTGCACTGTTGTGGGTGCGAGACCGTCAAAGAGGCCGATCGGATGTTCGTAATAGCGAGGTCCCCACAGAGGTGGTCGCCGAGGTGGTGGATGGGTACTGCTGTGATGAGCAAGGGCGTCGTCTCACGGTGCAACAGGCCGAGGAACTCTATGGCGGGGCGGTGTACCTGCCCCGTGCGAGCTCACTCGTGATGTTGCTTGCGGACGATGAAGATGACGGTGACGGTGATAATGGTGGAGATGATGACGCAAAAAGTGAGCGGAGCAGCGGCTCTGTTTTTTCGCTGTATCAGCTAACTCCCGAAGCGAGCGATGAGGTGAAGCAGCACGTGGTTTCGTGAGGAAGACATCGTTTCGCTTCTGTGGCTGTCGTTCTTTCCGAGACCTATTTATGGTAAGGATGCTTTCCTTTATCTTTGTTTTTTGGTTTCTTGATCGGCTGCGGAGGCGCCTCTTTCCTCAGAACGAAAACTTTTTTTTTCTGAACTTCTCCCTTTTTTTCTCTTTCTCTTGTTGATGAAGAGTCCCACGATGTTTTTCAATGAGGCGCATCCTCTTGGGGGTTTTTCCTTTTAAGTTGAGATCTTTTTAAAAAAAAAAACACCTAGCTGCTCCTTTTTTCTTTCTTCTCCTTTCCGGTCAAATTCATCTTCTTGTGCTATGATTATTTTTGTGGTGATAGCTGCTCTTCCGTCAGGGCTGTGTGATGCTCTTTTCGTCGTTTAGTGGTGCCGCTGACTCGCATGGCATGGAGCTGCTTTCCTCTGCGGAGGCTGCCTGCGGTGGTCACGTTCGTTGAAAGGAAAGCAAAACCCCGAACTTTTTTTGTATTTAAACTATATAAAATAAACAGTTCACCCGCACTACGGTGCCCATGGGGATTCCATTACGGATTCTCGCCTTCCTCAGGCTGCTTGTAATCCTCGCAACATATTTTTGCTCCTCCCTCCATGTCTCTCTTTCTCTCTTTCTCTCTTCTTATGGATAGACGGACCTGACCTCGCAGTAAAAGGCCTAAGCTTTCTAAAAAGAAAAAGGTCTTGTATGACGCACTAGTCGCTGTGCTTTTTCAACTGACGTATTTAGGCGTCAGCATCTCAACAATAAAGTACCACTATACCGTGTATTACCGCGCGTATTTCGTTAACATCATCATCATCGCCGCCGCCTTGTGGGTACTCTCCCACTCGCCATCTTTCGAAAAGGGAAAGTGGAGGAGAGAAGACGTCGTCATCCGCAACGGAAGTTATTGGGAATTGCATTTCTGCCCTCTGCGTCATCGTCGTCGTTTTCTGCTGGTGCCGCCTCAAAAAAGAAAAAGTAAAGAAAAAACTTGTGTGATGCTCCTTATGATACAGTAGTACTGTTATCATGTAGCGTCTACGGAGCTCACTAACCCGCTCATCACCACCACCAACTCCTCGATGGAGTACTCCCTCTTCGCCCTCCTCGCTATTCTCCTCGTCATCCCTGTTGTGCTCCTTGTCATTTACTTACGCGGTCGGGCGGAGCGACGGTCCCGCCGCGACAACCGCCGCCGCCTGAACGATCTCGTTGAGTTCTATCGGGCACGTCGGGCACAGCAGTGGGCCGCGCTGTCCGCCGATGGCGTGCCGGGCATTGTCCTGCGGAACGCAGTGGACGCATCGGTAGATCCGCTGCGTCGCGCCCCTCCGTCGACCTTTGCGGAGGCCGCGCCAGGAAATTGGAGTGGCGTGAGCGGAGGAAGCTACGAGGGAGATGCTACCAACATGAATAATATCGGACAAGATTCTCGTGGAGAGGCGTTGGAGGCGGGTACGCCGCCGCCGTTGCAGCAGCAGCAGCGACGTGCCTCGCCGTCTCCGTCGATGCAACAGTCTGTGGAGGTGCACGTACCCTACGGTGGCGGCGATGCCCGCGGAAGACGTGCAGGTGATCGGAGCAACAACGACCGCCCCACGGAAGAGGAAGACGAGAATCATGTTAGCGGTGTGATGGGCAAACTACTGGCAATGGAGAGCGATGCCGCTGATGCGATGCCGACCATCGTGGAGTACGGCGAGGCGGCCTATCTTCCTCGCTCTTTGTCCAACAAGAGTAGTCGACAACTTTCGGTCTCCTCGGTGTTCGTGGAGAGTGAATGCGCCGTGGAGTCTGCGTGTGATTCGCACCGTCCCTTGACGCCGTCTGAAGATCACGTCGGGCTCTGCAAAAGCTAATGCCTTTTGCTGTTGTTGTTGTTCTTTGCCCTTGTAGAAATCGGAGAAAGGCTTATTCTTGCAGAGATATGCGCGGCCTGAGGCGGAATACTAATCACATATATATCAGAGCATTTACATTCATCATTACCATCGTAATGGGGGTTTTTTCCCTGTTTTCTATTCACTTGCAATTGCTTTTCTTTTTCTTCTTGGTTCTTTTATAAGAAGCTGGCATTTTGAGATTCTTCCTTCTTCTTCTTCACTGCTTATCCATATTATATACACACACACACATATATATATACTATATTCTGTTTATATTTCTCATATGCTTTCTGTTGTTGTTGCCTTCAACCGTGGCAGTCCGCCATCTTTTGGTCTCGAAGAGAGGGCGTGTGTGTGAAAGCTATGCGTTCGATGGACGAAGAATCATGTCGCGCCTTCCTTTCCCCTCTCTCTCTCTCCCTCCCTCTATTTCCGTCTGAAGCATCGCAATGCATCGGAGGAAAACAGCAGATCACATGGAATGGACGGGAGAGCAGTGTATTTTGCTGAAAGCCTGCGGTCTGCATTAACGCCGCTCACGTTGTTGTTGTTGTTGTTTGCTGTTTTTGCTGGTCACCAGTTATTCTTTCTTTTTAAAAAAAAAATAAACCCATTATATGATCAACGAGCTGAATAAACAGTATTTATCCTTCGTATTTAACGATCCGCTGGATTTATTTTATTTGCTTCTCACGCTCAGCTTTTGTGTGCCTGCTTCTGAGGTGCACGATAAAACGCACGTGGGCCGTGAGCGCTCTAGCAGCTCTCGCAGCACGCCTTCAAACTACACCTGCTGAGCTTCTTCCGCATTCAAAGTGAAGTACGAAACCACAACCCTTCACAGTTTTCCTTTGCCTCTACTATCAGTATGGTCATGAGCACTCTATGTCGTGTTTTTATTCAACCCTTCTTTTGCCCTGCATCGTTCTTCTCTCGCCGAACGGTCTCTCCTCCTACGAACATATTTCATGGCAGCAGCTCCGCGTGTCTGCCTTCTTTCTTCTTATTTTTCTTCTGTATTCTCTATCTGGCCGCACTGGTGCTAATAAATAACCCGCTACTGTGTTTTTCTTGGTGTTTTATCGGAAGTCGCTATTCCTGCTGCTGATGCCGTACGCAGGCATGGGCTTCGCTTCTGTGAACCCATAACGCTGGTCTTCACTCCTCAACAACAAGTATATGTATATATATATATTGTTCTTTGCATCGCGCGGCTGCCGCCATTTTCTGTCTTCTTCAGATTGCGGCTTCGAAACATTTATTAATATCTACGTTTCTCTTTTTGAGTTTGACTCTGCTGTTTTCGGCTCCTTTCATAATATGGAACCGTACTACCTCTTTTTCCTGGCTGGCACCGCCGTCTTTATCATCGCCTGCGTCATCGTAGCGTTCGTTCTGCGGCTCCTCAGCCGTCGAAAACGTGAGGAGGAAGAAGGTGCAGTCGGAAGTGTCGCCTACCCGTACGTCGTGCACAGCCGTGAGGGCCACGAGCCGCTCTCCTCCACTGCGGAGCCGCACGGCAACACCTACCCCAGAGGCTACTACTTCCGCTTCCAACCACTCGACACACACGCGAATCGCCGCCAATCTGGGCACGACAGCGAGGACGAGGACGTGCGGCCCATCATGGGCGCTGATGCGCAGGGCATCCGCATCTACCGGAGAGAGCCGTGCGAGGGTACGCTAGTGCTGGATGACGGAGACGGGAGCGGCTACGGCGCCGCCGCGAGTCACACACGATCGCGGGAGCCGATTTACTACGGAGAAGCGGTGTACATGTCACGTCCTGGCAGCTCCGTCCCACCGGCCGCACGCGTTGAGAAGCAAGACTAGTCGATAGCTTTCGATTTGCCGCTACACGCGAATAGATCTCTTTTCTTTGTGTGTTTGATATTTTGTTTATATTTTATTCATTATTGGTTTTTTGCCAGCAATGAAACCTCTTCACAAATCCCCGATGAAGGAGAGTCGAGGCGCGTCCCTCTCTTCTTTTCTTGTTTTCTGTTTTATATATCCGCGCTCCAGTTTCGCAAGAAAACCTATCGCTGAGCCAGCATCCGTTTTTTATTTATTACTTCGTTTCTCTCGAATTGTAGCAGAGAGAACGTACGAACGGCTGCTGCTGTTGTTTTCTCTGGTGATCGTTGCGCTGCTATTTCTTTTTTCTTGCTGTTGTTAATTTGAAAAATGCTGCCGTCGTTTATTTTTCTTTTTCTTCTCTTGTTGGTGTCTTATTCGGCATTCAACATCTTTATATATCTGTGTGTCTGTGCGCTATGTGGTGTACGCCTTCGTCAGCCAGCTGCGGCTTGCATGTCTTCTTTTCTTTTTCTATTTCTTTTCTGGCAGCGTTGAATACATTTCCCCTGTGTTTCACTGAGTGCCTTGCTTCGCCTCGAAACGGCGAAATAGGCCGCATCTTTCCGGTGTGAGCGTTGAGTGGACCACACGCCTTTTCCCTCGCGCTCTTTTACAACGAACCTTTCCGCCCCTGTCGCTATTATTAATATTTTATTTTCATTTTATTGCGATTGCTCTTTACCCGCTATCTGTCTTGCGCGATATATATTTTTCTTCATCATTCAAACACCCACTAACACGAACCAGCAGAGGAAACGTCGTGGGCCTAACCCAACAAAAATGGTGAAAGCACCGAAGAGTGGACGTTGTGTACGGCATGGCCGCCAAGCTGCGTCGTCGCACCGCTGTTGACGTCTCTTCTTCGGTCCTTCCTAAAAAGCTCTGCTCCATTTTAATTTCTAACCATGTTCCTTCAACTTGTTCTCACTTCCCCTCTTTCATCCTCTGCTTTTACTGCTCAACGGCGGAGTCGAGGCGGCTTCGCGCAAGCACTCCCCTCTTTCTTTTGGTTTCTTAAAGCTCATTTACACTGCTTGCGTTTGTGTTTTCTTCTACTTCAGCTACTCATACAAATACCATCGCATATTGCCTCCTTTCTATTCAACAACTTTCCCTTTCAAGCTGTCCCCACGTTTGTGGTGCTGCGCATCTGCACAAAGCAACGAAAAACACAGCTTCTTCACTCTCTACCGAGCGACGCTGTTCTTTACGGTGTATTTTTTCTTCTTCTTCTACGCATCCCAAGCAAAGCGGTACCTGCCTTACATGCTTCTCTCCTCTCAGGTCGCCGTGAGACACCAGCCAGAACCATCGCTGTCATTGAGATGAATCTGTGGCTTATTATTGTGCCTTGTTTCTTCGGTGTGATCATCTTGGTCATTACCCTTGTGTGCTGCCTGTGCGCCTGCTCTCCACACCGCGAGAGTCCAGAGGAGGGCACGGTGCAGGTGATTCAGGTGGTTTTGTATCCCGACGGCACCGCGCGCAACCCCGCCAACGACAACCCGGCTGACCCAAACCACGAAGTGAGAAACGGCGGTAACGCAAAGGTCCAAATTCGTATCTTCAACGAGCGTTCCTTGCAGTATCGCTACTACCCACTCCACACGGGTGAGCAGGGACCGGTAACGGCAGCGGTGGAAGGCAGCGCACCGACTCGTGCTGTGGAGCCGTGCATGGGTGTCGTGATGCCCGGGGCGGAGGACAGAAACGATAGAAATACACGCGGTGCGCGGGAGCCGATTACATACGGAGAAGCGGAATATGTGTCCTGTGTCGACGGCGCCGTGCCACGCGCCACATCGTCTGAAAAGTAACGCAGCAAACAAAACGGTTTTTTACTTTGCTTATTACGCTCATCTTTTTTATCTATTTTTGTTACCCCCTTCCTCTGCGCTTACTCTTGACGTTTCTTTTCCTTTCTATTTTCTGTCGTGGTGGTTGCCCTCGACGCGTATCCGTTGAGAGCATCCTTTGACAACAATTGTGTTAAAAATCAGTTGTTGAGCCGTTAAAAGCTCGTCATTACGTGGGCGGTTTCATCAAGAATGCTGTATCTTGTGGGTGCGACCATCCCTCGTGTGGACGCAGCTCTCCTGCGTAGTTGTTGTGGATATGCGTGTAGGTAAACGCACCTCAGTGTTTTTTTTTTTTGTTCTCCCCGACTTTTTTTTTCTGAGGGTGGTAAACCAACATTTTTTCCTCATTTTCTTTTATGCCTTCTACCTCCAGTTTTCCGCCGAGTCGCTCGCCGCACTCTCGATGTGCAGAAGCAATTCTGCTTTACGTTCCTCGAGGTTTAGCTATCTTTGATGTCGTTGTTCTTCAAACCTTTCGTCTACGCCGTCGCACTCAGAAAACTGTTCTCCGTCTCGAATGCGTGTTATGGACGTGGAAACAGCAATGCGAGACGTTTAAGAGGCGAAAAATACTGCGTAATCTGTCGATGCAATATATATATATATACCGTGCTTTTCTTTCTGCTGTTGTTTTTTAGGCAATTCGCTTTTTTTATTTTTACCTAATTGCCGGACTCGACTCTTGCCGTCGGGTTTTTTTTTTCTTTCCCCTCCCCCTCCCCCTCTTCACGAGAGTCTCTTTTGTTTTATTATTTTATCCTTAAAAAAAAAACGTTTTCTTCATGCTCTCCTTCTCTTCCCTTCGCTCTTTCTTTGTTCGGTCCGCTGCACGTAGTCAGCACAGCTTTGACTTTTTCATTTATGCGCTACGCTTTCTTCGTCTTCGTTACTGCGCTCTCTGGATTTTTTCCTCATGAATCGACTGTGCGACTCACAAACACGCATGACGCAGAGAGATTGTACTAGTACCTGAGTAAACAGCGAAGCGGCAGTATTCTCCCTTAAATAGATCCTTGACATATCAAATACCTCATTGGACGTGAGCGTGGAGCACTCTGAACGGCTCGTTGCTGAGCTGCCGGGCTTTCTGCTTCCCTTACCCTGTCGAGACGCAAGGGTTATGTGCTTTTGGAAGGTCTTGAAATCTTCCACGTGATTATACCTTTCCTCCCTCTTCTCCTTCTGGCTTATCTTTGTTAACGAGATTTGTTTTTTGTTGTTCGACTTCCGCTAAACGTGCTTCTGCAGGCACCAACAAGCCACCTCACGGCTGTCCTAGTGCGCCGATTTCTCACTCCCTCCGCACACACACACACACACGTAAATATATATACATATATGTACGTCCATCTATACGTCCACGCCACCTACTTTTCGCCGTAGCCTGTAGTTTGGATTCCCTTCTTTTCTTTTCTGTTCTAAGGGTTTCATTTCTGAACTTTCATGTATCCAAACTGCGGCTGCAGTATTTTCCCTCTTACTCTGCGTCGGTCGCCTTTCGTCATTGCTCTTGGCGTCTGCAAGGCAACCCTATCTCCCGTTTTCTTTACTTCCCTTGTTTTCTTTCGACTTAGGCGCAGCTGGACGGACGTGATCAGCAATGATACTTTATTTTATTCCTCTGTTTGCTGTTTTGGCACTTGCCATCATCGCCGTCGTCGTCACGATATGCTGCTGCGGGGTGTGCTGCCAACGCAAGCCCAAATACAACGGGGACGTGACAGAGGTCGTCTCCGATCTTGCAGGAGCCAACAGCAGAGCGGGCTACGAGCCACACCACCCGTATTTTGAGGAGTACAACGCCGATCGTGTTCTCCATGGTTTGCAGCACGAAAGCGAGCAGCATGACCTCTATTATCGCCTTTATTCGAGCACAGACGATCAGCGGCTCGTGAAAGCTGTGTTGGCCGGCAGTGAGCCATCACGGGTGATGCAGCCCTACCTGGGCACCCTTGTGGGAGAGTCGTGCCGCCAAAACTCTCGGGACATGAGAGGCCTTGCAGGTGGACGTGAGCCGCTGAGCTACGGCGACGCGGTGTACTTGCCGTGTGCAGACAGCGCTGTTCCACCTACGACTCAACCCCACACACAAAACTGACCGTTGAACGGAGAAGTTGGTCGAGTGTTTTTTCTTTTCTTCTTTCCGGAATCTTGAGCTCGAATCTTCAGCTGAATACCGTTTGTGAAGGCGTGCACCGCTCTTCCGACGGCGAGTTTACTATTTTCTTTTTTCTTCAGAGTCTTTCTTTCCTGCGTTTTGAAAGGGCTCTACGACGTAGATTTCAGAAAAAAAAAATTTCGAACCACTGACTTTATTAACGCGACTATATTGATTTGTCTTTTTGCTGCTGTTTTTTGACCTCGCAGACGTTGCGTTGAACTCTCTTTCCAAAGATCTCAATTCGGTCTTCGACGTGTCGCGAGTACTCGCCCTTTTCTCTTATTTTTCTTTTTCTTTTCTTTTTAGTTTAGTACATTTCCTCACGCGAGCAGATTCCTATGCCCTTTTTTTGTCATTGCTGCCTCTCTCTCTCTGTGTGTACTTGTGAACCTCTCTGTATTTATCTTGGCAGCGCAGATGTCATTAAATGCAATCCTTATTGATTTTTCTCTCGCTCAGTGATCAGCGAAGACGTAGATCATGGTCACGGTCTTGCAGACGGCACTCGTGAACGTCTAGCTCGTTCTTTTACCAATCCTTTTTTTGTAAGCCATCATCCACGTTTTTTGTAGATATGTATACGGCTCTTTCATTCACTTCTTTTTCATCTATTTGGATAGCGGTCACAGTCGCGACACCGATCAGCTTCCGCTGTGGTAACGCCCAAAAGCTGCAGCAAAGGGTTTTGTTGCGTTCGTCGAAGCTGAACGCGCGCGAGCGAGCACTGCGGACTGCGCGCTCCCGCTTCTTGGGCTTCATAATCACTTCATTCTCCTCGCACAGCTTCTATTTGATTTCGAATTCTCTTCAGAAGTGTAATAGAGTTACAAGTCGATATGCGTGTGAAGTACAGCGCAAGAAGGGAAGGTACTTGACGGATGCAAAGCAAAATTTACAATAAGTTAGCGGGCGTCCAAGAGCTGCCGCTTTGTCTGCGACATGAAAGGTTTCTTTTTCCAATGCAAGCGTAACGGTGTATGGAATTCATTAACACAGGGGTCTCAGGGATTTTAAGAAAACAAAATGCGGTACTTCTTCCACTTCTTACGTTTTGTTACTCTTCACTTCTCAGCGTCGTCATCTCCTCTCTCTCTCTCTCTCTTCCTCTCTCAACGGCATCCCCGTGAACTGCGTCCTTATCGAAGATCGGAAATAAGGTTTTTTTCTTTGTAAGCAGTTCGAATTGCGCAGGCGTTTTATAAGCCATTTCTACAGCGTACCCTCAAAGTCTTTTTATGATTGTTCTCTTGTCTTCCTTTTCCTTTCCATCAACGTCGGATGCAACCACAGGGAAGCACATCTACGCACACGCACACACACACGTATAGGCGAGCAGCTTGCTTCGCACCTTCTTCAGCCTCCTAAACGTTTACTCCGAGGAGAAGCGACGGTACACTGTAGCTCATTCGCCTCTTCTCCTCGCCCTTCTCAGCACAATGCCCGGTCACGACAACGACATTTTTGTCATCCTCACGCTGTGGCTGCTGTACATCGGCATCCACGTCTGCATGGATTTCTTCGAGCGCAGGGCTCAACGAAGCCTCGACGACGGAGCCGCCGAAGAAGCGCTGCGGAGGCCGAACCGAATCGTGGCGGAGGTGCTGCACGGCGACGTCGGCGGTTACTCCATTCACACGCGCCGAGAAATACGCGTGGTGGTGGTCGGCACCGTGACGGACACGGCGGCGTTGATGAACACGGATCCGTGTGAAGGGGCACTCGTACCGGATGCGACGGGGCGGGTACCGCAGCTTCCGGAGCCGGTGCACTACGGGGAGGCATCCTACGCCCCTCGCATGTCGGAGGACGCGGTGAGGCAGGCCGTAGTGGTGGAGGAGCCGCAGGAGGAGAAGCCACCAAAGCCGGAAGTAGTTTAACTTGGACTTTCAAAGCGTCGTATTCACACCTTAGAATCACGATTGCTGCGCCGCTTCTGTTGTTGGCGTTCCTCTTCGCCGTTTTCGCCGTGATGGCCACAACCGCGATGGCGGTCTCACCTACTTCTGCGTGATGACTTCTATTTGGAACTTTGTGTTTCTCTGCTGTTGCTCTTCCGTTGCGCTCATAAGCTGTGGTGGTAGATGAGGTAGATTTGCAAGTGGCCCGCTTGTGTGTGCGCTGTGGTTCTGTTGGTGTCATGTTACAATGACACGGACACTTTGCTTCCGTCTTTTTTTCTCTTTGCAGAAACAGCCAAAAAAGGGGGCATTTTCTAGTTGCAAAATCAAGAGACCAATACACACACACACACACACACACACAGGTTTCTCTCTCTCTCTTAGTTGTATAGCACGATTCCGTGTCAGCGTATATAATACTCTGCTTCTTCCGTATTTCTTCACTATTATTTTGTCTTTAATCTTTTGCTGCTCTCTTCGATCTTTCTATTGACTCATCTCAAAAAAAGGACCATATTCGTGTTTCTTCTCTCTGTCGCCTCTCCCTTTTCTTTTGCTGTCTTTGCGTTTCCGTTGACGCTGTTGTTGCTTCTCTCCTTCAACGGGGGTAATCGTGTTGAAGCAGCGAGGAGCGGTTCGCGATAACCGCGGTCCTCAAGCTGCTTTACATTAGCTCCTCCGTTGCTCCGTCATCTTCGAAGAGAGAAGACGCGATGTGACGTCTTTACACGCAAGTTGCTTTCAAAAACGCAAAGAAAAAGGTTTCCAAAAAAAGAGATTATTAAACGTGAACACTGGCGTTTTAACACCATCTTTGTATCCATATCCGAGTGCAGCGTGGCCGCGAAAGGCGATGGAGCCGGCGCTCAGCGAAATGGCCTCGGAACAGATTCCTGAAACTGCGGTCACTCCAGACGTCACATGCGCAACCAGTTTATGCTAACTCCTGGTCTTTTTCAGGGTTTTTTTTGCTGTCTTTGCAAAAACCCGTGAAAGACTACTGAGCATTCTCTTTTTCTTCATGTTGATGTATTTCCCCACTGCAACCATCGCTTTTCTCTCTCTCTCTTTTCCTTTTCTCTGCCGTCTTTCTCTTCTATATCTGCCTCACCTCTGCTCGCACATCTGCGGTGCGTTAGTTTTCAGTTAGCTGTTGTTGTTTGGGTTTTTTTCTGTTAATGGAAGCATTTCGGTTGCTTTATATATAACGACTTGAGCAAAGATGTTTTTTGTTTTTTTTTTCTTCTTGAACACCTTATTTTCTAAACATTCTTGATTCTTTGGCGATGCACATATCCGCAGTTTATTTCTTTTTCTTCTTCTTTCATTCCCTATTGCTTTGATCGTCAAACATTTTATTTCATTTTGTTTTATTGATCTGCATTGAACTGACATATTGTTTAACAATTCGCATTTTATTGTTGTTGTTTTCTCTGCTGCAGGTTTGGAGTTGGGGATCAACAAGCGTGTGACGCAGCAGACCCGTACGTACACATCTATTCTGAATCTATCCATTTTACCTTTGTTATTTTATTTAATCCCGTTGACTTGTTGTTGTTTTTTAATCTTCATTTCTGTAGGTGAAAACCCATTTTTGCCTGTCGTATTTCTTCACTTTGTATTTAGCTTTCACCACACTGGATAAGCACTAAATATATATATACACACATTTCTACTGAACTTTCTTCGTTTCTCTCTTGTGTGGGCCGCATTGAAAGGCCATTTGCTTCACTTCTTACGAACATCATTTCTACTATTGGTATTGGTTTTTTGTTTTTTGTGAGGAGGCCGTCCGCATTGGAGCTTTTTTCTTTCGCCATCTTCTTCTATCGTCGGCATCTCCAACGCAGAGCAAAAGAGAGAGACGGCCTGCTACGGAGCTCATCAACGACACGACGCAAACAGAATTTTGGTGCGTTCACCGTCAACGAACGGAAAGAGAGAAGGAGGACACTGACATGGAGCAGTCCCACGAGGTGGCGCGGGACGGCGCGGCGTCGCACAGGCGTAACGTGCACTTCAGCACCGCCACTGCCACCGCCGCTGCACCACGCTCATGCTGGCCGCGCTGCATCACGTCACCGCCTCACCAAGACCCCGGAGCGCCACGACGACTCCAGCGGTTTCGGCGTTTCCTGTGCAACCTGGCGACGATCGTTGCATTCTTCTACTTTCTCTTCCTGAGCAGCGTCGCCGTCATCACCACGACGACCTCTCGCACCTTGGCAGGGCAGGCGCTGCTCGCCACGTGGCAATCCGCGCATGATGTGCACATCACGTCGATTGAGTCGCTCGTCGATAACGTGGGGAACACTATGATACATCGGGCGATGGCCGCCGCAGCCTTCTACGTCGACTCACCGAATTTGATAGAGAGCAACAAGACGCTGACGATGCTGTGCGCGCAGATGGTGATGGGCGACACCTCGTATCGCCTCCGCGCTCTTTCCTTAGCGTCCGTCGAGAAGAGGCAGTACGCGTCCTGCATGCACGCAGACCCGGCAGATCCTTCTCTCTCGACCATATCTGCGATGATGTCCAACAAGGATCGCATCTCGAACATATACTATATTAACCCTGACACCTTCACCTCCTTTGATCCACCCATCATCAAAGGCTTTCACGACTCCCGCTTAACCCCGGAGGACGTAGTTCGCAAGTTCAAAGCGGCCGTTTCCACCTATGAGAAGCTCGATGCGTACCTAAATGGGACGCTGATCACGTTACACCGGCGCGATCTTTGGGCCGCCCCACCAACCCAACCGAACAGACTCTACTTTACGCTTCCTGTCGTGATGCTCGGCGACATCGTTCCCTGCTGCGGCGTTGTTCACGCTTCTGACGTTGCGCAGACGCTCATTGAAGGTGGCACGTTCTTCACCAGCATTCACCTCAACGATCCTTCGTCCTCGACGCGCGTCATGGCTCTCATCAGCCAGTCCCTCGGCTACGATGACCCACAGGTGCTCTCCGTCAACTGGGGCCAACCCGTCGTGCATAACCCGACCTTCTCCATCCTCGCCGACACCCACACGACCTACCTGACGGTGAGCGCCATCACCGACCCCCTCATGCGCGAGGCGGTGACGCACATCGACCTCGCCGCTCTGCAGCACAAAGACGGCCGCCAAAGCGCGAGCTTCCGCTACCGCGGTGCCCCGGCCATCGTGACGGCGTGGGTGTACACCAGCGACCTCGGCCTCTCCTTGCCGATCGTTGTGGTCAGCCCACAGTACGCCGTCGCAGGACCGTACATGATGGTCAAGGACCTATGCACTGGTATGGTGGCCCTCGCGGTGCTGTTGCTGACGGCGCTGTGCTACGGCGCGATGGACCGCTACCTATCGCGGCCGTTACGGCGGGTGACGGCAGCGATGCTAGCGAGCGTGCGACGTAGAGTGCGGCAGCCGGTGCGGGCCGACGCGTGCGACGTCGTGCAGCTGAAGGAGACGCGTGACCTAACGGCGGCGTACAACGCGGCGATGGCGCAGCTGCGTGTGGTGGACGAGTTCGTGCCGGATGCGCTGCGCAGCTCCCCGAGTGGGAACGGAGTGGGGCGGCGGGGCACCTTGAAAGCCGCAGCAACAGCAGCACCGCCTCAGCTGCGGCAGCATTACCTGTCGATCGTGACGGTACGCGTGCGTTCGGGCGGTGGGGGCGGCGTGGACACGGCGACGTTGTTGCGGGAGCATTACGGCGACGCAGGGCGTGGACGCTTTGCGGCCTTCGTGAACGCCGTGGCGGAGGCGACGACGCACATGGCGAACAGCGGCCCCTTTGCGAGTGCCGGTGCTCTGGCCGCCTTCGTGGCGGCGGTGCGGGAGCTCTGCAGGGTTCACCACGGCACGGTGCATCACGTGGCGCCGGACCGCTGCGTGGTGCACTTCGCGGACGCGGTGGAGGCGGCGTGCAGCGGTGCAGGCGGCGACGCGGACGTCGACATCGAGTGCGGCGCGACGACGGATGCGTGCCACGCGGTGGACTTCGCATTGGCGCTGCAGCAGTGGGTAGAGCGACGCCCAGTGCAGGAGGGCGCGAAGATGCCGGACGTGCGGGTGCTGGTGGACACGGGTATCTTTACGAGCGGGCAGTACCGTGCGGCGGCGCAGGAGCAGATGGTGTCGGTTGCGTTCGGCCGCGACGTTGAGCGGGCAGTGGGCCACGTGCCTGGTGCGATCGGCGTGCGCGTCGCCGTGACGGAGGAGACGGCGGTGCGGGTGCGGGGATGCCTGGCCGGCGGTGCGCCCGGATCGCGCGAATGCGGGCGGCGGCAGATCCCGGTGGAGGTGCTGCACACTGGTCGCGCAGGGCTCGATGCGGACGTGGTGATCCTGTTCGAGGTGCTGCCCGGGGTGGTGGAGGGCGACGAGGCGTGGCAGCTCTACACACGGTGCTGCTTCGACGGCTTCAGCCACATGGTGCACGGCGACTACGCGGCGGCGCTACAAGCATACAAACGCGTGGCGGACATCTCGGACCTGGAGCCGGGGCTGATGCCTGCGAGTCTGCGCCGCGAGGCCGCGAGGAGCGACGTCACCGGCGGTGCGGTGTCGGTGCAAGTGGAGCGGCTAATCGGTGAGTGTGAGCGGCGGCTGCAGGTGGGGTGCGCGGAGGGCTTCCACCGTGAGCGCCACGTCCCGCTCGGCGTGGACGCGTTGCTGGCGGGGCAGCCAACCGTCGCCGCTGCGTCGAGCACCGCGGCCGTGACTGCCGGTGCAGCCTCGACGCGGATCAAAGATGGTGCCAGCGGCCGAAAGAGCAGCAGCAGAAGCAGAAGCGGGGGCCGGTCGTGCCGCCCAGCGAGTACAGCGCGTGGAGTGAAGTCGCCGCGGCCGGCGGGGTCGGGGACCCCCACCTGGCGCTACGTCGTTTGTTTGGACACGGCGACGGGGCCCGTGCGGCGCGCACTCGGCGGGCGGCCGGAGTGGATCTGCGACAACTACGGGCTTTACTGGTACTTGCCGACGCACGCGGAGCCGGCGAAGGCGGCAGACGTGTGGATGCGGCCGTACACCGTTCTCGGCTCCACCGGCACATTGTCCACCGCGACGACGTTGTTGCTGCGCGAGGGGGCAGACGCGTTCAGCCGCGTGATAGAAGGTGCACCAGACGGTCCGATGTCGGACGAACTGCGCAGCGCGGTGCCGGTGTGGACTGTCTCCGACGCCACCAAGGCCAAAATACAACGTCTCTTCGACACACACGTGTCGGATGAACACCCCAACCTGCTTCACATCGTAGCGTACTCTCTTTCCGTCGAAGGATGTGCGACGATGATGTGGGAGTATTGCCCTGCTGGGACGCTGCGTGACGTCATCAAGCGCTACCTCTCGCTGAAGCCGGTGTCGATTGTGAGTTTTGGCTTAAGCGTGCTGGCGGCGCTGTCTCATCTGCACGCGAAAGGCCTCGTGCATGGATTTCTCTCCCTCGACGCCATTAGCGTGGGGTCGGATGGGGTGTGTCGGCTTATGAACCGCTACACCGACTACGAGCTCGATAACGAGGTCTTTTTCTTTTCTCGTACGTGCTGCCTGAGTCCCGCCATGGCAGCGGGTGAGCGACCGACGCCTGCGTGCGACATGTTCTGCTACGGTCTGAGCTGCCTAGAGGCGTTGTCGCGGCTGCCGCCGTGGACGTGGGCGCCGGCAGCAGCGGAGCAGGAGGCAGAGGGGCAGTCGCAGCGGACGGATGAAGAGCTGAGTGCGCTGATGGCGGCGGGTGGGCAGGCGTTTGCTGAAGCGGTGGTGGCGCGACGTGTCGTTCCGCATACGGCGTTGCTGGATGGTGTGTTGGCCTCAAACGAGCACGGTGAGCTTTGTAGAAACACGCTGCGAAGTTGTCTCGCGTACGATCCGTCGCAGCGCCCCACAGCAGGAGAAACGTGGGAGGTAATTCGAAAGCTGCTGGACCATGGGCGACCCCGCAATTGACGGTACTGTGAAGGCAAGCGTGGATTCCTGAGCAACGAGCCCTCAAGTGAGCCATGTGTTTCTGCTTAGCTATTTTTTTGGTTCATAAGTTTCGGTAAGTGGCGACTCTGATTTGTTTTGTTTCGTTGTCGTTCTTCCTTGGTCCAGAATCGTTTGCCCTTTGTAAATTGTGAGGTGTTGGAATACCCAGCGGCGTAGGCCCGTGTATCACCAAGAATGGTGAACTCAGTTTTTTGGTTACGTTGAAAATGTTCTTCTTTTCGCTTCACATTTATTTAGCTCCGTTTTTTTTAATTTCAATTGCTTCAGTTCCTTCTTCCTTTTATATATATGCAAAATCGGAAGTGCGAACTTCGTTTATAGATGCTAAACTGATTCGTCTGCTTTCATGGAGTGCTGTGTGCAGCACGGGTTGCCTCTTCTCTTGTGTTTTGTGGTCAACACCGTTTAGTACTGAAACCGGAGACCTCTTATTTTTTGTCGTTGTGTTCTTCTTTATGTCGTTGTTGACTTCTACGCTATGTCAGGTGCGGAGACGACAAAAGGAAAAGCTCGCACTGCACTCGCCGAGTTAGAACATAACTTTTCTTTAGGGAGGATGTTATTGCGGCTGTTTTGTGCTTTTTACGTCAGCGTGAGAATATCGTGGATGCGTGCGTACTTCCTGTTGTTCTTGCGATCGGGTCGGGCGAGAGCGCCGTTTGCGAGTTTCGGCGATCTACGAGTTAACGTTGAGGCAAGATGGTCGAGTGGTCTAAGACGTCACGTTCAGGTCGTGATCTCCCCTGGAGGCGTGGGTTCAAACCCCACTCTTGTCACACTTTTTCCCCCGGCCCCCGCACCAAGAAGAAGGCGGCCGCGACACGAACCCCCCCCCGTCTCTTTACATAGCGTTGTGCAGTTGTCTATTTCCCCCTTCTTTATCCTTACTTGTATCTTTGCCCAGTTCACATGCAGGCTGTTCCTTCCCATCGTGAGTGCTGGCCAGGAGCAAGCTCAATCTCCGTGATCCGACCTCCTTTCCCTTTTAACACGCCGCCATTGAAAGTGACAGCATGGATTGCGTCAGGCCCAAAAGTTATGCAAGATATTCCTTCGGTTTGCCTGTTGCGTGCTGACCGGTGCTCAGCTCAAGCTACAACACAGACAACGAGACACCACAGAAACGATGCTGAGCTTCCATCTATTGTTGTTCTTGTTTGCATGCCCTTTCCTCTGGGTGAAGGTGGACAGGAACTCCTGCTGCATTACCCGCGTGCTACTACCAGCAGCCATCAGCTGCGCCCCTCATTTATCGAGCGAGTAGAGAGTCTTCTGTCAACCGCATCGCACTCGGTTTGATTTGCAATCATCAGAACTCATTGATTGTGCCATGTCCTGTTGGACCCTTCGCACCGTTAATAAGTCCCTGGCTTGCGGCGATTCCATTCTTCTCTTCTTCCCTCCGCCCCCTTCATTCTCCCTTCGCACTGCACATTCAAGACCTCTAATAATTGCATTTCCTTCTCTTACACGTTCGGTCCATTCACCACTCGATCGCACCACCAGAGCTCGTCACACCTTTTCTGGTGTTCCCTGGTCTTTTCGGCTTTCCTCCGCAACCCCTCTTTGCGCTTCCCAATGAAAAACGCGCGTGGGCCGGCCTCGACGGCTGCCAACCCCCTGCGCAGTCCACAGAGGCTGTGGGTCCAGCGGCGCCCGCAACAGACCGAGACTCGTAAACACAGCAGCGTACTTCACTCGATAAAACGCTTCGTCTGCCGCATCGATGTGTGCTGGACCTTCTTCTTCTTTGTGCTTCTCGTGTGCGTGGCGGCGACAACCACCTCCATCACACAGATAAAGATATCCCACACCCTCTTGGACAACCTACACGACGTGCACGCCTTACACATCACCGTCCTTTCCAAGAAGCTTAACCAGGGCAATAGCCGCCTTGTGGACATGGCTGCCGGCTATCTGGCGCTGCACGCGGACACGCCCTTCCAATTTCGGTCGGAGAAGACGCTGTCCACGCTCTGCACACTCCTCAAGATGTACGATATCACGATCGACTTCCGTTTCCTGGCTATCTCTTCGCCGGAACGCAACGAGTCCGTCGCCTGTCTGCACGGAGATGATAAATTGGGCTCCGTCAGTCAGCTGTACGGCTGGATCACGGAGAACGGCGTCATCCCTGGCGTCTACCTAGTGAACGACTCCAGCAACGAGTTTATGCGTCCCTTGCAACCGGTGTACGGCGGGTGGCCGAAGTCGCAGTACAACCTCTCTAGGTTCATCTCGTTGATGTATCATACAAGCGCTGTCTTCCCGGAGTCGGCCGCGTACTTCAACGGCAGTATCGAGTACATCGACTACCGCACCATGTGGAACTCCTTCGATGCTCTCCCGCACATCATCTACTGCACCATCCCCGCTGGCTTCCTCTTCCGCGGACTCAAACTGCCCGACGGTGTGAGCGTGATGGACTACGTAGGTGTGCGTGTCAACGGCGCGGGACTCCTGTTGACACGCACTGCCTCGTCTTTGACTAACATCACCGCTGCCATCTTCATCAACGCCACGCTCACCGACGAAGACCCATCCGTGATGTCGAACAACTGGGGACAGCAGTCCGTGAACGATACGGAGATTCTCTCGCACTTGGAGGACAGCCACGTCCGCTATCTCAAGGTCAGCAACGTCTCCAACCCCCTCATGCGAGCAGCGCTGCGGCATGTGGACCTGAAGGCGCTGCAGCAGGAGGGCTGCAACCGCACGGTGGACTTCCAGTACAGGGGTGCGCCGGCCACCGTCACGGCGATCGTCGTCACCACCTCGCACGGCCTGACGCTGCCGATGGTGTTCGCGAGCTCGGACGCGGCCACGGCGATGCCGTACCGCCGCATCATGAACATCTGCAACGGCGCCACGGCGATCGCTGTTGTGCTCTTCACGGCGCTCTTCTGGCTCTTCGTGCACCGCTACATGCACCAGCCGCTGCAGCGTGTGTCGCGCCGCATGCTGGGCAACCTGCGCGCCGGCCACCGCGCACACACACGCGAGCCGCACCTGCAGCTGTTCCGGCTGACGGAGGTGCACGCGCTGCTGCAGGCGCACCGCAGCACGGTGGAGCGGCTGCGCGAGATCGACGCGTTCATCCCGCGGGACGTGCAGGAGCAGATGGCCCACGGCGTGCGCTCGCCGAGCCGGGCGGCGGTGCACCGCGCTGCGCCTGCGCCGGCGGGGGAGGCCGCGGGGGAGGCCGCAGGTGCCGGCCCGTCGTGCGGCGCGCTGCTGCAGCAGGTGTCCACGCTGGTGTACGTCACGGTGCGGCCCTGCGACGACGTGCCGGCGCCGATGCGCAGCCCGTCCACGCTGGCGGCGCTGGCGCAGCAGCCCCACACGCGGCAGCGCCTCGCCTCCGTCGTCGCACGCGCCGCGCGGGCCGCCGAGCTCGTCAACAGCGGCCCCTTCCCCACGCCGGCGGCGCTCGAGGGCTTCGTCGCCGCGCTGCACGAGCTGAGCGAGGAGTACGGCGGCACGGTGCACCGCCTGACGCCGGACAGCTGCGTGCTGCACTTCGGCAAGGCGGTGCGCGCGCACATGACGCGCGGCGGCGGCGGCGGCGGCGGTTGTGGAGCCGCGGCAGCGCGCGAGCAGGCGTGTGCGGCGCGCGACGCGCGGAACGCGATGCGCTTCGCCTTGGCGCTGCAGCGCTGGGTGGACCGCTGCGGGACGCCGAGCATGCCGGACGTGCGGGTGCTGGCGGACACGTCGGAGTTCATCTGCGGGCAGTACCGGCCGACGGGCAGCGAGCAGACGCTGTTGGTTGCGCTGGGCCGCGACGTGCAGCGCAAGCTGGGCCACGTGCCCGCCAGCATCGGCGTGCGCATCGCCATGACGGAGGAGACGGCGAGGCTGGTGCGTGGTGGGCAGGCGGGGTGCGGCGCCGCGGGGGCTGTGCGGCAGATCCCGGTGGAGGCGTTCCAGGTGGGGCGCGCGGGCCTGAACGCGGACGTGGTGATCCTGTTCGAGGCGCTGCCGGGGCCCGTGAGGGACGACGAGGCGTGGCGCCTCTACTGGGTGTGCTGCGTCCGCGCCTTCTCGTGCATGGTGCGCGGCAACTACGCGGGTGCGCTGAGCGCGTACAGGGAGGTGGCGGACATCTCGGACCTGGAGCCGGGGCTGATGCCTGCGAGTCTGCGCCGCGAGGCCGCGAGGAGCGACGTCACCGGCGGTGCGGTGTCGGTGCAGGCGGAGCGGCTGATGCGCGAGTGCGAGCGTCGCGTGGCGTGCGGCGACGTCCGCCTTTTCTACCGCGAGCGCCACGTTCCCTTGGGCATCGATGCCCTGCTGTGCGGTGTGACGCCGGCCGGTGTTGTCCCTGAGACGGTGGAGCCCCGCGTTGCGGCGGAGGAAACGGGGCGCTCCCACGGCCACCCCGTGCACACGGAAAGCCGCAGAGCGCCCATGCCTGTCCCGAAGGCGACGGAGCGGCGTGTGGTCTTGTTGGGCGACGGCGGCGATGCCGTGAAGACCGTCATTGGGAGTACGTGGGACTGGTTTCAGGACAACAACGACCTCCGCTGGCACGTGGCGGCCCGGCCTCACGAGTACACGCCGATCGCACTGTGGAACTCACGCCTTCCGTGCTTGGGGGAAGCGGGGCTGCTGGCGACGATGAGCTTTTTCCCCCTCCGCGACGTCCCCCCGGTGGTGGCCAACGCCATTCGCGACGCGCCGGTGGGCCCCATGTCCGATGCGCTGCGGAGTGCGGTGCCGGTGGTTGGTGCGACGCCGCGTCAGAAGGCAGCGCTGCACACGCTGTACCGCCAGCACGGCCAGCTGCAGCACCCCAACCTGCTGGTGCCGCTCAGCTACTCCACGTCTGTGGAGGGCGGCGTGGTTGTGGTGTGGGAGTACAACTCCGGCGGCACGCTTCGCGAACTCGCCGCCCGCTACTACCGCATCAAGCCGCTCACGGAAGCACGCTTTATGCTCGACGTCGCCTCCGTGCTGGCCTACCTGCACCAGCACGGTGTCGTGCACGGCGGAGTCAGTCTGGACAACGTCTTTGTCGGCGCGGATGGCGCGTGCCGTCTGCGTGGGCACTGCGTTGACATCACCAAACTGAAGGAGCTTTTTTGTGTGCCGCGGCTCTGCTACGTGAGCCCCGCCATGGCTGCCGGGGCAGTGCCGACGCCGGCGTGCGACATGTTCTGCTACGGACTGATGGGCATCGAGCTGCTGTCGGGTGCGGCGGCGTGGAAGTGGGCACCGGTGCCGGAGGGGCAGCCGCAGCGGTCGGCGGAGGAGCTGAGTGCGCTGATGGCGGATGCAGCGCAGCCCTTCTTTGACGCGGTGGTTGCCGGCCGTATCGTGGCGAACACAGACGCGCTTGACGCCATGCCCCTCACAGACGAGACAAGCCTCCGGTGCTACCGGGTGGTGCGCGACTGTCTGTCACCCGATCCATTACAGCGGCCCACTGCTCGGGTGGTGCGCAGGCTGTCCAGCGCCCTTCTCGCCCCTGTCGAAGCAGAGTTGGGTGGCGATGTCCACGCGTAACGAGGTGAAAGCCCGGACATTTTCTTCACTCTACATGAGTAAGTACTTTGTTGTGTGTGTGTGTGTTTCGCGCAAGAGCGAAGTCCGCCGTGTGGCAGAGGAGTGTTTCCACATCAGCAATGGATGCTTTTGTTAACGCGTTATTTATTACTATTTTTCGCTCTTTGAATGTATTCACCTCACGCCGGTGCCTGTTGACACGAAATGAGGCGCTCGCTGATGTTGGCAGGCATTACGTCGGTGTTTTCTCTTCATGGTTTACATTTCTGTAGAGTACTCTGCAATGAAATCTATTTTCTCTTCTCTCCTATGTCTCGTTTTGTAGGTGTCCACCACTCTCAGTTTGTTGCACGTAAAGCAACAATGTGCGTTGTTTTGTTAAAGCTTTTATTTGAGTTATTTAAAACCCGTTTCTTCCCTTCTCTGTACGCCTCAACGACTGGCACTTTCTTTTTCCTGTATTTCTTCGTCTCAAGAGTATATAAGTGAAGCGAATGCGCAACCAAAACGTTGTATTACTATTAGTATCTTATTTTCGTTTGCCTTGCTTCACCAGATCGATCGTTTCTCCTTCCTGCTGCCGTTCAGCTCATTGCGGAAGGTTGGGCCAGGCAGACAGCGAATGTGGCTTTCCTACGTTCCACGCAGAGGGGGTAAGCGTCGCAGCGAACGCGTACTCCTCCGACAGCAAGCGGGCGCGTAATTACACGTCCCGTTCATCTGTATTTATTGTGTTTGATTTATGTATATATGTTTCCTTTATTTTGGCTTATTTATGTCGATACTAACGTTCTTGATATTGCATCTTCCGCCGCGACGCTGCTGTCAAGTGTGAAGAATCGAAGACACGCGCTGCGTAGCGATGAGCGAGATTCTCGGTAGAGCCGTCTACTACCATTGCTATATCTGTGTCTGCTGAACAAAATGTTGTCCTCGATGTGTGTGTGTGTGTCAGAAGTCTTTCACCATCGTCTGCATACCTGTTGAGGGGGAGTGCCAAAGGTCATGGGCTCATGTACGTGGTGCACCCAAACACCACTGCTGCGTGGACGCCTTCGCATACTGTACGTCACCGCGTTCGCCAGATTCTTTTCAGTCGGACGAAGTCGTTTGATGTGTTCTTCTTTCTGTATTTGGTTTCCTTTACGCTACCTGTGTGCTGCATGCAAATCGCACCTCCACGATGAGGGCCTTCTACGCCACCGGCTAATCAGCCGCTGCACCATCCGCTGTGGAGCACTCCTGCGTGGTGCGTTCTCGCACAGCACACACCTGCGCAGCGCTCTGCTGCCTGTAACGCATACGTTATGAATCTCTCTTATCGGAGAAGTAGAGAGTCTTCTGTCAACCGCATCGCACTCGGTTTGATTTGCAATCATCAGAACTCATTGATTGTGCCATGTCCTGTTGGACCCTTCGCACCGTTAATAAGTCCCTGGCTTGCGGCGATTCCATTCTTCTCTTCTTCCCTCCGCCCCCTTCATTCTCCCTTCGCACTGCACATTCAAGACCTCTAATAATTGCATTTCCTTCTCTTACACGTTCGGTCCATTCACCACTCGATCGCACCACCAGAGCTCGTCACACCTTTTCTGGTGTTCCCTGGTCTTTTCGGCTTTCCTCCGCAACCCCTCTTTGCGCTTCCCAATGAAAAACGCGCGTGGGCCGGCCTCGACGGCTGCCAACCCCCTGCGCAGTCCACAGAGGCTGTGGGTCCAGCGGCGCCCGCAACAGACCGAGACTCGTAAACACAGCAGCGTACTTCACTCGATAAAACGCTTCGTCTGCCGCATCGATGTGTGCTGGACCTTCTTCTTCTTTGTGCTTCTCGTGTGCGTGGCGGCGACAACCACCTCCATCACACAGATAAAGATATCCCACACCCTCTTGGACAACCTACACGACGTGCACGCCTTACACATCACCGTCCTTTCCAAGAAGCTTAACCAGGGCAATAGCCGCCTTGTGGACATGGCTGCCGGCTATCTGGCGCTGCACGCGGACACGCCCTTCCAATTTCGGTCGGAGAAGACGCTGTCCACGCTCTGCACACTCCTCAAGATGTACGATATCACGATCGACTTCCGTTTCCTGGCTATCTCTTCGCCGGAACGCAACGAGTCCGTCGCCTGTCTGCACGGAGATGATAAATTGGGCTCCGTCAGTCAGCTGTACGGCTGGATCACGGAGAACGGCGTCATCCCTGGCGTCTACCTAGTGAACGACTCCAGCAACGAGTTTATGCGTCCCTTGCAACCGGTGTACGGCGGGTGGCCGAAGTCGCAGTACAACCTCTCTAGGTTCATCTCGTTGATGTATCATACAAGCGCTGTCTTCCCGGAGTCGGCCGCGTACTTCAACGGCAGTATCGAGTACATCGACTACCGCACCATGTGGAACTCCTTCGATGCTCTCCCGCACATCATCTACTGCACCATCCCCGCTGGCTTCCTCTTCCGCGGACTCAAACTGCCCGACGGTGTGAGCGTGATGGACTACGTAGGTGTGCGTGTCAACGGCGCGGGACTCCTGTTGACACGCACTGCCTCGTCTTTGACTAACATCACCGCTGCCATCTTCATCAACGCCACGCTCACCGACGAAGACCCATCCGTGATGTCGAACAACTGGGGACAGCAGTCCGTGAACGATACGGAGATTCTCTCGCACTTGGAGGACAGCCACGTCCGCTATCTCAAGGTCAGCAACGTCTCCAACCCCCTCATGCGAGCAGCGCTGCGGCATGTGGACCTGAAGGCGCTGCAGCAGGAGGGCTGCAACCGCACGGTGGACTTCCAGTACAGGGGTGCGCCGGCCACCGTCACGGCGATCGTCGTCACCACCTCGCACGGCCTGACGCTGCCGATGGTGTTCGCGAGCTCGGACGCGGCCACGGCGATGCCGTACCGCCGCATCATGAACATCTGCAACGGCGCCACGGCGATCGCTGTTGTGCTCTTCACGGCGCTCTTCTGGCTCTTCGTGCACCGCTACATGCACCAGCCGCTGCAGCGTGTGTCGCGCCGCATGCTGGGCAACCTGCGCGCCGGCCACCGCGCACACACACGCGAGCCGCACCTGCAGCTGTTCCGGCTGACGGAGGTGCACGCGCTGCTGCAGGCGCACCGCAGCACGGTGGAGCGGCTGCGCGAGATCGACGCGTTCATCCCGCGGGACGTGCAGGAGCAGATGGCCCACGGCGTGCGCTCGCCGAGCCGGGCGGCGGTGCACCGCGCTGCGCCTGCGCCGGCGGGGGAGGCCGCGGGGGAGGCCGCAGGTGCCGGCCCGTCGTGCGGCGCGCTGCTGCAGCAGGTGTCCACGCTGGTGTACGTCACGGTGCGGCCCTGCGACGACGTGCCGGCGCCGATGCGCAGCCCGTCCACGCTGGCGGCGCTGGCGCAGCAGCCCCACACGCGGCAGCGCCTCGCCTCCGTCGTCGCACGCGCCGCGCGGGCCGCCGAGCTCGTCAACAGCGGCCCCTTCCCCACGCCGGCGGCGCTCGAGGGCTTCGTCGCCGCGCTGCACGAGCTGAGCGAGGAGTACGGCGGCACGGTGCACCGCCTGACGCCGGACAGCTGCGTGCTGCACTTCGGCAAGGCGGTGCGCGCGCACATGACGCGCGGCGGCGGCGGCGGCGGCGGTTGTGGAGCCGCGGCAGCGCGCGAGCAGGCGTGTGCGGCGCGCGACGCGCGGAACGCGATGCGCTTCGCCTTGGCGCTGCAGCGCTGGGTGGACCGCTGCGGGACGCCGAGCATGCCGGACGTGCGGGTGCTGGCGGACACGTCGGAGTTCATCTGCGGGCAGTACCGGCCGACGGGCAGCGAGCAGACGCTGTTGGTTGCGCTGGGCCGCGACGTGCAGCGCAAGCTGGGCCACGTGCCCGCCAGCATCGGCGTGCGCATCGCCATGACGGAGGAGACGGCGAGGCTGGTGCGTGGTGGGCAGGCGGGGTGCGGCGCCGCGGGGGCTGTGCGGCAGATCCCGGTGGAGGCGTTCCAGGTGGGGCGCGCGGGCCTGAACGCGGACGTGGTGATCCTGTTCGAGGCGCTGCCGGGGCCCGTGAGGGACGACGAGGCGTGGCGCCTCTACTGGGTGTGCTGCGTCCGCGCCTTCTCGTGCATGGTGCGCGGCAACTACGCGGGTGCGCTGAGCGCGTACAGGGAGGTGGCGGACATCTCGGACCTGGAGCCGGGGCTGATGCCTGCGAGTCTGCGCCGCGAGGCCGCGAGGAGCGACGTCACCGGCGGTGCGGTGTCGGTGCAGGCGGAGCGGCTGATGCGCGAGTGCGAGCGTCGCGTGGCGTGCGGCGACGTCCGCCTTTTCTACCGCGAGCGCCACGTTCCCTTGGGCATCGATGCCCTGCTGTGCGGTGTGACGCCGGCCGGTGTTGTCCCTGAGACGGTGGAGCCCCGCGTTGCGGCGGAGGAAACGGGGCGCTCCCACGGCCACCCCGTGCACACGGAAAGCCGCAGAGCGCCCATGCCTGTCCCGAAGGCGACGGAGCGGCGTGTGGTCTTGTTGGGCGACGGCGGCGATGCCGTGAAGACCGTCATTGGGAGTACGTGGGACTGGTTTCAGGACAACAACGACCTCCGCTGGCACGTGGCGGCCCGGCCTCACGAGTACACGCCGATCGCACTGTGGAACTCACGCCTTCCGTGCTTGGGGGAAGCGGGGCTGCTGGCGACGATGAGCTTTTTCCCCCTCCGCGACGTCCCCCCGGTGGTGGCCAACGCCATTCGCGACGCGCCGGTGGGCCCCATGTCCGATGCGCTGCGGAGTGCGGTGCCGGTGGTTGGTGCGACGCCGCGTCAGAAGGCAGCGCTGCACACGCTGTACCGCCAGCACGGCCAGCTGCAGCACCCCAACCTGCTGGTGCCGCTCAGCTACTCCACGTCTGTGGAGGGCGGCGTGGTTGTGGTGTGGGAGTACAACTCCGGCGGCACGCTTCGCGAACTCGCCGCCCGCTACTACCGCATCAAGCCGCTCACGGAAGCACGCTTTATGCTCGACGTCGCCTCCGTGCTGGCCTACCTGCACCAGCACGGTGTCGTGCACGGCGGAGTCAGTCTGGACAACGTCTTTGTCGGCGCGGATGGCGCGTGCCGTCTGCGTGGGCACTGCGTTGACATCACCAAACTGAAGGAGCTTTTTTGTGTGCCGCGGCTCTGCTACGTGAGCCCCGCCATGGCTGCCGGGGCAGTGCCGACGCCGGCGTGCGACATGTTCTGCTACGGACTGATGGGCATCGAGCTGCTGTCGGGTGCGGCGGCGTGGAAGTGGGCACCGGTGCCGGAGGGGCAGCCGCAGCGGTCGGCGGAGGAGCTGAGTGCGCTGATGGCGGATGCAGCGCAGCCCTTCTTTGACGCGGTGGTTGCCGGCCGCATCATGGCGAACACGAGCATCTTCAGTATGCCGAAACATCTGGTTGTGTACGGTAGTGTAAATCGAAGTCTCTTACTTGAGTGTCTTTCAACCGACCCTCCTACGCGGCCCTCCGCTGCACAAGTACGCAACGCCATTAAGTTGCAGCTCGATCGCGTTGGTGGAGGCCCCAACAGTGATGCCAGTGATTGCTGAACGTCTCGAGGCACTCTCTTCCTCTTTTGCTCTCCAACTATATACCAGCGAACGTTCGAAAGAACTCCGATGCTTGCTCTTCTTCATTTTCCTTTCTGTTGTTGTGGAGTGCGTGTTGTGGACGTATTATAAGCGTTCCTTCGTTTCTCATAGTGGTGCTGTGTATGTTGTTCGTGTGTTTTTTGAGTTGAAACGCCAAGCTTTACTCGATTTTACTTGGTGACTATCGCTTTCATTGATGCTGCCGCGGCCATTGTGTCACTCGGTTTCCTTTTGGGTTTCCATACACGATCCGGGGTACTGTTTGTTACTTCTCTGTTTTTTGTTTGTTGTTATTCTCTCACCTGTAGTGCTATAAAACTTCTTCGCACCATCGACACGGACGAAAATCGATACAATCTCTTTTTGCCGTTCGTTTCTTAAACGGCAAGTCCTTCTTTTCTTTTTTTTTATTATTTTCCAGCTAAGTATGTTTGCCGTCTTGCTGTAAGAGTAAGAAAGAGAACATGATGTCAAGGATGGGGCTCTTCTGTTGTTGTTTTGTTTTTCATGCTGTCTTGCCTCCAACAAGGATCCAGTTCTCTGTCGGTTTTCTTCTTCTCTCTCATCGTTTTCATTCGTAACAGCTGCTGTATTTTCTTCCTTTCTTTCTGAGTTTATCTCCACAATATGTGTGAGCTCCGTGGACGAACGGCACCGAATGCGTGTGTGTGCTGGGTGTGTGTGTTCGCGTGTCAAATATACCCTTTTGTACGCCCGTGTTAAGTGGGCTGCCTGACGGAGTGTTGCGAGTGTTCATTTTGGGGTGCGCGTGGGAATTGGCATTGGTGTGTGTTTCGTAGGTGCGAAGAAGAGCGAAGCCGATGATCTTTGAAAATAAATGTGTTCGTTTTCGTGTTACTACGTTGACAGTGCGGGTACGTCTTTTGAGATCGGAGAACCTCGCTTCTCGCCCTTTGTGCGAAGCTATGAGGCTTTCTGCGCTTCGTAGCTCCACACTGAGTCTGGTTGATGGTGTCGGTCAATGGATGCGGAATCGTCACGCATCGTTATTGGCAACGCATCGGAGTCAACTGCAACTCTCTCGCTGTCTTCCCCGCTCCTCTCAACTCTCTAGCTCTCACGGCATTCCCCCGTCTCTTTCTCATGGCCCTCGTGTTTTCTTGCCTGGTCGCCGCCCGTTGCCTGCTGTTGTATTTTATTGTATCTTCTGTCTGCCTCTTGCATATTCATTTTTCTCACCGGCAATCGTGATGGCGTTTGTTTTACTATTTTGAAGACGCCCACACAACACTAGCGCAATCACATTAGTGGGAAGCAGGGAGGTATTTGTTCCTGTTTGAACTTCAACCAGCGTGTATTCGGATTAGCTGTGCTCGACGTGGCCTTCACATCCGGCACTGAAGCTGCACCCTTCATTCCAGCTCCAGTACAGTGCTGCTCTGTCAATCTCCTTCGTTTTGGGAGTCAAAGGAGAGGCGACAGCAACAGCACAAAATGCAGGACGCACACCGTTCCTCGGAAGAAATGGGCGTGGAGATGCAACTAAACAACTGCGGCGCGCCCCCACGAGCACCGCCCATCGCCAAGCGGCCGGGCGGGCACCGATCTACTCGCCCATCGGCCGTGGACTTTGTCTGCCGCATCGATGTGTGCTGGACCTTCTTCTTTTTTGTGTTTCTCGTGTGCGTGGCGGCGACCACCACCGCCATCACAGAGACGACGATTCTCAAGTCTCTGCTGACTGACCTGCACAACGTCCACAGCGTCCGCATCACCACCGTGAAAAAGGAAATGGACCTCCTCACGGACCGTCCCTTTAGTATGGCAGCCGGTTTCCTCTCCCTCCACTCGCAGAAAGCGTTCGAGCTGCGCTCAGAGAAGACACTGGCGAAGCTGTGTTCCATCCTCGCTGCCTTTGACCGAAACACCGACTTCCGCTCCCTCGCCGTCACATCACTTGCGTTGAAGGAGGCGATTTCCTGCATGCATGGTGACGAAAAACTGAGCTCAAAGTATCAGCTCTACGGGTGGGTCACCAATAACAGCGTCATCCCCGGTGTCTACCTTATCAATCGTTCTACGTATGAATTCTATCGCCCACTGCAAGCGGTGTACGGCGGCTGGCCAACGTCCGTGTATAACCTCTCCGAGACCTTCGACACGCTTCTCGCAGACAACCCGGCCTTCACCGAAGCTGCAGCATACTTCAACGGCAGTATCGAGTACGTTGACTACCGCACTTTCTGGCGTTCCTTTGATACCATTCCACACATCATCTACTGCAACATACCTGTTAGCTTCCTCTTTCGTGGACTCCATCTCCCTTTCAAGATCAACGTGACGGACTACGTGGACGTGCGGGTTGATGGCTCCACGCTACTAGCGACGTCAAACACTACTTCCACAACACAGGTGACTGCTGCCATCTTCATCAACGCCACGCTCACCGATGACGATCCGCAGGTGATGTCGGACACCTGGGGACAGGCGTCGGTGAACGATACGGAGATGCTCACCACTTACGAGGAGAACCAGATGAGCTACCTGAAGGTGAGTAATATTTCTGATCCACTTATGCGAGCAGCGCTGACGCACGTGAATTTGGCTGCGTTGCAGCAGGAAGGTCACAGCCAAACAAAAGACTTTCAGTACAGGGGTGCGCCGGCTGTCATAACGGCAACAGCGTACACGACAAAACGAGGTTTAGTCCTTCCGATGGTGCTCGTCAGCTCCCACGCGGCCATAGCGTTGCCCTACCACCGCATCATGAACATCTGCAACAGCGTCACCGCAGCAGTGATCCTCATCATCACAGGTCTTTTCTTTGTGTTTATCAACCGTCATCTTCGTGACCCGTTACAGCGCATCTCGAATCTGCTTCTGCTGAGTGTGGAGCGAGGCTCCCGTGCGCTCTTCCAGTCGCATCACCATGGCTGCGTTACGCTGTCGGAGGTGCAGCAGCTCGGAGCGGCGCACAACGGCGCGATGCGTCAACTGCGTGAAATCGACGCCTTCATTCCGGTGGCGGCGCGGCAGGAAGTAATGCTCGGAAGGAGCCGTGGAGTTTCCCTCTCCACCCTTAGCTCATCAAACTCGCAAGGCTCGCATCCACTGCGCACATCCGGACGCACGCACGCGGAGCTTCTTCTCACGCACCTATCCACGGTGGTGTACATCAGCATTCGACCTCTACCGGTGCCTCGTGGTCTCAGCTCGGGTGCGACGCTGCAGGGCGATGCGGATGTCCCACCAAAGCAGCAGCGCCTTGCCGCCGTGGTGACCAGAGTTGCCCATACCGTCAAAAGGACGAACGCCGGGCCTTTCCCCACCCCGGCCTCCCTCGGGGTATTTGCTGAAAAGGTATACGAGCTCTGCGAGCTGCACCACGGCACGGTGCACCGCCTCTGCCCAGACGGCTGCATCATCCATTTCAATAAAGCTGTTCGTAGGCACCTCGCCGTCGCGTTTGATGCGCCGCGGAAGTCGGCCAGTACGAGTACACCAGAACTGCCTGCGGTGTCGCCGCGACGTGGCAGAGCTCTGGAACGAGATGAAAGCCTCCTGCCAAAGACGGACGCCCAGGACGCGATGGCGTTTGCACTCGCCTTGCAAGCGTGGGTCGACGCCTCCGCCGCATGCTCGGTCCTGGACGTGCGTTTCCTGGCGGACACGAGCATCTTCACCTGTGGTCATTACCGTGCGCACGACTGCGACACCACGCTCTCCGTGGCGCTGGGCCGTGACGTGCAGCGGGAGGTGGGCCACGTGCCCGCCAGCATCGGCGTGCGCATCGCCATGACGGAGGAGACGGCCAGCCGCGTGCGTGCCAAAGCGAAGAACGACACGGTGGGAGAAACCGAGCCCAGTGTGCGTCAGCTGCCGGTGGAGGCACTGCGGATTGGCCGTGTGGGGCAGGACGAGGACGTGGTGGTTTTGTACGAGGCCCTTCCCGGACCGGCCCTGGACGACGAGGCGTGGCGCCTCTATCAGCGTCACTGCTTCGACGGCTTCAGCCACATGGTGCACGGCGACTACGCGGCGGCGCTACAAGCATACAAACGTGTGGCGGACATCTCGGACCTGGAGCCGGGGCTGATGCCTGCGAGTCTGCGCCGCGAGGCCGCGAGGAGCGACGTCACCGGCGGTGCGGTGTCGGTGCAGGCGGAGCGGCTAATCGGTGAGTGTGAGCGGCGGCTGCGGGCCGGACTTACAGAAGGCTTCCACCGTGAGCGCCACGTCCCTCTCGGCATCGATTCCGTTCTGAAAGGCATCGAGCGCCGATCATCGTCGTCGCCGAGCCACGACACCGCGGTAAGAAGGGTTTGTCCTGGCGAGCGCGAGTCTGCCGTGGCGAAACGCGAGGGCCGGTATGGCGTGGAAGAGCACAACGCCACCTTCACGCGTGCCGAACTCCGCTACGTCGCCGTCCTGCCCGGCACGGAGACCCGCACCTCCTACACCAGATGGCCCGCGACCATCACGGATAACTGGGGAACGAAGTGGACCGTCGCCAGGAAACACGCGGTGGGCCCGGGGCGTGCAATGCACAGCATCCTCGGCAGCGGCCTGAGTGCCACCGGTGACCTCTGCGCGCTCGTCTTCCGGCTCCACCGCGACGTCCCGCCGCTCGTGTCGACGGCGCTGCGTGGTGCCCCGGCGGGCGTCATGACGGACGCGATGCGCAGTGCCGTGCCGGTGTGGCAGCCGTCCGCAGCGCAGCGGGCTGCCGTGCGCGCCCTCTTCGACGCGCGACTCCGCCTCCGCCACCCGCACATCGTCACGTGTCTCGGCTACTCCATGGAGCTGGAGGGCGGCGTGACCATATCTATGGAGTACTGCAAGGGCGGCAATCTGCGCGAGGTGATGGTCCGCTACGACCGCATGCGCCCACCCACCATGATCCGCGCCGCGCTGAGTATGCTGTTGGGCCTGCGCTACCTGCACGCCAACGGCATCGTGCACGGCGAGCTGCGGCCGGAGTGCGTGCTGGTGTGTTCGGATGGGGTGTGCCGACTGAAAGGCTTCTACACGGACTACGAGCTGGCGCACCGTGCGTTGGGCCTGCGGCGGACGTGTTACGTGTGCCCGGAGATGGCGGCAGGGCAGTCGCCTACGCCGGCCAGCGATGTCTTCGGCTTCGGACTGGTCATGTTGGAGTTGGTGATTCGAAAGCTGCCGTGGACGTGGGCGACAGTTACGGGCGACGGTCCGCAGCGGTCGGAAGAGGAGCTGGCTGCGTTGGCTGCCGCGGACGTTCAAGCCTTCAGTGATGCGGTGGCGCAAGGGAAAGTTATCCCTGCGCTGGAGATGCTGGCTACCCCAGAAATTGTTGTGGGTTACCATGCAGATGGGCTCGACACGATTCGGGCGTGTCTGCGCATCGACCCCCTGCGTCGTATTTCACTGGAGGACTTGATACGGGCATTGGAGAAGATAGCGGTGGCGAATGGAGTGATCGCCATGCCGCTGCACAACCACACCAGCTCCAATGACAGTAGTTAATCTGCGTCTGTGGTTTCCGAATGAAGGCTTCTTTTTGTTGGTGTTGTTAGACACGCAGATCGGAGTTCAATAGACCTTGCAAATTAAAAACAGCGACGTTTTTATTATTATTTGTCTTTCTCTTGTAGGGCAACTGTGGAACTCCCCCAGCAGGCGTGCAAACGTAGAGGCTTTCATGACGCACTGTACTCGGCACGTGACCATTTTTGTTGACTTGATCGACTCTTTTTTTCTTTTACATTTGCAAAGACGCTCGTTTTCACGGTTTTTCTTTAGCGTCTTTCTTGCTCGTAAATGTGTTCTACCAATATCTTGTTCAGACTGCGTTTTGTGTTGCTGTATTTGAACAACACGTTTACGGATGTTGTGTTTTTTTCCTCCCCCCCCCCCCATCTGTATTGAAGAGCTAGCTATAATAGTCATTGTTGTTGTTGTGTGCGTCTTATCTGTGCCTCTCTGCCGTTGAAAAATGCGGAGACGCAAAGATGCAGAGCTTATTTGCTCTCAACATACTCGTTGTTATTATTATTATTATTTGCTTTCAGGTGCTGCTAAGCTCTCATTCTTTCTTGATTAGGATGGTGCAAGCTACATCCGATAGCTTTCTTCTCTCTTGTGTCACTTCTCCCATCTTATACCCCTCAGAAGCAAAACAAAAAAAAATTACGAAAGGATGCGATCTGAGTTACATCTCCTGTACAACCTTAGTCTTGAGCTCCCTTTTTATCGATTTCTCTGCTACGTATGCTGTACTCTTCAAAAGCAAACGATACTCTTTTTAGTTTTGCATGTCTCGTAGCTGAGAAGATTCTTGTATTTCTATTTGGATGTGCCTGTTGGCTGTTTGGTAACGTCAGTTGTGCTTGTGGTATTAGAATTGGTTCTATGCGTTGTTGTTGCTTCAATATCGTATGGCAGTGCATTCAGAATACAGGAGCCATTTTTTTTTCCCATATTAGCGAGTCGAAGCATCTATTGCTTTTATTATTATTATTAACACCTTTTTCGTACCCAATAAACCTGCGCTACTTTCTTTTCTGTTGCTGTGTTGCTTTGTTCGTACGACATTTTCTTTTTTTTAAAAGAAATCATTACATGCACTGTCCACACCCACTATGGTTATCTCATCTTTCGCCGCAGCTGATGATTATGCCTCGGCTTCCTTATTTGAGCTACCGCCTGCGTGCCGCAGCTTTCATTTCTTCATCCACGGCACAACGCGGCTTGTTTACGTCGTGAGATGTCGCAGTGAGCTTTTTGAATACCTTCTTTAAAGAACCTTTTCATTGCTTTTGATTCCGTCTCTTCAGTGCACTAATGAAAAATCTTCAAACGTGATGGAGGTTGGGTTATCTAATTTGCTTTTGTCGAACGTGAAGATCCTTTTCCGGGGCTTTTCATTCTTGTTCCGCAAGTTCGCTTGACATCAATGCCACATTGACCTCACCTTTCTGCGTTTGCAAAACTGGTGTTGCCAACGTGTCTTTTTTCCTCTTACGCTCACTTTGTTGTTGAGGAACACGATCCCTTCCACACGTCTGATCCCCTGCAAGGGTAGTTGGACACATCCATATATATATATATATATAATAACTGCTTGATAGTTGCTTCGATTTTCTTAGTTCCCATCCTACTGTTTCTTGCTGAGTAAGCGCCGATAACAAAACCCTTAAAATGCTGACTGCTTGACCCAAGTGCCCGTATTATTGTGTCAAAAATGTCTTTGTTTCTTTTTTTTAACAGTTTTGCGCTGAATGAACCACGCTGTTTCTGAGGTTGCTTTTCTTTTTCTAATCGATTTATTTCGAAGAAGCCGCGCGTATACACCGATGTTCTTTTCCCACCCTTGTCCTACTTTTCTACAGAAAATCCCTAACGACACCGCAAACACCTCGCAGGGCAGACTCCCGATGGAGCTGCAGCTTCCTACAGTTCTCGGTAGTATAGTGGTTAGTATACCCGCCTGTCACGCGGGTGACCCGGGTTCAATTCCCGGCCGGGAAGCTTTTTTGCCCCACCACGCCGCCGCCACCGCAACCAACCCCACGCCGCAAGAACACAGCGCAAAAGACGCACCACGAGCAACGCAACAGCCCCTCGCTCCTCATGTGCTTCCAGGTCGATAAGAAAGGAACTAAACTTTTAGCCACCTCCTGCACAGAAACAATCCAGCCAACATCATTTCTCCGCCAGCTCTACCAAGTCCGTTCTGCATTCACCTTCGACATGCCCTCAACAGCCGGAAATCGTTACAGAGAGAGCCAGCACCACATCTCTCCGCATCCAATGCATCTACCACGTTTCCAGAGCCTCCTTCTCTCCGCATGGCCGCCGGAGGGCCTGCGAGCCCCATGCTCTTCTGTTTGTGGCGGAACTGCAGTGCAGGAGCGCGAGCGATGGGAAGAGTTGAACCTTCGTCTGTGAGTTCTCGCTTTGCGTTGTTTCATGGTTCTTTGTTTTGCATGTGACGCTGTGTGCTGCCAGACGATGGAAAAGAGTTCGGTTGTCCACATGTTTGAGCGGCGGTGGTGCAACGGAACGCTGCCATGTCACACCCGTAAGGCGTTGTTGCAGTGTTGAAGGTACACAGCTTTGCTCATCGTCATCTGATCTCTTCTCTTCGCGTTGATTAGCAGTAAATGCGGATCAGCTGCGTCGTAGTCGCTGCGACGGTGACTGTGTTGCTGGGTAACCGACAGTGCTGTTGTATTTCGCCTCCTAGCGGGTTCGTCTCCCTCCTTTCTCCATCGTCCTCCTATACTTGTCTGATCGGTGTCAACTACGTGCTTTCTCTTCATCGAACATGCAATAACGATATTTCATCCCTATTTTCCTCATGCCTTGTGAACTTACACTTCTTCTCTGGTTTTCATGCGACTCACAAACCTCTTGCGGTTCGCTGACTAGTCCACAATTAAAAAACTTCTTCTTTCCGCTTACCCTTTCTCCGCAATCAAAAAACCTTCTTCTGCAGATGACCGCCGCTGCGAACTACCCGAGTGACTACAGGCAGTGGCTCGCCAAGCTCATCAGCTTCGACACCGTCAGCCGCAACTCCAACCTCCCCCTCGTCGACTACGTCAAGGCGTACCTCAAGACCGTCGGCGTGGAGTCCACGCTGGTGTACAACCCGGCGAGGACGCACGCGAACCTGTGGGCGACGCTGCCCGGCGAGGGCGGGGTCACGCAGGGCGGCATCGTGCTGTCGGGCCACACGGACGTGGTGCCGGTGGACGGCCAGAAGTGGGACACCGACCCCTTCACGATGGTGGAGAAGGATGGCAAGCTGTTTGGCCGCGGTGCGTGCGACATGAAAGGCTTTCTGGCGGTGGTGCTGGCGCTGGTGCCGCAGCTCCTGTCAATGAAGCGCGCGAAGCCGGTTCACATTGCCTTCTCGTTTGACGAAGAAGTTGGCTGCCGCGGTGTTCCCTACCTGATCGACTATCTGAAGGCGAAGGGCTTCAAGGCGGATGGTTGCCTCATTGGTGAGCCCACAGGAATGAAAGTGGAGACAGGTAACAAGGGTCGCACCGCGTGGGAGGTGAAGGTGCACGGCAAGGCGATCCACTCCTCCATGGCACTGATGAACACGAGCTGCAACGCCATCGAGTACGCCGCGCAGATCATCACGAAGATCCGCGAGATCGCACTCGATATCAGGAAGAACGGGAGGCACGATCCGCTTTACACTTGCCCCTTTGCCTCTATCTCGACTGGTATCATCAAGGGTGGCAACGCGGTGAATACGGTGCCGGCCGAGTGCGAATTCACCTTCAGCATGCGCGTTACTGAAATCGCCGAAAAGGAGAGGGTGGAGTCAGAACTGAAGCAGTACATCTCGTCGGTGGTTCTCCCTGCTATGCGAAAAGAATTTGCAGAGGCGCAAATTGAGATGGTGCGGACGGCGGACTACCCGTCGTTCACGGGGAGTGACGATAATGCGCTGACGCAGGAAGCGCGGCGCCTGCGTGCGGACCCGCATCAGCACCGCTCTGGTGGTGGGACAGAAGCCGGTTACTTTCACGGTGTGCTTAACATTCCTTCGGTAATTGTGGGCCCCGGCGGCGTCGACGAGGCGCATCAGCCGAACGAGTTTGTGAGCGTGCAACAGATGGATTGCTGTGTGGCCACCGTTACTGGGATGGTCTCCGCGTTGTGTGGGGTGAGCAAGAGCAGCCACGTGTAAACTAGCTTCGTTCGTGTACGGGTGCAGCGCGACTTGTTTCTGTATGATACATCGATTGTGTCATTGCTTTGCTGTGAATGATCACCTCTGCAATTCATCTCTTTTAATTGGCTTTTGTCGCCGGCTTTTTTGCCACTAAGGGCAGTTTTATCGTCAGTAATTCTTTTATTCCTTATGCTATCAGCTCTGTTGTTATCACTACTGAAGTACGCACCTACACTTGAGAAACAAAAGAAAAACATGCGCAATGCGCTGAGGTACACGGCTATGCTGCAGCTAACTGATCCTTTTCTTTTCTTTTTTACGCTACCTGTGTTGGCCACTTCATCTTCACACCAGGGTCAAGCGCGGAGGTGTGCGGCGGCGCCTCTCAAAGTCAGGCGTAGTCCCACCTCTTTCAGTTTCTCCTCGTTATCAATCCCAGTGCGTTTCTAGCGCGAGCGATGCTTCTCCACATAATCGCCGACTATTCTTTTTCTCTCTCCCTTGCTTAACGGGGCATGCGTCTCTATCGGTACAAACGCAGATCAACGCGTGCCTTCTTCCCTCTATCGAAAACGTTTCCCCTTTCTCCTGCAATTCAGCACACAAACTTCTCACATTCACCTGACGCAGCCTCGCACCGCAGATGACCGCCGCTGCGAACTACCCGAGTGACTACAGGCAGTGGCTCGCCAAGCTCATCAGCTTCGACACCGTCAGCCGCAACTCCAACCTCCCCCTCGTCGACTACGTCAAGGCGTACCTCAAGACCGTCGGCGTGGAGTCCACGCTGGTGTACAACCCGGCGAGGACGCACGCGAACCTGTGGGCGACGCTGCCCGGCGAGGGCGGGGTCACGCAGGGCGGCATCGTGCTGTCGGGCCACACGGACGTGGTGCCGGTGGACGGCCAGAAGTGGGACACCGACCCCTTCACGATGGTGGAGAAGGATGGCAAGCTGTTTGGCCGCGGTGCGTGCGACATGAAAGGCTTTCTGGCGGTGGTGCTGGCGCTGGTGCCGCAGCTCCTGTCAATGAAGCGCGCGAAGCCGGTTCACATTGCCTTCTCGTTTGACGAAGAAGTTGGCTGCCGCGGTGTTCCCTACCTGATCGACTATCTGAAGGCGAAGGGCTTCAAGGCGGATGGTTGCCTCATTGGTGAGCCCACAGGAATGAAAGTGGAGACAGGTAACAAGGGTCGCACCGCGTGGGAGGTGAAGGTGCACGGCAAGGCGATCCACTCCTCCATGGCACTGATGAACACGAGCTGCAACGCCATCGAGTACGCCGCGCAGATCATCACGAAGATCCGCGAGATCGCACTCGATATCAGGAAGAACGGGAGGCACGATCCGCTTTACACTTGCCCCTTTGCCTCTATCTCGACCGGTGTCATCAAAGGCGGCAACGCAGTGAATACGGTGCCGGCCGAGTGCGACTTCATGTACAGTGTACGTCTGACCGAGTCCCAGGTCGCACGCGACATTGAGCAGCGTGTGTTGCGCTACGTGAAGGAGTCCGTCGTCCCTCTCATGAAGGAGGAGTACCCTGATGCCACGGTGAAGATCACGCAGGGCGTGTCCTACCCGGCTTTCAACGCATCGGAGGAGGCGGAAGCGACGAAGCAGGCGCGCCGACTCTGCAAGGACCACGACGTGCACCGCTCTGGTGGTGGAACCGAGGCCGGGTTTTTTCAGGATATTCTTGGGATTCCGACGGTGATTGTGGGTCCCGGCCCGGGTTCGATGGCGCACCTGCCGAACGAGTACGTGCTGGTGGACCAGATGGAGAGGAGTATGCAATTCACGACGGACTTTGTGAAGCTCTACACCGACCCCAGCTACTGCCAGAAGGGCAAGTTTTGAACGTCGAGACCGCGTCGTTGAAGCCTGGAGGCAAGTAAGGATGAAAATGAGAAGCCATCCATATATATGCGTGTGTGTTGGTTTTCCGCGTGTTCATCGCCGAAACGTATTCTCTCACGGTGATGGTTTTTTTTCTCCTGTAACGGCAATAATTTCTCTTCAAGCGTGTTGTATTCCAGTAGAATGAAGAGAAGATGGCCTAAACTGAGTTACGTGTCTATTCTGGCTGAACTGTTCAAAAAGGGGGAAAAAACAGTGCTCAAACTTTTACAGCGATTTTTAATCCTTTGATTTTGTTTTATTGTTTTATGCATCAGCGTTTTTTAAATTACTCAGTTACCTTTGTGCCTGTGTGTCGAGGGAAGATATAGCATCTGCGTTGTCGTTGCAAACTGGGAAACTTTTGGGGACAAACCCGCCCAGTTGGGTAATCGGGCGAGATAGCTTCTTTGCGTTCAACACAGGGAGAAAAATAAGAAAAAATCAAACAAAAGCTTCCTTCTAGTGAACGGGAACGTTCAAGTCAAAACGAATTCTCCGCATTCTTTTTTTTAAAGCCTGTATTTGTTTTTTCTTTAGCGGCGTGCACGTAGGTGCTCTTCACACGGTGAGAGGGGCAACGATAGCGATTCCGTGATTCCTTCAGCGCGCCTTGAACTTTACTCGTATTGCCACTATTCCTTTTTTTTTCTTTGGAGCACGTTTTCTCTATTTCTCTGTCAAGGAAAGGACACCTGCAGCTACGCTTGTTCTGTATCGACACGAACTGCCTGCTCTCTCCAGGGAGTGCCGCATGTGCTCTCTTTCTCCCCTTTCTCCATGTCGGTAAACGCATGCTAATGTACTTCGCTTGACGCTCCCCTCTTTTTATTCCGCCATGAAAAAAAAAAATCATCTCCTTCGCTCTCCTCGTATTTCTCACTTCCTTCGTCCCCCTGAACCTTGTCTTTGCCGCGCAAACAGTAAAGTCGCGCGCACAAGCAAACCAAGGCAGCAAATTCTTTTATTTTATTTTTTATCGAACAAATCATTTTTTTCCTTCTGATCTAGCTCACTAGGTTTTCTGTTTTTTGACTTCAGGTATTAGTCCGGCAACTAATACTGAACGTCTACGCAATCTTCATTGTTTTCTTTTTTATCATCATCAGTGTGTGTGTTTTACACGCTTAATTTGTACCGCTTCTCGGGTCTCATCCCCGTTCCCTCTCTCTTTCTTGCTTTATCTTCCTCTCCTCTTATTTCAACGGCATACCTCCCACGTGGTGCTCCGCTCTTTCTCTTTTTGGAATCACTATTTTCTCCCTCTCGTTTCAATTCGTGCTCCTGTTTTGCAATCTGTGTGACGCGTGTGTCTTTCCAGGACTCAAAAACAAAACTTTCTCTTTCATCTTACTTGAGCCTCTTTACTAGTCGCAGCCGTCGCTTTATTTCTTCCTTCTACATCTTTTTCCGCCCTCTCACCGCAACAATGCCACATCGCGCCAGAGAGGAGATGTCCGATCGCGGCAGCCCCAACAGTGCCGCGCAGCGCACCTTCGCCTCCGCCCCCGTCCACCGCCCTCCCCGCCCACGCCACGCAGGACAGCCCCACCCATGCGCGGCGCCTGGCCATCGGCGTGGCGGCTGCTGTGGCGTGCTGCAGAAGGTGGCGAACGTGGCGGTTGGCATCGTGCACACGATTGTCCCGCCGGGTGGCATTCTCTCCGGCGCCTTCAACATGGCGAGCGCGTCCATCGGTGCGGGTATCCTGGGCCTGCCCTCCGCCACCGACTCCGCCGGCCTCATTCTGGCTATGATCTACCTTGTCATCATCACGTACTTCTCCGTGTTCTCCATGTACATCCTTGCCCTGGCGGCGCAGAGCACCCGCATCAAGAGCTTCGAGGGCATGGCGCGCTGGCTGTTCCCGTACGGGAACTACGCCTTCTCCTACTGGGCCGCGTTCATTCGTGTTTTCACTCCTTTGCAGCCGGCGTCGTCTACGTGATCAGCATGGGAGACTGCTTCTCAGCTATTTTTGGCAGCGCCTTTGACAAGAACCCCAACAGCACCGCCCTCAAGTTCCTGGCGACGAAGGAGGGAAATCGTGTAGTAACGAGCATGGTGTGGCTGTGCGTGATGGTGCCGCTGGTGGTGCCGAAGCACGTCGACTCCCTCCGCTACGCCTCCGCAACTGCGGTGACGTTTATGGTGTACTTCGTCATCGTGGTGGTCATCCACAGCTGCCGCCACGGGCTGCCCGAGAATGTGCACAACGTGAGGCTGGTCGGCAACCAGGAACACGACGTTGATCTGGCCGTGAACGCGGTGTTTCTTTTCCGCACCGGCAACTCCGTCATTCATTCCGTCGGTGTGTTCATGTTTTCTTACATCTGTCAAATCAACGCTTATGAGATATTTTGGGACTTCAGGCCGGAGATTCGCACGACGAAGAACTACACCTGGTCGGCGCTTATCGGCGTGCTGATCTGCGGCGTGCTCTACATTCTCGTGTGCGTGTTCGGCTACTTCGATTTCGGCAGCAAGAACCTCCTCGGCAAGTCGCTGCTGCTGATGTACCACCCGCTGGAGGAGGCGGACGTGATGATCGCGTACGTTGGCGTCATGATCAAGCTGTGCGTCGCGTACGCGCTGCTGATACTTTCGGCGCGCAACTCACTCTACTACTTGATCGGCTTCCAGCACCGCTACCGCAACCGCCCCGACGCCGCGGCGGCCCTGTGTGCCCCGTCGACTCCATCATTTGACAATGTCACGATGGAGCGTGTCGAAGATGCGGACGACATGGTGCAGCAGCCGTCAGTGAAGGCAGCAGTCACCGATGAGGTGTGTGAGGTGAGGACGATGGACGGGCAGCACGAGACCACGCAGGAGGGCGTGGAGAAGGGGCAACCGGGCGCTGACAACGATGGTGTGCCGCTGACGGTGGATGAGGTGGATAAAGATTTTGAAGACAACACCACGGAAGACACCACCTACGTCGACAATATCCCGTTCTGGAAGCATCTCATTGTCGTGCTGTCGCTCTCCGCCGCGTCGCTGCTGTGCGGCCTGTTCATTCCGAACATCAACACCGTCTTCGGCTTTGCGGGGTCGATCAGCGGCGCGTGTATGGCCTTCGTGTTCCCTGCGCTCTTCTTCATGTACTCCGGCAACTTCAGCGTGGCGCAGGTGGGCTGGTTCACCTACCTCAACACCTACATCCTGCTGCTCTGCGGTGTGGTCGGCATCGTGTTTGGCACCGGCGGCACGATCTACGACACAATTTGATAGCAGCGTACAAAAATATCACGTAATGGTAATTCTGTTTTCTCAAGCTTTTATTGGTGGGTCAACAATAGAAGACGACCTCTCGTCTCGATCCGGCTGGGAGAGAGATTTGTGGCAGAGGGCTATCAGCTCCTGTGTGCTGTTCTTGTTTCCTGTTGTGTTTTCTGAGCTGCGTCGTTCTGCAAATGAAATGAGCTTTCTGTTAACGTAGGTTTGTATTAAGATTGTTGTTTTATTAATTGTGTGTCTTAACCGACTCCTAATGTTTTTGCCGCTTCATCGCCAGTAGGTTGGTGAGGCTGCGTAGCCGGCCAACGACGTCGACTATAAAAAGGGACAGTCAGATCATAATACAGTGAATTGGATTATTATTTAAGAAGAAGAAGTTTGTTTTATCTGTATCTCTGCTGTTGTCCTCCACACCCCATACCCTTTGTCTACGTGGAGAGGAGCCACAGGTGCGATTCTCGCGTTTCACATACGTACACGCAGCACGTACGCAGAAGGCGCCCAATTCGAATCTGCCCTTCGCCTGCATGGCACTACTTTACTTGTTCAGGAAGTACGACAGCATCAAAGCTACGCAGGTAATGCGTTATTTTGTGTGTTAGGCTTTCTTTTTTTTCTTCTTTCCTTCACAGGAAGGTTTTGTTTTTTTAAGGGCCTTCAAGAAGGGAGAGAAGATTATTTACCTCTTTCTATGTGCGGCGAGAATGCAGGGTAACTCTTACTCCGTTATGCAATATGACCTTCCTTAAAAATAATCTTTTCTCCTTTTGAAGGAATGATGAGGCTCACTATCAACAAGAAAATAACTAGTCGAGCCCTTTTTTCTTTCTCTTTCTCTCTCTCCATCTCTCTCTCTTCCATGGAGCTAAAGATAAAAACCCGGTGTTACTTGTACATGTGTTGAGTGTGCATGAAAGGTGGACACGGAAGTGGGCCGTTAATGGGTGAGGTTTGGCCGTGGAGCTGTCCCTGCCCGTGGAGATAAACTCTTTCAATGTTGTGTGGCCGGCTTGACCTGCCGCATTCAATTCTGTCGTCTATTAATCCTATTTTTGCTGCTGCTGCTCTCAGTACGGTCAGCACCACTTCTTTTCTTTTTTTTCTTTTTTTCCTTTTTCTTGATTAGATTCAAATTTCTCCTTATAAAAAGACGTTAAAAAATACGCTGAATGTGTTTTCTCTCCTTCCTTGTTTGTTTCCTTTTCTTTTAAGCAGCGGAGACACCTTGTTTTCATATTTTTCCTTTCCAATTCGCTTCATCCTCCTACGATAGCACGTACTAACCTGAGTCGGAGTCCTTCCGCTGTGTCTTGCATGCACTGCATATTAACAAGCGCTTCCATCTCCGTTTCTCTATTGGCTCTCGAGCCACGAGATGAGAAAAAGTAAACAAGAAAAAACTGTAGTCTTTGAGCACAGTTCCATCTGTTTTTTGCTCTGCGGTCTTTTCTGTTTTTCTTCTTTCTTCTCTTCCAAAACAAAAAATAATTTGCGGGATTCAACGAAGCAACCTATTTCGGTGGAGACTGCAATTGCACTGTCGGAACAGCGCCGCTGCTGCGGTGTGGAAGCACTCAGCTTAGAAAAGATAGCGTGCCACACGGATGTGTGCTTTCTTTCCCCCTCTTCTCTTTCTCTACTGATTTTTCTCCTGTTTATCTGTTGTAAGTTTCTTCTCTGCTTTTCTTACATCGTGTTTCAGGTCACAGAAAGTTGCAACGGCAGCTCGGCGCTGAGCACAGTGGCGCCTCCTTGCGCATGTGTTTGCAGCTCTCTTTTTTCATTCTTCTTCTGCTGGCGCACGTCTATTGTGTCTTGTTTATTTGTGAGCATTTATGTCATTTCCCATGGAGGACACGAATACACAAGCACGAGCCACGCACTGCGCACACGTCGCTGTATTCTCTCATCGAGTCTTTCTGAAGCCGTCACTCACCACCTTTTAAGAACCATGTTCGAGTACAATAATTCTGTGAAGGCACTCCTTCATCTTCTAGTCCATAAAACTTTAAAGTACTAGAGAATGAAATTTAAAATAACTCTCCGCTGCACCAATCAAATAGTAGTGTATTATCTCCTTCTTATTTCCGTTTGTATGTTAATCATTTAACACACGCACACACATATATATATACACGCCACTAATATGGGTGAGCGTGCGGGTGCGTAACTACGTACTCAAGTGGCTTTCTGTTCCCTAGCTCATACATACATATATATAGAGAGAGAGATATCTATATGCGTGTGTTTGCCCGTTTGTTTTTCCGTTTTTACGAAATCGCATTTAAAAGCTAAATGATACACCAGAACGAAACTATCGCAAAGCAAAAAACAAAGCAGAGCTGTCCGCGCGACAGGCACCGTCAGCGTATTTACTAATCATCGTATTGCTTTCTATTTCTGTTGTTGCTGTTGCGCGCTCCGTTCTTCGCGTTCCCTCTCGCTCTCTGTGTGATAACAAGTGGGAAGTCTACACTGCCTTGTGAAGTGGGAGCGACGTGCCAGCGCTCTCCCTTCGGCGTCCTCTTCCCCCTTCTTTTCTTCTCCCCGTCTGCCGACGCGCTACTTCAACTTCTGAACGGAGGCTTCAATTGCTTTTCTCCTCCCTCCTCCCCCCTGTCTCTCGCTCCTCGCTGTGATGGCGGTTTGCTTCTTCCTCCTCCTCTCCTCGCGTTACAACGAATAGCTAACTCCGTCTTTGTCCACTCGCCTACAGTCTTTCTCTCGTCTTTCCTCCTGCCTTTTGTGCTACTCCACACTATTTTTTTTTTCAAGCCCCTCCCGCGGTGACGCACGCTTCGCATTGCAGCAGCATGTCTCACCAAGCCAGCAACCGTCACGCCCCCGACGTGCAATCCTACGCGCCGCAGCGTGAGGAGTACTCGGACCGCGCCAGCGGCTCCATTGCGCAGGGGAACATGAACACGTACACAGCGACGACGACGACGGCAAGAAGAGAGAAGCACCATGCACACAAGCACAGCCGGTCGCAGCGCCGCGGTGGCTGCGGGGGCGTCTTCCAGTGCCTGGGTCAGGCGGCGCTGCGCGTTGTGCACACGATTGTCCCGCCGGGTGGCATTCTGTCCGGCGCCTTCAACATGGCGAGCGGGTCCATCGGTGCGGGAATCCTGGGCCTGCCCTCCGCGGGCGACTCCGCCGGTCTTGTTCTTGGCGTCATCTACCTTGTCATCATCACGTACTTCTCCGTGTTCTCCATGTACATCCTTGCCCTGGCGGCGCAGAGCACCCGCATCAAGAGCTTCGAGGGCATGGCGCGCTGGCTGTTCCCGTACGGGAACTACGCCTTCTCCTACTGGGCCGCGTTCATTCGCTGGTTCCACGCCTTCGCCGGATGTGTCGCGTACATCATCAGTGTCGGGAACTGCCTGGGTCCCATCTTCGACGATGCCAAGAAGCGCCACCCGGGCAACAGCGCCATTGAGTTCTTCGCCACCACGCAAGGCCTGCGTGTGCTGACAGTGGTTATTTGGGCGTGCATCATGCTGCCGATGGTGGTGCCGAAGCACATCGACTCCCTCCGCTACGCCTCCGCCTTCGCCATCACCTTCATGGTGTACTTCGTCATTGTGGTGGTCATCCACAGCTGCCGCCACGGGCTGCCCGAAAACGCGAAGTATGTGATGCTCTCTGGCAACGAAAAGGACGACGCTGAGCTGACCGTGAACGCGGTGTTTCTTTTCCGCACCGGCAACTCCGTCATTCATTCCGTCGGTGTGTTCATGTTTGCCTACGTCTGTCAAGTGAACGCTTATGAGATATTTTGGGACTTCAGGCCGGAGATTCGCACGACGAAGAACTACACCTGGTCGGCGCTTATCGGCATGCTGATCTGCGGCACCCTCTACATTCTCGTGTGCGTGTTCGGCTATTTCGATTTCGGCAGCGAGAACCTCCTCGGCAAGTCGCTGCTGCTGATGTACCACCCGCTGGAGGAGGCGGACGTGATGATCGCGTACGTTGGCGTCATGATCAAGCTGTGCGTCGCGTACGCGCTGCTCACCATCGCGGCGCGCAACTCGATCTACTACATGATCGGCTTCCAGCACCGCTACCGCAACCGCCCCGACGCCGCGGTGACCTCCCCCGTTGGCTCCGAGGAGCTGGCGGCGCAGCGCAGCAGCGGCGACGACGTGGTGGCGAAGCCGGCGGGCGCGTCGGCTGCTGGCAACGCGGTGGTGGATCAGGACCTGGACGATGGCCTCGCTGAAGCGGGCTGCGGCGTGCCGACTGGCAAGAAGACCGTCTCGCAAGATGTGGCGGACGAGGTGGCAGCGAACGAGGTGGACAGGGACTTCGAGGACAACACCACGGAAGACACCACCTACATTGACAATATCCCGTTCTGGAAGCATCTCATTGTCGTGCTGTCGCTCTCCGCCGCGTCGCTGCTGTGCGGCCTGTTCATCCCGAACATCAACACCGTCTTCGGCTTTGCCGGCGCCATCAGCGGCGGCTTCCTCGCCTTCGTGTTCCCTGCGCTCTTCTTCATGTACTCCGGCAACTTCAGCGTGGCGCAGGTGGGCTGGTTCATCTACCTCAACACCTACATCCTGCTGCTCTGCGGTGTAGTTGGCATTGTGTTTGGCACCGGCGGCACGATCTATGAGACGCTCTAGTCGTCTCTGCCTCATCTCCTCTGTTCCAGTCGGCGTCACTTGTTTCATGATCTGCAGTTGTCTGAGACGAAGCTGCAGGCGTGTTACATGTGGCAATGCAGCACGGCCGTGGAAGCGTGACGGCGCAGATGGACGACGGGGCTCCTCCCTCTGCAAGCGCCACAGTCACCTCGTAGAGTCGGAGGCGAGAGACTTCGGGTCCATGTTTCCCAGTGTTTATTTCAGTGTGTTATTTCTACGTAATGTGTGTGTGTGTGTGTGCACCTGCCCGGGAGAGCGCTGCATTGCCTTAACACATGTGCGCCTTTCTTCTCTTGTTGTAAATGACACCGATAGGGCACATCAAAGGACATTCAGAGGGGAAACGGGAGGGCACCGCTTAATCTCTATTGATTTCGTTTTTCTTCAAGGGACTCCCAGGCAGCTGTTTCGTTGTTTCTGACCTCCCTCTCTTTTACCGGCGTCACAGGAATTTATAAGTTAATATTGTGAGGGAGAAGAGTCCCTATAGTTTACACTAACCTGTCGGCACTCCACGAAGCAGGAGGTCCACGCATTTCGTGGATTGTAAATACGCTGAACCCAAGAAAAAGACAAAGGATCATCGTAATGCTCATGATCATAACAGTGCAAGCGTTAATGGGAAAAGAATGCCCCATATGAAACAGCTTTCGCATGGCAGCGCATCTATTATTATTATATATATATATTATGGTGAAGAATGAATTTAATATTTATCCTGTCGTCCGTTCAAGCGTTGCGGTGTCACAAGCGCTCTCGTTCTCTACCTTGGCGTGGAGAGACGCTTTGTTAGAGCGCAAGTCGATTACATTCTCATGGCTCGTATCCTATTCCACAGATGGCCTGCGCACGTGACCTTCAAGCAAGCCGCATCAAAGTGATTTTCTTCGTTTCTTTCTTCTTCTTTTCAGAATGGGATCGAGCGCCCTTTTCATTGTTTTTCCTACTGGGTATGACGGCGTACAAACGACCTTATTTCTGTTTTCCTGTGCTCGCATCAGTCCTCCGATATGCCGGTGTCTTGTGGTCCACGGCGCAGCGGAGATTCACCATGTCGCATGCACGCCTACTCCAATCTGAAACGCAAGCTTGCTCCGAAAGCGTCCTACGTACATATCAATCGATCCCGTTCGCAGCGTCTCTATTGCGATCATTCTCCTCTTGATTGTGTGGATGCTGCGGGTTGCACGCGACGAGTTTCGCGTCGTGGATTGTGTTTTCCATGCATGGAAACACGAATCTTTCAGTAGCTCGTTCTTTCCATTAAGACGCACGGAGCGCAGGCCCTCTCATATAGCTGGGCGTGAGAGTCGTGTGTGTTTCCTTTTGAAGGCGCTCTCTTCCTGCCACTGTCTCTCTCCTCTTTTTCTTCCTTATCCGTTTTTCTGCGTCGTTGCATTGAGCGACTCTACGGTACATGGAAGTTACTTCCCGGCAACGTCTGATCCACAGCCACCGTTACTCTCTCTCTCTCGCAATCCGCTGTTCTCTGCCTGGGCAGCGGAACTCGTCACCATTTTTATTTTTTCTCTTTCATTCCGCCTCCCACTTCACTGCTTGTGCGTCACCAAAAGTCATCTTCTTTATTTCTTCTTGGTTACTGGGCCTCGACCCCTGTCTTCTAGCCATGTCGCACCGACGCGCCAGAGAGGAGATGTCCGATCGCGGCAGCCCCAACAGTGCCGCGCAGCGCACCTTCGCCTCCGCCCCCGTCCACCGCCCTCCCCGCCCACGCCACGCAGGACAGCCCCACCCATGCGCGGCGCCTGGCCATCGGCGTGGCGGCTGCTGTGGCGTGCTGCAGAAGGTGGCGAACGTGGCGGTTGGCATCGTGCACACGATTGTCCCGCCGGGTGGCATTCTCTCCGGCGCCTTCAACATGGCGAGCGCGTCCATCGGTGCGGGTATCCTGGGCCTGCCCTCCGCCACCGACTCCGCCGGCCTCATTCTGGCTATGATCTACCTTGTCATCATCACGTACTTCTCCGTGTTCTCCATGTACATCCTTGCCCTGGCGGCGCAGAGCACCCGCATCAAGAGCTTCGAGGGCATGGCGCGCTGGCTGTTCCCGTACGGGAACTACGCCTTCTCCTACTGGGCCGCGTTCATTCGGTGTTTTCACTCCTTTGCAGCCGGCGTCGTCTACGTGATCAGCATGGGAGACTGCTTCTCAGCTATTTTTGGCAGCGCCTTTGACAAGAACCCCAACAGCACCGCCCTCAAGTTCCTGGCGACGAAGGAGGGAAATCGTGTAGTAACGAGCATGGTGTGGCTGTGCGTGATGGTGCCGCTGGTGGTGCCGAAGCACGTCGACTCCCTCCGCTACGCCTCCGCAACTGCGGTGACGTTTATGGTGTACTTCGTCATCGTGGTGGTCATCCACAGCTGCCGCCACGGGCTGCCCGAGAATGTGCACAACGTGAGGCTGGTCGGCAACCAGGAACACGACGTTGATCTGGCCGTGAACGCGGTGTTTCTTTTCCGCACCGGCAACTCCGTCATTCATTCCGTCGGTGTGTTCATGTTTTCTTACATCTGTCAAATCAACGCTTATGAGATATTTTGGGACTTCAGGCCGGAGATTCGCACGACGAAGAACTACACCTGGTCGGCGCTTATCGGCGTGCTGATCTGCGGCGTGCTCTACATTCTCGTGTGCGTGTTCGGCTACTTCGATTTCGGCAGCAAGAACCTCCTCGGCAAGTCGCTGCTGCTGATGTACCACCCGCTGGAGGAGGCGGACGTGATGATCGCGTACGTTGGCGTCATGATCAAGCTGTGCGTCGCGTACGCGCTGCTGATACTTTCGGCGCGCAACTCACTCTACTACTTGATCGGCTTCCAGCACCGCTACCGCAACCGCCCCGACGCCGCGGCGGCCCTGTGTGCCCCGTCGACTCCATCATTTGACAATGTCACGATGGAGCGTGTCGAAGATGCGGACGACATGGTGCAGCAGCCGTCAGTGAAGGCAGCAGTCACCGATGAGGTGTGTGAGGTGAGGACGATGGACGGGCAGCACGAGACCACGCAGGAGGGCGTGGAGAAGGGGCAACCGGGCGCTGACAACGATGGTGTGCCGCTGACGGTGGATGAGGTGGATAAAGATTTTGAAGACAACACCACGGAAGACACCACCTACGTCGACAATATCCCGTTCTGGAAGCATCTCATTGTCGTGCTGTCGCTCTCCGCCGCGTCGCTGCTGTGCGGCCTGTTCATTCCGAACATCAACACCGTCTTCGGCTTTGCGGGGTCGATCAGCGGCGCGTGTATGGCCTTCGTGTTCCCTGCGCTCTTCTTCATGTACTCCGGCAACTTCAGCGTGGCGCAGGTGGGCTGGTTCACCTACCTCAACACCTACATCCTGCTGCTCTGCGGTGTGGTCGGCATCGTGTTTGGCACCGGCGGCACGATCTACGACACAATTTGATAGCAGCGTACAAAAATATCACGTAATGGTAATTCTGTTTTCTCAAGCTTTTATTGGTGGGTCAACAATAGAAGACGACCTCTCGTCTCGATCCGGCTGGGAGAGAGATTTGTGGCAGAGGGCTATCAGCTCCTGTGTGCTGTTCTTGTTTCCTGTTGTGTTTTCTGAGCTGCGTCGTTCTGCAAATGAAATGAGCTTTCTGTTAACGTAGGTTTGTATTAAGATTGTTGTTTTATTAATTGTGTGTCTTAACCGACTCCTAATGTTTTTGCCGCTTCATCGCCAGTAGGTTGGTGAGGCTGCGTAGCCGGCCAACGACGTCGACTATAAAAAGGGACAGTCAGATCATAATACAGTGAATTGGATTATTATTTAAGAAGAAGAAGTTTGTTTTATCTGTATCTCTGCTGTTGTCCTCCACACCCCATACCCTTTGTCTACGTGGAGAGGAGCCACAGGTGCGATTCTCGCGTTTCACATACGTACACGCAGCACGTACGCAGAAGGCGCCCAATTCGAATCTGCCCTTCGCCTGCATGGCACTACTTTACTTGTTCAGGAAGTACGACAGCATCAAAGCTACGCAGGTAATGCGTTATTTTGTGTGTTAGGCTTTCTTTTTTTTCTTCTTTCCTTCACAGGAAGGTTTTGTTTTTTTAAGGGCCTTCAAGAAGGGAGAGAAGATTATTTACCTCTTTCTATGTGCGGCGAGAATGCAGGGTAACTCTTACTCCGTTATGCAATATGACCTTCCTTAAAAATAATCTTTTCTCCTTTTGAAGGAATGATGAGGCTCACTATCAACAAGAAAATAACTAGTCGAGCCCTTTTTTCTTTCTCTTTCTCTCTCTCCATCTCTCTCTCTTCCATGGAGCTAAAGATAAAAACCCGGTGTTACTTGTACATGTGTTGAGTGTGCATGAAAGGTGGACACGGAAGTGGGCCGTTAATGGGTGAGGTTTGGCCGTGGAGCTGTCCCTGCCCGTGGAGATAAACTCTTTCAATGTTGTGTGGCCGGCTTGACCTGCCGCATTCAATTCTGTCGTCTATTAATCCTATTTTTGCTGCTGCTGCTCTCAGTACGGTCAGCACCACTTCTTTTCTTTTTTTTCTTTTTTTCCTTTTTCTTGATTAGATTCAAATTTCTCCTTATAAAAAGACGTTAAAAAATACGCTGAATGTGTTTTCTCTCCTTCCTTGTTTGTTTCCTTTTCTTTTAAGCAGCGGAGACACCTTGTTTTCATATTTTTCCTTTCCAATTCGCTTCATCCTCCTACGATAGCACGTACTAACCTGAGTCGGAGTCCTTCCGCTGTGTCTTGCATGCACTGCATATTAACAAGCGCTTCCATCTCCGTTTCTCTATTGGCTCTCGAGCCACGAGATGAGAAAAAGTAAACAAGAAAAAACTGTAGTCTTTGAGCACAGTTCCATCTGTTTTTTGCTCTGCGGTCTTTTCTGTTTTTCTTCTTTCTTCTCTTCCAAAACAAAAAATAATTTGCGGGATTCAACGAAGCAACCTATTTCGGTGGAGACTGCAATTGCACTGTCGGAACAGCGCCGCTGCTGCGGTGTGGAAGCACTCAGCTTAGAAAAGATAGCGTGCCACACGGATGTGTGCTTTCTTTCCCCCTCTTCTCTTTCTCTACTGATTTTTCTCCTGTTTATCTGTTGTAAGTTTCTTCTCTGCTTTTCTTACATCGTGTTTCAGGTCACAGAAAGTTGCAACGGCAGCTCGGCGCTGAGCACAGTGGCGCCTCCTTGCGCATGTGTTTGCAGCTCTCTTTTTTCATTCTTCTTCTGCTGGCGCACGTCTATTGTGTCTTGTTTATTTGTGAGCATTTATGTCATTTCCCATGGAGGACACGAATACACAAGCACGAGCCACGCACTGCGCACACGTCGCTGTATTCTCTCATCGAGTCTTTCTGAAGCCGTCACTCACCACCTTTTAAGAACCATGTTCGAGTACAATAATTCTGTGAAGGCACTCCTTCATCTTCTAGTCCATAAAACTTTAAAGTACTAGAGAATGAAATTTAAAATAACTCTCCGCTGCACCAATCAAATAGTAGTGTATTATCTCCTTCTTATTTCCGTTTGTATGTTAATCATTTAACACACGCACACACATATATATATACACGCCACTAATATGGGTGAGCGTGCGGGTGCGTAACTACGTACTCAAGTGGCTTTCTGTTCCCTAGCTCATACATACATATATATAGAGAGAGAGATATCTATATGCGTGTGTTTGCCCGTTTGTTTTTCCGTTTTTACGAAATCGCATTTAAAAGCTAAATGATACACCAGAACGAAACTATCGCAAAGCAAAAAACAAAGCAGAGCTGTCCGCGCGACAGGCACCGTCAGCGTATTTACTAATCATCGTATTGCTTTCTATTTCTGTTGTTGCTGTTGCGCGCTCCGTTCTTCGCGTTCCCTCTCGCTCTCTGTGTGATAACAAGTGGGAAGTCTACACTGCCTTGTGAAGTGGGAGCGACGTGCCAGCGCTCTCCCTTCGGCGTCCTCTTCCCCCTTCTTTTCTTCTCCCCGTCTGCCGACGCGCTACTTCAACTTCTGAACGGAGGCTTCAATTGCTTTTCTCCTCCCTCCTCCCCCCTGTCTCTCGCTCCTCGCTGTGATGGCGGTTTGCTTCTTCCTCCTCCTCTCCTCGCGTTACAACGAATAGCTAACTCCGTCTTTGTCCACTCGCCTACAGTCTTTCTCTCGTCTTTCCTCCTGCCTTTTGTGCTACTCCACACTATTTTTTTTTTCAAGCCCCTCCCGCGGTGACGCACGCTTCGCATTGCAGCAGCATGTCTCACCAAGCCAGCAACCGTCACGCCCCCGACGTGCAATCCTACGCGCCGCAGCGTGAGGAGTACTCGGACCGCGCCAGCGGCTCCATTGCGCAGGGGAACATGAACACGTACACAGCGACGACGACGACGGCAAGAAGAGAGAAGCACCATGCACACAAGCACAGCCGGTCGCAGCGCCGCGGTGGCTGCGGGGGCGTCTTCCAGTGCCTGGGTCAGGCGGCGCTGCGCGTTGTGCACACGATTGTCCCGCCGGGTGGCATTCTGTCCGGCGCCTTCAACATGGCGAGCGGGTCCATCGGTGCGGGAATCCTGGGCCTGCCCTCCGCGGGCGACTCCGCCGGTCTTGTTCTTGGCGTCATCTACCTTGTCATCATCACGTACTTCTCCGTGTTCTCCATGTACATCCTTGCCCTGGCGGCGCAGAGCACCCGCATCAAGAGCTTCGAGGGCATGGCGCGCTGGCTGTTCCCGTACGGGAACTACGCCTTCTCCTACTGGGCCGCGTTCATTCGCTGGTTCCACGCCTTCGCCGGATGTGTCGCGTACATCATCAGTGTCGGGAACTGCCTGGGTCCCATCTTCGACGATGCCAAGAAGCGCCACCCGGGCAACAGCGCCATTGAGTTCTTCGCCACCACGCAAGGCCTGCGTGTGCTGACAGTGGTTATTTGGGCGTGCATCATGCTGCCGATGGTGGTGCCGAAGCACATCGACTCCCTCCGCTACGCCTCCGCCTTCGCCATCACCTTCATGGTGTACTTCGTCATTGTGGTGGTCATCCACAGCTGCCGCCACGGGCTGCCCGAAAACGCGAAGTATGTGATGCTCTCTGGCAACGAAAAGGACGACGCTGAGCTGACCGTGAACGCGGTGTTTCTTTTCCGCACCGGCAACTCCGTCATTCATTCCGTCGGTGTGTTCATGTTTGCCTACGTCTGTCAAGTGAACGCTTATGAGATATTTTGGGACTTCAGGCCGGAGATTCGCACGACGAAGAACTACACCTGGTCGGCGCTTATCGGCATGCTGATCTGCGGCACCCTCTACATTCTCGTGTGCGTGTTCGGCTATTTCGATTTCGGCAGCGAGAACCTCCTCGGCAAGTCGCTGCTGCTGATGTACCACCCGCTGGAGGAGGCGGACGTGATGATCGCGTACGTTGGCGTCATGATCAAGCTGTGCGTCGCGTACGCGCTGCTCACCATCGCGGCGCGCAACTCGATCTACTACATGATCGGCTTCCAGCACCGCTACCGCAACCGCCCCGACGCCGCGGTGACCTCCCCCGTTGGCTCCGAGGAGCTGGCGGCGCAGCGCAGCAGCGGCGACGACGTGGTGGCGAAGCCGGCGGGCGCGTCGGCTGCTGGCAACGCGGTGGTGGATCAGGACCTGGACGATGGCCTCGCTGAAGCGGGCTGCGGCGTGCCGACTGGCAAGAAGACCGTCTCGCAAGATGTGGCGGACGAGGTGGCAGCGAACGAGGTGGACAGGGACTTCGAGGACAACACCACGGAAGACACCACCTACATTGACAATATCCCGTTCTGGAAGCATCTCATTGTCGTGCTGTCGCTCTCCGCCGCGTCGCTGCTGTGCGGCCTGTTCATCCCGAACATCAACACCGTCTTCGGCTTTGCCGGCGCCATCAGCGGCGGCTTCCTCGCCTTCGTGTTCCCTGCGCTCTTCTTCATGTACTCCGGCAACTTCAGCGTGGCGCAGGTGGGCTGGTTCACCTACCTCAACACCTACATCCTGCTGCTCTGCGGTGTAGTTGGCATTGTGTTTGGCACCGGCGGCACGATTTACGCGACGATCTAGTCGGTGTGGTGGTGAACTCGCGCACGGGTCCCGTGAGGTAGCGGGGTGTGCAGAGGAACTAAAAAAGAGAGCCTTTTGATGTTGTTTTCCTCGGCCCGCGCGCGCCCTCCGCGAGGTGAACTCTCTCTCTCTGCGGCAGTATGGCAGGTAAGCGACTCGGATGTTTCTTCGTTCGTGTGTGATGGCGAGAAAGCATCGGGCACAGCTGTTCTCGCGCAGCTGACTCGGTGTCCTCCACTCAACGGAAGAAGAGGAAAGAACCCCCGCCGAATAACGGTGTGGTGTTGGTAACGGCATGGATAATGTTGGATGCGCCTTTGTTGTACAGCTGGCTTCACAGTATCCAATGTGTGTGTGTTTGTGTTTTCCCCAGTAATTTAATACCTGCATGTCCAGAGTCAAAGCAGAGAGAAAACATCTCTCTTCACGCATGCCCTTCATTTCCCTTTGTAGAAAAAAATAGTTATCTATATATATATATTGTCTTCTTTTGTTTTCTCTCGGTATAAATAAGCCGCTAAAGACACGAAGCTGCGTCGCCGAGGGAACCTCTTCCGGTTTTGTTTTGGTTGTCGCAGGGCTGCTTCCTTTCGCCGTTCCTTATGTTTTTTGCTGAAACACTCTGGCGTGTGTGTATACATCGATCTGCGCGGGCAATACACGAAATGCGTGCGTCCTCCTCCCACATACACACAACGGATATTTATTTATTGTTTAGAAAGAAGAAAAGGGAAGAGCGTGAGAGTGTGAATGATGAAACGGCTTTTGAGTCTGCCGCGGTGTTCGTCTTCTGTGATGCCCCTCTTTATCTTTCTCGCGCCTTCTGCTTTTGCTGCCGTTGTTCGTCAACGCCACGTTTCTCTTCTTTTTCTCTTTCATTTCTTGCGCAGAGGCAACGCAGAGGATTACCCGGAGTGTCCCTTGTACAGTGTCTTCGAACGGAGACACAAAAACAAACAAACCAGAAAGGAGAACGATCGCACCGACGGAAGGACTCCGTATGATGGCGGCCTCTTCCCTGACGTGCGACTCGCGATTGCTTTTCGTTTCTCGCTCTGCATTCGTTTTCTCCTCGTGTTCCTTCTCGCTAACATGCCGATGCGTACTTCGTTTTTCTGTTCTTGGGTTTTCTGTGTTCACGTTTGTGTTGTTGACGGCGCAGCGAATCCGCCGAATCCGCTCCGCACGTCCCTTTTTTGGAGGAGGAGGAGGAGGGGGGTGCGTGTACACCCCCTCTGTTGATGAGCCACGCAATCGGCTCATGTTTGGGCTGCCACGTATCCCGCGCTTGCTTCGCCAACTCTGCATGCGTGCCTCCCAGCGATGCGTGCTTTCATTCTGCTTCCTTTCCGCTCTCTGCTACTCGCGCCTCTGCATGTTTGAAGCAAGTTGGACGAAGCGAATGACCACCTCTCCACAAACAGCAGCAGATAGGCGAAATGCGAAGACGCCGTCGACCGGCAGCGCTGGCAATGGACGCCATTTAGCCAGACGCCACGAACTGAACGGAAGACATTACATCCTGGACGTTCTTCTTTCGTGAACACGACGAGAAAAGAAACACTTTCTCCGGTGCGTGTGCGACTCCACAAACTGTCCTACTCGTCGCGCATCGGCACAGGAACAAAAAAAAATATCAAAAATGACTTTTGAGACTTTCTCCTTTTTTATTATTTTTGTCTTTTCACCAGTGGTATGAGTGTGGAGCACGTGGAGCTGTGAACGCCTCTTGCTCCACATTTCTTGTTTTTTGATTTTTGAAGGTGGTGCGGCAGAGTAGGACTCTTTCAAACTTGAGAGCGAATAAAAGCAACATAGTGTAGTTGTCGAAGCGTAAAACCAAAGAATGTACCAGTCGGAGAGAGACCTTTCTTTCTGGAGATGCGAATTTCGAAGGTAAGAACGAGACGCAGTAAGGTCATTCCTCCATGAAGACCGCTGGTACCTTTGTTCACTGAAATACAATGCGCCGACCCGTATCCTCGGCGAGAGGCTATCAGGACTTCCGATTGTTTGTTTACGACGGGCAAAGAAGTGCAGCGGACAATAGGGTGTTCTTGCGTCCTCATCGGTGTTGTCTCTGCCTCTCACGCTCTCCCATCTCTTTTACCATAACTCGTCTCTGTGTCTTCTGCACGAACTCACCCGCTTTTTCGCTTACATCTCCCCTCTTCACTAGCCGCCGCGTTGAAGGGACGGCTCCTCTTTTAATATTATTATTTCTTGCCTCCGTCGACCTGATTGAGTAGGAGCAGCAGCTCATACGGAGAGCGAAGAGATCTCATCTTGATCACTCGCTTTCCTCACCATTTAGATTCCTCTCCCCACACTGTCGCGTGTTTAACTGCGAAGCTCTACAAAGTATATGGTCGCTGCGCTGTTGTATTGAGTTTCCCTTTCATCCCTCCAGCGACATCTCCGAATCTTCTCGTTCATCGACCTGCTACAGCACGTACATTGTTGCTTTGTTTTTTGAAGGTGCCCTTGGAAGGTTTTATCCGCTCTCCGTTTCTTCTCGCTGCTCTTTAGACAGCGTGCCGCGCCTGCGTATCATTGTGTGTGTTGAAGCGCGCACGTCCGCGGCTGGAAGTGTATCCGTATTTGTGTAGGACAACAATTCATCTCCCCTTAATCACCCGTTTCGTGGGCGTGTGTTGTTGTCTCCTCTCCCTCACACAGACACATACACACACACATATATATATATATATGAGTTTTGATTTCGCATTCCATCGCGCACAGACATAAGTGGACTTGTACTTCCCAAACACGCCAAAAATAAAAGGAAGGAGAAGCCGATCGATATTGTAATGGCGCTTCAGTACTCGCTAGACACGATGCGTGCGCAGGGCATCGGAAGCCCCTACAAGAGCGTAGAGGAGTTCTTCATCGCCGACCCCGCCAACGCCTCCCACCGCATTCTCGATACCTCCCGCACCACGCTCGGGTGGCTCGAGATCCCTGGTGCCTTCCTGAACATCAAAGCCTACCAGGAGGGCATCGGCATTGGGTGCAGCGGGTGGGGCGTAGACGTTAGCCTGCTGCCCTCTCTCTTCCCCGCCGTGTACTGGTTCCTAGGCATCATGCTGATCCGCCAGCTATGTCGTGAGCCTTTCGCCCGCTTCGGCATTCACATGGGAGTGGTGACGGAGAACTCGGCCTGCCATCGCCGCCGCATCGACGCCGGAAAGCGGGGCACCGCCGCCTTGTCCCTGCGCAACCAGCGTAAGATTCTCAAATTCCAAAACCAAATGTGGCTCGCGATGTTCTACATGGTGTCCACCTTCTTCGGCTACTGCGTGCAGCGGAATCAGCCGTGGTTCAAGCTACCCCTCGATGATACGGCCAGTCTGCACCTGCTGCTCCCCCACCCCTACAACCCGCCGCAGGAGCTCGTCATGTACTACCACTACGGCCTCGCCTTTTACTTCGCCGAGCTCTTCTCGCTTTTCCTGCTGGAGCGGCACGTGAAGCGGTCGGACTTTATGGAGTACGTCGTGCACCACATCACCACCCTTCTCCTCATCGTCTGCTCCCACGTTGGACTGGAGCACCGCTTCGGCGCCTACGTGCTCTTCATCCACGACGCATCCGACATCATGCTGTCCTTCAGCAAAACGCTGCATTACATGTCGCAGGAAGACGAGGCCCGCCGTGCGCGCTACGACGCGAAGCATGCCAAGCGCAAGGATGGCAAGACGTACCGCCAGTCCTTTCTTTTCCGCCGCATCATCACGGAGACGAACATGAACGTGTGCTTTGCGATATTCACCGCTCTCTTCTTCTTCTTCCGGCTGTGGTGTCTCCCCTTCATGGGCAAGGCGACGATCCGCATGGCGCCCAAGGTGCGCCACGGCAACGTGAACACGTGGATGCTCGTCTTCCTGCTCAACTTTGCGCTGCAGAGCCTCCACGTGTACTGGGGACTCCTGATTGTTGTCATGGCCGTCTCCCTCGCGGTGGGAGGGGAGCGGAAGGATATCCGGTCCGAAGAGGAGGTCGACGAGGAACGCCCGTCGTGCGTGCATTGGCGGTTTCTCAGCGAAACGGACGACGAGGACGTGGAGCACCGCAAGCGGGCACACGAGGCGACGCGGAACGGTGAGCAGGCGGAGACGACGATCCGTGGACGGACCAACGCGCATAGCAAAGGCACTCGACGTCGTCGCAGCACGTCCGTTAAGACGAAGTAATGCATCCAAAATACAAGAAGTTGGCCTTGGGGCGGCTCCCATCACCGTGTTCGAGGGAGTGCGAGCAGCAACAGGAAAAAAGGAGTCTGTCCCATGAGGCGCCGGGCAAGATGTGTGGCGACAAGGAAGGAACAACAAAGGAGCGTGAGGTGCAAATTCTGGAGTACGGAAAGCATCTCCACTGCGTTTTCTGCTCCGTGTCCCTCTGCGTGGTCTTTTGTTCTCTCTCCTTTTTGTTGTGGTTGTGGGAGTAAAGAACGTATCTCGGTTTCCTTCCTGTTTCAACGAACGCATACACACACCCACACCCGACGTTTGGCGGGTTCTAGAATGAAAACGCGAGATGGGCCTGCGTGTTCACGTGTGTGTGTGTGATGCAGCAAAGGTGCTATCATAGCAATCTGTGCCGCAGTATTTGTGACTATCGATGCTGTTGTTGTTGTTGTTTTCGCAGCCGTTCGTTTCTTTGCGCGATGAAGACCACGTTGCGATGCCACGCTATGGCTCAAGTGTTCATTGCAAAAAGAATGTTGTTGCAAGTCGCTGCTCTCACCAGTCGTGTCTGTGTACTTCATTCAGCGGTACATCATACTTTTTATTATTATCATTGTTACTATTGGGGACGCTGTGTCTGCGTGTCTATGTGTTTGTTGGCTGTCGATTCCAGGGTTCGATTGTGTTCTTTTGTGGGAAAGTGGAAAGCTCCAAGTTGTGGGTCGCGTCATCGCGAATCATGAGTTTTGGCTGTTACAGCTCCACGTTGCTTTTCATCCTAGTCCTTCCAAAACTCTTATTAACAACACTGATTTCCAAAAATGGGCCGGTCTTCGAAGTGGATCAAGAGATGGAAAGCGAGATTATCGCCTGCCATGATAAGTCGATATGACCCTTTAGAACCCAAAAAAGGGGAAGTGCTAGCGATCACTCTCTTTTCTTGTGGCGGAAATATGTGTGACTATTTGGGCTTTTCTTTGGGTAATGTCTCCCCCGATCTTTTGCTTAGTATCATTATTGAACTTAATGAATTTGGTGATGTCTTGTGCCACTTTGCCGTGGGGTCTGGGTTTTCTCTTTTCTGTTCATCAGTACTCTCGTTGCCACTACATATATTCCTCTTTCTTTTTTTTTTTCTGAGTGAGAATGGGATTACTCTGATGATGCGAAATTGTCGTGGGAATTTTTGCTCTAGACGTGTTTGTCTTTTTCTGACTCTTGAAGCCATTCTTCTTAGCTTATACTCCAGGAAATGCTGCTTCTGCCTGCGTTCTTTTGCACTGCGTAAGAACCGTTTGTGTTTGCATGTTGGGAAAAGGAAGTTTCTTGATGTTGACGTGTCTTCCTCTACCCGTGTGTGGTGGGCGTGTTATAGTAGAAGAGAAAGGTAGACCAAAGGTGCTGCGCTGCCTCCACGGTGAACGAAAAGGAAAAATAAGCGCGTGCTGTGATGTTTCTCTTCTCTTCTTGGAGGAGGGATGTTCATGTCTTATGAGCTAGAGCGGTGGCAACGACCGTGTCCGGTCTTATGTGAGTGTGTACGTTTTAAGTGGATGTTAATACTGCCCGTCTTAACCAGTGTGTGTGTGGGTCTCTTCGTTCTCGCACAAGAAAACGATCTCAAAAGGAGAAATGCTGTTGGTGTTGCTCTTTGTGATCCCGTCAACTGCAACACCCGTGGCGCTCACGTTGATTTTGTTTTGATGTTACCCACGGCGGTTCTGGTCCGAAACAGCCAGTGAAGCAGCGGCGACGGTTGCCCTCGTGTTCCTCACTACTTGGGCCAGCACGCTGAATTCTTCAACCAACATACCAAAAAGAGGCAAGCGGTTCCATGTACGTGCACTGATGAGGCGAGGCGCACCTCTGCGTGATGTCATCGTACGCCATGCAAATTACAAACCTTCACAGGTACACTTCCTCCCACGCTGGGCACTTCCCTGTACGCTCATCTCTTTCCTAACCCTCGTTCTCTTCCTTTCACGTGAACACGCGGCGTTCTCAAATGCTGCACAAATGCTGGAGCCCTTTTGAAGCAGAGCAATCTCTCTTTTCTTTTTCTGGAAAAAACAAAAATTTGTTTCACTACAACTTACAGAGCTCTTCTTTCGTGTGTTTGTGTGTGTGGTTGTTGTCTCTAAAAAGAGCCACGTTGTTTTTCTTCGATCCACGTTAACACCAACTTATTTTCTTAGCTTCCCGAAGCTCCGTTGGTCCTTTGATATAATTGCCTTTTTCTTTCCTTTTCCTAGCTTTCCTGTTGGTAAAGTACGGTGAATATGTACCACCTGTCTCCGTTCTCTTTTAAATAGCATTTTCGTCTTCCTGATCTTTCGCTGAGCTGCGTTCCGCCGGTTACGCTGCCGTGCAGCTGTTTGCACCATCTGAGCTGACGTGCTTCTCTCTTTCGCTGCTTCTTTCTGTTCTTCTCCCTTTTCGTCGTCTCCCCACCTACATATATACTTCTTTACATCTACAACATCGGTGTTATTGCTGTCTCATTACGTCTGTTGTGCTTTCCTTCTTTCACTCTCTTCCTTTCTTTCCCTCGCGGGGTTTCTTCGCCGCGCCGGGCTCTTTTGTTTGTTTTTGTTTGCTCCTTCGTTTTTTCCCCTGCGTGCGTTTCGATCTCATCTCACTTTCTTCTGTGCCGTCGGAGGAGACGATCTCCCTCAGCGCTTTTGGCGTGCGGAGCTCAGCTGGACTTTTCGTCTTCTTCATTTTGTTCTCATAATATTTTCTTTCACTTTTCGCGAAGCCGCTTGACACGTCCGTGCCGACAAAAATGCTGCCCGCACCTTTTTCCAGCGCCGAGGCCCGGCAGGTGCCTCCCACTGAAGCGACAGGCTCAGGGCCCGCTTCTTCCCCTCCATCACCGCAGCCGAGTCCACCACAGCTGGCGTACTGCCCGCCCTATTTCCCTCAGCAGCAGGCGCAGATGCCGATGATGATGTACCCCTACTTGTATCCACCCATGCCCACGCCCGGCTACATGCCACCTTCATCCGCGCCCGCAGCGGGTGCGCAGCCGCCCAGCCAGCTCAACACTCCCCCGCTGCTCGATCCCTCCCTGCAGCAGCAGCAGCAGCAGATGTTGATGCAGATGCGGATGATGTACCCCTATCTATTCCAGCCCATGTATATGCCCGGCTACGCACCACCACCGGCAACACAGCCGCCGAGCCAGTTGAGCGCGCCTCCCCAACAAGAGGACTCGTCTCCGCAGCTTTGGGAAGATCATTCCCAGCCGCCGCAAGAGCAGCAGCAGCAACAGCTGCCGATGTACGCACCGTGGAGCGCAGCCGCGCCGCAGCACCCTCCTTCCGCCATCCTTACCAGCGATCTCTTCGCTCCTGGCACCTTCCTCTCACCCGCCTCCATCATGCCACCGCCACCGACCACCGCGCTGGGCTACGCGCAGGGCACCCCGACTGTTCACCTGGGACTCAAGGTAGCGGTGGCCTCCACGAGGAAAATTCTGACCTGCTACGCTCTGCTCTTCCTCTTCCTGCTCGCTACCGGCCTCATCCTCCTCGGGGCGTGGTGTACCCCGGCCAGCCGAGATCATCTCTTCTTCACTCGGCCCACGCCTGATGTCATGGAAAGTGACACGTATGCACGCTTTTTTGGCGGCGCTACTGGGAAGATGCTCTCCACCTACGCGCACTACGCACCCTGCACGGTACTAAAGCAGCATGGCTGCACCGTGCTGACGCAGCGAGATATTCTGTACTGGTTGGCGAACATAACAAATGGGATGCAGGATCCTTTTCCTGATATCTTCGTCTACAGCAACGTATCCGATGGTATCTTGAGCTCTTGCGAGTACTTCTCACGTCCCGCACTTCCGACGCATCTACCGGCGAATCACGTGAACGGTAGTCTTGTAAACCGTACTGTGGAAAAGGGTCTGATACTACCCTCAGGGAACGTTGGTGTCGCCCCCATCCTCGGCACTGACAACAGAGGGAATGACGCCTTCGGTAGCGCGGAGCAGCTGGAATTGTCGCCGGAAGACGTCGATCCGGAAACACCAGCCAATCGTTCTCTTGCACCACGTGAGATTGGCCTCGTGCTTCGGCACAGGTTTTGGCACGCACCAGAGGTCCCTACCCTCCCAAAAATAATGGCGAACAAGACAGGCATCCGCATGCATCTCCATTCCACCTTTCCCGAGGGAGTGCGAGCCCGCTTCCTCGTCACGTGCAACACTGACAGAGAGACGACGGACATGCTCAAGCTTGCACGGGTCCTCCGCGTCAACCTCACGGACATCGTCCCCGCTAATCACACCGGTACCGCCTTCCCGCTCTCCGCCTACACGCTCTTCACCGCCACCCCCAACTCCCCCATCTCGTACACCTTCAACACCTCCCTGCCCTCGTGTGCGCACTACTACATCTACTGCGAGGATCCCAGCGTGTACGTCCTGCTCGCCTCGGCCAACGAGCTGCGTCGGTGCGGCGGGGGCTCCGTGGTGGCCAACGCGACTCTGCCAGACGCCCTCGTCACCGTCGTGGTGTGTGACGTGGTGCCGCGCGAGATCGGCGTCGACCCCCGCAAGAACGGTGACCTGCTCTTCACCGCCAGGGGCGTCTTCTCCATGCACCTCACCGTGGGTACTCGGTCCGTGAAGTTTCCAGACGCGTACCAATCCTTCGACGCCGGGCTGAGCACGTCGGCGGTTGTCTTCATCATCGCTCACGCTCTGGTGCTCGTTTCGATGGTGCTCCTCGCCACCGCAGCGTGTCTCATCCCGGTGCAGCGCTGCAAGCTGCATCGACTGCGGGCCGCCCTCGAGGAAGACGCCGCCGTTGCCATGGCGATCCTGTACCGCGCACAGGGCGCCCTCACTGGACCGCTGCCGCCGGTTGCCGCCTCCGCCACCGCGGCGGACTCCCCGGTCCCCCACGACGACAGCAACGCCGGCAGAAGCGGAAGCGAAGGCGGCCGCATCGCCACCGCCTCCGCACTTGCACCCGCACCCGATGCCTCCATGTACGTCGCCTCGCCCTTCTACCGGCCGGCGGCGGGGACGGAGGTGGTGCGGGTGGGCGATGCGTTGATGGTGTTGGCACCGCACCCGCACATGCAAATGCAAATACACGCGCCGCAGACGTCGCAGTCGCCCTACGGCGAGGGTCACTACCTGTCCCAGTCGGGCGAGGAGGCGGAGGCAGAGGAGGCGTCTGCGCTGGTGCGCACCGTCGGCCTCCGCGACGCCCCTGAGCCGGACGAGCACCGCCGCAGCAGCAGCAGCAGTAGTAGCATTAGCAGCGGGTCAGAGAAGGGAGGGGAGGAGGAGGACGACGCTGCCTTCATGGTGCCGGAGGGGGTGGTGTCGCCAACGGAGATCGTGCTGCCCATCACCACACCAGCGCGTGCGAATCCGCAGCAGCAGGAGCCCGGACAAGATGCTCATGAGCTCGAGTCGCTCCCCAGCACCGCCTCTCCTCCACCGCCGTCAGAGCAAGCGGACAGCGACGAGGGCGGTGAGGCGCGCCTGCTGCGCAGCGTGGCCGTCATCGACAACACCAGAGGCAACAACAGCCACCACCGCAGCAGCAGTAGCACCGGCAGCGCCCCCGCCCGCCTGCACGCGTCGCCGCTATCGCCCCCACCACCGGAGGAGCAGCTGCAGCACTACCCGCTCCCTCAGACGCTCCCGGCGTTGCGGAGTGCTGGTGCGGTGCCAGAGCACGGCGGGGTGACACCGACAATGCCACCTGCGCAGCAGCACCCACCGGCGCTGCAGGCGACGGCGCTGCCCAACACGGACTGGATGTTCACCCAGACACGCCACCTCGTGAGTCCGGAGGCGCTGGAGGAGAGCGCGCCCGCCACCCCGCACAGCCGACCGACGCGATCGCGGCTGCAGCGGCTGCGTGACCGAGTGCTGCACCGCCGTAGCGCGTCGGAGGACGGCGCGTCGGTGCGGGCCAACTTCCCTGGCAGCTCCACCGACGAGGAGGACAGGGAAAGCGACGACGCCGCGGCCGACCGCCACTACGCCGCGCCGGAGAGCTCGCCCGGGGAGCGTACCATCCAGCTCTTCGTGATGCGTGCTCGCAACTCGTACCGCCGCACGCGTCGCGCGCAGGTCCACGTTCTCCGCACGGTCTTTCTCTACATGCACGTGGTGGCGATCTTGGATGCCGTTTTTATTATTTTGGTGTTGGGCTTTCAGCTTTCCGGAGTCTTTGTGGACTTCCCGGGCCGACTGCAGCTGCGGTACGGTGACACACTGACGATGAAGCGACGTGTGGATAGCGGCCACCTCGCGCAGCTAATTATTTCGACGGTCCTTTCCATCGCCGTCGTTGCCGTGTCGCTTGCGATCCGCTGGCAGCGTGTTTGGTAAGGCAACACGCTCAGTTGCCACGACGGTTGCTTGTGTGCGGAGGTGGTCGTGAAGCAGCCGTTAAGTAGAGTGAGAGCACTGTCTACTAGAGAAAACTGGCAAATAGCGGCTTTTTTTCCCGTTTATAGTCCTTGTGCGGATGTGGTGAAGTTATCGGTACTCTTCTGTGAGGGTGCTGTGCATCTGCGTGGGAGTTTGTTCTGAATCTCCTTCCGTAGCGGTGCTTCTCGCTTCCTGGTCACTGTCCGTTGTTTTCTCTGTTTTTTTCCCGCTTGCCTTCGTACGTTTTGTTTTACTTTTTCTTGTTTTCGCCTCCACTCCCCGATCTCGCTCCTCAATAGCAGGTTTCACCTTAAGCTTCGAGGAGTGGAAAAGCGAGCGAAGAGTGCGTAGGATAACTCCTTTCCGCTTACTCCCTTATTTTCGTATGTGGGGTGTGTTTTGCGCGTGTGTATGTGTGTGGAAGGGGGGAGGGGGGAGGGGGTATAGTGAGCGTACTATAATAATAAACGGCCAATGTTTACTCTGTACTTGTAGTGCCTGTGTGTGTCTGTGTGTCTGCACGGGTGTGACGCCGTACACGTGTCTCACCCAGGCATTGGTCTAAGCTGGTTCGTATCGACAATGATTCCGCTGCACGGAAAGCGGCGGCGGCGCAAGCCCATGAAGGCTCGCACAGAAGATGTACTGTGAAGACGCGGTAATACCAACGTATAGCGGTCGCTGTCTTCTCTCTCTCTCTCAAGATCGGCAGAATATTCTCCACGTCATCAACAGGCAGTGAACTTTTTTTTACGGGTCTCTGCGCTTTCAATATCCTTTGTGGCAGCGATTGAGTTTGCCTGGCCTGCTGAGTCGGCATCTTCACGATAAGTTTGTGTGTGTGTGACATCCATCATGCTCGTAACGCCTGAGCTGCGCATCGCTGCCTCATGAATGGTCGACGTGAACTGAACAGCTGCATCTCCTTTTTTTTAATCCCTCATTGAGTTTGCTTCTTCTTGTATGGACAGGCAATAGGCGCCGTTTCTCACGCTCTCGGCGCATACTCCCGTCAACTAATCCTTTTTTTAATAGTTAAAGAAACGGCCTTGCTCCGCCGCAATGGAGTCAAGCCACGTGTTTGCGCGCTGATCCCTCTTCTCATACGAGTGGGGGAAGTCTTCTATCTGACCAATAAATAAAAAAAGGAAAGGTACAACTCGTCCCTTTTTATGGCCGAAGCAGACTGGGCATTACCGGCACGTTCGTGGACGCATAACGCACGATGGTGCAGTACTTCGTCTGCTCTAAACTGCGCGACATGTCTTTTTATAGTACACCACGAATGGACGGCTAATCCGACCTGCCCGATGCCCGTTATTCCCCAAGCGGAGGGCTATGACACACACGGCCCTCCCTGAGTCCACGGGTCTCAGTACATCTGTAGAGACAGATGACGGGAGTTGAAGCAGGAATCTCCACTCAACGTTGTCACTCAGCATGAAGACCTGCAGCCTACGCGTACAGACCCAAATGGAGCTACAAGCACGCGTGTCGTAGTCTGCAAAATTCCGCACAATCGAACAAAAAAGGATTGGGACTTTAGGGGCACCCACTCCCCCCTGTGCTGGGTCGCATTGAGGACACATCCCGCCTCCGGTGCTGCTACTGCGCCGCAATCCTCGATGCGCGGTGGGTAATTCGACACGTCCGACCCGCCCGCCGCGGCTGTCACGGATGTCTTTTGTTGCCACGACAGCCGCCTAGGGAGAGACCGTTGTGACAAGGCTGTTGGCACTCTGAGCCTGATGGACGCGGCTTTGGCGACCACCACAACTTTACGGCTCTTTACGTTTTGGTGCGTATTATTATTTTTTCCCCGATGCATCGGTTTTCTCCGACGACGGTACGCGTACAGACCGTCGCAGGAGGTTCCTGTCTCGACGCCCAGGTCCGTGTTTCCACAGGTGTACTGAGTCCCGTGGGCTCAGGGGGGAGGAAAGGCCCCGTCTCCACTAGTATTGTTTTCTTTTAGCCCTGGAGTGTTGACGCGCTCCATTGCTTCCGGCTCAAAAGAAAAAGAAATGGCGCCGCTACTTCCCGCACGGGAGGCGCCGCGTTCGTCCATTTGTCTACTAGAGGCGTTTCGCAAGACCGCCGCATGCGGTGGAAGACCTCTCCCAGTCAATTTGCGAGGCTGTCACTGCACAGAAGATCTTTCCGGAGGACCCTCTCGATGCCGTGTCGCTCTCTGGACTCTGCTAGGGCCGGGCAGACCAGGAGGTGCTCCGCAGACTCGGCGTGCGGCTCCTCACGAAACAACGGGGCTTCTGTTTGCAACACACGATGTTCCTGGATTTCTGCGTTGTGCCTGTAAAGGGCCAACTCATCAACGAATTGGCTCCCGCACCTCAAACACTGCAGACATTTTAATACACTAAATATTCGGACTTCGGGTTCTGCCTGACCGTTCAAAGAAACCGCATGTGACGTGAGAGTGGTGTCGGTGGACATGCTGCCTCACCTCTGGGCGGGGGCGGATCCTCTTATTGCAGTTTGCGCAGCGATAAGGTGTCGTGCCTGCGGGTACGGGCTGGGGAGAACGTGCTGCTTCTGTGTGGTACCTCCGCGTGTGGCAACTAAGAGACGCTGGGCTAGCGTAGGTAGAGCCAAATAAGGGACCTACGGAAGGTTCCATCTCTACAACCCTTCTGTAAATTCACAGCGGCGCATGGGCGAGCCATCCCCTGCCGTGTCAGCACGCTGCGACACACAGTACACCTTAACTGGCCAACGGCAAGGACTGGGTTCGTCGCGGGTGACCGCGGGCGCGTCGTGACGTGTCTACTCTGGAAAGAAAGAGGCAGCAGAACGTGCTTCGTCTTTTTTCTTTTTTGCTCACGACAGGTGGGAATTTGCGTACGGCGAAAGATACAAAAAGAAATCAGCCGTGGAATGTTCATCGGAATATGGCAGAGTAAGAAAAGAGAGAGAAACGCTCGTACAGCTCGTTGAGCATCTTCATCGTGCAATCATCCGTCTATCAGGCTACCAAAAAAGGTGTTTGTGGATTGCGTGGAACGTCTTTAGCGATGCAACGCCTTAACACGTGTTCCGTCCCCTGTAAGCAGTTTTTTCTTTAGAGATCGAGCTGAATCACGCGGTGCTTCTTACTCCCGCGGACTTCCATCGCATCGTCTCTTCCTTCTCGTCTCTCCTCTTTTTTTCTTTGGCTTTTTCTTTGTCCACGCGCCTCACTCATCGATCATTTCTAAGAAAACGGGAAGGTGCAAAGTGTGACTATTTCCTTCTCGTGAAGCGATAAGTCCGTCTCTCTCATTACTCCATTGAAGAGCATCGCAGCCCCTTCCTCGCTACACAAAGTTATAGGTCAAGCTTCAGCAAAGAGGACACCCACGGCAGGTATAGGAGGAGGCGCTGTTTTCCAGGCAGACTCCTTTCGCTCTGCCGCTCTTTCCACCTCCGTGCGCTCCACCCATTAAAGCGCTCTCCGCAGACTTCATCGTTGTTTTCTGTTAAAGCCTGAGCTGTCCTGCCTCCCTCCTTTATTATCATTTCGTTTCCTGCATCCTTTTGTTTTCCTTCTTTGTTTGTTTGCGTGTGTGTTCCTCTCACTCCTTTAAGAGAGCCGTGATGGACGCTGAAACTCAAATCATCGTGGCCGCGGTGGTGTGTGGGTTGCTTCTCGCTCTCCTCGGCGTCTTCATCGGCCTCATTCTCTACTTCGGGTGCGCCATCATGTGCTGCTGCTACAACGAGAAGTACGACGTGTGTGAGCATGCCGCACAGAAGCGGGCGCGGAACCGCTGCGCAAGAATCGCCATTGGAGACACTGCAGAGAGCATCAATCCTCTGGAGCGGACAGACGTCAGTGTGCTGCACAGCCCGGGGCCACCGCTGTCGCTGGCGGCGGACGCACCGGTGGGCTGGGCAGCGGAGGCTGGGGAAGGCACTCAGGCAAATATGCCTTCAGCGCAAAGGAATGACGTTGCTGCCTTTCAAAACGACAGGTCGGCGTCGATCTCGGATGCGGCGGTGACACCCAGTCGCACCCGTGAGACCTCTGTGTTCACCTCGCACACAGGCGAGACGTCAGCGACCACCTGCTTCACGCTGCAGCCTGTCACTGCAGAAACGGTAAGAACGGCGGCGGAGTCATCGGTGGACGTCTTCATGCGCTCACGGTCCGGCTCGTTCTGCAGGGAGTATCAGCTTTGAGTGAACACGATGAATTCATGATGCTTCCTTTTTCTTTTTTCTGCAGAATTTCATTCATTTCATCTCTTGCGATTTTTTTGTTTTCATTCTCTCTCTTATGTTCTGGTTGGGCCTCATCTTTCTGTCGTTGCTAAATGAAGTATATCACCGCGTTTATCCGTGTTACGTACTGACGCAAACATTCTTTTTTTTCTCTCTCTCTTTTTCTCATGTGCAATTGCGTTGAGTCACGGCAGACCTTTGCTGTATTATTCAATTCCCAGCTCCGGTGGTCTCCCCCCCCCCTTCTCCCTCCACCGCTCTTGACTCTAGCAACATCAAAAAAAAAATCTGCTTTGTAAACGGTTTTCTTCTCGTGTATTTATCTTTCTGTGGTTTCTGTTGTCACTTTCGCAAACGAAGTGCGTCAAACCATCAGAAGGAGGAAAGCATCCGCATTCATCTTGTGCTCACAAAGCGCCGCTTCTCCCCGGTTATTTTCTGTTATTGCTATTTCTGCTTTCGATGAGTGAGCTTCCTCTTCTCTCTTCGTTTCATGTTTCTTCATTACTTGTTGCTTTCCGTATCCCGGGAAGCGGAAGATCGAATAAGCGAGGTGATGATTCTTTTTTTTTTTTAAGGTGATCTATAATACGCTAAAATATATCGCGTCCAGAAGGTTTTTGCGGGTCTATTGATTCTGCATTTATTCTGACGTATCCGTGAAAAGTTTTTTTAGTTTTAATTGTTGTGTACTACAAATGCAACCAACATCTCTAAGCTGAAACTGAGCTGTTGAGCTGCTCAGGATAGTCACTCCACTCTCTCCGAAACACGTGTCACAGAGCGTGACTTGCTTACTGCTTGTAAAACGTTTCCTTCTTCTTCTTTTTGTCTTCATTTTTCTCTTCTAAACCTGCGCGATTCATTTCGCTCAATCTTTATGAAGACAGTGCGAGTACAAGAAATTCACGCTTTCTTCTGCCTGTCGGCTGTGTTGGAGCTGCCACTTCTCGCGTCCAAAGTGGCCGTTAAATTCTCCCCTTTTGTTTCTTTCGTCTCTCTTACTGTTTCTTTGTCCTATAGATACGAGTCCCTCCCTCTTCCCTCTCCCCCCCCCCTCCTCCCTCCCTTTCCTTTTTATGTATCTTCGGGTGTGTGTGTGTGTGTTTTCTTCGATTTTTCATTGTTCCATGCGTGCTCTCTTGACATGTGCAGCGCGCATTTCCTCTCTTTTCTTGTTTTTACACAGATCTTGCGTACCCGCAGCGGCCGCCGTTATCGCGCTTCTCAGCGCTTTCTTTCTTACCGTTGACTTTATGAAAGCTGCGCTCTCCTTTTCTTTCTCTTCCTCTCTCTTTCTCTATCTCTTTTTCGGTGTTTTACCAACGGCATATGCAGACACTGTGATGCTGCTTCAATTGAGACGGAGGACGGATAACTGCACTACAACTGATGCAATTTGCTCAAAAGAAAACCTGCTCGCAAAAAAAAGTTTCTTTATGTAATACCTGGTATGTGGCGTCAACTGTGCTCTGCGATCCGAGTGAATGAGGCTTCATATGTAAGAAATCGAGGTTGAAGCAAATGCCTCGCGCTGTTGTAGTCGCTGCTGTTTTGAATGCTTTTCGGACCCATGTGCATCTTACTTTCGTTGTTGTGTACCTCTTGTGACTCTTCCTATTTTGGAAGTATTTTGTTGTTGCTTGTGTGTTTGCGTGCTTGTGTGGGTGGAAGCGTCCCATGAACTGGAGAAAGGAGAAAAAAAACTCTCTCCTCCTGCACTGCAAGGGTGATTTGAAGCCTTTTTCCTTTGAATGGCTTGTGTAGATAGTACGTATCTTTTCTTTTGCACGACGGAGGATGCTACGTGTTCTGCAGCACGCATCTTCGCCTTTTTTTTTCTAATTCACGTGCTCAGCGTTGTGTGCGTGTGTGAAGGAGCGTCAATGCCATCAACTACGAGAAACACAAGAAAGAAACCTGCAAGGAGCTGCCATGCTCTCTTAACGAAAGACCTCCGTACTCTTTTACGGCTCTCCCTGACTGAGTGATCGCCGACGTCTCTCCTGTTTTTTTCTTCAAGGTGCTGCGTTTACTTCGATGGCTTGCTGACGAGATGCGTTCCCCAAAACGGGGTCCAAAACATACACATTGCACTTTTGGAAGCTTCCCATTGTGAAGCAAAGGTTCTAAATCGTGCCCACCACCCGCAGCGAACGGCATTTTCTCATTTTGCAGATGAATGAAAAGCTGTTGCGAGCTTAATTTCCGTAAGATACGCAAATACGTACGTATGATGGTCTCTTTGGTACCTCTTTCTTCTTCTTCCTCTTACACCCTCTTTCTGGCAATAATCTCGTGGTGTTGTTGCTGCTGTTTTTTTTTGTATTATTCCTCTCCACCTGCTCGCACACCTTCGGCATTGCACTCTCGCGATACTTTGCTAGTTGCTTACCGCTTGCGTGGTTCCTTTTTCTGTACACAACTCACCACCGCGAACAGGCTTTCTTTGGTGGGCAAAACCCTTTTGCCTGCTGCTGTTCATAAGAACAAGACCAAGCTTATGCGTTAATACACTCTTATATATATATATACACTTTCCGGATTGATAGGCAGTCGTACAAACGCCTGGTTTTTCAACTATAGCCTTTCTCTTTTATATATTGACTTCTTTTTTATATTCACAGCTACATTGCAAGTTACAGCTCCGCTCGTGTCTCCATCCAGTGTCACCTCTTTCCCCCACTAGTCTATCGACGCCGCAGAATACCCGCTCGGGGTAGCATGTGCTGTCGGACACATCGGTAAGCATCGGAAAAGCTTAGCGGTTTGTCTGCCACACGGCCGCCGCTGCCCTCTTTCAACGTCGTAATAAAGCCGAGTTTTCTTCGCTGGCCTGCAGCTGCCCAGATACACTCCTGCTGTTGTTTCTTTCCCCCATTTTCTGCTTTGATTTGAGAAGGCTGTTGCTCTTTGCCAACCTTGCAACGCATACGGTACACCCTTCTCTCTCTCTCTCTTTCTTTCATTGTGGGTGCTTACATCTTTTTCTTACACGCACTGGCCTGCGGAGACAGTCCGTTCTCTTTTTTTTTCCAATAAAACCACATAACTGTGTTCATACGGCGCCGCACGTTTCTGTGAGTTCTTTGTTCATATCTACCCCTTCTTTAATACGTCCAATGGCCTCTTCCCCCACGAACAAAGCTGGCATATCGGCAGTGAACCGTAAACGGCAGCATCCTAGCCACGTGTCTGATCATGGCTCTCCTCCTGCTGCTGCTGTCAAAGATCGTCCTTTTAATCACGCGCTGCATGCGGGAGAGCAACGCAACGCAACGCCGTCTGCACCGCGCCCGGCCTCCCCCCTTCGGGATGATCTGACACTGCGTGCTGCCGGTGCCTCTGAGCTGCCTTCTCGTGTTCAGGAAGGGAAGAGCGCCAACCTCTCTCCGTCCCCCCGGCGCATCGCAGCTCCAGGCGAGCGGAAGGAGTCGTTGAAAGTGGCTGCGCGCGGCTAGTTCCCGCATCCGCCCTTCTCTTTCGCCTCCTCGCCCTCCTTAATCGGCCGTTTCTGCCGCAGTCGCTTCGTGGCATTCTTCATGGCGGAGAAGGCGATGAAGAAGAAGCTCGTTCTGCCGCCCCCTATTCATCGCTTGTACCGCTTTCTGGGTGAGACCCAGCACAGGGCCCTTCACCTTTCCTCTCAGCGTCATCCTGCAGTGGCCTCCATGGCCTCCCCTGCGCCGACACCGTCGCCAACGTCGAATGAGGAAAGCGCCACGCCGCCGCAGGGGGACGTGTACGACTTCACCTTCTCTCGACGGGAAGCAGTGCAGCTGCGGACTCGGCAGCGTCGCTACCTCCGCCAGCAGTACGCCAGTCCCCACGCTCCGCAGCTCGTGCACCTCGAAGACGTGGCGGACACCCTTCTGCACGAATGCGAGATAAACGGCAGCCGCACCAATGTGGACAATGGAGAGGGAGAGGAAGAGGAAGAAGATGAACACGACGGCTACATTCGGAGTGCATTCGACCCGGCAATGACCACATCGGAGCGGGTATCGGAGTTGCTCGCGGTGTTCTGCACGCGTGGCACCCCGCAAGACGAGTTCATCAGCGCCGTTTTCCACTTCCGCCTGGCGGTGCTGCAGAAGACGTGTAAGGCAGTTCCGATCGGCGTCGTGGTGCCGTCGCTCGTGCGGCCGGTGGTGGGCCTGAACGACGCCGTGCTCACGCGTCGGAGTCGCCGTGACGCTGCGATGGCGCAGGCGGCGGACAGTGAAGCTGATGCAGAGCCCAAGGTGACCTATCCACACCCCGGCACTCCTTTCACTTTTGAGGATCTCGCACGCGACCCGGTGCAGCTGTCCGCGGAGCGGCGGCTGGAGCGGCGGACGGCGCTGCTGCACCGTCGCACGTTGTCGGAGGATTTGTACGGCACCCCGACTCCGTATCTTTAACTGTGTTGACCAAGGCGGTGTGTGTGTACCTTGGAAATCACTTCGTAAGAAGGAACAAGAGCTCCTTAATTGTTACTATTTTGTGTCGGGATGGGTGTCGGAGGTCGTCCAATTCGGTTCTCTTTTCTTCTTTTTGGCTTTCCTACTTCTCATATTTACAAATGTTTGTGGAGAAGCAGAGGCAGCAGGATCTTTCGCTGTGTACTGTGTGCACTCGTTCATGCGGAGCTCTTCTGTCGATGCTATTTAAAGGTGCGTTTCTACAATTTCTTATGTTCTTGTTTCCTTTGCGGAGATCAAACCTCTTTGCCGCGTAGCAGTTTCTCCGCCGCAGTCTACCGTTGCACATCTTCTTTCTTTGCCTTTTTTTCTTCTTTTGTTTCTTCTGCGTTTCGTACTTGGGGAACTTCTGATCAAGCTTTTTTATTCATGATGCATCCGTGCCCTCATATGTGGAGGAAGAGGGGGACGAGGGCGGATATGGAGGCAAAGGCCTCTGTCAACGCTGCGCAGCAATCTGCCTTAGTCTTCAACGCATGTTGCAGTCTCGCGAGAGTGTGTGCCTTTAACTCCCAAATTCGTTATAGCGTTTGTTCCCTTCTTGTTGTGTTGTCTTCTTCTTTTTTTTCTTTGAATGTGTGAGTGTGGATACCTGCGCACGAGGGTCGCAGCACCACTCACTGTGGACGCTCCATTTTGTTTTTTCCTCCAGTTGACACCTTCATGTAAAAACACGAGAAAGCGACGTCGCTGACCAAAGAGTTAAGTGCTGGTTCTGTTCGCTTACGTCTTTCTTTCTCTGCCGCAGAAGGCTTGGGGCGAAATCAGACAGCCTTCTGTTTTTTTTTTTTGCCTCCTCTTTTATATATATATGCTTATGATCATCGCCCTCACACAGAGAAAAAGGACGCGTGTACTCCGTGAACCGTCAGGTCTCTCGTGATCCACGGTGCTTTTGTGATGCCGCTGTCGTTACTCTTCTGTTTATTGACAAAAAGAAAAGTACGCACCAGGCTCAACTCTTATTGGTTGTTTCGCTTACTGTTTTCGTCCTGTGTGCAGAGGCAATACCCTGTGCGTATCTGCCTTCGCGAGTGAACGTTATCCCTTCTCTTTAGATAAATGCATAATAATAAGTTCCTGTGAAAGGAAATGCTCGCCCTCGATCTTTTTCTTTTCCTATGAACTCCAGTAGATTCTTTTTTCGAAGGGAGCGTTTTTTTTTCGTATATCTCTCTATATAAAAATGTCTTCGCAGAAAGTGAGGCATGCGGCGAGTCGCAGTCATACGATGATGCGGGCATGCAAGTGCGCGTGTGCACTCATGAAATCACATTTCTCATCTACTTTTTTCTTCTTTGTCAATCATTTTCAAGTTTTATATGGAGCCCATTATCACGTACGGTATTTCATCGCGTCTGCAAGAAGTGTAGCGCGTTGGGATTCACTTCTCTTCTTTTTCCATTTGGACTGCAATTCTCCTACGCCAGATACAACGGGAAGACCGCTTGCTGTGTGGAGGGGGCGCGTTGAAGCTCTCTCTTCACTTTTTCTATGTTGATGTTCTTTCCGGGGCAGTGTTGCATTCATCTTATATGAAAGCAAAAGGTCGTCAAGTTGCGGCTCCTCACTGGCGTGACCCCTCTCGTCAGGTCTTTGGGGTTTTTTATCAGGGAACGTGCTGCGGCTCTTGTAGCTCCGCAAGCACAGAAAAGGCTACGTTCAAACTTATGCATTGTGTCTTCTTAACGTGTGTGTGTGTGTGTCAGTGCAGGCGGAGGGCGAGCCCGCAAGAAGAAAACTGTGTTTTGTTCGTTTACCGTCTGCTTATCGATCCACTGTCATTTGCACAATGTGTGATGGTCGAGCGGGCGGATATCTCATCTCCAACCCCTCCTTTCGATCTCGCATCGTCCACCATCGGAGTGTCTTCCTCTTTCTTTTCTTTCCCTCCTCCCCCCCCCCCCTTCTTCTCTATCCTGCGCCTGCTGTGGTGCGTGTGTTGCAATGCCCCTTGTAGTTTCGCTCGAAGCACACCTCTCCGAACACGCAGCGGACTCTCCTCGTCATCTTCACAGCAGTGAACAGCGCTTACAAGAAGTTTCTTTTTCTACGCCAAACGAACTTAAACAGAAGCAAAATGCCGTCTCAGGTTCACGCCGATCCCGCGCGCGACATCGACAGCGACTCCGACGCGACGACGGCGCGGGTCGACCTTCTCGAGGTGATGCGCGAGATGACCGTGCCGGAGCGCCGCCGGGTTTACGCCCTGCAGGGTCTCCTGAAGGACTACCACGCCTTGCGGGCGCAGATGCGGGCCGAGGTGGCCGCCCTCACGAAGGAGAGCGTGGCGGAGTGCCGGGCGATCTTCGACGCGCGTCGCGACATTGTCTCGGGGGCACGCGATATCACGCCGGAGGAGCTGACCCGCATCGGCGCCGTGCCCGCCCCCTCCTCCTCCTCCACGGCTGAGGCCGCGAAGGGAGAGGAGAAGCCCGCCGCGAAGAAGGGCGTGAAGGTGGTCGACCCCGTCGATGAGAAGCAGAACAGCGAGCTGGAGAAGGCGGCGGCGAGTCCGTCGGGTGGCATTCCGAACTTCTGGCTCACCGCCATGAGCAACTCCGAGGCGCTCAACAGCCTCATCACCGAGAAGGACCGCGACGCCCTCTCCCATCTCGTGAACATTGAAAAGACCTTCATCGACGAGGACCCCGAGAAGGGCGACCGCCTCGTCTTCCACTTCTCCCCCAACGAGTACTTCACCAACGCAACCCTCACGAAGGAGTACCACACCGAGTACGACGAGGACCACGGCGAGATGCGCATTGCCGACGTGGTCGGCTGCACCGTCGACTGGAAGTCACCAAAGAAGAACCTGACGGTGATCGTGAAGCAGAAGAAGCAGCGCAACAAGAAGTCGGGTCAGATGCGCATCGTCGAGCGCGAGGAGCCGTGTGAGTCCTTCTTCAACTTCTTCTCCCCGCCCACGCAGAAGGCGGAGGACGAGGACGAGGAAGAGGAGGACGACTTCTTTGAACAGGAGATGGAGATGGACGTGGAGGCCGGCACGGCGCTGTTGGAGGCGGTGGTGCCGCGCGCCATCTTCTACTACACGGGGGAGGCGGTGGTGGAGACAGGAAAGGAGCTGCGAGAGCAGTTTGGCTTCGGAGAGGGGGAGGAGGATGAAGAGGGAGATGAAGAAGACGAGGAAGACGAGGACGAGGACGATGATGAGGCAGGTGGGTCGAACTTCCGCAACATTGTCCGCCAACGTGGTGGTGGCGGCGCTGCGGCGGCAGGTGGTCGTGGTCGCGGTCGTGGTGGTGCCGGGGCCGGGACCGGGGCCGGTGCGCAGCCTCCTCAGCAGGAATGCAAGCAGCAGTAACAACTGCCTCTTCCCTCCCTTCTCTTTGTTTTCCTTTTAGCGCGCTGGAGACAACAGTCTTCTCTCGATTCAAGTTGAGGTCGACGTTCTTCAATGCTGACTGTTCTCTCTTCGTCCTTTAATTTCCTTTATAATACTCGGATATCTTTATTTTTTAACGTTGAGCTATAGCACCGTAAGCCGGATTTAAATAAGTACCTTTGAAATGGTTATAGAAAGGGACAGGTGCGCAATAGAATGTGAGGATAATGCGTAACACTGCGCAGGGCCCTTGTTGGGGTCTTGACGGTGTGTGTTTTTTTCATCTTCAGCACGCATTCGAGTTCGGATACCAAAGGAACTCAGCAAGCGCGTGAACATAGATGTCTCTAACTCCTTCTGCCCTCCTTTCTTCCAGTGCGTGTCTGTGAAGCTGTGAAAGCGAACCCAAAGAAAGTGCACTCTGTGCCCAACGAACCCGTGAATGCTCTCCATCGCTGCCTTGGGCGTCAGCCGGCTGTGCAGTCCCCCGGCGGCCACTTTCTTCCGACAGCAGGCGGGACGGGGTAGGCGCCGTGCCCGCTCGCAGGACGAGGTGGATCACCCGAAGCACGGGAGCGCCGCGTCGGCATCGTCTGGCGTGCGCGCTTCGCTTCGCTTCGTGTGTCGGTCGGGTTGCCTGCCGCTGTCCTCCCCGTCGCTCTGAAGAAGTAACGTACGGTGATGCCGCGGAGCGCCGTCGCCGGAGAGGCCTAACCAACCCCCTGGAAGTGCTTCCTCCACTCGGTACGACTCCTCTCAGCTTCTCATCGTCCTCCATCTGTTCACCCCTCCCTCCCATCTTTCTCCGCCCCTGCACCCCAAGACAACAGCGCTTTATTAGTTCCTGGAAAGTACAGCCCGCCACAAGACGTCTTCCGCCCAGCAAACGCGCTCGCGCGGAGCACCTCATTGGACCGCGCTACGCCGATCCGTTTGCTCATCAAAACTCTATGTATATATATTGCTGTACGAACGCTGACACATTTCCTGGTTAGTGGACAGACGGGCCCGCAGACCCGCACACGCTTCATCTTCCGCTCTGCTTTTCACGTGCGCTAACTGCATGTGCTGTACTAAACATTCGTAATTTCCTCCTCTCTTCTTTTGGTTTTACTTCTCTGTGTCACGGTCATCTGTCACCGCTGCTGCTTCTTACCCTGGTGTTCCTTAATACTTATTTGTCGAAGCCTGCGCCAGGAATGATGTCATGTTGGAATGGTAGGATGTTGAAATGTACCTTAGTACCCCATTTTCCTCTTTTCTAACCTTGCGACAGTCTTCGACTTTCGCCTCTCACTTCTTTTTCGAGTCCCGCCCACCCGAGCCCGCACCGCCCCGCTTTGGAGGCGGACTTTGAAAAGGAGTCTGCCACTTCGTATGTATATATCCCGCGTGAAAAAGATGTAAAATGAAAAATATGGTAAATTCGCTTTCTGGAAAGATATGCCCTCATCCGAGGAGGAAGACACGATGGTGTCGGGCAAACACCGTTAATGTATGCACACCCCAAAACGGGCCATCAACAATAGTTTTCCCTTTTCCTTTCCTCCCCTTCTCCATCTCTACACATGAAAACATGAAGCATTATTCTGTTTTATGATCGCCATTGCGTGCGGACGTTTGCGATGATGGACGAAGACAACGTGGACAAGGGATCGCACTCGACACCTGCAAAGCGGACCGAGGGCGTGAGTGCATCCAGTCGCACAGACGGCGCGGCAACGCCGCAGTCCACGCACACACCATCCCACAGCGCTCAAGTGGATGCTCTACCCGTGCCATCGCCGCCTCCGCGAGACGAGGACGCATCCAACGCTCCTTCGGCCCCACCCTCTGCGGAGGGCGCAGCTGCTTCTCCGGGTGCACCTCGGCCGTCCAATCTCGGTGCCGGCGGTCCGGCGCAGCGTCGAGCGACAGACGCACGTGTCTCCTTCCGCCTTTCCGCCGACGCCGCGATGCAGAAAGACGCGGCAGCCGGGGCCCCACGTGCGCCGGACGAGGGGGAAGCACGCGTCTTCTCCGCACCGGCCGTCCCACCTTCTCCGCGCTGCAGCGATGCGGGTGGCGGTGGTCAGAGGTCTGTCGTGCATGCGATGTCCGCTGCACCTTGTGACGGCACCGAGCAGAGCACTACTAGTCCACCCGCCACCGCCGACGGCAGCGACGCATCTCATGGTGCCAGCCTGCCGTCTCTACCGCCGGACGAGCCGGCCCCGGAGTTCATTGAGTTTCTCGAAGACCCGGAAGACGATGGTTACGGCTTTCGCTCCTTTTTTGATGCCATCACGAACCCGCAGTTCTACACTCGCATCCAGTATAGCCTCCGGACCGTCGCCTTCGTCACGCTGCCGTTGTACACACTTTCTCTGCATCCAAACACGCAATATCGGCTCGGCTTTCCGCAGCTTCTGGTCGCATCGATCGTGTCGACCTCAACGCACCGTCCGACGGTTGGCGAGCAGATCGGCACGCACAGCTGGGCTTGGCGTGGCATCATCTACATGCTTATCTTAGGAAGTCTGTCAGACGCGTGGGGATCTGTGTACCACAAAGGCGCCTGGTACGGCCTGCTCGCCGCCGGTATCTTTTGCGCCGGGCTTGTGAACAACGGCCGCATGCGCCGCTTCATGTTCCTCTACTACTACCTCTACATGATGGAGCTGCGCACCTTCAACTATTACTTCGACAGGGTGCCTGTGAGCAACGCCGCGTACATGGCGGCATATTGCCTGCTTGGCTCTGTAATGGGTGTAGCCGCTAATATTATCCCCTTTCCTTGCCTCATAAGTGAAGAAGTGGACGCGATCATCACCAAGATATTCGGCGGCTTTGGCAAGCTGCTCTTTGGCATGATCAACTTCGTGTGGTCGTCCGACGTCCACGCCGCGACTTTCTTCTACGACAACCAAACGCCCTTCACCTCTGTTGAGGCAGTGCTGTCGCAGATGTCGTCATTGCTGTGGTTCGCGAGCTGGGAGCCGATGGAGTTCCCGCTGCGCAACCCCATCCGCCGCGTGAAGCTGACCCTGCTGCGTCGCATCATGGCGCTGGCCTACGCGGCCTTCAGCTGCGGTCGCACGATTGCCGCGTTCCGGCAGCAGCAGGCGGACCGAATTGCGATGCACAAGATACGCTGCCGCCTGTACGAGGCCGCGTACCGCAGCTCCGTGCGGACGATCGAAGATGTGAGGACGCCCCTCGCGTTGCACGGCGGCGACCCGTCGCACTCCGCCAGCCACGGCGATGCGGCGGCGGAGGCGGCACGGCGGGAGGCGAAGGAGTCCGTCGCGGCCCTGCGCGCGAACAGCTACACCTACGTGACGGACTTCGCAGCGGTGCTGATGCAGGCCATGGCGCTGATCGGGGCCACGGAGAGCACGCCGGAGCAGCTCCTCAAGAAGGTGCCGTTCGACGAGCTGCGCACGAAGGCGACACTGATGCGGCGCAACCTGCGGCTGGAGATGCTGCAGGTGATGAAGATGCAGAGCGAGATGGTGGCCCGCCAGCGTGCGCGGGAGCAGGCGGGAGCGCACTCGAGGGCCGAGGAGGCGGACGCGGACGCAGAGGACAGCGAGGCCACGACCGCCTTTAGCGAGGAGAGGAGCAGCGAGTGCCCGAGCGCGGCACCACGCAGCGCCGCTGAACGTTGCCGGTTCGGCAAGGCGGACGCACGCCTGATACTGGAGCACCGCGCCGTCATCGACTCCTTCGACGTGTTTCTGCGCATCAACGAAATCTTCTTTCACCTTCTGATGGGCATGATCGCGGGCGAAGTCGTGAACTTTGGCGATCAGATGGCGGAGTACAAGCCTGCCGAGTCTCTCTTCCGGCGCTGGTGGAGGCACTACATTGTCGAGGCGTGGGACGGGTTCTGGAGTGAGCTGTGGTACCGCATGACTCTCGCGCGTCCGACGGACTATCGGGCTGTCAAGGATGCGGTTCGCATGACCTGCGCCTACGTGGGTGCGGTGGTGCTCAACACAGAATTGTGGAATCCCCCGGAGGGGCTTTACTTTTTCGGTGTTTCTCCGCTGATGGGTCTGCCGGTGGAGGAGGAATCGCTCAGCATGGGTATCTGTCGCATCGGCGGCAACACCCTCGGGTGTGCCTTGGGCTACCTCATACACCACAACACGCATAACTTTGCTCAGGAGATCGCCATGACGCTCTGCTTCACCTTTGTGCTGCGCAGCTGTCAATATCACCCGCAATACGGTCAGTTCTTCTTCTACGGCGCCGTCATCACTCTGGCTGGTCTGGCAACGGCGATGGTCTTCAACGACGTTGGTGGTCCGCTTCTCGCCTCCTCTTACACCGTCATGGCGTACGTGATCTCTTGCGTATTTATTTTCCCCATTGACTGCCGCAGAGTGTGCTACAACTTCCGCAGCAAGCTGACGAAGGTGGTGAGCGAGACCATCGATGACGTGGCCTTCACCGCGCGCCTCCCCATGGAGTACAGCGACGACGCGGACGACGCGGACGGCGGCGACAACAACGAGCCGGTGGCGTACCCGGCGTACAACACGGAGCCGATGCAGATGTGCTCGCAGCTGAACGTGGAGCTGACGCTGGTGGAGCGGCTGCAGATGATGTGCGACAAGTGGGCTCCCTTCGCGGCGAGGGATCTCGTGATCCGTGGCAGCGCGCAGTTCCCCGCGGCCCCCAACTCGCTAGTCACCCTTGCCCACGACCGCCTCGTGGCCAATCTCCGGCTGTTGGTGTTCGGCGTGCAGCTGCTGCACCGCCCGCGCTCCGCCGCGCCGTCGCCGACCATCGACCGCCTCGTGCGCGGCTCCCTCGCCGACTTCCTCGACGACTTCGCGGACGCCGTGCGCCTGGTCGGTGCGGACCACGTGCAGGCCCTGCAGCAGGCCCGCGCCTGGTCCTACCCGCGCCACCTGCGCCGCGTCAGCCAGCTGCGGCGGCTGCGGGTGCGGCTGTACGCCCTCATGCACGAGTGCTACGTGCTGGTGGCCAACAACACGTCGAAAGGCACCTTTGGCATGACCGCTGAGGACTTTGACCAGCTGCGCCTTGAGAGTGCAGCACGGAGGGTCCCCGCGGCAACGGCAGCGGCAGGCGGAAGAGGAGGGCAGGGCGGGCCGACGCTTCCTGGCAATGGTGGCGGCGGCGGTGGTGGTGGTAAGTATCCAGAAGAGCCGTACGGCCTGCAAGAGTCGTCGCTTGTGCCCGGTGCGGGAGGCAGCCGCGTAGATGGCGTGGCGCCGCCTTCGCTCAGCGATACAGTGAAGTACGACAGAAGTTTCCCAGCTCCGTCAGAGCGCATCGAGGTGCGCGCCGGCGAGGACGCCCCCATGCACAACCTGTCCTTCGCGGATCGCTTTCTCATGGCCCGCCGTGACGAGGAGCTCGCCGAAGAAGCCCAGCCGCCGCGCAACTTCCCCTCCCGCTGCGCGTCCCCATTCGGTGCGTACACCCCGGCGGAGCCGCTGTTTCTCGACGACGCCGGCAGCGAGTCGCGCGCTCCACCGCAGCAGCAGCAGCAGCACCGGCGCGGCTCCTTCTGCCAGGCCTTCTTCTCGCCGGGTCGCAGCTCCTTCCCCTCCTCGCCGCACCCGTCCGCAGCGGAGGCGTCGCCGTCTGCGGCCTCTCCGACTGCGGGGCGCCGCCGCGCCAGACTCTACGTGCACCGCGCACACCTCCAGCAGAGCGGCGCGGAGCCGGCGGAAGTGGGGCCCCCCACCACCGGCGATGCGGTGCGCGAGGTGGAACAAATGCTGAAGGGCGAGAAGAAGCGGCTGGAGGCGGCGGAGCAGGACGACGCGAAGGCGCGCGTGGGGCCCAGCGACGGTGCAGCTGGTGTGTCGTCCCCGCAGCGCGAGCACCCGCCGGTGATGCCCTCCGCGGCGAGGCGGAGCGTGTCGCGGCTGATTCTTCTCCCCGACGAGGGCCCCGAGCCCCGCGCGGCGCTGTACAAGGGCCCTGGCTTCACCTTCGTGGAGGACGTGTTCGACGTACCGCGAAGCACCGACTTCTCTGCCATCACCACCATCCTTCTCAGCTGCGAGAGCATCATGACGGTGCTCGAGTCCCTGCCGGGCAGCCTGAACTCCTTGGTGAACTACGATAAGCAGCTCGAGGAGTCCTCCATTGCCACTGCCTTCCTGGACAAGTGGTCTGCGAGGCTGATCGAGTACCGCAAAGCGATCTACGACCGCTACCACTACCCCAAGCCGCCCCCGCAGAAGCACCGCCCCCTGAATACGCAGGAGGACCCGTTTGAGGACTGGCAGTTCTAATGGACGGATGGGAAGTGTACTGCCCGGTGAACAGCCGTTTCTGTTCTTTTCTGAGAGCTTGCGCCAGGAAAAAATCGCCTGGAGATGAATCGAAAGCCGACGCGTTGTATACTTTCCCTTTCTCTTTCTCTCCCCTCCAGTCGACCTCTCTCCAGGAAAGGCTGTTTTCTTTTTTTCCCACCGTCCCGCCCCTTTTCCAACCCCACGCGGTGGAAATGCAGACGATCTGAGTCTGCAAGAAACTCCCATTCGTAAAGTTCTATTTGGTTCAAAAATAAATATAAAAAGAAAATAACGCCGTCCACCCTTTAAGGAAAATGAAAACGATCCAGGGATGTAACGACACTGTTTTGCACTTTATTGATCTTTCTCCTTTCTCCTTTCTTCTTCCTTCCTTCCTGATCTGAGAGTAGTCGACTAGAGTTTTTCTTGCTGTCTCGCTAATGTAGGCCTCCTGTTTTTATTTGCTTTCGGAATACATGTTTGTGTTCGGATACCAAAGGAACTCAGCAAGCGCGTGAACATAGATGTCTCTAACTCCTTCTGCCCTCCTTTCTTCCAGTGCGTGTCTGTGAAGCTGTGAAAGCGAACCCAAAGAAAGTGCACTCTGTGCCCAACGAACCCGTGAATGCTCTCCATCGCTGCCTTGGGCGTCAGCCGGCTGTGCAGTCCCCCGGCGGCCACTTTCTTCCGACAGCAGGCGGGACGGGGTAGGCGCCGTGCCCGCTCGCAGGACGAGGTGGATCACCCGAAGCACGGGAGCGCCGCGTCGGCATCGTCTGGCGTGCGCGCTTCGCTTCGCTTCGTGTGTCGGTCGGGTTGCCTGCCGCTGTCCTCCCCGTCGCTCTGAAGAAGTAACGTACGGTGATGCCGCGGAGCGCCGTCGCCGGAGAGGCCTAACCAACCCCCTGGAAGTGCTTCCTCCACTCGGTACGACTCCTCTCAGCTTCTCATCGTCCTCCATCTGTTCACCCCTCCCTCCCATCTTTCTCCGCCCCTGCACCCCAAGACAACAGCGCTTTATTAGTTCCTGGAAAGTACAGCCCGCCACAAGACGTCTTCCGCCCAGCAAACGCGCTCGCGCGGAGCACCTCATTGGACCGCGCTACGCCGATCCGTTTGCTCATCAAAACTCTATGTATATATATTGCTGTACGAACGCTGACACATTTCCTGGTTAGTGGACAGACGGGCCCGCAGACCCGCACACGCTTCATCTTCCGCTCTGCTTTTCACGTGCGCTAACTGCATGTGCTGTACTAAACATTCGTAATTTCCTCCTCTCTTCTTTTGGTTTTACTTCTCTGTGTCACGGTCATCTGTCACCGCTGCTGCTTCTTACCCTGGTGTTCCTTAATACTTATTTGTCGAAGCCTGCGCCAGGAATGATGTCATGTTGGAATGGTAGGATGTTGAAATGTACCTTAGTACCCCATTTTCCTCTTTTCTAACCTTGCGACAGTCTTCGACTTTCGCCTCTCACTTCTTTTTCGAGTCCCGCCCACCCGAGCCCGCACCGCCCCGCTTTGGAGGCGGACTTTGAAAAGGAGTCTGCCACTTCGTATGTATATATCCCGCGTGAAAAAGATGTAAAATGAAAAATATGGTAAATTCGCTTTCTGGAAAGATATGCCCTCATCCGAGGAGGAAGACACGATGGTGTCGGGCAAACACCGTTAATGTATGCACACCCCAAAACGGGCCATCAACAATAGTTTTCCCTTTTCCTTTCCTCCCCTTCTCCATCTCTACACATGAAAACATGAAGCATTATTCTGTTTTATGATCGCCATTGCGTGCGGACGTTTGCGATGATGGACGAAGACAACGTGGACAAGGGATCGCACTCGACACCTGCAAAGCGGACCGAGGGCGTGAGTGCATCCAGTCGCACAGACGGCGCGGCAACGCCGCAGTCCACGCACACACCATCCCACAGCGCTCAAGTGGATGCTCTACCCGTGCCATCGCCGCCTCCGCGAGACGAGGACGCATCCAACGCTCCTTCGGCCCCACCCTCTGCGGAGGGCGCAGCTGCTTCTCCGGGTGCACCTCGGCCGTCCAATCTCGGTGCCGGCGGTCCGGCGCAGCGTCGAGCGACAGACGCACGTGTCTCCTTCCGCCTTTCCGCCGACGCCGCGATGCAGAAAGACGCGGCAGCCGGGGCCCCACGTGCGCCGGACGAGGGGGAAGCACGCGTCTTCTCCGCACCGGCCGTCCCACCTTCTCCGCGCTGCAGCGATGCGGGTGGCGGTGGTCAGAGGTCTGTCGTGCATGCGATGTCCGCTGCACCTTGTGACGGCACCGAGCAGAGCACTACTAGTCCACCCGCCACCGCCGACGGCAGCGACGCATCTCATGGTGCCAGCCTGCCGTCTCTACCGCCGGACGAGCCGGCCCCGGAGTTCATTGAGTTTCTCGAAGACCCGGAAGACGATGGTTACGGCTTTCGCTCCTTTTTTGATGCCATCACGAACCCGCAGTTCTACACTCGCATCCAGTATAGCCTCCGGACCGTCGCCTTCGTCACGCTGCCGTTGTACACACTTTCTCTGCATCCAAACACGCAATATCGGCTCGGCTTTCCGCAGCTTCTGGTCGCATCGATCGTGTCGACCTCAACGCACCGTCCGACGGTTGGCGAGCAGATCGGCACGCACAGCTGGGCTTGGCGTGGCATCATCTACATGCTTATCTTAGGAAGTCTGTCAGACGCGTGGGGATCTGTGTACCACAAAGGCGCCTGGTACGGCCTGCTCGCCGCCGGTATCTTTTGCGCCGGGCTTGTGAACAACGGCCGCATGCGCCGCTTCATGTTCCTCTACTACTACCTCTACATGATGGAGCTGCGCACCTTCAACTATTACTTCGACAGGGTGCCTGTGAGCAACGCCGCGTACATGGCGGCATATTGCCTGCTTGGCTCTGTAATGGGTGTAGCCGCTAATATTATCCCCTTTCCTTGCCTCATAAGTGAAGAAGTGGACGCGATCATCACCAAGATATTCGGCGGCTTTGGCAAGCTGCTCTTTGGCATGATCAACTTCGTGTGGTCGTCCGACGTCCACGCCGCGACTTTCTTCTACGACAACCAAACGCCCTTCACCTCTGTTGAGGCAGTGCTGTCGCAGATGTCGTCATTGCTGTGGTTCGCGAGCTGGGAGCCGATGGAGTTCCCGCTGCGCAACCCCATCCGCCGCGTGAAGCTGACCCTGCTGCGTCGCATCATGGCGCTGGCCTACGCGGCCTTCAGCTGCGGTCGCACGATTGCCGCGTTCCGGCAGCAGCAGGCGGACCGAATTGCGATGCACAAGATACGCTGCCGCCTGTACGAGGCCGCGTACCGCAGCTCCGTGCGGACGATCGAAGATGTGAGGACGCCCCTCGCGTTGCACGGCGGCGACCCGTCGCACTCCGCCAGCCACGGCGATGCGGCGGCGGAGGCGGCACGGCGGGAGGCGAAGGAGTCCGTCGCGGCCCTGCGCGCGAACAGCTACACCTACGTGACGGACTTCGCAGCGGTGCTGATGCAGGCCATGGCGCTGATCGGGGCCACGGAGAGCACGCCGGAGCAGCTCCTCAAGAAGGTGCCGTTCGACGAGCTGCGCACGAAGGCGACACTGATGCGGCGCAACCTGCGGCTGGAGATGCTGCAGGTGATGAAGATGCAGAGCGAGATGGTGGCCCGCCAGCGTGCGCGGGAGCAGGCGGGAGCGCACTCGAGGGCCGAGGAGGCGGACGCGGACGCAGAGGACAGCGAGGCCACGACCGCCTTTAGCGAGGAGAGGAGCAGCGAGTGCCCGAGCGCGGCACCACGCAGCGCCGCTGAACGTTGCCGGTTCGGCAAGGCGGACGCACGCCTGATACTGGAGCACCGCGCCGTCATCGACTCCTTCGACGTGTTTCTGCGCATCAACGAAATCTTCTTTCACCTTCTGATGGGCATGATCGCGGGCGAAGTCGTGAACTTTGGCGATCAGATGGCGGAGTACAAGCCTGCCGAGTCTCTCTTCCGGCGCTGGTGGAGGCACTACATTGTCGAGGCGTGGGACGGGTTCTGGAGTGAGCTGTGGTACCGCATGACTCTCGCGCGTCCGACGGACTATCGGGCTGTCAAGGATGCGGTTCGCATGACCTGCGCCTACGTGGGTGCGGTGGTGCTCAACACAGAATTGTGGAATCCCCCGGAGGGGCTTTACTTTTTCGGTGTTTCTCCGCTGATGGGTCTGCCGGTGGAGGAGGAATCGCTCAGCATGGGTATCTGTCGCATCGGCGGCAACACCCTCGGGTGTGCCTTGGGCTACCTCATACACCACAACACGCATAACTTTGCTCAGGAGATCGCCATGACGCTCTGCTTCACCTTTGTGCTGCGCAGCTGTCAATATCACCCGCAATACGGTCAGTTCTTCTTCTACGGCGCCGTCATCACTCTGGCTGGTCTGGCAACGGCGATGGTCTTCAACGACGTTGGTGGTCCGCTTCTCGCCTCCTCTTACACCGTCATGGCGTACGTGATCTCTTGCGTATTTATTTTCCCCATTGACTGCCGCAGAGTGTGCTACAACTTCCGCAGCAAGCTGACGAAGGTGGTGAGCGAGACCATCGATGACGTGGCCTTCACCGCGCGCCTCCCCATGGAGTACAGCGACGACGCGGACGACGCGGACGGCGGCGACAACAACGAGCCGGTGGCGTACCCGGCGTACAACACGGAGCCGATGCAGATGTGCTCGCAGCTGAACGTGGAGCTGACGCTGGTGGAGCGGCTGCAGATGATGTGCGACAAGTGGGCTCCCTTCGCGGCGAGGGATCTCGTGATCCGTGGCAGCGCGCAGTTCCCCGCGGCCCCCAACTCGCTAGTCACCCTTGCCCACGACCGCCTCGTGGCCAATCTCCGGCTGTTGGTGTTCGGCGTGCAGCTGCTGCACCGCCCGCGCTCCGCCGCGCCGTCGCCGACCATCGACCGCCTCGTGCGCGGCTCCCTCGCCGACTTCCTCGACGACTTCGCGGACGCCGTGCGCCTGGTCGGTGCGGACCACGTGCAGGCCCTGCAGCAGGCCCGCGCCTGGTCCTACCCGCGCCACCTGCGCCGCGTCAGCCAGCTGCGGCGGCTGCGGGTGCGGCTGTACGCCCTCATGCACGAGTGCTACGTGCTGGTGGCCAACAACACGTCGAAAGGCACCTTTGGCATGACCGCTGAGGACTTTGACCAGCTGCGCCTTGAGAGTGCAGCACGGAGGGTCCCCGCGGCAACGGCAGCGGCAGGCGGAAGAGGAGGGCAGGGCGGGCCGACGCTTCCTGGCAATGGTGGCGGCGGCGGTGGTGGTGGTAAGTATCCAGAAGAGCCGTACGGCCTGCAAGAGTCGTCGCTTGTGCCCGGTGCGGGAGGCAGCCGCGTAGATGGCGTGGCGCCGCCTTCGCTCAGCGATACAGTGAAGTACGACAGAAGTTTCCCAGCTCCGTCAGAGCGCATCGAGGTGCGCGCCGGCGAGGACGCCCCCATGCACAACCTGTCCTTCGCGGATCGCTTTCTCATGGCCCGCCGTGACGAGGAGCTCGCCGAAGAAGCCCAGCCGCCGCGCAACTTCCCCTCCCGCTGCGCGTCCCCATTCGGTGCGTACACCCCGGCGGAGCCGCTGTTTCTCGACGACGCCGGCAGCGAGTCGCGCGCTCCACCGCAGCAGCAGCAGCAGCACCGGCGCGGCTCCTTCTGCCAGGCCTTCTTCTCGCCGGGTCGCAGCTCCTTCCCCTCCTCGCCGCACCCGTCCGCAGCGGAGGCGTCGCCGTCTGCGGCCTCTCCGACTGCGGGGCGCCGCCGCGCCAGACTCTACGTGCACCGCGCACACCTCCAGCAGAGCGGCGCGGAGCCGGCGGAAGTGGGGCCCCCCACCACCGGCGATGCGGTGCGCGAGGTGGAACAAATGCTGAAGGGCGAGAAGAAGCGGCTGGAGGCGGCGGAGCAGGACGACGCGAAGGCGCGCGTGGGGCCCAGCGACGGTGCAGCTGGTGTGTCGTCCCCGCAGCGCGAGCACCCGCCGGTGATGCCCTCCGCGGCGAGGCGGAGCGTGTCGCGGCTGATTCTTCTCCCCGACGAGGGCCCCGAGCCCCGCGCGGCGCTGTACAAGGGCCCTGGCTTCACCTTCGTGGAGGACGTGTTCGACGTACCGCGAAGCACCGACTTCTCTGCCATCACCACCATCCTTCTCAGCTGCGAGAGCATCATGACGGTGCTCGAGTCCCTGCCGGGCAGCCTGAACTCCTTGGTGAACTACGATAAGCAGCTCGAGGAGTCCTCCATTGCCACTGCCTTCCTGGACAAGTGGTCTGCGAGGCTGATCGAGTACCGCAAAGCGATCTACGACCGCTACCACTACCCCAAGCCGCCCCCGCAGAAGCACCGCCCCCTGAATACGCAGGAGGACCCGTTTGAGGACTGGCAGTTCTAATGGACGGATGGGAAGTGTACTGCCCGGTGAACAGCCGTTTCTGTTCTTTTCTGAGAGCTTGCGCCAGGAAAAAATCGCCTGGAGATGAATCGAAAGCCGACGCGTTGTATACTTTCCCTTTCTCTTTCTCTCCCCTCCAGTCGACCTCTCTCCAGGAAAGGCTGTTTTCTTTTTTTCCCACCGTCCCGCCCCTTTTCCAACCCCACGCGGTGGAAATGCAGACGATCTGAGTCTGCAAGAAACTCCCATTCGTAAAGTTCTATTTGGTTCAAAAATAAATATAAAAAGAAAATAACGCCGTCCACCCTTTAAGGAAAATGAAAACGATCCAGGGATGTAACGACACTGTTTTGCACTTTATTGATCTTTCTCCTTTCTCCTTTCTTCTTCCTTCCTTCCTGATCTGAGAGTAGTCGACTAGAGTTTTTCTTGCTGTCTCGCTAATGTAGGCCTGTGGGTGTGCTTTTAGGTGTTTTATCTGGAGCGTGTGAAGCAGGGCTCTGCGCGGTGGCGACTCGCGGCAATGGTTGCGCGTGCGAAACACTAAACCAACGTGAACCATCGATGCGAGATTATGAGATGAAAAAAGCGCTGAACTCTACCGCAGTTATGATTGAGTCTACATAGGAGCCGGTGTTTCTTTATTCCTAGATGGAACCGAGAGACATTGTTTTTCCGTCATTGGCATCCACTTGAACTGTGTTCCTTCACTCACTCGAGTTTTACGTTAGAAAAGAAGCACGTAAGGTGGTTGTTGTGGTTGTTCCTCTCCTATGGCGTGTTGCAGTTGGTATGTATGCGCGTGTGTGTCGTACGATTTATACCTCAGTATCTGTAGAGGGGGTTTTCTTTTGCATCTTCCGTTATGTCACACTCACTCTACAAAACGACGCATAACGACAACTCTCTTCCACCACTTTGTACTCGCTGCAATGTCCGACTTTCTTTTTTCTTCTTCTTGTTCTTGTCTCTCTCCGTCCCTGTCCGCCTTAGTACGCTGCAGCGCTTACCGTCATGATCGCTGCTGTGCAAAACGCGTTGGTGTAAACTATCTTTTTTACTATTTCTTTTGTTCTTGGCCGCGTTTCTCATCGGCTCTCGCGGCGTCGCTTTGGGACGGCTTTTCACTTTCCAATAGCGGCCCTCTAGAATTGTGCATGCTGCTTCTCTCGTAGGGGGCGAAGGGCGTGTCATGTCACAAGATAAAAAGGCGCGTTTGGAAGCCACTGCGGGAGGCACTACCGTCGGTGCGCTGCACGACGTCCCTCACTCTCCCTTTGCGGAGGAGACTCGCAGTCCCGATAACGTCAACGGCAGCCGCGGTGCCGAAATCCACGCCACAGAAGAGGGAGAAAGCCCACTCGGGTACAGCAAGTGTAAACAACCTGCACCGGAGTGGGCAACTCAAGACATCAAACAACCGACAAGACTACCACAGGCTGCTCCAGCTCCAACCGCTGGTGCGGCCCCACCACGCCGTGTACCGCTCCCACTTCCTGACGATGTCGTCTTTCGCAAGAGCCCCGACAAGGACGATTTCGGCTACAAGGCAGTCCTCGAGTCCGTGTCGAACCCGCAGACAATCAACTACGTTCGTGGCGCCTTCCGCACCACAGCCTTTGTCGCCCTTCCGCTCTTCACCATCGCGGTGCACCCCAACACCATGTACCGCCTTGGCTATCCAATGATGCTGATCGCCTCCGTCATCTCCACCTCCACCCACCAAACCTCTCTGGGGATGCAAATCGGTGTGCACAGCTGGCTGTGGCGCGGTGTGGTGTATATGCTGCTCTTTGGCACCGTGATGAACACCTGGAATGTGCACAAGCACGCCGGGGCGTGGTACGGCATGCTCGTCTTTGGCATCTTTCTGGCGAGTCTGGTCAGCCACGGTATGATGCGCCGTTTCATGTACCTGTACTTTTTCATTTACCTGCTGGAGATTCGGTCGATGAGTGCGTCCGTTGCCGTTATCCCACTCAACTCAGCATCGTGGAGTGCCGCGGACTTCTTTATTGGTAGCCTCGTGGGTGTGGCGGCGCTGTGCTTCCCCTACCCCATCCTCACGAAAAGCCTGGTGGACATGATCATGACGAAGATCTTCGAAGGCCTCGGCAAGATGTTCATGGCGATGGTAACCTTCGTGTGGATGCCGGACCCACACGCCGCCGTCCTCTTCTTCAACGACCGCTCTCCCTTCATGAAGATCGAAGCCGTTCTGGAGGTGATGCCGCCCCTGCTGTGGTTTGCGAACTGGGAACCGACGGAGTTTCCGCTGCACAACCCAGTTCGCCGCTTGAAGCTGTCCCTGCTGCGGCGCATCATGGCGCTGACCTACGCCGCCTTTGGCGCTGGCCACACCGTCGCCACGATACGCCGTCTGCAGTCAGAGCAGATGGCAATGCACAAGATACGTGTCACGCTTTTCGAGGCAGTCTACGGACGATCCAGCAGGCGTATTGGGAATGGATCGATGTTCGACTGAGTCGAGAGCTCCTCCGTCCTTTTCCCCGCTACGCGCACCGACGTTCTCCGCGGCAATGACCCCGCGGAGACCAAAAAGGAGGGGGCGGACGATCACGGTATGGCAGAGGCCGTCACGGCCTTACGTGAAAACAGCGAAAGGTGTGTGAGGGAGTTTGGTGCTTCGTTGATGGCGGCCATGGCGCTTCTCGGGTCCGTCCTCAACACGCCGGAGCAGATCGTCAAGAAGGTTCCATTCGAGAAGCTGCGCGAGACACAAGCGCAGATGCGTCGTGCACTGCAATTGGAGATTCTGCAGGTGATGAAGATGCAGACGGAGGCGGTGGCGCGTCGTCTTGCGGAGCGGCGCAACGCAGAGCCTCAACAAGAGAACATCGACGCACACGAGGAGTTGGTAATAGAAGATGAGAGCTCGCCGTATGGTCGCACCCACCGCTACACCATCGGCCGCGAAGATGTCATTAGCATTCTCGAAAATGAAGGTGTCATGGAGCAGGCAGAGATCTACCTTCGGCTGAACGAAGTCTATTTCCACACTCTAATGGCCATGATCGCGGGTGAAGTTCTCAACTTTGGGGAGCAGATGAAGAGCTACAAGCCGCCCATGTCCCTTGGCCTTCGCCTTCTTCGTTACTTCATTATTGAGCCGTGGAACGACTTCTGGAGTGAGCTGTGGTGCATCTTCTCCTTGGCGCGTCCTAGTGACATCCGCACACTAAAGGACGCTATTCGCATGACCTGCGCCTATCTGAGTGCGACGGCGCTAAACCTTGAGCTTTACTTTGTCCCTGGCGGCACCTACTATTTCGGCACGACGCTCCTGCTTGGTCTACCAGTGGAGGAAGAATCCCTGGGCCTGTCGATCAATCGCATGGCCGGCAACGCGCTGGGCTGCGCACTTGGCTTTATGGTTTACAACAACACCCACAACCTGCCACAGAAGATTGCGATGGTGCTGTGCTTCGTTTTTGTCCAACGCTGCTGCAAAGACCACCCCCTCTACGGGCAGACGTTTCTCTACTCCGCAGCCGTCACGATGGCGAGTATGGTCATGACGGTCAGCACGCAGCAGCTCATGACGCGACTCATCACGAGCAACTACACCATCGTGGCCTACATGCTCTGCTGCATGTTCATCTTCCCCAACAACAGCATCAAGATCTGCTGGGGCTACCGCTGCAAGCTGACCAAGGTGATGAGTGAAGTCATCGACGACGTGGCGCTCACACTGCGCATCCGCCCTGACTGCTACCCCACTCCAATGGCTCTTGATGCGGACAACAACGAGCCAGCTTCATACCCCCACCGCAACACGGAGGCGATGCAGATGTGCTCGCAGCTGAACGTGCAGATGTCCCTCGCGCATCGTCTACTGGCCATGTGTGACAAGTGGGCCCCCTTCGCCGCTCGACAACACGTTATTCGCGGCTCCTCCCCCTTCCCGTCTGCGGCCTCCGCCATGATTCAATTCGCACACAAACGCATGGTGGCCCATTTACGGTTGCTGGTGTTTGGCGTGCAGCTGCTGCACCGTCCCCGGTGCGATCCCGTCTTCCCCGCCACCACCGCCCGCCTCCTCTCCGGCAGCGTGGGCGACTTTCTCGCGGAGTTCGCGGGGTGCATGCGGCTGGTGAGCCAGGACTTCATTGACTCGCTGCCGGCCTCGCGCAAGTGGTCCTACCCGCTGATGCTCCACCACGCCAGTCAGCTCAGCCGGATGCGGGTGCGTCTTTCTGCGATTCACGTGGAGAGCTTCGTCATCGCGTCGAAGCATTTATCGAAGTCGACCTTCGGCATGCAGCCAGAGGATTACCGCCTTCTTCGCCAGGAGACCACGATGCGGGAGGCCACCGCCACACCGCACACAAGTGAGTTGCACGTGCACGCCGGTGACGACGAGGAGGAGAAGGGCGCGCACGGCAACAACGCCGGTGCGGTGAATCTTGGAGCGTCGTCCAACGTGCACGGCAACCTGTCCTTTGCGGATCGCTTCCTCATCGCACGCCGTCTCGGTGCGTCCATGATGGAAGACAACACCGACCCGGATGCGCTGGCGCGACTGCACGAATCTATATATCTGCCGCAGCCGAGGGAGGGGTCGTTTCTCGGCAGCGGCGGCGGCGGCGGCGTCTCGCAGAAGTCCTTCGCCTACCGCGCACCGCTGCGCGAGACGGCGGTGACGCCGCAGGACGCCTTTCCGTTTACGCAGGAAAGCGCAGAGTACGGCATCCAGCAGCACCTCCGCGACGAGGCAGCGAGAACCAGGAAGGAAGAGGTGGAAGTTGGAGAGGGAAGGAAAGCGGAAGAAGACGCGAGGCAGCCTGTCCGTGGCACTTCAAGTCCGTCGTCGCCGGTCTCTCCGTGCAAGGCCATCAAACCGCACCCACTGGAGAGAAAGGTGTCGAGGTTAATCCTTGTCCCTGATCACGGCCCCGAGCTGGAGATTCCACTTTACCGCGGCCCCGCCTTCACCTACGTCGAAGACGAGCTGGCGACGGAGAAGGACACGGACTTTGCTGCGATCATGACCATCCTGTGCAGCATATACAGCCTCATTGTGGAACTGGAAGGGCTGACGGGTCCGGTGAACACCATCAGCACGTATCAGAAGGAACTGCACGAGTCGGCGCTGGCGATTGGGTTCATTGACAAGTTATCTGAGAAGGTCACGGCGTACCGACAGAAGATCTACGATCGTTATCATTTTTTGACTCCTTCGGAGGAGCAAAGACGGCCGTTGCACGCGCAGTCTGATCCGTTTGCGGACTGGCGCTTCTAGGACCAAACGGTAGGGCTTTCATGCACCTTGGTGATTGAGTGGGTGTGTGTGTTTACATGCGTGTCCGCGGATGGAGCCGAATTCTGCTTTTGCCTTTTAATGGAATTGGCGGATGTCGTTTTTCTGTAGTTATTCTACTTGTCTTCTCATTCTGCGGCGTCTCTACTGCTTTGTATTACTGTACTTGTGTGGATGTCAAAGCGTCTTGTCAGTATGTTATTCCGAATGACTGAAGAGGTTGCCTTTTTCAATAGCATACTCTCTTCTACCCTTTATAAAGGACCTCTTTTACGTGGCTTTTCTATTGTCTCTTCCATTACTCTTTTTCTTTCAATGAAATCGCCTAAGCCTCTACTTACCGTCGCGCCATAGTGATGGTCTGCTTGAAAAGCAGAGGTGACACAACGCGTTGCACCCTACTGACCGCTCGGTGCTGCACCGGATCCTTGCCACCAATTTTCTTGCGGCATATATAATCTCTTTTCGTTTTCCCCATTACTTTTCTTTTAATCACCCCTCTTTGCGTCCTCGGACTTTTACCCGGCGTACGCTGTTTTTTCTACCCTCAACTCCTTTGTCGAGGAGGTAAGTACCTTAATGAACGTTGTGGCCGCTGTTTCTCTCTGCGCATCTACCTACGCTTTTTTTTTTTCGTTTTAGCACTCTCGTAAATCAAAAAGGTTTCTTCTGAGTGGAACGAAGAGAGAGTTTCTGCTTTTCTTGGAAAAGACATGTCGATCTCGTAAGATTTCTTTGTGCCCTTTGTATTAACGCAGCACCTCTCAGAACGACGCACTTACTAGTAATAGTAGTGACACTATGCGTGCTTCAAAAAATGTTGGCAGGAGCGAGTGCTCTCCCGCCGCCACCACCACCACTGCTCATTTATGGAACGGAATTTGCGCAACGTAGCATCTTGCTTTCATTGTAGTGCCGAATCTGTGCGCCATCTAACTCTGCGAGCTTTGCTGTCCTGAGTGAATTCATTCGTTCGTTCTCTCCCTTCTTAAATCTCCCTTCTCTCTTAATGACTGGACGATGTAACTTCAGCCGTCTCTCATCACTCTCTTTTTTTTTTTGGTGGTACTGACCGTCTCCTACTTTATAAACCGCGACATTTTGTCCTACTAGCAAAGAAGGGAAGGGTTTTCTGGCGCAGCAGTAGCCAACGAGCTGCGCGGAACAGTGTAGGGCTCGCTTTTATACCTCTCCTCTTCGTTTTCTTCTTCTTTTTTTAAACTCTTTTTGCTTTGCTGAAAGTTTCGGCGCCGCGGATATATTAGCAGGTGTATGGAGTCTGCCCTCCCCAGTAGCTTACTTCTGTGTTGTGGTCGTTGCTGGTATTGTTTTCCTCTGTTCGCTGAAAAGCGTTGCGGCGCACTTCTCCGTACACCTTCACTCTCAAGCGAGAGGTGTGCGTATGTGTGTGTGTAGGCAGTCGTAGAGACAGCGCTTTGTGACTTCTTGTATACGTCTGCTTCACTTTTCTTTTTTACATAACTTTTTCTCTTTTCAATGACGGATCAAAAAAGCGCTGAGGGAAACGCGCATTTCTCGTCGACACCGCCCTTGGATGGTCGAGAGCCGAACGATTTCGATGGGGCAGACGAGCACCACACACGATCTCCTTCGAGTGCCGGCACCCCTACACCGCTTGGTGCCAGCCCCAGCTCTCCCTTGGTCGATGTACCGCCCATGGAAGACGTAGCCACCGGCACGACCCCGGGCGATGAGGAGGAGGAGGAGGAAGAAACAAACAACGACACCGCCAACCCGCGCAACGGCGTCGATGAAAACGACACAGCGACTTCGGTGGCAGCGGCGGATAGTGCAGATGACAGCCCTCCATCCGCGAATCGCAACGCGACGAAGGCGGCGTCACGGAACTCCCAGCCTTCCGCGGAAGCCTCCACGCCAGATCAGGCACCCACAACAGAGCCGGCGACGGAGGGCGGCGCTAGAGGTGGTAACCGACCAACGAGCTCCTCCACTACGGCGGCAGACGGTGAGAAGCCCGCCACCGCTGCTGCTACTGCTGCTTCTCCAGCAGGTCTCCCCAAGCACCCTGCTCCGGACAGCATCGTCTTCCACAAAAACCCCGACCGCGACGATTTCGGCTACAAATCGCTGTTTGAAAGCGCGACGAACCTGCAGACGATCGGCTGGGTTCGTGGCGCCTTCCGCACCTCGGCCCTCCTCGCATTCCCACTCATGACCATCGCGGTGCACCCCAACACCATGTTCCGCCTTGGCTTTCCAGAGATGCTCATTGCGGCGGTGGTGTCCACCTCCACCCACCGCGGGTCGCTGGGGGAGCAGCTCGGTCTGCACAGCTGGACCTGGCGTGGCATCCTTTACATGCTCGTCTTTGGTACTGTGGTGGATGTGTTTCAGGTACAGAACCACAAGGGGGCGTGGTACGGCATGCTGGCGCTGGGCGTCTTCCTGGCGAGTTTGGTCAGCCACGGCATGATGCGCCGTTTCATGTACCTGTATTTCTTCATTTACATGATGGAGCTGCGCATGTTCGCCTACTACTTTCATGCCTTGCCGCTGAACAACGCGGCGTGGAGCGCGGCAGATTACTACTTGGGCAGCGTGTGGGGTATTGCAGCGCTGTGCTTCCCCTACCCCATCCTCACGAAAAGCCTGGTGGACATGATCATGACGAAGATCTTCGAAGGCCTCGGCAAGATGTTCATGGCGATGGTAACCTTCGTGTGGATGCCGGACCCACACGCCGCCGTCCTCTTCTTCAACGACCGCTCCCCCTTCATGAAGATCGAAGCCGTTCTGGAGGTGATGCCGCCCCTGCTGTGGTTTGCGAACTGGGAGCCGCTGGAGTTCCCGCTGCGCAACCCGATTCGCCGCTTGAAGCTGTCCCTGCTGCGTCGCATCATGGCGCTGACCTACGCCGCCTTTGGCGCTGGCCACACCGTCGCCATGCTAGAGAAGAAGCAAGCGGATCTTCTCGCCATGCACCGCATTCGCGTGACACTTTTCCAGGCAATGCATGGGAACGACCTGCAGACTATCCGTGACGGGCCGCCCCGCTCGCACAGCGGCAGCGACGCCTCTCATATGGGGGACAGCAAGACGGAGACGGCGGCGGATGTAGAAGCCGCGCGTGTCTCGATCGCGGAGCTGCATGAGAACAGTCGTGGCTACGTGAAAGACTTCGCCCTGGCCGTCATGCAGGCCACCATCCGCCTCGGCTCCACCCTCAGCACGCCGGAGCAGCTCCTCAAGAAGGTGCCGTTCGATGCGCTGCGTGACAAAGACACCGTCATGCGACGCAACCTGCGGCTGGAGCTCGTGCAGATGATGAAGATACAGAGCGACTTGGTGGCGAAACGTCGGAGCGCCGAGCAGCAAAAGAGGCAGCTGGATGAGGAGGAAGACGAAGACGACGACGGCGGGGATGTGGTGTTGGTTGACGACAACTCACCGTTCGGTCAGACACGCCACTACCGCATCGGCCGCGCCTGCGCCGCCATCATCCTCGAGAACGACAGCATCATCGACGGAAACAAAATCTTTCTGCGCATGAATACCATGTTTTTCCACCTGCAGATGAGCATGATCGCGGGGGAGATTCTCAGCTTTGGGGAGCAGATGAAGGAGTACAAGCCTACCGAGTCCATGGGCCGCCGTCTGCTTCGCTTCTTCATTATTGAGCCGTGGAACGACTTCTGGGAGGAGCTGTGGTGCCGCGTTGCGTTCGTGCGGCCCTGCGACTACCGCACGGTGAAGGACGCCATTCGCATGACCTGCGCCTACCTGAGTGCGACGGCGCTGAACCTCGAGCTGTGGTTGGTGCCCGGTGGACTCTACTTCTTCGGTGTCACCATCCTTCTCGGCCTGCCGGTGGAGGAGGAGTCGCTGAACATGGGTGTAAATCGCATGGCCGGCAACTCCCTCGGCTGCGCACTCGGCTTTATGGCCTTCCACAACTCGAACAACCTCGCCCAGCAGCTGGCCATGGCGCTTTGCTTCACTTTCATCCAGCAGTGCTGCAAGAACCACCCCGTCTTTGGGCAAACCTTCTTTTACGGCTCCGTCATTACGCTGGCCGGCCTCGCCACGTCGATGGTGACGATGGAGCTCCTCACGCGCATCATCGCCAGCAACTACACGATTGTGGCCTACATGCTCTGCTGCATGTTCATCTTCCCCAACAACAGCATCAAGATCTGCTGGGGCTACCGCTGCAAGCTGACCAAGGTGATGAGTGAAGTCATCGACGACGTGGCGCTCACACTGCGCATCCGCCCTGACTGCTACCCCACTCCAATGGCTCTTGATGCGGACAACAACGAGCCAGCTTCATACCCCCACCGCAACACGGAGGCGATGCAGATGTGCTCGCAGCTGAACGTGCAGATGTCCCTCGCGCATCGTCTACTGGCCATGTGTGACAAGTGGGCCCCCTTCGCCGCTCGACAACACGTTATTCGCGGCTCCTCCCCCTTCCCGTCTGCGGCCTCCGCCATGATTCAATTCGCACACAAACGCATGGTGGCCCATTTACGGTTGCTGGTGTTTGGCGTGCAGCTGCTGCACCGTCCCCGGTGCGATCCCGTCTTCCCCGCCACTGCGCGGCTGGTGGCCGGCAGCGTCGCAGACTTCGTCGCGGAGTTCTCCGACTGCGTCCGCCTGCTCAGTCAAGACTTTATCGACTCAATTCAGATCTCGCGGAAGTGGTCTTATCCGCTTTCTCTGAGTCGCACGAGTCAGCTCAGCCGGATGCGGGTTCGCCTGGAGGCGATTCACTCCGAGGGCTACGTCGTCGTGCTGCAGTACTTCTCCAAGGGCACCTTTGGCATGACACAGCAGGACTTCGAGGAGCTGCGACGCGAAGCCACCGAGCGCAGAGAAGAGCTCGACGCAAGCGAGTGGGGCGAAGTCCGCGTGAACGCCGGAGAAAATCTGCCGGACTCGCAGCGCAACCTGTCCTTTGCCGATCGTTTCCTCACCGCACGTCGCCTGGGCGAAACTCTCAACGGTGAGTGCACCCCGGAGGTGCTGGAGAGCTTACATCAGTCCATGTACCTCCCGCAGTCTGTTGGCGCGGCGGCCAGCATGCACGGTGGTGCAGCCTCGTTTGTGCACCGCGCGCCACTGCAGGAGAGCAACGTCCAGCCGAACGATGCGTTCCCGCTTACGCAGGAGAGCGCCGAGTGTGAGCTGCATTACCGGCTACACGAGGAGCGCCTCAACGAGGAACGGATGCGCCATCAGGAAGACAAGTCGCTGAAATCGTCGAGGAGGAGCCATCACGGCGATGACACCAGCGATCGGGAGTCGCACCAGCCCTTGTACGAACCCGTCGTGCCACAGAAGACGAAGAGCAGAGTGTCGAAGCTGATCCTCGTGCCCGAGCAGGGGGCGGAGTCATACATTCCCCTTTACCACGGTCCCACCTTCACGTACGTCGAGGACGAGCTGGCGACGGAGAAGGACACGGACTTTGCTGCGATCATGACGATCCTGTGCAGCTGCGATGGCCTAATGACGGAGCTGGAGGGGCTGACCGGCCCGGTGAACACCATCAGCACCTATCAGAAGCAGCTGCACGAGTCGTCTATCGCTGTTGGTTTTCTGGACAGCATGACGGAGAAAATCACGGCGTACCGACAGAAGATCTACGATCGTTATCACTACCCTAAGGTGCCGCTGCAGAAGCGCGATGCTCTGCACACGCAATCCGATCCGTGGGCCGACTGGCGCTTCTAAGGCAGGGAGTCGTGCTATGTTCTGTGTCTGTTGATGTATTTGTTTGTGCATGGAACTGCGCGTGTGTTTTGTGAATCGCATCCAAGAGGGTACCATTTCATCCGTATCTGTGTACATACATATATATGTGCAACCTATGATGATAGCTGCGGTGGAGAAGGTGATGTTGTGACCGGGAAGAACAGCGTTCGTGTACTTCATTCTTTGTATTCGCTATTGCCTTGACGACGCACGGAAAAGGGTCGTGGTGGCAGAAAACGAGACACCTGTGAAGACGTGTGTGTGTGCGAGTATCTTTTGGTTCTTACCAGTGTTGTTTTCTGTGAGCAGCGTGTAACGAAGGTGCAGTTGCTCACTGCGAGGCGTACTATCTTCTTATTTATTTATTTTGTGTCAGGCCTGTCACTTCACATTGGCTTGTGTTTCTTCATTAGGTTCTTTCTTTGAAGCACTGGCGGCATCAACGCAATATACCTATTGCCGAAACGTACCTATTTTGATTGATTGCGTGTGTATTCTGTTTGCTCTCTTCTCTCCCTCTACCGCTGTTCCCCATGTGTCAGCTCTGGAGTTCTAATAGTTTTCCAATGTGATTGTGCCAGTGACGCACGTTGCCTCAAATCTGCATTTCCCTCCTCACAGTAAAGAGGACTTAGTAGCGGGAATTTCAGATGGAGTCAGCAGGTGCTCTTGGCAGAGGCGTACATCGCAGACGCGTTCTAGCTCTCTGTCTTGTGCTATCGTGCGCGGACCGAGAGTTTTTTATTTTTCATTTACAGAGAAAAGAACCGCTGGCATAAAGTGCTTACGGGATATCATATGTGTAAAAGCACAACGGTTTTTATTATTACTATTATTATTATTATTGTTGTTGTTGGTTTTCTCTGCGTGCGTGTCGTGACAGTTGTCGACGGAAGGCCGTATCTTCCGCCTCGCGCATCGTATTTACGGCCGCATTGATGCTGAGCCGAACTAATCTGACCACTGCTGAACTCGCTTTGTTTTGACTATTTATTTATTTACTACAAGTTAGCGAATGAAAGTACGCATGTTTTTGTCTTGATCTAAAAATATATTGGTCTCCCTCTCCCTCTATCATTTGTTTTAAAAAAGAAATGGTGGTGCCCAACTGTGATGGAGGGGTTATCTACCCATGGCATTGAAGCGCCGTGCGGTCTCAACGCCATCTCTCTCTCTAAAGAAAAAAAAGCACATACGCATGCACACGTCCATCTTTTACTTACCAAAAAACGAATGCTTTATTTTATCAGGGTAGAGGAAACTGCATTACAGAATGGAAACGGAGACGCAGCACCGAGCAGACTCGCCATTATAATGCGTACCTGCATGTCTCGCTTTTCCTTTACATGTTTTTTAGTTAATTAATCATAAAGCTTCCCCTCGCTGTTGTTTTCTGTTTATGTGCTGAATAAGCTCTTCGCGTATTTTATCCCTTCTGCTCTTCATCGCGGAGGCTTTTTTAGACGGCGTTGTCTCCCTTCTTCCTCTTCGCTGAGCAGGTTGCCTCGCGTTTGATCAGCTGACCAGGTAAGGATAGGCAACAATAAGCCCATGTAGACGTTGCTTTCATTATTTTTCGTCTTTGCGCTTTCTTCTTTTTCTTTTAAGAATAGCATTTAACGGTGGCTGTGAGCATTTACTTTGCTACGTGGTTTTCTTTCGATGGGATTGGCGAGGTGTACCGCCCACGTCCTCTGTACGACGTGCTCTAAAGGCAATAGAAAAGCAAATGGGGTTTTTTTTTTGGTACGATGGGGAAGAAGAGTCGAAGCACTTCGTTATCCCCATCACAATCGGCCTGTTATTTCTCTTGTGTGTTGCGCTTTGCAAACTCGGTGGAGTCCGGAAGATGGAAGTCGCAAAGGCAAAGAAAAGAAAGATGCGCGCTCTTTCGTTGAAGGGTTTCCATGTCCCAGCCTTGGTCGCAATGAAGCCTGCTCTCCGCTTGTGACAATAAACGTTCTCTGAGGGAGGGGGCACGTTTCGACGGATTTGGGATGTGTCTGGCTTTCATCCCTGCTGGTGTAAATCAACCACGCTCTATTAGCCCACTCTCTTCTACAACGCTGCCTCACCCTTGTTGCTCATCGCCTTACCTCGCCCCACCTATGCAAGAACTTCTGCATCTTTTTTCTTCAAGTCTATTCGGGCGAATAAGAATACGTAGAATCGCCTGCAGCGACTGTCTTCGCGTCCGTTTTGTCCACTTTCCAAAACCTTTTTTTCTGCTGTTGTTTCTCTCTCAGACACTCGCTACAGAATTTATTTTTTTGGCAGTCCGGCTGTTTACACGATATACGTCGTCTCTCCTTCCGCCTCTGCTAGCCGAGATGCAGCACACGATGTCTTTCCGGCGCAGCTCAACTCGCATTGCGGCGGCTATGTTCCTGAACTCGTTGTGCCTGCCACCTACCCTAGCACCGCCACTACGAAGCCTCTCCTCTACTCACCGGTGCAGGCTGCCCTGCTTTACGGCGTCTGCACACCCCATACGCTCACAATTCCGCCTTCTGCACACAGATGATCGCAGCCCCGTTTCCTCGACGGCTACCCGGCAGTCTGCCGCCAACTCCCAGGCCACGGGAAACTTCCTTGGGGAAGGTGCTGATGGTGGTGATGGTGAGAAACCGGGCACCAAGGCCGATGCAGAGGCGGATGACGACGTAACGGTCCAGGTGTACCGCCCACAGCTATCGCCCGAGGCGGCGGAGCGCAGCGTGAAAACGGAACTCTTCCTCTGCCTCCTCCTCACCCTTCCGCGGACACAGGACTGGAAGGACATGCTCACGGCTGCCTTCCGCGCCGGTTCGTGGAAGCCGCACCACCTCGATGCGGTGCTGCGCGGGGTGTCGCTCAACAAGTACAACGAGCCCAGCGCTTTTCTGCGGAGCTGTGGGAGCTCGTACGCTGCTGCCAATGGCAACCAGTCCCTCCGCGAGGCGGCGGTGCAGGCGTCGCAGTCGGCACCGCCCGCGTCGACGCCGACGAGTCGCCTGCACCGTGCGAGGGACATTCTCGTGTTCTGTGCCGAAGAAGGCGTGCTTTACGCGAAGGAAGATGAAGAAACGACGGTAGCGGCCCCGCCTTCGTCCTCGTCCTCTCCGGCTCCTTCTGTTGCGGAAGGTAAAGCAACGTTGATGCACGCCGACGCCTTTGCGCCCTCCCCAGCGGCTGTCCATCATCTCCTGACGATGCTCCTGCAGGCGGCACAGCGTGGAGCTGACTACGCGTCCTCCTCACCGTCTCCCCACCCCGCCTCTACTTCTTCCTCTCTCTCCACCAGTTCGGGTGAGAACGGGCTCCCCACTGCGTCTTATGCCGATGTGTGGCACTACCTCGCCTGGATGGAGCTGCACGGCTACCACGTTCTCTCGCATGCGGTGCTAGACGTCTTGGAAGCGGCGCTGGACGAAGGCGGCAGCCCCTCGCGTCCGCAGGGCCACCGCACAAAAGCCGGCATCACCGCGGCAGAGTCAACGGACTCCATTTCGTCTTCCGGCCCGTTGCAGTACGCTGCCGTGTCACAGCGCATTCATCGTCTGGACTACGTGCGAGGGGAGCGGGCGCTGCTGCAGGAGTCACTACGGAGTCAATCGAAGATGAAAAAAAATCCTGTTCGCTCGCTGGATCATGTCGGAGACTTCAATAGGAGACAGCGCGACGTGCCGCGAACGGATCCTACGCTTTGAAAGCAGGACACTGGGCAGATGCATGTCCGTCTGTTAATGGGAAACGTTTGCGTTATAATTGGGTATCTTAAGTGGTGATAGATTCTTTAGTGACTTCTCACATATCCTTGATTTCATTTGACTGAGCGACATCAGAAAGCTGAAGCGCCGCTCTAAGTAAACTTTCAAAGCCCACCATTGTATTGAACATCTGACATGCACTAAGGTGTTTCGAAGTGAGCACGTTGAGCAACCTTTATCGACGGCTTACTATCGGTAATGCATCGACTGTGCTGGTAAGTTTTCAGCTGCGTTGAAGCGGACGATAAACCAGAACACCGCTCACTCTCTACATGTTGTGGATCTACGGCGACATGGACAACCTCGTCTCTCTCTCCTTTCTTGTTCTTTTTTTAAACTGTTCACCTTACGCCTTCTTTATCACTATTCATTCATTATTAATTTGTTATTTTTCCCCTCCTTCACGTATTCTCTCTCTCTCGCTCAAACCGTCAAATACTGGCAAAAACTGCTCTCTCCAGTAAATCCAAAAGTGGCACCTCACCTTCTGGTTGCGTGGTGCGGTAACAGAAGAAGAGCATCACCACAGCGGTTTACCTCTCTTTATTCCACTGTCGCTTTTCGTCTTCTTTTCTTTTGGCTGTGCCGTTCTCCGAGTGTGAGCGCGGAGTATCCGGCTCAGACAAGCGCCCCTTCTTTTCTCCCCTGCGAGTTTTTTGTACCTTTTTCTCTCAACGCCTTCTTGGAAGGCGGAGCGGCGCTGCGAAGGTGTTCGTGCAGCGTACGAGGTGAGGTGTACGATCCTCCTTTTCCCACCAATACTCTCTGTATGTGTCTTCTTTTATCTTCCTTTTCATACACTGCTTTGATCGTAATATTCTATTATAATTTTTCTTTCTACTATTGTTTTATTATTATTATTTTAGTTTGCCTTGGCAAAAAGGACACGCTGCCGCCCGTCGTGTTGTTGTTTGTTTTTCCCCTTGCGCTTCATCCTTCCTCTGACCTGTATCAACCCTCTCTTTCTCTCCTCTACGGCTTAGCTGCCACGTGCGCTTCACAAGACACGCGCGATCACGCAGCGCTGAAGGAAAGACACGGCCACACGGCGAAGAGACGAGGTCAGGTCGAGGCGAAATTAAAGGACGCAACTCAAATTTAGGTGTCAACTGCGTAGAGGGCATAAGTGAAACAAATAGAAGCTTTCTTGCTCCGCAGGATTTGTGTGTTCTCGAACTCGATTCCTTCTGTCTAAGATCAACGGAGTGCGTGTAACACCTTCAAACTTCTTTTTTCTTTCTTCTTGGTGGATGTTCATTTCCAATAAAGCGCTACCTATATTATTATTTCTCCTCTTGCTTTCTCACTTGACCCGTCAGATTCTCTTCTCCCGCTGAGCTGTGGTTTTCTTTCGATTTATTCTTATTTACTTCTACGTACTACCAAACGAAAGCCAACAACACATTTTTCTGTTCTGACGATCTTCTCCTCCGTCTATATAACCCTTTTACAGTCCCTTTTGTTGTTGTAGTTTCTGCTCCGTCGCAAAGAGCAGTAACGGGGAAAAAGAAATTGCCGTGTCGCCTTCTTTTTTGTTTGAAGTGAGGAGAGGAAGCAAGTACGACGTGTTGGGCGACTTTCTTGATTTCCTTTTCTGGTGTTGACCTGTTTGTTTGTCTGGCGGATAAGCCTCTGTGTCGGCGTTTGCTTCTCAGCTCTCTTCCTTTTCCTCGCCTGCAACTTCGCGCGACTCCAACGCCACTGCGGTAGTTTTCTTTTGAGGAGGATTGTGCCAGGTTGACACGCAGGCAGAGACAGGTTGGTGCGGGCACGTGCGCAGACCCCTCCAAAGAAAAGAAAGAAGAGGGGCTTTTAATAAACGCTTTTTAGGTGAAACTAAGAGCAGTACATGGCTTCGCCAACAGCCATCGGTATCGGCGTCGGTGTAGCCCTCGGGGTTTTAGTGGTCGTTTCTGTGGTGGTGATCGTCGTGGGGCTCTGTACCAGTAACACCCGCACTCGCGACTTCACCCGCGAGCGAGAGCGGCGCGTGGAGCGGGTGCGTGAACGTCATCAACAGGAGCAAGAGCAATGGCGAGAACGGCGACTACGCGACGTCGTGCTCTTGCTGATTGAGCGCGGCGAGGCCGTGGAGGGCGTGCCGCTCGCCTTTCAGCTGCCAAACCGGCCGGAGGTGCCTGCTCGTCGTGCCCTGCGCAACCACCGTGGGCAGAACACGCAGCGCCAGGAGCTCGAGATCGAACTCGCGAACGAGGACGAGAACGGACGCCTCGACGCCGCGGCGCAGGAGATCGCACGGAAGCCGCTGACGGAGCTCCTCGCGAACGGCCGCCCCGAAGAGGCCGAGCCGGGACCGGACGTGATGCAGCTGCTGCTGGACGGGCAGGAGCTGCAGCAGCACACGAGCTCCGACGGCGATGACGACTACCTCCTCGATGAGGAAACCTCCGCGAGTGTGACACCGTCGCCCATTCTGCTGTCGGGGCGGACGAGTCGGATCCCCAGCTGCCCACCAACACCGCAGCCGCAGCCGAGCCAGCCGTCCTCGCTCGCCAACCCAGTTGCACGCCGCACGCCACCATCCACCACCACCGCCGAAGGCGACGGCGCTGAGAACCCCGACGCGGCGGAAATCGAAGCCCGCACCGCCGCAGCGCTACGGGCGGAGCAGCAGCGTCGAGAGGCCCGTGAGGCCGCCCTCCTGCAGGAGCTGCGCCGAGAGCGTCGCCGCAAGCGCCGCAAGACTGCCGAGGAGGTCTACGGTGAGCCAGTCGACTACCTCCCCAACCCTGAGAACGACTTCCTCGACCGCACGGCGGCGGCGGAGGCGGCGGAGGAAGCAGCGGCGAACGCAGCCCCGCAGTCCCCGCTGTGGCGCTTCCTGTCTCCCCTCACTCCCTTCCGCGGCAACAGGTCCCACAGCAAGAAGTCCGCCTTCGCGGATCGCGTACCGGAAGGCAGCACGACTCTGCAGGACACGCGCGGCTCGTCTGGAGCGCCGGCGTCGCCTCGGAAGCCCAAACCCTCCGGTCGATCTCCCTTCTGAAAATCCGGCCGGGGAAGTGAGAGCAGGGAGGGCTTGCTGATTTCCGTCAAGTCCCCCACCAGCCCTCGCTTAGACAAGGAGATGATGCAACTTAATACACCACAGCAGCAACACCAATTCATGCGCACGCAGGCGTCGTTGGAGGAGCACGCCGTCGGTCAGTATCGGCTGTGTGACTCGAACGACAAAAACGGCATTTCGCCGGTTGGCGTCGCCGCACGTCCCAAGCTGCGGCCCGGCCCTCTGTTTGCGTCGCGAGAGGAGTCCCAGCCGCGGCAACACTCTTTCCAGCAGCGTGTGCCGCTGCCCCCGCCGGTCGGCTCGGTGCACAACGCCAAGGGTGGCAGCCCCGGCGTTGTACTGCCGTCGCAGGGCGGTCTGCAGACGCCACGGTATGCCTCGGAGGTGACTCTGGAGTACAGCGCCATCTCCTCGCATCGGAGCAACGTCAGTGAACTGGAGCCTAGTCATCACACGGATCCAAACGAAAGCGCTGTATAGCGCACGCGCTTTTTTTTCTCGTTGTTGTGGCTCCGCCTCTTCGCTTTCTGTTCCGGTTGCCCGTGTTAGTGTATTATGTTGCTTGAACTTGCTGATTGCCATCTACGTGTAGTCTGGCAAGTTGGTATATTTCTTAATCCCCTTGTCTTTATCCCTGTAGTGCCACCTCATTATTTTCTTTTTCTAATTAAACCCGCTGAATTCAAGAAGACTTGATGGAAGTTTGTGTGCGAGCAGGGAACGAAATAACGGCTCTATCTTGTACGTTATTCATTTATTATAGTAATTCCGATATCGTTTGTTCGCTTGAGCACCCAACGGAATCATTTACTGAGCTCTTTTTGTTTGCTTCCTTCTCGCTGCGTGAAGAACATTCTTTCTAGTGTCTTTCTGTGTTTTTATGGTAGTTCGTGTTCACCTCTTCATGAACACGCTGAAGAACGCCCCTCGACGTCTCATCGAGAGAGATGGTGCCGTGTGAGAACACATGTGTCGCGCACCTTTCTCTCCTCTTCTTCCCTTCCCGGAATTTTATCGGCGCGTACATTTATTTATGTATTTTTTTTTCTTTTCGATGGCTTTCCGTGAAACGCTGTGCCGGCGATACACAAGATGGAGAGGAAGAAGAAGGAAAACCTTAGAGAATACTCGAACTTCGTTTTCTCTCGGTTTCTCTCTTTTTTCTTGTCGGCAAAAACTGATGATTTTTGATCTTCCTCGTTGTTTACACACACGAGACTGCTTACATAACATATATTCGTGTGTCTCTCTTATTGGATGTTTCTGTTTTTGTTGTTGGACTTTTTCTCTGTCCTCCTTTATTGGTTAGTGTGCTCACAACGACTTTTCTTTCCTGTTATATCTGTGTTTTGTAGTTTCATCTTCACGGTTGAAATCTTCAAACGTTTGTTTTGTCTTTCCTTTCTCGTGAAGAGCCAAGTGTTGCTGCCGTAGTCTTTTGAGGCGGAGCCTGCGGATGTGTTGTAGGTGATGTGGGACTACGCGTGCTAAGCCTTCCTCCTTTGCTCCTTTTGTTTTGTTTTGTTTTTTCATATATTTTGGCGTTGGTCCGGTTCTGAGTAGATGCGTAAGTACGTGAGAGTGATGTTGTCCGTTTGTTTGACGGCAGGAAAACGACTGCTTTCAAACATATCGGCATGTGTGTGTGCGGGTGTGTGCCTCTCTTCACTGCCTTATGCCGCTTTCTTGCTCTCGCATTTTAGTCCCTGCACAACCACTCAGATCCTTTCATCGCAGAGAACGTATCGCTTCTTCTTTGGTTGGTTAGTTGGTTGGTTGGTTATGTTGATCTGTTGGCTTTCCTTTTCTACTGTACGTCGCACTTCCGACCTAATTCATCTCAGCAAAGCCTAAAACTACGTATTAGCATGCAGCTCCACGGAGTGCTTTTTGGGGGGACAGCTTTTCGCGTCATCGTTGGTCGACACCGTCCCTCATACAAATACTGGCCCGTGGCGCGTTCTTCCTCGCGCCACCGCGTTTAGCGCTCGCCTGACCACAAAAAGGAAGGCGTCTGGTTTCTGGCGCTCGTGTGTGTGTGTGTGTCTTAACTTCTCTCTTTTTCCATTGGAGTTATTGGGTGCCGGGCGCTTCCCGAAACGACGGAAGCGATTTCTCTCTCTTTTGTTTTTTTTTCTCTCTTGCGCTGTCGTACCTCATTCGTGATAGGGAGCATCTCGTACACCATTTGCAGGCGGTTTTGCAACTAATGGAGGCTTTCCCGCATCGCCTCGTTCGCTTCCTACTGGACCCTCTCTCTCTCTCTCTCCTCTCCCTCTCCTTTTGCTGTGTGTTCAACATGTGCCACCCGCGCCGATTCACACACGCAAAGAGAATCGCAGCACTTCGACTGGTACTTCATACTTAAACTTGACCAATACAAGTGATTATTTCTTTTGCGCGTTGCATCAAGGAGAAGTGCGAAACCTTTGTGCGCCTCGCTAAAATTAGCGCGTCTTGATAGGACATCAGAGTGCTCTGACCTGTTCTCTTGCGTACGTCCTCTGCGCAAGTCTATCGTCAATCAGCGACGTCTTCAAGTACGATTGCATCATCGCCTTTCCCTTGCCGTTTCTTTCTTTCTCTCGTGGAACTCACCAGCATTTGCTCCGGCAGTCTCACCTTTTCGGACATTTCCTTGAAAATTGATAATTTTAAAAAGATTCTTTTTGAAATCAAAAATTACTTTTATCCCCGTTGTTGTCGAGATAATGAGCTTTGGAAAAGACTACACGGAGGAGGAGCTGGCGCAGCTCGCGGAGCTGGAAAGCGTCTTCGACCGCCTCTACCCAGCGAATTCAGCGCAAGTGAAGTTTGATGTCAGCGTTGCTCTCCTCCGCACCTACTTTGTGCGCTCCCCGCACCAAGCACGAGGCCCTGGATCGCAGTGGTGTGCGCTTTTGCCGGAGATCCACGGTGAGGCGGTCGTGCGTCTCGGGCAGAACTTTCGCAAAACGAAAAACCTGGCGAATCGCCTGCTGGTATGGCGCACAGCATTCGAACCCTCGGACAGGCTGAACGGAAGCGCCGCGGTCAGGTGCGAAGGCAAGAAGACGTTGGCGAAAGCCTGGATGAACGGCTTGGTGGAGTACTATAAGGAGCGCCTAGAGAAGTGCTTTGTGCAGCTCAATATTGGCAAGACTGAGGCTGAGTGTACCGCTGCGCAAGCCCAACAAGACGCCGGCCTTCGTGGAAGGTCTGCCGTGCGTGCATCGGAGTCGGTGGACGCCGAGCAGCTCGTCAAGCGCTGCATCTCCGGCGCACGCGCCATCGTCAACCCCCAGATGAGTGCCAGCCCCTACTTCGTGCGCGCCGTCTCCGCGTGTCACGAGATGGTGCAGGTGCTGCAACTCGTGCAGGGTCTCCTCTACATCTTCACCGCGCAATACATCGACCGAGCCGGCAACGACGGTGGTGGTGGGGCGCGCCGAGCTAGCACGGCGGAGCTGTATCTCTTCGATGACTACCTCGCCACCCTGCGCACCCCGCAGTGGCTCTTTCGTTTTATTTTCCTTTTCCTTGGTGCCATGAACCTTCTGCAGGATCCACGACGCGACGCGGCGGTGCTGAATGGCAGCCAACTGGACAACGCGATTCATTGCATTGCGTGTCTGGTGGGGGAGGTGGACGGCAAGCGGAAGAACAGCGATGTAAAGTCGACGTTGGATGCGTTGGTGCTGGGACACGTGAAGAACTCCTGCCTGTCAGAATTCCCGCCGCAGCAGACGCTGGACATGCTTGCCCATTCGTGCCATAGCGGCACTAACAGCAATAACACTGGAGAGGAGGCTGCCGGCACCTTGACAGACCCGCTCGCACGTTGCGGTCCGCTCCTGCAGCAGCTCTTGGTGCGCTACCCAAGCTTCATGGCCGGCATCACGAACTTCACGCGTCGCAGCGGTGTGGAAGAGTGGGGGGTGTCGGTGATGCAGACGGTGCTCTTCTGCTGGGACGTGCACACGCCTCCGCTGGCCACCTCGGCAGAGGTGGGAACGGTGCGCTACTGTGTCCCTGGGTCGTCAGGGAGCAGCGAGTGCGTTGGCAAGGAATTTGCCTCGACGGTGGTGTACAGCATGATAAGAGAAGCACTTCGACCGTTGCTGTCGGCGCTGCTATCTATGACGGACTCCACAATCAGCAGCAAAAAAGGCGTTGCAGTAGCAAGAGCAGCAGCGTACGGGCCCTCCGATGATGCAGGCGCGGAAGAGGCGGCAGCTGGCAGCGGCGATGCATCTCCTCTGCTGTCGTCTGCCGAGCAGCAGCTCTGTGCGCTGCTGCTGGGCGTTGTTGAGTGGATCGACTCCGTTGCCTTCTCCGATGCCGCTCGCATGACACGTTGGAGCGCCTTGGATGTCGGGGTGCAGGTGATGCGAGAGTTCAACTTGGGCCGGTGGTGCATGGGCCGCGTGTTGCGGGAGGTGCTGCAGGAGGGGATCGCAGCAGCGCTGCAACAGCTCGAGGCGCAGGTCCGCGCCGCTCCTTCAACCGGGGCAACAACAACAGCAGCACCGGATGATCCGTTGGCTGCCGTGGCCACATCGCTTCTGCGGTACCTGCTGCGTGTGGAGCGGATATGGTACGCGCTAACGGAGCACACGATTGAGCTGGACAACGCGGCCTTTGACTCCATGCGCGCTATGGGAGTGAAGACGATGCCAGAGGCCGTCGCACCAGTGGACGTCGCTGCGGCCGACAACACGCAAGGCACGGCGTCGCGCGCGAGCTACGATACCGGCCTCTTCAAGGATTACAAGTACGAGTTCTACGAAGCCGTGCAGATGGCGATGAGGGCGAAGTGGCCCAAAGCCTACGCAGACCTCATCACGGACCCTCTGCTGTACAGCATCCACGGCTATCTGGTGCGCGAGGAGAGCGCGATGCAGCGGGGAGTGGGACCACGACTCAGCGGCGGTGGTGGTGGAGTTCTGGCGGCTCGTCGTAGTGCTCCTGTCCCCCTGGGAGCTGACGGGCGTGGGGCAGGTGTGAAGCGGCCACTTCCGCCGGGGCGTCCTCCTCGGGACGGAGACGCCGGCCCCGCCACACGCGGACCGCCGGAGCCGGAGCCGGAGGCGGTGGTGCTCACCTCCCAGAACGACCTCCACGGTGCCCTGCGCCTCGTGCGCTGCATCGTGAACCGCGATCACTTCATCCACCGCTTCACCGTGACGGTTCGCGAGCGCCTGCTGACGCGGCCCGCGCCCGACGTCATCTCCGACGCCGACCTGGAGAAGAACAAGAAGCGGTGCGAGCTGGAGGTAGATATGTTCCTGGCGTCGTGGCTCAACGACACGGCGCTGCTCAAGACGGTGCGGGAGCTGCACTCCAACTACACACCGCAGACGACTACGTTTAGCACGGCAGCTGGCGGTGGCACGCAGGTCGTGGCAGCAGGTCACGGCAAGGACTTCAAGCTCTCCAGCACCATTTTGGACTGGCGGCTGTGGGGCGACAAGGACACCGCAGCGGCCGCGACGACGGCGACGGCGACGACGCTGCCGAACACCGTGGCGGAGTTGCGCGTGGTGGTGGCCACGCAGACCGCCACGCAGTCCACTGCCGCCAATGCCCCGTTGCCCTTCCCCAGCGACGTCCTTCCGTACCTCGAGCAGGTGGAGCAGCGCTACAACAACGACCACGGCGCCCGCACGCTGCGCTGGGACTGGCAGAACCACGTCTTCACCACCTTCACTCTGCTGTACCCGAAGGAGAACGGCCGCGTGACCACCGTAAGCGGTCCGTTGATGCTCCAGCGTCTCTTTCTCGCGATTGCGGCCTACGGTCGCGCCGGCGTGGAGCTCGGGACGCTGGCGAAGCGCGCCGGCATGGAGGAGAGGCGTGTGTACACGATGTTGAAGCGCTGCGTGGACCGCGACCGCCTCCTCGTGCGGGTGGGCGAGAAGAGAGACGACGGAGCGACCTCGCCGTCCCCACCGCCCACCCCCTCACCCCCGCCCGCCGCGTCTCCGTCGATGCGGCTGGCGCTCAACTACGACTACACCCGACCGCCCAACCTCCCGCGTGGCGACTTCACCTATTGGCCCAACGTGGAGCGCCGCCGCTTTGCCACGCGTGGTGTTGACCAGGACGCCACCGTCAAGAAACGGCGTAGCATTATCCAGACATCGATCATGCAGGTCATGAAGCAGGTGCAGCGCATCCAGCACGACGACCTATACGCGATGGTGCGTGAGAAAAATGCGAAACGCTTTGAGGTGACAGTGCGCAACTTCAAGCAGGAAATTGAAGAGCTGATTGAGAAGAACTTCATGGCTCGCGCGGAAGGTGACTCCAACGAATACATCTTCAGCGCGTAGTGATGACGTGTGTGGTGGGAGAGTTGAGGGGTCTCGCATCTCTTCCTCTCTCTCTCCCTTGATGAATCTCGTGTCCTGTTCTGTGTTCAAACCGTTTTCTTCTTTCTCTCTCCATTTCAAATATGCAGCGGCGGTGCTGTGGTAGTTTCTCTTTCTCTTTCCCGTCCTGCGCAGCGAATATCGTTGTGCTTGCTCTATTTCATCTTGCCTTTTGTATCGCAGCGAATCACGTTCGTTTACACATCGTGATGTGCTTTCCCTTCCTCTTCTTCTTTGTACGCGTGTGTGCATTGGTGACTATACCGGTACTATGGTTGTTGTCTTGAAAACTCTTCTTTTGAATTCGGTGGATGCTGCTTTTCTCGAGGTGTGAACGCGTTCTGCATCAACAGCCACCGCTTCTCCGAAGCAGCTGTTCACCTTGGCACTTTTCCAAACGCACGTAGGTGAGGTGTGATGAATCACGAGTGTTGTTGATTCCATTGCTTTCTGCGCCCGTCTTCTTTCTACCGTGTTGTATCGGAATAGTGGAAAGTGATCCAGCATGCCTTCGGTTTTCAGGGCGGCCTTCACTACCTCGCAGTATTTATTCGCTGTCTCTCTCTCTACTTCCCTTCTCAGTGACTTCAAATTTCCCTGCAACGGAACTCTACTTGACAATTGGGCAAGCCGATTGATGGGCCGCCGTCAGCTGCTCTGTGCTTTTTCCTCCGAGCAGTGTTCCTTCTCACTTCGGTGGCCAACTTTGTGTTGTGTAGCTCCATTTGCTCTTCCACGCAGGCAGGAGAGGGGAGATATTGTGTCGCACACACGAAGAAAGTGTGGGTTCCTCTTGGTGTGTACCGCGTGTTTGCCGCAACGGTGTGCGTACCGCGTCTCACCATGCAGACTCCCTCCACGGCGACAGACGCGCCGAAGTCGGAGCGCGGTCGCCGGCGTCTCATCTCGCGCGGCCGCACCCTCTATGCCTCTCCGTACGGCACCATGCAATCCGCCTCCACAGCAACTACGACGCCAGCACCCACAACGTTCGGTGCCCACCCCACCCACGCATCCGCCCAACAGCCGTCATCGTTGACTCGCCGTGAAACGGCCTCCCCCACTGCCGTCGCTACTGCTGCGGCTTCTACAACCACAAGAAAGGAAAGAAGCCGCGGAGGCTCGGTCTCCACAGTGTATGCGACGAAGCCGCACTACCCTACGAGATCCGTCAGCTACGCCGACACATCCCTCAACTCCTCTTCGCGCACCGCAGCGGCGACTTCGCGTGTGCCGGCGCTGGCCGTTTCCGACCTCGCTGCCGCGCCGTCGCGGCTCCACTCGACGACGCTGCCGGCTGCCAAGCCCGCAACGAAAACAATCCCGATGGCGAGCGTAGACGAGCCGGAGCAGTCCACTGTGCGCGTCGGCGCCTTCATCGTCAAGCGAAGCAGCATCTCGCCGCGCCCGGGGCACCCAACGGGCGAGAGTCCGTCCTCGCCGTTTTCGCCCTACACCGTTTCTCCCGTCAGCACTCCGCGTCTGTCTCAAACCACTCCGTTTGGTCCGAATGCGTTGACCGTTTACGAGCCGTGCGATCTCTTCGATCTGCACCACGCCTTGCAGCACCGGTTGGTGGACGAGCTTGGGTGGTCCCTGCACTGGTACCTCGACACCGAGACAGAGATTCAGCAGCTGGAGTTGGCGAAGGAGATGGAGGAGAAGGTAAGGACGAAACCAAGGAGTGTCGCAGATAAGACGAACGTCGCTGTCACTGTCGCCACGGACGGTGTGAAGGGCAGTAAGGGCGAAGCAGTCGAAGCCGCAGCGAAAAGATCAGGCAAGGCTCGCGACTCAGCGGGTGCGGCTCTTGCGGAGAGCGGCGCTGCTGCTGCTGCCGTTGTCACTCCGCAGCACAGCGACCCAAACACACCACAGAACTACCGCGTAGACGCACAGGGCCGTCAATTGCCGTACATCAAACAGAAGTCGCAGTTTGGTGTCATGTCGACGCGCGTCGAGTGCGCCCTGTGCCACGAACTCGCGGCGGTGCGGCGCTCCGCCTTCGCCGTCACACCACGCTCGCGCCTCAGTCGAAGCCCCTATGAGTTTCGCCTTGCATCGCTGCGGCGATGGCTGCGCAAGCGCGGCACCGAGTCCCCCGCTGACGCCCTGCTGGCGTCTTGCCTTTCAGTCGTGGCCCAGCGCTACCTCGCCTACCTCGGCATCGCCGACTGCTGGACGTCGCTGTTCGTGACGGCCGGTCTGCCGTCCCTCCACGCCGCCGCCGCCTCCACCGCCTTGCCCACCGCCGCCCGCGAAAAGGCCCTGTCCTTTCCAGCGACGTTGTCGACCCCCACCCGCCTTGACCGCGTCCCGCTCAGCTTCTACGTCCTCCCCGCCCTGTGCCGGTGGAAAACGCTGCAGCCCGCACGCGTGGAACGGCTTCTGCGCACGGCAAAGATGCATCCATTTTCGCTGCTGCGGTGCTTCCCAGACGTGGCCAACGGCACATCTGCGAAGGAAGCTGCAGGGGTGAGCTCGGTGGCGTCGTCCGTTGCATCATCCTTGGTCTTCTTCACGATTCAGCAGCAGACGTACCTCCCCGACGTGCGGCGCTCCTCCAGCCGACGGAACCAAATGGCTTCGCTGGGGGAGTCATGTGTGTGTGATGTGTACCTTGTGGCGTCGAACGCGCCTGACGGCTTTCTCTCCTCTTGGGCAGCAGCGGACGGCAGCGCTGATGCCGCCACATCCACTACCACCGTCGCTTCGGTGTGGGGCCACGTGCCGACGGACGAAGAGAGGAACGGCTGGAGCAGCGGCGATGGAGGCCAAGATGGAGCTGGGCTGCCGCCAAGTGGTGAGCTCTTCTACATTGCGAGTAGTTTGGAGAACTACCTGCGGCTGGGCATCGTGTTTGGGTGGGTTTATGGTTGGCAGATGTGCTTTTCTACAGCGGGGCCGCCGTCCAACTCGGTGCCGTGGCTGCGGTGGATCAACGCCTCCGCCTACGCGGCTGCGACGGCTGCCAACTCAGAAACCGCCCCGTGAAGACGTAGAAGGGAGAGATGCTCGCTGTGAAAAGAAGCTGATGGGTGAGCTCAGGAGTCTGCGAGAAACGCCAGGCAGGGATTTCAGACTGCCGAATCCAGTTGCTACTGTAGCGATGGATGTGGAAGTTCTCGGTTGGCGGTCTGGTTGTGTTCCGTGGTGCGCAGCTGCGTTTATGTGAAGAGTATGCCTTTTTCGTCTCGTGTGTGTGTTGTGGGTGTGCAGTGGCTCCCTCTCTGCGCATGCAACATGCCACTGAAGCGAACTCTTGGGGTTGTTTTTTTCGAAGCGCTGAGAGAGCCGAAGCTAGTACAAAAAAAAGGAATGTGAAGATGTTCTGAGCCGGAAAGCTCCTCAAGTCCGTGTGGCTCAATGGAAGAGCATCTGACTACGGATCAGAGGGTTGCAGGTTCGAATCCTGTCACGGATGACTTTTCCTTTTTCCCGGGAGCCCCCGAAAGCAATCCCCAAAAGAAGCGCCACCCCAAGACAACAACAAAGAAACACCCCCAACCCAACCCCCTTTCTCTCCCCGCCCAACGACTCATAGATTCATCCAATAGTGAACTTCATCTTTGCGGAGCGACCATGCGGCGTCACCTCTCATGCTTCACGCCGCCCTTCGGCTGCTCGCCAACGCCGCCGTGCTGCAACTTAATAAGGTCCTCTCTGCCGGGGACGCTCACGCACACCGCGAGGTCCTTCGCTCGTCAGCCTCCGCCGTCCGAAGCGTCTTGCAAACGCGCTTTTCCTCAGAGACAACTCCACTTTTCTTCCGTGCTGTCACGAGCGTCTCGTAAACGCCTCGCTGCAAAACCTACCAAAGCAGCCCAGCTTGCCGAAGCAACCAGCGACAACCAAAATCTCTCAACCCTTTCAAGTGGCAGGGCGGTTTCGTCCTCAGAGAACGTGATGTGCCCCGCTGCCGACTCGCTGGCTCAGCGGCAGACACATGATGTCGAAGCTCAGCGCACGTACCCAACTCCACGCCCGCCACGCCCCACCGTTACCGTTTCCTCTGCTGCACTGCTGCAGTCTCTCGAAGCGCAGCAATCCCCATTCGCCGCCACCTTGAACAAGCGGCTTACTCCACGCCACACCGGCCCGCGCGGCGCCGTTGCGGATCGGCACTCGGCGCACCAAACGGATGCGCAGCGCCACGCGGCAGACGAGCTTCGCACAGCGGAAGACAGCACCATTCAGAGCGACGGTTACGACCCGGCACTGGTGATGCGGACAGACGGGCGCCGTCGCCAGGTGCGTCTCAACCACGTTCAGCGGGAGCTGATCTGGACCGCGCGTCAGGCACAGTACCAGGGACTGCTCCAGCGCATCGTCGCGTGCTTGCAGTCTCACCGCAGCCCCGTCGAGAAGTGTCAGACACTCTTTGCGCTGCATGACGAGGCAGTCCATCGGCACCTGCGCCTGCGCGCCGACACCTACGAGGACATTTTTCACACCCTCTACAGCGTCGGCGTGCGGCGGGGCGGCGGCGGCGCCGGCCATCCAGGCAAGGCGTCGCTGAGCCCAAGTGCGCAGCTGACGGCAGGCGATGCGCAGTGGGAGAACGATCTGAGTGGCCACGCAGCGGCCACCGTCCGTGGTGGGTCGCTGCCGGCGGAGTTGGCCTCCTCGGCCGCCGCCTCGAGCACCGTGTTAAGCACGCATGGAATGGAACACGTGTGGGAGATGTACCGCTACTCCGTCGACAGCGGCACCGACCCGACCGCGCGTGTGCTGCAGTACGTGATGGGGCTGCTGGAGCACGCCTCCGTCGCCCTTGCCGTTCGTCGCGCCGCACCCTCTGCGTCGACAGATGCGCGTCTCGGTGCGAACCACTCCAACCGCCGTACACGCAGCAGTGGACTTCTCCTTGTGGAAGCGAAGGCGCACTCGCTCATGATGGACGCCGATCGCTTCCACCTCACCCCGTCCGAGTACACCATCAACTCCTACATAGGGATCTGCGAGGCCTGCGACAGTATGCACCTTGCGGTAGCACGTGTCACGGACTACCAGACACGGCACGAGCGGCAGCCCTCCGATGGGATGTACGCCCGACTCATCACGGGACTGGTGCGCTGCGGTCATTACGAGGACGCCGTGGCGGTGGTGACCACGATGCAGAACGTACCCATGACCACTTACCTGCTGAACGCGGTGCTGCAGGCTGCACGACACTCACGTGACCCCGCGAGCGTCTTCACCTTCTATCGGGCGTTATTCTTCTCTCCCGCGAGCCCACTGCGCGTGGGGGCGCAACGCAATGCGAAGGACCGCCGCGCTGAGCCGTCAACGCGCTCGGGCATTCGCCTTGTCCCCTCCCTCGTCACCTTCTCTATTCTAGTGGAGGTGATGGAGGCGACGCACAGCGGAGCGGAGCTTGATTTTGTGCTGGCGGAGATGCAGCACTATCGCATCAAGGGAAACGGAATGCTGCTGAACAAGCTCCTGCGACTCATGGAGGAAAGTGGTAAATCACAGGAGAAGAGTGCGCTCCAAAGTGCAATGGAGAGGAGGCAGATTCGGGTCTTTGATGAGCACAAAAGGAGGGGCAGCCTTCTGAGCCCCACGTAGGCGGCTACATTGACTTGCTTTGTGCAGCTTGGTAATTTTCTTTTTTCTTCTCTTGCTGTTCGTTGCTACCGCTGTCGCCGCGTCACAGCTTTTGTGCCTGCTGTACACTGATACTCGCTTGCTCCTCTGATTTCTGTCACATTAATATTTGTTTTCTCTGAGTCAAAGAATACTCTTCGTTTCTTTACGTGTAAAACGTGATCTGTGTTCAACTCAATGATCCAGCACTACCTGAGCTTCTTGATTGCCAAGTATACTACAGAGCTGTCTTTCTTCTGTCGTCTCAGCTTTCGCCGCTGCTGAAAGGCTCCATGCAGTGCAGTGAATTGCTTCAATAACGTCTGAGTTTTTCGTGTGTGTGTGTGTTCAAACACGCGTGTGCCTCCTCAAACTCCATGGCTTTCTTCTCACCCCTTTCTTCTTCTCTACTTCATAAAATATCTGCCCAACAAACGCACGTGTGACAACACGAAGCAGCACAAATAAAAAAGCCTCGAAAAGTAAAATAGGTACGATGGAGTGGGCAGCCGCGCAGCAGCAGCAGCACCACTGCTTCCTGGCCCGATTTACAAGCCCAGATCCCCAGGTGCAAGCCTCCAATCTACACCAGCTGGACGCCCTTGCACAGCACCCGGACGCCCTCCTTTCGGTCTCTGCTATTGTGTGTGATGGCTCCAGCTCTCCCACTGTGCGGCTTTCCGCGGCCACAGTGGTCCGTCAGCTTCTTCGCCGACAAACTCGGCTTTCCTTCTACCTGGGTTCAAGCATGAATGGCACAAGCACGGAGACCTCCCTTCACCAATTAATCGCGGACCTTCTGCCATCCTCTCTCCAGCCTGACACTTCCGCTTTTCCAGCTCCGCTACGGCGGGCCACGACGAGTCTCATTGCTACTTTGCTGAAAGCAGCCGCTGCGGATTCGGCGTGCTTTGCGGCCGCGACGTCTGCGTGGGACAACCTCCTCTGCCACCTTCTTCACGTCACTGCACAGGCCGGATTGTCGTCTGCTCCTAATGACAATGCGCACAGCACCGCGAGCTTAGGCGCTGGCGCGCAGACTGCGGCCCTTCTACGAGAAATGTGTGAGGTGGCGCTGACGGCGTCGCGTTCGCTGCGTGAGTGGGTGGGCGGACAGCAGTCGCAGAGCGCCGCTTTGTGCACCCTCTTTTCCCAGCAGCTGCAGCTCCTGCGATCGGCCCTGAGCCCTCACCTCAACTGCAATCCCGAAGATCCCTTACATACCCGCGCACTGGCCGCGTGGATGGAAAACCTCTTAGCTGCCTTTTCCTCCTGCATGGAGTCCGGCGTGCTGCCCTCGACAACGCCTGACTTCCTCGACAACGTACATTCCGAGTCGGGGGACGGTCCCGCGGTGCAATCACTGAGGGAAGTCTCCGCCGCAGTCGCAGGGATACACTCCGACATACAGGACATTGCGTTAACTCTCGTGCTGGTGCCGTTTGCGTCGTGGAGTGAAGGTGTAAGCACAGTGGCCGCAATTCCACCTCTGCCGCATCCTCTGCAGTCCACAGCACCCTTTGTCGTAGCGGCGATGCGTTACATGGCGGACGCCGTCCTGATGGAACCCTTCGACGTCCTCAACGGGCGCTTTCAACGTGCCGCAGTACCACTGCTTACTGCGTATTGCCAGAGTGCGGCTTCCACGCAACTTGTGTATGACGGTGTGGGAGACGCAGCCAGCGTTCACGCTGCCGTGGTGGCGAGTGTGAGCTACGCTGCACAGTTGGTTCACGTAGAGCACTTTCTCGGTCTTCCATCCGTTCGAACGGAAAAACCAGGCTCCTACGATACAACTAGCATGACCGCCTCGTACGTGGCATGTGTGCACTGCATGCTGACCAGCGCCGCCACATTGCCACCGTCGATAGCGGGGCAACTTCACGAGCACACGGTGCAAGAGCCGGACAGTGCAGCGGAGATGTTGGTGACATCCGCTTCTGCACGACGTCGAGGACAACGTGGTCGACGCGTCGACGGAGCTAACACGGACAGAGAGTTTGGTGATGTCAGCGGCGGTGGTAACGAAGGAGAAGAGCAGGAAGGGTCGGAAGAGTTCACCATGGCAGACGCATTGGAAGCCCAACTACCCGACAACGGCACGCTGCGCCAGGCTGTGGCGTGGTGTGCCAACAGCCTCACGTGCAATGCGGAGTGGATGGCTGCTTTGATGCCGCTCGTCCTCGCACCCCTGTCGCCGTCTCCGCCAGCGCAGCTGTCTGATGTGTGTGCGATGGAGTCGGCGCTCTTCGTGTGCAACGAAACGGTCGACAGCATTCTCGCTGACATGGGCATGACAGCGGCAGCCTCTGGTGAACAGCTTGCCGTTCAACTGAGCAATGTGCTGCAGCTTCTTCCGCCGTCATCGTCGGACGCATCGACGCTGGCGCGTGCGCCGTTCCTTCTTCGATTACAGGCGGTTCGCTTTCTGGGACGACTGGGAAGTGGACTGATGGAGGCGTGGAGGGGCCTCCGCGAGCACGCGGGAGACGCTGGCGACCGCGCTGCCGAATTTCGCACGCAGCGGCTGGCGCATTACACACATACTGCACTGAGCCCCGCTGGTGGGATGGAAGGAGTGCTGTGGACGCTTACACAGGTACTGAACGTGGAGGTGAACAAAGCCGTCCAGGTGGAGTGTGTTCGGGCGATCACCTCGCTCATTACCGACTGCGTTCGCACTCTCACAGACGTTGCTCGCACTGCTGGAAAGCGGAGCACCACTGGCACGTCCGACCTCGAAGAAGAATCACTCGATGACAGCAGCAACAGTGAGGGAGACGATGCTCCACCCAACAATCCTGCGCACAGCCCAGATATGAGTGCTGCGTCGATGCAGCACGTTACTTTGCTCTTCCAATCGCTGCGTCTCACTCCTGGCGTCGTCGCCCTCCCACAGACCCTCCACCTAATAAGCCAGAGTTTGCCCCGCTTTCAGTGGAGCGTGCGTCAGTCGATCTACCGTCTTTTCAGTGAGGCGTTTCCAGCACTGTGGACCTTCTGTCAACAGAAGTCAACAGAGCCGTGGGCGGGCGGGGACGACGCTGCCGCCGCGTCCACCCAATTTCTTGTCCGCACCGTCACCGCGCAGGCATTAGAAGTCCTCGCAGCTCACTACATGCACCTTCTCGCTGACATCCGCACCTCTCTCTTTGAGATGACGTCGCTGCTCTCCTGCATGGCCGACGTGGCGACCGTGATGGATGCCGCAGCGTTGGAAACGGTTCTACCTTGGATCCTTCAAGTGGCACACCACGTGCTGAGTCTCTACGCCGAGTACCTCGCTGGCTATGTGCGCAATGCAGACGGTACAAGCGGCAACACCACGCATGCCTCCTTTGAGGATGCCGCCGTCGACATGACCGATATGTGCATGGTGAGTCTGGACCTTATGAGCTGCGTCTGCGACGGTCTGCTAGACCGCGATGCCCTCCTCGCCCTTCAGCTGTGCCCGCAGAAGCAGGCGGAGGCGGCTGCAATGGACGCACGTGTCATGGCGCTCGCCGCTGTTCTTCTCTACCCAGCTGCCTCTATCAACAGTCGCGGTGGGTCATCGGGCTCCTCGTGCCCTGTGGATGACGCACTCCCAAATCGATGCGTAGCACTGCTGACGCTTTGTCAGTCTCGGCCTGACCACCCGTTACATGTGGCACTCGCAGCGCCTGCGACGGCAATGGGCCCACAAGAGGAATCTGCTGGCGGCACGGCTGATGAGCTCGGTGAGGTTCGACGAGCCTGCTTTGCCATTCTCTACGACTGCACCTTTCTTCTCGCCTACTCGGGATCTCTCTACCGCCCGTTTTCCACGCAGATACGCCGCACCGCCAGCGGGGACGGTCTCTCCGATGCTCTTGGCAACGATTTATTTACCTTGTGCCTCCGCGAAGTAATGCCGCACGGAGCTGCAGAGGCGGGGATATCGGAGCGCAGAGTGGACGCGGAAGAACTCAAGGCAGTGCTCACGCAAAATGTTGCCGCCTCCGACGCCTTATTGTGTCTTGGTGCCCTGCTGAGTCTGTGGGACCAGCAAAGCTGTGCGGCGCAACGAAAAGATCTCCTCCACGCTGAAGCTCACTCGGACGTTCCGCATGCCAGCGAGCGTGTTCGAGCAAGTCGCCCGGCGTCACTGCTTTCGCCTGCTTTCGATTCCACTCCACCACAGTCGTGGCAGTACGTACAGCACGTCTTTGAAAGCCTCCTCTCGTTGTTGGCGGACGCGAAATTTGCAGCGGGATCGTATTTGAGGCTCAACATGACGACTGCCGTGTGCGGGTTGGCGACGCTGCTGGCCAGTAGCTCCTTTTCCTCCTCCTCCGCTGACTCCACTCTGCAGCAGCACCGTCTCTCTCACCACAACCTTGTGGCACTCTTTGGTGTCGTCTCCAGCAGGCGTGTTCGCGAGTACGCACCCGATGCTGCCAGCGGGGAAGCAGAAGGCATGGGTGAGGCGGGGATGATTCTGTGGTGTTTAGGACGGGTGTGGCAGGACGCAGCGCAGCCGCTGCCGCACGACGCTCTTTCTGCGTTGTTGCGTGCTCGAGGGAATGACATGGCCAAAACGGCGGCGTGGCTTTTGCGGTGCATTACAACCCACACCAACTCTCTTCCACTACCGATGTGCCCCTTCTGGGCCTCGCTGCTTGAACTCTGGCGTCCCGCTGCGCTCTCTGTTGCGCAAGCGGCACAGGCCGGTGTTCTTGCGCTGACGCTGACCCAGTCGTCTGTGTTACACCAACTACTGCAACTTTAGCGGTGTATACGAAAGGGGTAAGCTGGATGCAGCCTCTTCTCCTCTCTTCGTCTTCATGAGCGTGCTCACTCTTGCTTTCGCATCGAATAAAGAAAGTAAAACGTATAAACGGGGGATTTCGTCAAGAAGGACAGGGAAAGCGCCCTCTGCACATTAACATAAGCGAAAATCATTCTTCTATCAATTTTGGGGGACTTCCAACGTAGGTAACCGCTCCAGCTAAGCTCATTATTTTCCGAAGGGTTTTAACGCGCGCCGATGCCGCTTGGGAAGTCGTTCGCACAACCCCGTTAAAGCAACTCATTATTATTATTACCTGCGGTCTTTTAGTCTCTTGAAAGGCACTCAACTTCCGACTGCCCTGTGGTAGACCTGCTTCATGTGCACAGGAAATTGTGATCTGCCGTGCGCCAACTCTTATGCCTCTTATAAAAGCCGGCTCCTCCTCTTCTTCTATCTTCAGTCTTTTATCTCTCTCACTTGTTATCCCAGTGCGTTCTTTCAGCGCATCAGATCAAGACAACGCCCGGCGTGCGTCCAGTTCTTCTCGCTCTCTCGCTTTCAAAAACGGTATTATATACTTCGCCACATTGTTTTCTACCTGGACTCTCGCCATGTCCGCCACCGCCACCGGCACGTGTCAGCACGGCCCGTACCACGAGTGCGCGTGCTACAAGCACGACACCGAGCTTCCCAACTACCGCCGCGACGTCGCCAACCCGCGGACGCTGCAGGGCTACTACGCCCCCAACGGCGGGTGCCCCTGCCCGGCGGGTTACGGCAGCGACGCCAGCAAGAATCTGCCGGAAAGCGCAACACCGACGGAGGGAAATGCGAAGCCGAAGGAGACGTTTCGCGCGGCGGACGGTCCGCACACGGTTCATACTGCGTCTGCCTCAGCGTCGTTCCCGAACTCGCGGAACTACGGCGGCACCGTCGCCCAACGCGGTCCAGCCGCCTCGGTGGTGGCCGCAATCGCCTTCAGCAACAGCGCCACCGGCGAGCCGAATATGACTCGCTCGGCCAAGAAGCAGGCGAAGGTGGAAGAGCGCGCGCAGGACCGCAAAAACTTCTTGAAGGCCGTCCTGCGCGACGAAATGCTGGCCCGCATGGACGCAGAGGGCCGCCGTGCGGAGTTGGAGGGCGACACCGAACTCATGGGCACGAACCACATCGATGAGTACGAGGCCAGCCAACGTGCGGCCGGCAAGGGGCAGCCGCTCAGCCCCGCCTCTCGCATGGCGTCGCGTGGCCCTCGTGAAGTCGCCACGGTGGGGGAGCAGTACGGCGAGATCATGGACGAGTTGGAGTTTGTGGCTGGCCGGCCCGTCGGCTCCAAGTACAACATCATTCGTCTGCACTACCTCGTGGAGGAGGAGCGACGCCTCAACGACCTCCGCCGCCAGGAGCGCCAGCAGAAGTCCGCCATTGCGTTCGCCGCCAAACAGAAGAAGTAAATCGTTTCCAACTTATTTTTGGTAAAGCTTGGACGTTCACACCTTCGCTTCTCCTTCTCTTTCTTTTAACAGGCGTGTTTGCTGTCGACATCGTCGTCTCTCTTCTTTTTCTCTATCTCTCTCACCCGTTATGTACGTCACGAATTCTGTACTGTTCGTTGTTTTTGTTTTTTTACTATTTCTCCTGTGATGTGTCTCCTCGCAACGATGTATGTATGTATCGCATGTCACCTGCAAACTCTTTCTTTCATTTTTTTTATTTGAACTTGCGCAGTTGTGCCGTCCAAGAAGAACACAACGATCCTCTACCCTCGGTGGCCGCACGACGGCAGCGCGCAAACGAATCTGCCGTCACACGCAAAAGTTTCCTGTCGCACCTACTCGATCGCCTCGTTGAACGCGGTTTTCATTCGCCGTCCCGCACCGTCTGCTTCCTCGAGTCGCGCTTCTTTTTGTATGCGTGCTTTACCAACGCCGCTACCCTTTCAATTATCACCTTCTCCTTTCTTTTCTTTTTCTCTCAGTCTTTTGTTGCTCCTTATTCGATCGCGGTCGCGTTTATCGGTGTGCTGCCTTGTTTCTTACTAGAGTTGATATCGCTCCGCTGCCACTCCGTCTCTCTACCCCACCATGGGCACCCCTCCGCCGTTCCTCCCGCCCGTGAAAGGCGCCTCTGCGAAGAAGGCCCCACAGCAGTCACGACTGGCCAACGGCAATGGCAGCGGCAACACCAACAACGCATCCCACCGCTATCACAAGTGCGGCTGCTACAGTCACGAGGACAACTTACCGAACTACAAGCTCCTCGCCATCCCACGCACTAACAACTACTACGCGGCGACCGGTGGCTGCCCGTGCATCCCGCGCGTGGCCGCCCGCCCGGGGAGCTGGCGCATGAAGAAGTCCCAGCTGCGCTCCTCCACCCACCGCTGCGGCAACGGCTGCACCAAGAATGAGAAGTCCACCAGCGGGGGGCCGTGCTGCCACCACAGCGGTGACCAATACGGGTGGCGTCCTGGGCCGCACACGGTGCTGGACAAGAACACCGCGGCCACGGGCAAGTGCGACACCTTCGGCAACCTCGCCTTCAAGTCTAAGTCACGCGCGTACCGCCCCATCGAGGACGACATCAGCGACGTGAGCAGCGCCTCCCCGCAGAAGCTGGAGGACCTGAACGCGCTCATTCTCGAGGAGCACCAGCAGCGCATGCGCGTTGAGGCGGACATCGATGAGCTCGCGGAGATCCAGCGAAACGGCACGGCCGAGGTGTACAAGAAGGAGTTCGAGGAGGCCCGTCGTCGCCGCCTACTGGCGCAGCTGTCGGAGGCAGAACTGCAGGAGCTACTGCGTGAAGTGAAGGACGTCTCGGACCGTCCACTGAACCAGACGAACATGGAGCTGCTGCAGCGCATCCTGCAGCGCCAAGACCACCTTCAGCGTCAGCGCGAGTACTACGCGGCTCAGGCATAAAAGGTCGCTACGCCACGGTCTCCGTGAAATGAAAAAGAACTAACGATGTCAACGAACCTGATTTATGTTTTCTGTTTTCCACCCACTTACCAAGGTGGGTTATGTATATGTGTGGTGTGCAGCCGTGTGCTTCCGGTTGCCTTATCTTTATGTTCTCTGGTTTCATCTCACTCCATTTGTACCTCTCTTTTAGAGCTCTTCGTTAACATGTAAACACCCATGTCTTCTTTCTCATCAATTATGGCAATCACTTTTTTTTTAAACTCAGAACATCAGCGGTGCGGGCGACTCCACACGAGTGTTTTTACCAGTGTGTCCACTGAGGCGTCAGTCCATGAGAGCACAAGTGCAATGTGACTCGGTACCATGGAGAAGCAGCCGCAGCAGCGATGCACACGTGGAGGAGAGTGCCAGGCGTACACATCCGTGCGTTCTTTTTATTATTTCTTGTGACTCCTCCTCGTGCCGACGACGTCAGCAGACACAACAGCCTGCTCTGTGGGGCACCTTGTTAGCTCTCTCTCTCTCTCCTGCAGCCTCTCCCCTCTCTCTTTCCTCCGGCTCTTCCCATCATCGCGCCCAGCATTCGTGCTCCGGCGCATTTGTTTTCCTTCCGCTCCACCGTGGAGGGAAGTACACACACACATCAATTGTTAGAGTCACATAGAAAGACACATAGAATCTATCTCATCTCCCCTCGCTCTGTTTGCAATATGATCCGCAGTCACTTTGACCTGGACGATATCGGCGCCGCGGAAGAACTCGTCCCCGTGACGTTCACCGTTCCGTCCTTCAACATGGGGAAAGACCTCACAGTGCGCACCGTGGAAGGGGAGGCGGTGAACGAGGTGGCTGCGGGCTGCATCACGGCCATGCCGCTATGGGCAGCAGGCGCCCTTCGCGCAGACGGCTACGTCAGCGTGCACGCCCCACACAAGTTCTCCCTTGCCACCTTTCGCGAGTTTAAAACCGATCCGCTGGCGCCCAGTCTGCATCGCAAGTCTCCTTACTTCTACAAAGCTGGTCTGCAGCTGTGCCGTCTGCTGAGCAACCCCACATCCAATGGGCATATGAGCGCGGAGGGCAACCGGCTTGCGGCCCAGCTCTTCCGTCTCTACCAGCTCCGCTACCTTCGCATCATCTTTGCGGCCGCGAAGAAAGGCTTTGACCTCAACGACGTGCGGGACAAGTTGGAGGAGTCCGAGCGGAACCTCCTCGACGCCTACCTGCGTGGCCAGGCTGAGGAGGCGGTGTGGTATGCTAGCTTTACGTAATGGAGTGAAACTCGCATTCTTCTGTTGTTTCGTTGCGATTGGAAGGAAAGTGCAGATTGCTCGATAGATTCCGACGCGACGGCGCAAAGAACAATAAGAGAATCGAACTCAAAGCCCATCCGGTTTTTTTTTCTCTTCTCACTGTATTTGATGCGCCTCCGCTGTACTCTGCGTAACTTTGGATGCGCTTGCATCGCGGACGATCCGCATGCGCGCGCACGCTGTTTTCTGTGACCTCTCCTTCTCTCCTTCCCAACTGTTGTTTTGAACTTGACCTCTTTACCTTCCTTCCCTCTTCACGTTTTCTAACTCCTTCCTCCCCTTCATCTCACGCACACATCGACAACGTTTTTCTTTCAGCTGAGCAGTTCTGTTGTTGCAATCGCTGTTGCTTTCCTTTGTTTCGTACTCGTTCTTTTTCTTTTTGAAGTTAGCGACCTGCGCTTTTAGTGCTCCCCCACATCCTCCTCCTCACGTTGACATGGCGGACCAGTCGCGGGACTCCTCCCCGGACCCGGCGGATGATCGGCCGCCGGTGAACTTCGACTCGGTGCTGCGCTACCCGTTCCGCGAGATGCGCACGGAGTGGTTCGACGACTACATGGACAACATCTCCTCCTCCAAGCGCATCCCAGTGGCGACGCGGCTCATGGACTGTCTGATGGCACACACAGTGCTGCACGAGGACCCCTTTCTGGAGAAGGTTGTGACGGTGATCTACAACCGTGTCGCGAACAACGAGGCCTTCCGCAACATGACCGGTGTATTTGGCGAGGCGCACGAGGTGTTCCGCATCGTCTGCATGACGGCGAAGTTCACCGTGTCCAGCGCCAGCGAGAAGAACGTCCTGCTGAACCTGCTGGAGCAGCACTGCACGCGCTTTCAGATCGCGGCGCAGAAGGTCAAGTCTGACAACTCCGAGGCCCTCGTCGCGGCGGCGGAGCGCGTGACGGAGAGTGTGTTTTTCCTGCGCAAGAACATGGCGTCGACCGACGCCTTTCGGCGGCTGATGGACGCCATCAAGTCCCTCTTCTTCATCGTCAACACACGCAACGGTGTCTCGCCCGGCTCGTCGGACGGCAAGTCCGTCTTCAACACCTTCGTGTGCTGCGACGGCTGCCCTTGCTACGCGAAGCTGCGCACCGGGCCGACGGTCTTTCTGCGCGATATGGAGAAGATCAAGATTCTCGACTGTGTCATGATGGCTGCGACCAACGCAAAGGACGCTTTGATGCTGGAGATGGCGACGCGTTTTTTGCACAACTTCTGCAAGGACTTCATGGAGAACCCGCACCTGGACGACATCGGCAACCTCATCCACAACGGCCGCCTCTTCTACTGCCGCACGGCGCTGTTTGACGCCCTCAACACCATCACATCCCCGCAGCCCGGCTTCGCAGACGTGCAGACCGCGAAAACAGTCAACTTGGACCGCATCGTCCTGGCGCTGCTGTGGGTGAAGAACGAGGTGAAGGACATCCGCATCCTGTGCAAGCTCGTGCCGACGCTGAACGAGGCGCTCGCCTCCGCTGAAGTCGCGTACACCCGCCTGGACTCCGACGACGTGCTGCAGATTCTGCACACGCTGAAGGAGTACATCCTCGCCATTTTTGCCGCGTTGAGCTTCCCAGAGTACCACCTTGCAGTCCACAGCCGCGACGTCTTCATCGGAAAGCAGGCGGATATGAAGTGCGCCAATCCGGCGTGCCCGGGAAGCACGAAAGATCTCCTCAAGTGCAGCGGCTGCGACGTCACCTTCTACTGCTCGTCGGAATGCCAGAAGGCGGATTGGGACAAGCACAAAAACTTCTGCCACGAGATCGAATCCCGTCGCACCCAGCCAACGAGCGCAGCCTTTTGCTACAGCTCGCCGCAAGTAATCAAGCCTGTGTCCTAAAACGGAATCGAATGTCTAAATGAAACCGTAACTCAAGTGTTGAAAGAGCGGTGCATTTTGAAACGGACAGAGAAGCGCTCCAATGAAAGACCTGTCCTTAAGCATGTTACAAAAACATGCATGAGACGCATTCTTTACCTAGAAGAAAAGGAACCACCGAACCCAGGCGCACCCAACAGGGGCAGAACCGGCACTCTCCGCTGAATTCTTTCACGCCTGTATCTGGTTCCACAGCCCCTTCTGCCAGCCTTTTCCCTTTCCGCTCCTCGCCTTTTCCCCTCTTCTTTTCACACGCGGCCGCCCACACCCAGCCAGGACGCCCCTCGCGCAACAGAAAACCGCGGAGCACAGCCACCCCACAACGTCCCCTGCCACGAGCGCAACCCAACGCGAAGAAAGGTTTGAGGGACCTCCTGGGACAGCCGCTTCTGCGGTGCGTTTGGCGTGTCCGGCACGGCCCTCCCTCGCCGCCCCAGGGCCCCCACCCCGGCCGAACCCGCCCGCCCTCTCGCCGCCCACCAAACCGCCCCGACCGCGCCTCTGTCGTGGTGGTTCCTTTTTTCTGTCTTTCGTCTTCATCCTAATAGCAAGTGTTTTTCTTTTACGGAGAGTCATCTAGTTTTGCACTGTGTTGTAGTTGAACTTTACTATTTTTCATGTCTAGAATTAGAGGGGTTTCACTCAGGTTTCGATGTTGTGTTTTTGTATTTCCCTGCTCTTCGTGCGTATCATTTCTGCCAAAAGGAAGAGCATATTTTTACTCCCCCAAATGGTCACTTCCACTGAGGTGCACGAATGCAGTGGCTGGCAAGGATTGCGCTCACCATCACCGCAGTGTAAAAACAAAGTAGCCTCAGCGGTCCACCGTTTGGTTTAAGTGACGCATTGGGGCTCTTTTTCGTGAGTCGCATCGAATATGTGAACTGCTGCAAGTCTCTCCAGCTTGTATGCCGCCCCGACCTGTCAGTGGAGCCAATAAACCCGCAACCGGAAACAAAGACAAGCTGCAGTCCACAGACTTACTCACTTAATGAGTACTAGACCCTGACACCACGTTGAGGTGCCAGGCCTCATCCCGATTCGTAACTTTTCCGGATTTTCCCTCAAAATTTGTGTGTTAGTAATCATCAGAGGTGCCTGTCGGTCCCTTTTGGAAAGTCTTGAAACCCGCTGCGATATGTATGTGCAGTCTCCTACTTTGCCACCTAAGCCGGAGAGGTGGATTTGTTGTGAGTGCTGGGGGCGCCTGCTTCGCTGGCACCTTCCAGACTCGAAATTGCCTGTTGCGATTGCCTTGTTCCTTTCCCGTGGCGGGGCTGGCCGCTTCCATCACCATCCCGTAAAAAAGAAAGAAACGATGAAAGTAGAGTCTTCGCTTTTCATCCCCAGCCGCTGCAGCGGAAAGGTTTGATGAAACAGCAAAACTCTTGAAAAAAAAATGTTTTTTGAATTGCGACAATACTTGCAAAGAAAACTCCATATTTCGACCCTTACAACGGTCTCATGGAGAGTTACTCTGAGGGAAAACACCGAGTGTACGTTAAGAAGAAAACTTGGAATCGAATATGCTGTCGAACGCACTACGCTAGTTTTAAATGACCTAAACCTGTACGTGTATACCTCACGCACGATGCTTTCCCGAGCACGTTCAATAGATCGGCGACACCAACACTGAATCTAAGTGATTTAGAAGCGTTGCTATCAAACACTGATTTGGCCTCTCGTTACGAAAAAACAGCACAGAGAACGCTGAAACGCCAATTCAGTTCTGCAGCGCTTTACAGGCAGAGATTCCCTACTGCAAAATCCGGCAGAGTTAAATCAGCAGCCGATCACTATACCTGTCGGTAACAGAACTCAATCAAGCGCGTCACACACATTATTATCTCCATTGACGAGCAATAGTTACTCCTACACCGCGTTCAATGCTGAAACCCCTCCACCGACTGAAAGCAAACGTAACGCCAGAGAGCACGAGGCCGAACTCGTCTTTTTTAGAGTAGGAGTATCGTCTTCTTTACGTTTCCTAGGCAATAAAAGATGAGTACCAACCCAGAGCACCGCAACCCTGCTGCACAAGATAGACAACAATGCACACCATTTGCACTTTCTGGAAAGAAAAGCAGTCTTACAGCTGGCACACGCTGATAATTGCCAAGGATACCCAATAGCCCTTGTTTCAAAAGACGTTAGTTTTGAAAGACTACCGTGAGCGGATGTACTGCGAAACTGGGTCAGCGGGCGTAGGGAGCTGGTCTTCAGGCTGAGCGACAGCACAAACAAGACGTTTCTGCCTCGCCTACCAGGTCCATGTTTCCACAAATGTGTTGAGTTCCGTGGGATCAGGAGGGAAAAAGGGTTTGTCTCCACTAGTTCTGTTTTCTCTTCTCCCTGAAGTGTTTACGCACCCCACTGCTTACGGCTCAAAGAAATAATGCCGCTACTTCCCTCACAGGAGGCCCTGTGTCCGTCCTTTTGTCCATTAGTGGCGTTTTACTTGCAGTGAATGGAAACCGTAGCCGCAGAAAGAGTAGCGGGAGCGAAATGTATCCCCAGTGAGCTCCACCACAGGGAGTGTCTCACAGTTTTTTTATGTTACAAGTTTAACACCGGGCTTGTCGGATGAGTTGTCTGTTCGTGGTGCTCTGCGAAAGACGCGCTCTTCCGGTTAGGTCAGCAGATGCGCTGAACAATGGCGAGCTGTGCATCCACAAATGTACAGCTTGGCAGCGTGTCCGATTGCAGTCACTCTTGGTACCGGTAAGCGGATCGGCGGATTGTGGCAAGAATGGCTCCGCGTCGCAAGCAGTGCAGTTCAAGTCTCTGTCTACGGTGTGTCTATTGAGGTGGCAAGAACGTATGCTGTCTAGCCTCCACACCAGTCAGTGAATAAGGTGCAACCATAGCTTTTCAGATGCCCTCTCTCGTATTCAGGACCCCCGCCTGGTTGATGACCAGGGCCTCTGCCGTGCCAAAGCATGTGCTATTCGGCACCCAATTGACGCCGGTTCTGTTAAGCTGCATGTGGAGGAAGACAGACTGAAAATAGCCGTGCGGCAAAAGCACTACCTGCTGACCTTCCGAGTTCTGTTAAGAAGCTGTATCAACTTCTCTATCATGATGTATGGCTCACTGGCTCACACTGGACGCAATTGCGAGTAGGTGTGACTTGAGAATCAAGTGCAACAGAACACCAGGTGCGAAAGGTTAGAGAGCTTACCGTGGGTGGCCGGTGTGCCTACTTGAGCGCAAGGGTCGAAAGAAGCCCGGTTGTGTAGAATGCAATACTTCATCAGCGTTACGTTGACAGGTTTTCAAGGAACCGTAAGGGAGCAAAACAAAAACGTGCCTCGTTTATCTTCTTTTCAGTTGATGAACGAAATCTTAGCGCGCAAAGAGAACACACTGAAAAGGCTTTTTCTCTCAGCCAAGAATTCTTGGTGTTGCGGTGAGCATTTTCTTTCTATGTTGAAACAAGAGCGGTGAAGGGGTGACACGAGCCTTTTTGCCGGACGCTCGGCATCGTGGAGGGGAGGGGGTCTTTGACCTCACAACGTGAACATCCCCGAAGAAGATAAGAAGGAGCCCCCCAAAAGAATGAGGAAGGGAAGCGAGACCCTGATGGCGGGAGCTGCGTAGGTAGGTTTCCTTTAGCAAAGAGAGGCCGTTGCGGATGTTGCATTTAGTGCGGAGCGGAAGTCGATGACAAGACCCTGACCACTGCCGAAAAGGGAGCAGGGATGGATAGGAGCGGCTGTACATCGGCTGTCTGCGGCCTTTTTTGTTCAACTGGAGAGTTATTGCAGCGAGAATGACCTGCTTTGGCTCGCCGGAATTGCACTTTCTCCTGCGCATGTTATCGCGTAGTAATGATAATGGAAGTCGCGGCGGCATGCAAAGATGTCTGACTACTAAATGATTTGATCATAAACTAACGAAAGCGCTTCACCAGCACCCGTCTCGTTTTGCTGCGGCTCATAGAGAAGCGTGGTACCGAAAGCGTAGAGGCTCCGTCAAGTCTAGAGTGTCTTCGTCATTTCCATCTTTCTTGCTGTCTTTCTTTGTCTCCTCTCACTTTAACAACACGCAGGACGCGTTGTTGTTTTTCGACACTCTATCAGAATGCACTGCAGCCGCCGCTCGCTTGCGCAGAAAGCCGTCTTCGTAACGGGAACGAGGACGCCGTTTGCGAAGTCCTTCGGTACGCTGTTAAAGATGGACACACTGCAGCTAGCGAGCGCTGCAGTTGCTGGGCTTCTCGATAAAACGAAGTTGGACCCACGCGAGATCAATCACATTGTGTGGGGCAATGTTGTGCTACAAGGCACTATGCACAACTGCGCACGCGAAATCGTAATCGAGCTTAACCTTCCGAAATCTATCACGGGTAACCTCACCAGCATGGCATGCGCCAGCGGGTTGAATGCACTCGCGCAGGCGTGCATGCTTGTCGAGAGCGGCCATGCTGACGTTGTCATTGCTGGAGGGAGCGACAGCTTGAGCAATCTCGAGGTGCCGCTACCGAAGTCGGTAGCACACGGACTGATGGTGGCGCAAAAGAAAGGGGTCAAGGGCTTCTTCCAACACGCCGGCTACAACCCAGCTGCCTGGCTGCCGAAATCTGTCGCCTTGGCAGAGCGAAGTACTGGGAAAACGATGGGATGGCACGGTGACGTCATCGGCGAGCTGAACAACATCTCGCGTGAAGCACAGGAAGCTTTTGCGGTCGCTTCACATGAGAAAGCAAACCGTGCCACAAAAGCTGGGTATTTCAAAGATGAAATTGTTCCCGTCTCCGTCGAGAAGAAAGGGAGATAAACAAATGCGAAAGAAAAGCAACAGAGTCAATAAGCAACAGCTACACCGCTGAAAGCACTTTTTCAATCGTGCAAAAAGCAGAAAGGATGCTGAAACAAAGGGTAAAGAGATACTAAGATAGTAAATGCAGTCAAGCTCCACTAAACGGTGATCTATTTGATTTGCTAATAATGATAGAGAAAAAAAAACGCTTGCAGTAGATGGAAAAGGCAGAAGAAAGAAGACACTCACTTTCAGAAAAAGAAAAGCCAACTTCGCATTCGGCTATTGGATGTGTACGCTTATCAGTGAGTGCTGGTATAACAGAGAATAAAAACAGCAAATCCTTCAACTTAAAACTCGGTTCATTTACTCGGTGTGTGCTCCAGAACGGCAACACCACCGAGACCACCTGCAGCACAAATGCTGACGAGGCCGTTTCGCTTGCCAGTGCGGCGAAGTTCATTTGCCAATGAAGTCACAATACGGCCACCGGTCGCAGCAAATGGGTGACCGAAAGCCAGTGAGCTCCCATTGACGTTCAGCTTAGAGGGATCGATGTCCTCGGAAAGAACTGCCTTGTTGCCGTTGGCATACTTGTCGAAAAACTCTTGTGACTTGAGACACTTGAGAGTCGCGAGAACCTGCGCTGCGAATGCCTCGTGCACCTCAAAAAGGTCGATATCTTTCGGCGACAGCCCAGCCTTTTTCAAAGCTGGACCCCAGCCAAGAACAGGTGCAAGCAAGAGTTGAGGATACGGATCGATGCCAGAGAAATGCCAGCTCTTCACCGTGACGTCCGTCGGAAAACCCAGTTTCTTTGCTTTCTCCTCAGACATCACCAGCATTGCGCTTCCGCCGTCCGTCAAGCCGCTCGATGTTGCGGCAGTGACAGTACCTCCTTTGCGGAAAACAGGCTTCAGCTTTGAGAGCTTCGACTTCATCTTCTCCGTGTCCGGTGAAAGAAAATCGTCTGTGGTGATCTGCACCTTCTTGTCTCGTCTTTTTCATGCTAGTCATGCCAGCCGTCTCTTCCACATTCACACCGACACCCACACACAACCACAAAGAGTCGTTGTTCTCAACATGACCGTTTGGGCAATTGGAACAACCAACCGCGCCAAGGTCGAGTGCGTGGTCACCGCCGTGAACAAGTGTTTCCCCAACGACGTTCACGAGGTTCGTGCAGTTAATGTCGAGTCTGGTGTGACGGATCAACCGATGTCGGCTGAGGAGACACAGAAAGGCGCCGTCAACCGAGCCAAGGCCGCATTGAACGCTGTTCCTGACGCAGACTTCGGCATCGGGCTTGAGGGTGGCCTCGAGCACATTGGTAAACGATGGTTCGAATGTGGCTGGATGAGCGTCATAGAGCGCAAAACAGGCAAATGTGGCATCGGCTCTTCCGCCCGCTTTGAGATGAGTGAAACACTGATGCGGCCTATTCTCAGCGAAGGCAAGGAGCTCGCTGAGGTAATGGATGCTCTGACCGGTGAGAAGGACGTGCGGTCGGGTCTCGGCGCCATGGGAATCCTCACAGCAGGGTACCTTGGTCGTGCAGCGGCGTACGAGCATGGGCTGATTTTTGCACTTGCACCTTTTCTATCGGAGAGCAAATACTGGTAATTGTAAGCACACGTAAGGAACCGTAAAACCAGTAACACAAAACCAGGTGGTGATCACAAAAGACCAACGCTCTCTTCACTTTTTAGGCTCAACGAAAATGAATGAGTTTACGACAACAACTAAGTAGAAACAGCGAGACATGTGCTCCAAGCTCACTATCTCCGCTTCCCCTTTTGTGTCATTCCCTCTTTCTCTGGCTTCTTTCTCTTTCTTGACTCATTTCGTTGTTTTCCTTTGGGTACTCTGGCCACACAGCATCTATCGGCTCCGCATTCAAACTGCTTCAATGTTCACGCTCGTCGGACTCGGCCTGGGTGATGCGTCTGACATCACGCTGAAAGGCATGAACGCGGTGAAGGAAGCGGACATTGTGTATCTCGAAGCCTACACCTCATTCTTGATTAACAGCAACGCGGAGGAGCTCTCCTCCGCGTATGATAGACCTGTTGTTGTCGCCGACAGAGAAATGGTGGAGAGCGGTGTGGTCCTCGACGACGCTAAGGAGAAGAAAGTAGTGCTTCTTGTTGTTGGCGACGTGTTTGGTGCGACCACGCACTCTGACCTGATTGTGCGCTGCCACGAGCAAGGGATTGAGTGTAAGGCGATCCACAACGCCTCCATCATCAACGCTGTCGGTTGCTGCGGACTCCAACTGTATCGCTTTGGCCAAGTGATTTCACTGTGCTTCTGGACGGAGACGTGGCGTCCGGATTCGTGGTACGATCGCCTGAAGAGCAACCGGGTCGCTGGTATTCACACCTTGGTGCTGCTCGACATTAAAGTGAAGGAGATATCGGATGAGAACCTTGCACGTGGTCGGAAGATCTACGAGGCGCCGCGCTACATGACTATCAAGCAGGCACTGGAGCAACTTCTGGAAGTGGAGAGCTACAAAAAAGAAGGCGCTATCGCTGTTGACGGCTCTACATTTGCGGTGGGCGTGGCTCGTGTTGGGTCTGCAACGCAAAAGATCGTGGCTGGCTCGATGAAAGAGCTCCTTGACGCTGACTTTGGCGAACCCCTGCATTCGCTTGTTATCGCTGGCGATGTACACGAGTGCGAGCAAGAGCACGTCAACTTATTCCGGCTTCCGCAGCAGTAAACTAACTTCGTATAAACTCTTGTTAACTGTTTAAAGATATTGAAATCAAATACTAAACGTTCTCGCACACACACTCGAAGATGGCACTGGCGAATGAAAGAAGTCTCTTTATTTTAACGTTACGGGTGCCATTCTGAACTCTGCGCTTCCTTTATCAAGATTCTTTCTCATGTGCTAGCGCCGCTTTGTTTCTTTGTGCCCTTCCTTCATCTCTCCTTCTTCTGCCTTTCCCTACAGGTTATTTTCTGCAACTTCAGCAATGCAACCTATAGCTTCGGACGCATTCATGGCGATATCTGAGTTTCTTCCAGACCAGTCCATGTCTTGGATTTGCACCGCGCCTCTAACGCGACGATCACAGGAGAAGTCAACTCGAGGACTGCGCCTTGGGTTGAACCGTTACCAGCAGGTGGAAGCTTTTTCGTTCCGTAAACTGCGACGGCTGCGTCTGCGGTGCGATATCAGTGATGTTTACGGTCTACGACTGGCTCGGTGGTGGTTGCAAAAGTGCACCGACTTCTCTCCCTCTGATGCGGACCCAAGCGGCGGACCTGAATGCCAATCTGTTCAAGTTGGAGACGGTCTGGTGTTACGCGCGCCCCTGAAGTTTTCCGCGAGCGCAGAGTTTTCGCTGTCGGTGCACTGTTGGGGCGATCGCAAGGCATCTGCTGCGACGAGGAGCGGGTGTGCCAGCACTGCCGCTGTTCCTGAACTGAACTGCTCCTTGGGGGACCTGCTTTCACTCGGTCGTATTGATTGTGTGGAAATCAACGGCGCGACACTTCCGCCTACCCCTGCGGAGTGGCAGTCGTGCTTGGCGTTTTCGCGCGGAGTGGAAGAGTTCTGCCTCAAGGTTGGGTCCGTGCCACTGAACGAGCTGCTTTCGTTTTTGTACAGCAATGGCTCCACTCTCCAAGCTATCGAGGTTGTTGGTGTAGCGCTGCCTCGCTTGCAAATGCTCGCGCTTGCGCCGCGCATTGAGGAGGTGGTGCTGCGCAACGTCGCGATTCATCCTCAGTCTGTCGTCGTCATCGACTCCACTAGCGCAGGCCAGCCACCTCGACCTGCGCTGCCTTCCACACGAGTTCCTCTTTCAGACCTGGAGGCTTTGCAAGGCTTGAAAAAGCTCGATTTGATGAACTGCAAGGCGGACCTCGACTGCACTGGGATAGAACGCTGCACACTTTTACACTCCCTTCTTTTTAGCGGCTGCAGCATCACAGACGCTGACGTGGAGTCGATCGGGAAGCTGAGGCGCGTGGAGGAGCTTTTCTTGGCGCGAACACGGATTACCAATGTGCGGCCGCTGGCCGCAGTAGAGGACCTCAAGTTCTTGGTGCTCTCCAATACCATGGTGAACTCAGCCGGCATCGAGGGCCTGCAGACGCTGCCGAACCTCACTCGTTTTGATCTGTCGTCGACTCCCATTACAGATGTGAACTGTCTCAGCAAAAGCCGCAGTCTTGTGTATCTGAACCTCTCCAAGACGGCGGTGACAAGCGAGGGAATGCAGGAATTGCAACACCTGGCCACTCTTGAGCAGCTCGTCCTCAATGAAACCGCCATTCGCAACGTCTCATTTCTCTCCAACGCACGCTCGCTCAAAACGTTGTCCCTGCAGAGCACGTTGGTCGACACAGCCGGCATCGACGGGTTCCGCCGCCTCAAATCGCTACAAAACCTTTGTCTTGCCCACACTCGCGTGACGAAAGTGACGGAACTGCAGCATTGTGAGAACCTGTGGAGGATCGATTTGCAGGGCTCACTGGTGGACGAGGACGGGGTCGCCGGGCTGGAGCTCCTTCCTTCTCTGCGCGCTCTTTCTCTCTCGCAAACAGATGTTGCCGACATTGGGCGGATCTTAGCAAGCAGATCCTTGGAGCAGCTGGAGGTAAAGCTCAGCCGTGTGTCGAAGCACAACCCGTTTGGCGCGGTCACGAAGGATTCTCCTCTCAGAGAGGTCGTTCTGACACACTGTGATGCAACGGATGTCAACAACCTCGGCCTGTGTGCAGAGCTCAGCGTGCTCAATTTGTGGTCGACAAAGGTCACGTCGAAGGGCATTGCGGGGTTGCGCGACGCAAAAAGTCTGCGCGAGGCTGACCTTGCAGAGACCGAGCTCACAGATATTACTCCGTTGTTGAGTTGTTCTCAGCTTCGTACCTTGATCTTGTACAAAACGGCACTGCACACCATTGAGGGCGTCGAGGCGCTGTGCAACCTGCGTCGCCTCGACGTGGCGGAGACGCAAGTGTCCTCCATCAAAGGCTTGGAGCAATGCAAGCTTTTGGAGATCTTGAACATATCCAGTACGCTCGTCGATGACGCAGGGTTTAAAGGGATTGAACGCGCACAGTCACTCAAAGCCATTTTGTTGTCTTTCACACGGATCACCCAGCTCGGTGCTCTAGGGAATTGTACACATCTGAAAGAGCTGCATGCGCAGTCGTGTCCGGTGACGTCTGAAGGTCTTGCGGGACTGGAGAAGGCATTTCGACTAGTCAAGTTGAATCTGTCATACACAAAGATTGAGGGCAACATCGCTCGGTTTGTAGGCTGCCCGCAGCTGCAGAAGCTCAACGTCAAGTTCACATCCGTGTCGTACGAGGAGGTCCACTATGTCGAGATGTGTCTTCCTCACTGCCGCGTCATGAATGATGCTTCGGAGAGGACCAAAAAAGGGGTTAAACTAACATAAATCTTGAATTAGCTTTTCTTTGTATGTTTCCGGTTCAGAGTTTTCTTTTAATCACCAGAAAAATATCTTTCTTCTCCGTTTATTTTGTCGAAAGGCAATTATCACGCAAAAACATATAATTTGTTTGTCCAGATTCTGCTTCAGGACTATACATGCATTCACTCAACTTCTGAATCCTCCGTGTCGTAAGACACAACATCTTTCCTTTCTGTGTTGTTTCTATTTCATATTTTAGTATCCTTTTGCCTAAATTTTCTCCTCTTCAAATTATTTTGAATTCTTATTATTCTTTCGACAGTGTTACGATCGCAGACAACAGTAAAAATATGGAAGTTGCCTGGTAGCTAGCAGGAGGCTTAAAGTGCGTTAGACCTGCCTGCACCACACTTCCTGTTGTCCGAAACGGTCAACCTGGGCTGAAGTAAATAGCTCGTTCTTTTTTTTTCTCTTACTTGAAAAACGACATCTTTCGCAACAAAAAAAACTTCTAATGTTACTTCTGTTTCAATTTCTCTGTCTGTGATCGTCTACTATACACACTTGATGATCAATTTGAAAGCGAAGCCAGCACTAAAACGACTGGCTGCGAACAGTGTGCGTACTAACACGTTTTTTTCTGCTGCAGACTATTGATTTGCAGCCGCAAGGAGCCTATGCTGTATCTTGAGTTTATCTACCTTCTGGTTGCCGCCTCGTCTTCTTGCTAGTCGCGAGGAACCTATGAAAACTGAGTCGAAATCACGTGTATCTCCCTTTCTTTGGGTGTTTTCCCAACTCCCACTTCTTTCTTTTCGTCTTCTTTTTCGTGTTTGTTGTCTCACAATCATCGTGTTGTAACGCTGGTCAACCGCATCTCGTGCTGCAACACCGCGATACAATACATTTGTAGAGCGTCGACAAGGTGAAGAACGATCGTAGCGCATCCGCACCGATGCTCCGGGCTTCCACAATGGCGCGTCAGGCGCTTTGTGCCACCGCAATCACACGCAACTTCTTCCCCCTTGGCTACTCCTCAGGACCCAAGAACAAGCAGATCCTCTCTCCACCGAACAACTTGGACGGACGGACGACACATCACATGAAAAAGCTGCAGGGCTCCACCGACAAGCACCCTGGGCTGGTGCACCGCGATAAGCTGAAGCTGCACTGCGAGAGCTGCCGCTTCCATTGGGTCCAGGACACCCTCGTTGTCCGCTGCCCAGCTCATCCTGCGGAGCACAACCAGCGTGAGATCTGGCTGGAGCCGACGTGGACGTGGGGAAAGCAGCAGCCGTACCAATACTACAAGTACATGCCGGTGAACATCAACCCACGCACCCGCATGCATTTGGCGCGCGAGGATGCCAAAGGCATGAACAACGAGCGGCGGTCGCAAGGCTTGCCGACAAAGACGCGTTTGCTGGAAACCGAGCGTCGCGGCATCTCACGTGCGATTACGCAGATAGGTCACTACAACCAACGGTGGCAGACTCGGTTTCCTTTTGCTACGTGATTGGTGAGGAGGCTGTGGTGTTCTTGTGGCAGCAGTGTTGCCTGAGAGAAGGTTGGATGCCGTGACGACGGTGAAGCTAGCGTGTTGTGATGATGTGTTGTTTCTGACACTACATTACTTTGCCTTCAATTCCCAAATGCTCTCTCGTCCTTTCCTCTCGGTTTGTCGAGGACTTCTTCTTAGCATGCATCTTCATAAGCACACAGAAGCTTCTCTCTCTCTCTCTCAGAGCTGTGAAGAAAGATAAGGCGGCGGTGTGCTAAATGATTAGTGCGATATCCCCCTCTGCAGCGCTTCTTGACAAAATCCTGACTCAGTATTCCTCTTGAGCGTGTGACGTTTTCTTTTTAAGCACCACTTCTTGTCTCTCTCTCTCTCTCCTTCTTCTTTTAATGGCCGGACGTCTCGATGCAACTTCGATACAAGTGCGACACTACACACAAAACACACAAAATTTTAAAAGCTACGACGCTGACCTTCTATTTTTTTGGATCCTTGGCCTCTATTACTCAGTGGTGTACTGGCAAGAAGACAGCATCGAAGCATGAGCGCGGATCCTGAAGCGCCGTCGGACCCGTCGCGTTTGAGCGGCGGTCACATTGTGCGGAATATGATCTACGCACACGACCAGGACCACAACCTTGAAATTGTGTCCGGCTGGTCAGAGCAGGGGACGCGCGAGTACAACCAGGAAATAGTGCGTCCTGCTAATGTAAACATGAACAAGTATCACCCTTGCTTCGCTCTCAATCGAGACCTGCTGCGCTGCTCTGAGAGCTGCCCGCCGGAGATGAAGCTGGGGGGACGAACCGCCACGTGTTACTCGGAACGGAAGCTGCTAATGCAGTGCCTCGTGAAGAACAAGAAGTGGACCCCGGCGAGTGCGCCGAAGAAGTCGTGGTACCATTTTTGGTGAAGAATGGCGTAGAAAGATCGGAGGAGGCGGTGATCGTCCACTGTATTGCAGCATCGCAAAATGGCAGTGTGCACAACGGGTTGCGCCTCTTCGTCCCTTGTTTGGCGTTTCCTTTTTGGTGGTAGTAGCGAGTTCTTTCTTTGGAGCTTTTTGCAGCGAAATACTTCGTCACATCGATTAAACTTCTAAAGCCACGATTAAGTTCAATGATCGGGGAAAAACATATACAGATTTCTAAAAGGCGACTCGTGCACCACGGCGTGGTTTTGCTTCTAGAGCAGCTCAGTGCCGCCTTTGCGGTGCTGAAAAGAGAACGGAGGCGCACCAAAACCAGCACACACTCATGGGAGTCGTGACTTTGGCTTTACCGTATGAACGCTGATGGTGTAGTAGTGCAGGTTAACTGCTCTCATTCACTCTCTACTCGTCTCTTCCTTCTACTTACTTACTGCACCGTTCCTCACTCTCACAGAGCCTAGCTCCATTTTCGCGCTCTTTAACCGCTTGAAATCACACAGTCGATTTCACCCCCTCTCCTTCCGCACAGGTTCGCTTTCCGCCTCTCCCGTCATGCTGCGCCGCACCGTCCCGGCTGTGAGCTTCACGGCCTCCCATCGCGCGCTCATGATGCGCCCGAGCCGCCCTCTTCTCGGAGGCGACATGCATTCCACTGACCGCTTCAAGGCTGCGTGGGACGAGATTCCGCTGCACCTGCTCGGCGCCTCCCGCAAGCAGGCCTTTGAGTGGTACTGGCGCGCTATGTTCCAGCTCGGTCTCCGCGATCCCTACCGCATGACCAAGCTGCGCTCCATGATCAACTGGGCAGGCTTCTTTTCCTTCCTGTACCTGACCTACATCTCCATCTTCTACTCGTCCTTCTACCACATTTACATGCAGGACTGGCCGGAACACTTCAAGCGTGAGAACGCCCGCGACTACGCTCTGTCGCACGGCCACGACGTGTGGGCTGGCGATGGCAAGTTCATCCGCCCGTACTTCCACATCAACCCGCCGATGTTGACGATGACCGCGGAGGACATTTAAGCGGTGGAGGACAAGGCGTGCTGTATACAATAGTAGTGGAAAGTAGACGCTGCACGCTCAAGTGTACCATGCACACCGGAGCGTGGACTCGCTTTCACGTAGGTATTCCTTTGCTTTTGTAAGTGAATATTTTTCAAAAAGTGCTCTGCGGCAGTGGCTTTGTTTTCTTTAGGTATTAGTATTCTAGCTTTTCTTACGATTTTTTTTCACTTCTCTTTTATATTTGTGTCGTAAATATGCGCGACCCGTATGCTGTGCTGAAAAAGAACTCTTGTTCATTTATTTTTCTTCTGTCATTTCAATGAGATCAAAAAGCTGAGCGTGTAAAACTGAAGGCAACGCTGCCACTTTGTGCTAACGCGAGCTGGGCGTTGGCGCAGATTTGCAGTGTATGTGACGTGGGATACAGTATGAGGTGTTAAGCCTACATGTACTTACGTGGCTTACACTGTTTGGACGAAATAGAGGCGAAGTTCGTATCTTCGCTTTTCTGATAGCGCACCTGCTCCTGCTTTCCTTTGGTATTGAAGTCTTGTGTGCAGCGATCCATTGGGATGTCGTGTGCTACTCAGTGTTGAGGTGGTCTCCGTGCGGGGACAGCGTCATTACCTCTTTTTACTGACCCTCCGACGTTTTGCCTTCTTTTTGTTACTCTGTTTGAGTCATTCTTTTCATGCAATTCAAAACAGCTAGGCTTCTTGAATCCAGGAAAGGCTGTCGAACGACCGAGAGCCGAGCTCTCTTCTCCCTTTTCGCGTTTAAAAAGAAACACGCCTGTACCTGTTGAGTCTTCAGTGCACCTGTTGAAGCATGTTCGTCGTTCGTTGCCCCGCATCGATGCTGTGGCATCCCTCTGTGCACCACAGCCTCCTACTACTTCGTGCTCTACGGCAACCTCACACCCTTCAGACAGACCCGTACACAGCAACTCGTGGCCGACTCCCCACGCCACTGCTCTCTGAGTGTGCCATGGAACTGAATGTGCGCTATCAACCACACTCAACACCGAGTGAAGCATCAGCCGGCACCTCTCAAGCACAGCAGATGGCGCTTTATCGACCAGAAGACGTGCTGCACACGCTGCGTTGCCCGCCGGGCACGTGGGAAGGACCTGTCTTGAATGAAGAAGTGCGGCTCGCAGCATCAAACTCGTTGATGGAGTATCTGGAGGCGTCTACCGTGAGCGCGTACATCACGAGTGCTCTTGACTCCCTCCTCGTGTCTCTTAACACAGGGGACATGGAAACAATCCGGCAGACACATGCGCGAGTGATGGACCTGGTGGAGAGACTGGAGTCGACGATTGCAGATGAGGATCATCTCCCCGGATCGCCGCAAACCAGTGCGGATCCCCTCAGTACGTGGCCGCTCTTTAGCGTCCTCCAGTTTCTGATAGAGGAGGGCGGGTTGCTGATGTCAGCGTTTCCGCGCACCAGCAAGGCATATGCACGACTGAGCAGCACAAACAAAGCGGTCGCGCAGCATCGTCGGCTTCTCCAACGCACTGTGGAGGAACAAATCGACGCAAGTCACGCGTCCGCCGCGCCTACTGCGGACACCCGCATTGCGTTGGATTACCCCGCCAAAGGATTTTTGTGTGACGTGCAGAGCCACCTCGCGGCGTACAACCGCAGCACGGCGGAGCGCACGACGGAGGGGGTGACGGGGGATAAAGGGCCGCTGCACAACCGCGTTAGTGGGGGTCGTCTTGGGATTCAGGCTGTACCGGCGCGACTCCCGTGGACTCTTCAGGGAAAGCCGCTGCGTAAACGGTAGCGCTGCGCGAGTGGAATTCACATTAATAATTGAAATAAGAATAAGATTATTATTCGAAACTGGTGTAAATGTGAAGGTTTTCTTTCTAAGGTTACGGATCGTTTTGTGCTCAGCGATGTGTTCTTCTGATCCGTCTTTGCTTCTTGGGATGATGTGGCGTCGAGCGCAGGCCTTTGCCGACTTGATTCTTGTCTCTTTTTCATGTCCCACACATTTTGAACCTCTTTTCCCTTCTCTTTTCGTGCATCCGCAAAAACAACTCAAATTCCTGGTTTCGCAGATCTTTTTTCAGAGTTACCATGAGCCGCAACGGAGAGCTCTGTCTGCAGAAGATCATCGTCTCGTACAGCCCCAACAAGGGCAACCCGGCGATGCGGCAGTTCATGGCCACCTACCTGCCGGAGTTCTATCGCCAGTACCCACAAGTGAAGATCGACATCCGCCCTCGCCAATGGCCGGAGAGCAGCATCACCGGCGTGTACCGCGATGGAAGCGAGAAGGCGCTGTCCATTAGGTTTCTCAGCTCCATGGGCATCAACGTACGCTTTCACCGTTTGGTGAACGAGGGGAATGACTACAACCAGCCGTTTTCCGCGTCGCATTTGCATCTCCAGCGCAAGAGTGTGCAGGGGACGTGGAACCCGTATCTGTGGAACTACGAAGGCCATCGCGTCCGCCGCCAGCCGCCGGCGCAGTGGGATCGCAAACTCACGGAGAAAGAGTGGGACTACTACATCCAGCAGTACGGTGCCCAGATGAAGGCGGAGGAGGACACCATCGCCGACCGTGTGCGACGCTACACCGACATCCCTGAAGCCAGCACGGAGGAGGTTCAGCAGCGGTGGAAGGAGCACGTCCTTCCGCGTCTGCAAACGGACTTGGAGTACAACATTAGCCACTGGAAGAGGCTGCACGCACGCGGCAAGGGACGTCCCGACGCGCCGACGATGAATGAGTATAGTCTGTTCTCCGTCCCGGATCATGCGACGCTGGGTCAGGACGCAGTTGACATGCTGCGTAGACGGGAGACCCAGCGGGTGGAGGACTGGTGGCGCGAGCGCAAAAACCAACTGAAGCCACCAAAGTGAGCTGCTATTCTCGTTAATTTGAGGAGAGCTCTTCTCTGGCCCCTTTTTTTTGGAATTTGCGTTGTGTGTGTTTGGTGGTGATTGTTTTGTTGTGGATTGCAGCTGTCAGTTTGACTTCGGTTTTGAAGTTGCACGTTAGTTGCCTGTTATCACAGTTGACCAAAGAAATAGTAATACCCGGTATAAATAGCAACGAGTCCAAATGCGTGGCTCCGTGCATACGCTGCCTACAAGCAAGTAGCGCCAAACAGCCAGCGTGAGCTTCTTGCCGACGGTGTTGGGCTTAACGTGTGAATGTAGCTTCATCCTTCACTGTTATCCAGTTAAGCGAATGTGTGTTTCTCTTTGCGAGTTTCGCAATGAAACTTTACGTGACCTGCTGCGCTCCAGCACCATCTTCTTTTTTTCTTTTTTCTGATCTTTTGAGATACGCCCTCTCTCCTCGCGCCGTTTCTCAATGCCTTTCATTTTCCCTTCTCTCCCATTGCTTTACGCTTTCAACCGCGTAGTAACTCCCCAAAAGACCACAGGACTACCGCCTTCAGAAAAACAAACAAACAACAATCGTTATCACCGTCAATCCTTTTTTATTTTTGTTTCTTTTTCAATATTTTGTTTGCTTCTTCGCATTATAGCTTCTCTTCCCTTCTCTTTTCTGTTTTCTCCGTCCTCTATTTCACTACGTATATATCGACGCTCCGCGCTAATCATTTGCTGCCTTCGTAGCGCGCTTTTCTCTTTTCCTTTTCTTTCTTGCCTTTCTCCGTTTGCTTAAGTTGCTTTTCACCCAAACCGTTTTCACTTCGATATTCCGCCGAATGGCGTAAAGACTCCCCCTAAACAGAAAGGAAGAAGAAAACACATACACGTTTTTCACACATCTATGTTGGATCGCAAAGGAGAGCGTCTTTCACATTCCACGTAACCATCAGCTCGCCGGTAGAACAAGAGAAAGGAAGCCACTGTGATTGGTTTGTTAGCTCAGCGACGCTTATTCGCTGCTTGTCTTTCTTCGCACAGACTCGTTACTGCTCCTTTCGTTTTGTTTTTGTTTCTGCGTCTGCACTCTGGTCTTCCAGAGCTGAGACTTAGTCAAAAGGTAAGGTACCTAAAGCTCATCTCCGCTTTATCATAGCTTCTTTGTTTTGGTGGACACCGGGATAGCTGATTGAACTCCTCATAACGTGTCGAACCATCATCGAGCATAAAGAGAAGCTCCTTTTTTTTCTGAGCTGAGAAGCAAAAGATCACAAAAAAAAGGTTTTTGATTTTTGCAGTGTGGAGAGATTCTTTTCTGTCACAGATTTCTGTGTCTGCGTTGTATTCATCTTTCCTTCCAAAAAAGAAAGACATACCACAAACGGCGTTCCATTCGTTCATGTCCATCTGGAAGGTGTCACCAACAGAGACCGCGGAAGGCAGCGAGCCATTTGAGCCCAACTCCGCTGCCTGGGAGCAGCTGCTCAGCACCCTCAACCTGCAAACGACGTCAGACTCGTCTGACGACATTCGGGATGAGACACGTAACTCGCACGCTGCTGTCTTCTCAAAGGGCAAGCAGAGCCATCTGGATGACAAGTTCAAAAAGCACCCTTCATCAGCAGGGCGAATGGAGTGTGCGAAGCTAACAAAGTCCCTCAACGCCACCCGCGATGACGACGACGCCGGGTACTCTAGTGAGGATGAGCACGATTCGCCCGCCAATGTGACGTTACCGGAGAGCGTTCTCCCGAGGTTTAACCCTTCTCGTAGCCTCACTGCGACTGCGAAGCTCGGTCGCACGAAGAGCGGCGGCGCTGACCCGAGCAGCTCGAACGACGTACCCAAATCGTACTTCTTTGTTAACGGCGTCCGGCATTGCGTCCAAGAGGAGCAGAATGGTGTGAAGTGGGATGGGGCGCCTCCACCGCAGACGAAACCAACGACGCCCAGGACGGTGGTGACTAGCAACAACGCTGGTGCGCCTGGTGCGTGGGGGTACATTTCAAAGCCAGCTGCCCACATACCGATGCCTTTTCAGAACCCTCCGAACTACGAGGCGGTCCGCACAGTACCTGGAAGCGGCGGCACTCCTCCGTCGCTAAACTGTAAAGTGATGGCAGTTCCCTCTGCGATTCCGAGCAACATTGCGTACTGTCCTGCGGATGGCAAGGTGCTCGAGGGAGCTCCTTCTTCCGGAATGCCAGCGTCTTACACGCCCAGTCGAGTGCCGATGCCGTCGACGAGCGTCGCTCCCTTTAACACCGGAACGGCCGCCTCCACCAGCAACGCCGCCCCGGCAGCGAACTCCGTTGTGGGCTACGTCTACGTTGACAGCAACGGTTGTCTGCGTGTTGCTTCTGGAAACGGCTCACCTCATCCTTCAACGCCCTTGAGTGTCTGTCTTCCAACTCTGCCGCCACCGCTGACTGGACCACCGCAGCTAGCGCGAAAGCTGTCAGAGGCGACGGTGATGCTTCGTGGTGCGTCGTCCGTGCCGGAAGTACCTCCGATGCAGTACGCCGCCACATACGTGACAGACGGAAGCACCTGTCAGCCGACCATGTCTTCAGTGCCAGAGTCGAGGCCCTCAGCAGATGCGTGGGGGAGCACCAAAGCGTGGGTCTTTCGCGATGGCCGGTGGATCTCGCTCTCGATGTAAAGACTACCCTGCTCACAGCGAAACTATGTGATAGTACTCTGTTGTGATGCTGTTTGGTATCAAGGCGAGTCTTTTCACTTCCGCCTTTTGTTTTATGTTATTCCATGTGTGCGAATTGTTTAGAGGAATGTCAGAACTATTCTATCTCCACATCCTCACCTCTTTTAAAAATGTTTTGTACCGGTGTATCTTGTGATATTAATTTCACTTCCTCTGCCGAGCCTGCTTGTGTTTCGAAGCTGAAGGCTTGCTAGGCTATTTCTCTAATTCTGAAACAACGAAAATAGCACAATAAAATGCCTTTATCTGTTGGTTCTTAGCGCATCGGTCCTTGTTGTTTCTCTATCACATGGATTCAAATCTTTTAATCGCCTTTCTGTTTGTTTTTCTAGAACTGAATGCTTGATATTGTTATTATTAGTTTTAGTAACTCTATGTTTCTGTTCTCGCGCGGGTTTGATCCTGGCGGGGGAGTTCACAGTAACATGTTTTAGAGACATACGCCTGCTCGCAGAAGAGGACTTCTAACGCCTCTCGTTATTATCGGTGGGTCAAACGAACACCTCTCGTGTCTTCTTCTTATCTGTTCACTTTGCTTCTGCGCTTTTCGACTGGATGGGAGACCCCTTTTTATAGGTTGAGGCGGCTATGTGGCGTGCGGAATTTCAAAGTACGGGGTGCTGGATGCTGAAGCACACTGCTCAGCTCTCTCATGTTCTTTTGTGAAGAAAGCAAAGCACATGTTGCACACCTTTCTTTACGAAGATGCAGCATTCTACGCAAGCATGAGCGTAGAAGGCGCAAATGAAATGGGAAGAGTAAATATAGAGGATTTCATTGCTGTGGTGATTTATTTTATTCCTTTGTATCCTGTATAGTGGCAGGACAGCGCCATTTTTGTCAACCCGGCGTAACTGCAATAAACAAATAAATCCATAAATATTATATCGATCTCCTTTTTTCTCACTCCATCGAAGCTGTCGTTTCAGTATGCAAGGTACTCTACAGGGGTGGAGGGAGCTGGAAACTTGGAATAAGCGTTGGATACTCAAGCGCTACCGTCAAGGTTGTGAGATATACTGTGCTTGTTTTTCCGATTCTAACAAAAACGCTGACTTCAAGACGTTAGGACAGTCATGTAGGAAAGAAAACAGATTTTTAATTAATCTGTAACAACAGTTTTTTTTTTCTCCTTGTGTGGGTTCTTCTCATTGCTTTGGCGTTTCTGTCAGTCTTTGAAACATCATCTGAACAGAGAAGTAATCTTTTCCTTCCTTCCGACCGAATCGCAACCATATTTTTGTTTTTGCTTTTTATGATTACTATTCTCTTTTCTGGTTTTGAAATTGTTGATCGATCGTTTGGCTTTTACGAGTGTTGCTGCTTGTTTGTACTCCTTTCCCTTCCAGGTAAACAGCCTTTATTTTGGTTTGCGCATTAATAGTAGTATTTAAAAATTGGATGTACCTCTCTTGCGTCTGTTTTGCAACCTGAGAAACGTATTACGCATCTCTCTTTTTTTTTAAATTCCCTTTTCTCTTTTGAAAACACTGAACCTGTGACTGATTTTTGAAACAACGGGGCAGGAGTCCATAGATTCAAATCCCTATTACGTTCCTTTCCCTGTTTATGAGCGGCTGTCTCGCTTCCTTTTTCGCAGATGATGATAAACATAAGGTGGCGCAAAAGGAACACTTCTCTCTCTCTCTCTCTCTCTTTCTTTTGTACTATAAAAAATGCACCTCATCAACATCTGTGAAGCATTCAGTATTCCGTGAGGCTGAGAATATTTTGCCACTTTTATTATGTCTCCTTGCGTGTTTCTGCTCCGTGTCCCCGCTTTCAAACACGCTTTCTTTGATGTTTTTCTCTTCCGGGACGTGCATTTCCTTCGAAACTGTGTACTTGTAAGACAAAATGCACGGCGATGGTCTCCCGGTATGCGTGCGAAGCAGTCAAGTCACACGCGTGCCGAAGAAACGACAGACGAAATGATGGTGTCCACTCGCACGTATGCATAACGACCGCTATGATTCCTTCTTCTGCACTTACAACGGGAGTTCATATGTTGTGCGAATGGCGTAGATATTAGCTCACAGGATGATGGAACGCCTCTGTTTTTCTTTCTCGTTGCGCTTCGTCCGCGTCTATCTTCGGCACTTTTGGCTACATCCGCAAATATACGTTTGCTCGATTTCGGGCGCATCCACCCAAAACGTTTTCTGTTTTGTTTCTTCTTACAAATACCTATCGCCCTCTTTTAGTAGTTCAAAGAAAATCATCTAACTATTCCAAAAAGTATTATTCTGGGCAGACTCGTTGTGTACGGTATCGACTCTTTTAAAGTTGTCAATGTCACATAGTACCCTGATCTTTTTATATTACTTTATTACTCCCTTTCTTTTCTCTTCTTCCTTAACCTCTCTACTATGTTTTTTGCTGAACCCCCTTTTGCTCTCTTCGTTCGTCCTCCACTTCTTTGTGCCTTTTTTTTTCTGCAGCGTACATAGCTGGAAGTGAAGTGTACTGATACGCACAACAAAGCTGCAGTTGAGGAGTTGCTTTGAACAATATGATCCTACTCTCACGCATTGCTCTGTTCTCTTCTTCTTTTCTTTTTCTTTTTACTGTGGACAAGTGGGAGATCTCAACCTACACTTCACGCTACATCGCTTCTACATTCGAATCTTCACTTTCGGCAAAGTACTTTTTCTCGTTTCAATCACCTTCCATTTTCTGACAACCCTTGGTATTCATCTTGTCTGACTGAGCAGCGCTAACATGTACCCATTTTCTTCTTTAAAAAAATCTTTAAACCTATAATCAGCTGAGGTTATCATTACGGCAGCACAAGGGAAAAAGCCGCTTCACATCTTTTATTTAAAGTTTCTCTCAACAGGTCTGTTTTCTTTCTTCTAATTATTCTCTAAACTCTGTGTTTCTTTCTTACACATCGAATTGTACGAAAGGCGTTCTCTCTTTTCTTTTCTCTGGCACCGCCTTTTTTTAAATATTATACTTCGCTTATTTCAGAACAGCGTTTCTTCAGAGTAGGTGGAAATGGCAAAGCTCACACACGTAGTATCACAAATAATACTTTTAAAAAGGATGTGTTTCTGCACCCCTTCCTGGCTTCCACATGAAATAGTACGTGTATTCGGGTCTGAAAGTGGAGAGAACACTGCAGGCTCTTTCTGCCCAGTATGGAGACGGCAACAAGTAAAGGACAATCAACGCTTCACTGTACTACTGGTGAGGGGAGGAAGGGGGGGGGGGGAGGGGTTTCTTCTGCAGTGCCTTCTGGGCTTGTCCGTCTATGCTAGGAGCGTGTTGAATGTCTCCGACCTTGTCAATGGTATCTTCCGTACAGCTCTATGACCCTCCATCATCCCCGTCGTGTGCATTCCATCCGTTCTTTTCTTTTCTTTTTATCATGTATACTGCATCACTGCCGGTATACTTGGTGGTGGCAACATTCGCTCACGAACACACCCACATTCGAAGCGTCCTTGCTTTATCATCAGACTCTTCCTTTGCGGTCTGCTTCACGCTGGAGAAACACGAATGTGATGCCCCGAGTGAGCGTAGTAACAGTCCCACGTTGATAGAGTGCGGTAGCCAAGAATAGAGTACGAGATACAGTATTGGTCCTTTCTTTGTTTCTTTAATGTTTTTATTTCTTTCCTCTTTTCCCCATTAAAAAAAAAGAATATTTGCGGAAATATTGGCCGATTTGATTCTGCCGTCTTTAGTGCTGTATGTTGATCCCTACCTTTCTTTTTCTCTTTCCATATTAACTGGTAGTGCACGCATGCGAAAAGGCGACACCAACGCAGAGGAGTCTTCCTCTCCCGCTGCCAACTCCGACAGAGGCAACTCTTCTGCTCAATTACAGGCATGTGACTCGGCAGCGAACAACTCCGATTTCACGTCCCCGTTAGCCGTCTCGAAAACGGCGCAATACGCACCATGCAATGTCGTGCCAGCCGGCGCGATAAGCAAGAGCTCTGCGAGCCAACCGTCCGAAGAGCCCGTCGTATCTGAAAAGGCAGTCCAACAGTCGTTGATCATTGTGGAAGAGGAGCCCGCCCTCGTGCACACCCATCATCACGTGCAACAGGGCGGCGATGCAGCAGATGCGTATACCGGCCCGGCTTACACCTCGTGGTCCCCCGCATCGCCGGACCTCGCGGAGCTCATTCCCATCGGTACCACGCCGTCCCAGCGGGAGTCGGTGGCAACCCGTGACACAGAAACATCTCCCTACTCCCCGTCGGAGAGCCACAACGGGTCTCCGCGCGCGGTGGCCATCTCACCGCCCCGGCGGATTAGCACGGCGCCCGGCGAGTTGACGCTGAACGCCACCGCGACACGAAACCCGCTGACGCCGCTGAGGAGCGCCTGCAGGAACTCTTCTGGTACGGAGCCGGTACAGGACACGCCGGCTGGCTCCATCGTGCGGCGGTGCACGACCCGCTACGGTGAGGCAGAGAGCGATCCCGTAAAATCCCTGTCTAATCCGTATGACACCGGCTCTGTCACGCTGCTGCACACCTCCGCTCCATCGTCGCCGCTGTCGTTCGATTTCCACCGCTGCGCCACCGCCGCCCCTACGCGTCTGCGACCCCCGTCGCCAACACCGGCGCGGAGCTCTTACCCTGCCGAGACACCAACGAACACCATCCCCGACGTCTCGGAGGCCTCCGCCCCGGTGCCCGCGAAGTCCTTCGGCTCCTCCTCCTCCCTCCACCTGCGTGTGCTGGTGCATCACGACGACACGGACAGCGCGGTCCCGCTCGCCACGCCGCTCTCCTTCAACTCGGCGAGTGCCACCAAGACGAACGCGATCGGCGGGGCGGTGCCGCATGTGCCGGCGATTCGCCTGCCGGCGGGGCTGGCGGCGTCGGACATGGAGTCGGACCGCAGCGCCAGCGTCAGTGTGTTGGGCTACGGCCCCCGCAGTGCCCCCAACGCGTGCTCGCTCGTCTCGGCCCGCTCTGCTCGCTCTGCTCGCTCGTCGCGCTCGGGGCGGCACTCCCACCGATACGGCACGTCCACCCGCACCGCCCTGCCCGGGCTGAGGGAGCTGTTCCCGACGCTGCCGGCGGAGATGTACCTGGCACGGGAGCGTCTGTGCGTTGCGCACGACAGCAGCGGCAACTTGGGCACTGGCGCGTACGGCATGGTGAAGCGCGCAGAGCTGTACCCCCCCGAGGTGGAGGTGCCCCGCTTCTTTACCCCGGTGACCGAAGTGTGCACGAGTCAGTCAAACTCTTACATGCCCGGTTACTCCCCGGCAAATTCGCTGCCCCCTTCGCACAACTTTGCGTCCATCGCCGGGACAGTAGACGGGGCAGACGGCGCTGCGGAAACCCCGCTGACCGGTGCGCACAGCAAGGAACACTTTGGCGTCTTTTTGCACTCACGCCTGGCGTCGGCGGTCAGTATGGACAGCGCGTCTGCGTTGCCGCTGCACCAGCAGCCCTACAACGACCAAACCGCGTCGTTTTACAACGGCCTCGATGACGTGCCGGCCCTCCCGTGCGTTGAATCGCTCAACGACTCGCGCTGGCTGACGCGCGGGCAGTCGCCGGAGGTGGAGTCCGTCGTCGTGAGCGGGCCGCTGGCGGTGCACACGGACAGCGAGGAGACGAGTGCTGCGGCGACGCAGAGCGCGAAAAGCCAACAGGGGATGCAGCATTCTCCATCGACAGGGCCGCTCTCTGTGGGACTGCAGGACCGTCCCCCCGCCGCACCGCCCGCCTCTGTGACCTCCTGCTACACCTCTCAGAAGTTTCCTGACCTCCCGGTCGTGCTGGCGACGAAGGTGCAAGAGGGCGACGCTGGCGGCGCCTCGCTGACGTCCACGCAGGTCTCCGTCGCAAAGCTCGCGCGTGACGAGCTCGACGTTGGCGTGGATGACCACACAGTGCGGACGAGCGCGGGCGACGACGAGGCAGAGGGAATGCTCGCCGGCCCGCTGAATGACTCCCCGGAGAGCGAGGGGCTCGAGTTCTCGCCGACGTCGACGTCGACGGCCGGCACGCTTCGATTTACCTCGCTCAGCACCCCACGATGGACGAACAAGACGTACTGCCACAGCTCCCGCACGGCGGGCAGCAACGTGCCGGATGCAAAGGAGGGGGGAATGAAGGAGGACGAGGGGGAAGAGGAGGTCCACTCCGACCGCTGGGTGGACAACAACTCCATCACTTTTCCAACTCAGACACCAATGGAGCGGGAGGGGACAGCAGCGGTGCTGGTGGTGGTCGGTGACGAGGGGAAAAGTGTCAACAGGGTAACCTCGAAGCTAACCACAGAAGTGCAGGTGGCAGAGATGCGCTCGAACGACAGCAAAGCCGATGCCACCGCGTTGACACAGGCGGAGGCCAGCACGGATGTCGCGAAGAACGACGGCGCAGATGTGCATGGAGAGGCAGCGCTGCGGCTGCCCCTGGTGTTGTCACGTGAGCCGTGCACCAACACATCTTCTACCTCCTGTAACACGGCGGACAGAAGCCCAACGACCAGCGGCGGACGCGTTGGAGTCACCACTGCCGCCGCCGGGAACGAACAGAAGACCTTTGATGCAATCTGTGTGAACCGTGAGGGTACGACTGAAAAAACTCCCACAACAAGGAAAGAAAATGTTCATGACGCCAATTGCAACGTTGGAGGCATCGGCAGCAGTTGTCTCCCAGATGGACGAGAAGGTTTTCTTGTGGCGAGCGCCACGGTGTCGGAGTCGCAGGGCACGCCGGCGCAGGTGGGCGATGACAATCGCGCGTCCACAACCCAGCAGGCTGAGATGCAGGCGGTGAGCGTTGCCCGGGGAGACTCCGCAGACACCTCTGGTCACCTGAGCAGCGGTCGACGCTGTCGCAGCCAAGGCGCCGGGACCGTCAGGACCCAAACAGGCAGTAAGGGCGAAGAGAGAATAGAAGTCGGCGGCGATAAGAACGAAGTAGAAAGCGGCGCGGCTGCCGTGACAGCAACCGAACAGGCGATTCAACCGAGCTCTTTGCGCAGCAACACGCCTGCGCTGACCACCGCTGCAACACTTGGACATTTGCCGACGGGCGATGGCGCAAACACCACCAGTAACGGTGACGGGAAGGGTGTGGAGCAGGTCTCTCCCACCAGCACCGTCAGCTACGTGTTCAGCGGCGGCGCGACGAGCTTGGCGACGACTCGCACTTCCAGGCAGGACAGCGTGACCACAGCTCTCCAAACCGGCACGAACCTTTTGCGATTCCCGAGCAACACACCGCAGACGCCGCTGGTGCGCTACGGCGTGAACACCATGATGATCTCTGAGGCCATCAGCAACGGCAGCGCGCCCTTCCGCCCCGTCGCCACAAAGGTGGTGGAGAAGTCCGACCTCGCTGACAACCCGATGAAGCTGAACGCCTTCCACAATGAGCTGCGGATGGCGAGTCGACTCAATCACCCGTGCCTGGTCAACATGTTCGGCGTCACCGAGGATGCGGAGACCTTTTACCTCGTCATGGACCTGGCGGAGAAGGGGAACTTGTCGCAGTACCAGAAAGTGTTTGGCGTGCAAGACACCCGTGCGATGGCACCACGCTTCTTGGCGGATGTCGTGCTGGCGCTGGAGTACTTGCGGGACGGGTCGCAGCACACCTATTGGATGACATCGACAGCGAGCGACGCAGCCGTGCTGCATCACGCTACGAGTGAAGAAAATGGAGGGAACAGTGGCGCTGCGAGGGCGGATCACTATGCGTCGGACAGCTGCCCAGGGTCCACGTCATCGCTGCCGCTGCAACCGACGGCTGACGGCGCCTCTTGCACCACCACGAAGAAGCCGCCCACGCCGTCATCGGCGCCGGGCATCTCGCTGAAGCGTCGCACAAAAGGCGAAGAGGACGAGGGCAACAGCGATACCGTGGATTCGACAAGTGGAAAGGAGGGGGCAAGTGGAGAAGACGTAGTCGCCTGTGCGTGTTGCCCCACCAAAGACGAAGATGAGAGCGTTCTGATGAAGGAGAGCATCGTGCTTCACCGCGACGTGAAGCCGGACAACTTGCTGCTCACCTGGGATTTCCACGTGAAGCTGGCCGACTTTGGCGACGCCTGCTTCTACGGCGATGAGGAGGCGAACAGCTTCGGTGGCACCCCGTCGTACATCTCTCCCGAGGTGATTCAGACCTCCAAGGCTGGACCGTACAGCGACTTGTGGGCAATGGGCTGTATTCTGTATGAGCTGCTCGTCGGTGAGAAGCTCTTTACCGGTTCGCTGCGGGAAGTGGCAAAGAGCATCCAGACCTTTTCTCCGGAGGGTTTGATGTTTCCGACCGCGCCTGCGTCTTCCACATCCCCCAGCAATGCCGTCGAGGATGCTGACTGTGACTGCGACGATGACGAAGCTGCTGCTGCACACGCGACGACCGAAGATGACGCCAGCAGCGCCAGAAGCGGCGGCAGTAGCGGAGACATCATTTCCGCTGCCGCGCAGGATCTCGTCCTACAGCTGCTGCGCCACATTCCAGAGGAGCGCCTTGGCTCTGTGGAGCGTGGCGGGTTTGCCGCCCTCAAGCGCCACCCCTTCTTTGCTGAGATCGACTGGAGCAGGGTGCTGGAGACTACCAACATCACGACGACCAACACGGACTACACGTCGGAGCTCGCGGACTACCTCGAGCCCGGGGAGGGTGTTGTGTACTGCTCCCCCGTCAAGGTCCTCGCGACGGACTGCGGGGAGACGCACACGCAGGCGCCGTCAACGCAGCTCGCCGCGCCGGGCTCGCTAGTGATGGTGCTCACTGATACACCGCGACTTTTTCTGGTCAACCCGGACACCGAAACCGTCCAGTTTTGGCTGCCGTGGACACGAGAGTTGCGGGTCGCGGTGCTGCGCGCCGACCGCTTTAGCATTACGGTGCCCATTTACGATGCACTCGCCTCCCCTTCCACGCCGGGGGTTTCCCCCCACACGGCGGCTTCGATAGGGGCGGAGAGCCGCAACAGCACCGGCACCGCCTCGGCCATCACCTACACCTTCTACGACACGACGCGCCGGGCAGACTTGTGGGGCGTCAAGATCCACGATGTGCAGTCCGCGTGCCTGCTGCGCCGCAGGGGTGGAACGCCGACCTTCCCGTCCCGTCAGCCGTCCTCAACGCAGCTGCACTGCCCACCGTCGTCCACGACACGTCGCGGCACGCCAACGCTCTCGCCCAGGGCAGGCGGCTGCCTTCTCCACCGTCTGCGCACTACTCCGCGATGTGCACACACAGGCGGCATCAGCAGCGATTCCATGTTCTTCTCTGAGGCCGCCATCACGATGCCACGAGACGGGCGGAACGCTATGGCGCACAACGCAGACAGCTATGTGGAGACCTTTTACGGCCACAGCGGACCAAGCACGGCCACGACGTCGCCGGCGACGGCTGGGGTTCCTGCGGCGTCGCAACGGCGGTCTGTTACGCGCTACTCGCAGCCCATCCGCCTGCCTGCCACCTCTTTTTTAGTCTCCAGGGCCTTGGCATCCGTGCCGACTGTGTTGCCTAATGGAAAGGCCACAGCCACGCTCACCAGTCCAGCCGGTGTGAGCTCGGGTGAGTCCTCGACGGAGCTGCGCTCTCCAGAGGTTTTCCCAGCTCCCCAGCCGGAGGCGAACGCGCTTGTCGTCGCACCGATGCATCGCCGCGTCAACATGATGACCGTCACCGTGGCCTCCTCCAGCAACCCGCAACCGGGTCGCCGCGCACGTCCGTCATCGCCGGGGAACACCGGTACGGACAACGCCTTGGGTGTGTCGCCGGTAGGCTTCGGTGCGACAGCGATGGAAGGGTGGGCACGCGCCACTGGCGGGCTTTCCACGAGCCCCGCCGCCAATGACGTCTCCTTCGAGTCGTCACGCCTCTGTAGCAGCGGCACAGTCACCAACTGGAGCATGCTGACGAAGTGGACGGGATCAATCAACGGTAGCGACGCCGGCGGCGGCTCGCTGGGCGAGGATGCGCTCGGCTTCTCGAGCAGCGTGGGTGATGTTACACCGCGAGCGACCCGGGTAAGCGACGGCGAGGACGGCCGCAGGCCGTTGACGCGCGACATGTCGACGCAGTCCGAGTCCACACCCGGCCCTTTGTCCGTGCAGAGAAACGTCGACGTTGAGCTAGAGGAGAGCGGGTGTTGTTCCTGTCCATCGCGCGGGAGAAGTAGAGGTGCACGTACACCGGCGGCAGCTGCGTCGCTTACGAGCGCTCCCGTCACAGCACCTCCGAAGGAAAAAATGTCAAAGGTGCGGCTGCAGTACAAGAAGAGGCAGCAGAGAAAATCGCAGGCGTAGCGGCCGCTGCTACGTATAGCCTTTTTTTATTGTTGGAAAGTCGAGGTTGCACAGAGATTCCTTGGAAAGCGTGAGCCTAAATGATGATAATAGAAAAGAAGACAACAATCGAAAAAAGGTGTTGTTCTGGTGCGTATCCAACCTGCTTTAGTGCTTGCTGACTTAATATTTCATTTTTTAGTTTTACACCTTTATCTTACACTCTGTTCGAGACATCTGAATGTGCCAGCAGTGAGAGCAACCCTTTGAAGCTGTTCTTGACCAAACTGTCAAGCACTGCAGCGATTGCCACATTGTCACCGTCTATATTAAATAAGCAGAATCTCTTTCTTTCTCTTCAAAAAAAAAATCAAATCTTACTCTTACATATTAAATGTGTAGCTTTCCTTTGTTTGATCTTCCTTTTCATTATTGTCAAATGCGCTGTTGGGCATTCGTTATCCTGATGTATCTGATGGAATGGCCATGGTGTAGTTGCATCTGTACTTACAGAAGCCTTTCTTTTGTGTGTTTTCAATTCCTTCGTCGAAAACGTGATAAATAAAGTTTCCCCCTTTTCTTCTTCGTATTTCTCGAAAAACGACAACAAAAGAAGACGAAAGGGACAAAAGGGAGTTTTTTATTTATTTTTTTTATTTCACCGTGCTTTGGCGCCTCTTTTTTTTTTTGCCTGGTGAGCGATATCGCCACGATGATCACAAAGCTTACAAAAGCTGCCATATATATGAACTATATATATGAACTATATACTCTACTCTTTTTTTTTCTTGCTTGAACCTTCTCCTTCCCTGCACCTTGTCATGTTCGGAAAAGTATGCGCTCCCCCACGAAAAGCACACATATGGTCCCAAATCACCTATACTTGTTTTACGTTTGCTTTCTTCCCCCCTTTTCTGACTTGGAGGCTCTTCTTCCTTTTTTTGTTTTCCTTTTCTTTCGGCGTTGTGTCGTTTACTTCGGTTGTGTGTTGCTGAGGGCTGTGGGGGAGTCGTTGTGGTCTTCGATTGCTTCTCCGCTGCCAAACCACCAAGTCTTTCCCAACATGTGTTTCGCGTTGGTGCTGTGCTGCGAGGCTCCATTCACCTCACTCCTCCTTTCTTCTTGTTTTTGTCGCACGTTTCTGGCACGTTTACAGGTAGGTCATGATATGGAAGAAGAAAGAAAGAAAGACACCTGTTCACAGCAGAAGTACACGCCGTGCTATCCATCTTCATTTTTGTTTTCTGAGTTTTCACGAGCGAAATCGCACGATTCAATCGGCCCCCAACAAAAGCAGCACACAAGGTGACTCTATTTTTTAAAGAACGGTTTACCGAGCGTACCACCCCGTTGGTTTAGCAGACTTGAGGTTCTGTTTCCTTCTGCGGATTCGCTTCCGCTCATTAACACACAGTATTTCTTTTTAATTATTTAACAAACCCCAAAAAAGACGTTTGCTTTTGTTTTCTTTGTGCTCTTGTTTATCTCAATAAAGGTTTTTTTGTGTTCACCTTTGCTCTTCGAGTTTTTAGTTTCAAAAATTTCCATATTATGCTGCGTTCTCATCAGTTGATGGCAACACAGACAGTTGAGGTCTAGAGGAGAGGTATGGCAAGTATGTGGATTATTACGCTGTAGACAAAAGCAAGTAAAAAGTTGATGCTTCTTCACGAATTCGGAGTAAAGCACCGGCAGCTCTTCTCTTCCTTCACAACCGTTGCTCGTGCGCATGGGAGGAGTCGTTCGTACAACGACGAGACGGATAGTTGCGCCAGGAAGTGTACAGAGACGCTGAAAGCACGTCACTCACGCTCTTCGAGCTGCCTTTTCTTCTCTCGCAGTTCAATGCGCCCACAGCTGCAAGAAAAAAAAAGACGTGCTTTTATCTATTCATGCACCACTCTCTTATTCCACTCCGAATGTTTCTCCTTCTCCTTCTTCTCCTTCTGTAGTAGTGCACAACCGTATCGAGGCAATTTCTTTTTTGAAGAAGTCGCGCCCTGCAACACGAAGTGCAAGACGACCAAAGCAGCCGTTCAGTTTCTTCTGCCTTCGCGTCTCCTCAGCCACTCCGCAGCTTTCTTTCCTTTTCTCTTCTTTTTTTTCTCTTCTGTTTCACGCCTCATACAAACAGCAAAAGTTATTTGTTTCTCTTGATCGCTTATATATGTATATATATGTGTGTATGTATTTTTCTTCTTTGTTCTCGTTGCTGATTGTCGTAGTCCGAACGTCCCCCCCCTTTTTCTTTGGCGGGTGTGAAGAGTGCATTGTAGACACGACGTCTTCGCACCAACGTGTAGTGCGTTCGTTCACAACACTCTCCCCGTTTTTTTAATTATTTCTCGTGTATCCTCTATCTTCGTACGAACGTCCTCTCCTCAAAGCACGGCGAGAAATCCGTTGAAGGAAGCATTGAAGCGGTTAGCTATATATATATCTATATTTAGATTACTCTCGATCTCGTCTGCTTCGCCAGAGGTTTTTATCTTCTTTCTTCTTTAATTTTGGTTTTACTGCACCGTTTTTGCCGTCTGTCACCATCTCTTTATTTTTCCCTTTCCCACAAAGAACGACTTGCAATTAAGTGCAGGGCAACCGTCGGCGAAATCGGAAAAACACTCTGCCGCTTCCTTTTGTTTTCTACTGAAGAAGATAAGCGGTGCCCAACGCGCAGTTAATACGATCTTTTTTTTTCCTCACGGCTCACGAGGCACCAATACGCCTACACAGCAAACTCACTGCGCCTGAATATTCGAGTATTTAAAGATTTATTTTAAAAAAATTGCTTCTCTTAATTTATCATTTGAAACGCTCAAAGAAACAAAATAAAAAGCGTCATTCGCTCAACGACCGAATTACTTTTTTTTTCTCCTTCTTTTATCTGAAAGAACAAACGTTCTACCACCATATTTTAGCTCACCATTGGGCTCAAACACGCACGCACGCACACACACAGGTTTTCTTAGCCCTCTGGCTAAGACCGCATCTGCCTCTTCTTTTCCTCTTCTTCCCTTTTCCACCTTTTCCCGGAACGATTCGATTCTTCTTCTTCCTTCAATTTCATCACTCTGTTCCTGCTGTCAAAGCGGAGTGACAATAGCGGCAGAAACACGAAACCCAATTTTAATGCGCCTAACAATACTCGTCGGCACGTAGTTCTTACACGTATTTCATTAATTCTCATTTCTTTCTCCCCCCGTCTCAAAGGGCGTAGGGCACTTCGAATACAACCGGCGGACCCACTGCACACTTTACTTACTTCCACCGCTTTTTTAAAACAGTATAGTACCCACTTGTATATATAAAAGCAGAGACAGCGTTCACGAGAAATACCGTACCTGGTTTTGTCTTTTAGCCTACTTTTGGTACTCCTGACTGCTGGCCCTTCTCCACGAAGGAAAAGAGAACGAAAAGAAGAAAAGCTTGGATTCTCGCTTTGCTTGACCCTTCTTTTTTTTCCGTGCTGGAAATCTGACATCGTTTCGGCTCCTTTTGAGAACCCGAAGGGTGGATTTCTTTTTTTAAAACAATTGTATCTCATCGCTTTCCGTTTTTCTTTTCCCGTGCCGGAAACTCCCCCCCCTTTCGACTTGCTGAATGAAGTGAGTACTGCCCAGTGCATTACAAGTAATCGCTTCCCTTTTTTAAATTCTTGTTTTGTTGTATTTTTTTCGTTTTCTTTTGAAATAGTTTGTTATTATTATTATTATTATTATTATCTGCCTCAGTTCTCAGCGTTGGGCTTACGATAAAACCTAAATAATAGAAAGAGGGAAATAGTGCGGAATCGAACCGTCGAACATGGGCTGCGCTCCCAGTGCTGAGATCCTTTGCGACGCGCCGTTTCGGCCACCGCAGGGCGGCGTCCGACAAGTCGCCCTCATCCCCATCATCGAGCACTTCTTCCCCAGCCCCGACTGCGCGCTCTTCAAGCAGCTCTACGAGGCGTACACCGACCCTTCCGTGCGCTACTACGTCCGCCCCAGCTTCGATGGCCCCAACGGCGACCTCAGCCACATTCCCGATGTCGTGAACTCACGCGCGGAGTTGCATCAGCTGCTGCTGCAGCTCACCCGGCAAGGGATGTACGCGACGAACGCGGATGTGCGGGCGGCCTACGCCTCCGGCGACGCGTATCGCATCCGGCCCATCTTGTGTGCGGTGGTGTTTCGCTATGAGGGGGCCAACTATGTGCCGGAGGGCAGCGTGCAGCTCCCCGCGCACGGCCGCGGGTCGACGGCCTTCGTGAAGGTGATTGGCGTGGTGGGCGACACCACGGCAATGCTGCAGAGAGCCGGCGACCCGATCATCCCCTTCACGCCGCGAGACACACTGAAGATGCAGACCCTCATCACAAAATCTGCCGGTGACCACAACATGTCGCGCGTGGTGCTGCTGGCGGCCTACACCTACTACCACCAGTGCTGTAAGGTGATTGGGCTGCCGAAGGTGCCATGCATGGCGGCTCGTTTTACCTGCTTCAAGACGAACATCCCCTTCTTGTGCTTTCTGCGTGAGATGCGTGACCGCACGGCGGCCGTCCTGGAGAGCCCGAAGGACTCGAAGTTATACATCGATGAGCACTGCCTGCACGGGGCGGTGACGCAGGAGTACATGGGCACCATGCTGCCGGCCTTCGCCTACTACTTCGTCTCCTTCCTCAATGCGAAGGCAGAGCAGCGACTGGCGAAGCAGCTGGCCCATCAGCGGCGCGTGAGCGAAGCGCACAAGGACACGTCGCGGGACAGCAAAGATGCGTCCTCCACGGTGCCTCCCATTGCCAGCGGACCACCGCAAGAGGAGAAGAGCCGCAACGCGGGCAGAGCACACAGTGAGGTCGTCCGTGACTTGGACGCGGTGGACCGGACACGCATCTCACAGGCGGCAACTTCCGCCGCGAAGGCCGATGCGGCGGCGAACGCCAGCAACAGCACGGCTCCTAAGGTGACCTACATTGTGAAGGGCTACTTGACACGTCCTGCGACGTCGCTCTCGGCGTACAGCCGCGCCCCCAACGAAGTCTATGTGACGTGCAGGGACGGCACCGTGACGGTGGTGGACCGCCTCTCCGTTGACGCGGCAGATGGGCCGACACACACACCCTCGTTGGGGCAGAAGGACGGCGTCGAGGAGCTCGAGGTTGAGCGCGGGGTGCCGGCGGCTGCCCGCACCGTCGTGGAGACCTTTGCGGTGCGCCGGGGCGACATCCTCTCCTTCTACACCCCGCCCTCGCCTCTGGCCGGGGGTGAAGTGCCGTGGCACGTGGGGGACCCGGCGGCAGAGGAAGAGGCTGGGTACGGTGACGGCTACGATAGCGCGTCCATGTCATCCTCGCAGGCGAACTTCCTGCGGCTGAACACGGACGACGACTCCGTGGCGCCCTCACCACCGATGCCGAATTTCGTGAAGGAGGAGGAAGAGGAGAGGGACACGCCGGTCTTGCGTAAGGGCAGCTGGCGCATTGACGACAACATCTTTATCGAGAGCGTGCTGCTCTCCCTCGTGCGGGATGAGTGCAAGCTGGCGCGTGAGGCGGGCGTCGACGACCCGCGATGGGTGCACGACGATGTCCACAACTGCCCAGTGCACGAGGGCTCCTTCTACGTCTGGCACTTCCGCCGCGGGCAGGAGAACTTTTTCTACGGCACGGTGCCGAAGTTTGCGAACACGAACCGGGCGCAGATCCGCGGCGGTGGTGGTGCGTCCGGCACCCGATCCGGGCGCAGCGGCGGCAGGCGAGCAAGCAGAAACGATGCACCGGCGGAAGTGCATGTGGACCCGCAGAACAGCGTGCATTCGGACACGGGTGCGGTGAGGAGGCTGGACGGCAGTACCACCAACCCCAACAACAGCACCAGTAGCATGGGATCTGCACTACCACTGGGCAACAGCACCACTGCGTTTCCTCCGCAACTGCAGCAGCAGCAGCGCATCGGCCTTCCCATAATATACCCCGCGTACAGTTCCTCACCGGAGCTTGTGAACATGAATCAGCAGCAACAACCTCCCGCCTACATTGCCTCTCACCCCGCCGCATCAGCTAACACAAGTCCGCAAGCCAGCAACGCCGTCCCTCGCAGCGGGCCGGTGTATTTGTTCCAAAGCGGCAACGTCCCCTCGACCACCGCACCAGCGGCGGGGCAATTCGTTTACGGCGTGCCTTTCCTCTTTCCTGGTCAGCCCTCGCAGATCTCCCTGCAGCCACACGCACCACATGGATTACCGCTGCCGGCGTACGTAGCAGCGGCGCCGCAGCATCCACGGCCGCAGCACGGAGGAAACGTGCAGATGTCGATGGTGGGCCACGTAGTAGGCCCGGCAAGTCGTGGAATGGGGGACTCCCTCAGCATGGCTGACTTTTCCGTAACGAGCAACATGTCCCTCTCCGCCGCAGCGAATGTGCCGACCGCCGTCTCCTACATCGTGAACGCGCAGGGACAGCTGGTGCCGCTGACAGAGGTGGTGATGGACAAGGGCCATTCAAACGGGGCACGCGCCGCGAGCTTTACGCCTCCCGCACCGCCGGCCCCACAAATGCCGAGTTATGTGATGGTGAACGGACAGTTGTGTGCTCTGCAGCCCGCCACCGCCACCACCACTACCGCACCGTCGCCTCCACAGTACCACGTGACGGCGCTGCCGCCGCAGCAGTTTATGAACACCGTTGTTTACCTTCCACGGTAAAACATGACTTATATATAATTAACAGTTTGTTATGCTTTTCCGCACATCGCATTCTCTTTAGTTTTCTGCTGGTGTTGCCTGCATTAACGACCCTTTTTTTCTTCGTATTTCCCCCTTTTTTGTTTTGAAATGAAACTTCTCTTTAATGTTCTTCTCACTTGTTGACTTTAAGATGCGTCTTTCCTTGAGGAGACAGCATTTCTAGAAACTGGACAACACATAATGCGAACTCTCTCTTGCAGATTTTTTTTTGTTCCTGTCGCTTTTTTCTCTTCCTTTATTTTCCCTTTCCCGTTTTTTTTCTTGTTGTCTTCCTTCGTTATACACAATGCAGATTTCGGCTTCCCTGAAAGTTAGGGTACTTTGATCTGGCCCACTAATGGCATAGTGAGGTAAGCGTCACTGGGCTGCCTCACACTCCAATGTTCCCCCTGTTATCTTTATTTACGTTTTCTTTTTTCCTTTACAATCTTCTACTCTTTTCATACTGAGACTTCTTTCACCTCCGCAAAAAGATACGTTGTCATAAGAACTGTTTTCTTGATCCCAACCTCCCCCCCCCTCACATTGTTCTTCATCACCATCATTACCCCTTAATCAGTTCTACTGCTTTCACCACGATGTTTGTCTCAGTGCTGCTGAACATGTCTTTTTCTTGTTTTCTGTCTTCCATTACTCTTCGGCTCTTTGGTGTGTTTGTGAACAAGCTACGTCGGCTGCCTGCGCTGTAGCGAGCTCCAACGACCATGTTCGATTTCTCATTTTGCGTTTTGCGGTTTCCATGTGAAGAAGCCTCCGTGAAATGTTCATTCTAACGCAATCAGCGCTCCTTTTTCTGTTACTATTCCTTTCAAACTGCCACGTAAAGTGTCCGTAGGTTTCTCGAAGGAATCCTCCCCTCCCCTCCTTCCCTTAAAAAAAGTAAAAAGGCTGGCAAAGCCAAATCGCTTTGAGCTTCCTTGTGATATGTATGTGCAGATTGCATGCTCCTTTCTCCTGTCGGGGTTTCTCATAATACGAACACCGGCTCGTCCTGATCGATCGTTTTCCCCCGTTGATATCCCTAACTAGCTTTTCTATTATTGTTAGCCGCAAAGACAAAAAGACAGCGCATAGCAAAATATATTTCAGAGCTTATTGCAACGCCTGTCAAAGAGGTCAGTAATAATCATAATAATGGCTGGTTTGATCGTTGTAGCTGCGGTGTTTTATTTTTTCCTTTTCTCTCCACGTGTCGTGTGATGCCTGACGTTTCAAGAGCCGAGGATAGCAGGAACATCCGACTGTTCTGCTGATCGATGCGATCCAGAGATCTTCTTTTGATTTGTGCTTATAATCTACCAGGATAGAAAAAATGATTGTATATATTGTTTTTAAGCGTTTGTTTTTCTTATAGTGCTCTTGAAATCTTTTAAGCTTTTAAGGACTTGACCCTTTTTTTTTTTAAAGCGGCACGGACACCCTTCGGAAAAGCGACAGACGGTGTGCGCGCAGCACGGCGCAAATCTGCGGAGAAGAACTGTAGAGAATTAATTTTCCGTGCCTTTTTAAAAAATAGCTCTTTCTCCCAGCACATACACCTACACACACACACACACACACACACACGTCTGTAGAAAACCAAAGTGTGCGCATCGGTTTTTCTGTTGCTGAAGCCGGCGTTGTATTCACGTTTATTTTTTCTCTCCCCCTCCTTTTTCTCCCTTTTCTCCGCCGATCATCTCGGATGCTCTGCTGATCTCGTCTCCATCGGTTCAACGTTTTCGCTTTTCATGTTTTTACTTTGTAGTACAAAAAGTGGGAAAGTAAAGCGTATCGCTCTCTCAAATAAACAACTCTTCACAATTCGACTATCGCCTGCACACTTTTCTCTCTCTCTTTTTTCCTTGGTTGATAATAGGCTCTGCGCAAAGGTGCTCTCACGTGTTTATAGTTATCTTCTTCGGCTAAAACAGAGTAAAGTGCTGTTGTCCTCCTCTCACAACAGCAGTGGAGCGAGGGAGAGGAATCCAGCTCACCTCCCTCGCTCCTCACGCCGGGTTTCTCTTTATTTCTTTGGATATTTGTTTTTCCTCTTTTGTTGTCCTTTTCGTTGTCCCTTTTTCATTTGCAAACGCTGTTGGATCTGTTGGAGCGGTGCTGTGGCGCAGAGTTCTTTGTGTGATCGGCTCGGAGGCCTCCTGGCCTACTTTGGCCAATTTCTTTTTCCTTTCATACACCCCTTTTTCTTCCCAACGTCGCTCCGCGCCCTTTTTTTTTGGGTTTCTCTCCGTCGCCCGTTTTGCAGCGCCGCACTCGTCACCATCAAAAGCTAAATCAAATGGTTGAATAGATTTACAGATATATTTATTGTGTGCACTTTCCCTCCTCTTTTATGCTGCATTCCTACTGTTGTTATGTATTTGTTGTGCGTGTGCGACCGAGGAGCGAGAGACATCGTCTCAACGAACAGCGCGCGCTTCCATACCCTTGCCTGCTGTCGAAATAGAGCCTGTTTTCTCCGGCGCACATCTCCCCCCGCAGCTCAATCCCATGACCGACTTTTTGCTGTGTATCTATCAACGCCTAAAAGTTTTCTCTTCTTGATCTCCACATCTTCGACACCGTTTGTGTTTCTTACCCCTCCCCCCCCGTTGGTCCCAAAACGACTGCGAAAGCGGTGGTGGGTATGGAAATGCGTTCCGCAACGTTAAATCGAGAGGAAAGGGTGTTGAAGCAGTCTACTCCTCTATTTTTGGCGCTGAAAGAAAAACTCTCGGCTTCAACCTCTTGTGCTTTTCTATAATAAAGGAAAACACACGAAGCACAGAAAAATTTGTTTTTCTTTTTTTTTTGGTTTAACGTGATGGCGCTTTCTTCGTTCTGTCGAATCGCAGCGGGGCATCCGCGGAGGTGCGGCACCTCCACTTCGTCTTCCGCTGCAGTTCTTCGCTTGCCTTTTTTTTTCCTTTTCTTCCTGGTCTACTAAATTGAAATCGACTATTCCGATGTGGAAAGCGTTTCTTGTTTCTTGCTTCTCTTCTTTCCCGCTGCATGCTTCGTTCAGACACGCGGTACTACGAACTCCGTATGAGGGAGATAAAGGAAGAACAACACCAAGTAAAAGCCCAAATGAGGTTTCCGCTGTGTTTGTTAGCTGTGCGTGTGTGTCATGACGGCTGTCGCTTGTCATTCGACACACACCCTAGGAATGCGTTACACGGAGTCGTTGTGAAGCGCCCTCTGCCAGTACTGCTGTGCACCTGCGGCAGAACATGCATCTCACTGTTTCCCGCAGAGTACACCTGCAGAACACACTGCCGCTTCTGAGATGTGCACACGCAGAGGTTTGCTACGCAGCCTCGTACTGCTGCTTGACGATTACAACCAAACAAACTCTCGTTTGAATCCTTACTATTCTGCCTTTTTTCCCCTCCTTCCTACCTTTTTTCTTCCTCATGTATTACACATGCCCTCACGTCTTCCCGCGGTCCGCACAAAGCAGCAAGCACTCTTCATAGGCGTAGGATTCCTTCTTCAAAGGAACTGCGTCACGTGTGCGTGTGTGTGTGCTTCGCCATCTCCAAAGCAGTCGCTCTGACGTTCATCAACCCAAACAATAACAACAAGAAAAAGAACGGCGCCCCAACAAAATACCTTTATCCCTTTTTCTCTCTTCACCTTTCTTTTTTCTGCAACTTTCGTGTTTTTTCCTTAACGTGTTGACGCTCGCTGCTTCCCTGCGCGCACTGCTGTTGCCTGTCGGTGGATGCGCCATCTCGCCAGCCGTACGCCAAGGTCTTGAAGTCTCAACATATCTTCTTCTTCTTGCTTCTTCTTTTTTTCAGTTTGTTTTACGAGAAGTCCAGTCATCATATTGTTAAGTACATACGTATAACGTCAAACACACACTTTCTCCCCCTTTTTCTTCGTTGCCTTCACTGCAAGGGCTCATTTGTCAAAACACCGGAGCAGTGACAAGTCCCTTTTTTTTTTCGCGGTTCGCACCGTCGACGCCTTCGCGCGGTATCACATTGGAATTTCATCTTTACACGAAATACTTTATCATTTACTTGAAAAAGAAAATCTCATAATTATCATCTCGCTGGGTGCCTCCAACTCCGCTGTTCTCACCTCAATTTTTACAGCCGTTGTGGCGAATCTGTTTTTGAATCGTTCTTGTGAACTTTTTGTTTTGTATTTGTTTGTGGCGCTTTTGTCGTGAGACGCTGTCGACTGCCTCAACTTCTTGGCCAACCAGGCAGGCCGACACGAAGCTGGAACTGGGTGTGGCAGTCGCCTTTATTCACTGGGGACAACGTGTCGGTGTGTGTGTGTACTCTTTTTCTTATCTTTGGTTTTACATCTGCAACAGCAGCAACGCACACGCACACACACACTTTCTTTTGCTCCTTACGTGTGCTCTGCGTGGTGTTAATTGTTGAGCGTTGAGGGCGAAATATAATTTGGAATGCTTGAGGCTGCACCGCTGATGCGTGACGAATTCAAAGGAACAGCACACTAGCATATATATTTAAAACAAAAACACAAAAAGGTTAATAAGAGAACAGTAATAATACCAACAACAAAACAGAGTCAGACAATGGGCGCCGCACCGAGCCGCGAAACAATCGAGCACTCGCTGCCGCAGCCGCCCTTCTATGGCCAGCGGCAGCAAATCGTACTCATTCCCCTGCTTAAGAAGTTCTTCCCCAGCGCCGACTGCCCGTTGTTTGTGCAACTGTACGAGGCACGCTGCGACCCGGCGGTGCGCTACTACTTCTACGCAGATGACGGGGCGGAGGGCATCTCGTGCAGGCCGCCGACCTCCCCACTCGCACCGGTGGTGCACCCCGCGGCGGAGTGCTGCGGCGATGACGAGTCCCCGCTGTACCTCGCCGACAAGGTGGGCAGCGCTCCGTTTCATTGCCCACCGATGGAGATCTTCCCTGCCATTCCGTTCTCGCGCGAGGCGATGTACGACGCCTATGTGACCAATGGCGGGGAGAAGCTGGTGTACGCCACGAATGCGGAGATGCTGCGCGCCTACCGTGCCGATCCCAGCGCGGTGCGGCCGATGCCGTGTGCGGTGGCATTCCTGTACCACAAATCGACGTCGAACCATACCGCCGCCGCTGCTGCTGGTGGTGGTGCGACAGCGACTGCTACGTCGACTGTACATGTTGGGACGAGTAGTGTGCCGGACGACTGCTCCGAAGTGCTGGGGTGCTACGTGAAGGCCACAGGCTTCGTAGGCGACGTCCACGGCTTCGGCCGCCGACACCACCACGACCACCACCGTCGCGGAGAGGAAACCGCAAGCACGCCCTACGAAATGCAGATGTTCCTGACCAAGTCCGCCGGCGATCACAACCGAACGCACGTGCTGCTCTCGGCGATCTACACGTACGCGGAGCAGTGGCAGCGCGCCTGTCTGCACTGCGTCCCGCACGACCTCACAGGTCAACACGCTCACCCCAACGCCCACCATAGCCATAAAAAGTCCGCAGCGGATGACCAGGGCAAACTCGATGATGCGTCCTTCTTTTACAAGCCCTTTGCGCAGACACACGAGATGCTGGCGGAGGCGAGCCGCGCGGGCGGCCACCATCCACACCCTCTTCACGAAGCAGAAGGCGAAAATGATGCTGCGGCTGCTGCGATGAACGCGAACACCATTGGGGGCGATGAGAAACAAGACGAGGCCGTCGGAGACGCTGCTGCCGGTGCGGGTGCTAGTACGCACGCCGCTGATCCTCCACACGTCAAGGCGCGCTACTGGGCGCCGCCGCCGCTCTCCGCCCTTGTCCTGCGCAGCCGCCGCGCCAACGTGCCGCTTCTCTGCTTCCTGCGCGAGGTGCGTGCCTGCATCGCGAACATGTTCCTCTTTCACGTGCAGTACTACTACCATGAGCACCAGCAGGAGCAGCAGCCGCAGCATCGAGAGTCCACCGAGGAAATGGTGGCGGCTGCGGCGGTGGGCGGCGACGTGAGTGCCCGGCCTACCCGACACCCCGACATGCTGCCGCCCGGGTGTTGGCTCATGTGGCTGCAGAGCACGCTGACCTCGTCTGCTGACACGGCAGAAACGGGTGACGAGTCGGTACTGAACGTGCACTGCACGGCGCAGTTTATGCAGTCCATTGTGGAGTACATCGTGGCCTGTCTGCTGCACAATTTGAGCCCTTTGGAGGCGTTCCGCACCCAGCCCAGCCACGGAGCCGCCGCCAACAACAATACGAAGAGCAGCAGTAGCGGTGACGCCGTCTTGGCCGATGCGACACACGATAAGGTGCGCGACCCCGCCGGTGAGGGCGAGGCGTCGGCCGCAGCGACAACAACAATAAAAAAGCCCGCCGCAGGCAGCGAGGAGGTGGTGGGTGATGGTGCGAAAGCGAGTGCAGAGGCGGTCGCGACGACGACGGCCGCACTCGTCCCGCACTCCCTCTCTCCCTTCCGCCTGCCGGATGAGGAGATGCTGGTGGGCACGTGGCCGCCACGGCCCGTCGACCCGGTAGCCCCGGCGCCGCCCTCCCCCGGCGTCGCGGCGGATATTCTGACCCAGTGGAAGAGCCTCTACAGCCGGCACTACCTCTTCTGGGTTGTGGGACCCAACCTGGCGAGTCAACGCTCCGCCACGGTGGCCTTATTGGATTGGGTACGGAGGAAAGGAAGCCCGGTGATGTGGGGTTACCACCTCGACGAGCACGACTGCGAGCTGCCTTCCACGCCGTCAGAGGCGTACCCGAGCAGCATCGGCCACGCCGTCTACCCATCATCGTCCCTGGAGGACTATCTGTGCACCGTGACGATCAACGGGGTGGAGGAGGAGATGATCCGCGGTGGCACCATCGTGTGCCTGATGCCGGTGATAGACAGCAGCAACAGCACGCCGACAGAGGAGCGCGTGCTGCGTGTGTGCCGGCTACCGTTGGAAGAGTTGTTGCTCGGCGAGCTGCGCAACGCGAGCAAGCTGGCTCGTGAGGCGGGGCCGGAGGACCTGCACTGGGTGCGCCAGAAACTCTCCGCACAAGGCACCTACAAAGGCTGCGTCCTGCGCGCACCGGACCCAGCTGCAGGGGACGCGGCGGTGGCGACCGTTGTGATCAGCAACGGCGTCGAGCTGCCGGTGGTGCCGCCTGCGGCGGACGGCATCGTCGGCGATGGCACGTCGTGCTTGTGGCGGGTGGACTTAGTGGAGGGGCTGAGCCGAATCATCGCGGTTACGCCGCCGTTTCTGAAGCCGGTTCGGAAGAAGCACCCCAAGAAGAAGAAGCTGCCGTCGAAGGCGGTCGTCGCGCAGGGGACGGCGACGCTGGTGTTTCTCGCAGCTCCAAAGGCGAGCGCTGACACGGCGGATGGCACGTGGGAACGGGTGAACGACGCCGCAAAAGAAGCAGAGCTGCACCCCGCTGAGCACAAGATGGAGCCAGTAAGCGCAACACCGGCCGCAACGCCGCAGCACGCAGCGAATAAGACACCAGCATCGACGGTGGGGGAAAAGGTGGTCGCCAGTCCTCATAACGGACAGACGGCAGCCATAACAGGTGTCGTTGCCACACCAACCCCGGCGGTCATGTCCAAGAACCAAAAGAAGAAGGCGAAGAGGGCCGCCGCCGCTGCTGCTGCCGCTGCTCTGGAGAACAACGCTGAGGTGGCCGAAGAGGCGACAACGAACGTGGCGGCGGCACACGATGCCAGGGAACAACTTTTGCCAACGAAAGACAAGGCTGAGATTTCGGTCGACACACCACATCCAGAACCACCGGAGGATTCTGCGGCTGGTGCTCCTGCAAACACGGAGGCGGCTGCAGCGTCCGACGGCCCACCAAGTTTGGCGGTGACGTCGGCGACGACGACGACCACCACCGCATCCGCGACGGAGGCCGCCGAGCCGGTGCCGAAGCCTCTCAAAATCGCCGTCCCACCCCGTCCCATCCCCGCTGGCGAGATCGACCCCAACGCTGTTCGCCACAGCCACGCCGCCAGCGCTCACAAAAGTCAAAGCGAACCGCAGCCGTCATCGGTGGCTCCCTCGACCGTCACCGCCGCCGCCACACCAACGCCGTCGTACGCAGAAAGGGGCAGCTGGGGCTACGGTGCGGGCCACGCCTATCCAACCGCCTACCCGCCTGGGTACGGCGCCTACGGAGGCGGCGGACCTCCGTCCTACGATGCCTACCCGCAACCGTTGCCGCCACCACCGCCTCCACTGCCAGGCACGGCGGCAGCAGCAGGTGGGCACATTGGGTACGACTACGATACGAACTACGCGTACGGACCGGCCAGATCAGCAGGCACAATATCTCCCTCGCTGCCCCCTCCACCCCCACCACCGTTCCGCGAGCACAGTGGGGGTGGCGATGGTGGCGATGGTGGACGTGTACCGCCGGGCTACGGGAACTACTACTACTACCCCCAGTACGGCTATCCGACCGGCTACGCACAGGGCGGCAGGTATGCCGGGGACTATTACGACGCCGGCTATGGTCCGATGGAAGGGGAGAGAGGTGTAGGCGGTGTCAGCAACAATGACATGCAGGAGCACTACCGGTACAACGATCGGGCAGTGAATGTGGCGGGGCAGATCCACGACGAGCTCCACACGCTGGCCGCACCAGAGGACACATCCGATTCGAAGACGACGTCGCTGGCGGAGGAGGAGGGGAGTGGCGCTCATCCAGGTCAGGTGGCCGTCGCCCGACAGGAAACCGATTCGTCGCCTCTCCAGCGTCACGTCAGCTTTGGTGTGGAGGCGTTACCGACAGCCACAGCCTCTTCTTCCTCAGCCGCTGTTGCTGCCAACGCCACAGCCTCGTTCTCCTCACGGACAGCGAGGGAGCGCGGCAACCTCATCCCCCCTCCGTTGCCGCTTTACGAGGACCTGGCTACCAGTCCCACGCTGAGCGCCCATCGTTCCGCCAATGGAGACGCGAGCAAGACAAAAGACTCGTTCTTGCGCAGCCCGAAGCATCGCCAGCAGGGCGTAGGTGACCACCACAATGTCCCCTCGCCCCGCGACGGCTCACCCCTGCAGTTTCAATTGGACGACCTCACTTCGCCCGTCCCGAACAACAGCAATGCCCCGGTGCTGCCTGTGATCCACCACGCCCGCTACGCCAGCATCCCCTATCAGCAGCAGATATCAACCTTCGAGGACGTCGGTGTTGCGAGCAGCCCCGGTGCCGGTCCGGCCGGCAGCTCCGTCAACGTGCACGTCCGCGTGCGTCACCACCACCACCACACGCACTCTCCCACCACCAGCTTCTTCAGCGACTTCACGGCAGACAATGGCAACGGACATCACCACCAAAACAACACGCAAGGCTCACAGGCGCAAGGGGAGGCCAGCCCGGCGAGTATGCATCCCTCACACAGCTTCGCCAGCATGGGATCCTGCTCGATTGTGTTCCATGGAGTGGGGGGTGGTGCGGCGGGCAGCAACCACGCCGGGTCCATGCGTGAGCGCGCGAACAGCGGCGTGGGCGGGGACCACTCCACCCCCCGCCACCCGCATCGCTCGCATCGCCACCTCGGTATGGCGAGCAGCACGCACAGCGGCGAGACGACGAGCACGGCTCGACTGATGGATAAGCGGAGTGGCACGTATCGCTGGGACTGGCGCACGGCGGGGCTCGACATGGGTGACGAAGATTAATAAGCGCTGTTTTTTTGTGATTCTCAATTGGCACGATTGATTTCTTCACCGATCTTTCTAAAGATAAATATATTTTTCTTCACTCTATCTTCTTTTTTTTTTGTGAGGCTGACGGATGCGTTGCCGCGGTAGTGCGTGTGTGATGGTTTGCTCTTTGACGTGCCACAGTTTGTCCTAGGCAGTTGCAGTGTTCTTTCCTCTTTTGTTTGCGTACGTATTTGAACCTCATCACTTCTCATTTTGGGTCTGTGTTCTGGCGCTTGTTTACCTTTCGGCCGCCCTTTTTTCTTTGGTTTCTCTCTTTTCTCTGGCGGGTTCTTCTTTCGAGGCTTTTGTTTACGGTGAGAGTTGCAGCGCATCGCTCGCACATCCATAATTAATTATATATATATATGTAAATTGAATTTAGGGAGTGAGGCCGTGGCGCGCACTTGCAGACTTCAATACATTGTCTTTCCACGTGAGCGCACGTGCACAGAGACGGAATCCTTGTTTTCTTGTTAAACGCTGCCGCGGTTGGGTGCTGCTCGCATTGAACCGGATGGAACACCGCGAATGGTGAAGGATGGGGCAGAAAACGTCTGCCATTCCACCTGCTCCTTCTACTCAGCGGTTGCTGCGTGTTTTTGCTATTTACTATTATTACTACCTCAATCGACGGGAGGAAGTGAAAGCTTCCGAAGCATCACCTCATCCTCTTCCCCAAAAGAAGAAAGACTTTGCCGTGGCGAATTGTAACTCTTCTGCCCCTCCCCTCCTCCACGTTTCCACCTCTGACCTTCGACGCATAGCTTTTGCCGATAAGATACTCCCCAAAAAGAGCTCATCGCCAAAAAAGTACATATAGGGTGACGATAAGCGCAAGTGTAGAACACCAAGAACAACTGAAAATTACTGACTGGCCAAGACCTCGCCATAAACCCTCAAGCACGATCTTGCACGAAGCGACAAGGGGAGGAAAACAAACTACAGCAGCAGCCGCATCTCCATTGACAATGCTGAACATCTAAACGGCTCTAAGAAAGAAAAAAAATAGCATAAATAACTTCGTAACAGCACAAATAACCGCTGTACTTTTTTTTCTGGTCTGTTCTTTTTCAAAGCTAACGGAGCGAGAGCGGGAAAGGAGGAAAAGACGTTGCACTTCTTTTCTGGGTTGGTTGTGGCGCGTAAACTGTCTAAAAAGAATATATATATATAGTAGTGGGCGAGTATAGAAGTGCCCAGCGCAGCGCACAATGGGTGTCGCACCGAGCCGCGAAACAATCCGCCGCGGCTTCTTCAACGTTAATCAAGCAAACCCGTCCTCTGCTGGCGGCGGCGGTAGCAGCAAACGGCAAGACATCGTTCTTATTCCACTCACAAAAGAGTACTTCCCCAGCTCGGACTGCCCGCTCTTCGTGCAGTTTCACAAGGCGCGCTGCGATGCCGCGGTGAACTACTACTTCCGCCGTCCGGGCAACCCCGGCGACCTCAGCTGCATCCCGAACTACGAGAGTTCCTACCGACTGCCGGGCGAGGAGACGCGGGCGCAGCGGCGCCGCCGTCGTCAGCTGGCGCGGGAGGCCCGCGCCGCCGAGGGCGCCCCGTCGATGCGGGATCGTGCTGGCCGGGGCGACGGCGAATATGATGATCTGGACGAGGACACGGACGACGACGCCGACGAGGACGAGTCCTTTCCATCTCGTGAGGCCCTCTACCACGGCGTTATCGAGCACGTGGAGGAGGTCCTCTTTGACACGGATGCGGAGATGCGGCAGGCCTATCAGTGGGCCCTGGCGCACCCGCACACCACCATGGGGCCGGACGGAAAGAAGCAGCGGAAGGTGCTGCCGGTGCTGTGTGCGGTGGCGTTTCGCTCCGACATTGGCAAGGCGCACCACCTACACAATGCTGCCGCGGCAGCGGGAAGTGCCCGGCCTTCCTCCGCGAACGGCTCCGCCGCTACGGTCCCCCTTCCGACGTCTCCGTCGTCGCACATGAGCAGCTCCACGATCGCCATGAGCAACATGCAGGCCGCGCTGGAGAACGGCGTGTACATGTTCGGCTCCATCATCAACATCGTCGGCTGCTTCGGCTTCGTCTCGATGCAGGAGGACGTCGACGACGCCAAGCGCATGTCCCACCAACAGGCCGACTCTGCCAGTGCCATGTCACCTCCGCTGCTCACGCCGGGGTCATTGCAGCCCCCTTCTCCGTCCGGCGGCGGCGGCACCTACCACCACGACCCCTACTCCTTCACCAGCAGTCAGGCCAGCAGCGGGAGCTTAGTGGGTGGTGGTGGTGGCAGCAACGGCAAACCAACCTTCACGGCAGCCAGCGGTGGCACGTTGCTCAGCTCACGTGGAGCCGGCCGGAAGGGCGCGCGCCACCTGGCGCAGATCGCGGCGGCGACGGACCTCATGACGCTGCCCCCGCCCGTGGCGGCTCCGCTGGCGGCGATGGTGTTTCTCACCAAATCCGCCGGCGAGCAAAACCTGGGCCGTGTCACGTACATCGCGGCGAGCACCTACTACTATCAGATGATTCAGGCCGGTCTGATTGAGCGACAGACGGGGGTGCGGATGGAGGGGCCGAACGTCTACCCGAGCTCGACGACTTCAGCGGCGCCGTCGCCGCTGCCGCCGTACGGAGGCGGGAGCAAAACCACGCAAGGTGGCGGTGTCGGCGGTGGTGCGACGGCGGTGCCGCCGCTCCCGCCTATGTACTCCCCCTCCTCGCCCACCTCTCCTCATGCAGCAGGGTCGCCGGTCTTCTCCCCCCCCACCCCCAATACCCAGGGTCCCCCGAAGCCTTTCCTACCACCGATGGAAACCTTCAGCTTCTCCAGCCTGCTCACGAACATCCCCGTCCTTTCCTTCCTCTACGAGATGAAGTGGCGTTGGGGCTACCTCGGTGTGCTGAAGGCCGGCACCCCGACCGCCGGCACCAGCCGCAACAGCAGCTTCAGCGAGGCCGCGTCGGGGCCTGTGATGAGCAACAACGTCAACAGCACCACGGGGCGTGGGCCGGGTTCGATGATGGGCAACCACAGCACCGGTGGTCTGGCCGCCATCGACCGCAGCGTCGGACAGGGCGTCACCGACGAGCTGGAGATGTGGATCACGATGGACCAGATGATCCACGGCCGGGTCTCGAAGGACCTCGCGCAGCGGCTGTGCTGGTCGCTGGCGGAGCGGCCGGAGGTGATGCAGGAGCGCGTGTTGCAGCTGCCGAGCGAGGAGAGCGGGTACTGGCGCTATCGCGGACTGGTCGATCAGACACACTTACCGCCCATTCCCGCGCCAGGCACGGTGGTGATGATCCACCCCAAAGACGTCTATGTGATGGGCAGCGACGTCCTGCCGGGGTTCAACGAGGGCGACATCTTGCGGTTTGACCCGGAGAGACTGGTGTGGTTTGCCGATCACTCCATCCCCTTGGAGGGCTTGGTGCTCGCAGCGATGCGGCCGTATTGCAAGCAGGCGCGGGAGGCGGGCCCCGAGGACCCGTCCTGGGTAACGAAGGTGTGCGATGCGGAGGAGGCGGAGGCGCTGCAGGGCTGGGAGACGGACGTGGCCTACCCCACCCCGCCCGCATCGGCGGCGGAGGCGGCTCTGCTGGCCAGCGACACGAGGCTTGTGCACACCCACGAACACGTTGGCAACTTCTACGTGTATCGCTTCGTGCGGGACGGGACGACGTACTTTCACGGCACCGTGCCGAACTTCGCGAACCGGAACAAGAAGCGGCTGTTGCCGAGCGCTGCGAATGCGCCTTCTCAAGGAACTCCAACCCACACGGCGGTAGCGGCGGCGCCGAACCCACTCAACAACAGCAGCAGCAGTGGCCACAACGCCGCCACCACGGGTGCTCGCGGCGCAGACAACATCAATACGAATAATAATGCATCGGCCAGCACAGCTGCGAAGACGACGTTTGCGAATAGCAGCAACACCACCAACACCACAGGCACTGCCACTACGAACAATAGCAGCAGCAAACCGACGGTTCCGGTGCCGAAGACCATCGCCAGCGCACTCTTCTCTCTGCTGCCGGCTTCTCGTGCGATGGCGGGCGGATCCAGTGGTGCTAACACCGCCAGTGTGAACGGCGGTGTGCACGCCAATCCTGGCGGGGCCACCAACATTACCAACAACACGAGTAACGGCAATGCAGGCAACACGCCGAATGCGACAGCGCCGTCTCCCGCCACCACCACCACCACTACCGCCTACCTCGCCACTCCAGTAACATCCACTGCCATAAACACGGCTCGTAAGTGGGTGCAGGCGCTCTACAGCTACGCGTACGGGGCGCCGAACACCACCGCATCAGCCGCGGCAGGAGGCAAGCGACGGGGACCGACGGCGGCCAGTCTCGCGGCCGGTGGTGTCGGAGGACCCTCTTCTTCTGCTGGTGCTGCTGCCGGGGTGTCCCCGGGCCTGCCCACCTCAACGGGAGGAGGACCCTCGCCGTTGGCCACACGGGCGCCTACCATTGTCACCCCGCTGCGCTCCGTAGCGGGGGACGGGGCCCACGGGAGTGGCGGCAGCTTCCCCTCGACCCCGGTGTATGCCCCACACGTGAACGCAAAGACGCCCACGTCGGGTGCCCCCGGCACGGCGGTCGGCTTTCCGAACGTGACGGCGTACGACGTGTCCGTGTGGCCGACGCCGAAGTTTATCGGGGCGGTATCGCAGCTGGGCATGAGCCCACACGTGAATTCGGGAAGTTCCCCCGCCGGTACGGTGATGAGCCCTGGTACCCCTCAGCTCGCAACACAGCACTCCCGCTCCTCTTCGCACTCACTCATGCGCCAGGTTAACGGTCAGGAAGGCGATGAGGCAGCGCCCCCCACGGCATCGAAGCCGGTCAAGCGTTACGTGGCCGGTGGAAGCTATGAGTGGGACTGGCGCAACCAGTAGAGGCAGTCCAGTGCCTTAAAACGAAAATAGGAAAGTATCACCATATATATCTATATTGAGGGGGCTCATGAGCCGAAGAAAGGTCCCGAGGAAGCGATGCGGAAAGGACGAGGGAAGAGACACATCAGCTGCTGCGTATGCTTACTTGGCTTATCCCGCTCAACAGAGCTAAACGCGTTTTGAGTGTTTTGTTCTTCTTCTTCTTAAAAAAAAGGGGAGATGAAAAGCTGTGTGAGCGCAGCCGCACACGCGTACGTGACGGCGACGGAGCGCGTCAACAAGCAACCCATTCGATCGTGTAGAATAGGGAAGAGAAAGTAGAAGGAAACAAACGCGACGTTGCGACGCGCACAGCAGTAATCAAGGCATCACTGGTGTTTTTTGATTTTATGGGTTTCCCTCGCGCAGAGAGTCTTTTTTTATACGTGGGAGAATACAAGGCAAGAACATCGTGTGTACTCGTGTCTCTTTTTTGTTTCTGTCCCTTTTCCCGTCCTCGGCCGATCATTTCTTCTTTGAGTGCTATTTATACAGTTTCACAGTGTTTTGTTTGTTGTGATCAGATCGGCGAAACGGGAGGACAGAGGCGGAGGAGGAGCTGTGGGGCCGTTTTTTTTTTTTCGCTTGTGATTTGTTCTGCTTAGTCCTTATTATCCAAGTGGCTGATAGCTAACGTTCTTGCTTGTATATATATTTGAGTATCTTCTCCTCAAGTCACTTTGTGCACGTAATCACAACAGGCGAGTGTGGGGTGATCCTCTATAATTTAATGTCTGTTGCTCTGTGCCGCGCAGATGGTTTGTAAGAGTCTTTTAAGTCGTATGCTCCTTTACAGAAAACAGTTCAAAAACAGTCGCAATGTGAAGCGGAGACCTGATAGGCGGCCCAAAGCGACGGTGAGCGTGGATGAGGAGGTGTTTTGTTGCTCCACGTTAGGTGTAGAACAATTCTCGTAAACCCAATAGTAACGGTGCACTGTAAGCTACTTGAGGGCTCTGGTGATTGAAGATGATCGTTTTCATCCTCGCGATGTTCAACGTCTTCCCTCTCCTTTAAAAGCCTTTGTGGTGAATGCGTTCTCAAATCATTCTGACACGACCGCTACATTTCCGTCTCTCCTCTGATAAACTTCTCTTCTGCCACGACAACGCATGGACCGTAGTTTGTGTAAGTATCTAAACTTACGTGTACATAGCTTACCCTTTGCGACTTACCTTTTAGTTCACCGGCGTTGCACGTGCACAACTGCCGGCAAAACACACAGACACATTAAATTGCATGTAAATACGTGTTCCGAGACTCACTGACATACAGAGTCGAAGACGCCGAGCAACACTCCCCCTCTATATCTCTCTCTCTCCCTCACCCTCTTCCACACACACACACACACGCACCCAAAGAGGAAGTGCGTCGAGACAAGATGGGTGTGGCGGTCTCCACCAGCATCTCCGGTCTGCCCACGCGCCGGCGTTTCTCTCGCTGGTCTCTTGGGTCTCGCACGTCGCTAGGAAGCAACTCGATCCTCGTAGGCTCGCCTAGCGAGCACCCCTCACCGTCACCGCTGCAGCACCGTCTGTGCGACCTCCCCTCCTCCAAGTCAGACGCACATAGCAGTGCCACGACGAACACCACCTCTGCCTTTACCACTGCGGATGCTGATGCGATGACGACTACGACAACGACGACTACCCCAAAGGAGACGGTGCGAGAGACTTCGCCACACATCCTGTGCGATTGCCGAGTCAACTCGAACACCGTCAACTCGATCCACACGATTCCGTGGGGCACCTTGACAGAGATGAGACCGTTTGACGACTCCACGGTCACCTGCCGCGCCGACGCACCACAGCGAAACCCGCTGGAGATCAACGCATCAGACCACCGCGCCGCGAAAAGAGAAGAGGCGGAGGCAGTGCGGGAGGCGCTGAGGACGGACATCGACGTGTCTGTGACTTGCAGCGCACCTCGGACAGCGATGCGGCACGGCAGTCCGAAGCTGCACATCTCACGCTGCCTGCGCTGGGCGGACATGGCCGCAGCGGACGAAGCGACGGACCGTGCCGATGCTGCCGCTGCCTCCTCAACGCCAACGATGCCGTTTCCAGCCCCCAGCGGTGTCAGCCCATTGGGACACCGACGCACCTTCAGCCTCTCCAGCACGGACTGTGCCGACCTTAGCAAGGCGGTGATCGCCACGTCGAAGTTTAAGGCATCGCACCAGCGACTCTGCAAGGAGTCCCGCTCGCTCGGGCACGGCACCGCTGTCGACCATAATATTCAAAATAACATCTGGAGTAGGCAGAGCTATCGCGAGGAGTGCCGAACGAGTAGCACGCAACTCTCCACGGAGGAGTGGTCCCACCTGTTCGAGCACGTGGACGCCACGGACAACATGCTCATCACTGCTGAGGACGAGCTGCAGCGCAGCCACGGCAAGCCAAAGGTGGCGCCACTGCCACAGTATCCACCGACCGACACAGCCCCGGTAGTCGATCCACAGCCGCCGCACTATCCGCGGTCCCCCTCGCTGCAGCCCAACACGTCCATCACAACCAACGATGTGGGCTTCACCCCGCTGCGCATGACCTTCTCGACCACGAGCTCCTTGCTGTCCGGCCCACCCAACCCAGAGATCGACCTGCAACGGGCCATCACCGCCGTCGACGCCCACGCGGCCAACATGCGCAGATTACTGACGTCCTGGCAGGACATCGCCAACCACCACCTCGACGCGTTTGCGCGTGCGTTGGACGTCGCCTTGGCCGCCCAACAGCCCGTCTGCGGCTGCCGCTTCTCCGCGGACCTATCCCCGGAGGAGGACGCGCGCAGGACGCTGGGGATTGTCGGTCAGGCCGTGCATCTCGTCTCACAGATGGAGAACATGTTCGCCGCCCTCTTGGAAATGGGCGCGATGCACCGCCGCTACGACGTCGGCGCAGACCACTTTGAGGCGATGCATCGCGCGTTTATGCAGGTGCTGCCGGACTACGTTGCTGCCGATCAGCGTGAGAGCCTCTGCGAGGTCGTGTGGGAGCCGTTTTGGCAGCTCGTAGTGCGGCTGCTCTCGCAGGGCTACCGGTCGGAGCGGGGGGAATGGTACGCGGCCCAGCGGCGAGCGGAGTGGTTGGCGGATGCCCGGGCTGTCTTGGAAGCCGTCGCCGAGCAGGAGCAATGCGTGGGCTACCGCGGCACCTTTGTGCCGGCGATGCTGGACCGCGCCGAGGCCGTCAACCCAGCCATGTCGCAGTTCGCGCCAATGCGGGAGCCCCGCATCGCCACTCGCTGCTTTGAGAAGTTGACGTTCATCGCCCTCGAGGTCGACGACGATACGGCGCGGGCGTGCTACATTGAGCAGCTGGCCCACGAGCACATCATCTACGGTCTGTCGGAGTGCGGCCTGCGCGCGCTGCGTCAGCCCTTCATCGACACCTGCAGGTTCTACGCGACGCTCCGCGGTCGTGCTGAGGTGTGGACCGCCACCGCCGCCGAGTCGTTGGGTCTGTTCTGGGACATGCTCACGCAGCATTGGGTGGAGGGCATCACCGTCTCTCGCTGGTCGTTGGCGGACATCACACGGCTCCGTGCCCCGAGTGGGTCGCACCCGTTTTGCATGATGTTCACCGACATCGAGGCGGGCTCCCGGCTGTGGGAGCTCTACCCCTCCACGATGGCGGACGCCGTGGACGCGCACAACAGGCTTCTCCGCCGGCTCATCGCGGAGCACGGCGCGTATGAGGTGAAGACGGACGGCGACACATTCGTTATCGCAACGAGGGACGTCTTCTCCGCGCTGCAAATCGCCGTGTCCACCCAGCTGGAGCTCATGCGGGGCCCCATCGTGGAGGGCTTCCGCATGATTCCTGGAGCCCAGGGCGGTGGATTGGGCTCGTGCTGGCGTGAGGACTCCCTTCGGGTGCGCATTGGCATTCACTTCTGCACCGACGCCTCCGCTGTGTACGACAGCGTGCAGCGGCGCTTCGACTACTACGGGCCCGGCGTGAACTGCGCAGCGCGCACGGCGGCGACAGCGGCTGGTGGTCAAATCCTCCTCACCCAATCCGCGATGAACGCGTTGCGGGTGGCGCGGCGTACACCGGAGGAGTCGCCGATGCCGCTTGCGGAGATGCCGCGGGGATGCAACGCGATGGATGTTGTGCTGGACAGTCTCGTCGAGTTTCAGCGGTGGGGCGAGCAGCGCTTTCGAGGGGTGAGTGAGTCGGTGCGGCTCTACTCGGTGCTCCCCATGCGGCTCTCCGGGCGGGCGTTTCCCTACTACGTCGGCAGCCGTAAGGTCCGAGTGAGTGCACCGAGTGACGTGGATGGGAGGAGGGAGGTGTATCGGTTGTCCTTGTCACAGCTGAAGAGCGGTGACGTGGACGAATCTACACAAGCTCTCTTTTCAGTCATGATGCGATGATGATGATGTGCCACTACTTCCACCGAAATGCTTTCTTTTCTCTTTTCTCTTTTCTCTTCTTTTCTTTTTTTTCTTCTTCATTTGTCTTCAATAAGAACTGCAAGGAGGAGTAATAACGTTTTCCCCATTTCCCCCATTTTCCCTTTTTTATTTATTTACTTCACGGATTTACTCCGTGGTGTTGTACGACTGCTGCTGTTATTTTTTTTTTGTGTCGAATCACCCGTGACCGATGCGGCGCTGACGTCGTGTCCCTACGCACATCATTTATATATATGTATTTTTTTTACGGTCTGCTGCGTGCCCTTGTAAAACTGTGCGACTTTAGCATCTCTGCTGTCTTCACACTTCATGCGACGTCTGTTGCATACACCCCAAGGCAATGACATCGGCGGTGCCTGCACGCTTCGGGCAGACGGGGACAACACGGCGTAAAGAAAAGTACCGTAGTGAGAAGGAAGAAGAAATAACAGCGCTCAAAAACGGTGCCGATGACAACAGATACGGAGAGGACGTTTTCCCTCCTTGTGTTTTAGCTTTCTTTTCTTTTTTTTTTCTTCTTCTCTTTTTGAAATATGGAGATGTTCAATCCCCAACTTTAACTGGTGTTTGTCAACACCTGCCAACTCTTTCATTAAAGCATGTATTTGCGTATTCCTTGCTTTTGTTTCGTGCTTCCGTTTTCCACCATCACGTCATAACCGCACCCGGCTCTCACAAAAATTTTAGCTTTATCACGCGACCCTTTTTCTTTTCAGGTGTTTTTCTCGTTCCCTCAAAAAAAAGAACTTTTCACTTCCTGCTTTTTTCTCCCCCAAAGTGCGTGTTCCAAAGTGTCTTCAGTGATCCAACCTGCACTTCGGTAATAAGTAATTTTTCTTTTATTGTAGCGTCTCTGTTTGTGTAACTCTCTCATTATTTTTCTAGAGGAAGATTTGCACGCGTTGGCTTTGACCACGCGTGTGTCTTGCTCCTTCACCTTTTTGTTTGTGTAGTTTCTCTTCTCAACGGAGGCGCACCCACGTGCAAATCTGAATAGGATAACTCCTTCTTCTTTTTTTCTTTCTCTTTTTCTCTCTTCTCTCTGTTAAAGTTAAAGTTTGTACCAATTTGGAATTGTGATTATTTATTTGCGTATGTGTGCGTGCCTATTTGTGTGTGTATGTGTTATCCATGTACTTTTAAGTGTTCATGTTCCCCCCCTCTGTTTTTTCTTTTAATTGCTTCTCTTTTTCTTCGACGCCGACGAAAGCTTCACCTTCGGCGTTTATGGCTGACTTTATATAAATATATACATATAAACAGCTAGCGAGTCGTCTCATGTTTCTTCCTTGTCTTCGTTATTTATTATTAGTATTATTATTCCCATTCCCCTCTCCACCTCCTCTCATCTTCTCCTCTCTCGTTATTTTTCTTTTTCTTTTTCTTTTGTGCTTAAGCCCACGAATCCTCAAGGACTGTTTCGTGCGTAGAATGTTTTTATTCTGGTTTCTCCTCCTGTACTTTTAGCGTCCACTGTTCCTCCCTCCCCCTTCTTTTCTTTCAAGTTCTTCATGATCCGGCTGCAGTGCAATTTAGCTCACCGCTCTATCGTTCCGCACAATAGCTGAGAAGTAGTCTTACGAAGGCTAGCTTTTTGTGTTTTCTCTTATTCCTCTCTCTTAAGAAAAAAAGGTGTAACATCGAATGGAGCGCCGTGATGATTTCCATCTAATGCAAAAGGAAAGAAGGACGACTGTCTTGTATATACAGCTTAGAATGGAAGGAAAATCAGAAAATCTAACCTGTGAAAAGGCAGCCAACGCCTCCAAAAACACATTATATATGGATGGACATGCCGAAGACCGTTACGGAACTCAACTTCTTGAAGCATCTCCTTTTTATTTATTCAGTTACAAAGCTACTTTTCTCAACCGGGAATTGACAAAGGTCATCGTCTTTTTAAATATTTATTTTCACATATATATATATATATATATGAATCTCTGTTTCTTCACTCCGGTGCAAGGGAACAACGTTACTCATGTTGTAGGAGTCTTTTTTTCACGTCATTTTAAAGGCCTTTTTTCTCCCTTCTGAATAGGAACTGTAATCAAAAATGCAAGATATATATGTAAAGCAAACCGTATACAGTACCCCGGAGCTATTGGATGTGAAGTGCTCATGGGGAAGCATGTTTATCGGGTTTTTTTTTAGCTGCGTTGGAATGACCGTATTTCGCTCCTCTTCACCTTTAGGAAAAAGACGTTATATGCCTTCTCGTTTTACGCCGTGGCTACGTCTATGCGCGTGTGACGATCCACCGCCATTCGTGCTCAAAGCTCACACATCCACCTCTGCAGCGGTGCGTGGTGCTCCACCTCCGTTCACTCTCTTTCTTTCTTTCGTCTCTTTTTATTATATGTGCACATATATATATCGAACCTTCCTCTCGTGTGGTGTCGAAGGTGCGGATCATGCATCACTCCCAAACAAATACACACACGCTGAACTTGTCGTAACGATTCCCATCCCTCGTCGCCACCACCTCATAAGGGAAGCGCCACCGTCACCGTCATCGTCTGTGTTTTTCTCCCTCGCCTGTTCCTCCTCCTCCTCCTCCTGTTCATCATGGCGGCCCACGGACGCAATCCAGGCGACCTCCTTCCCATGGTCGGGGACATCGTGGAGCGCAGTGCGGACACGGCAGTGAACACAGCGCAGAGCGAGGGCGCTTTCCGTGCCGCGGCGACGTCTCCGGGACAGGAGCCCACGAAGGCGCTGCGTCCCATCCAGGCAGTCGTTGGCCAGGCCTTCCCGACGGTGCGCACGCGTCACTCGTACGGTCGTCAGAGTGCGCCAACGTCGGGCGACAGCCAATCTCGAGCGATACCGGCTGGCGGCACCGACGTGCCCGCGACTTCATCTTCTTCGGCGGCTGTTGTTGCCACGGGCCCTTACACGAGTCTGAGTGCCCACGTACAACCGCAGGGTGGCGCTCACGACGACGACGGCGTCGCGCTGCGTCTGTCGGTACCGGCGGGAGGCATTGCACCGATGCTGCCTGTTGGTGGGTCGGCTCAGCAGCACCTGCCGGCTCATCAGTGGTCCAACGCAGAGTTCGAGCAACTGCGGTTGGGCTACTATGTGGCTTCTTTATCCACCTCATCTCCGTCATCTGGAACTGCCTCCATCCCCACTACCGCTGCGTCTCCTCCTTCGTCTCCTTCTCCGACGGGAGAAGACTTCTTCACGCTGCTCTTTCAGTGTCTGCGAAGCACCGTGCGAAAGCATCAACAACTCGCCCTGGAGACCCTCTTGGCGCACCTGCAAGGACTGATGCTGAAGGATGACAACTCCCTTGGAGACTCCACAGCGGCCACCGGCGCAGCGAAACTGTGCGAAGAAGCCGTCGCGCTGCGTGGACGCTGCCTGCACGGACCCAACTGCGGACCTTTTGTTTTCTTCCTGCTGGAGATTCTCGCCTCGGCAGGCCACCCGGCCATCGTGGAGCTCGCGGCGACGTGCGTGCTGCTGCTGCTGCGCAGCCTCCCTCGCGGGGGTACCTTGAGCGAGTACGCGTCCAGCAGTCTACTGGAGAGGGATGAAAGAGCATCTTTGCTGACGGATGCCATCGGTGAGTTGGGCAACCCGGCTGGCGATGCCCCCGGCGGCGATGACGAAGGGGAGCAGGACGGTGATGAGAAGACTCAGGAAGGTGATATTCACGGCGCTGACGCGACGAGTAGAAAGGAGAAGGCGCGCGCTTTGGACGATGCGGAGCTGCCGTTCAGCGAGGTGTCAGAGCTCCTGCGAGGGCAAGATGCCCGGTACGGCCTGGAGCAACTCGGCTTCACAAGTAAGGTGCTCGCGACGATGCACCTGCTGCTGTACACACCCGCTGGAGGAGACGTGAACAAGACAGACAAGGCCAGCGTGAAGGACGCCAGCGCAGCCATGTCACAGGAGGAGGTGGATGAAAGACAGCGTCACACCGAGGCTTCTTTCGCGGAAGCGCGCCTTCTCCCGCGTCACGGGCAGGTGCTGTTCCTTGAGCTGCTGCTCTGCGGAGGGGTCGGCATTGGACAGCGTGCCGCGTGCCGTCGCGTCGCCGAAGACCCAAACTTTTTGCGCTGGATGGAAGGGCAACTGTCTTCCGTGGTGTTGGGCCACCGGTCCCTGGGTGCGGTGATGGAGCTGCTGTGCGTGCTACAGCACGTCGCCCACGCCCCCGTAGCCCTGCGTAGTTTGATGCGCGGAGGCCCGGGGGGAGACGGCCAGGCAAAAGGCACAACGCCCACGACGGCGACGACCACCACAGCGGCGTACGCGACCCAGCAACGCCAGCATCGGCGTTTCCACGAAACGTGGCTGATCTTCTTTATCTACGTCAGCTCCACCGCGGTGAAGGAAGTGCGCACGATACGGCAAGCCTTCACCATCGTGTGGTCCATGCTGCTATTACGCATGTGTGTTCGCCAGCGCGGTCATAACGCTGCTGCATCGACATCCGCCACTACCACCCCTGCTGCTGCTCCGATGAGTTCCGTTTTTGGGCTTGTGCACGATGTGAGCGACACGCTGCTGGCGGATGGGATGCGGGTCGGTGGGGCGCTTGCGCTGGAGATGTGGTTTTTGCAGTACGTGCATGCAGATGGCTGCGCTGCAGGGACGAAGCAGCCGGGCAGCCTTGACAGCTACTTCCTCGATGCCGCCCGCACGGCCCTCCAGCTGTGTCGAAAAGCTGTTGGAGCAGGGAGTCTGGAAACAGCAGCCACAGCGCACGGTGCATACGGCAGCATCATCGCACTGTCTGAGGCAGATGCTGGTAATGAGGCGGTGACCTCGCAGGAAGCCGCTGCAGCCCAGAGACTCCTGCACGAGCTGCAGTGGCTCTCCAATGCGCACTTCTTCGCCACCTACATCACACACATGCGCCAGCGATCCCCGGCAGCGTGCTACGCCCTCGGTGGCAGCGCCGTGGAGACGCAGGACGCAATGCGGGACGTGGTCCGTCACGTGGTGATGGACCCGACTCGTATGAAGAGTGCCTTTGCCCGCCTCACTTCACCGTTGCTGTCAGCGTCGTTTTCTGTGTGGAAGACGTCGAGCAACGCGGGCCCGACGGAGAGCGCGAAGGAGGCGCCGCCTTCCTCCTCGCCGGCATTTGCCACGGACGACGACGATCAGCACGGCTGGGTGCCGGCGGTGCAGGCCGTGCTGCGTCGATGGATTCCTTCCGCCACTGCCGGCGCGCCACGGAACACCGGCACCACCAGCCCACCGACCCGTTCGCACACATCCAACTTCAACGTAACTCCCTCCCTCAGCCCACGCAGCGTCGCCGTCGTCCGTCTCGCCATGGAGGCGGCTGGAGTGTACGCCAACACCCGTCTGGCGGTCGCCCTCGCAGACGTCTACCCTGCTGTGGCGAGGGACGTCGTGACAGGCTACGCTGCGCTGCTCACCCACGCCTTCGAGGAGGCGTGTCTGCGTCTGCAGGACGGCGCGGTGGTGCGGCTGCAGGTGGAGGAGCTGTGCACCATGGCAGAGGCGGTGCGGCTCCTTCAGCGCGGAGGCGGCCATGACCGCAGCAACGGCACCTCCACGACTGCGGATGCTGCTGAGCCGCCTTCGCCGTACGACCGTGAGGCCCGCATTGGGGCCTTCTTTTTGCTGCACGGCATCGCCATCTCGAAGCACTGCCTCGATGTGGTTCCGCTCATCCTGCCTCTTCTTTTGTTTCCTTGCGCGTCGCACACACCCGCCGTCGTGCCGCGAAGCTCCGTCCCCGACACCGCCCGGGTGCCGGCAGAAATGCCTCTTTTAGCTTCGTTGCAGTCCGGGATTGAGCTGACACCGGTGCCGGTGATGTTGAGCAACAGGAGCGGCAATGACAGCAGCAGTGAGGCCACGATGGCGGTGACGGGCGCCCCGCGAAGCTGGGTGCTGTACCCCCTGTACGACGTCGCCTTCAGGGAAAAGCATCTCTGGGCACACTGGCTGCGCGGTTTGTTGGGGCTGCACCAACGCGTGAAGGACGTAGTGGGCTGGGATGGGGTGCTGAGCCACACGCTGCTGTGGATGCTGACACATCGTCGAGCGCTGTGGGCGGTGGAGTCGGCCGATGAACCGACTGCACTCGCGAAAGCACAAAGCTCGAGAGAAGAGACAGACGAAGGAGACGCGCAGGGAGTGAGCGGTGCGTCTGCCGATGCGTTAAGTGGGCTTCTCTTGGACTTGTGTGCCGTTCTGCACGACCGGTGCGCGCCCGCGGCCGGCGGGACACCTGGTGAAGGCACACCAGCAGCGGCCATGTCAGCGTCTGCGTCACGCACGCTGGAAATCTCGCTGACGGCCTACTGTGATGTTTCGTCGGAGGCAGGCCTTCCGCCGCTGTTGCACGCCGTCCTGGCCTACGTGGCAGCGCACTGCTCCGCGCGGACGGCGTTGGCGGCGCTGCAGGTGCTGCTCGCTACGCCCCTCCTACCCTCGCCTGCAGGAATCAACGGTGGGAGCTGCGAAGAGTTGGCCGATGCGAAATCTTGCGGTTCTTCGTGCTTTCAACACGTGCCGGCGACGGCGGAGGTGTGTGCGTGGCTGCAGTCGTGGTCCGTTCTGCAGGGACAGCAGGCTCAGTCCGCAAAGAGCGCCTACTGGTGCCTGGACGATGCCGTTTCTCTCGTGCAGTTGGTTGGTCCGCACCTCGGTCACGGAGGCTGGGATGCGGACGACGAGCTTCCTGTATCTAATACTCCGACAAGCACAGCCTGTGCCTGGGGCGCCGATGGCCTGTGGTGTGTGCGCTGCCTGACAGAGGGCCTTCTGCGTTACTACCTCCAGCAGCGCATCGCCACAAGCGGCGCTCTCTCTGCGATGGAGAAGACGGTGCTCCGCTCCACCTTGGTGGAGTTAGAGTGGTTCCCTTCTGTGTTGTGGCCCCTGGTGGAGATATGAGGGGCGAGCTACCTCTCTTTTATTGCATTGACGGAGCGCTGTTTCTTTGCTTCGCCTGAAGAGCTTTCGTTGGTGAAAAGGGCGATACGCGGCAACCCGTGCGTGCGTTGTGGCGGTCAAAGGACCGGGTTGAGTTCCTCGAGTGAGCGAAGGAAACCCCGTGGCTGTTGCGATAAACTTAAGAAAAGAAGAGTAATGCCATTCAACTTCACGAGTAACGAACGTAGAGCGAGTCCGCAGCAACCACAGCGTCAACCAGCACACACACACACATCAGAACTTTCAATTCCGATAGGTACGAGCGGAAAACGGAGATTTCAAGAATACGAGCGACATTTTCTGATGAAAGACAACTATCTCACCTTCGGCTGTATTTCGTTTGGACTCTTCTCTTTCGTCGGAGTTCCACTCTTGCGCGCACACACGCACAACTGATATGTCCTGCTTCTGCGTTGTATGCTTTAACACTCACTGGAAGTCTTCGTTGCTGTTGTTCCGCCTGAAACATATAAGCCCCTTTTTCCTTCTGCCCCTCTTCCCCTCCCCCCATCTCCTCTTCTGTTTTAAATAGAAGATGCACTACAAGCAAAGCGTACAGCCATTACACATCCACGACGCCCTCCTTTAACAAGCGAGAAAGGAGGGAGGGAAGACGACAGCAATCAGCAGGCTGCAACCGCGGAAAGCTATGCCCTGTGGGCTTGTCAGCTAGGGGATAAGCTGATCACAACGTCAAGAAGATAGAGAGAGAGACGCACCGGAATACCGATAGATAGAAAGAGAAGAGAAGCGAGCAATACCCACCCCTTAATACATATACATGTACATGCATACTTAGCGGAATTTTGTTTTTAATAAGAACCATGCATTACTCCTTGGATACGCTGTGCGACATCGCCTCGTTCTGGCCCTCTCGCGTAGCGCTGGCGTTTGTGACGTCGCAGCCGCGCTGTCGAATTGCCGCGGAAGTGTACGCCACCGAGGCATCGCGCAACCGTCCGCGGACAACGCAGCGGGGCGCCGGTCGTGCTGCGCAGCGAGCGGGCAATGCAGAAGTGCAAGACGCGTGGACTACGTGGGCGGCGCAGCTTCCATTTGGTGAGTGGTGGGTGTCGCACCTCGCGCAAGCCGCCATGCCATCGGACGAGCTGCCCTTCCGATCAAATCGTTTTATAGAGGCTGCGAACGACTACGCTGTCCCTCTTGCTGCGCGATGGTGCGGGATGGAGCAGCCGACCCGGTTCCCATCACCTCCTCCTCCGTCCAACGCGTTGCATGCCCCTGCGTCTGCGTTGGAGTTCATGTCCGAGCATCATGCTCATTACCGTGCCTATCGAGAGTACCGATCAGCCACCACGACGCAGTTCCAGGCCGGTGTGCGAGACAGGTGGGCGGCTGAGGCGGGTGTCTCGTGGGCCGACTGCCCTTACCCCGGTGAGCGGCTTTGGGGTGTTTCCGTGAAGAGCGGATACGCGGGAGGGGTGCATGTGGGTCACCTCGTGTCCTTCCTTGTTCCCGTGTCGCACTGCTGCTCGGCGGACCTGGCAGACGGTTCTCGTTGGGGTTTTCATGGGGCTCAGCGGTGCGATGCGAGCGAGAAGGTTCCATTGCGCCGTGTTCTGCACTGGGATGTGCGGGCGGACGAGCTCTCAGGCCAGCGAGCGATGTGCCGTACGCATCGCTCGCCAGTCGGGCAGGGAGTTGGCACCGATGAGGTTATTGCTCTAGCGACTGTCTCTTCTGGTACGAATTTAACTTTTGTGCCTTCCCAAAGCTTCTCTCCCCGCGTCGAGCCTGCCCAGCGAGGGCCACTCGATGCACCTACGCAGGTCACAGACGCTGCAGCGGTTGGACCACCGGCTTCCATCCAGAGAAGCAGCTGGAGCTATTCGTATTGGTGGTTCCGCCGTCCTCTGTGCCTGTCGCGTGTGCCCTCGACCGTTGCTCCTTGTGGTGGTGCACCAAACCTAGCGGAAGGCTCCACGCATCCTTGTAGCACCCAAGGCGTCGCGGAGGCGTCCCTGTACGCCTATGGTAGTCATCCAGCTTCCCTGCCGTGTCACCTCGAGGTGGACTGCCGTGAATCGGCGTCATGCAATTCGATTTCTCACGCGCACCTTCCACGCGGTGCCGCTGCAGCTGCCGCCGCCGCTCCGTCGCCATCACCGCAGACGGCACATGAACCCTGCGCAGGATGCGCAGCCGCCTTCGTGACGTCGCTTCACCTCTACGACTGCCCTCCATCGCCCCCACCAACCACCGACTCGGCGCTGTCCCCCTCCTCTCCTCCTCTTCCTCTCTTGTCTACTTCGCCACCACCTGGTGGTAGTGGGGGGGATGATGCCCTGCGGAGTTGGTGGGGTGCCTTAGCGAGCAACGGCTGCAGCTGCTGCGACCGGCTGAGTCGTCTTGAGATCGACTTCGACGGCTATCGGGGCGCTTCAGGGGATGCGTCCGCACCGGGGCGCCACACCGGCAACGCCGGCGATGCAGGACCTCCTTCAGCCGAAGCCTCCACTGATGCTGCGACGTCAAACGTGCAGCGTCCTTTTCACGAGGGTGAGATCGTCGGCATGCCGGCTGCCCACGCGGATCCTTCTCCCTTCCGCGCTGCCGCTTCAACCGGTGCTGCGGTGTCTGCCGCTGTCCCGGTGCGCGCCGTCCACATGGGTTTTCTGACTGACGTGCGTCTTGCGGGGTCCGACTTGAGCGATGTGAATTTTCTCGGTACGCTGCGGCATTTGTGCCTGGCGGACGTCTCCAGGAGCCGGCGTCTGACGGATCGCGGCGTCGTGGGTGTTGCGCGCAGCACCTCCCTGTGCGTCCTCGACCTGAGCTTTTGTACTTTGGTGGACACGGCCGCCGTGCCACTCGCCGCGATGGCGACGCTGGAGGAGTTGTACCTTACAGGGACGGCAGTCACCGATGCCACGCTCCGCGCCATCGCCGGCCCTCCACCTCCGCCGCTCCAGCACCATCGCTCGCAAAGGCTAGAAGCAACCACGGCCTCTGCACCGCCTTCGCGGATGCTGCGCGTGCTGCACGTCGATGCGTGCCGTCATGCACAAGACCCTTTCGACGCTTTTATGGTAGATCACACGTTGCGGTCACCGTCGTTGCAAGGAGGAGGCGACCGGTGGGACGGGCTGGCGGAGTTCATCGCGTCTGCTGCACCGTCATCATCACTGCGGCAACAATCGCGTCCCAGCAGTGGCGAGGAACGCGACGAGGAGGCCGACGATGTTGCGTCAAGCGAGGAAGACGGTACGACGGACGCTTCATTGGAGAGCCTCCAAGAACACGCATCGGCGGCCTCGGAAAGTGATGGAGGTGTTTCTTTGGAAGTCCGTCTTTCCCCTTCACACACGTCGGAGGAAGCACCGCAGCAGACGCACGTCTCCTTTAACCCGTCACGGGTCGCTGCTGTGCCTTCCTCCTCGGGTGCGTGGCAGGCGCTCACAACCATCGAGCTGCACAACACCATCCTACACTGCCTGTTGGGAGACCTCGGCGTACTGTCGAGCCTGCGGCGTCTTTCACTGCTGCGGTGCTCCACGACAAGTACACGAGGCCGTCACCGTCGTCCACCGTATCGCCTTCCGTGGTTAACAGGGCTGGAACGCTGCTCTCTCCTACACACCGTCCTCCTAGAGGACTGTGACGCCGCCTTAACTCACGCGGGAAACATGCATGTCCTCGCGCAGCTGCCGTCTCTGCAGAACCTCTCGCTGCACCGCGCACGTGTACGCGATGCGGATGTGCGGACCCTCGTGCAGGCGCTCTTCCAAAGCCCTGGCGGACAGCGATCTTCGCGGTGCGCTCTGCAACGACTCTCACTTGCGCTCTGTGGCCGCCTTACGCACCACCTCTGCACCGTTGCGACGCTGACGTCGGTGCGCACGCTGGACTTGAGCGACACGGCTGCTGCACAGGACCTCGTCGATCTGCTGGGGACGTGCGCCACGCATCACTCGTTGCAGGTGCTGCAGCTGGCGGCGTGTGCGTCGATCACGAGCGTAAATCCACTGGCCGCCATGAAGGAACTTCTGCGGCTGGATGTGAGCCACACGCCCGTGACGACGGCGGGCGTGGCGGAGCTGCGGCGCTGTCGTGCTCTGACGCATCTGAATCTGAAGGGATGCGCTGGTGTGGCACACATGCGGGACGTGCTGGCGATTCCAACCCTGCAAGTACTCAACGCGCAAGGGACAGGGCTGCATGAGGAGCTGCTGACCACGGAGGATGAGGAGAGCACCGACAGCGCAGAGGGGCAGGGAAGTTCGAACCTTGCCGTGCGCGACGAGGAAGGCCGCCAGACGACCTATCGCGACCTTTTCCCCCCAGAGGACGACCTGCTTCGCCGCTCTGCGCTGCATACCCTTCTGCTGTCCCACACACGGGTCCGACGCATCCGCCGTCTCGGCCTGCTGCCGTGGTTGATGTGCCTCGACATCGGCGCCACGTGCGTGACGGACGCAGAGCTGGTGAAGTTCGTCTGCACCGGCATCCGCCAAAGTCAACCAACACCGCCGCGTGGCACGGCAGATAAGGCGAAAACGCGTGCGGAGGATGTGACGTCGCGGTGGAGCAGTGCTGGGTCCGCCGTGGTGCACCGCCTGCGCGATCTTTGTCGTGTGGGCGAGTCGTTGTCTTCTCCGTACCTCCTCCCCAATCATGGCGGCCCCCCTCTGCGCGTCCTCTCGTTGCAGCTGTGCCGTTTTATCTTCACCGTTGGCGTGCTGGGCCTCTGCCCTCGTCTGACGAAGCTGGATCTCTCGTCGAGCAACGTCACCAGTCGTGGGTTGGTGGGTCTGCACCGCAGCCGGAGTCTCGTGCAGCTGCGCCTTGTCGGCTGCAAGGGCATTCACGACGTGCGCCTTCTCGCGTGCATCGCGAGTCTGCGCGAGGTCGACGGCAGTGGGTGCAACGTGCACGGGGATCGTTTGATGGGCCACTCGTGCAACAGCGCAGGAGCTGCCGATACGGGCGAGGCAGGCGCGACGGCAACGCCATCGAGCCATCTTGTGCCGTTGCACTCCGATCTCTTTTCCACCGTACACCGACAGAGCGTGGAGACGTCGGGCTTGCAGCGCCTGGTGGAGGGAGAGGAAGGCCACGCCGCCGCGGCGTTGTCGACCCCGGCCGGTTCCCTCCTCCTTTCCCCGACCCCCGCGTTGTCTCTTCGACGCGTCTACGCACCGCAGCTGCGCCGCCTCGTCTTGGACGGCTGCGCGAACCTCCACGGCGGTCTCGCCGCATTGGGCGGTCTGCCAGCCCTGGCCGATCTGTCGCTGCGCAACTGTCACGGCATCACCGCCGCGAGCGTGGCGGAACTCGGCGAGCGTAGAACACAAGAAGGGGACGACGACGACGAAGAGGCGGGGGAAGGCCTCAACGGCTCACGAACGAAGGGCGAGCTCCGTTTTCCGGCGTTGCAGTCCATCCGCTTCTCCTCCTGTCGCCTCCTGACAGGCTCGCTGAAGGAGTTGGAGGCGTTGCCTCAGTTGCAGCACGTGTACGCTGACCAGTGTGGCATTTCGAGCCTCGATGACGTGGCGCCGTCGCTGCGCCGTCGTGTGACTCTTTGATGTCTCGAGAGGACAGAGTGCGGTGTGGACGGGCAACGCTGCCTGGCTCTAAGAACAACAGAATCATTTCTTTCCTGTAAGGTATCCACAGAGAATATGCTTTTTTCATTTTCCACGTCTTTTTGCAGTTGACATCGCCGCCGTGGCGCACGTCTAGGAATCGATGTCCTCTTTCTCTGTAGTCTGATCCGAGCCGACAGGAAGTGATTCTATCTAAATGGCGAAGTAAGAAAGAAAGAAGAAGCGCCCAAGCGCGCACGCACGGCGCTATTTTTCTCTCTCTGGTTTTGCAGAACCTTCTTCACTTTTGTTGTTGTTGAAGAGACGAATCCTTTATTACCGCCATACGAAACATCAACCAATGTGTGTGTTGCCGGTACAGCAAGTAAGAGGCTGTGTTGTTCTTTTCCCCTCAAAGAAAAAGTATCCTACACAGCAGTTCTTAAATAAAAAACCCCTCTTGCAGCGCTCCGCACTGCTTCTGGGATAGCGCTTCTTTAACGGAGAGTAAAAGAGGAGTTGCACCTATCCTTTTACTTGTTTTGTTTTGCGTCTCTTTGCCATCTACTTCCTTTCCCTGCTCTTCCGCCTTCCTTTCTTTTTCGTTTTTGCTGTACATATCGCACGCCATGTTTTTTCTGAAAGCCTGCGACAGGAAAATTGGAAAGGAGCTGATACTTTCTCGTTGTTATATTTTCTACTTCTCCTCTCTTTCTCCTCCTCTTAGTCGGTTTCTGCTATCGGGATCCGTTTCTTTTTCCCACCATCCCACCCCTTTTTCCTCCCCGCGAGTTGAAAAAGCCTCAAGATGAAAGGAAGGCAAACCTCCCATTCGTAAGTGAAGAGTTGTAAGTTTCTATTGATCTTTGATATATGCTGAGAAAACCTACTGAACATGGAATGAATAAATAAAAACCTTTAAATGGACGCTGAGATACAAATCCAGCGACACGATCCGCCTAATTAAGGATCTCCTTAACTGTCTCTCTCTTTTTCTTCCCTTCTCCCATCTTGCGCTACATAGTAGAACCGACTAAGAATTTTCTCTCTTTTCCTTTCCTCTCTTCATCGCACCGTGCAATCGAAACGGTGCTGACCTCCTTCCCCGCAAACTACAACGGACGTTCGTCAACCCCCCTAGAAGACCTCAAGCAGCCCAGTCTAACAGCTCTCTTTCCAAAGCCTGTATTTTCTTTCTTTGTTTTTTTTTATCTTTTTCTGTATTTGCGCAAGCAACATTCTTTTAATTTCCTCTTTCTTTTTTTTCCAACTAGATTTAAGCACCAACTCGTGATCATCAGACACAAAAACACCCTAACATTTATATAAAGTAAAACAAACTTCCTTTTCTGGTTTTCTTAAAAATAATAGTGACACCGTTATTTGTTCCGTAGAGGTTAAACAAACAAAAAAACGTGAATTAAAGTAACACTCCCCTTTTTTTGTTTTCCGTGTCTTCGACGTCGTTGTGCGGAGGCAACAAAACAACATCAGAAACGTGAACCCAGCAAAAATAAACAGATCTTCTATTTTCACTTTTATCTTTATCTTTCTGACCCGCTCGTGTGCATACGCACAAGAAATCAAGGTTTCTGCCTTTAAAACACCTCGCTTCGGGTTCCCTCCCCCCCCCACACCCTCTCAACCTATTTTCCAATTTTACTGCTTCCTACGCCGTCACGTTTCTGATACTGCCCTCGACCAGATGGTGTCCTTCCACGCGCCCCTCCCCATACTTGTTGTGTGCGCAACGCTGCTTCTTTTCCACGCAGTCCAGTGGCCAGGAGTGCACGCGGCGGACAATCCACTATTCACCGACGAACAGCAGACGAACACGCTGAAGTTCCTGCAGGGGCTCGCGGGCGCCTCCGCTGAGCTGCAGGGCGCGTGGACCGGGACGTCGTACTGCTCGTGGACCGGCGTTACGTGCAGCGGTGCGACGGCGACGGTGGACTTTGACAACGTTGCGCTGACATCGCCGATGACGCTGCCGGAGCTGAGCACGGACGTGGACGGGCGATGGTTGCCGTGACGACGCTGAGGATCTACAACAAGGACTCGGTGGTTTCGGGCGCGCTGCCGCCGAGCTGGGGCGGACTGACGCAGCTGCAGAATGTGGACCTGCACGGCAACGCGCTGACGGGCAGCCTGCCCGCGGCGTGGAGCGGGATGACGGCCCTGAAGGAGGTGTACCTGGACAGCAACCAGCTCAGCGGGCCGCTGCCTGCTGCGTGGAGCGACATGCCGGCGCTGGAGACCCTGATGGCCGCGTACAACAAGCTGAGCGGCGCGCTGCCACCGGAGTGGGGAGCTATGAAGAAGCTGCAACTGATGGACCTGAGCGACAACGCCCTGTCCGGCACGCTGCCCGATGCGTGGAGCGCGATGAGTGCCCTTGTGACGCTGACGGTGAGCGCGAATGACCTGAGCGGCCCGCTGCCCGCGTCGTGGGCGACGATGCCGGCGCTGCAGTACGCGATGGTGTTCGGCAACGCGTTCTGCGGCTGCGTGCCTGCGGAGTGGACGAAGAAGGCGCAGCTGCAGGTGATGGCGGACGCGTCCATGACTGCCAGCGACTGCGCGACGGCCAACGCGTGTGAGACGAATCCCCCCACACCAACGCCCACCGCGACACCGGAAGTGCGCCGCTCATCGGGTCCCAATCTCACTCCGTTGTGGTGTGTATTGGGCGTGGTGTGCGGTCTGCTGATATTCGGCGGCGTCGTGCTCGCCATCGTGATGTACCGTCGCCGGCTGTGCAAGCTGTCTGCTGAGAAGAAGGGCGTGGAGGAGGACACGCGCGAGCCCTTCTCTTCCAAAGCAGACTCGACGGTGTAGAGAGACGCGTTTTTTCTTATTCTGTCTGTATGGAATGGGACGGAGTTGTTTGCCGTGGGTTCGTGACGGACAACTGCATGCTTGGGCGGAGATGTAAAGCGCGTGGTGTCTTTTTGTGTTCTCTCTTGCGTTGTGTTCTCTGGCGAACAGTGATTTTTGTTTGGCTAATGTCGCTTCATACCCGGCTCGATCCGATCACCGCAGTCGGCACCTGACTGGTTTCACGGAACGCAGAAAAGCCAGCACGCGCGTGTTCGACGCTACCCCCCTCCCTCCCTCCCTCCACACACACACACACTTGTTGTTGTTCTCCCCCGACGCAGCTGACTTGTCGGCACGCTTCTTAGTTTCCGTTTTACGAAGGATTGTGATCAACCCTCTTCTTTTTCTTCTCGTAGCTATTTCAAAAAGCTGAAGCAGGGGAATATGGCAGCGGGCGGCCGAACCAGCGGTCTATGCTTTCTATCGTTCCACCTTCTACACAATGTGCTCTGTTTTGCTCCTCCCACTGCAATGCTGAGCGAACAACGCAACGTAGAAGCGTTCATCGGCTTCCTGTCAAATAACGTCTCTCCTCTCTCTTCTGTATCGGTGAATGCAAAAATCCTCTTTCCTCTTGTCTTTTCTTTTAGGAGCGTACTTATTCGCTCGCCTTTGTTTTTTTTTTTTCGTATTGAAACCCTTACGGCGCAGTTTCTGCGCAACTCAACGATAAGAGAAAAAGCGTTGAACTTGACTCCCCTTTGCTTTCTGTGCGTGAGGGCGTGAAGCTCTTCTTCGCCATCGTTACACACGTGTATGCATTCGTTCTACTTCTCTGTTTATTTTGTACAGCTGAAGGGACTCTTTTCTTTTTAATCTGTCTGGCTTCCCGATGGATCTCTTTGAGAGCTATAGACTGCTCGATGAGAAGTGTGTGTGTGTGTGTGTATGTGTGTGTGCCAGTCGTCTGATGCTCCCGCGGCGCAGCATATCTCTCCCTTACGCCCTATATACCCTCTGCAAGACCTTTTGTTTTTTTTTCATGTCTCTACGCCGAACTGTCTTTCTGCGCGAGCGCATCATCTGCGAGAGTCGACGTCTTCGTTTTTGTTTTTTCCCTCTCTGCGCCTCTGCGACGAGGCGAGGCTCGCCTCTTTACCGTCGCTCTCTCTCTTCCTTGTTTCTTTGGTCCGAAGCTCGCCTGAGCGGTGTTGGCTGAGAGAGAGAATGAGAGAGAGGCAGAACTGACCGGGTTTGGGTTTACCGCTACGGCTGTGCTGCACCGCCGCAACCGTGCCTTCTTTTTGTTCTATTTGTAACGCTGCCAAAACGCAAGCTAGAAATGGAAGAAAAGGGCAACTGAAATGTGTGTTTCTGTCGGCTTCGCTGTGCAAACCGATAAGGGGAAAAGGTCTCGCCCGCACCCACCCGCTGAAGCACACAAAACGGTCGACGGAGCTTCTTGTCTGACGGGCTTCATTGGCGAAGTCCAAAGAAAGAAAAAAAGAATTATTTTCACCTGGAAAAATATAAAAAGGCGGGACAGCAACATCAACGTAATGAACAACGCAGATGTCAATAATCACCTTCTCCCCACCCCTCACTGACGATGGTGCACGTTTCCGTTTCTCCTCAGCACCACTGCTTCCATTTGGAGAAGAATGAAGGAAAGGGAGTCTCAGCGAACGTGACGAGGGGAAACCTACCAAAGATGATGCATTTGCCGTTTATCCTTGCTGTTTCTCGTTTCTTTTTGTAAATGCATTACGTCGTCCGTTCAGTTTTCTTACTTTTCACTCTAAAAAAATTCTCCCTTTCTAACGCTGGGTTGTCAAAGTATATATGTATGCATTTGCGCGTACGGAGTTGATGTGAGGCGATAAAGCTTTTTGATGTTTAGATACGACTCAAATGGGAAAGGACAGAAGGAGAGTGGACGTGGTGTGCGTGTGGTGGCCGGCTGCCCAACGTTACACTGTCGAATTACACCTGTTATTTGTTTATTTATTTATTTTACCGAGCAGCCTCGCCGGACGAACCGACAGGGTAAAGTTTAAGTTTATCGCTTTTTGTCTCATATGATGCGGCTTACAGCGACTCATAACCGCACGAAGCACAAAAAGCAAGCCTGATTCATCGCTCGATTCCGTACGTTCGATTTATTATCATAATACATATATTTAAATCTGACCTCTTTTTCCTTCTGTCTGTTGGCTCTCCTAGTACAGTAAATAATAATGATAAAAGAAAACGCATTATTTTGAACAACTGATTCTCTTTCTTCTTCTTCTTTTATTTTGCCACAGTCAGATGCTCCACCACTTGTGTTGTTTTCTCTCTCTCTTGCTTTTGTTTGACAACGCAGTACTTCTCCCTTTTCGTGTTTAACGACCATTTCCAACTTTTTTCCCCCTCTTCTTTCTGAACTCGTCTGCTTCAGCGGAATACTGAAGTAGCACTATTACACACGAGCAGGATGCCCCTGTTTCCCGTAAACGTGACCTGGTTCTCTCTTCTTCTTTCTTCTCTTTTAGAAGTCCTTGAGTGAACGGAAAAAATGATAATCAGCAAAAAAGGATGTGAATGGCACGGACAGAAGTGACCACCACCGATTAAGTTCTTCATCGAAGCCGTGACAAACTATCTCTTTTCCTTTTCGCCAATCTCTCAACGGCGGAGTCTGCAGCAAATATGCCGCCGTGAGAGTTAAGGCGGACTCTCTCGTGACGCAGCAGGGGCGTTGTTCATTTCTCCCTTTCCGCTTTCCTGCTGTCAGGTCATCATGATCACAATGCGATTCGTTGTTGCAGTGCATTATCCCTCTTCTCTGACGACGCTCCGCTGGAAAAGTGCGATAAGCCCTCTACGCGGCTTTCTGATGCAGAAGGCAGCCGTGCCCGTCTCCGTGTGTCATCCGACCGCACTGCTGCCTTTTCATTCTCTCCCTTCTTCTCTTTTCAATCCTTTTTCTCTCTGCACGAAACTTTCTGAATCCAAAAACAGACGAGCAAACTATTCTGCCCCATGACCTACTGGCGCTGCTGCTGTACTCAAACGGAAGGGGAAAGGACTCAAATCAGACCAGGTTCATCTCTGTTGAAGCGACCGACATCGTCTGACGCGGTTTCGCGTCAGCGGTTTCTTTTACAATCGGAAACAACCAAACAAGGCGAACTTCCCGCTAAACTCTATTCGCTCCACAAATCCATTAAAAGTGGGAGCCAAACCGCTCCTCACAGGTATCAGCACCGTTTTCTGTCGCTTCGCATCACAACCAAGCTTTTTTTCTTCTTGTTCTTTCAGCTTATCGAAGGTGCACAGACGCCTCTTTTCTCATCCTTTTACCAGCGCCACACTTTTAGCTGCTGTCCATGCTGTGCATCTCTTATTGGAAACAAGAACGTTTCTGCTGTGTTACGCAGACGTTGGTCACGTGTGTTGTTCTTCAACGTAGCGCCAATGTCCTGGCTTTCTGTTAGTCTGCGTTGCGCGGCATGATGGTGATGGGACGGCGGCTCTGTCCTGTTTGATGCGCGGGCGGACGCCTCCCCAATGAACGCCAACTCTGACCGCCGCGGAATACACTCGCGAAGCTGCAGGCAAACACGCGGAGGTTTCTGCGGAGCTCTACCATGTCGTATCCCCAACCACCGGAGGGGGTCTCTGCGTGTGAAGCACCGATAACTTGTGCACCTGAACCTCCTCTGCAGTGCAGCTCTTCCTCGATGGTAGTGGCGACGGTGGTGCGGCGCGACTTCCACATGAACCGCTCCGCTGTGATCTTCACCGGGTATGTACATGGGTGGAAGAGGCCAACTGCTGTCGGGTGCGCTGCTTCCTGTGTGGCGAGGGATGCCGACGCTTTGACGGGCCTCGAGTTGGGCGGCAGCTGCCCTCAAGGCTGCTGCTCCGCTAGAGAGGAGAGTGTGCTCCCACCGTCTGAGGAGGTGAAACGACGGAATCGTGACGCTGGTCTGCGGCTGTGTGCTTCAAATGACTCGGTAGACGATGATGGCATCGTTTTGGCTGAATAACCCCTCCCCCCCCCCCCACCCACACATACAGAGAGAGACATGTACAGACCCTCGTGCCATTCTTCCTTTGGGCTATTCTTGTTTTCTTTTGTGGTTTGCGTCCCTCCAATGCGGTGTTGTGCCCATTCACGAGCAGGCGCTTTTACGCGTATTTTTATATTTAGAATACACCGACTTCTACAGTAGCAAAAGAAAGAGAGAGAGAGAGACGGAGTCATCTTCAACAGGTGAATAACAAGAACCGTATAAATGCCCGTATAAATTGCGTATATCAGGATATATATATGATTATTTTCCCGGCTTCCCAGGCTGATCGGCATACTCTTCCATTAGAAATGCCGAATAGCACCGACGCAGAAGAATCGGATCCCACCTTCTATTCTCCCGCGAGTGGAGGTGACGCACACCCGATCACTGTTCTTGTTGCTTCTTTTCAGCCTCAACACAAACCCATTATTTCTGCCGTGCTTTATCTCGCATCGTTGTTTCCTCATTCTCACCTGCCCTCTCTTCGCTACCGTGCTAAACGCGTCGTGCCTGTACCTATTCATGACCGTGACTTTAAACACTTATAGACTCCGTTAATAACGCTTTATCGCACTTAAACTTATATAAATATACTTTTACCGTCTCTTTGGTTCATCGGCAATTTCGAGAGCACTTATCACACTTCTGAACTTCATTGTTTTATTAATAGTGCTTATCGTAATCACGCCGTTAACGCAATCACAGTTTTAAAGAACGCACCCGACTGATATTTCTCTCATCATTCTTCACAAGAACAGTTTTTTTTCTTTGAAGAGAACTCGGTATTCTGGCGCACCGTACGAGCACACGCCTGACGTGTCAGCGCTGACCCCTCGCTTCTGTCCAACGCTTTGCAGCTGCCCCGCCGCTGCTCGCTCTCCCGCCTCTCCGCCCCTCCTCACCTCTCTGACTGCGACACATGGCGTGGCTCCGCTACCTGCTGCGCGGCATGGTGGTGGCCGCTGCGCTGCTGGCGCTGTGCGTGGTGGGCGCCTCCCTCGTGAATGCGTCTCCTATCGACAGCCTTTCTGCTGCGGAGCGTGAGAACACGCTGAAGTTCCTGCAGGGCTTTGTGACGTTGAACCCGTCTCTAGCGAGCAACTGGACGGGTACGGACTTCTGCAGCTGGTGGTACGTGAGCTGCAGCGGTTTTCGGTACGCCATCGATTTCAGGGAGAACCGCTCACCGCTGTTCAGCGGGTCACTGGTGCTGCCTGAGCTGGCTGATGACGTGAACGGCTCCCTCGTGATGCTCTATGATATTCGCGCGATCGAGATGGGTGAGAAGGTCACTGGCACGCTGCCTGCGAGCTGGGGCCGTTTGACGGTGTTGCAGAAGCTGTTCCTTCAGAACAACGCACTGTCGGGGACGTTGCCTGCTGAGTGGAGCGGGATGACTTCGTTGTTCCTTCTTCGGCTGGACAACAACCGCCTTCACGGCACTCTGCCACCAAAGTGGAGCCTGTTACGTGCGCTGTACAGGCTCCTGCTGTCGCACAACACGCTTTCCGGCACGCTACCAGACGAGTGGGGTCGCATGGCGTCCTTAAGCGAGCTGTACCTCAACGGGAACGCATTATCCGGCACACTACCCGCCGTGTGGAAGGCAACACCGAACTTGGCGCGCCTGTCCCTCTCCAACAACCAACTTCGAGGCCCAATACCCCCGCAGTGGGCATCCTTCAGAGCCCTGTTCGAGGTCGACCTCAGCAGCAACGCCTTATGTGGATGCGCTCCGCCTGAATGGAAACATATTTGGGGCTTCGCTGCCACTGTCGACCCCGCAGTGTCGGCGTCGGACTGCGCCACTGCGAACGCGTGCGGTGATGACAGCGCGACTTCCCCAGCACCCACCACCAGCGCCACTGTGTCTCCCACAACCACCACCATCACGACCACGACGAACGCACCTGCTCTACCGCAGAATTCTCGGATGAAGCTTGTTCCTTTGTGGTGTGTGCTGAGTGCGGTCGGCGGTGCTCTCGCGGGAGTCGCTGCGGGCCTCGGCGTGTACTTCTACCGCCGGCGTCAGCGCAAGGAGGCGGAGGAGAAGCGGTCCCGTGCGTCTGAGGAGAAGGCGGAGGAGCCGTTTGCGCATACGCCTGACACGCCGTATTGAAGATCGCTGGCGCGGCGGTACCGTCGCTGCTGCTGTCCCGTCTGCGCACGTTGTGGCTCTGGTGCACGTGGCCGCGCTCCGTCCCTTTTCCGTCCACGCCGCCCTCTCCTCCCTCCCCCTCCGCTCCCCCTGTGGACGCTGGCGAGCTACCGGGCGGCGGAGCCGGCGAACACCAGTGACACGGCCCTGAGTTCTCTGATGGTGCGCAGCGGAGCTCGTCCCTCTCCTTCGCTGTTTTGCACGGCCGTTGTCCGCGAGCTTCATACTTTTTCTCTTCGTTTGTCATCGCGCTGCGGCCTTTTTTCTTTCTTTCCATTCAACCCAAAGGGAGTAACTCTCTTTGTTTTTTAGTGTTATCTGCGCTGGCGGGTGTGTGGCTGACGTGGGCACCTGCGGATGCGCGTCCGTGGGCGGTGCCTGCGTGTGCGCGTGTGGTGTGTGCGAGGGCCGGCGCCGCACGAGGAGCAGAGAGCGCCAGAGTTCACTCTCCTCGCTGCGGTGTCCGTTTCCTGATTCGCGCTTTTCTCGTCTGCGAGGCGCACGCGCACTGCTCGCACCTCGGCCGATGTTTCCTTTCCTGTCTTTCCGTCTCACTTCCCTCCGCACCGCGTGCCGCCTCACCTGCCCTTGTGCTGTTTGTGATTGTCCCGTTCCCGCGACTCTGCTGCCTGTGTGGTGAAGCACTGCGGAGCGCGTCCTTGCGTAGAACGGCGAGGAGCATGTGAGGTGAGCTGCGGCGCAGCATGCATGGAGCCAATGTGCACTCACTTCGTGCGTCCGCCTCCGTTCTCTTTGTTGTGCCTCACTGCCGCGAGCCGCACCCCTCTCCCTGACCACGTCAGCGGTGTTAGGCGTGCTGCTCTTTGTGCAGATGATGTATCTCAGCGTCTGCGGTGCGAGCGCTGCAGAGGTGCGGTGCCGTAAGCCTGACGTCCATGGCGTCCCAGCGTAGGATGCGCGGTGTGCGTTGGAAGTGTTAGGTGAGATTATGTCTTTCCCCTTTCTTCTTTCCCTGCATTGTGCGTGTGGATCACAGTGAGGTGCTGCGGGGCTCTCGAGCAACCAAAGCCATTCATTAAGATGGATGCGGAGCACATTGCGTCGGTGCTGGTGCGCAGCGACATTTCTTCATGTCGAACAGACTGTGCTTTAGTGTCGTGATGGTTCAACTTAGCGTTGTGCAAAAGACCAAAACGGCTCATGTGTGAGGTCTAGTAAAGGAGTTATGTATGTGGTACTGCCGTTGCGCTCGGCCGTTCTTCCAGTCCAGTCCAGTCTCTCCCTGTAGGCTGACGGCCACGGTAGCATGTATTAACAAGTGCACCCCACCGCTTGTAAAGACATCTAACTCCCGTTTCTTTTTCCTACCACCTAGTGTATAGGCATCGTGGAACTTACGCGTAGAGTACCATGTTGGAGGTAAAGACCACAGCGGGCGGGACCTTGTGTGCCGCCGTGCACGTGAGCCCGCACGCCTCTCTCCGCCCGTCCCACTCGTTGGGGCGCCGCTGGAGGTTGGCTGCACTGCGGCGGTGCTCGGTGCGCGGCCTGCGCCAGTGCGGCAACGTGGAGTGCAATGAAAGCGCCGCGGTGATGGTGTGAAGGTGCGAGAGGCGCCGGAGCTGATGAGTGCGACGTTGGCTGGACGAATGGTGCGATGCGCCCCCCCCCTCTCCCTCTGTGTTCCATCTTCTCGCGTGTCTCTGGCTGCGTCGCACGGTGGCACCGGTTTGGCTGCGTCTGCGGCGACCGGCTGCTGGTCTCCTGTGTATACGTGTGTGAGTGTGTGCGTGCTTGTGGTGCGTCCCGGCGGCCCGCTGCGCGCACAGCCGCCCCTTCCCTCCGGCTGCTTCGATCACTGCTCCCCCTCCTTCTCTCTCCCCTCCACTTTCTTCCTGTACTGCGCCACAGTAACGACGACCCACGCAACGATAGCTCTCTCTCTCGCCACAGCCCTTCTGGAAGCTATTTATTTCTCTCCCGCCTCTTCCCCCGTTGAGCAGGCCTGCTTTCCCACTGCACCCGATTTTCTGGCGCACCGTACGAGCACACGCCTGACGTGCCAGCGCTGACCCCTCGCTTCTGTCCAACGCTTTTCAGCTGCCCCGCCACTGCTCGCTCTCCGGCCTCTCCGCCCCTCCTCACCTCTCTGACTGCGACACATGGCGTGGCTCCGCTACCTGCTGCGCGGCATGGTGGTGGCCGCTGCGCTGCTGGTGCTGTGCGTGGTGGGCGCCTCCCTCGTGAGCGCTGCCCCCGCTTTGGCGAACGCAGCCCCGCTTTCGGCCGAAGAGCAGAACACGCTGAAGTTCCTGCAGGGCTTTGCATTGTCCAACCCGTCTCTTGTGAGCGCGTGGACGGGCACGGACTTCTGCAAGTGGCCGTACGTGATTTGCGCCGATTCTGGGCACGCCCTCGACTTCGGGGACCAGAACTCGCCGCTGTTCAGCGGATCGCTGGTGCTGCCCGAGTTGCCCGAGGGTGTTGACGGCTCCCTGGTGATGTTCGTCAAGATCTCCATAAAGGGGATGGGCGGGAAGGTCACTGGCACGCTGCCCTCGAGCTGGGGTGGCCTGACGCGACTGACGGCACTGTTTCTGAATGGCAACGCGCTGAAGGGCCCTGTGCCTGCTACGTGGAGCGGGCTGAAATCGCTGCTGTACTTGTGGCTGCAAGACAATCGCCTGGACTGCCCTCTCCCTGACACGTTGGGTTCACTTACGGGGCTCAACGCTCTCTACCTGTCGAACAACGCGCTTTCGGGCTCGCTGCCTGCTTCGTGGAGCGGCATGAAGAGTCTTTCGACACTGAAGCTGGACACCAATGGCATTGAGGGCAGCTTGCCTGCCGAATGGAGAAACATGAAGAAGATCGGTAATATTCAACTTGGGAGCAACAAGCTGTCGGGCTCGCTGCCTGCTGCCTGGAGCGGGATGTCTCTTCTCAGTGAGCTGGATCTATCAGACAACCAGTTTGCCGGTTCAATCCCCGCGGAGTGGGGTCGCATGCGCAGTCTATCCTCTGTGCTGCTTGGTGACAACAACCTGTGCGGCTGCCTACCAACCGAGTGGGTGGAGGGCTACCTAGATGTCGACGCGGATCCTCCGATGCTCGCGTCGGACTGTAAAATCCAAAACCAGTGCAAAGTTACCACGACCACCACGACAACCACCACGACGACCACCACTACGACCACTACCGCCCCTCCCACCACCAGCACCACCGTGCCTCCCACAACCACCCCCATGCCCCCCACGACGAGCACGACAAGCGCGCCTCCCCTGCCGCAGAAGTCTGGGCGGAAGCTGGTCCCTCTGTGGTGTGTGCTGGGAGCGGTGGGCGGTGCTCTCGCGGGAGTCGCTGCGGGCCTCGGCGTGTACTTCTACCGCCGGCGTCAGCGCAAGGAGGCGGAGGAGAAGCGGTCCCGTGCGTCTGAGGAGAAGGCGGAGGAGCCGTTTGCGCATACGCCTGACACGCCGTATTGAAGATCGCTGGCGCGGCGGTACCGTCGCTGCTGCTGTCCCGTCTGCGCACGTTGTGGCTCTGGTGCACGTGGCCGCGCTCCGTCCCTTTTCCGTCCACGCCGCCCTCTCCTCCCTCCCCCTCCGCTCCCCCTGTGGACGCTGGCGAGCTACCGGGCGGCGGAGCCGGCGAACACCAGTGGCACGGCCCTGAGTTCTCTGATGGTGCGCAGCGGAACTCGTCCCTCTCCTTCGCTGTTTTGCACGGCCGTTGCCCGTGAGCTCCCACCTCTCTGTAGCGTTTCGTTCGCACCACGGATCGATTTTCTCTCTTTCCGTTCAACCAAAAAGAGTAACTTTCTTTTTATAATTTTAGTTTCATCTGCGCTGGCGGGTGTGTGGCTGACGTGGGCACCTGCGGATGCGCGTCCGTGGGCGGTGCCTGCGTGTGCGCGTGTGGTGTGTGCGAGGGCCGGCGCCGCACGAGGAGCAGAGAGCGCCAGAGTTCACTCTCCTCGCTGCGGTGTCCGTTTCCTGATTCGCGCTTTTCTCGTCTGCGAGGCGCACGCGCACTGCTCGCACCTCGGCCGATGTTTCCTTTCCTGTCTTTCCGTCTCACTTCCCTCCGCACCGCGTGCCGCCTCACCTGCCCTTGTGCTGTTTGTGATTGTCCCGTTCCCGCGACTCTGCTGCCTGTGTGGTGAAGCACTGCGGAGCGCGTCCTTGCGTAGAACGGCGAGGAGCATGTGAGGTGAGCTGCGGCGCAGCATGCATGGAGCCAATGTGCACTCACTTCGTGCGTCCGCCTCCGTTCTCTTTGTTGTGCCTCACTGCCGCGAGCCGCACCCCTCTCCCTGACCACGTCAGCGGTGTTAGGCGTGCTGCTCTTTGTGCAGATGATGTATCTCAGCGTCTGCGGTGCGAGCGCTGCAGAGGTGCGGTGCCGTAAGCCTGACGTCCATGGCGTCCCAGCGTAGGATGCGCGGTGTGCGTTGGAAGTGTTAGGTGAGATTATGTCTTTCCCCTTTCTTCTTTCCCTGCATTGTGCGTGTGGATCACAGTGAGGTGCTGCGGGGCTCTCGAGCAACCAAAGCCATTCATTGCGATCGATGCGGAGCACATTGCGTAGATGCTCACTTGCGGCGACCATTGTTTGTGTCCAAAACGTTTTCCCTTTTCTTTTGGTTTCTTGTTTCGCACACATGCTTTTCCCCACTTTAAGAGCTTATCTTTTGATTCTTTCGAGGCTTCCACGTGTCTTCTCTCTGTGAATTCAATTGCCTCAATTCTACCTCTTCTAAACGGCTGGAGTGCGGAAGCGGTTGCTTCCCCAACTCATCTTCGCCGTGTGCAAGCAACGTTTGTCTGCCTCCGAAACGAAGAATGAATGCGTAGTGGAGCACCGGTGAGTGATAGTGCTGCTGCGGTACATGCCGCGGCGGACTGGACCTTGTGTGCCGCCGTGCACGTGAGCACGCACGGCTCTCTCCGCCCGTCCCACTCGTTGGGGCGCCGCCGGTGGTTGGCTGCACTGCGGCGGTGCTCGGTGCGCGGCCTGCGCCGCTGCGACAACGTCAAGTGCGATAAATGTGCCGCGGTGATGGTGTGAAGGTGCGAGAGGCGCCGGAGCTGATGAGTGCGGCGCCTGCTGGGCAAATGGTGCGATGCGCCCCCCCCTCTCCCTCTGTGTTCTATCTTCTCGCGTGTCTCTGGCTGCGTCGCACGGTGGCACCGATTTGGCTGCGTGGGCGACGACCGGCTGCTGGTGTGCGCGGAGCTGCTGGCCTCCTGTCTGTGTGTATGGGTGCGTGCTTGTGGTGCGTACTGGCGGCCCGCTGCGCGCACAGCCGCCCCTTCCCTCCGGCTGCTTCGATCACTGCTCCCCCTCCTTCTCTCTCCCCTCCACTTTCTTCCTGTACTGCGCCACAGTAACGACGACCCACGCAACGATAGCTCTCTCTCTCGCCACAGCCCTTCTGGAAGCTATTTATTTGTCTCCCGTCTCTTCCCTCTGTGGGCAGACGTTCAAGCCCGCTGAAGCCGGCCACGTCACCGTGTTGTCGGCGTCGAGTACCCGCTATGCGGTGGAGCCAAGCGCCTGCGACCCACCGAGTTGGGTTGCGGGCTTGGTTGTGCGGCGGACTGTCTCGGGCTGGCCACGGGCTGGAGGGACTTCCAGTAACGTATCCGGATGCGCCAGCCGACCCACCGTCGTGTCTGCGGGCTACAGTTGCTACTCGATGGACCGTCATGGCCATTCCCTTGCCGCGCTGTGGCGACGACGAGCGCAATCCTGGACTCCTTTGCGCTGTGCTCGGTGGCACTGCGACGGTGCAGCTGAGCCTCAAAGACTGGCGTTAGTCCGCTACCTCGAGGAGAGTTGGGTGCAGGTGTGCGTCCTCCAGGAGCCGCACTTTAACTCTATGGACGGCGAATCTGTTGGCCTGGGCGGGCATCATCACTCCGATGCCGCAGGGATTGGTGACCACTGCGGAAGGATCCCGGTGCTCCTCCAACGCGACCTTGGCACCGAGGAGCAGCGGGGCAGCGTCGATACTGGCGGCGAGGTTGTTTCCGTGTCCATCCACTGCGACAGCCCTTCCCGACCGGTGGGGCTTGCCTGCGGATCCATCTGACGCAGCGCCCCTGTTGCGGAGGACAACCACACACGCCTGGTTCTTCCCGCAAAACAGTGTATGGCAGGAACGGCCGCCAACGCCCACCACCCCGCGCGGGAAGTACGCGCACCGGCGGAGGTCGACGCTCCTCCGAACCGCGGCGACGCAGCGGTAAGCACTTCACTGGGCTGCGCCTCGTGAGCGGCCTCCGAGGACTCCACGGCGTACCGCAGAGCGGGATCCCCACGCCGCGCCCACTGCGGCAGAGCCTCCTTCGCCTAAACGTGGCGACTCCCAAAGTTGGTGAAGCTCGTCCCACGCGGCAGCAGGGAACTGCACCGACTCACTTTCGTTGGTGCCTTTCACGGCACTGTGGTCTTCTTGACTGACCGACCCACGACGACGACGACGTTGAATGCTGGTGGCGTGTCGCACAGCGCGTGCAGTAGGCGAACGTGCCACCTCCGCTGCCGCTGCCTCCTCTGAGCCGTCGCCTTGCGCGTCCCTCACAAGGAGAGCCGCCGACCCGGCCTTGCGCCCCGTGTGCTGCCAGTGATGCGTTCGCCGAGACCATCTCCAAGGCCAATTCGTACGCGACTAAAAGGTCCCGTGCCCGGCGGAGCTCATCGCGCTTCTTACTCGGGCACTTCACGCGTCGCCGCCCAGCTTATGCTGCCGCCGTCCGCGGTGCACCTTCTTTACTACGAGCGAGCTGGTCCTCTGTCAGCGGCGCATGCTGCGTCGGGGCCCGCTGGTCCCGTGCCCGGCGGAGCTCATCGCGCTTCTTACTCGGGCACTTCACGCGTCGCCGCCCAGCTTATGCTGCCGCCGTCCGCGGTGCACCTTCTTTACTACGAGCGAGCTGGTCCTCTGTCAGCGGCGCATGCTGCGTCGGGGCCCGCTGCCGCACGGCACTCCCACCCCGTCAGCAACGCCCGCGCAGGTGGGAGGCTGGAGTGCCCCGTGCGCCGCCGGCCGATCGCCGTGGCACGCATGCAGCATCGCCTCCAATCGGCGCACGCAGGTGGCAGCGCCGCGCTCACAGCCGCCGCCCCTCCCGCCGCCGTCAACACGGACACGCAGCGGCGCACTCGTCCCACCGCGGTTCCGCGAGTGCCGGTGTGTGCAGCCCGCCGTTGCGCTCTCTCTCCACTGCTGTGGGCGTCCTTCACCGCGTCCGCACTCACCATCCCGTTATCCCGAGACGGACTGTGACAGGTGCGAGTGGTCGGCCGCAGTCTGTTTCCGTCCATCCGAAGACTCACTCCTGTGCCCTATGCGCCGCCGCCTCTCTCGAGCCTGAGGGACTGAGGCGTCGCCAAGCAGCTCGGCGTGGCATTGGCAGCCCTTCTCCTTTCCGGATATCGAGCCGGCTGCGGTGTGGGGAAGCTCCCAGGCACCTGCTGGTGTGCCGCGGGCTTGCAGCACTACGCACGGGGCTCGATACACGCTTTGGGTGCTGCGTTGGGGCTGGCCCTGACGTTAAATTTGCCCCGTCTCTCATCGCGATGACCGAGTGGCGTCCCACCAAGGCTCGCGTACTGCACGTGAGGCAGCCGCCGCGTCCGGTGTGCCCGCCCCTGTGGCCGGTACCGCGAGCCGCCAGGTTGTTTCTTCCTTTCCTAACGCGTCTCAAGGCGACGTGTGCCACAGGCAGCGCGGGGGCGCGGCTGGCGAAGTAACGCCGCCTCGTCTACGCATGGTGCAGGTCCGCCGGTGGCGGCTGGAAGTGGTGGCCGCGGGTTTCGCCACAGAGCCGCGTTGAGTTGCGGAGGCGCCGCGAGTGGGCCTCGTCGTGTTTTTGCGTGTGTTGGGAGAAGGCGCGCGTGCGTTTGACATTGACGCCGTGCGTCCGCCTTTTCCCCTTGTGCTCTCTTTTCTCTGCTCGGACGCAAGCGCTGTGCAGAATGCGCTGGTGTGGAAGCCGGGCTCCCTGCGAGCCCCACTGTCTGCCCTGCCCTGGTGTTTCTCCCCCCATGAGGCCTGCGAGGCGCCAACTGGGCCGTGCGGGTAGTGCGGCACCGACGAACGGCTGGGGTGTCATTGCTGCTGCTGTGTGGCCCATTAGAGCCGACCTGTTTCTGTAGGGTGCCTCTGCTTTCTCTCACTCGTACACAGGGATTGTGCCGTCACATGCTCGACGAGTGCGTGCCCATTGCACGTGAGCGTTGCTGCCCTGCGCTCCTCTACGAAATCCCCTTCGCTCCGTTGACGACGCCTTTCTTCAATCGCGCTGCGTTTCTTGTCGATGGCACCAACACACACCATTGGCTGCGGCCCTGACCTCCTACACCGTTTGGCGGCTGCATAGACATTCACGCTACCCTTCTCTAATTGCTATCTTTCTCTTTCACCAGCGCTGAAATATCACTTCTTTGTTTTTCATTCGTTGCTGACGCGCACGCCGTTGGAGCCCTCCTTTCTATTTCCCGCTGAGACTCGACTCGCACCACCAGCGCTGTTCCGCAGCGTAGAGCTCCCCCGCGTCCCCCCTGTCAGCGAGTTAAAGGCCGTCGGAAGACACTCCTTCCCTTCCCTGTGCACTGCGCTTCGCTCTTCTTTCTGTTCTCCACACCGCCTCATCTGTTGATCTCCTGTCGCCCGTCTCTGCTCGCCGAGCAGGCCGACCGGACAGCAGCATGAACCGTTTTTGCCCTCCTCCGCAGCCGTGGAAGGCACTCGCCATCGGTGCTCTTCTCCTGTGTTGTGCCCTCGGCCCTCATCTGGCGACCGCCTCAGAGAGCGATGCGTCGCCTGCACCCACGCCGAAGACCGAAACGATGAAGTTCCTGCAGGCCCTCGTGAAGGCGGTGCCGGACCTGGCGGTTTCGGCGAGTGATGAGGACTACTGCAAGTGGACTCGGTTTGTATCCTGCAGCATTGGTGTGGCGGTGACGCTGACGGATTTGCAGCTGACGCAGGTGTCGAGCCTGCCGGATCTCGCCGATGACGTGAATGGTACCCTGGTGCTTCTGACGTCGTTCGAGGCGAACAACAAGGGCGGCATGTTATCCGGGCCGCTGCCACCGAGCTGGGGACGGCTGACACAGATGCAGACGATATCACTGAAGGGAAACGCACTCACAGGGACGCTGCCGAGTGAGTGGAGCGAGTTGACTGCGTTGAAGTTCCTGTACGTGGATAACAACGCTCTGACGGGCGAACTGCCGGTGTCGTGGGGCACGCTGTCGGTGATGAGGCTGTTGTACATGTCTTCGAACCACCTGACGGGGCCGCTACCGCGTGAGTGGAGCGGGATGACGGCGCTGCAGAGCTGCCTCGCAGCGGACAACAACCTTACGGGCACATTGCCCTCGTCGTGGGGCACGCTGAAGCGCATAAAGGTGATGATGCTGGCCAACAACACATTGTCAGGGACCCTACCGACAGTGTGGAGCAATATGACGGCACTTGTGACGCTCACGCTGGGCAACAACAAGCTGACGGGGCCGCTGCCGGCGGAGTGGAGCTCTTTGCCGAAGCTGACGCGGCTGGAGTTGGACGACAACAGTCTGTCTGGCACCCTGCCGGCGGAGTGGAGCAAGCTGAATAAGGTGAAGGAGAATCTGATGCTTCAGGGCAACAACTTCTGCGGCTGCGTGCCTCCGGAGTGGGCTGGTAAACTGACGCCGACCGTGGACCCGGCGGTGAGCGCGGACACCTGTGCAACGACGAACGCGTGCGACAAGGCGTCGGGCAGCGGTGCTTCTCACCACTCTTCCAGCCACAGCAAGCCCTCACCAAGCTCGGCAAGCAGCAGCTACAGCCAGCCAACACCGGTAGCAGCGAGCAGCAGCCACAGCAAGCCGACAGAGAACAACAGCAGCTCCAGTTCAAGTGCGTGCATTGTGACGAACTGCGTGAAGTGCGAAGCGGACAACAGCTCAAAATGCAGTGAGTGCACGCGCAGCTACACCTTGACGGATGGCTTTCGATGCGCCTCCAGCGGTGATGCGGCGTGCTGGCTGAGCTTGTGCAACCCAGACGGGTGGCTGTTGTTGGCACTGCTATGCACATGTGTGCTGTGGAACCTGATGTAGCTGGCGTGCGCGCTCTGCGGAGTTGGGCGGAGGACGATGTAGATGGCTGACCGTGCTGTTCGTGGCATCCGCCGCTTATTTGTAGTTATATATATACTGGTAACGTTAACTTAACCTTTTCAGCATGCGCTGTGCGGCCACGCGACACCTTTGCCTGCGCAGCCGTGGAGAGCCCCTTCCACGCCGGCGCCGAAGAGTCACAGCGGGTGGTGACGTGAAGGCGCAGTTGCAACGGCAAGGGGGTCGGTCGCTTTGTTTCGCATGTATGAACTCCGAAGTGCTGCAGCTCGCTCGCGCAATAGAGTGTGTTGTTGTGTGTGTGTGTGTGTGTGTGCATGCGTGGTCCTGTGGTTCTGTGATGTGGCGCGATGCGTGCCTCTGCGCAGTAGGGAGCGTGTCTTTCAACGAGTTGGCTGCGCGAGGGGTGGCGGCGTGGGCACGGGCTCCCCCTGTGCAACAGCAATGCACACGCAAACCCGTGTACATGACTGACAACCAAGCGGGTTTAATTGAATCTTTGTGTTTTATTAGTGTTGATTGAAAGCGAAGGATTAAGGTCTGGCGCTCTGTGATGCCACTTGCGGTGTGACCGTCTGGGGATGACTGGAATGGTCCGCCGTTCCTCGGCTGGACATCCACGGCGTTCGTCAACGAGTGACTAGATAGCAACAAACGCTGTCAAAGATCCTCCTTTTTATGGCAGAATTCTTTCAATAGGTTAAATGGAAACGCCACCAGTCTCACGCATACGTATTTATACTCTCATTCTTCAAGTTACTGTTTTTATTTTCGTCTCTGCGCCTGAACGCAGCGAATCGCAATGAGAATAATAAGGCAAGAACGGTGACGATGTTATCGTTTCCTCACGACGCTCGGGCTGGTGGTAATAGTCGTGCTTGTGCTCCTAAAAGCGAAGAGGTCTGAATGGAATGACCAGCCTTCCCCCCATTTGTCTACTCTCCGGATGGAGGAGGGGCGGCTGACCATCGAAAACAAGCCTACGTGCGGCCGCGCTGCTGGCAACAACACTTGGAGACATATAATCTTCATCAACAATCTGTTTTCGCGTTGTAGTTATTTTTAGCTTAAATGGCTACATTATTCCCCTCGTTTTTCTAATATGTTCTCACGTGGTTCAAGGCGGCAATGCGAGGATGCAGTGCGCCGAATACACTGTTTTTTTTTTCTGCTGCGTAGAGTGACGGTTTGTAGCGGACCACGACCGTTCCTGCTCACGAGTGCGTTCGATCTTCGCAAGCCTTGCGGTTTCTTTTATTAGTATTGCTGTTTCTCTTCTCCGCGGTGCTCTGCTCGACGCCGGAGAGGCACTCTGGATTCGTTCCTCGTGTGCCTTTCCGTCTTCGAATGTTTCTCTTCTCTACCACGTGGTGCGAGCGATGGAGACGATCATACTTTCAAGTGTCTGAGAGGCGGTGAAGTGATCCAAAGCCGTTGTCCGTGAGACCGCATAGGAAGTACACCAATGCTCACAAACACAGTCACACAAACGCGCACAGGCAGAATTTTGTCCCGTGCCTGTCTTTTTCCAATTAAAAAACGTTTATTTTTTTTTTTAAGTATTACAAGTATTTCTTTTGCATGTTTTGTTTTCATTCCCTTCTTTCTTGTTCACACGATGCTGTGCGTTGACTCTTTGTCTCATTTTCTCATTTTCCCTTTCCTTCACGTATATGTAGACCCTCGCCTCCCCAACAGCGCTCGAAAATGCACGTGTGGGAATGATGCGTGCAGGGAAGCGCAACGGAGAAAGGATTTAAATAAAGAGATAACAGAGTCTGCGAACTTTAAAGTGAAAACACTATTTTTTTTTTGCTCAAATTAGCTCTTTTTTCTTTGAATATATATATATATATATGGAGCTGCATTGTAGTAAGCGCGATACAGAATAACAGCGACTTACGCTCCGAGAAAGAAACAACCCCCCTCAAAGGAATCCGCACGGCTGTTAAGGACGGCCGCGCAAGGTAAAGTAACGTACATCAGCTCTATGCTTGCAGTGTGCGCTGCCTTGCAATGCGTTGAGCAGACAGTCTGTGCTGTATTGTTGCGTTTTGCGATGCGCTTTCACGCCGTTAAGCGGTGCTGCTGAAAGTAGTTCAAGGAGTCTGCCATTGAAGGCGATCATGACCCCCAAAAAAGTGAAGTGAGGAGTAGACGAGGCGCCTCGCACGAGACGCTGGACAACAAAGAAATGGTTGCTGGTGTCGAGTGCTGTCTCTTCTTTCAATGTCTCACACTCTTTTTTTTGGTCCACATGCTTCCTCTCCTTCTCCACCGATGCTGCATGAGCTCCGCGGAGAACGAAGGAACCCAAAATGGGTGTTCTGTGCAGGCGGTAGATCGCTTACAGCTGCAGCCTGCAGTGCACCCGCTCTAGCGTCGCCGTGCTGGTTCGCTGCATTTTGCGAGCGCCGGGTGGAAACTCGCTGTGGGCTCTCGGAGGTACGACAGCGCCTCTTTTGTTTGTTTCTTGCTCCCAGAACTCCCGCGATGTGAGCCGTTTTTCTTCTGGCCGGCTAACGGCACATCGGCGAAGCGCCTTGCAACACCCAAGCACCCTTTCACCTGCACATTTGTTTACTATTGCGGAATTCGCGCAGAAAGCTGGTGCCGAACTGGCGCGCGCATCGGCCGGGGGTGCACCGACGGCCCTGTCGAGGGCACCGCAGGCCCCCACCACAACTGCAGCAGCAGCAGAGGCGGACCTGCCCGTCTCCACGGTACGTATCCATTTTTTTTGTGACACCGCACTGCCCGTTGCTGCCCAGCCGTCGCCGTTTACGCCGTCTACACCGACCCGCTGTGCAGGGCAGAGCCGTAATGAGATAATTGAAAAGGACCGTCTGGCTCTTCTGTGTTGTTGTCACAGTCGCTGTCGTCTCTAAGGGGATTCGTGGCTGACTACTTCCGGCAGCCACAATACGAAACCCACCTCTTCCATCGCTAACCAACGCACGACCGCCGTTGACGGTGGCGGATGGAGGACACGTTTCTTTTTTTTTCCCTCGAAGCTGGTATCTGCGTCTCGCTCCATTCTCCTCTCTTCTTGAACTTCACTTTAGGTAGAGTCACGTATCGTCCAACTGCGCTGACACTTCTGTCTGGGTTCGTGTGTGTACACCACGCGTGTAACAACGATAACCTGACGGAGGGGGGGGGGGAAGAGAGGGGAACGTTGTACCTACCGTTTTGTTGTTGTTATTATTGCACGTTTGCGCAGGAGTGCGTCACGCAGCTGACCCGAACGGCGACGTAGAATGGGAGGGAGAGACTTTATCGGCTGCGCCTCGTGAAACAAGACCTTGTTAGAGAAGGAGGGAAAAAAGTGCTGCGCAACCTTTGTTTGCATTGGCGTAGCTGAAGCTCTGATCTTCCGTGTCTTGGTACTAACGCTTCCTGTTTCGTGGTCTGTTCGGCTCTTGGAGATATAAATGAAAATATATCATGCATTTCGGTGTCAAGCACGTCTTCACATGTTTTTGTCATGGCACGGTAGAGCTGAGCGCTTCGTATAAACTGGCTAAAGTAATCATTGTGCAAAAATCTGAAAGAAAACCGCGACCATTTCTTTTCTTATTACATATTCCTTCCTCCCCCCTCGAATCGCCGAAGTGCGAGAGACGCGTTTAATTGGAAGAAACGTAATATTTACTTCACCTTCGCTCCGCACAATGACGTTTACGCTTACACGCTCTCGGCTGCTCTTGTGGGGGCAGAAATGGCAAGCTTACATCCCACCCTACTCCCCCGCTGGACTTGTAAACGGCCACGCTCTGCTGCGCTTTCCGATCACCGGCGGATGTGCGAGCAGCGATGCAACCGCGGGAAGTACACACACAACCCTTGCAGAGCTGAGCACTCATTGGACCTCATTGGAATGGAGACCGTCTTCAGCGCCGGTGGAAGTGGTGTGGAACGCCAATGAAGCACAACCTTTTCATTCCATCACACCATCTAGTCCGGCAGATGTGAGGAGATGCACGGAGTACCTGTTGCGATCTGCCTGCGCGATGCGACTTGAACGCTCTACATCTGCATCGCCGACCTCGCCTTTGTCCGCGCCAGCTGTCCAGGACAAAACATGTAATGTAGATTGTCTGGCGGATAAAGGGAACTATTCTTCATCATCTTCGCACCTGGCGACAGCTCCAAGTACTTCCGCATCCTTCGACGCTCCTGTTGATGTCGCTGATACGCTGAGAGCACTTGTTGAGGTGGTTCGTCAGCACCGCCACCTTCTCGCTGGTGCGGAGTCGTTGCAGACCGGCGTTCCGTTGCGGTTTCTCTTGCATGAACTTGAGGATGCGGTGTTGTATCTTCAGTGGAGCCGCCAAACACGCTGCGCACGGAGCGAGGATACCGATGAAAAGACCGCCGATAGCGTGGGGAGTTTCGAACTGGAGCCACACGTGGACGAAGCCGATAACATGAAGAGCCCGATCTCCCCTTCGACAGAAGGAGCGACGTGCGGTGAGCCACCGGCCAAATCAGGCGTCGACCCCTCACGGGAGGACGCACAGCGAAGGACCGCGGAGAGTCGAAAGACGCTACAGGAGGAATTCCACAGTGAGGTGGCATCCTTTCAGCACCAACTGCGACGACGCGGCAAAGTGGCGGCGAGTAAGATTCCAGACAGCCCCAGCAACAACGAGCCAGCATGTACGGCATATGCTGGCTTCACATCATCGTCCTTCAACGAGCGTGCTGCAGCTCACACGACCTACGCAAACGTGTCGCAGCTCCCCTTGGTAACGGTGCTGACGTCCACACACAGCAGTTTAGCGTCTGCATTGCGGGCGACGGCGGTGGCGTGGGCCGTGGGGGGCAGCGAACATTGGACGAGTGCGGGGGCAACGCACGTGTTGTGGCGCCCCGCACCGGAGACGGCGCTCGCTGCGGCGTGGATGGTGGTCCTCCTGCGCCGGCACGCGCACGAGCAGGAGACACGCCGACGATTGAATGCCGATGCGGGTACCGCGGATGACGTGACGCCGCTCGCCGCTGCAAAAACAGAGCGCGCCACAGCGGCAGGGGCGGCGGACGCAACACCGGCGGGTCCGCACATCGAGGTGCAGGAAACAGAGAAGGAATCTTCGACGCTTTCCAGCGTGTCATCCTCGCCGGGCTTCCACGTGCTCCTTACGGGGGGCGACACTGAAGTCAATTTCGTTGCCCCGTACCTGGAAGGCGTTGCCCATGCATCGCGGCTGCACGAGGTGACGTCCCGCGTGTCCCACGTCGTAGCATTCCACGGGGCCGGCTCTAAAGAAGGCAGGCGAACGGGTGCCCCGTTTCTGGGCGGCGACAACGGAGTGGAGAGCCCCGTGCTGTTGTGTTACGGCTGTCCAGCGGCCCAGGTGCGCGACCTCCGTTGCTTTCTCGCACGGCAGCACAAGCGGCAGCCGTCTGAGCCGGAGACGAGTAACATCGTGGCGGAGCTGCGAACGGAGGTGGCCACCACCGGCATTGTGATGTCCGATGCGATAGCCGAACTGTCTGCCGCTGCCCCAATAGGTCAACAGACAGTGGCTGCGGAAAAAAAGGACGCGCTCGATCGCGCGCCTTCGACGGCTCCATTCACGACCGCGCAAACGTCATGTGTGGACCCCGCGACGTGCGCACAGGGGGGTTCTCAGAAGAGACCCACCTCTGCTGCTGGTCGATCACCGAGCTGGGAAGCGCCTTTCCGTGCCGTCCCGTCTCGCGACACCACACTGCGTACCATCTCTTCCGTATTCGAGCCCGTGCCGTCTTGCGAGAGTGCTTGTGCGGCTGTGATGGTACCGCGTGGCGGCCTCACCGAGGTCGCCAACGAGGTGTTCCGCCGAAGTGTCGTGGAGCCCCCTTTCCTTCGCTCCTCCAGAGACACCTCTCCCTCTTTGTTTGCCGCGGCGAACACGAGCACCGCTACTACTGCTAATAGGACCAATGAAGGCAAACAAAGCGCCTTGTTTGAGTCTGTGTCCCTTCCTTCTCCATCCACCATCCCAGGCTGGTGCAGTCTGTGCTTTGTAGCGGAGCAGCACACCGCGCCGCTGCTGCGCTCGCTCGTGCAACGGCACTGGAAGGAGCCGTGGTACATTGGCCACAGCCTCGACGGCTCATCCCGCAGGGGCCCCGCGCCGTCCAGCGCGCACACGCAGGGGATACAAGACGTGCTGCGGTGTGCAACCAACGGGACCGATGTGTGCGAGGGTGCCACGCTGTGTTTGAAGCACCGCATAGCTGATGACGACGCGGCTGCGCCACCGCATTTTCGTCAAGCCATCTGCTGGCGCCACGGGTGTGGAGGCTTTTCATTGCCTTTGACCGCGACGGCTGGCCGAGGGTCGTCCTACACGTTGCCCTGCCTCCTTGTCACGGACCTGGAAGCGGCCATGACGGAGGGGGAGCAGCACGACCTTCTGCTGTACAGAGCATCCGGCTTAACAGATGGGCGGACGAGGCGGGGGAACGGCGCGGCATCTCCTCCGGATCACAGCGCTGCGACGTCTTCGTTATCCCTGTCAGCCTCACCTTTGAATGCTGTAGGTGCTGCACCCCTTCGCTCTAGACAAGAAGGCGACGACACGCATGACCTTGACACGCGCGTCAAGCGAGCTGCGCAGCGCGCAACGCGGGCCATTCAGCGCAACGTCGCAGGACTTGTGGAGATGTACGACGCGCGACAGCTGGGTTATCGCGGCGTGGTGGCCGGCAACTTTCTGTTTCTGTGTCGCTACCCTGCCGCCGTAGAAGACGCGGTGGTCGCAGCCGTTCTCGAAGGAGTGACTGCCCGATGACGTAGGAACGGAAGAGGCACATGAAGGAAAATGAGAGAAGGAAATAAGCGCAGCTGTGCAACAAGATGAGGCCAGCTCGGCAAAGGCAGTCGGTCTTCCAACGTTTTTTTTTGTCTTTTCACACTATTTGGGAAAGGATGATGGGCGAATACTAACAATATGAGCGTGAATGCTATTTCCACAGACACCCCCTTTCTCTAACTTGACCTCAGTCAAACTTTCCTGGTTACTTAGAAAAGAAAAAGAGATTTAACGCCGCCGCTCGAGTCGTTGAGCAGCTGTCCTTCTATTTACATTTATTTTTTCCCCTTCTACTTCTTACACCACTTGCGTTTCCCCTGCACTTCTTCTCTGGCTTCATCTCTGATGTTTATGCGGCTACTATACATAACCAACCGTGCATATTCAAGGTCATAACTACAGCCTCCGTAAACGTTCTCTTGTGCGCACACCTCATTCATAGCTGTGGACTGCGCCGCTGTGAATGCATTCACTGCGCATCTGTCGACATCACGGATATATATGTTTTCTTGTTGTCATTAACTGCGTGGAGTAACTGTTTTCTCCCCCTCCTGTTCGTTTTCTCTTCTAAGTGGGTGTTATGAATATTCATAATTACTTCTGCTTGATTTTCTATTTTCTTCTAGTTATTTCTCTCGCCCGCGCACCCCGTTAGACCTCGTCGCCATTCAGTTGCTTTGGGTTCTCGTAGTGCATTTTTCTTGCTTGTTTGTGGCTCATTTAGATGTCAAAGTCAGAGCAAAAACAAAGAAAGGCAAAGAGAAGAGAAGCCATGAGAAGCGCTGATAGCTACCGAATGTTGATGCTGGCGGCGCTTGCTGTGGCGTTGATAGTCAGCACGGTTGTGGCAGGGGCGGCGCCTGTCAGCGTCGTGACGACACACGACTTCACCGAAGCACAGCGCATTAACACTCTCAAAGTGCTGGAGGCGCTCTCGCCGGCTGTTACGAAGGAACCAGTGCACCGTGGAAGTTCTGACTTCTGCACGTGGCCTGGTGTCCTGTGCCACCGCCTGCGGAGCGGCGATGTCGGTGCCGAAGTGACCGTCATGCACGACAGCTTCATCAGCCTGCCTGTCGACGTACAGCGGAGCGAGGTGCGCATTACGTCTCTCAAGGTGCGGGCCAACGCATTGGCGAAGGGCAGCACGCTTCTTTCTGACTTGGCCATGGCGACGTCTTCTTCCGCGTTAACGGTGCTGGACTTCACCGGGTCGAACATCTCGTCGGAGCTGCCGCCCACCTGGGGTAGATTCGTCAGCCTACAGTACCTGCGGCTGGGCGACAACCACTTCTACGGCACGCTGCCCACCGCCTGGTCTGCGCTGACGTCCCTCAAGGAATTTCAGCTGCAGAACAACGACGTCACAGGCACCCTGCCCGCCGCGTGGCGCACCATGACGCAGATGCGCAACATCACGCTGGACAACAACACCCTCGCCGGCATGCTGCCCCCGTCGTGGTCGAGCATGACTTCGCTGTCGATCTTGTCCCTGAAAGGCAACAACTTCTGCGGTGGGGTTCCCGCGTCGTGGGCGGGCCTGACGGGGTTGGCGCTGACCGCAGATGACACTTTTTACAGCCCCTGCAGAACTCTCCCCCCAACGTCCTCCAACTCCGACTCCCGCGCCACGCCGTCCTCTTCCGCGAATGGGACAAGCACCACGTTGGAGCCGCCCGCGGTGCTGACGAACTGCACCGCGACGCATTGTGTGTTGTGTCCGGTGACGGCACCGAGTCGATGCGCGGCGTGCATGCCGGGCTACGCGTTGACCTCGACCTGGTCATGTGTTTCACACAGAGGAGATGTCGCGTACGGACCTGCGCGTTTGTGGCCGCGTGTGGTGGCGACGTGTGCGGTGCTGGTGGCGGCTGCGGTGAGTACGCTGTGAAGAGGACGTATCTCATTATTACTCGCTTTGCGGATATACAGCTTTCTTATTTCGTTTTTTTCTCTCCCAGCGAAGGTGCTATAATCACACTAATGCACATCTTTCAAAAGCAAGCCGCACGGATTCTCAGTTTGCAGGTGCTTGTACCCGTTATGCCAAAGATGGCTTGGCGGGGTAACCCCTACATGATGTTTCGCTGTCCTTGTTTCTTTTCCCCTTTCATTGATTGCCGCGTGCGGTACTTTATAGTTCTCTCTCATTTTTACTGTTTGTTTTTTTATGAAGTGGGCGGTGCACGCGTCAGTCAAGTACATCCTTTTATTACTACTGCAGCGAGAAGCACTCTCTCCTCCTCACAAAACAGAAAAGGGCTGGTAGGGTCCTTCTTTGTGTTGTGCCGCATTAATTCCTGCTGTTGTCACTCTGTTGTCTCTAATATATATGTTTTCGTCTTCCAAGTACGTTGGCGAATACCTTCGTACTTTTTCATACTCAGCCATCTATCTTGTCTTAACACGTTTCTTCTCTGGAAGACTGTTGTTGAGCCGACGTGCGTTGATTAGATCATCGTATAGAACTAGCAAAGCATTTCCTTGGCACCTCAGCTGAGGCTTTTCTTACCCCTCTACCATCCGCGCAACATATTATGCGGCGTACGGAGGTGCAATTCTGTTTTGTTCTTTTTCTTCTTCAAGGGCTCTTTTGGGTATTTTTGACTTTGAGTAGGACGTGCGTATTAATACAAATTTAATCTGCTCCGCCACGTAAACGTGCTGCAGCTCTGGGCGTAGTCTTCTAGTTGTATTACAAGAAGACGTTGCCGTTTGCTTGCGTGGCACTGCTCAACATCTTTCTCGCGTGCTGTACGCAATGCATGTGTGTGTTGGTAGTGCTGTTGATTGTCTCTCGGTATACTCGCCCGACGCCCCTCACCAAGCCATATGAGCAAAGTGAATTGTGTCTATCTCTTGTTATTTTTTTTTTTAAATATATAAAATTTTCACTGATTGTGGCATACACCAAAAGCACCTCGTAGTTTTTACTCCAGTACTCCCTTTCTTCTTTTTCCTTTTCCTTTTCTGAGTTCCCACATTGTCACCATTCTCGATGATGTTTGTTTTTTGCTTGCTAGTGTTTAAATTGTAACGAAAGAAGAGGGTCAAAATCAATTCGGAGTAGTTGTGTAGCGCCTTCGTTAACCCCCCTTTTTTGGGTTTCTCGGTGTGGGCTGCAGCTTGCGTTTATATCATTCTATGAAGAGGCCGAGCTATGAGTATGCTGCGCGCGAATTCCTTTACGGCTTGATACTCTCATGATCCACACCGTCCTCTACTTTTCTCTTCGTCTTCTGGAATCGCATGTCTGTTAAATGGCGCTGTCTTCTTGAACTCGCTGAATGGTTCTCTCCCTTTTCCCTTTCTTCCTTCTCCCCTGCCATCTGCACATCAGACCACATTGCTTTCGGTGACCTCTCCTTTCGACCCCATTCTTTTTCTTTTCTATTGCGTCTTTCAGTGTCCTTTAGACAACGCCTCCCCAACCCCCCTCCAAATCTGTCGTCTTCTCTGCCCCTCCTCTGTCTTCCGAGCACATCCTCATCGTTACTCAATATGCATCGTTCCTCCCTTCTCGGCGTTGGCGTCGCCGTCCTCCTCTTCCTCCTCTGCGTGCGCACCACCTCCGCTGCAGACGCCGTCACCGAGAACTCCGCCTCGACGGTGGCGTCAGCGCCGTCATCGGCATCCGCCGCCGCGTGCACCGTCGCGGGTTGCGTGCGCTGCGTCCCGGGCAGCACCACCACCTGCGCCGCTTGCGCTACGGACGTGAGCTTAGTCGACGGCCAGTGTGTGTACGAGGCGGCCTGCACGGTGGCGGACTGCTCCATGTGCGACGTGGTGAACATCTCGCGTTGTGCGACGTGTATGGCGGGGCACAGGATCAACCCGGATTACACGTGCAGTGCGTCAGGGGATCGGGCTGGCGGCCCCTGCTCGTCGGCGGTTGCGCTTCTTGTGAGTGTTTTGGCTTTGGCGTGGACTGCTCCGCTGACTGCAATGTAGCAGCACCTTCTTCTGCTATTCAAATGCCGCTTTGCTTCACATGGGACGAGTGCCGAACTGACGAGAGCACCGACATCTTCGTGGTTCTATTACATAATCACAATACACATACACACAAACAGACACAAAAACGAAAGCTATGGGATCTTGCTAAGGTTCTACGGATATCGCAACTCAACGTGCTTTATGGGCTCTCCTGTGAGAAACTCTAGCAGTGTCCTCGTTGTTGGCGCTGCTCCGTTGTGAAACTCAAGTCTTCTCCTTTTCTATGTCGCTGAATGATTAGTTCAAGTATTTTTATAATAACGATGTGCATAACATTCTCCCTTGCGGTTGGCGGGCTTTCTCCTTCGTGTGTACTTACCACATCAGTTTTTTTGAGTTTTTAGTCTGTTGAGACGCGCGTGTGCGTCCGTGCTCGTGCGTTGGCGAGCCATGTCGTGAAATCGGCACCCAACGCGCCCTCATGTTGCCACTCGTTTCCACGGGACGGAAGCACATGTCTACCATCGGTTGTTTTCTTTACTGTTGTGTCGTGGTGTGACGTCGAGTGAGAAACGCTTACGGGCTCAGTTTTGTTTCTTGAATTATTTTTTTTACTGTTTCTGTTGTGCGTCGGTACGGCGTTGCTGGCGTCCGTCAGGGCCGATGGGCGTCTTCGTGTTCTATCTGCCGTTCATCTCCTTTATCCTGCCCTCCTCTCTTTGGAGCCGCTTCGCTGACGGATTACGGTGCCAACGAGCGTTGCGAAGGCTGTGAGGATCTACTCCGACATATAATACTCGCGCGGTGGGCCGATGCTGCCTGCGGCGTCTTTGGGCCCTTTTCTGCGAAGTTGAATTTCGTGGTTGCCGTCGTGTGTGGGGAATTCAAATGATCTTGAAAAGGAACGGAGGGTGTTCTCGTGATGCCTATTGAAAGCTCCGAAAAAGAAGCCGTCAGGCGTTACTGCCACGTTCTAGACACATACGCATGATCTGCATTTGCCACTTGAAATAATAATAGCAGGCGATCCTGTGCACTGTAAAGCAAAAACCCACAACAACTACAACAAGTGCATAGAGGCCTCGCGGAAAGGGAAGGGGCGAAGGGATGCCGTGAGGGCAAAGTAGTGGACGTATTCGACGCTGGACCAGTGGAAAGCAGGCTGAGGTACACCTTGCGTTTTCGTCCTCCTTTGTTGCTGAACATTCTTCATGTGAATTTTTTATTTTATTTTTCTCTTTGTTCTCTTTCCACAAAGGAAAGACTTACGTACCTCGGTGGGCGAAAAAAATGGAATCAACGCGACTGCTGTCAAAGAAGAAAGGAAGGAAAGATGCATTTGATAGCTTCGCTTACTCGTCGACATGAAGGAAGACGCATTGCGCCATGTTCCTTGCGAGCGTACGTGCATATATAAACTGTTTCCACGTGTTAGAGTAATGCGGCACTGCGGGAGCTTGAAAGTGCAGGCAAACATCTTGTCACTTGCTCGATGCACGTGCGTGAGGGAAGGGGTGGCGTTGACTGACCGACACCCGTTGAGCAACTTCTTCTTGTGTCTCTCTTGTCGTCTCATGGCGTCTCTCCTTCCTCGTTTCCCTTATCTTGTCTTCGTGCCCCCCACAACATCTCCTTTTCACATCTCTCTCTTCTCCTCCGAAAATTGATGCCTTCCATTCATTTACTCAGATTGGTCACTCCTACGCTCTCCGCCTCTAAACCCTTGACCCGTTCTCAACCTTATCAGCTCCCATTCTTGTCTTGAAGAAGTTTTTTTTCCTTTCTCTACCGCACCCAAGCTTTTTTGTTTTGCAAGCAAGATGACCGGTGCTGCTCGTCGCACGTTGTTTGTCGCCGCTCTGGCGATGGTGGCGGTGCTGCTAGCGTGCAGCAGCTTCGCCCAGGACGCGTCACTGCCGTCCTCGCAGGGATCATCCTCGACAACCATCACCACCACCACGACAACCGCCACTCCCGCACCGCCGACTCCCTCGACCACGACGACGACGACGACGACGGTGGCGCCGTGCAACATCGGCGACTGCTACGCGTGTGCGCCGGGCAACCCCAACAGGTGCGTGTCGTGTGTGCCTGGCATGGTTGTGTCGTCGAGCGGCTACTGCATAAATGCTGGCTCGTGCTATGTGGCTGGGTGCGCGCAGTGTGCATCGAACAACAACTGGGAGTGCCAGACGTGCTTTGCCGGGTACTCATTGACTGCTGTGAAAGGCTGCGTCCGCAACACGCGCAGTGGTGCTGCTGGCTTGCCGTCTCTCGCCGCCACCGCCGCTGTCGCTGCTGTGGGCGCGGTGCTGCTGCTCAGCGTGTAGCGTCTTTTTTCTTTCTCGCTTTTACAGCTCGTGCTTCTGAAATGAGACCTCTGCGCTCCGCTGACTTATGCAGCTGACAGGATTTTACAACAGAGTGAAGCAACATCCTCACCGAAGCCGGAAAACGTGTCTTGTACGTTCGACAGCGCTGTATATGGGCACAGCCTGCGGCACGTATGGTGGTCGGATCTTTTTTCTTTTTTTTTTCTCTTTCAGATGAGGATGGCGAGGCAGGTTGAGGTCGTGTGTTTCTCGAGCAGACGAGCTGCCGTTTCTTGTGATGCGTTTCTTTAAGTGTACGAGGCACCATCCATATACGTAATTGTATTCTCTTTTCTTTTTATTATTAGCGGAAGACAGTTTTTCTGTGAAGCTGACATTCGGTAGGTGTTACTCCTTTCGTTCACATCAGAAAGAGAATGAAATTATGACCCGCGTGCCACGGCGGATGACGCGTCATTCGTCGTACGGTCACACCTACTACGATAACCTGCGAAGACGTCGACTCTTCTGTTTTCTTTTTCTTCGCTCATACGTGAGGTTTTTGAGGCTCGTACGCACTTTAATCTTATTCTTTTTTTTCTTCCTGTTTGCTTTACGTGCATGGTTCTTCGCGGTGGTACGGTGATATTGGCGGTCTAACTTTGTGCTAGGGAGCTATTGAATCAGCGCATGCCGTTCTGCGCGGCAGATCCACTGCACTTCTGACGGAGGTGAAGAATCGTTATTTTCTCCTTCTCAACGCGAGGGAAATGGAGAGTGCCGTCTTGCTTTGTTGTTTCTCCGACGTCACGTGCCTTCTCGCCTCTCTGTTTTCTTTCTCTCTGTGGCCTGTAGACTTTCGAGTATTCGTCCTTTCCTGTTCCTAATTGTCATCTTCATTGTTTCTTTTACCTTATATAGATACATATAGTAGCCAAACCGTATTCTTTGGTTCTGTGAATGATGCTGAGCGTCTGACTATTCCCCTCCCCTCCCCCCTCTCCCTCTCGCAATGAAGAGACCTGATCCTGGTAGATGCAGTTTCACGGACTTCATTTATCTCTCTTTGTCTCTTTCTCTAAAGACGTTGCTCTTTTTATGAACTACAGCAATTTACGAACAACAATGCGAGTGTGCGAGGGATACAGTGTACGCCGCTCACAAGAACAGATGCGGTGTGTGTTCCCTAGGAAGCTGACTCCCTCTTTTCCCTCCCCCCACAAAGACAAGCCCATTAATGTAACTTACTAGGAATCTTTTCATTAGTAAGGAAGGAGGAAAAGGACGAACTGTTCGTTTAATCCCAGATTTCTTAATGACTTTCTGAAGGAAGTTTGACCACGTATTCCTGCCGTGAGGAGAGGTTGTGCAGGGGTAGAAGTCACTCCTTCTTTTTGTTTGTTGGTTTCTCTCTAACTGTGGCTCATATGAAGTCTTCTTTTTCTTTTGTGAAACGCAAGGTGCACATTGAAAGCAACAGTGCGATTGTAGGAGCGCTTCTTCTTCCGTTTACAGGTGACGAGGGAGAGCGTAGAAAGGCGTCCTTCACTCTTTGCGTCTCTCCGCCCCGGAGATGCTGAAGGCAACAATACACGAAAGCTAAAAGGTGTCTACTGCATTTGGTGTTTTTTTTTTACTGTTCTTGATTACTCGGAAGCTTTCGCGCGCAGAATTGTCGCTAAATGAAAAGGTGGCGACTGCAACTATGCGGCAGTTGTTTCTCTAGTATAGTTGGCCTCGCCCTCCTATATGTCGCGCCAATCGCTGTGCGCCGGCTTAACGACGCTACATGCACCCGCGTTTTGGTTCGACTGCGCTTACGTGCTCTGCCGAATGGATCTTCTATCCAACGTGTCTTCTTCCCGTTTCAGTTTTTCCGAGTCCATTTATCTCCTCCTTTCTCTGTCCCTCGTCTTCTTTCCGGTGCATCGCCGTGCGTCCTTTCGGACGGATCTCTTCTCGTTCCCTAACGGGTGCGCTGACCGACCGCCTTTCGCGGTGCCCTCTCGTCGCCAACTTCGTATTCGTACTGTTCGAAACGGCAGCGAGTACGACGCAGCTATCACGCTTTGTGCCGTACCAGCCTTTCCCTTCTTTAGCCGTTTCTTAGCTTTTCTGTCTTTTCCTTTCCTTTGTGGAACGGTCGCTTTTCCCTTTCGCGTGGCGTCTGCTGCTCTTACTGTTGTTGTGTCTCGCCGCACCTTGACGTGCACACGCGCGCACGCTCGTCGCGAGAAGGACTCTGTAAGTCCACGAGGCTACAAGAAATCCAGGCAACCACTTTTCTTCCCCTCTTCGTTGCTGAGGCTCCGGTGAACGGTTTTCCGTGTCGAGGTGAACGGCGTAGCGGGAATCGGAAAGCAAAGGGCTAGTGGGGGTGCATCGTGCTCTTTTATGGTATGCGCAATCCTTCTACTTGTCCTTCCGTGCTTGAGCGCTCTGCACACATTTGTGCTGCTGAACAAGTTGGTGCTCTAACGGGCAACTGCTGCCGTGACGGACAGGTAGATGGTGAACCCGCCTTACCGACAACACACTCTTCTCCTTTTTTCCTTCAATGCACGCGCTGTCTAAACCGTAAGCGTCTCTTTTGTTTCTCTGACTTTAATTTGCGTCTTCTGCAGCTGGGGTGGCGCTTTACCTCTGAGCTCACCTCTTTAGCGTAACACTGCAAAGCGACAACTTACCTGCCTTCCTTTTCTTTTCCTTTCCCTCTCTCCTCGGCGTCGTGCCTCCGAGCAAGAGCGTCTTTGTGGTGTACTCTGTGCAATCGCGCACGCATACACATTTCCACCCAAGCAACAACCTGCCGTTTCCAGCGAGTGGCCGACATTTGGCGTAACTCCGCTTTTTTCCTTTTATCTCTTTTTTTCCTTCCACTGATTTCTTCGTGCAGTGGTCACGATCAGGCTGCTCGCATATTATATTGTGTCACTTGAAGGTCCGGCCAACGGGCGTCACCCTCTGCGTGCTCTTACCGTGGCGGTGTGTCTATAGAGGCTTTGAGGAAGCGAGAGCACGCGGCAATTGCTTCTCCGCCCTTCAGCCCTCTCTCCGGGGACTGCAGAACTTGCTTCGCCAGGCTTTCTTTGTTTCTATCTGCACTCACCGCTTTCGACAGCCGCACCGCTCGATACGGCTCTTTCTGCCTTCAGCACGTCATAACTAAGCTTCTTCTCAGCTTTTCCCTTTCAGCGCTTTCTTACAGAAGGAGCGCATCGAGGCCACCGCTAACCGCAGCGAAGAAGCACCACGACTGTTACAATGGCTGCCGCAACCATCGACACGGACAGCGCCAGCAACGTGTATCCGTTCGTGGAGGTGAACCGGCGGCTGTGGCACCTGCCCACTGCCGCGAATGGAGAAGTTGACTGGGGTGCCGTGCGTGCCTGTCTCGCGGAGTCGCCGGAGGAGGCCACGAGCGTGGTGGGCCGCTACTTCCTCAGCTGGCTGAGCCCTTATGTGACGCTCGCCTCTCGTGAGCGGCTGGAGGAGGCGTACATGCCGCCGCCGCAGCGACCGCACCGTGCCGTGTACTGCGGTGCGCTGCTGAGCGGCGCCTTCCGCGACGTGGAGGTGCGCAGCGGTCGCGACGCGTGGCGGACGCGGGTGGAGGCTGCGGTGCGGTGCGAGGACGGCGCGGTGCGCGTGCTGCGCGCCAACGCGCTCGCTGCGGTGCGCTTCCGCGGCGAGGACGGTGTGCGGGGGCGTCTGCGGTGGACGGGGTACGTGCGCTCGAGTGATGCGCCGCACGTGCTGCTGGGCGGCGTGGAGTGGGACGGCGACGGCGTCGTGCCGCGCTACCGCCAGCGGTACGCCGGGGAGGCCGCTGCGGTGACCCACGACGGCGCGGTGCACGGGGAGCGGCTGTTTTATCAGGCGTGGCGCGGGCAGCCGCGGTGCACGTGCGAGTACCTGAGCGACCTTGTGCCGCTGTCGGCGGATGGCGGCGGTGGGGCGGTGCCTGTGCGGTGCCACACGCCGCGTGCGCCGTCGCTGCTGACTGCGCTGTTCCGGACGTTTCGGTCGGACTTGCTGGCGATGTTGGGGCCGTCTTTTGTGGCGATGATGTGCGAGGTGGCCACGCCGTGGCTGCTGCAGCAGTTCGTGTTGTTCCTGCAGTCGAACAAGGCTGAGAAAGGCGTGACGAAGGGCGCTATCATGTTTTTTGTCTTCGCCGTGGTGACATTGGCCAAGCCGCTTTCGTTCAACAAACAAATGCATCGCGGGCGTCGCATCTCGAGCCTGTTCCGTGCCGCCACCCTCGGCGTGGTCTTTGAGAAGTGCTTCACCGTGTCGCCCGATGCGCTGTCACATCCCGAGATGAGCGCCGGCCGGATCCTGACGATGGCGAGCTCTGACATGGAGAACATCAAGGAGTTCCCGATGCAGGTGATGTTTCTGTGGATGGCGCCGGTGATGCTGACACTGTACCTGATCTATCTGTACACGCTGGTTGGGTGGAGTGTGCTGGCCGGCGTGGTCGTCTTCTTGCTCTCCATTCCCCTCCAAGGCGTCATTACACAGGTCCTGGAGCACCGGCAGGACAGCTTGTCGAGCTGCACGGATCAGCGTCTGCGCCGCACGAACGAGCTGCTGTCCGGCATCCGCATTGTGAAGACGATGGGGTGGGAGTCGAAGTTTCTCGACGCGATCGAGGACGGCGCGCGCGCCGATGAACTCAAATACCGCAGAACGCTTCAAATTTGTCAAGTCGGTCTTTGGACCATCGTGTTCGGCACACCGCCTTTCATGATTGCCGCTGTGTTGACGGTTTACACGCTGGCCGGCCACGCGTTGGACGCGTCCATCGTGCTGCCGGTGATTGCTGTGATCAGCGCAGTGACGTTCCCCATCATGATGCTGCCGGAGGCGTTCACCTCGCTTGCGAAGTTCATTGTGTCCACCGGCCGCATCACGCAGTTTCTGGAGTGTGACGACTCGCACATCATCCTGGAGGATGCTGAGAAGGTGTTTGGTGCGTGCAGTGCTGCTCAGCCTGGAGCTGGCGACCCCGCTGGCGATCCCGCTGGCGCGTGCTTTGTCGGTGCGACGATGATGGCGTCTGTGCCGACGGCGCTGCCGGCGTACGAGCCGCGGCACCACGGACTGCGACGGCTTGTGGATTGCGTGTGCTGTGCGGTGCTGCGCCGGCACGTGCCGGTGGAGCTGCAGTGGACGCGTACGGCGGAGGCCGCACCGACGCAAGCAGCTGCGGCCGCCACCGCACCTCCCGCGACCACGCCTGCCTCGGCTGCGGAGGGCGTCGGGGACACGCTGTACACGCTGGAGGACAAGGCGCTGCTGCGTGACGTGAGTGTGTGCCTGCCGCGCGGGCAGCTGACGGTGGTGGTTGGCGCGACGGGGAGCGGGAAGTCTGTGCTGCTGGCGACGCTGCTGGGTGCGTTCCGCTTCCGCGGCCGCGTTGGCGTGTGCCCGTCGATCGCGTACGTGCCGCAGCAGCCGTGGATCATGCAGGAGACGATCCGGGCGAACATCACCTTCTTCGAGGGCGACCAGCGCGGGGCACGCGGCGCATCCGCGGTGGGCGGTGGTGTGGCATTCTCACCGCTGCGTGGCGCGTGTGCGCAGGCGGCACGTGCCGGCAGCACCGACGCGGGCAACGAGCGGCTGAGTGCTGCGGTGCGCTGCTGTCAGCTGGAGGCGGACCTGGCGCTGCTGTCGGGTGGGCTGTCGACGGAGATCGGCGAGAAGGGCATCAACCTGAGCGGCGGGCAGAAGGCGCGCGTGAGCCTGGCGCGTGCCGTGTACGCGGACCGCGACGTGTACGTGCTGGACGACCCGCTGTCCGCGCTGGACGCGCACGTTGGGCGGCACGTGATGGAGGAGGTGGTGCTGCGCGCACTAGCTGGCAAGACGCGCGTGCTGGTGACGCACCAGCTGCACGTGCTGCCGTACGCGGACCAGGTGGTGGTGGTGCGTGACGGCTGCGTGGTGTTTGCGGGGACCCACGACGCGTACACGGAGTCGGAGTGGAAGGCGTACGTGGAGAGCGAGGAGGACGCCGCGACGGCCCAGCGGCGGGGCCCGATGACGGAGGGTGCGGTGGAGGAGGTGAACGACTTCAGCCCTGCGGAGTCGCCCGTGGTGGACGTGGCGCAGCGCATGCCATCCGCCGCACCCGCGCCGTGTGAGAAGAAGACGCACACGGCCGCGTCTCTGAAGGGCAGCGTAGGAGAGGGGAGCGAGAGTGAGCCGGACGACTTCCGCGAGCGTGAGGAGGAGCCGTATGAAGCGCGTCAGCTGCGCGAACGCCGCGGCAGTCACGTGGCCGATCTATCTTCCGACGATGACGAAGAGAAGAGCTCGAAGGCACCGTCGTCGCAGCGCGCACGCGGCAGGCGGAGTGGAGCGCAGGTTGTCGTGGCTGACGATGCGGGCGAAGAGAACCTGATCACGGCAGAGGAGAAGGAGTCCGGCCACATTCCGTGGAGCATCTACCGGCGCTACTTCGTTGCTGGCGGCGGTGTGAGTCTTGCTGCTCGGCTTCTCCTGTGCTCTTTGTTTGGCGAAATTGTTGCGACTGGGTCGAGCGTTTGGCTGACGCTGTGGTCAGTGCAGTACTTTGCTGGAGTGCTCACCACGAATCAGCAGCTGCTTATTTACCTGGCCTTCACCGTCGCCGTGCAGATAATTATTCCGACCAACGACCTCTTTTTCTTTCACTTTGCCCGCCGTGCGTCCCGCCGTCTTCATGCGACGCTGCTGTACACCGTGAGCTCCAGCACACTGACCTTCTTCGACCGCACTCCGCTGGGTCGTGTGATCAACCGTTTCAGCAAAGACATTTACACGTTGGACGATGAGCTGCCGGCTAACGTGGTTCCGTTGGTCGGCATTAGCGGCTACGTCACTACATCACTCATTGTGACCATGTACACCTCTCCCCCCACGATTGCTGTGGTGGCCATCGCCGGCTACGTGTTTTTCCGCCTCTTGCGGTTCTACACGACGGTGGTGCGCGAGGTGCGGCGGCGCGGCAGCGTGGTGCAGTCTCCGCTGTTCTCGCTGCTGGAGGAGGTGGTGCAGGGCCGCACGACGATTGCTGCGTACGGCAAGTCGCACGCCCTCTTCGCGGAGGCGCTGCGCCGGCTGGATCTGGTGTACAGCTGCACGTACATTGAGAAGGCGGTGACGCTGTGGCTCTCGATTCGCGTCGAGTACATCGCTGCCGTGATGATCATCGTGGTGGGTGTGATTGGCGTTGTGGAGAAGATCGTGGACACGTCGCCTGTGATGCCTGAAGCGCGTGTGGGACTGATCTCGCTGAGTCTGACGATGTGCCTAGACCTGAGCTGGTCGCTATCGGCACTGATCGACCTAGCCGCTGTGGTGGAGGCGAGCATGAACAGCGTGCAGCGCGTGTGCCACTACATCGACCACGTGCCGCAGGAGCCGCTGCTGCTTGCGCCGAGCGACGGACACGTTGCGGCTGCGCTGGCGAGGCGCGCGGGTGATGGTGGCGCTGCTGCTGCTGCTGCCGTGCCGCCGGCTGCGCGTGCGCGTGACGTGGTGGTGGTGAACAGCGCCGACGGCCACGGCAACGGCGACTGCAGCGACAGCGCGGAGACGGGGTCGCTTGTGCTGGAGCACGTGGACATGCGGTACCGGCCGGGGCTGCCGCTTGTGCTGCGCGACGTGAGCTTCGCGGTGCTGCCCGGACAGAAGGTGGGCGTTGTGGGCCGCACGGGCAGCGGGAAGTCGACGCTGCTGCTTGCGCTGCTGCGGCTTGTGGAGGTGTGCGGCGGGTGCATGCGTGTGTGCGGGCGCGACGCGCAGTCCTACACGCTGCCGGCGCTGCGGCGTCTGTTCTCGATGATCCCGCAGGACCCGGTGCTGTTCGACGGGACGGTGCGCAGCAACGTGGACCCGTTCGGCGACGCGACGGACGCGGAGGTGCGGCGTGCGCTGGCGTCGGTTGGGTTCGTGAGCGGTGGGGAGGGCGGTGGTGGCGCGGAGGAGGTGCCTGCGCTGGACACCGTGGTGCAGGAGGGCGGGTCGAACTTCAGCGTTGGGCAGCGCCAGCTGCTGTGCCTTGCCCGTGCGCTGCTGAAGAAGGGCAGCGCGTTCATCCTGATGGACGAGGCGACGGCGAACGTGGATGCGCGGCTGGACCAGACCGTGCAGCGCGTTGTGGCGGAGCAATTCCGCGACTACACGGTTGTGACGATCGCGCACCGGCTGCACACGGTTGCGTCGTACGACGTGATCCTTGTGATGGCGCACGGCCGCGTGGTGGAGTTCGGCTCGCCGCGCACCCTGCTGGAAGACCGCGGCTCTGCGTTCTACGGGATGGTGGCGCAGAGCTCCGCTGTGCTGTCGGCTGCTACCGGCGGTGCGGCTGGCGGCGGCGGCGGTAACCATCGCGAGGGCGACGCGGCCGTTGGTGGGCTGAGCGACGAGGAGCGCCAGCGGCGTGTGGAGGAGGCGGTGGCGTCCTTCCTGAAGGCGTGTAAATAGCGCGTAGTGGGTCTGATGAATGTGCAGGACGGCTTCGGTTTGTTAAATAGCGACGCGAAAAGCAGCGCTCCCATCTCATTTGCCTTTTCTTTGCTGCTGCTACGTTATATCTGTGTTCGGAGAGCGTGGTAGTGTATCGAATCGCAGCTGCAGGGGTGTCTCTGACTCGCCGACGTTTCACGTTGCTTGGCGGCTTCGGCGAGAGAACCCAGTCGGTGAAAATGGGCGTACTTGAGTGACCGCTGTTTTTGGTCGTATTGGCTGACGTCGGCGTGGTTTCGTTCCGTACAGTAAAGGAAAATTCATCGTGATGCGGGGATTGTCCCTCTTCAAAGAAGAAAAAACGAAAGGTAAAAGGGTTCTATTATTGGGATGTACCTCGATTGCTTGCAAGAGCATTGCATGTTGCACGTGAAGAACCTCAAGAGCGGGAAGTACGTGTCTGTTTTTTTTTTGATTCTTCTGTAGTCTAATTCTTATGCTGTCGTCTATGCTTTGATGGTGTAGAAGAGCAGCACGATAGTGTTCTTGCTCCCCCGCGACGTGCGTTTGCTGTCGAGGCAGAAAAATGAAAAAGAAGCGCTCTGTCCTGAAGCGTGACTTTGTGTGTACCGCGATATGGAGACAAGAAGTGACCGTACTGATCCTCTGAAATACATCGAAAGAAATTGTTTTGTACGTCCCGCGTATACGTGCAAATACGTTGGGCTCAAATTACTTCTGTGTTGGATCTCTTATTCTCCTAGATGAGTGGAAACATCCGGTTATTTGTCTCTGCAGGTAATGCCTGCAGCGCAAAATGTATACTCCCCTGCCATCATTGGCCCATAGCCTTTCTGGCGTTACCGTTCTTCGAATTCAGGGAAAATAATATGGTGCAGCTTTGGTTTCTCCGTCGCTTGCGCTACTTCTCTCTCTCTGTCTTTGTTATTTGTTGTGTTGGGTACGAGTGCTTTATCCCGCATCTCGCGCGCAAAACACTTCCTCACTCTCTGCCTCTTCTTTCCCTCTTCTCTCCCTCTTCTTTATGTGCCTTTGTGATGTACCGACAACGAACGCTGCATCAAAGTGCTCTGTTAAATCCTTTTTGTTTTGTTTTGTTTTGTTTTGTGATGTTAATAAAAGGCGCTGATCTCATCGCGTTGAGAGGTTACCGAGCACCGTGAGCTGTCTTCACCACAGATCATCTACGCTGATATTCTTTATTCCTTTCTGCCATATTGTGTTTTCTCCCCCGTTTTTGTGTATCTCGCTGCGCCAACGGTGGTTCTCCTTAACGTACTGTAAGGAGGACCTTCGCGACACCATTGCACATAGTTTCGTGGTCGTTCTTGTTGAATTTCACGGGTTTCTTCCAACAACAAAAGAAAAAGAAACGAGAAGAGAAGAAGTACGAAACTGTCTTATCGGTTCTATTTCAGTTTACGTGACATCGCCGCCTCTCTTTCCCCCCCACCCCCGCCCCTTAACGACGGTTCTTCGCTGTAGCTGAATTAGTAGCTCTTGGTTTTCTTTCTTATATATATAGTCTGTTTTCCTCGAAACTTTTTGGTGTCCTGCAGCGTACTGCGCTAACGTAGTTTAACGTGCAATTTGAAATCCCGCTTCTCAAATCGTTTTTGCTATCGGCGTCTACTGTGATTTCGAGTGAAGGAAAGCGAACTCTTCATACGAATAATACGAATAGTAGATAGCGGCGCATCATGGGTCTTGTCCCCTCACGTGAGTCGCTCCACGCGGCGGCCACCGCGCCAGACACGCCGCTGCCCTACATCAGCCGCCCAGTCGAGAGCTACGTGTACAAGACAAACCGGACCGAGCGCACCTTCGGCTCTGGAGTGCCGGGCGTCGTGACGGGTATGACGGCCCTACCGGCGGCGCTGCCTAGCGCGACGACGGCGGTGCTGCATGGCGCTCCGTCGCTGGAGCTGTCTCAGAAGGTCACCAACGAGCTGCCGGATGCGGTGTTCATCGACGACCCGGCCGAGGCGACGGCGGCGGTAGCGTCGGCTATGGCGGCGAATCGTCCGGCCCGACGCGGTGGCGGCAGTGGCGGGCCGAAGGGAAAAGCGCAAGGCGAAGCTCCCGGCGGCACGGCAGCCGAGGAGAGCACCGCCGCACAAGCGCTGCGCTCCGGCAAGGTCCCTTTTGTCTACTACTACGAACATCGGGTGCTGCCGCTCACACAGGAGTTTTTCCCATCGCCGGATTGCGTGCTGTTTCGGCAGCTATGGCACGCACGTCAGCAGCAGAACCCCCGCTACCACTTCCAGCTCGATCAGACGTGGTCGCCTGGCGCGTTGCTGGACCCGACGGCGCACTACGAGTCGTTTGTCCAGCTCGCCACGAGCAACTTGGCAGATGTGCAGGCGACGTGTCTCACCGCGGCTGGGGCTGCCCCGACGAGAGGGAGCGTGCTGCAGGCCCAGGCAGACCTCGAAGCTGCGAAGGCGGAGCTCAACGTGGCGGAGGGCGGCCCGACGCCGGCGAGGGGCAGTGCGGGTGGGAAGGCGGCTCCGTCACCGGTGCCCTTTGCGACTCGCGCAGCCTTCTACAACTTGGTCGTGCGTACGACGGAGGAGTCGATGCTGTACGAGAGCGACGACGCGCTGCGACACGCCGTGCGGGACGCGGCCAGCACCGGCGACGCGGGTGCGCAGCGCAGGCGCCGCCTCCGGCCCGTGCCGTGCGCCATTGTGCTGGTGCGGCGGTGCATGACCGCGCAGGAGTACCGCTACACCTACTACCTCGCCAGCCACGAGCGCCATCATCGGCCCACCGACGGCGCTGCCGCTGCTGCTGCGGACACCGTTTTTGGCGGCGTTCAAAGGGCGAATTCGGGGCCACGCCGCGGATTGGAGAGTCAGCGGCGGGATGTGCAGGCGATTGCCGTGACAGGGAATGCGGTACGCACCGCGGTGGAGGAGGCGCAGCGGGCGCTGCGTGCACGTCGTGGTCCAGATGGCAGTGCGTGGGAAGCCCACGACGAGGGAGAGGAGAGTTTGATGGTGCCGTGGCTGCAGGTGAGTGCCCCGCAGACCCCACTTGACCTCGCGGAGGTGCGCGTGGTCGGCATGTATGGCTGCTGGACGTTGGAGGAGATTTTGCGGCACTCGTTGTTCCTCCCGATGGGACCGCGTAGTGCTTCGACGGAGAAGAACGTGAACGGTGCTGCTGTCGTGTCAACGCAAGAAGCCGCACAGGACGCAGAGACACAGGCGAGAATCGATGCCATCCTGCGCCGCGCCTGCCCGCACGGTGTGCCCTCCTCGACGCTGCTCAACGTCGGCTTCTTTGAGAAGCAGGTTGGCGACAAGGAGCAGTGCCACACCTACTTCTCCCTCTGCCGGCTCTTCGCACACGGTATGCGGGAGTGCCTCCTGCGTGACGTAATTCGCGCGGCGTCCGTCTCCGTGTTAGCGACGACGCTCGGCGCTGACGACACGGGTGATGGCCCGATGGACGTGGAGAGCGAACGGGAGCGGATGGAGGCGGAGCTGCGGGAGATGAAGCGCCAGCAGGAGCACCCCACCTGGCAGCGGTTTCTACGCCTTTTGGCGGGGGAGAACAAACCGAATGGATGTGGTGGCGGTGGCGGTGGCGGTGCGCATGACGAACATTCGGCCTTCGCGGACTTGGCGAATTGTTTTCTGATCCGCTTCTCCTATGTGCCGCAGTTGCAGCTGTGTCGTCAACTCCGCCTGCTGCTTACGGGGATGGCCAGCATGTACCCGGAGCCCATCTCGCTCGAGGCATTTCAGGCGGCACAGCGACAGCGCAACGTGGCGGCGATGGCCAAGAAGCAGCACAGCACCCCCGGCGCGTCGGACGCGGAGGGGCATGGCGGGGTGGCGGTGGTGGGGGGTGGGTCTTCGAAAGGCACCACCGCACCGCCCACGCCGTACCCCGGCAGAACCGCCGAGGCCGCCTTTACTCCGCTCGCTGACCCGGCACAGGGGTCGATAACGTCCCTCACTACGAACACGCCCGATGCTGCGGGAACTCCTCATGCAGCGGGTGGGGAGCAGACGGGCGGGGTAACGCAGCGTCAGCCGGAGCCGCCTCGGCACCCGGCAGGGCCGACGCTGGATCCGGAGGCGGTCGCCGAGCGTCGCCAGGAGCACACCAGCGAGATGCAAAAACTGCAGCGCGACGGCTTCTGCTGCTACGCGTCCGACGGTCTGGTGGTGTTCCGCATTAGCCGCGGCTGCGTGGCGCGTGCGCTAAACCAGCTCGGTTTTGCTTTGATGAGGGACTCCATCGAGGCGTTGTGTGTCACCCTCACTGCGGCGGCGCCACCTCCGCTGACGTACCGTGGGGAGCTGCGACCACCCATGACAATCGGCAATGCCGGCGTGCGTGCGTCAACGCGGCCGATCTCTGCGACGGGATCCACGCGCGATGATGATGATGATGGGGATATGGCGAACTACGACGACGCAGATGCCTGCGAAGATGGGGAGCACACCACAGTAAACTCCGCTTCCGCGACATCGATAACCGGCACGGATCGTGATGGTGCGGCTTCCTTAGACGTGACGATGACCGCAGTGAGGGATTTATACTGGAACGCTGTGCGCTACTCCAGTGATGCGGCAACCGGATTTGCAGCGCAGCGACTGTTCCACCATCGCAGCAGCAGCACGGATGCTGCACCGGAGTTCCTGACACAGCTGAAAGTCGCACCCTTAGGACAGGCACCAAGTGAACTCATCGGCGTACTGCCCCGCAACCCTATTGAGCAACGGCGCGGTCGGCTGCTGCCCTTGCGCGGTCTTCTGCTGCAGGAGGCACGCGTCAATCACCTTCACGCTGCTGCCGCGACCACCGCTACTGCTGTTGACGCAGGGGCCGTGTCTGATCCGTCAGCGCACGCCAATGCGTCCTTCTTGTTCACCCAGCAGCAACAGCTCGTGAAGGTGAGCGAGCAACACCAATTCGACGTCTACACCGTCTCGGCCGATTTCGACGGGATGCCGTTTCGACGACTGGTTGAACTGACGCATCAGGTAGAGCAGCAACGCCATCGCCCGTTGTGCAGCGGCGGCGGGGGAGGGGGAGGCGGAGAGGAGTGGCCGGAGATGTTCATCGAGGCGGTAGACGCACAGGGCAACGCAGAGCTCGACAGCGTGCTCGACTGGAGTCCGATGACGGCCTTCACCAAGCGTATACGGAGGTCGGAGCATCGGGGAGTGACAAGTGTGTCGGACACCGCCACGGCCACCGCTGAAAACGCGGCTGGCCACGGCGAGGCCAACAACGGAGGGGAGGCCACCGCACCCGTGCACCTCAGCCAGACACCGCACTCCGCGCTCGACTCGGTGTCGTCCTATGTGAGCGGTAGAGCATTGAACCCGATCACGGTGCCCATCCGCGTGCACGACCCGGACCGCATTCTCCACACGGGCGACCGCATTCGCTTTGCCACCTCTCACGCAACCAGCACCGCCACCACGGCCCACACCCCGTCCACCACCGGTAACACACAGGGGCTATCGTCGCTGCTCGGAGACGTGACATCGCCATCGTCGACCTCGGCGGAGTTCATTTCTCTCCACTCCACGCCGGCCGGCACTCCTCCACGGCGTCCCCACAAAGCTGGCAGCGGTACGACAGCCGTCCGCTGCGGTTACTGGTACGTCGACGACGCCCTGACGACGGAGGACGTCGTGTTGTCGTGGATGCGGCGCGTTAGCGGGCGGGCCCGGGAGACCCGCGGCAACGACACGAAGTGGGTCCGCTACCCCAACGCGATGCTCAGCGTCCTCCTGCAGTTTGTGCGGGAGTGCCGGCAGCGGCCGAGTGGGAGCTGGCTGAACACGGGACACCCACTGCGGTTGCTGCATCCAATGGATGAGGAACTGGTGGAGTGGGACATGCTGCAGAACTTCCCTGACATAGTGCGTACGCGACGCTTCCGGCAGTGGCGCTTCTCGCACGACGGTTATGTGTATTTTCACGGTGTGACGGTGCGCATGCCTGGCTCGGCCCCGCCGCTGCAGGCTGCTCCCTTGCCGTCCCCTAAGCTGTCAGTCGCAGCTGCGCAGCCAGATACCGCAACACCGACGCCTGAGCCAAGCACCAAGCTTACAGCTCGTGATGGCCCGGCACGGGTGCGCCACGCAGATGCGGCCAATCCCGCTGCCATCTCCACCCCAGCACAGAAGTCTGCCCCACTCGGTGTTCGGCAACCCCAATACCAGCAGCAGCAACAGCAGCAGAATGTATTTGCGGGTGTACCTCGACCGCCCCCGGTTGTGCAGCGCGGCGTCTACGGCAGCACCCCACCGCACATGGAGGGTCCCTATGGCGACTCCAACCCCTACCCGAATACCAACTACCAACCGAACGTTTCCCCACGTATTGTCTACCAGATGAGTCCCTTCAACCCTAACGGTATACCAAGGCAAAAGCAGCGGCAATTCCAGCAGCAGCAGCAATTTCAGCTCGAACAACAGCCGTACCAGCAGATGCCATCACAGCAAGTACCGCCTCAACAGCCCTACTACTATGCAAACCCCGCCAACGCAAACAACGGAGTGCAGCCACCACTGCCACCGCAGCCACCGCAGCGGCAGAACAATGTGACCATGTACGTTCCCGTGACCTACACTGTGGAGCCGTACTACATGCAGCAGCCCGCCACGATCGTCTCCATACCCCAGCCGCCCGCCAACGTCAGCGTGACGCCGCCCAGCCTCAGCTCCTTCCAACACAACAACTCCAGCAGCAACAGTAACACCCTTTACTTTGGCGACACCGACGCGGCGAACGCACCCGCACGCAACGGAGGCCACAACGACACCAGTGGCCGCTCCATGGGAGGCGGCAATCAGCAGATGCACTTCTCGCTGCACCACGTTGATAGTGAAACTTCTCTGCGCTCCTACGACCTGGCAGCGTCGAATGCAATGCTGGAACCTACACGCGTCACGGGCAGCTTCTACGGTGAGTTCTGCGGTCAAAGTCCGCAGCAGCTCCAACAGCCACCACCAGTTCCGCCACAGCAGCAGCCGCAACAGCTGACACCGCTTATGGGCGCCAGTATGCACAGCACTTCGGACTGCCGCAACGAGGCGTGGCAAGGTAGCGATGCGCAGGCTTCGCAGGGGATGCAGACGCCCGACGGGAGCGCGCTGACGTCCACCCCGATGCACCAGGATTTGCAGACGTGCCCACCCACAACCGGCGCGGATGTGAGAACCAATCCCGGCATTCCCCATGCGCTTCATGCGCTCACCGCGCAAGGCGGCACGCAGCGCATGAGCCTTCACCCGCAACCGCAACAGCAGCGCTACGACTCGGTGCAGGGCAGCAATGTCAGTCGTCGCAGCACGGCCGACTACCCGCCCAGGCGCATCGGCGCAACGTTCCTAGCTGGCGGTAACAACAATAACAGCAGCAGCAGCGGTAGTGGTGATGGTAGTGGCGGTAATGGCAAGGGTACGGCTCTGGCCACGGTGGCGCATCCCACGGTGCAGCGGGCGGTGAGTCGGCCGATCCAAACCGTTCACGTTGACCCGACAAAGCGCGAGGTGGTGACGACTGCCGGTGAGACCGGCGCTCCGCTGCGTCTGCCCATCCCGAAGATTCGCACGGCGCAGCGTCACGATGAGCCGAGTGCGCCGACACCTCTTCATTCGCAACAGCAGCTGCAGGGGCCAGTATCGATGTCTCCGCATCTCAGCTCTGCCTCGGGCTCCTTCCGCGACGTCGCTGCTGCCGCTGCTGCTGGGGCACCGACGGACGTCATCGAGGCCGACGGTATTACGGTGCACGTGATGCAGCGGAAGCCGTCCGTGGCGCTGCGACGAGCCATGACATCTGTTTCCCTCGTGTCCCCCGTCTCCGCGCGTCGCACTGCGTGGAACTCTTCTTCTTTCAATGGAGGCGGTGGAGGCCCACTGTCCCCACAAGCCGTTAGCCACCACACGAGCGGCTTCCCCCACACCGCCAGCACCGGCGACGTGGAGGCTGCAGCAGCGGCGGCCTGCTACGGCGCTATGGGTGTCTCCCCCACCGGCGGCGTTGACGCGACCATCACAGGAGCGGGACCCACCACCGCCGCCTCCGCCACATCCCCCGAGGACTGTCCAGACATGTTGGCGCTAGTGTCCTACGAGATGCCCGCCGCCTTGACACCGATGAGCAGCTCCCAGGCAAACTCGTCCCGTGCCGGTGGGGGGACGCGTGCGACGGCCACCGGCGTGACGACGCCTCCTCAGCGACACCGCAGCGGGCGGGTGGCTCACAACCCGTACGCGACGCACGACATGGGCACTGCGCACGCCGCGACGTCCCCCACTACCACCACATCCACCCTGGCGCACACCTCGTCCTACACCCACGGTGGTGGTGGTGGTGACGCGCACGGTGGAACGGCGACGAGTGGCCGGGCGCAGGAGCTGCCCAGAGGACCGAGCGGGCAGGACGCCTTCCAGGCGGCACTCGATGCGCAGTACGGCGGCAGCAACGACTTTGGCGCGGCGGCGGGCCGCGTCTCCTCGTCCTACCTCGCGCCGCAGAAGACCACCTCCGCGACAGCGCACGGCGTGCTGTACAGCCGCAGCGGCGGCAGCCTCACGGCAGAGGTGCAGGAGAAGCACAACTCCTTCTACGCCGCCCCAGAGGGGGAGGGAGAGCCGGTGCAGTCGTACTCGAGTCACGAGATGTACCGCGACCGGATCGCAGACGGCACGACGCAGGGCTTCTACTTCTCGATGGACGGCCCGAATGAGGAGGAGGGCAATGCAGCACAGCAGCTCTACGGCAGAGATGACAGCGCTGGCGGTCGAAGCAGACAACGACTGGAGGGCTCGCTGACGCGCACCGGCAGCACGCCCTACGGCAACATCCCCGCTCCTCCTGCCCTTCATCGCTCCCAGCGTGGCTCTTACCAATGACGGTGCGCACCGTATCTGTAGGTGGCGCACCCACGTGGGCGTCAAAAGTTTTTTCTTTCTTTCTGACTGTCTTAGCAAGGTGGTGCGGATTGAAATGATAATTAGATGCGTTGTATAACGACTCGTGCTGCCACCGAATCTCTTCGTTTATGGCGTTTACAGCAACGCTGTTCTTCATTTTCTTGTTTTTAAAGTTTCTGTAAAAAAGCGTTCTTTCTTTCTGCTGTTCTCCATTTTTCCCCGTTGTCCCACACCGCTGATTTGTACCTTTTTCTTTCCCGTGGCAGTTTTTGTTTTCTCCTTCACTCGCATTACGAAAGTGCGCTTCATTGATTATAGTCGTCTGCCCGTCTGTTTTTGTTTCTCACCTTATATATATATATTAACTGCTTCACGCATGCAGCAGATCAAAAAAGAATGCGTGAGGGCTATGCGAATACGTAGACGAGGCTTCTTTCTCTTTTTTTCTTTTACCCCTCTTCCGCCGCAGTGACGGGGGACACTACAGTGCCTACTTCTGCGAGTGTTATTACCAACTGCCTCGCCCGGTGCTACTACTACTACTATGTATTTTCGTTGCAGTTTCTCTTGCCGTCGTACTCGCCTTTGGAGGTATTATGATAGATTTTATAATTTTCTCTTTCTATGGATATGACGAGCGAACGTGTGGGATATTATGCGACGGAGAACGCAATCAACGCAGTATAAACACATCTATATATATATATATATTCCTTTTAACCCTCCTTTTCCCTTGTGTTTCTTTCTTCTTCATGTGCTGCTTTAGAGTGCTACGGCCACGCATGTGCATCATGTCGTTTTTTATTCCTTTTCCGATGCGAATGTACTTACATTGACTCGATCTCACTTTCTGTTGTTTACAGTAGTTTAAAGTTTTTTTTTCTCTGTGTTTTGCCAATGTGAGTCGCTGTAAGGGACTCCGTTTTTTTTGTTTGTTAAGTAGTCTCTTTTGTATGCTAGCGTGTTTGTGTGGATTCCTGTGCTGGTTCTTGTGATGCGCGCGGTGTGCATTTGAATGTGTAGGACAGAGAGAGAAAAAAAGGGTATGTTGACCGCGCAATAACGTTGTCCCATTGCTTCAGCTGATGATCTTCCAAGAAAGAAACAGAGAAAATCAAGGAGAGCCTCTGTGCTGGAGCTGCCACCGTTAAGGAGAATTTCTCAAAGTGCCCTCGATGTGCTTTCTGGCGAGGGCAACGCCGCCCTTTGCAGACTTCTACCTGTTCTGTGATGCAGGTGTGCGATGTGAACCGCCCTTCTTAAATAAGTATTTGAGTTCAAGATTCAACAATAAATGTGCGTCTCGGAGAGCTTTTTTAAAAGCCCCTCTACTTTGGTCGGGAGAGGGTGGAATCGCCGCGTGCGCTCTCCCTCTTCGCGCGGCAACAACTCGCACTTCTCATCTTCTCTCATCTTCTCTCTTCTTCCTGTATCTTTCACCTCTCTCCCGATCAACTTTGCTGGCCGTCGCACTGATCCTTCTGCCGGTTTGGCAGAATTGATTTCAGCTACTTATCCTTCTTTTATATATATATATATATATATATTTTAAAATAGCCTTCCTTTAGCACGAGTGTGTTTCGGGAGGTGACCTAACTTTAAGAAAGGGAAAAATAATAGTCCCCCTTTTCTGGTGTTCGTCGCGTGCTTTACCGTTAAAATTAAACCCTATCGAAAAGAAAAAGAAGCGCATACGTCTTGCATTCATTGAGCCGCGTTCTTTTTCTCTCGTCTCTCTTCTCTTTTACTGGCGTTTTCACTTCTTTCTTTTCCTTTTCTAAATCCGAACATTAGCAAGGAGGGCAAAGAGAACTTTGTCGGATCCAGCTCAAAGGCGGAAGACGGCCAGCACGTATCGTTACCACAACGCGATATCAGGCTCTTGCTTCTTCACTTTGACTGTTACTCACTTCCTCTTTTCTTTAAGAACAAATCTCCTGCTCTCTTTCTATTATTTAACGTAAACTCACACGCCTGCTGAGAAACTCTCGCTGTACGTTTTCGATTGAAAAAAAACCCCATCAGTGAACGACTTACTTCACAAGCTACCGTACTTATCGTTTACACAGCTGGAAGGAAATAGAAGAAGAAAAGAAAGAATAGCGGAAGGCAGCCTGTTCTGTGCAAGAGGATTCAAAAGAAAAGTAATTCTCTGGTCAGACAAACTACAACAACAAGAAGCCCTCCCACCGCACGCTGATAAGAAAACGAGGAAATTCACCCAAAGCTTGAATTTGGCGGATACAGCGGATTTCATATCGTCGGATAGCAATTATCTTTCGTTAGTTGTTACGTATACATATTGTGGAGGTTGGTCCGTGACAACCTTCTTTTTGCCTACCTTTTCTTCTCTTTTCATTTTTTTTTCTGGTTTTCACGCAGTACCTTCGTTATCCCTTTCGTTGTTTTCTTCTGTAGTTGGTGTTCACAAGATCTGCTGTTCCAAGGTGTCGACAAATACTATTTATTCGACTGAGGAACGCGGAAACGAAAAACAACCACAAAACACTTACAAGCAGACATGCGAAGGGAGCGACCCACGACGTGATCCAACGCTTTACTTTCTTTCAAAAAGTCTCTTTTTTTATTTTGCGATCACACGAGTTGTAGGTGTTGACAGTGTTTGTTTCCTTTGCAATTGTAGCGAGATAAAACGAAACGGTGAATTCGTGGAAGAGGAGAAAAGCCGCGGACGACCCAAATTTTGCAGGGAGAAAAAAACATTTCTTTTTGAATCTGCTTCTATTTTACGATAAAGAGTAAAACGAGTGTGTATGGCTTCATATTTTGAGAAGTAGTAAGAACAAGTCACTTCCGCGCTCGTAACCCTTTTTTTCTTTCTGGTTTTCTGTCGTTCCCTGGTGTGTCAAGTACATCTTTGTTGGTGCGGAATAATTTTAACCTGTTGTGAGGAAGTGATATATTGTCAAGCAACGAAGTAATCTGGCATTCTACGAAGGACATTCGACTTTGTGGTGTTCGACTACTTCGCTGTTACTCCACGGTATCACTTTGCACGTTGTTGTTTTTTCTCTTGTTTGAACTCCTCTTTCTCTCTCTTTGATCAGGCTATATATACATCTATTTGTAGTTTTCAATTGACACAGCGGAGAAGAAATTTCTCTGAATCCCTTCTCGATTTGACAACTTCCCTTTTTTTGTTTTGTAGTTCTTTGTTCTGTTTCTTGTTCTCTCTCGCGTATTTCGTCCGTCAACGCCGCATCTCCCTCTTCTTCTTTACAGTGCCGACAAGAGGAAGGACGAGAGAAACAACAAACATCATCGTCTGGGTAGCGCGCTGCGGCACACATACCGTCGAAGGGAAAGAGCTTCATCGGCTTTCTATTATTATTATTATTTTCTCCTGCACGCGCTGACAGTCGAACCTCCCCCAAGGACGACAGGACTGCCCCATCTTCAAACTTCTGACGGCTGCGTAACGTACGTGAGCATTTTCCATTACTTCTTCGTCTTGCACCATCGCCGTTCTTCCTCACGTGGAGTGTAAGGTGAACACTCTGGAGCTACAAGCACAACGCTCAGAAAAAGACGGAAACGAGTCAATAAAGGCGGCAACAAAGCCGGCTTCGGCGACTTGTGTCTTCCATCTCTTTTTTTTCCTTTTCATCTTCGTCTGCTATCATTCAGCGTTTGGTCGTGCTACTTAGTTTGTTTGCTTTTTGTTCTGTTAGTAAAAAGCTGGATTCGGTCCCAAAGACAAGAGGAGAGCGGACCCTGGTGAGCGGGCGTTACGGCAAATAGACTCTTCTTTCCTTTCTGGTTCAGTTGAAGCGAGTGCGTGCAGACTGGATATCAAAAAGAAGAAAAGCACCGTTTTTAAACTCTCAACCGTTTTCCTTGGGGCGTAGTGTTGGCAAAAACTTACCTTCTTTATTCTAAAAAACAATCCCTATACGAGGCTGTGTAATTCAGTAGCGCGCTGCTTCTGTTCATCGAGACATAAAACACTCGGTGCTAATTCTTTCACTTCGTTTTGATATATATATTTTTTCTCTGACTGAAACTCGTGGACGAAGCGGCGGCTCTCTGTTATTCTTTTGCGGCTGGTTTTTGTGGTTTTTTGATCCGCTTTTTTTTGTTATAGAGGCGCATACGAATTCGTGTTGTACATTTATTATTGTATTTAATAACTGTCGGGAGGGCGAATTGAAGGCGATTGAAGCGATGGGCGCCCTTCCGAGTCACGAGACACACGAGCGCGGCCTCTACAGCCACCGCCACGGCCGCAACCGTCGCAACGAGATCATTCTCATCCCCCTCACCACTGCCTTCTTCCCCAGCCCGGACTGCGCCCTCTTCCAGCACCTCTACAACTCCCGCTACCGCCGCACCGCAAAGTACTACTTCCGTGCCCTCCGCAGCGCCCAGACGCCACGCGAGACGGACTACTTCTGCACCACCACCGCCATCAACGAGGAGGCGGAGTTTGAGAGATTCTACAAGGACTATCTGGAGAAGCGGGAGCTGCAGGGTGGGAAGTCAGCGAGTGCGGCGGCGGGGTCGGGGGCTGGCGGAGGGGGAGCACCACCGCGCCCGTCAGCGACGTATCCCCGACCCCCACCCCCACCAGTTTCCGCCGCCGGCGTAAACGGTTCGACGGTGCCGCTGCCGCAGTCTCCGCAGGACTCCCTCAACGCGCAGGGAAGTCCACCTAAAGTCGGTCCGATGGACTTCCGCAGCTTCGCCGACTCCCGCGAGGGCCTCTACCAAGTCTTGATCCGCGACAACGAGCCGGGCGTCTTCGACACCGACGAGGAGCTCCGGCAGGCCTACTGGAAGCAAATTCAAGAGCAGCAGACAGAACGGCAGCGAGTGTATCAGGCACAGCAGGGGCGTCGTGCCGCTGCTGCTGCTGCGGCCAATGCGGATGCAAATGGAGTGATGCCCCCGCCTCCCCCTCCACCGCCGCCACCACCACCACCACCGTCCTCTGCGTTCGTCACATCGTCGTCCGTTGGCGGCGTTGGCGGTGGGGCGTCCCATGCGGGTCCTACCGGGAGCGATGCCTTCGCTACTCGAGCCCTTCCCCAACATCAGCCACCACAGCCGCCCCCACCGCCGCCATCGACGGCAACGCCGACCAAAGCCGTCCCACTCGCCGCCTCCGCCGCCGCCATGACGATGATGTCGATGGACGAACTCTCTTTCGATGACTTCGTCTCCGGCTACATCGCGGCGAAGCGCTACATGAAGGGCAAGCCTGTCCACACGCGCTTCAGCACCACCGCCGCGGCAGACGTACGAGGCGACCCGATCCACCCAGCGGATGGCGCGGTGGGCAGCGCGGCGGTCCCGCACGAGTACGCCGCCAGCCACTACAGACACGTCACCTCCCCTTGTACCTACGACGTGCGCCCGCTGCCGTGCGTCATCGCGTCCCGCTACGATCCCGGCAAGCCGCAGCCGGTGGACGACCCCCTCTACGTGCCGTTTGGGGATTCTTATGTGAAGATCATGGGCATGTTCGGCTTCTTCCCCGCCACGGTCGGGATGCGTCGTGCGACAGCAAACGGTGCTGAGACGGCAGTGCCCGCAGAGGGTGGTAGGGACAGCAGCGGCAGCGCTGTGGAAGGCGGGTCTGCGCCGGCGCCCCGTCGGTTCTTCCCGCGCAAGGAAGGCCACAGCAACGGCGACGACGACATCGATGAAGCGACGGACGTGGAGCAGCACCTGTTGAAAGGGACGATGTTTGTGGACAAGGACGTCGGCGACCAAATACTCGGCAACATGGTGATGCTCGCCACCTACATGTACGTGCGGCAGTGCATCGAGACGCGCATCAACCCCCAGGCCATTCCGATGCTGCCCGTGCTGATGCGCTTTCCGCTGTCGAACATACCGATGCTGCAGTTTGTGCGGGAGTTCCGTGTGCGTCTGCGCAGCCTGCTGGAAGCTGGGACGGCGAAGGCGGGTCAGAAACCCGTCCACATCGGCATGAGCGGCTTCAACCCCGAGGACCTCGCCGAGCCGCACCACCCGCAGGTGCAGCGCCTGGAGGAGGAGGGCTACCTCTTTGAGCCGGATATCCCCACCGCGACCTCGTACAGTCAGCTCTTCATGTCCGCCGAGCAGGCGAAGAGCACCAGCGCCCCGCTGCGCCGCCACGCCGGCATGAACACGAAGGAGTGCGGCAAGTACCCGATTATTATGATGTCCGGCTTCAACGTGCAGTCCACCCCGCTGCGGCACCCGGCGCTGAACACGACGGGCTACCCACCGGCGATGGCCGCGGCGGCGATGGTGGCGGCGGCCTCCGCCTCGTCGCACCGGTGCAGTCCGCAGTCGCGGTCGATGCCGGCGTCGCCTTTCACGAATGAGATGCCGCAGGGGGTGGGAGGCGGGGTCGGTGGTGTGGGCCGCGTCCCCACGTTTCCTCCGACCGCACCGCCGCCGCCGCTGCTGCCGGGGCAGGCTGGCGCGGTGACGAGCACGGCGAGCACCCACAACGGTGCGCCGCCACCGCCGCCACCGCCGGCACCCGGCGCGACGGACACTTCCCCCACCACACCCGCAGAGGAGACCCGCAAAATCGCCCTGCTGCACCGCCGTAAGCAGCGCTTCCGTATCTGGGTCGAGGACGGCCACATGTGCATCTGGGCCAGCGCCGCCTACGCCCGCCGCGCCGCTCTCATCATATCGCAGCAGCTCAACACCACCGTCGACAGCAACTCCGTGCCGGAGCAGCGCTCGTGGAATTACCGGGGCCTGCTGCACGCCGGGATCACTGTGCCCCCGCCGCGCCACGTAAACGACGTAATTATGGTGGCGGAGGATATCCCCCGGCTGGGGCTGTGGCAGGGCGATGTACTGCGCTGCTGCACCGATGCGGAGCTGCGGACCATGAACGAATCGAACGGCACCGCCCCGCTGCCGCTGCCGTGCTCCACAGACGACGTGAAGGACAAGCCGCGCGCGTTTACTGCTGAGGCACTCCAGTCGTACGCCAGTTCTCCCGCATCCTCACCGGCAGCTGCCAAGCCAACGGCGGAGGCGATTGGATCGGTGGTGAGCCCCACCAACAGCACCAGCATTGTGGAGAGCAACAGCACGTACGCCGTCTCCGGCGCCGACGCGGCGGGCGTCGCTAACACCAACGGCAGTGGCAGCAGCACCGCCGCTGCGGGCCATGTCAACTTCACCAGCAACCACATCAGCAACCCCCTGCTGCAGGAGAAGGAGCTCGCCCCGCCGGGAGCCTTCTGGGTCCGCGGCGCCGGCGGCCTCGACGACTCCTTCACGAACATCACCGAGACGAACATGCCGCCGCACCCAAAGGCGGAGAAGCAACTGCAGCAGGCCGCGATGCAGCGCGCCAAGAAGGCCGCCGCCGCCGTCGCCGCCGCGCAGAGCAACGGGAAGAGGCGTCGCGGCCTCACCTCGGAGGCGGCCGCCGTCGCTGCGGCGCAGCTCTTCGTCGACATCGACCGCCGTGAGGGCACACTGAACATCGAGGAGGTGGTGCTGGCGTGGATTAAAGTGGTGGCCATCCTCACCCGGGACTCGACCGAGGAGGACCGGGCCTGGGTGCGCGATCCGCAGGGCAACCCGGTCCGCGTGGACCGCTACGTCATCCGTCGCTACGAGCACGACGGTGTGCGCTTCTTCATTGGCGTCACGCCGCGCTTCGTCGGCCAGCAGCGCCGCATTGAGAAGGTCCTGGGTGAGGTATACGCCCTGGAGGAGCGCGAGGGGCGGCGGCGGCGGGAGCTACAGCAGGGCAGCGACGATGGCATGGACGACTACGATATCGATATGGCTGGCGATGACGGTGAGGATGGCTTCGGCAGCGGCGGTGGTGGTGTTCATCGCCCGGCGTCTCTGTCGCTGGTACCGCACCACAGCGATCACATCTCGTACGCGATGGGCCTGCACTCCTCCACTGCTGCTGCTGCTGCTGCTTTGGGTGCGGGTGGTCTCTATCACGATGTATGGGGTGCGCCCGGGGTGCCACCGATGACCACGGCACCGGCGGCGGCGGTGGTGGCCGCAGGAAGTGCTGGCGCAGCAGCACCGCCGGTGGGGGACGCGGCGAGGAGGGCGTCTTCTTCTTTGCCTTCGTCTCGCACGGCGGCGGGTGCGTCGCGGCGGGGCACGGCAAGCCCTCCAGCGTCGAACACGAATGAGTCCGCGGAGCGCAGTTCGCGGCTGGCGTTCGCGGCTGTGTTTGGCGGCGCCGGTCCCGCTGTGCCACCGGCGAAGATGACGCAACACGCGGACCTTGTCGGTGGTGGCTTTGAGGAGGACGACTTGCTGGAGCGCTACAAGTCGGACCCCCTCTTCTTCGGCGACAACGATGACGAGTAGAACAGAAAAAGAGAGAAGCAATGAAAGTGTTTCCCGGCGCGGTGTAAGTTCAACGGGTGAGAACAGAAACAGAATGAACTCGTGTGCATTATTCATTTTGAGGAGTTTTATTCTCCGAGGCGTTTTCCTCCTTTTCCCTCTCTTTCAGTGGCAGGCGCCGTTTCTGTCGCGAGGGGAAGAGAAAGAAAGACAATAGAAAGGAAAATCCAGGTACACGGCAATGGACGCGTTGCGGTGCGCAGGACAGCTGCCAGCGTTATTTCTTTAATTGTTGATCGTCTTTCCGAATGCACTGGGAGGCGCGAACATCGCGTCTACTACGAATCGTAGACGTGCTTTGGTGCCTTCGAGTGCTAAAAATGATTTCGTTTCTTATGCAAAAGACTAACAAGACAGTTGTCAACGGCAATGCGCTCTGCGTGTTGGGAGGGGACGCTGGAGCGCCTGTGCGTCGTGTCACGTGTGCCGTGAGCGCCTGACTCCCGTTTCTCCGGAAGTGGTTTTTGTGGAGAGCGTTGGGTCACTCGTAAGCAAACGGTAATGATGAAGGATGCCATCCGTATTTTTTTCTTCTTGTACCGTTTTTACAGTATTCAAAATAAAAAAGAAGACTGTTTGTGCGGAACTCTATTATAGGTCTGTTTGTCAGGTTCACGTACTGGTGTATTTCAAGCTGGTTTCTGAGTTGCGTTGTATCTATATATATCTATTGATACACTAATCTGGTCATCTCGCCGTTAAGGATCAAATGTATGTGTCGCATGGACACGTAGCGGTGGCACCCCCCTGTTCCCTCCCCCACCATGCCGTGTGGAAGGAGAATGGTGAGGTGAGAAAACACTCCCACGCATCTTGCTGTTAGGGCAGCAGAGATATAAAGCAAACCGCCTCTTCGGCCTTTCTGGTGTTCTTGTGGCGCCCCTGTGCCGTCCTGCATCTGCTCGATGTTTTTTTATATTTCTCCTCATGATAGGACGCGCAGCTGAGTGCTCTCAGTTTGCTTGCAAGTGTCACCGCACTGTCTCTTCGTTGCCTTTTCATTTTCTTCTCTCCTCCGTCTTCACAACAGTAAAGCTTCTGTCGCCATCAACAGAGGCTTATTATTCCACTCCTCACCGCTGTCAAGCCCAATTTTTTTAGCTCGCTGTTGCTTTCAACCCTTCTTCCCACTGCCGCATACACACACACACACAGTCTAAAAAGGAAAGAACGGAGTAAATCCGCACATTGCCACAATGCCGCACGCACCGCAGTCGACGGGGCAGATCACCTGCCAGCAGTGCCACGTCACCCTGGCCTACCCCATCGGTGCCCCGTCCGTGCGCTGTCCCATGTGCTCCTCGGTGACCCCAGTCCAGCAGTTCAGCGTCACCTGCGTGTGCTGCCGCTGCATTTTAATTCTGCCGCAGAACACCAGCCTGGCCATGTGCCCGCGGTGCCGCACTGTCATGTCGATTCCGGCTAGCATCCGCGAAGGCCACAGCGGGCCGCAGGCGCCACCGAAGCAGTGCGTGTACATTGACCGGCCGCCCACAGTGGACTCGTCCGGGTCTAAGGTGACGCACTTAGCCGTAGGCACGAAACTGGATGATGATAAGCCTCGTGAGAAGCGCTAACAGGAAGAGAGGAAAAGAAGCAGCCATACACACACACAATCCAATGTGAGGCGGGAGGAAGTTCCCGATGAAACGGACACCGATGAGACTTTTTGCGCGTGCGTGTGCCCAGGGACATATCTTTTTCTCTTCCGTTTTAGCGGCTATCAAATAGTGTTTACTGTCCTGTATTTCTCTTGCTTTAGACCTTCTTTCAATTGCTACTCATATCTTTCGTCTTGTGTTGGATGTACTTTTCCTTTCTTCCTTCTCGTATTTTTATGAATGCGGTTGCGTTGCGTTGCGTGTATGCATGCACTGGTTACGTTGTTTACCTTACGGTCTTGTCTGTGTTTTTCATTCGGATGCTGCCAACGTTTTGTTTTCTTCTTGCTGTCTTTTCCTTAGTCTCTTTTTCAGTTTCTCCTTCCTTTTCGTTGTGGGTTTTTCGACTACCTTCTCGAGCACCGTACTTTACCTATTCTGTCGCGTAAGACGCACCTCACTGAGTTTCCGTCAACCACCACCATTGAACACTTCAATTTTGATCTCCTTTTTTTTTTTATAGTGAGATGAGTGGAGTGGGATCATACGGCGGAATTCTTCAGTTCATTTCCTCCAAGGCTGACGAAGCGAGCGTACTGCGTGTTTTCCATTTACTACTAGCTCTTCCATATTTGTGCTCTTATCTTTTCTTAAAAAGAAAAAAGAAAACAATGAACGAGAAGAATCACGACGTAGCATGAAGAAATGTACGTCAACGGTGCAGGTTTTGTTTTTTCTTGGACGCAGCACTGCATTCCTTCTGCGCTATTACGTGAGAGGGCAGCGCGATTCCATCCCATGCTTCGCGAGCATTACAACAGTGTGCGTAAGCTGCGGCGGTATTGTCCACGGAGCTCTCCGCGTGCGTACTCCCACCGCTGCCGACCTTAAGAAAAGGAGACAGCGGCAAAGTTCGTTGAAGATGCTTCCGCTGCAGCAAAAAGAGACGCTTCTCTTTCCGCCCTTTTGCTGTCTCTCGTTTGGCACTCGCTGCGTGATTCCGTATATGCGTTTTCCTGCGCACTTTCCTCTTCTCCTCTTCCTCCGCTTCTGCCACGCTACAATAACCCGTCAACGCGGAACTGAAGGGATGCGCTGCTTGGACGGTGCTACTTCTGTGTAACCTCTTTTTTTTGTCTCTATAGGCATTCTTCAGAGCGGCATTTTTTCTTTTATTATTTTTTGTTTTCCCTGGAACGACGCATTCATTATTCCAACAAAAGAAACTACATGGAAACAATCGCAAGCAAGGCTTTTTTAAAACTCCCCGTAAGGTGTGCCTTAGGCTTATCTTTCCTGTACAGAGAAAAAATACTCAGACCTTCACCTTCACCATCACCACACCTTCGTCGGCGATTTATCCGTACTCTTTGTCGATCCTCCAGCTACCAGCGTGCTCTACGCAGCTGATCCAGTCCTGCGCACATATCTTCCTGTATTTGTTTCCCACTGGCATAAATATATACACTTGAACCTCTTCTCTTCTGTGGCGTCTCTCATGCGTTCAGAGACGAACAACGCGTGGGCCGAGGGCTCCGGCGAGGACCCGCAGCGACCGAGCGAGGGTGACGTGGGCCGCTACACCGACAACAGCCAAAGCACCTCGCAGGCGCAGACGTGCAGCGACAGCCGCGAAGCCAGCGGCGCTCGCGCGACGGTGTCACTGCCCAGCAGCGTCGTACTCCGCAGCAGCCGTGGTCAACGAGAAACGGAGCCGCGGCCGCCGGTCGCCAGCCCGCCACCGCGGCTCCCGGCGAAGTACGCGGCACAGATGGCCACTGCTGTTGCGGATACCCCAGCTGATACGTCTGCGGGGTATCACGATAGAGGAACACACAGCAGCGCTTCAGGTGCGATGTACTCGAATGATGATGAAGAGGTATTAGAGTACGTGGAGGACGAGTCAGAAGGTGAAGAAGGCGAAGAGGGAGAGTGGGAGGAGGTGGGCGATGAGGAAGAGGAGGAGCAGGAGGAGTCGGAGTCGGCTGAAGGTGCGCGTGCACTGCGGTTTGACTCAGAGGAGAGCCGTGCAATGTCATCGCAGCCCACTGCGTTCATCAACACTGCCTCCACCTCTGCTGCAGCTGTGTTCGCCACTCCGCATGCAGCCGCCGCCGCGGCAATAGCAAAGCACGCCAACGAGGCGCAGGTCACGTCGGGGCCGAGCAATGCATTTCGGCGGGCAACACCAAAGGCACGTGCCGGCTACAGCGTTGGCTACACCCCAGCGGACGCGCAGTCGTCGTCGGAGACTCCGCAGGCGTCGCCCTCACGCCATCAAGGAGGTACTGCAGAGGCCCATAAAACTGCTGGCGAATGCACCACAGCCCCTTCCGTCACTTCGGTTCTTGACGCTCGTCCTTTCCGCACCGCTGCCGCTGCGGATACCGATGCAGCTGCATCAAGTAGACACGCCGACTCTCCAGTGGCCACAGCAACAGCAACGGCAGCATCAACAGCACCACCAGCTCTGTTCGCATACCAAGGGAACGTGGCGTTCCCGTTGAGCACTTATATACCCCCTAGCGCCCCGAACACAATGGCGGCACCCAACGACGTACCTCTCAAGGCGTCGGCGACTTCATTTCCCTCTGAATCGTTCCCGGTGGATCACACTCCATCTGCCGCAACTGGCGAGTACTCCGTGTCCGCTACACCGGGAGACGATGCAGCAAATTTATGCGTTTCTCTGACGCCTGCGGAGGCCGCAACGCCGTTGCATCGCGATGTCGACACACCCGGCTCGTGTCCTCCGGGTGTTTCTCCTCCCCACGCCGCCGCCGAGACCGCCGCAACGACCACCGTGTTTGGGCAGCCGTCTCGTCACATTCAAACACCTGCAGAACCAGACGTACCGACGACTTCGACGGGAGTTGCTGGTGCTGAAAAGGCCGAGGACACGCCGGCCAAACCAGCCAGTCCGGTGCAACCGGCAAAGCCTTTTAGGTCTTCAACTCCAACGATGCTGCAACCTGCCGTTGGCGCCGCTGCGGCTGCGGCAGTCCCAACGAGTGGTGCGGGGCTCCTCCATTCCACAACGGCTTCAGAGCCAGTCCCCAACTTCTTTGCGGGCTCGTCTCACGCCGGTACCTTCACACGAACCGAAAAGAAACCAAACATTTTCCCTCGCACCTCTGTCGAACCCGCAGCACGGCCAGCCGCACCGTTTGCCGGACTTGTTTTGTCGTCTGCTACGACTTCACGCTGCACCGTTACGGCCGCAGTACCGGCGGCTCCCACAGCGGTAGAGGCAGCGGGCATCGTGCACACGTCTGTCCCGCCGCCTTCTCCAACTCAAGAGAGGACGCCTCGTCGAAAGGAAACAGCGAAAGCAACGGAGGGTGCCGCCGCGACGACGCCACCGCAGCAGCCACCGCCATCGGAGAGCTCGTCGGCCGCTCCGTCACGCCTCTTTACGTCTCTCGCCCGAAGTCCCGCCTCCGTCGCCGTGAAGAGTCAACAGGATTGGAAAGCGCCGACAACGGTCTCTGTGGTGCGGCACGACGTCAGCTCCACCACGTCCTCGCCGGTATCGCCGCAGCGACCCACCGCAGGGCTTGTCGATGTGCGGCCGGCGAGTTCGAGTCGGCGGAGCTCCTCGGTGGACTACAGTACCATGGTGGGCTCTCCCAGGTTTGCGAAGGAAGAGGAAGAGGACGGAGAGGAGGAGGTGGAGGGAGGAAAAGGCGACGCTGTCGAGGTTGACGTGGACAACGTTGCTGCTGCTGCCACTGCTGCTGCGACGACGTCGGCGGAAGCTGTCAAAGCCTCCCTTCTTCGGTCTTCCACTCCAATCAACGTTGTGACCGTTCTACCGAGCGCAGCGGCGTCGGCTGACAACAGGAGTGCTGAAGCGAAGCACGCGCGTCGTGCTGCGGTAGGTCGGAGTAAGACGGTGGAGGACATCCTCGCCGTCATGGAGGAGGCGGGCGCGGCGGAGGATATTCTGCGGTCAGCGTGTGAGCGGGAGGAGGACCACGTGCGAACCATCTCTGCGGCCTCCTCCTCCTTCACCCCGCCGGTCGACTTGGGTAGCGGAAGGAGTGTGGGCCTCCACCGGTGCGACGCGTTGCCCGACGAGGGCTCCGCCGCGGCCGCAGCGAAGCCGGCAACGGTGTTCTACGTCGCACATGTGAAGCCGCCGACTCCCCCGCCGATTGCCCTGAAGGTCACGGTGACACACTTCTACAATTACAGTGAGGGCGAAGGGAGGTGGCTTGCGGCACCGCACAAGACTCGCCACGCGATGAACGTATCGTCAGAAACACCGATGGTCCATACGCTGCCCTCCTCCTCTTCCTCCGCCGCCGCCGCTGATGCTGATGCTGCTGCTTCGTTGGAGGTTGCCCTTTATTGTCGCCCGCTGCTTGTCCACCTGCCCCGGCCTCCTCTTCCCACGCTACTGCTCCTCTACGCGGAAGGGAGAAGCGGCCCGTTGCGCAGAGCTGCACATGCAGCTCGCTATGTTTTTGGCGTCTTGCTTCCAACGATAGTGCGTACTGCTCTGCAGCTCTTGATTGCAATCACACTGCTTGTGATTTGCACTTTGGTGTTCGACGAGCTGTGGCGGGAGTACCCGGCTGTGCGAGTTTGGGCTGCGCAGGTGGGAGGTTATGTGCAGCGCATTCCGTTACCAGATTTTTGAGAGGGGGTGAAGGGCAGACGGTGGGGAGGAAAAGATAGTAATGGATGCTACACACATGTGTGTGTGTGTGTGTGTGTGTGTGCGGAGCGTATTATATGCGTGCTAGTATGTGTGTTTTGGCCCGTTGAGGCTCTATCGTTTTCTCTTGTATTCATATACTTTGAAATGGGCACTTCCTTCTAGAAGGAATGCATTTCCCCAAATCAGACGCCTGCAAGTGACATTCTGTATTGAAATAAGACGCATCGCCACAAAAAGCATACCTCCACCTGGGTCGTGGTAAGAGTTGCGGATTCTCTTCGTCTTTTAGAAGGCCAATATGGTCGATGCTGTTGCTGCAACGTAGCGTATGTCAGAGTTATGGTTCCAAGCGATAGTAAATCTGATCCATGAATTTCACTTTGCACTGCGCCTGCTGTTTTATCTCGGAGCAGCCATATGCGAAAGGAATTGTTTCCTCAGCCGCCCCCTCCTGCATCTCTCCTGCATCTCTCCTTCATACCTTTTTTTCTCTCTCTCTCCTGGCCTTTCCCCTCCGCTCCCCCATTCGGATAATGGCACTGTGATCAGCGGTCGGTGCTTGTTGTTGTTCAAAAGCAGTAATCCGTTGTATGTAGCGTTTTCTATACTTATTTCTTTCTTACATTCTCTTCATTGCTTCGCTTGTACGCTTCCATAATGTCGGCTGCCCAACCCATGGCGACCCCACCAGAGGTCCCGGTGGACGTCGCCTCCACCCACCCATCCTCCTGCTCCGCCTCTGCGGCCTCCACCTCTTCCTTGGCACGATGGCGACTGGCACAGGGGATGACCGATGCCCGGGCGAGCACGAGTCAGACCTCGACCACCCCCATCACCAAAGAGAAGGCTCAAGAAGCGGACGGAGGAGCAGATGAAAGAAGGCGTGCGCGACGCCCTCCCCAGGTCACGTTGATTGACACGGCGGATCGAAAGGCCGCGTCGGCAAATGGCTCGCCTCCACACGAGTACAACCCTGCGGCCAACCTGGCCAGCTCCCGCTCCGGCGAAGGACGCGCCTATCGACCCATCGCCTCCGACAAGGTGCGCCGCTCCGTGTCCGACTCCCAAGCCGTCGTTGGCCCTGACTTGCGCCTCACGGAGCAGCGCAGCGGGGACGTACCGACGGCCATTGCGGCGGCGGTGCCGGGCATCGCCCAGGAACGTATCGCAGCCGCGGAGGCCTGCGCCAATCGCTGGAGCAGCGAAGTGCGACGCAGCACCGCCGACGAGGAAGACCTCCTTCGGGCCTACCGACAGCTTGAGTCGCAGCTGCGCGCGGCCGAGAAGAGGGTGACGGCGGCGGAGGCGAAGCAGCAGCGAGAGGTGAAGGCGCTGAAGGCGCAGCTGCAAGAGGAGCAGGAGACGCGGCTGAAGGCGGAGCAGGACCGCGACGAGTTACTGAAGCAGGCGACGGAGAGTCCGGCGCTCTCACCGCGTACCCACACGACGCCTGGCGGAAGCGTTGTGCACGTGAGCGTGGAGGGAGGCGATCGCTCGCACGCTTCTGGGAATGGCGGTGCTGCTGCAGGCGGCACGGGCTGCTCCTCCTCCGCCAGTGCCAACACCGCCACCTACATCAGTGAGGCTTTTTATGAGAAAATGAAAGAGCGCGAGGAGCGCGCACGCGCACGGGTGCGGAAGGAGTTTGTGCGGCAGGCGCAGGAGAACCTCTACGCCGAGCAAAAGAAATCGACGGAGGCGGCGAAGGCGGCCGCCCTCGCCGTCGGTAGACTCCAGCAGGTCGAGGAGGAACTCAACAAGGCGCAGGATGCTTTGCAGGAGGCAACGAGTGTGATGGAGGCGAAGGACGTCCAGCTGCACGAGCGCGCCATCCACATTCAGGAGCTGGAGGCGCAACTCCGTCTCCTGCAGCGACAGCTGGACAGCGCTGAGGAGGCAAAGGCACAGGCCGATCAGCAGGCACGAAGAAAGGTCGAGGAGACACAGAAACTGGCCGATGTGCGCCAAGGCGAGCTCGAGGCGCAGCGGCACTTTGCGCAGCAGCTGCAGGCGCAGCTAGGATTGAAGACACAGGATTTGATTGATCAGGAGTCGAACCAAGCGAGCGTGCTGCAGCAGGTGCGTGCACTGCAGACGCGCTGCACGGCGTTAGAGGCGGACCTGGAGGCGGCGGTGCGGGAGACAACTGCACTGCTTGACCAGCGGCGCCAGCAGGCGGAGACGGACGCGAAACAGATGCGTGAGCACAACGAAGTACTCAAAAAGCGCTGCTCTGCTGCGGAGGCGGAAGTGGCGAGTGTGAAAGGCAAGTGCGAGTCGGATGCGAAAGAAATGGCCCTCCTAAGAGATCGGTATGCGAAGGACCTCAGCGATCAGCACGTCGAGGTGCGCAGTCTGCAGCTGCAACTGGAGCGGGTGCTGGATGCCGCGAAGCACAACTCTGCAGAGAACGTCACGGCCGCGGATATCGAGCGGCAGCAGCAGAATGCACTCCTGCGTAAGTACGCGGCGGAGGCGACGGCGGCGCGCGAAGAGCTCGATCGCGCACGGGCCGCGGCGCACCGCGCGAATGAGAAGCACCTTCACACTGTTCTGGAGCTGTCGCAGCAGCTGACCGCGCTGAAGCAGGCAAACACACGGCTGGAGCACAAGGTGAACGCGTACGAGCATGAGAGCACCGATGCAACGAGGCTGCTGTCGCGGGCCCGGGAGGAGTTATCGCAGCTGCGCGAGGAGCGTCGCCGACTGAGTGCGTCGTTGGTCGATTTCCGCGAGGACAGTTACATGCGGAGCGTGACGGATGAACAGGACGTGTGGCAGCGACGCACGGCGGAGCTGGAGAACGTGCGGCGTGATTTGAACGAGAAGCTTCTCCAGGCAAACCAAACGATCGAGGATCTGCAGCGCCGTTCGCAGTACGCCATCGAGCCGAACAGCCACACCTCGCCCGCCAGCATCAACGTTCCATCCGTGCGAGGTGCTTTTCTCATGGAAGCGCAGCCTCGTCGAAGTTCTCATCTCTCACACCGCGAGCCAGACGTCATGGAGCACGTAAACGGTGACAGCACGAACTGCAGACGACGACAGCCTTCGCCTCCCTCTGCCGCCTCCGCCACGGCCTCCCTCGGGCTTCCAGAGCTATTGGAGTCCATGGTAGCGCAACTGGAGCCCATTGTGCACCCCCACTCTCACCGCGTGCAGAAGGAAGAGGACAAGACGAGACGATCCGTGTCTTTCTCGTCTTCTGCATCGCTGCCCTTCTCACGGCGGGAGCACCAACTACAACAGCAGCGGCAGTCGATGCCGGTGGAAGAGCGAGAGGCGCTGGACCAGGTGCTGGCCAGCTGTAAGACGGCGCTGCGATACGACTCAGAGTCGCAGCACGTCGTAGACTCCCCCTCAAGGCCACGTGGGGATGACCATGAAACAGAGGAAGAGAAGCAGCTACGCGGGATGCGTGAGAACGCAAGCGAACCTACACCGCAGTCACTCACCCACAGTTCTGCGACGCGACTGTCAGCCAGTCCCACACAATGGCCGTCGTCCGCAGCCGCTCCGCACGAGCCGCCACACCAGCAGCAGTACACGGGGGCACCGAAGGACGATCTTCCGTCTCCGCAAGACCGCATCGCGCGGCCGCGCCGGAGCTCGCAACCGTCCGTTTCGTCGGTGGCCACGGATGAGGTGATGCTACGCCCCAACGGTACTTCAGCAGCCACACCGACACGGCTTCCGAGACGTGACGCTGCAGCTGCCGCGAAGCCGTCATCGCAGCCCGCCACCCACGCGGAGGAGACGAGAGGGGTGCAGAGGCGAGAGGGTAGATGCGAAGACAACGGGTCTCGAAGAGGTACGGATGCTTCCCTCTTGAAAAATATCAGGACTGTGCAACCGAATGATCGGGATGAGCTGGAGTCTGAGCCATACTGGGACAGCCGCGAGCTGGAAGCCCCTCCAACTGCGTCTGCGTCTCCGCCCGCAAGCCTCGGTGCGCTGCAGAGCTCGCCTGACGCTCCGCCGCGGGAGATCTCGCCTGCGCTTCCAACTTCTGCTGCGAACGGCGTAATGGAAATGCCGGATGACGTTCAAAGCGACGGTGTTTTGCGGTACTCGCGAATCCCCGACGAGGCACTCTCCTCTATTCCGCGAGAAGGTTCTCCTGACGCGTTCGTTGTCCAGCCTGCGGTCGCGGTGGGCGATGCCGCCTCCGATCTGTTTCGCAATGTACCGTACGCATCGGCAGGGTCGTCCACTCCTCGTTCACCGCACCAGCGGTACGACCCGCACTCCTTGACTATCCCCATGACGTCGACACACCCTCGCGTTCGACAACGGGCTGCCATTCCGGACGGCGCTCTGGTGATTGATGTGAAGCAAAGCACGCCACCACCGCCACGTAGACGTTATGATGAGTACTAGAGCGAGTCTCTTTTTTTTCAAAGAGTATACAGGTTTGCGACTTTCTAGAGCTCAATACATATATATTTCCTCCCCTTTTTTCATAGACATCGAGGCTTTGTTAAGCTGATGTGTTATCGTGTGGTGAACTGGATTGTTTCATTGCTGCGTTGATGCTTATGACATTGTCAAGGAAACGGTAAAAGAAACACCTCTAACAGAGGGACGATTGTCCTTCTTCTCCTTCTCCTTTTTGTTTTTCTTGTTGCCCGCCATCAGAGTTTAAAATGAGACCGCAGAATGTGACGTTAGTCGATAAGGTAGGAACAACGGCCCGGACTGTTGACTACGCTGCTGCACGACCGGCAGCTCTGGGTGCTATTGGACTCCATTTTTATTTTCTCCTCTTTCTCTATCGTGGTGTTTTTTCTGTGTAGCATCGCTCTTTCTTTTTGTGTGACAAAGCGACATACACGCATACACACACGCACACACCACCACTATCATCACCGCTTTTATCTAGTCTTTAGAGCCACCGCATTCTTTGACGGTACGCCGCACGCTTTGTTTTCTGTTCTTTTTTTCTGCTGTTTCGCTTATAGAGCTTTTCTTTTCTTCAAGTACCTGCTTTCAACCCTAAAAAGAAGAAGTAAACACGCAAGTAGAAGACGCGTTGCTCCTCGGCTTATTGGCTTCCTTAAAAGGAACTATATCAGCAACGACCGCGGTGGCGCTTCGGTGTTTGTACTCCATCACACACTTAGAGCAATACGTACACACCTGTTTTGGTGTCTTGTTGCACCTCATTTCTTTGTTTTTTTTCTTTTTTTTTACGTCAGTTATGACGTCTCAGCTTCAAACCATCGAAGAGCCGTCTGCCCTCCCTGCCCCACCAGTGTGTTCTCCCCCGCCTCTCCTCCCTAAATCCGGCTGCACCAGCCTTGCTCCGCGAAGCGTCAACGCAGGTGTGGCAGAGGGCAGTCAAGACAAAGCCAGCTGTTGTCGTCGTGGTGCCCTCTCCCCTTCGGCAGGCACGGCGGGCACGGCCATGGCGGAGTCCCCGCAGCGGCGTACACCAGGAACATCGAAGCCCGACGCAATCATTGCGGCAGCACACGCCTCACCACCATCAATCGACCAGAAGGAGAATGCATCGGCGAGTGTGCGCAGAACACCGATTGCTTCTCCTTACACTCCTCGCTCCACTACTGCCGCGGGATCGCCAGCCACGACAGACAGCGGCTCAGTTCGAGATCGCGGGAATGCAACAGGAAGGAAAGAAGAGGGACTACACAGTCCTCCTACGGTGCCTGCCACAAGGACACGTCGGCTAGTGAGTGAAGACGCTCCAGCGGATGCGAAGCCTGAGGAAGCGGAAAAGAATCCGTTGTCCGACGCGAGGCCGCAGCGGACTCCTCGCACCGCCTCCACCAGTGATGCGACGCTTTTGTCACCACGTCAGCGTGTCACCGCAGCGGTAAGCAGCGAGAAGGCTGTAAGTCCCTCTGATAGAGGCGTGTCACCACGAGTGTCTCCCGCAACGTCTGCCGCAGCGCAGTCTTTGAAACGAAAGACGCCTGATGGTGATGGAGGGGGCGATGCGAAGGTGCTGGAAGCCACGGCGAGACCGGCACAGGTCCAAAACAAGAATGAAGGGACATCGGCAGGTGCCCCCGCCGCCTCCGCTATGATCGGCAAGTCCTCCCTGTCTCCCGAGCCTGGCAGTCGGCGATCTCCGCAGGCGACACCGCCGCTGTCCCCTCGACAGCGTACCACCAGCGCAGGCGTTGCAGCGCGCACTGCCCGATCCCCTCAGCCTTCCTCTTCCTCTCCCACGTCGGTTGGGTTAGTAGTTGGTGCGGTCGCTGCGGCGAAGGAGAAGAGTAAGGAAAGGGATGCGAAGGCGCCCGCTGCCAATCCGGAGGAATCACGGGAGCCGTCTCCGGCCCCGCTGGCGACGCCTCGTGCGGCGAGTACGGCGTCACGGATGGAGGAGATCCGCGCTCGACTGGCCGCGTCTCGCCAGCAGTCGGCGTCCAGACAGGCGACGCCTCGGTCTTCGCTGGGCAGCGCAGCAACTGCGGGGGCCGCGAACGCGGTAAAGGACGATTCGGCCTCGCGTACGGCGCTGGCAGAAGCCGCCGCCACCATCAAAGAGCTAAAGCAGGCCGTCAAGGACAAGGACAGGGAGCTCGCTCTTCTGACAAGAGGCAAGTCAAACGCGGAGCAGCAGCTGGAGAAGGCAAAGACCAAATCGGAGGATTTACAGGCCAAGATGAAGGCGGAAGAGGCCGTTTTTGCCGCTTTCAAGAAGGAGGCCGCTGCGGCGAAACTGAAGGCGCAAAAGGAGCTGCGACAGGCGCAGAGCACCGCACGCATGGCGCAGGCGGCACAGGAAAGAGTGCAAAAGGAGTTAGAGAAGCAGAAGGGGAAGCTGGCGGCTGCTGCTGCCGCTGCTGCTGCCGCTTCTTCTTCCCATACGACGAGCGCGACACCGACGCCAGCCGCCACTCCACGTGGGTTGCCGCTGTCGGTGAACAGCTCCCTCGTCGCGGACGCAGGTGAGGCGGCGCTGCAGCTGAAGCTAACGCGCGTGGAGAAGGAGAACGCCGCGCTGAAGAAAAGCGTCGAGGTGCTGAAGCGCGATGCCGCGGCGGCCACCGCAACGGCTGTGGAGGCCGCTGTGCAAAAGACGGAGCAGCAACAGAGTGCGATGCAAAAGGCTTCCAGAGAAGAGATGGACAAGCTGAAGAGCGACGTCACTCGTCTTGCGAAGACGTTGGCGGAACGCAGCGCCGCATTGAAGTCCACGGAGGAGGAGGTGAAGAAGCTGAAGGCGGAGGTGGAGCAGGTGCGAAAGGAGAAGGAGGAGGTGACGCTGCAGTCGCAGAAGCGTCAACAGCAGCAAGAGAGAGCGGAGCGACAGCAAGTTGGTCAGCAGACAGATGCACTCGCCCTCCCAGACAACTCCGCCTCTGCCTCCACAACACCTCTCCGCTCCCCTCGTCAGGTCGTCACCTTCGAGCTCTCCGCGAAGGAGGCCACCGCGCAACTGCAGGACGAGCTCACGGCAACGCAGCGGCAGGTCGAGGCGTACAAGCGAATGCAGGCGCACGCTGACCACCGCATCGCGCAGCTGGAGGCGGAGCTGACGTCGATGCAGAGTCGCGCGAAGGACGCCGTGGAAGCGCTGCAGCGAAGAATGAAGGAAACGAGTGAGAAAGACGCGTCAGCCGCATCGGACGCCACCGCCCTCGACGCGGTGAAGAGGGATTTGGAGAAGGTGCGGAACGACTACAACGCACTGAAGAAGGAGGCGCAGGAGAGCGGCGAGGAGTCGCTGGTGCTCCAATCGGCTCTCGAAGAAGCGGAGGACGAGCGTGACGTGTACGAGCGTCAGTTGCGGGACCTCCAGCAGGAGCACAGCAAGTCCAAGTGGGAGGCGACCGCTGCCATCGAGAAGCTGAAGGCAAAGATGTCCGCGGAGCTGAAGGAGGCACGGGGGCTGCTGGACGTGGCGCGCAACGAGCTGCGCAGCGCACAGGAAATATCGCAGTGCAAAGAAGTGGTTATGAGGGAACTCCAGGCGCAGGTGGAGGGACTGCGGAAGCGCTGCGCCGAGATGGAAGAGCGGCAGGTGTCAGCGGAGACGGAGGCTCCGAGCGAGACGGCTGCGGAGGCGTTGACCAAGCAGGTCGGGCACTACAAGAAGAAGTCGAGGGTCTTGGCAAAGAGGCTGGCTGAGGCGGAGAAGGAGCTGCAGGTGCTGGGCGAGGAGTACACGCGCGTGTGTGGCGAGCGCGACGCCGCAGTTCTGCGATACCGGACAGGAGAGTTGAACCGACCAGCTCAGACCACTGAACCGAGGCAGCAGCAGCAGCAGCACAGCGAAAAGGCGAAAGCAAATCTTTCGCTGCACAGTGACGGGGTGCCTCCGGATAGTGTGTCCCGCGACCTCTCCGACGCGCTGCTCTCCGCCAATCGCACCGCCCCTACACGCCCACGTGCGGATGACCCCGGCACTACCACAGAAACGGCGATGTCGTCTGTCACCGCCGCCCTCGCACAGGAGCAGCGGGCCCGCGAACATCTCGCAAAGGAAGTCTCCGCGCTGCACTCAATCGTGGCTGCGATGGAGCACCGCACCAGCCCCACGAGGCACCCGCTGAGCACCGACTTGAGCGACTCCGTGCCTTTTGCGGAAGATGACGGACTTGTGTTGCTGCCTCCGCCGTCACAGCAGCTGCAGCAACGTTGCAGCAGCATCTCCGACGCACCGGCACGTGCTCGGTCTCCGCGGACGACCCACGCGCTGGACCTGCGCTTCTTCGACCCGACGAGCGTCGATGTGTCGGTGCCGGCGGCAGTGCAGGGCGGTGATCGTGCCGCCGGTCAAGGGCGCGCCGTTTCGCAGCCGGCTGTGGCTGCTTCGCTGTCGCCGCGTCGCTTGCACACCCTCGGCACGCTTTCCCCGCAGAGGGCGAGACGTTCTGCATCTGCAGGCACGCGGGAGTCCGCGCTGGACGCGATCTACTCAGAGACTCCCCTTCCTCCCGTGTACCTGTCTGCGCCCGAAGACGGCAGTGACGTCGCCGCAGCATCCTCCACGTCGTCGACAGCGCATCGTCCTGACTTACTCTTCAGCACCACCGCCGGTGCGCTTCTGGTGAGCAAACGCGGCCGCCAGCTGCATCGACCGCTGGTCGCCGCGCGCAGCCTTCCCCGTGGTGGTGGTGGCGGTGGTGTGAGAGGCGATGTCAACTCTGAAGACGGCACAAACGGTGCTTGCTGTGCAGCACTTGCATCCATGAGCCACGCCATCTACGCCTCTCGCATGAATGCGGAGGGGCTTTTCCACCTGAAGGACGACTACCGCTTTGTCCTTCGCATCTTGACGGACTGCGAGGCGGGAGAAATTCTGGTGGGTTTTGCAGACCGCCACGTCCCGCTCGAGAGCTTCGGGGCGAAGCGCAACGCCCTGCGCTATCGAGGGTGCTACTATCTGAGTCTGAACGGTGGTGGCCTCTACGCACCGTCGCAGGGGGTACATGGGAAGACCTGCGCCGGCTGGAGCAAGGCGGCAGTGACCGCTGCGGAACGTCGATGGCAGCACAGGCGCGGGGTCCTGCCCCGACCGTCGGAGTTCGGTGGTGGCGGTGCTGCGGGCTCATCGATGTCTCCGCCCTCGTCGCCATCGCGGAAGCTTGGGGCGGCGCCACCGGCGTGTGTGGCGCGAGCCGGGGATGAGATCGCCTGTGTGCTGCACCTGAATGCGCGGTCCATTAGCTTTGAGTGGAACGGCGTGGACTGTGGGGTCGCCTTCACCGACGTCTCGCTCTCGCCCTCCCTGTATCCGTGTGTGGAGGTGAACGTGAGCGGGGGCACGGTGGAGCTGCTGTAGGGAGAGCCTCCTACCGACTGTGCAGGGTGCACGGGTCCGTTTTCTATCTTCTTTCCTTGCTCCACTCAGCACTTGTTTTGCGGATCGTTGACGCACACGCACGTGTCTGCTCTTCTACCTATAGAGTCTTCTTAGATCATATTATCTTCTATTTTCTTTGCACCTTGTACTGTAAAGACCAGTTTATCTTTCACATTGTACTCCACTATTCTTGTGGTATTCTTCTTATGCTTTATTCTTTCTCTCCGGTGCCTTTACCCCGAACGTTTGCACTGACCTTGCTGTCTTCTTCCGCGTTGAGTGAAGTCGCTTCATTTAGGCGAGGCACATCTAGACCGCCGTAGCGTTAATCCTGAAAGAGAGGACGAATGAAATGCTCGTTTCTCATGGGTGCTTTCCTTCGCGATCACGCACGATCGCTCGTCCTCGCACCCTCTTGCGTTGGTGGCTTGTCGCCGCCGGGGTAGGCGTGCTATCTGAACGTGACGCGGTGCTCCGTGTCCTTCCTCTGCCACACTCTGATGAGTTTTCGTTTTGCACCCCAGAAGGACGCGTGCCAGCTGAGATGACGTCTTCGGGTGTTTTGTTCTTTACTTGAATTCGCGCATGTGCTGCCCTCGCTGCTCTCCCTTTCCCCCTCCTGCATCTCAACCTTGACAGACCCGCACAAACTTGAGTTGTAGAAGAGCTGCTAACTGTTTCTTGTTCTTTTGGAGATTTCTGCGGAGCCGCTACTCCTGTACTCCCTTGAGAACGCAAACCAGCTCCCACCCTCCCTTCCTCTTTTAATAAAGAACTCAGATGCTGCAAAACCTCGACGACATCACCAAGGATGCGCTGCACAGCTTCTCCGACGCCCTCGCACAAGCGCAGCAGACCCTCCAGCAGGACCAGGCGCGGCTGGACAGCACCGCCGAGCTTCTCCACGCGCTGTCACACGAGAACAACGAACTGCGCACCCGCAAAGTGCACAACACGCAGGAACTTCAGCGACTCAACGCCCTTCGAGCTGAAAAGGCGAAGCTGACACGGCAAACCCAGCACAAACGGGCCAACGTGCAGTCCTGTTTGGCTCACATGCAGCAATTAAAAGAACCGCGCCTGGCGCTGATGACAGAGGTGGAGCGGCAGCGGCGAGACGTGATGGCGCTACGCAAGCACTACTGCACGCGGGCAGCGCAGGTACACGGATACGTGACCCACCTGCTCGCCCCACAGAACAGTCTCGAGAGCCTGCGACGCCAGCTTGCACAGGTGCAGGGACAGCGTCAAGAAGGTGAAGCGGCGGTAGAGCAGCTGAGGGAGAAGTTGGCGGAGCTGCAGAGGGAGGCGACCGCTTTCAGAGCCGCACGGCAATCATGGCAGGCGGAGGACCAGGGCGGGGAGGCGTGCACTGCAGAGGACGAAAAAGAGAGGGCTGGAAAGCATGTCCACAGTTGTTTCCCATGCGCGGCGTTAGGGGGCGACGCGGCGACGGAAGAAATGGCAAAAGACAGCATCCGCGCGGCGACTTCCAGAACGACCCCCCTTACAGAAGCCGACAAGCTGCAGAGCCTGACCGCACAGAGGGCAGCGCAGCAGGCGACGATTACCGCAAGCCAGCTACAGTACACGCAAGAAGAAGCGGAGCTTCAGCGATGTCGTGCAGAACTGAAACAACTCGTCCTGCAGCTTTGCGGTGACATCGAAGGCGCAGATGCCGCGCAGCAAGAGGAGCAGAAGAGCTATCACGACGCCCTCAACACCGCAGTCGGCGTTGGTGCTCGCAGGACCTGCGCTTCCTGCCACCGTGATTTCCTTCAAGACTTTTCCTAGTCGGATTTCCCCCTGGCTTTCCGAATACGCCGAACGGCGCCGAATCGTTGACAGAGGTGGCGCTGGCGCACTACGGGTTGAAACACTCCTTCGCAATAATAATAATAAAATCAAAACCGATTCTGCTTCTTTACTTGTTACTGTTTCTTACTTACTACACCGCTCTCATCAAATCACAAAAAAAGCAAATAGACGCGCTTTCGAAAAGTCAGGTTACCTCTGCGGGCCCGCCTCAGCGAATGCCATTCACCACTTGACAAAAATGCTGCGGCTTTTTGTAGCCGGGTGTCCCTGTGCGGACTGGGACGGCGCGTTGGCTGATTCCAAAAAGAAGATTAGAAGAGAAACGAACACGGAGTATCCGCTTTCGGTCACCTCCGCACTCGATCACTGCGACGAAAGCGACGGTTCTCAATTGCGAAGGCGTTGCATCGATGCATCTCCATTTGTGCGCAATTCACACACGAGGCTCAACTGCTGCACTCTTGGTCACTTCTTCCGACCCCTTCTCTCTCCCCCTTCCTTCTCTATTTCTTCTCCGCGACCGCCATCATCTGTAAACGAACCAAATTGTGCTTTTAAAACTCCTTTTAGCCCTTTTCATTTTTGGTCTTAACCGCTAACTCCCCTTTCTGTTTTAACGAACAGCGTCGGAGCGCTTTCGTCCTCGCTGACCTCTCCTCTCCCGTTGTAACTGCTCTCTTCTCGTGTTTCTCTTCCTATCGTGGAGAGGCGACAGCAAGCAGGAAACGAACTCAAAGAAAATCTGTTTTTGTGAACTGCACAAATCTCTTTTTTTCCTTTTCTGCAGGTCCAACTCCCCGCGTGCATCAACGCGTAAGGCGTGTTTGCGTTGTGTGAGCGAGTGTGGATTTCCTTCGGCTTTTGAACGTGGTGCGGAGCGCCCCGCTTTTTTCCCTTTTCCTCTTCGCTGCCCCTTTCTTTTTTTTTTGTTAAATTCGTCTTGTACCTGCTTTTACTGCCCCTTTATTTGTTCTAACATTTATATCCGTCGATCACGTCGGAGGCGTTTTTTTGTCGTTAAATCTGGCTTCCGTGGCTCCGCTGTGACCGCGCTGTTTCGTCCCCTGTTGTTTCCCTAAGTTGTCTGCTTTGTGCTGTGCTAATGGTCCCGTGACGTAAAACTGCCTCCTCGTTGTTCTCCTATTTTCTTCTTTTCTCTTTCCTTTCTCCATCCCAATCGGAAGCACACACGGAGAGAACTAAAAGCAATAGCAAAAGAGAGCTGTCATCGGTTTCTCGAACGTAGACGAAGAACCCACGGTCTCTTCTCCCCCTTCTTTTTGTAAAACATATCTTCGTCTTCGTCGTCTTTTCCCCCTTTCTTTTATTGGGTTCTGGGCGTGTTTGTTGCTCTCCTCTGTTCGCTCACAGCAGCTCTGATATATATACATATATATCTTTTGCATATATATATTTCGTGCCTTTCCTTTGCTGCTTCTGTGCGTGTTTCCTTCACCCTTCTCCATTCGTAGTTGTCACCCTAAAAAAAGAAGAAGCTCTCGGGCTGCAGTGGCGAAGCGCCTTTCTCCTTGTCCTTTGGCATTCGCGCACTGACGAGTGCACCATCGTTGTTTAATTTATTGTTGAAACTGGGTTTTAAAAATTAAAACTGGGACCTAAAATTTGCTGTTTACTTTTCTTCTTCTTTCGTTTTTTGACGATAATACAGGGCATATTTATTCTTGTTTTCTGTCTGTGTAACTCGTGCTGCGGAGCGTCTTGAGTACCGTGGCTGCAGCTTCATCTGAGCGTTAAGGCGAGCTCTGCGTGTGCTACTGGTATTGGCCATGTGTCGCAGCGCAACGTCGAGTGTTCGCAAAACCTCCCAGCATTGAAGCTCTTCTGGTTCCCTTTCTACGCGTTCATAAGTGCGTGCACCACGAGCTAGTTGCGATATTTAGCTTTTGACGTTTTCTGCGTGTCTGCAAGCGCTCCTTCTGTGACATTGTCACAGTACTACTATTATTGTTGTCGTCTGTCTCTCTCCGCTTTTCTTCTTTCTTTTTCCCTTCAACATTCGAACTGTGCGTACGTCTCGTTGAGGTCACTACGGATATACGCCACGACCTATTTTTGTAGTCTCGCAGGCAATAAGCAATCTCTTCCAGTCTTTTTTCCCCTCTCTGTCCCCCCTCCCCCCTCCGTCCTCCCTCCGTCCTCTCGACTATAATATAGTGATGTAAATCTCGTGGTGCGCTTCTGTTTAAACTGTTATTATTATTATTATTATTATAAACTCTTGTTTGTTTTCTGCTGTATTTTGTTCAAGTTGGCGGATCACCTCATCACGCTTGCGTCTCCCTTTCTTTCTGCGTGCTTTAGCTGCCCTGCTGCATAGCTGGTGGCGTTAAGTCTTTCATTTGTTTCTTCTCTACCCCCTTCTACAGGGACGCTACATCACTGTGAAGGTATATATATATATATACATAGCGCGTTGTGGAAGTCGCGCCAAGACGCGCGTGGGCCACCTACGACTGGTGAAACAATAATAATAAAAAGAATTAAGCAACAGCACCTACGAACGTCATTTTTATAGTGAAGCGGTAACTTAATTCGAACGATCAGCCACCTCTCTCATTTTTTTTGATTTTCATTCCTTGTTTGTTTTTCTTCTTTGAGTGGTTGAGGCGTCGTGTGCTCTGTGTGTTTCCGACGTGCTGCTCTTCATTGTTGCGAGGTAGCGAGCGGTGTGGTGCATCGTCTGCATCTGTTGTGTTTTTACACCCACCTTTTTCTGATTCTGTAAAGTACTCGTCGCTCACGCTGTTTTTTGTATTTTCGCCCGTCTTCGAACGCTTCAACGTACTCGACCGCCGTTTGTGTTTCTTCGTTCCGGCCCACGCCAAAAAAAAAAGGCTGACAGACGCACCGCCAACGCATGTTCTGGGTCTCTGTCGCAGGTCAGCCGGGCACCAGCGGTGCACCAGTGGCGTCGTATCCGACGTCCGCGATGCCGCCTGGCGTGGTCGCTGTCCAGCCGGGTGCGGTCCAGCAGGCCGGCACGCCGCCCGCCTTCTCGTACGCGGTGGGCACCCCTACCCAACCCACCGCGGCGTACCCAGGCTCCGCAACGCAGAGCGCCGGCTTTGCGGGCTTTGGCCCAAACGCCACTTCCAACGCAGTCTTCAATGCGCCGGCACAGAAGCCGATCGGCGCTCCCGTTGCAGGTGGCGCCTTTGTTCCGCTGTCCGCGTCTCTCTCCGGCTCCATGACGGGGTCCGGCGCGACCGACTCACGTCCGGTGTACATGATGAGCCCACACGCGGTGCCGATGGGCTACACGTCGGTGTTGTCGCCCGGCTACGCGCCGGTGGGTGCCGTGCCGATGGTGTCCGGTGGCGGCGGCGGCGGTTACTATTCGATGGCCGTCTACCCTCCCATGCCGTCGCGGTCGTCGGGAGACTTCAGCACGTCGCCGTCGGGCCCCCTCTTTGTGAACGCACCGGCGCAGATGCCAGCACACGGCGCATCCGCGGACTTCGCGCCCCCCGTTTCCATGGGCGGCCTCCCGCCGGCCTTCAATGGCGCCTTTGCCCCTCAGACTCCTTACGGTGCGCTGCGCAACGAGTTGTCGAATCCCTTCCGTACGGCAAACAACCGCGCTGGCAAAGCGGGCAACGCCGGCCGCGGCTACGAGGCGGGTGTGTACTACGAAGGACGCGTGAAGCGCTTCAACCCGGTCCGTGGGTACGGGTTTCTATCCGCCACGCACAAGCTGGTGAAGCTGAAGGAGGTGAAGGAGCGCGTGGCGGCGGAGACCAACGCGCCTGCCGAATCTCGAGGTACCTCCACCGCAAAAGATGGGCGCCACGCAGAGCACAACGGAGAAGCGCGGAGGGCGGCGACGCTCGGCATGCGTGACAACGAAAAGCAAACCGGAGTGAATCAGCGGACGACGCCGACCTCCACCAACCCCGCCGCAGCTGTCGCCGATAACGATGTACCTCTTATTAGCATCATCACCGCTGCCGGCACGGAGGCGGATCCGGAGATCGACCTTGACGACGTCGTCGTCATAAAAGGCGAGGAGTACGTGCGCAAGCCGGTGGTGATGGGCGACATCTTCGTCCACTATCACTGTCTGCAGCGGACACCCGAGGAGCTGCAGAACGAGCAGAGCGGTGCCCTCGTAAACCTCCCCGCTGGCGCTCGCGTGCAGTTCAAGGCGGAAGTCTTCGTGCCCGCGCGGTTGATGGAGGAGGCGCAGGACAGCAAGCAGGCGGCTGCGATGCTGAACAGCATCGGCATCTCCGTCGACGAGGACCCGAACCTGCTCGCAGGGGCGATTGCGACCAAGAAGGGTTGGGGCTATCAGGCGATGAACGTCGTGCAACTTCCGTCGCAGACCGCTGTGGGGCACCGTCGTCGACGTCGTGGCAAGGCGGGCAGTACCGGCAACGCGTCGACGGCGTCGATGAGCTCCATCAACTCTCTGCGACGCAGCCACACCCCGAGCCACGAGCGGAGTGAGCACGGCGAGAACTCAAATGCCCTGGTACCGTGCAGTGAACAAAACTTGATGATTCGCGTGGAGGTGGCGAATACGCAGCCGCCGCCGCCATCGTTCGAGAGCGCGACGGCGAACATGAAGTACGCGGTGCCGACGGCGGGTGGTGTGGTGTACTACTCGGCGTACCCCTACCTGATGCCGAGGCAGCAGTAACGTGAAATAATAAGAAGCACAGAACAACTCAAAAACTGTGTTTTTTTCTTTCTCGTTGTTGTCGCATCATTTAGACGATGGACTAACGCACGTTGCAATGGTTTTTGTTTTAAATGTTTAAATTAAAGAGCAGCGGTGCTGAACGTGTATGCGAACTATCTTCATCCTTTCTGTGTGTGGTGTGTCTTTGTTTTCTTTCTTTCTTTCTTTGCTTTGTTTTCGGGTATTAACAGCAAAAGAAGGGTTCTTTTTTACTACTCCGATACAACGCGCGATCGTGATGTTTTCTCTTTTCTCTTTTTTCCAAAGTGGCGTTTAAACGCTTTTGTTTCCTCATTCCCCCCCTTTTTCCAGTTTTGTTGCAATTCCTTCTTCTTTTTTTTGCTTTCTTCTTACTTTTGTTCTTCTTCTTATCGTCAATTGCCCGTTGTCGTGGCCATTGTATTGCCCTGAAAGCGTAACTACACACATGAAGTTTAACCGAGACTTACGTAAGTTCTTGTATCTGAGTGCCACGGTGTGACGTTATATTTAAGTTGTAAAAAAAAAGAAAACCCCACAAATGAAGGGCTCGGCTTTCATCAGTGATGTATTTCACACCTTTCCTTTCGTATCAACTAATTGTAGGCAGCAGCTTACATTCCCCCCTAAGTCTTTTAATTTTGTTTTTATGGAGGATTTTTAAGAAATGGTCTAAACACCGAATGGGCGAGAATCAGCGAGCCATGAGTTTCTCTCCCAAATCGGACGCTGTCCTTCTGTGCTTTTTTTTTTGGATGGTGTCGGCTATTCAGCTGATGAAAGGAGAAACTCGGGTCTTGTGTTGCGTACCGGCGATAATTTGAAGCGTCGCCTTCTTTGCCCTCCTTGGACATTTGGTGCGTGTTGGAATCAGCTGCGAGGCGATGTCGTCGCCAACAATTCAGCAAGTGTTTGACTTGGTGCTTTTCAGATGATTTTTCCTCTTTTCCTCTTTTTTTCTTTTCTATCAGAGTTCGTCGGTATCGATTGCGGAAGGCAACGCTTCTGGCATCCTTATAAGTAATATGTATTTCTCCTCTTTCTCTTCTTTTGCATTTTTTCTTCCACAGTTGACCCAATATCCCTTAAGTACCTTCTTCGCTTTTAGGTGGCGTGCTCCCCCCTTAAATAATATATATATATATATACACACGCACCCATCCACTAACAAAAGGAAAACGTCCGATCGATCATTTCAACTTTATTGTTATTATTATTTGGTCGCGTAAGAGCCTCCCCCCTTTCTTTTCCTTTTCTTGTGTTAAGTATTAAATTGTAATTCATCAACAGTGCGAGCTGCTCTTCTAGCGGTTGTGCTGACTGCATTTTGGGGTTTTTTGTCATCTGAGACGCGTGCGTGCCTCCTTTTACCGTAGCGGTCTGCAAACGAACAAGACAGCGGAGGCAGGACGGCTGCAGCCCATAACTGAAGTAGGCAGGGGAAAAAATGCGTGTCGTGTTTCCATTACCGCTGCCGCAACTCTTCCTTCACTTCTTCGCCTTGTCACGCGCACAAACGTTTTCGTCTTTGTTTTTTGTGGATTGCTTCGTTTCGATCGCTCTTCATTTTTTGCTTTGATTTCTTTCTTGGGATTCTATTATTATTATTATTGTTATTATTTGTTTTTATATACGGTAAGTGGGTAATCTAAAGCAGTGTACAACGCTGATACTCGTCGTGCATTCAGTAGAGGCCGTTTATAGCGAGCGGCTCCCTCGCGAGATGTTTCGACTTTCTCGGAAGACGGACACGAACAGGACAAAATCACAAAAATAAATGAAAAATAAAGAAAGGACAATGGAAACTGCCATGGCTTCTTGCGCCTGTTGATCCTCGTCCTCTTTTTTTTCTTATTTTGCAGACCACAATAAGCTAAATATATATCTGTGCGAACGTTTATTTTAAGAATAACTTCTTTCCTCATCAGGCTTCTTTGAATGTCTGAGCTGTGCAATCGAATGGCTCATCTGCCTTGATGCGCAGACTCACATCCCTCCCCTTTAAAGGTAATTATTATTATTTTTTCTCTTTCGCTCACGGTTTACTAAATGGTGCAGGCGCGTGACGAGCGTCGTGGTGAGGCCGCCAGATGGATCTCCCCCGCCGCTACGTCACCCACCTCCCTCCCCCCCCTGCTTTTGCTCTTTAGCTCCAGTGCTAACACGATTGCTGAATATATATACACTCAGTCCTCCTGTTTTTTCCTTCTGTCGCATCATCATTCCGATGCAGCTCGTTCGCAACGAGTTATGCGCACCGTTGAAAGAAAGAGAGGCTTCTTTATTTATTTGTTTATTTCGGAGAGCTGAGACGCTGAGGCACTCACGCACTTAAACACACGCACGTGCAAACCTTGACGGAGATTTTTTTTCTTTTCTCTTTTCAGCTCCCTGTTTAACACCGATAACGGACCATCGCCGAGAGAAGACGCGCTGTATCGGTGAACACACAACTCGATATCGTTCCCCTGTGCTGGTGATGTAATGCTTCTCCTCTTTGTGTAGGTGCGCATGTTATCATGATGCACTCGTTTTACCGTCGTCATCGCGCATGCTACGACTTGGTGCTGACATAGCGCCTTGTGCTCTGCAACTTTTTCTTCATTCTCTTTATTACTGTTTTTATTCATCAAAAAAGTTATTCTGCTTTACTGCCAGCGCTGGTGCTCATTACGTTTTCTACTCACTCCTTCTTGCGCTGATGTGTTGCCGCGCACGCATTCTTTGTGGTCAGCCGCGCGTAAAACAGTTTTTATTTTGTTTTGTCGTCCGTCTCTATGAAGGTGTGAGCGGTGTGCACCTTTTCCCTTTATCTCCCTCCCCTCCCTCTCCCTCCCTATTCCTCCCTATTCCTCCTCGTGGTAGTGATGAAATCGTATTATCATTGCGTCGTAATGCGTAGCCATGCGTCGTTCTCTCTTCTTATCGGTCTCGGGTGCTTTGTGTTTTTCTTCTTGTTTTGCGTTTCGCTGTGCCGAGTTCATCACGTTCATCTCAGCCTCTCTGAACACTTTTTTCTCTCTTTTTTGTTTCTTAACCTACACGTAGCAGTGTCGTGGTATCTACGCAAACAAGGAAAACAACAACAAGAATGAAGACGATGCTCTATTGTCTTTTGATGTCAAGTTAGTAGTGGTAGAAAAGAAGAAGAACAAGCAAAAGTATTCGACTTCAACGTGACACTCTTCGAAGGCGGTTGGCCACGGTTGTGTATGAGGGATGAGCCGTTGCAACGGGGGGTGGAGATGCACCCATCGACTTCAACTCTAATCTCTTTTTTTCCCCACGAGGATCGCGCGAAAGTGATGAGCAAAACGAATTTCCAAGTATTAGGTACGCTGCCTCTCTGTTTGCGTGCTTGCGCGACGTGAAGCACGCGCCTATCCGTATCAGATACCTTATGGAGCGACGGAGGTACTTGAATGCGAAGAAGCAGGAAACGCGCTCCCTCTCGTTCTTCTACTCATTTTCTCATCCTCTCCTCCACCTCTTTTTCTCTGTTTTGCTTTCGCTTCACACACACGGCTGCTGGCTTCGCCAAACAGTAAAGCAAGCATTTTTATCTCCGTAGAATCTTCAGTGCTTCACCTCTCTTGTCCTTTTTTTTCTGTTTTCTTCTTCTGTTCTGTGCACACTACAAAGAAAAATAGTTTTTATATATTCGCCTTCTTTTTTGTAAACGCCAAAGGAAAATCCCTTTTTTACGTGCAAAGCCACATACATACTGACCTTCCATACTCTCATCCGTGTCTCCAGAGCAGCATTCACGACAGTGAACGGTACAGAAAAGTTACAAAACGCTTAAGAACGAACGAAAAACTATTCTTGTCTATTATTCTACTGCGGTCTGTCAGCGGCAACGTACGTAGTGATTTCACTTTCTCCCCCTTTTTCTTTTTTTCTTTTTCCGCCGCGGCACTCATCGACCTTTGCCCTCGTCCTCTTCGTTGTACTCACGAGGGTTTTCTCATTTCCCGTTTGAGACACGTTTTGTGCGTCGCGTCTGTGGTGTTGCTCGTTGACTGCGTGTTGTTGTTCTTCATACAAAAAGGGTGCAGATCCGCTCGTAGACAGCTCTTTTTGTTTTCTTTTCCTTTTTCTTTTTAAACCTTGCAGCCCATTGATCATTCGGTGTGGAGAGCAACTCAAGTACCGCTCCACACACCTTCACATTCCCTTTCACTTTACGGCTGTTGAGGGACGATAAGAAGAGAAGAAAGAAGAAGAAAGAAGGAAAGACGCACTTGCAGCGAAGCTTCAGCCGTCACAAAAAATCAAGTTAACTAAAAAATAAGGCCAACCCGGAAGTGGCATCTGTCGCCTCACACGCTGTCTGTGTTTGTAGAAACCGGAAAGCGCGTAGACAGTGCACACCGCTGTAAGGCACCGATACAAGAAAATAACACACAAACGCACACACCATTGAACATCAACGCCAGCAGCAAAAGAGAGACGGTATTTGAACGAGACGCAGTTCACTACGTCAACCATATTCATTGACGTTCTCTTTTCCTCGAGTTGTTGCTTTCAGAGAAACACACTTTTGTTTTTTAAAGCTCTTTTTCATTTTTCTCAGTGTAATTATTCTGTTTGTTATTTCTCCCGAATCAAACACAAGTTCTTGCGGTCTCTGCATAGCAGACAAAGCCGATACATAAGCTAAAACATCATCACCTGGTACCGAGAAAACCTAAAGAAAGCACCAATAGTCATTCTCACCGACTTAGTGCTTCCTGCCTTTCGTTTGCTCCGCGAATTCATTCTTGCATTCTGTTGTTTTTCTGTTGTTTATTCTTCATTATTTCTAAAGAAAGGGTTTTCTCTCTCTGTGTGTGTGAGTGCGTTCCTTTACTGCCCTTTGGCCCGCACGCTTCTTTCCTTCCTGTGCTCCCAGCAATGTTTCACGCGGCTTCGGCGCACACCCAGCCACAGACACACTCCACCAAGACAGCCGCTACCACCTCTTCGAAGCACCAGTCGCAGCAATCCATGTACCCCATCACCAACGCGACGATGTTCCAAGGCTTCCCGATGACCATGAACGACGGCCGTGCTGTTGTCTACCTCGTGCCCTCTCCAGCCACCGCCTTCCCCGTCCCTCAATCCCAGCCGTGGTGGCAGGCGAACGGCAGTCCAATGCTGTCCGCCGCGCTGGGCTGTGGCAAGCCGGATCATCTCACCCCCACGTGGCCTTCCCCTTCCGCCTTTTCCCCTAACACCAGCTGCAGCTCCCAGCAGACGCTACCAACGACGTCAGAGACGCATCAGGCACCGTCGGCGCTGCTGGCCGGTCCCCCGCCTTACGCCGGCGACAAGTTGGCCGCCGCCTCCTCCTCCGTGTCCTCCTCCGTCAACGGGAGCGCGACGACGCAGCGGCAGTCGGCGGCGCTGTCGGTGAACGGCGTGTCCACCGCGAGGGCGAGCGGGTGCGACACCTCCACGACGAGCAACGTCAGCGGCGGCAACGGCACCGCGTCGTCGACGGCGGTCTGCCCGTCCGTTATGCCATCAGCCTCGTCTCTGCCGCCGCCGGCGCAAGCATCGCAGCGATGCTTCTGGGTGGACAGTGCGACGGGCGCCATGAAGGCTATGACTAGTGAGGAGCTCGCGGCGGCGATGACGGCAGACGTGGGGAGCCCGAGCGCCGCCGTGCCGGCCTACGCGATGCCACCGCCACCACCACCGACCGGCGCCATCGCCTCTGCCGCGGCGTACTCCGTGGTCCCTCCGATGCCGTTCGACACCACCATCGGCCCCGTCTTCTCCGCGGCGATGCCGGGTGCACTGCCGTTCATTCCGATTGTGGCGATGCCGCCGCCGCCGCCGGCCCCTAAGGCGGTGAACGGACTACAGTACGAGCACGGGGAGACCTACGAGGGCTTCGTGAAGCGCTACAACCCGAACCGCGGCTTTGGCTTCTTGACGGCGACGCATCACATGAAAGCCGACAGTGCCAGCTCCACCAGCGCGAGTCTCACCGGCTCGCTGACCGCGGCGCCGAGCAGCAGCTACGGCAGCAATTCCACGGCGCCGCCAGTGAAGGAGCGCCGCATCCCGGTGCACGTTGGCGACATCTTCGTCCATCAGTCCTACATGCACATGCAGGGCTTCCGCACCCTGCCGGTCGGCGGCCGGGTGCGTTTCCGTGTCGGCTACAAGGACGGCCAGCAGACCTTCCAGGCGGTCGATGTGGAGTTGCTGCCGCAGGTGGTGCCGCAGAACATGGAGACCTCGGCCACGCCGGCCGCCTCACCGAACGCGGCGAACGCATCGACGCCATCGGCGGACAAGGCGTCGAAGGCGTTCTCGCTGCGCGGCGCGGTGGCACCGACGTTGAATTCTCCAGCGCCGCTGCACCCGGCGAAGTCAGCGGCGGAGTTTGAGAAGATGATCGGCTCGGTCGGCTCGCCTATCGCAGGCGGGAGTCACACCGAAGTGTGTCGCTCCTTCTTCTCCGGCGCCAAGGATAAGGCGCTGTGCCGCAGCCCGGTCTCTCCAACGGAGGGGAGCAGCATCAACGGCGTGGACGAGGAGGAGGACGACTCCCCGTTGATTGAGCTCGCCTACGAGGTGTACACAAGCCTAGAGGGGTGATAGGAAGGCTTGCGGAATCAGAAGGAGTTGACACCGTTGGGGGTGCGGCGAGGGAGGAAACCCGAATAACAATAATAATAATAATGAGCGTAAGATTTTTGGCGGGGAGGAAGGTGCACGGTGGTGAGGGCTCCGTTGGGAAGCGGATCTGCTTTCAACCCTTCATCATTTTCGTTTTCCTTCTCTCCTCTCTACCACTACACTCCTTCACCAGGTCACAGCTTCGCAAGGTGCGCAGAAGGCCGCTACGTCGAAACATTCTTTCTTGACACGCGGTTGTGTTCTCCTTTTGGGAGCCTCTTTCTGTTTTGTTATTATTATTACTGTTAGTTTCACGATCAAAGAAATAATTATTCCTTTCTTGTGTTCATATAGTTTCTGCTTTTGAAATTCTTTTCCCTTTCCATGTTTTAACAAGACATTCTCTTTTGTTTTTACATACTGTCCAGACAGAGCTGAAAAAGAAACACTGGGGGAAACGCCGTCAGGCGTCTGCTACCGTGTTGCGTACTAAAAAAAAAAAAACAAGCAACGAAACAAACTACAATACATTATCCTGGGCAGCAAAAGGGGAAAAACAAATATTCACTGCGTATGTCGGGGAAACTCGCAAACGCACGCGAGTATATATTATATAGGGTCCGGTGCCGTTTTCGTTTCACATTTGTTTTTCTTTTTCTTCTCTGTAAGCAGACATAGACGTTTTTATTTTCTTGCCTTTTGAATAGTTTGTGCCACCTTCTTCCGTTTCTTCCCCTTTTGCTCTCTTTCATTAGTTGGCCCGTTAAAAGAAAAAAACAAGTACCCTACACCTCCTCTTTCTTCTTATTTTGTGATTTTTTTTTCACTCTTTATTTTCTCTTCGAACATCTTCATTTGGGGTTTTTTAACAGCTTTTGGAGCTAAAATGCAGAATGAAGAGAGGACGTTTTCATGTTTTAGCAGAGTGGCCCGGACCAGAGACAAACGAAGGCGTCAATACGCCTCTCCTGACGCATTGTGGCGCTTCTTTACTCCGAATTTGCGTTTCGCAAAAAAAACCCAGAGCCTTCTTTCTCTTTACTCCGCGCTATTTTTTGAAATTCTGTTCTACGTGATGCACGAAAGAATCCTCTCTTTCTTTTTCTTTCTCTCTGTGGCACACACACCACAGATCTTCTTTTTTTCTTTTCTTTCTTCAATGGTGCGATGGTACACGGATCGTATCTTTCATTTTCACACATTGCGTATGACACCCGCCTCTCTCTTTGCCTGCATCTGATCTTCCTGTGTTCCCCCTCTTTGTCGGTCTGGCAGAAGCAGCTCCTTCAAATCCCACCGTTTTCTCTATCACGGATGTACGTACATAATATGTACATATCTCCAGCTCGACTTTATCGAGCTTCATGGAGTTGTGGGCGATCTGCAAGCCGTAGGGTCGTGCTGTTCTTAACATTTTCAAACATAGCAGGACCAAGTTTTATCTTTATTGAATACAGGCTATCCTATTATTTTTTTCTCTCTCATTTGGCTACTCACTGCCCGGTTCGTTTCTTTCGTTCTCTCTTCTTTTTCCTTACTTGCGTCTTCTTTTATCCGCCTGAAAACGTGTGTGTGTGTGTGAGTGTGTGCGTGTGTGCGTGTGATGAACCCTTTAAACATTTTTCCTTTGCACAGAGTGACGCTCGTCATGTGCTTATATATAAGATGAGTATTGTTGTAAGCACAGCGAGTTCTTTTTTCCCCCTTTTCCATGGTAATAGAAATCGATAAAGCATCTTATAATATCACGTCATAACACCCTTTTTTCTTTTCCTTTTGTGTTTTTAGTATTATTCTCCCATAGTGGTTATGAAGCCATAATACCTTTCCTTTTTTGTGATTTCCTTCTTTCCCTCCATCTCTCTCTCTCTTCATTTTTTTTCTTTCTTCTAAAGATTTCCACTTCGTGCCTTTTCCGTCTACTCACGTTAATTCTTAATGTAATAAAGTGAGATCGACCTGCTCGAGACGGATTATTATTTTTTAAAGAAATTGTTTCCTTTTTTTCTGGGTTTATCGTTTGTTTAAACCCTGATGAGTTAAAGAAAGGTCTATGTAGTTCTCTTTCTCTTTTTAGTATTGGCTGCCTTTTTTTAAAAGCTTTGTTTTCTACGTGTTCTTGGTGTGCTTGTTGACAGCGGTATCTATCGACAACACCCTTTAAAAATAATGCTATTTGGTTTATCTGTTAGTTGCGGAGTGCTGTTTTCCTGTTTTACTCCTTTTATTATTAATATTTTTTTTTTAAACAGAATAAGAAATATCTTTTCACTGTACGCCGTTGTAACAAATTTTCCTTTATTCATCCCCTTCTTCTCTTTTCACTGTTGGGTTGTACCGCTATGCTTTCTGGCGTGGCTTTTTGTTTTTGCTTGTTTCTCTCCTCCTTTCTTGCTGCCGCGGCTGCGTGGGCGGCAGCGCTAAAACGAATTTCTTTTTTTTGTTCTTCTCATTTTTATTCCTCGTTGCATTCACGCTTGGATTCGTTCCTTCGCTGCGAGCGCTGCTCCGGCGGAGACGGTTGGCGGTGCTGCCCCGCACGAGCTCTACGGAGGTTCGTGACACTGTTCTCCTTTGGACACGGCAGCCCTCCACTTGACAACAGCAAAAATCGATGGGGTCTCCGATAAACATCATCTCCTTCTCTATTTGCGCACATCTTTAATACCAAAAAAACGAAAAAGAAAGGAAATGAAAAATATAGTTGTCACGACGCAACATCGACACGCGGCAGAGGGTGCAGTGGAAAGTAGACTCGCCATTATGGAAAGCAACAATGCAAGTTTTATATGTCACACAGCACCTTTTGCGGCAGTCGCGTTGTTGCGTGCGTCCTCTGTGTTTCTCTTTTTCCTGTTTTCGTTTTTGCTGTTCTGTCGTTTACACGTCCGCTATCGAGCACTCTTCGTCGTAGGCGCCTTTCGCGACCACAAAGACCTATATACATGTAAAAGAAGAAAATATATTTATGTCGCTCATGTCGAATCAACAACAATTTTTTTTTTTACTTCAGACATCGTGATAAATACGAACATGCAAAGAAGTATATATATATATATACATTATAATCATCACCAGCATCGCAACGATCGTGGTATACATGAAAGCCGTCTCCTCCTTCTTCTTTCGGAACTGCTCTGCATGACTACATTCTTGCGTGCGGTTGATTCGAGTGAGCTGAAGCATCTGTCAAAACAAAAACAGACGAAAAACGAAAAAGTAAAATAATAAGACAGGACATCAGCGAGGTGCCCAACTCCTCTACTTCAAAAAATACAACATGCGCGCATTTGTTTTCTAAAATGGTTTACAAAGCTCCTCATTAAGTAAGGCTCCTTTTCTTGTACGTAACGCTTCTTCCAAGAACTTGAGCAGTCTCTTTAAGTGTGTCTATTCGGCAGTTTTGTTTTCTTTCTCTGGATGTCGTTGCGTCCGTGCTTTGGCCGCATGCGGTGTTTTCTTTTTTCTCGCTCTCATTTTTCCTTTTCTTCCTGTTTTCCTCTACGCGCTTTACGGTGTTTTTGTGTTAGTGTGAGAAGACTGTAGCCATGAAGGCAATAATTCCTCAGGAGAATTGATCGAAGGAAGATAAGAAGCAAAAAACGTAATATATATATATATATATCCGTAGACTTTCACGCAGTGTTGCGATGGTCTTTGTTTTTCTTCCTCTCTGGCAGTCTGCACTTCTTCTTCACTCTTTACTGGCATTGGGTGTTCATCCGGTGGTACGGAATGAACATAATTATAATGATTACTGTTACTATTTTCTTTCCTCTTTGAAGCGGAGCGCTTCGTGGATATAGTTAAGTATAGCAGCAACGAAGAATAGAAGCGTATAAATATAAACTAAAACGGCTGGCGGGTTCTCTTTTGCGTCTATCATCGCTTAGCTTTCAATAAAATGCTTTCCCACGAGTATTTCTTTTCTGTTATTATTATTATCATTATTTTTCTCCCATGACAATGATTTGTTTGTTCTTGCGAAGGTAATTCGGACGACTCTTTTTTCTTTACAAAAAGTATCTGCGTGCTGCCCCAAGCATCTTTTAGTCCTGCCTTGAAAGATTATGTTCCTCTACGTGAAATCTGCCTCGTGCTTCCAGCTGTATTTCAACCGTGGAGGGCCACTCTTTTTCTTTCCTAACGGCAAAGACTTCTATTGCTGTGAGGAGTCCCACTTTCTGCGTCGAGCGGCACTTCTTCCAGGATGATGCTAAAAGAAGGCTTCCTGACTTCTGCGTTTGCTTTTCCATAGTTCACCTTTCGAATACCGTGAACAAATGGAATCGCACGCCCCCACACACACGCACTCCTCGCATCTTTCGTGTCGTTCAGGCGTTCACGCAGAGAAAAATCCTCGAGAGTACAGCAACGATGTGCTGGCTGACGCGATGCACCTCTTACATAAATTTTTGTTTTTACTGCTGCCGGGTTCCTTCACGTAAAAAAGAAAACGATAAAGAAAAGATATTCAATTCATTGCAAGGCTTAATGAAATGGAGGAAAGAAAGGACGGTGACAGCGGTGAATCGACGTCCGAATCTCTTTCTCTCTCTTTTTTTAAAGTGTTGTTCTGCATAGAATTATTATCCTTCTGGTTCTGTCAAAAAAACTTGCTCTCCCTATTGTTTCTCTTGTCAGGAGTGCAGACGATCTCCTTCCTTCTATTTTTTTTTTGACGGCCGTGTCTTTGCTTCTATCTTAGCCCATATAAGCGAACACTAGCAAGAAACACCTTCTGCGTTTATTCCTCTTAGCTAATTCGTGTCTCTTTTCCTGTGTTTCTCGATGTATCTTACTCTATTGTTTTGCTTTTCATGCTTTGGCTACCTCTTCTATGCTCCGTTATGATGCCGCTCTCTTTCGTTTTCTTTTTCCTTTGCCTTTGTGTGTTTGTTTTTCTCTCTTGTTCGTCATTACGACGTGTTGCTTTCTAAAAAAAGAAAAACATCTCTTCGTGCTTTTCCACAAACACACGCAAGAAAATATTCCCCTCTATTATAGTTAACGGGCCATCCTCTTGGTTCTTTTTTTTTCCTTTTACGTGCTTCTTATTGTTATTTCGTTGCTGCCAGCGAAGCGCCAGTTAAAAATAAAGTATAAAATAAAGGACTTTACTCCGAGTGTAGAATTATTTTATGAAGCTCTTTTGTGTATTTTCATCTTTTTGCTGCCTTCTCTCGTGTGGTTCTTAGCTGTGTATGTGCGTCCTCTAAAAGAAAAAAGAAATCACTTTGTCTCCCCTTTTTTGTTAAGCACCTTAAACTCTTTTTCCCCCTACTTTGATGTTTTTCTTTTCTTTTTTCTAACTTTTACTGTTTGGCGACGGCGCCTCTCCTGAGGTGCGTTGCACAGCGTCTGGCTCATGCTCATTTGCGCAAATGGGAAAAAACAAACAAATAGAAGGAATATGCAAGGGTCGTTTGAGCTCTTCACATGAAGGCCTGCGTACAGCGGCTCGCGTGAACGAAGAATATTTCCGACGTCTCCCTTGCTGAGGTTCTTCTGTGTTGTGAGCACCTGACTCTCTTGATCCAGTCGCATCACTACAAGGAAGTGAAGCGACAGGAAGAAAAGCTCTCTACTATTTATGGCTACGTTCGCTATTCGAGAAAAAAAAAACGTAGGAGGTACTCCAAAGGAGCCGCTAATGTGAACTTCACAAGAAGTAGCAATGAAGTGAAACGGAAAGGGAGTGACGCTTCGAGGTCTTGCAGTTTTCTGCGTGTCTCTTGAATGTGGCGGATCGAAAATACCCCTTTTTCCCTTTTTTCTCTCATGTTTTTATTTTTGCAACTGAACAGGACGATCTGTGACGCTTTTCTTTTTCATCTCAATTGCACCCACCAAGTGGGCGCTGACGGTGGGCAAGGATCTGTAGAATCTGGATTTTCACCTAGGAGATAAAGTAGAAGGGAAAACTTCTATTTTATTTGTTCCGAGCTACCTTCCAGTTCACCTGCGGAGTAACACTCGTATTCCGTCTCCTCATCAGCTTGTCGTCGTCTTTTCGAAGCACTAGAAGGAAACGTATTCTCGTTTTTAAAATAGCTATCACGTTGGCGACTCATGTTCCACTGCGAATAATAATAAAAAAAACACTGTTATATATCCATTATGAATAGCAGGTGGCACTACTGCAGACATGTTGCCCATTTGCCTTTTCTCTTCTTCCTTTTCTTTACGTTCTCTCGGTGCCGTCATAATAATTATTATTATTATTATTTTTTTTTTATTTCCACGCACGTTCAGCTTCTTTTGCTGCACAGACTTGCTTTGTTTTTTTGCCTAAATCCTGTTCGTCACCTATTTTAAGAAGGAAGAGAATTCTTTTAATGCGATCACCAGTACTATGACTATGACCACGACTATTATTACCGTTTCTCTCACGGATTCTTCCGCGTTTTCGTTATCTTTTGTTTTTTCCCTTGTACCGTCTTTTTTCTTTTCGCTGTTGCTGCCGTTGCAGTCCACGTAGAAAAACGCCGTTGCTGAGGCTTGAGAAGGCAAGGGGCTGGAGACTGGACTGCGGGGCTCTTGTCATTGTATTAGTTTTCTACTTGCACATAGGCGTGTGCATCCATATGTATATATTTTCTTTCTTCCTCGGTCCATAAGACAAACCTCCCCCAAAAACAACAACAACGATAAAACACCGCCAGGGAGAAATTCCAGTGCTTGTGCCATCGCTCTCGTCCTCCCTCTTTTATTTACAGCATTCTTTTCATCGCGATAGTGCCGTGTATATATATGATTTTAAGGTGTTCCGGCAACGACGGTAAACGAAGCGTAACGGCCATCCACGGAGTTTTTTTTTTCTTCTACCTCTTTCTGTATACACACTTACTGATTGATGCGCTTCAGAAGAAGGCAAACAAAACAAAAGCAGACATGATAAAACAGCTTAACGCCTCTCTTCGCTCTCCTTTTCCAGATCTTCGTTATCATTGTAGCTCTTTGTTTTTGCCTTGGTGGTCTTTTAAAAAGTCCAAAAAGCAAAACTATCTGCAACCGCGAGACCGACCAATACCACCGCAAACAAGACACGAGAAGCAAGAGAGGTGGTACTGTGTTTTTCTTCTTTCCCCGTTAAGCCTGTATTCGGTGTGTTTGTGTGTGTGTGCGTGTTCCAAAAAGAGCCAAAATCCACCACACCGCAACAACAACCACAACAAATAATGCTCAAATTTCAGATCCAAAAAGACATTGCTTGCGAATGTTGACGCAACGCGTGCGATGTAACTCTCATCGGCGTGCTCCATTTGCGACAATGGTGTGTCGATTCCCCGTAAATGACCGTATTCGCCGAGCGTGTTTGCTGTGGAGGATATATAGATGTGCATATATATATATATCCCCCCCTGCGTGCACTGTGCAGACTCTAGGGTGGAAGCTTTCCTACCGCTTGGCTTCGGCGAAGTTGTGCACATCCCGTTCATTCGATGCGAAGCGATGGGGCAAAACAGGCGTCACCCTCCTTCACCTCTGCCTCTCCCACTATCTATCCTTTTTTCACATCTCTTCTTCATTGTGCTTTTGTATTTGCTTTGGTCCCTCGCGCACTTCCCATAAAACACATCTTCCCTTGTTTTCACTGATGCGTGCGCGTCGCATCCAAACTCGCTCATACCCTGTTGTTGCCGCATTTTTCTGGTTCTACATTTTTCTCGCTTTTATTTTAGATCACCTTCACTAACAGACTGGAGTGTCTCTAAGCGCTCAGCAACTGCGACACTTCCGAATCCGTAGCAATCAAAACAATAGTAGCGAAGGAAAGCAGGTAGTACGGCAGGGATCGATCTGACAGAGACACAGGGAGAGAGAGAGAGGGAGGAGTGGAGACACAGCAAAAGGAAAAATCTATCTCCGGGAGCGAAGCGCGTGAGGAGTTTTCGTTTCTTTTTCTCCTTCTGCACTGTGAAACAGTTCTCTATCTTTCTCTCTCTTTAGGCGTTCTTTGCCTTCGGTCGCTGCGAGTAGGAAAACACGCGTGCAGAATTTTGATGCCTCATTTGAAAGGACTCTCCTCTCCCCCCGACCCCCTCACAACCCCCCTCCTTCCCCCAACACCACAACAGCTCGGTCACTGTCAATTATTTGGTGTTTTATATAGTTTTGTTGTCCCTCCCTCCCCTCCCTCAATCCAATTTTTGTATTTTTCTCTCTTGTGGTCTTAATTCAGCTCGAGTAGTGCTGTCGGGCAACCTCACAGCATTTCTTCACGTGAACCTGCTTGCACCGCTACGTGGCCTTTTTAAAAACACTTCCTCTCCTCTTTCTTTTCTTTGTCATATATATATATATATTCTGAAACGCTGAGGATCTCCCTTGAAAGCATTCCACTTTAATTATCTCCCACGGTCAATTATTGCTGTCCCTTACCGAAGTCTTTCCTCTTCTTTTCGCATCTCTTTCTGTCTCCCGTCATCCGTGGAGAAAGTAACAGCATCTGTGCGATCGGCGTGTGTATGCACAATACGGATGGCTGATAGAGGTGTCTGGCAATTCAAGAAAAAGGTAAGCGGTGAAGGAGAGTAGGTAAGGTGAGCAATAGAGAATCCCCTTTTTTTTTGGTAAATCAAAATAGCGAAGTGGCAAAAGAAGTAAAAACAGTAGGAAGCGACGGCACGCTGTCTTGTGTATAATAAGACAAAGCTATTTAAAAAAAGGAATAGGTTGTGTTTCGATGATTTTTTTCCGATTAGTGTGAAACAGCAAAAGTTCTCTTGGAAGAATTGCTCTTCTTTCTCTTCCCTACGGTTTTGTAGCTCTATTTTTTTTTGTTGTTTTTATTTCCATTTGCGGTGCTTTTCTTTTTTTTTTGCATTGTTAAAAAACCCCGAGAGCTTCTCACATTTCTAAACTCTTGTGGATTATAGCTATTCAAGTGGCACTCTTTTCGATGCAAGAACAAGCGTATTTGGCTTTTATTCCCCCTCTCTCTTCGTTTTAAAATACTATCACGTTTGTTGTCTGCTTTTCTTTACTTTTACTTTTACGGAGTTATTTTTCTTTTCTTGATACTTTTTATATTCGATTCCAGGACTCTGTCTTGTACTTGCAACACGCATACGTAGGCACTCAACTCTTTGGCGCCTGTTTCTCTCTTCTCTCCAAAAAAAAAAATATAGGTAGAGGACGTGCGATTGACATTTTTTTTTTTGCATTTTTTAGTTTTAATATTACGCTCGCTATCTTCTCGCTTCCTTTTTTTGTGTGCTAAAGCTGTTCTTCGTATTTGTGTTTGGCTTGTGTGTGTTTACTTGGCTGCGCTACGTCTCTCTTCACTCGGTCTTTGTCTTCTATTTTTTCCTCCCCTTCTTTGGTGTGTTGCGTGCACTAGAGTATTATTTATAAGTACTGTTCCTATTGAAGGGCACCAAGCGGTCTGGGAGTTGCGAGAAGAACAAGAAAGCCACCCTCACAAAAGAGAGAAGAACACAACGTGTCTCCCCCTCTTTCTCTTTCTCTCTCTCTCCAGCTATCTCTTGTGGTGTCTCTTTTTGCTATACAAATAAAATCTGTTTCGCGGTCGTGTGCTTTGTCATTTAGGATCTGAAAGGGAGCATCTCAGGCTCGTCTTCTCTCGTTTATTATTATTATTATTATATTGGCTTTTTTCGTATTGCTTTGTCATATCAGTTATCTTTTTTCTTCTTCCGGTTCTACGTTGACTTCGCAAAAAAACCCCGACAGTAATCTCTTTTTTCTCTTGTTATTTTATTCAAAGAAAATTCTGAATTGGATCAGTAAATTATTGTTATTATTATTTTTCGGTGCTATTTGGTAGCTGTACGCAAACCCATCTCTTCTGTCCTGGCTTTTATTTGACGTTTTATTGTTGTTTGATAAACCGCTTCTCACAGCGCCGTTTTCTCTGCCATTTCTTGCTGTGAAAGCTTAGGAGTTGACGTTGATGAGTAATACAGGTCGTGCTGCGCCGAGTGGCTATGAAAGCCACGCGCAGCCTCGCTCTCGCAGCGGCGGAGAGAAGAGCGCAGCCGTTCGCCGCAGCACCTCGAAAGACCCTTCCACGCTTCCGCTAAACTCTGGTGAGCACGTCGTGCACCCATCGGAGCCGCGTTCGTCTTCCTTTACCCCAAGCGCTGCCACGGACCGCAACCATGACTTTCCGCACGCCGCAAGACCCGGTGTCGCACCTTCGGACCTTCTCTTCGCAAACGCTATGCAGCTGCAGGGCCCACCACGGGTGTCGCCGTTGAAGGGCACCCAGTGTGCACCGCAAGGGAGCGTGGCCCAGGTGTTCCACGATACTGTGCGAACGCCGGTGAAGGAGAACGGTGCTCGCGTACTGCAGCACAACAGCAGTGGTGGATCATCGTCGTACCGCTCTCTCCAGCCGCACCAGCCGCAGAACTCGCAGATGCCTGCGTCGTCGGCCCACGGCTATTCCACTCCAAGCAACGCAGGTTTCGCAGGCTTCGGAGCCGTACCGCCGGACACGTCCCGGTCTGCAGGGGCTGCCGTTCATTACACCGGCTTACCAGCAGCGAACACGCGAGACGACGCACCGTGCGGCATCAAGGCAAACGAGTATATCATGGTGCGTCCGGAGTTTCTACAGATGCTGTTGCAGCAACATCAGCAGTCGAGGGCCTCGTCGGTGGTGGCGGCGGCGTCGGCGTGTGCGCAGGACGAGTCCGCCCAGCCGCCGGTGCAGCACACCGCGCAATGGGGCGGGGATGCCGCGGTGACGGATGGGCGGCGCAACGGGTGCCCGAGTTACGCGAACAGCGGACAGGGCAACCCGCCGCATCGTAGTAATCAGAACAACAGTGGCAGCGCAATGACGTCTCCTTTTTTCCTCCAGACGCAGCAGCAGCGGGACGGCAACGTTGGACGATCGCTGCCGTCGAAAGGCAACGTGAGCGTGAGCAACGTCGTGATCCGTGCTCCACCAGCGACAACGAGTGCAGCCGGCGCAACAGCTCTACGCGTCGCGGCGGCAAGCACTCCTAACTTCAATCTCCAACAGACGAAGGGATCCAACAACGGCAGGTATGGCACCGAGTACGCGCACGGTGTGCAGATCAACAGCAGCAGCTGTGCATTGGGCGCAAAGCGCTCGCAAACGAATACGTCCTATACCGCCATATTTCAATCCCCGACGGCGGGTGCTGCAAGCTTGAAGGGTGATGCCGCCTCTCATTTGCACACGCCGTCGTACCCGCACGAGGCGCTGCCACCACCACCATTGCCAGCGAATTCGGCGACGACGTTCCTTTCGGGCGGGTGCGCTCCCCTTTCACCTCCTCTGCTGCCAGCTGGCGGTGTACTGAACACACGAGGCGGAGGCGGCGGCCTATTCAGTACGCTGCTGCCGCCGCCTCCACCACCGTTGCCATCGGACGTGAAGAGTGCAGGCGCTTCCGCAAAACATCACGTTAGCCGAAATGGAAAAGGTGGTCCTGCTGGCTACAGCATGCAAATCAATAATGCAAAGACTGGTATGACGAACGCTGGACGTCGCGGCAGTCGCAATGGGGCCAGCCATCTCGAACAGCAGCACCAGCAGCACCAGCAGCAACAGGGAGAACGGGAGGACGACAGTTCTGCAGCTGGGGCCGCCAGCGGCGGTGTTCACAGACGCGGTGGTGCAACCAACACCCACCATTCCCACTACCACCACCGCAGCGGCAGCATTGGCAGCAACCACGACGACAGCGACAACGACCACAACCACAGCGGTTACGTCGAGACAAAGAACGGCGCCAACTTCGTGGTGGGCGGATGGTATGAGGGGGTGGTGAAGCGATACAATCCGCTCCGCGGCTTCGGCTTTTTGACATGCACCCACCAACTGCACTTCGACTTCCGCGCGTGTGAGCAGGCCTGCACGCGCAACGCCGAGGACGTGTACGAGCGACAGCAGAGGCAGGAGCTGGAGAAGGCTGTGGTGGCCGCAACGCCCCTCTGCGGTGGGGGTGGCGGTCGTGGTGCGAACGATGACGGTGCCGAAGACAAGCCGGGACCGCTGACAACGGCGTGCACGGATGCAAGGAGCATGCCGGCTGCACCGTCGCCCGCTTCGTTGAAGGCGGGTGACCCGCCCGCACCGCACAGCACCGGTGCCCCTAACCCGCTCGCCGAAGAGCCTCCGTTACACCACAGGAGTAACACCGATGTGGACGCGGCGAGGCTGGAGGAGGGATCGTTGGAGGCCACTGCCAACGGCAAGATGCACGGCACCGTCGTGTACAGCACGATGCAGTGGTACCTGCACACCATCGATGACAAGTCTCCCCACTCGTTTTCTTCCACCCGCACCGGCGACACGGCTGCCGTTGCCGCTGCCGCCGCCGCAGCAGAAGAAGGGAAAGACAGCGCCCCAAGCAACGCCGCCCTTGCAGTGGCGGAGACGGATAAGGCAGCGGGGGAAGAAGAAACGGAGTACAATCGCAGCGACCTCGCTGCCCCCACCACAACCGGCGTTGTCTTGCGCAAACTGGAGCGGGAGGCGATGCAGGTGGGTGACATCTTCGTCCACCACTCGTGCATCTCGATGGGCGGCTTCCGCGTATTTGTGCCCGGCACGGTGGTGCGCTTCAGCGTGGCGGTGCTGATGGACACGGTGCAGGCGGTCGACGTCGTCCCACTCGGGCCGGAGTGGGCGACACCGCGGCCGCCAGCGGAGATGACGACGCCGCCGCTGTACAAGGTGTCCTCGACGGCGGCCACCGTCCTGCGCTACCACCGCCACAGCTGGAAGGCGGTGGGCGAGCCGGAGACTGGCGGGCCGCACAGCCGCGTCGGCAGCACGTCTGTGCAGTGGACGGATATGGCGGTTATCCCAACCGCTGCCATTCCGAACTCCGTGGAGGGGATGAGTGAGCTCCTGATCGTGCGGGTGCCCGCTGCCAACCCGCCGGTGTCCACCATGACGGAGACGGCCACTTCGACGAGGAGTGGCTCCGTGACCGCGTCTGCTGCCGATGCTGCGAAGGCGGTGAAGATCGCTGCTGCGCTGCCGGCACCGCATGCCACGACTACAGCTGAAGAGGAGAAGCAGGCGAAGGAGAGCACAGCGACCACCACGGCTGGCAACGCTCCGGAGGCCTCGACAACGTCGCCGTTGGTGGTGGAGTTGGGGGTGGTGGCACCACCAGACCGCATGAAGGCTGCCTCCTACCAGAACAGCAGGGACTCCAGTGTGGAATGGGCCACCGCAACGCCGCAGAGTGTGCCAAGGTACGAAGAAATGGAAAAGCAATCTGCTACTACTGCCCGTGCCTTGCTGGAAAAAGACTCCTCCACAGAGTTCAATGGCGTCCCCACCGCCTTCTCTGGTGGAGGTCTGACGAGCAGTAAGACCGACACCCACCGCGGCCACCACCGGGCTGCGGCGGCCACCGAGACAAACGGGACGGGCTCCCGTAATATCACCGCCGGTACCACCACCACGGTGGCTCCCACGCAGAGCAGCGGGCACACCGGCAGCCACGGCTGTGAGGCGGGCATGCAGCGGGGGAGGGTGGTGGTTCATCGCCTAACACCGACGGGCTCCTCAGGGGATCAGGAGGAGCCGATGTCGTCCCGGAACATGGGCGGTCCGCAGATGTCGTCGACGGTCTCCGGCGAGAAGGGCAACGCAAACGAGAAAGGACATCGCCACGACGGGCGGCAGCCGGTGGTGAAGGAGGAAATCGGCAAGGTGAACGACGGAGGAAAGGGCCGCCCCCACCACAAGTACGAGCCCAACGCGCCGGCCGCCGTCAACAATACTATTACCTTCGCTGCCGCGCCTCAAGAACCTGTTTACTGCGGATCCCCTAACCTGGCCTCACACGAGGGGGTGGACTTCCACGGCGGTTCTATAAACCCCTTGAGTAGCAGCATCTGCTGCGACGACTCCGACGACAAGGACGCCGCGACGACGATGTCCACATCCCGCTCCGGCAACACGCTGTCCGACTGCAATCCCGGCCCGACGCCTGATTGGACGGAGTTCTTCGAGCGCAAGATGGCGAACGAGCGAACCAAGGATATCTTGATGCACAAGATGGACCTGAGGTTCTTTCCCCACCGCAGTGCGAAGAGTGCGGCGGCAGCTGCTTCGGCGGCAGCAGCAGCAGCGGCCTTGTCCGCGCTCGGTGGGGGCGATGCGGCTGGAGACGGTGGCGCTGCTGTTTTCACCCCTTTGCATCCCGAGGTGGTGCCACTGTCCGCCGCTGGCGAGTTGGACAGCAGCTCCTCGCGTGGCATGGAAGAGGAGGAAGTGAAGGGCGCGATGCGGATGATGGCAGCGGCGGCGGCCAGCGACTCCCTTGGGGAGGGCCGTCGTCACAACCTGATCGGCGGCGGGGAGGCGGATCCGTCTTCTTCGCAGCTGCCGACGCCGGAAGACCCGAGTGGGCAGACAGGCACTATACGGACTGCCACGTCGGAGGAGCGCCGCGACAGCAACAGCGGTGACGCCGCCCCTGCCGTTCAACAGCACTGCGCCAAGTCGAAGAAATCGGGTGAGAGGGCTGTGGATGACAAGAAGCGGCGCAACAGGAGCAGCGCGGCGGTCATGTCGACGCTGGTGATGGTCGCAGTGTCGAAGCTGCCGCCCTCGCTGGCCACGCAGGTGCCACGTGGGGTGACGGTGATTGCGCTGCCCAAAGCCACGGCAAAGGAGCTGAGGATCGAGTCGTTGCCGATGGATTCCACCAACGCCGCACTGCTGTCCACCCCTGCCGAGCCGGAGGTGCCGCTGCCATCCTTCTCGAACCCACAACCGCCACAGCCGCAACGCTCATCGCCTGAGTTCAGTCCGTGGCCGTCCATGCCCGCCTCTTCGCCGAGTGCTTCCACCAGCTCCGACGGCGACTGCTACCACCATTTGATGATGGCAGCGGGAAACATAACGACGTCGAGTGACAGCCGCACCCGCCCTCTGCCGGGCAAGCAGCAGGACCCACACTCCTCCGCCAGCGCCCGTATTGTGTTTCCTTTTGTGACGGAACTACCGGGTGCTCCCGCTGTCGCTGCTACCGCCGGAACAATCGTGTCTGCGGCCAAGTCTCACGAGTTCCCGCTGAGCTCCGTCGGCGTGGAGTCGTCGGACATGACGACACGCTCGCGGCTGCTGCAGAGCAGCGCGATGAACACGGCGCTCACCTTACTCAGCTCGCACTCGACTCCGGTGCCGCCGTACATGGTGGACATGCCGCTGCCGCCGTGGATGCGGGATACAGAGCCGCCGCCGCAACAGCAGCAGCAGCAGCAGATGCCGAACAGAGGCAATGCCGTCTACTCACCAGCTCCAGAGCACCCCCACAAGCCGTCGTTGTCGCAGCCATACCCATTTGCGCAAGGAAATGACGCCTTCCTGCCCCTCAACTGCAACACGGCTAAGCGAAGCATAAATCGCCCTCCCAATGGGACGTCGCCTGGGGTGAATCAAATGACGGACAGCGACACGTTCCCGCAGCTGTGATGTAGGGCAATAGATTGAGCCTTTGTCCCCCCCCCCCTGCGCGTACGCGCCGCAGGTGTTCTCCACCTTCACTACTCCGTTCGACAACGTCGCATCTCCAACCGGCCTTTTCCCCTCTCAGTGAGGCTCCAGCGAAGAGAGAGCGAGAGAAAGAAGGCGTCGAAGCAGTTGGCTGTCAGGACCACTGCTATTAAACTTGTCGAATTTTCTTTTCCTGTGTTGTCTTATATATATAGAAACGCCGACCTTCCACTTTCGTTTCTTTTCGAATAGCTTAATCTACAAGAAATGTTAGCATATATATTGCAGTAGATGCGCAGCCGCATGGGTGGTGCGAGTTGTGGGGTAATGCTGCTTGCCATTTTTGCTGCGTGATGTGTGTTGGTAGTGCCGCCACTACCGGCAACGAAGAATCATAAAAGAAAAACTGGCGCATGTGTGTTTCCCAAAAAGAAAGAGGCATCCATCCATGCAAATCGTTTTCCTCTCCTTTTCTTTTGTCGTATCGTGGCAGTGCTACACGTTCGTGGCTTTCTGTTTCCTTTGTGTTTTCAAAGGTGTGTTCTTTATCTGTACAATCGGTATTCCGCTGTTGTTGCTACCACCATTTATCTACGTGCCATCTTTTATGCCTCTGTTGAACTGATATACGGAACTTCGTTTGTGTATTTGTTTCTCTCTCCCTCTTCCACATTTATTGGTGTTAAAAAGAGGATTTTTCTGTTGTGGTATTACAAGCTGCTGACGCAGCCTTCAAGCGCTGCACATTGAATCAGAAGGGCTCTTTCTTTCTTCCTTCACACTTACGTGCATGCACTTCTCTCTTCTCCGAAATCTCCTCTTCCTCCTTAAATTCATTGGTAGTGTACGCTAAAAATAACGAAAAGTATCGTTGATCCGAATGCTTTCTAAAACTATCAATTGTTTTGTTCACCGTTTGTGAATGGGTGCGCAGTAAATTGTGGAGTTCTTACGAACTGCGTTTGCATGACACCTAGCACGTTTTCTCTTTACTGTGGTACCTGTGCGTTGCTCAGTTGACCTCTCTCCCCCTCCCCTTCCCCTTCCCCGTTAATGCGCTCTTCCCCCCCTCCCCCTTTCTACCAGCGGGCGTTTACACGCTGGCAACCTTATTCGTCTGTGTTTATATACTACGCACATTTTCTGCGCAGTGTCGGGAGCCAATGGATTTTATTTGTTCTTTACGATGCCTTCAGGCAGCAACTGTTTCACTTGCTTATAACAGCTCTCCTTCTATTTTCTGTACCTTCATTTTTGTTTTGCCGTGTTTTTCAACGCTTTATTTCTTTACTGCTGCTCTTCGCACGACGGCTTCTTTCCCTTTTATGTCGAGCGCCCACCTAAAGGAGGAGAAAAGCGGCTACCTTTATTTAACCGTAGTAGCCACTTTCTCTCTCCTTTCACCCGCTGATTGGGTGCACACCACCAAAAGCATGAAGGTCGTGTGTGGGTGGCTCGTACAAAAGTGGTAAGTGAAAGAAAAATAGTGGCCCCAATAGCAGTAAAATGCTAACGGCACCAACAGGTGATTATGAAACGTTGATGTGGCCTGGGTGCTACGGGTGTGCAGATATTTTCTTGATGAAAGGACACACACAGGCGCCATATTTATGTATTTCTTTCTGTTTCCTTAGTATCTTCTCTCTTCCCCAATGATTTCTGTACAGCTGAACAAGCCGTCTCCTCTCTCGTGGTAATCGGCAAACACACACAGAAATAAAGAGAAGAAAGCGAATTGTTTCTGGCAGAGTCTTTGACTCTCGAAGTCTCCTCCTTAAGCTACAAGCACACGAGATCGGGGTAAAGTGAGGCAGAGGAAGAAGAAAGAAGACCTTTTTTTTTGGAAGGTAAACATCGTTTCTATTTTGTTGTTCCACACAAGCATATACATAATAGTCCCCTGCCCCCCCTTTTCCATGTGTCCCCAAGCTACACATATTATTTCTTCTTTCTCTTTTTATATGCATTGTGGCGGCTATTATTAGCCAACTCCACTACCTGAGTTTGCAATATACATATCTATATGTTCACCAAAGGAGCCGTTTTTGTGTTATGGGCTGCTCATCTTCCGTCGTCAAAGCGTAAGAGTATTACTGTACCGTGATGCTGCCCTTGTAGAACGAACGAAGGTGCTGCATGGCCTCTCTTCGGCTGCGGACTCGGCTGTGGTGAAGGCCAGCCCCGTCCCCTCCACCTTTGTACTCTCCCGGTGCACCTTCTTTCCTTCTCCGTCCTTCGCTGTTGGTCCTCACCGCAGGTCGTGAAGAAGTAAATAAAAAGGATATTGCCAGCATTTCTCCTTCCCGATGCGGGTGCCTACTCAGAATTTTACAATTCTCTTTTCTTTCTTTTCAAAACCAAACAAGAAACAAAAGCACGGTTTGGGATTTGCACCTTCGTTTTGTTGACGCACTGGTGTTGGACTGGCTTGTGCTCGTGTACCTTCCCACGGGTTCGCGTGATTTGTCTTCCCTGGGTTTTGCAGCGTGTGTTGATTATGCGGATGCCGAAAAAGGAAGAAGAAGAAAGAAGAAACACTTTTCAAATATGTTTTTATATCTCCTTCTCTGTAACTTCTCCTCTCGTATGCGCTGTTGATGAGCTTCGCTTGTGTGTGTTTCTTTTGCGGAAGCGTCACGATGTCCAACCGGCTCATGCCTTTCACGATGAACGCCTGTGGGGCGGGATCGCCTCCTGACTGGGTGTGGTCTTTCCGTGCTGCCGCGTGACGGTGTAATCGACTTGAAAACAAACGAAAAGGAATAGCGACAAAAGAAGAAAAATTAGTAAATTCAGAAGAGTGGAAGGGGACGGTTGACACTCGATGCCAGTATCTCGGCGTTCTGCGGGAGGACCGACGCGTGGAAGCAGCTGAGAGAGCTATGGCGGCTCGTTCCTTGTCCGCCTTCAGATTCCTTCCGCTCTCGCCCTTGGAGGTAGGCCTGGTAAGGGCACCTGTCTCCGCTCTGTAAGAAAGGTTCTTTTTATTTCCGCATATGCTGAATGCGGTTGCGAAGTACGTGCTCCGCTGCGCTGCGTGGCGAGACGAAGGAGAAGTGTGTCTCTCTCTCGGCCATTGTACTCTGCTTCAGCTGTTCCAACTCTCTTGATGGACGTATTCTTCTGTGCTTTTTCTCATTTACCCCTCTTCTACTCAACTCTTGTCTTATTGTCTTCTCTCTATTGCACGGGCGCGTACTCGCACACATACTCACGTATATATATATAACGCTGCGCCGATACACCCGATGCGGCCAACCTTGCCGCTTGGTCATGGGCTTCATGCGTACCTACTGGCCAACGTGTACTGTGTGTGCATATCTTTATATCTGTTTCCCACTTACCCCTCTTCACTGCATGAGAGTTTTAGGTTCTCTGTTTGCGGTGGAAGCGGTCTTATACAAACGGGGGAAAAAAGCAACTGCACTGTTGGACGAAAGCGATCGGAGCGGCATCGTCCCGGTAGCGTAGCGTAGGTGAGACGGCAACAAACATCGTTAGTGAACACACATTCATACATATATACCAGAACAACTCTTGTAAATTGCTACACGCTGAACGCATCTATCCCTTGTCGCTCTCACACACACACACATACGCGTAAAAAACCTCTGCTTTCTGTACATCTCCGCTTTCCTTCCCTGTCGCTTGCTGAGTTGCGGAATTAAAACGACGCTTCAAACCCGTTTGATGTGAGTTTTTTTTTCTAAAATAACTTTTCTCACCAGTGCTTCTTTTTCTTTTTTCCTTAAACCTATTTGTCGCTCCTTCTTGAATTCGCTGGAAGGCGCCGGTGCAGGAACGGCATCAACGTTTCATTGTTGTGTCTCATCTCGCATTCGCATAGTTTGTCTCGGTGCCCTTTTTTCCTTTTCTCGTGCGCTTCTCTTCGGGCCTGTACCTGTTGGTCGTTGCCACCGCGGTGTTGCGTGTGTGGTGCTCTGCCCCAACTAGCAGCCATCGCATCGTCGGTTTCTGTGTTTGACCCTTTTTCGTGGTTGTTCACCGTTTGCGTTATTTCGCCTTTGTGGCTGTGTGTGAGGCCTGGCCGCTCTTCTTTGCCGTTGCGTGGGAAGGACACGGCGCGTAATTGCGGCCGTTCTGCGTTATTCTTCGATTGTTTCCGTATTTATATATTTGCTCTTCTAGCTGAAGCAGGGCCTTTTCTTTCTCATTGTCTTTGGTAACAGAGCAACCCTCACAGATACATTTCTATGGATATAGAGTCAGGTGCGGCTCCAATGCCTTCTTCGGAAGGCCACATTGTTGCGGCCGAGGGCGGAGCAGGGAATGCGAGTGCTCCCTTGACCATCAACAGTCTCTCCCCGCTGCACACCGGCACGACGACGCCGTCGCAGCCACCAGCCAACGACAGTATGGGGGCGGACTCCGCCAACACCCCGTCCTTCGGACGCAAACGACGTCTCAGCTTCAAAGATAAGCAGCGGCAGGGGGTTTCTCACGTGGGCAGTAGCGGCACCACCTTCAAGTCTACGCTGGCAGGCGACTCCAGCAGCGGCCCTTTTCAGTCGCCAACGAGCACCGCCACATCGTCGTCGCCGCACCAGCTATTTCTCTCTCCGACCGGCTCTCAGACCTCGCAGCCGGCGCGCAAGAAGACAGCCGCAGACGCAGCGGCGGAGACCACCACCACCGTGACGACCGGGTGCGTCTTCACGGCGCTGGAGCCGACTCGCGGCGGCCCGCGCGGGGCAGCACGACCGCTCCACCGCCATCTGGCCTCTCCCACTGCCCGCCTGCCCACCTCTACCACGCTGTTCGGGTCTTCGGCGACGTCGACAGAGCCGTCACCGGTGACGAAGTCGCGGTCTTCGCCGTCGGAGCAGGCTTCCGCCTCTCCCGGCGTGATGCACAGCCCTTTACCTGCCTCGACGGCACTTCCCGCGAGCGACTCAGCGTTCAATCTCACCTCATCGTCGGCGTCACCTCTCACAGTGGCGAGTCCGGGTCTCGACAGCACCGCAGCGGAGGGTCGCGATATATTTTCCCATGAGCTGGTAGGCATCTCCGCTGCGTCTCCTGCTGCTGCTGGTGGGGGTGGTGGGCGTCCCTCGACAAGGGTGCTTAGCCGGTTTAGCACGTCGCTGGAGAACATCGTGAGTGCGCCTTCTGTCAGCTCGCCGACGGTGTCGTCCTCCTCGTCTGCGGTGGCCTCGCCGAAGCTGAGCTTCAAGGACCGACAACGAGCGGCGGCGGCGACGGGCATTTCGCGCAACGCGTCGAAACGCGGCTCCTTCTCGAGCCCCGTCATCCAAGTAGCCTCGATGACAACGGAGGCGTCGTCCTCGCCGAAGGCGGCCTCGCTCGGCGCCTCCAGCAGCTTCTTGGCGGTGTCACACAACTCCGGCACCGCCGCGACGGAAGCCTCTGTGCCTCATGTAAGAGCGCAGACACGAACGTCCCCTCTGCCAGCCACCGCAGCCATTACGTCGCCGACGCAGAAAGTCCCTTGCTACGCTAATGCGAATGCCGAAGCGGGCCTCACTCGCAGTGGTGGGGGGAGTAAATCGAAGGAGGGCAACTCTCCCATGCAGAGCATTCCACGACTACCCATCGAGCGCCTTCAGGCGAGATTGTCTCCGCTTCAGTCCTACACTGCCGTACCGCCGCCAGCGCAGCGCGAGGGAGTCGGCAAGACGGAAGCAAACAGAGGTACTCCTTCACATAATGCCTCCGTTGTCACGGCGCCGCCGCTTGCGCTGCCGAACGCACCAACTGGACCAGCTGAGCCTTCCTACTTCACCGCTGGACCGTCTCCCTCCGAGACGCGATGCACGCAGTCAGCTCCTCCCGCGTTGACGGAGCCGCGCTCCAGTGCAGCCGCAGCAGCAGCCATGTCACGGCCACCACCACCATCACCACCACCGAGCACAAGCCTCCGTGTCAGCAGCTCTTCACAAGATGTGGCGGATATCGCGTACAGCACGCACCCCACCGTCACCACCACCACCAACGCCACCACCACAGCAGGTGAGGGCCACAGTCAGAGCAGCCAGACACGCACGAATAGCAGTCAAGCGGATGAAGACGATGAAGAAAACGCCGCCTTGGCTTTTACGCAGAACGCAACACGATTGCATCTGTACGACCCTGACGAGCCCTCACCGCAGGAATTTGCCATGGCCCTTCCCCACGAAGGAGGCATTTCTGAAGGAGGCAGTGGTGGCGGTGGTGGCACGCGGTCTGGCACGATGGATGAAATATCTTCGAATAGCGCCACTTGGCGAGCAAACAGCCGCCGCAGTTCTGGGGCAGGGAGGGAGCTGGAGAGGAACCCGCTGCAAGCTGGCGAAGACTCCTACTCGGGCGACAGACACTCCCACAGCAGCGGCGGCGGTGACCGGCACGCCTACGCCGCGCGTCGCGCCCGCACCAGCAGCCTAGACACCCCTCCGCCGAGCACGTACACCGTCCCACCGAGCCCCTCGCCCGGTATTCCGTCTTCCAGCTCCCCATGCTCCTTCTCACCCCGTAAGATGCCGACCTCCGAGCAGACGAAGCTGACCGGCCACGGGGGCCGCGTTAGACACACCGTCATTGGTCACTGGAAGCAGCAGAACAAGTCGCAGCAGAAGCAGCAGCAGCAACAATCCCAGCCGCTAGCGCTGTCGCACACGGCGAGCTCATCGATGGCGTCCCTGAACGACACCGCCGAGCTCTCCACCTCGCGAGGGGACGCGCCGCTGGCTCGCACGAGCCGCTCCCGCCCACGGCGGCACCGCGACAAAATGCTGGCCCCCGACGGAGCGGTGCTGAACACCCCGCGCACGGGACGTGGCCCCGGCGGGGAAAGCGGCGGCCGCGGCTTTGGGAACGTCCGCACCCCCCGCATGCATGGCCGGAGTCACACGGTGGACGACTTTGCCTTGTACGCTGTCACCGCCGGGCGTCGCGAGGCGCAAACGCCGTCGTCGCTCACGCCCGGCTCCGTCGCGGTCACCCACAACCCAACCCCGGAGACGCTGGTGCCGCCGTTTGGCGGTCACCCCGTCGTGGCGGTCACACCCAGTGGCGGTGGGGTGGGGGAGCATGCGGGCCTGTTGGACACGAGCGTTGCCCTTGCCCGACCACCCCTTCCCCTCTGGTCCTCCATGACTGATACGGTGACGACAACAGCAGCGAGCGGCGTTGGCACAGGCGGTAGAGGGAGTAGTAGTACCGGGCGTGCGGTCCACCAGCCCGGGTCGCCGCGCAGCCGAGGTGCGGCCTCCTTTCCACGACTTCCGCTCCCACGCGACCACGCAAACAGCGCCAACTCTGCCATGCCCCAGGCGTCCTTCGCTCTGGCGGCGGTGCTGTCACCGAGCGGGGCCTCCGCCGAGAACTTCTCTGGAGCCACGCCCGCCACGGTGGCCACGCCCAACGGCTACCGCTCCGGCGACGAGCGCAGTAGCAACGCGGCCTCCTCCGGCAACCGAACCGAAACGTATGTCTACGGCACCATCGAGGAACCGAGCCACACCACCACCACCGCCACCATGCCCGACGACCTCGACAACGAGGACAGGGACTACCTCCTGCAGACCTACAACACCTACTACGCCGGGGAGACGTCGTTGAGCGCGACGACCGCCGAGCTGCGCAAGTCGCGGCGGCGCAGCAACTACTCCAGTCTGCACTACGGCACCATGACAGGCTATCGCCGCCGCGGCGACTCGCACCGGCCGCGCAGCGATAGCACGGCGCAGAAAGACTGGCGGCGGCGGCGCGGTAACGAGCGTTTGACGAGCACGGAGGGGAGAGAGAACGAGGAGAAGGCGGACCTGACAGCGGCGGCGAAAGTGATGGACCGCGGCACGCACGAGGAGCGCAGCAACACGGTCGCTCGTCAAGGCGTACACTCCTCCGAACACGACGACGAAGAATCCATCTGCGAGCAGAAAGGCAGCGAGGAGGACCGGGACAAGGAAGCAGCCGCGGACAACGAGGAGGGCATCGCAAAGCCCCACCTTGCAACGTCACCCAGCCACCACCGGGCAGCAACAGCGACGGCAGCAGCGGGTGGCGGAGGTGCGCCGCTCACACTGGTAGACGACGAGGAAGACGGCGCCGAGGACGGGCAGCGGCGCGCCATCGGCATCTGGGAAACCATAGAGCACGTATTTCTCCCCCGCTACGAGCTGGCGGAAGAGGCGGCGTCGAAGGAGTCGCTCACGGGACCGGCATCGCCGAGCAGTCCCAACCTAAGCGACACCGCTAGTATCGAGAAGCCGTGTGCGAAGCCGGGAGGCTCGCCCCCGACGGTAGCGAATGTGAAGAGCACATCCTCCAGTCCCAAGACGTTGTCCAGCCACGGTTTGCAGCCGACACCGACGGTGCTTTTATCGTCCTCGCCGGCGCAGCCGAAGTTCTCGTCTCCCACCAACGCGACTCCCTCTGCCGTCCCGCCGGCGCTGTCGGCGGGAAACAGCCCTCCGACGGGTCCACGACCGAGTGGGCTGGTGGTGTTGCCCGACGCCGTCAATCTCGCCGACGATACGAGCATGTCCGTCTCACTGACTTTCAGTCAGTTCCGCAAGGCGCCGGGTCAGGTTGCCGGCACGAAGCGGTTAGAGCCGGAGAAGTTTTCGTTTGGCACGGCGGCGGCGACGTACAACGTGGAGCCGACGGATGAACAGCAGCTGCCGGAGGGCTCTGCGGATGTAAAGGTGGCGGCGCGCCTTGTCTTTGACGCGGCAGCGGGCGTGACGCTGATGGACCCTGAGGACGAGGTCGGGCGGTACGAACCGCACGGACACTCATCCCTCGACGCGCGCAGTCAATTGCCCTCGCCGAAGAACAGAAATGAGGAGGCCGAGGGGGGCGGGGAAGACGAGGAGGAGGAAGGGGATGACGGTGCGTGCCAGTGTGACGCCAGCTTTATTGCGAAGGACTTCAAAGGGCTGGACTGCAGCCGCTACGACGCGAGCGACCTCTACGACCACTGCAGCCGCTGCCACCGCCGGCCCGCCGCGTTTCTGTGCCTGCACTGCATGGAGGCAGTGTGTCCCTCGCACGTCCAGCGTCACCACCTGCTGAACCCCACGCAGTGCACGCTGTTCCTCAATCTGCTGGACATCATGAGCAGCTTCGACCGCATTTTCTGGTGTGAGAAGTGCAAGCAGTTCACGTGGAAGCACACGGAGATCTACGACTCGCTCGTGGACCAGATCGCCTACACCCGCGGCACCTACTTGAAGTTCCCAGCGCGTGACATCCACTGCGTGGGCTACGAGGTCCGACTGAGGGACGCCGATGCGCAAGCCGCCGCCGTCGCTTCCATCAAGGCACGTAGTGTACCCAGCGTCAGCGAGGACGCTGCCTCCAGCAACTGCGGCTCGCCAGCACGTCTGCGTCGCGCCGTGAGCGGGTCCTCGCTTAACGCTGCCTTGCTGAGCCTTGCGCCGAACCCCGCCTTGGCCACCTTCCCGACCATCGGCACCACGGTCGCTGCCGCGACCTCTCCTCAGATGCGCAGCAGCACCCCGCCCGTCCACATCCAGTCGCCCACCGGCAGCAGACCCGCCGCCCAACCGTCGATGCTGGGGGTGAACAACTTGATTATTTTCGGGGCGTCGCCCTCCTCGCCGGTGGGCATCAGCGGTGCTGTTTCACGCCTGCACGGTAACGCCGTGGAGACGCCGCCGCTGCGCTCCATGAGGTCGCCGATGCAGAAGTTTTTAAACCGCGACCCGCTCGAGACATCGGGGTCGCGCGCCGTCACCGTCGGCGAGCCCGTCACGAAGCTGTGCGCGTTGGGGGCGAGTGTGCAGGGGTGGCGCACGACCCAAGAGGACGCGGAGGCCGCATTTCTGATTGACATTCCGGCCCTCTCGAGTGAGGTCGTGGACCGCAAGGAGCTGCGCGCCGTCGCCGCCGCTGCGGCCGCAAAAAAGAAAGAGAAGGAGCAGCAGGAGCAGCAGCAGCAACCACAGCAGAGCGACGTCCAAGATGACCGGCCTGCAGACGCGGAGAAACGGCGGAAGAGGGATGTAGATGCAGAAGACATGCGTCGTGGTTCACAGTGGACGGACAAAACGATGCCGCGTTCTCCACGCGAGGGCCGGCACGCCGCCTCTGATTTGGAGTCCTCCGCGTCGGCCCAGCTGCCCGTCCTTGACTCTACGCTGCGCACGAGTGATAGGGCAGAGGTGAAGGCGGCGCAGACGCGCGCAAACGAAGAAAGCGACACCGAGAAATATCGAGCACGTGCCGTCGCAAACGACAAGGAGAAGGGCCACAACATCGGTGATGAGGAGAACAGCGAAACGACGACGGCGGCAGCAGAGGAGGAGGAGCAGGAGACGATCCCGATGGCGGTGTTTTGCGTCTTTGACGGCCATGGCGGCGATGCCGTGGCGAAGTTGGCCGCCCGCCACTTCGAGACCCATCTTCGGCGGGCCATCCACGGCACCCGCGCTGACGACGTGCGGGCCCGGGCGCTTCTCTTCTACCTCAGCGCGGAGTCGAACGTCGCCGCACTGCTCGGGCCTCAACCCGCCGTCACGGCCATTCCCGGTGTCGACGGCAGCATCACGTTTCTGCCACCCGCCAAGGCCGCAACGCAACGAGGCGCAGGCTGTGCGGCGTCGAGCCCTCCTCCTTGCTTTCCCTCACTGCCGAACCCGACGACGTCCTCACACTCGCGACCTACGGTGACGTCCTCCAGCAGCCACTCGAGGCTTCTTATTCCCGGCAATTCGCTGACCAGACCCTTCGATGCGGCAGAGGGAGTAGAAGCAGAGCCCGTGCCTCTAGTGGTACCCTTACCAAGCGGAGAAGAGGACAGCGGCATGCCACAGGTTCTGCAGCTGCCGGAAGCGGTGTTCGCCGAGTCGATCCCGATCGTGATGCCCGTCACGGCGGAGTCGCTTCGTCTGCATGTGACGGGCAGCGTCGTGAACTTTCCCGCTTCCGGTGCCGGAGAGGTACGAGCGGACAACGGACCGAAGGCGCCGCCGTCCAACGCGGGTCAGGACAGTGCGAGTGTGAACGCGCACGGCTTGGCACGAAATCGACGTTCCAAAACAACGTTGGATGCCTGGGCTGACATGGAGGATCCGCAGCCGGACATGGCAGCCTCCGTTGCCACTGCCGCTGCCGCAGCGGCTGCTGTTGCCTCAGCTTCTCCACTGAATCAAAGACTCCTGCCTCCGTCGTTCGCATCTATTTGCAGTCCAGACTTCCGTCACTTCAGCATCCCCACAAACAACCCGCAAGCCGTGATGGCGGCCAGCACCGCCTTCTGCGCGTCCCCGTCAGCGTGGGTGTCCATTCCGGAGATGGAGATGCTGCGGCAGTACTTTGCGAGCATCATGGAGGACGCACTGCTGTCCCTCGACGACTATCTCCGCACCACACCGGAGGGCGTGCGTGGTGACTACGACTGCGTCGGCTGCACCGCCTGCGTCGTCGGCATCACGGCGAACTTCGTGCTGTGCGCCAACGTGGGTGACAGCGGGGCCGCATTCTACACGAAGGATCGCATTAAGGTGATCAGCGTGAAGCACCGCGTGTCCGACGAGGCGGAGCAGAAGCGCATCAACGCCGCTGGGTACGCCATTGTGAATGACCGCATCGAAGGCATGTCCGCCGTGCCACGCGCGCTGGGGGATTTTGACTTCAAGCAGTGCGGTGGTCGGGGCCCGCATGAGCAGGCCGTCACGGCCGTGCCAGACGTTACGATCATGCCGACGCCGAGCGACACGGATCAGTGGGGCATCATCCTCGCCTGCGATGGCGTGTGGGATACGGCGACGCTGCACCAGGTGCACGTGGCGCTGACGAACACCGTGAACGACCTCGACGTGGCGAGCTCGGCGACGGAGGCGGTGCTGCGCGGGGCGGAGCTGTACCGGCACCACCTGCGTGGTCCGGGCGCGCCACGCGGCGACTCCCCGTCCACCTCCCCGCAGCGCAGCTCCCCTTCACACGAAGACGGCGGACCGAACAGCAGGAAGAAGAACAGCAGCAATACCAACGACAATGCTGCCGGTCGAAGCAGGGAGGGCAGCACCTCTCCATCGCCGGCAAAGCGGCGGGCACTCCTCACGGCGGACAACGACGAGGGCTCGGTCATTGGGGAGTACGAGTGCGAGGAGGGCGGTGGGGTGGCCCGTCGGCTCCCGCAGGTGGACCCCATTCTCCTCACAGCCGCCGCTGGTGTCTTTGCGCAGTGCGTGGCCCCCGCGGACAACGACGAGGGCGTCGGTCTGGACAACTGCAGTCTCATCCTTGTCGAGCGTCGCAACGTGCAGGAGTAAGCCCTCCCGTACAGGAGCTTCGCGAGGGCGTGCCGAGACAACGCGTGCGCAGCTCTCTCTCTCTCTCTCTCTCTCTCTCTCTCTCTCTTCGTCGTCGTACGTACGTACGTACGTACGTACGTACGTACGTACGTACGTACGTACG